GGCATATACCATTCGAAAGGTAATCTCGTAAGATTTTAGCACGGCAAGTTTCAGCTTTTTTGCAATCAAATTACGCCCGCCGCAGGCCAAACACTCTGATATTATACTAGACACCAGTTTAAAAAAAAAGTGAATTAGTGATGTCGGAGTGAATTGACAAGGCATATACCATTCGGAAGGTAATCTCGTGAGATTTTAGCACTGCAAGTTTCAGCTTTTTTGCAATCAAATTACGCCCGCCGCAGGCCAAACACTCTGATATTATACCAGGCACCAGTCTTAAAAAAAAAAGTGAATTAGTGATGTCGGAGTGAATTGACAAGGCATATACCATTCGAAAGGTAATCTCGTGAGATTTTAGCACTGCAAGTTTCAGCTTTTTTGCAATCAAATTACGCCCGCCGCAGGCCAAACACTCTCTTATTATACCAGGCACCAGTTTAAAAAAAAAGTGAATTAGTGATGTCGGAGTGAATTGACAAGGCATATACCATTCGAAAGGTAATCTCGTAAGATTTTAGCACGGCAAGTTTCAGCTTTTTTGCAATCAAATTACGCCCGCCGCAGGCCAAACACTCTGATATTGTACTAGCCACCAGTTTAAAAAAAAAGTGAATTAGTGATGTCGGAGTGAATTGACAAGGCATATACTATTCGAAAGGTAATCTCGTAAGATTTTAGCACGGAAAGTTTCAGCTTTTTTGCAATCAAATTCCACCCGCCGCAGGCCAAACACTCTGATATTATACCAGGCACCAGTTTTAAAAAAAAGTAAATTAGTGATGTCGGAGTGAATTGACAAGGCATACACCATTCGAAAGGTAACCTCGTAAGATTTTAGCACGGCAAGTTTCAGCTTTTTTGCAATCAAATTACGCCCGCCGCAGGCCAAACACTCTCTTATTATACCAGGCACCAGTTTAAAAAAAAAGTGAATTAGTGATGTCGGAGTGAATTGACAAGGCATATACCATTCGAAAGGTAATCTCGTAAGATTTTAGCACGGCAAGTTTCAGCTTTTTTGCAATCAAATTACGCCCGCCGCAGGCCAAACACTCTGATATTGTACTAGCCACCAGTTTAAAAAAAAAGTGAATTAGTGATGTCGGAGTGAATTGACAAGGCATATACTATTCGAAAGGTAATCTCGTAAGATTTTAGCACGGAAAGTTTCAGCTTTTTTGCAATCAAATTCCACCCGCCGCAGGCCAAACACTCTGATATTATACTAGACACCAGTTTAAAAAAAAAGTGAATTAGTGATGTCGGAGTGAATTGACAAGGCATATACCATTCGAAAGATAATCTCGTAAGATTTTAGCACGGTAAGTTTCACAAGGAAAGTACTTTTATGGGGGCTCCTACTTTTTGACGGGACATATCTCAAAAAATCAAAAAAAATGTGCTGATCAAGGATGTATAAATCCTAGCTGCCCATTTTAGGTTTTTAGGGGTGAAAACTCGATCGGAAGTTGACTTAAAGTCCTATATGAACCCCTTTTCGTTTAATGTTTCACAGGTTTACAATTTTTATTTTGGCTTAAAATGATGTTTATTGAGTTTCTAAGGCATAATAAATCAGTCTTGGCACAAAAATTTATTTTTCCAACCTTCATCTTCAAAAAAAGTTGATTCAGCCCAAAAGGGAAATCGAACCCATGCGGCGTTCCCCCTCTTGATTCCCAAACTACGGCACTAGCCACTCGGCCACATCGCTCTCTTCCGAAGGAAGAGACGGACTGCGCTTTTATCGTTTTGAATGCCTGCGCCTTTTGTAGGGAAATTAAGCCAGTTTTTGGGCATTTTCACCCCTAAAAATCTAAAATGGGCAGCTAAGATTTATATATCCTTGATCAGCACATTTTTTCTGATTTTTTGAGATATGTCCCGTCAAAAAGTAGGAGCCCCCATAAAAGTACTTTCCTTGTCAGCTTTTTTGCAATCAAATTACGCCCGCCGCAGGCCAAACACTCTCTTATTATACCAGGCACCAGTCTTAAAAAAAAAGTGAATTAGTGATGTCGGAGTGAATTGACAAGGCATATACCATTCGAAAGGTAATCTCGTGAGATTTTAGCACTGCAAGTTTCAGCTTTTTTGCAATCAAATTACGCCCGCCGCAGGCCAAACACTCTGATATTGTACTAGCCACCAGTTTAAAAAAAAAGTGAATTAGTGATGTCGGAGTGAATTGACAAGGCATATACCATTCGAAAGGTAATCTCGTAAGATTTTAGCACGGCAAGTTTCAGCTTTTTTGCAATCAAATTACGCCCGCCGCAGGCCAAACACTCTGATATTATACCAGGCACCAGTTTTAAAAAAAAAAGTGAATTAGTGATGTCGGAGTGAATTGACAAGGCATACACCATTTGAAAGGTAACCTCGTAAGATTTTAGCACGGCTAGTTTCAGCTTTTTTGCAATCAAATTACGCCCGCCGCAGGCCAAACACTCTCTTATTATACCAGGCACAAGTTTTAAAAAAAGTGAATTAGTGATGTCGGAGTGAATTGACAAGGCATACACCATTCGAAAGGTAATCTCGTAAGATTTTAGCACGGTAAGTTTCACAAGGAAAGTACTTTTATGGGGGCTCCTACTTTTTGACGGGACATATCTCAAAAAATCAAAAAAAATGTGCTGATCAAGGATGTATAAATCCTAGCTGCCCATTTTAGGTTTTTAGGGGTGAAAACTCGATCGGAAGTTGACTTAAAGTCCTATATGAACCCCTTTTCGTTTAATGTTTCACAGGTTTACAATTTTTATTTTGGCTTAAAATGATGTTTATTGAGTTTCTAAGGCATAATAAATCAGTCTTGGCACAAAAATTTATTTTTCCAACCTTCATCTTCAAAAAAGTTGATTCAGCCCAAAAGGGAAATCGAACCCATGCGGCGTTCTCCCTCTTGATTCCCAAACTACGGCACTAGCCACTCGGCCACATCGCTCTCTTCCGAAGGAAGAGACGGACTGCGCTTTTTATCGTTTTGAATGCCTGCGCCTTTTGTAGGGAAATTAAGCCAGTTTTTGGGCATTTTCACCCCTAAAAATCTAAAATGGGCAGCTAAGATTTATATATCCTTGATCAGCACATTTTTTCTGATTTTTTGAGATATGTCCCGTCAAAAAGTAGGAGCCCCCATAAAAGTACTTTCCTTGTCAGCTTTTTTGCAATCAAATTACGCCCGCCGCAGGCCAAACACTCTCTTATTATACCAGGCACCAGTCTTAAAAAAAAAGTGAATTAGTGATGTCGGAGTGAATTGACAAGGCATATACCATTCGAAAGGTAATCTCGTGAGATTTTAGCACTGCAAGTTTCAGCTTTTTTGCAATCAAATTACGCCCGCCGCAGGCCAAACACTCTGATATTGTACTAGCCACCAGTTTAAAAAAAAAGTGAATTAGTGATGTCGGAGTGAATTGACAAGGCATACACCATTTGAAAGGTAACCTCGTAAGATTTTAGCACGGCTAGTTTCAGCTTTTTTGCAATCAAATTACGCCCGCCGCAGGCCAAACACTCTGATATTATACCAGGCACCAGTTTTAAAAAAAAAAGTGAATTAGTGATGTCGGAGTGAATTGACAAGGCATACACCATTTGAAAGGTAACCTCGTAAGATTTTAGCACGGCTAGTTTCAGCTTTTTTGCAATCAAATTACGCCCGCCGCAGGCCAAACACTCTCTTATTATACCAGGCACAAGTTTTAAAAAAAGTGAATTAGTGATGTCGGAGTGAATTGACAAGGCATACACCATTCGAAAGGTAATCTCGTAAGATTTTAGCGCGGCAAGTTTCAGCTTTTTTGCAATCAAATTACGCCCGCCGCAGGCCAAACACTCTGATATTATACCAGGAACCAGTTTTAAAAAAAAAGTGAATTAGTGATGTCGGAGTGAATTGACAAGGCATACACCATTCGAAAGGTAATCTCGTAAGATTTTAGCGCGGCAAGTTTCAGCTTTTTTGCAATCAAATTACGCCCGCCGCAGGCCAAACACTCTGATATTATACCAGGCACCAGTTTAAAAAAAAAGTGAATTAGTGATGTCGGAGTGAATTGACAAGGCATACACCATTCGAAAGGTAATCTCGTAAGATTTTAGCACGGCAAGTTTCAGCTTTTTTGCGATCAAATTACCCCCGCCGCAGGCCAAACACTCTGATATTATACTAGACACCAGTTTAAAAAAAAGTGAATTAGTGATGTCGGAGTGAATTGACAAGGCATACTTAGGTGCCAAGGAGCATTCGCTTTTTTCTAAAGCCGTCAAAACCCGATCCGTCATGGCCTGGGGCGAAATTTGAAATTTTGCGCCAGCGGCAAGAATATTAAAATTTTATTTTTTCAGAAAAAGGGTAACCTATCCTCGGGGTAACCTATCCTCCGAGGTAACCTATCCGAAACTTGGGGTAACCTGTCCGCCGGGGTAACCTATTGGCTAGGGGTAACCTATCCTCCGAGAAGGCCAAAATTGAGAACTTTGCAATCGCCTATCGGCGTTTAATGACGAATCCTACAAAAATGGTCGATCAGCACTGCAACATCATTCTCAATCATCATAAAAAGTGTCAGAACTTTTTCCGGCTCGTAACTCGACTTATTGAGCCATCTTCCCTGCTATTAGAATGGTTGAAATGGGCGCCCGGGCTTTTGGCAAAGTGACAAAATCCTTGGCATTCCGCAACTAGAGAGATTTTAATTATCAAACTCATCAAACATGGTGCTTTTGAAAGACAAAACAGACCTGCTATAACAAGAAAAATTCACTGATAGGGTCTATAGCTTTTTTTCTGTCAAGATTTTGTTCAATACTGGGCTAATTTGCAATTTTTCTAATTTCTCGAAGAAGCCAAAAAAAATTATTTAACAGTACGCCAAACATTTGTTTTCGTGGCGTGACTCGACCAGAGTTCCGTGAAAAAACGTTGTGATCTCATGAGAAATTACCTCGAATTTTTTTTGATTTGTCAACCCTGTTGATTTCCGATGGAGGTGACAAAGTTGTTTACGGGTTTTCATAGCGAGAATATTGTGAATAATAGAGCCTGGTATTGTCATTGGAAACGTGATGGGAAACTCCTGGTGACGACAGGTGAGGATAAAACAGCAAAAGTGTGGAGATTCAGTCAGGGTATGTTATTCTTAATTGCTTTTTATGAGTTAGATGGACAAAAGCTCAGGTTGATCACGCAGTTGACTGGAGATCATTTGCGGACCGTGCGAAGTGCTCAATTTTCTCCTTGTGGGAGATATATTATAACGGCTAGCTTTGATTCTTCAATGAGGGTTTATGAACAAGAAGATGGCGAACATTTTGAAGAGAAACACAGATTGGATGGGCATGAACACGAAGTCAAGTGCGCCTCGTTCTCTTCGTCAGGACAATACATGGCTTCAGCAAGTCGCGATAAGAATGTGTTCGTATGGCAAGGTAATTCCGTGGTTTAAGATCTTTAGCTTGAACTTTAGTTGACGAAGATGAAGACTTCGATGTTGACTCTGTTCTGCAAAATCACACTGGAGATGTTAAATTTGTTGTGTGGCATCCCTCTGAAAATGTAATTTTTTCGTGATAAGTAGCCCTATTCATTTTAGTTCTTAGTCTCTGGAGGTTATGATATGACGGCGAACATTTATCGCTATGATGGGTCTGATTGGGTCGTTCATCAAAGTCTTGGAACTATCCACGACGAGACAGTTTGGTCATTAGCATTTAACCATGATGGAAGCTACTTCACAACAGTCGGAGGAGACGGAAGGATTAAGGTAAGTAGCTTTAGGTATTTATGTACTTTCAGGTCTGGAAGATGATTCGAGGTGCATCGGAGGCGCAGCACAAGTTTGTCCACTTGAGTTCCATCACACCTCCCGACTCGATTTGGCCCATTTTTACAGTTTGCTGGGATCCCTTCCGGAACCTGTTTGCTTGTGGAGGTGGAGATCGAAGATTATGGTAAGATTAACCGAACTTAAATTAAAAATTTAGGATATACGAGCTTTCCCAGGACGAAACAATCACTTTAATCGGTCAATATGAACATGGCAGTGATATTAATTGTATTGCCTTTAATCCGAAGCACCCGAATGTCCTTTCCCTTTGTTCAGATGACGGGGAGATTGTTTTATTAGAGTTGAAACAATAAATACTTATATATATATATATATAACTTGTTTAAATGTTTGGGAGGTTTTTGACCATTTTATACTGTGAAACATCCATGAATATAAGGGTAATTTTTTAGATGGATTGTGATGTTGCTGGATATCACGTCGCATCGTTTAATTTCTTCTGCGGAGAAGGGCTGGCTTTGGCTGCAGATGATGTCCCTACTGAGAAATTCCGATTGAAAAATGAACAGGCAATTGAAATCCGTTACAAGGGGGCTATAATGAAGAGTCCCAGTCTTCAGAGTGCATTGGTGAGTGCTTAATTTTTTTTACGATATTTGGTTTTTAGATGTCTAAGAATGTTGAAGATATTACGAACACGCAATTCATCTTACCTTCCGAATGTCGTCAGCGAGGATTAACGTACAGAGGCCCTTTATTCGTGGACCTGGAAGTAAAAGTAAACGGAACTGTTTTGGGGATCTTCTCAACTCTTCTTGGCCATATTCCCATCATGCTCAGGTCAGATCTCTGCCATTTAAAGGACATGTCAGAAGAAGAATTGATTAAAGCTGGGGAAGAAGGAATCGAAAAAGGAGGGTACTTTGTGAACAAGGGATCGGAAAAAGTTATTCGATTGCTGGTGGGAAACAAGAGAAACTTCCCTCTGGCCATTGTGAGAAATAGTTTCAAGGAGAAAGGGAAACTGTTCACTGAATTTGGTGTTATGATGAGATGTTTCAAAGAAGGACATTCGGCCTCCATGATGACTCTTCATTATCTCGACAGTGCTTCCATGGTCTTGACGATTCAGGTAGAGTGACTTGTAAGAAAAAATGTTTTGTTTCAGTACCGTCGAGAACTGTTTTATATTCCTTTTATGTACATCCTTAGAGCTCTCACAGATCTGAGCGATGTTCAGATTTTTGAAAATATGACTAAATTGAGACCAAATGACACTTACTGGTCAAGCTGTGTCAAAAATATGTTGGTCAGCGCGGCCGAGGAAGGTGTCACAAACAGAGAAACCGCCTTGAGGGTACTAGGATCGAGATTCAGGGTAACACTCGGCCAAAAGATTGCTCCTTGGGAAACTGATGAAGTAAGTGTTTATACATGCAGATTTGTGATTATGATTTTAGGATGCTGGTAGATTCATAATCAGATATTGCGTGGCCATCCATTTAAATGATGCCGACGATAAGTTCCATTGTCTTTCATTTATGGGGCAAAAGCTGATAAGCCTGGCTTTGGGGCAGATTCTTCCAGAATCCCCTGATAACCCTCAGTTCCACGAAGCTACAGTAACCGGACATATTTTCTTATTGATGATTCGCGAGAAACTGGAGAATGTTTTGGGTGTTTTAAGGAGGAAAATTGAAATTGTCCAGGCCAGAAGAGGAGACAAGTTTGTGTTTGATGGGTAAGGCTTGTATATGCAAATTTACAAAAAACTGTAATTTCAGAAAATTCTTCCAATCTCAGTTAGGGAGTATTGGATCCCAGCAGATTACTAATGCTTTTGAATACTTTTTGGCCACTGGCAACTTAATATCCAGAACCGGAATTGGATTAATGCAAGATCAAGGCTTTGCTGTGATCGCTGAGAGAATAAACCAGCTCCGTTTTGTCTCCCACTTCAGGGCCATCCATCGTGGTGCCTTTTTCATGGAGACCAGGACCACTGATGTCAGAAAACTTCGACCAGAAGCGTGGGGCTTTATCTGTCCGGTTCACACTCCTGATGGGGCTCCATGTGGTCTTCTAAACCATGTTACAGCTTCGTGTGACATCGTCACTAAGCCTGTTGACACCAAGCCTTTGAATGAGTTGTTGTATCAGATGGGAGTTATCACCCATGAAGAAATGAGACTCAATGTTGCCAAAACAAAGGACAATCCGGAAGAATATAAAGTTTTTTATCCGGTCGTAATGGATGGGAAGGTTGTCGGATATGTTTCAAAGGCAGAAGCACCGAGATTGGAAAGACGTTTGAGAGCCTTGAAGGTGAATTCCAAGGAGAAACAAGTGCCATCTTTGGTCGAGATTGTTTTGGTGAGAGCATCCACGGACGAGAAAAACATCCTGACTCAATTCCCTGGTTTCTACATATTCTCGGACATGGGAAGAATGATTCGCCCGGTTAAGAATCTGATTTCCAAGAAGACCGAATTTGTGGGTGAGTCCGACACATTCAGAAGTGATTTTTGTTTTGAAGGAATCTTCGAACAAGTCTATCTTTCGATTATAATTGACCCCGAAGAGATCGAACCCGGAGTGACGATGCATCAAGAACTTCATCCCAGCGCTTTATTCAGTTTCGCAGGGAATCTGATTCCTTTCCCAGACCACAATCAGTCTCCTCGTAACATTTACCAATGTCAGATGGGAAAACAAACCATGGGAATCGCAGTGCACGCCTGGAAGGCTAGAGCCGACAACAAGATGTACAATTTAATTGTATGTGGTATTCCTTAATTTAATTTTATATCCTTTTTAGACCCCTCAACATCCACTACTCAAACTAGAGGCCTACGAGAAATATGAGATGGCCAATTATCCGTTGGGAACCAACGCTTGCGTGGCTGTAATCTCTTATACGGGTTATGATATGGAGGATGCTATGGTGATCAACAAAAGTTCATTCGAGAGGGGATTTGCTCATGGAATGGTGATCAAAGTTGAAAGGTGAGACTACTTGGCAAACTACCATTTGTATAGACTTAACCTGGCTGAAACTGGTGCCTTCGGAAAGAAGGAATGTAATCATTTCTTTGCCAAAGATCCCAAAGACACAGAAGTAAAAAGTATAACCCGAGATGGATTACCAATCCCAGGACGTCTGTATAAACAAGGGGATATCTATTACAGTAAGAAGGACAAGTATGAGGAAAAATATACAACCGGAGAATTCAAATATGCAGAAGCCGCCTATTGCGGAGTTGTGAGAGCAATTGCTGAGGAACACGAAGGGATTGTTGTAAGTTTACTATGCATTTCTTGGAGCATTATAGTTTATTTTACAAGGAAAGTACTTTTATGGGGGCTCCTACTTTTTGACGGGACATACCTCAAAAAATCAGAAACAATCTTAGCTGCCCATTTTGGCCTTTTAGGGGTGAAAATGCCCAAAAACTGGCTCAATTTCCCTACAAAAGGCGCATGCATTCGAAACGATAAAAAGCGCAGTCGGTCTCTTCCTTCGGAAGAGAGCGGTGTGGCCGAGTGGTTAGTGCCGTAGTCTGGGAATCAAGAGGGGGACGCCGCACGGGTTCGATTTCCCTTTTGGGCTGAATCAACTTTTTTGAAGTTGAAGGTCGGAAAAATAAATTTTTGGGCCAAGACTGATTTATTACGTCTTAGAAACTCAATAAACATAATTTTAAGCCAAAATAAAAATTGTAAACCCGTGAAAAATTAGGCGAAAAGGGGTTCATATAGGACTTTAAGTCAACTTCCGATTGAGTTTTCACCCCTAAAAACCTAAAATGGGCAGCTAAGATTTATATATCCTTGATCAGCACATTTTTTCTGATTTTTTGAGATATGTCCCGTCAAAAAGTAGGAGCCCCCATAAAAGTACTTTCCTTGTTAGCATATTCTGATCCAATGGAGAATCCCTCGAAATCCTATTATTGGCGACAAGTTTGCCTCGAGGCATGGACAGAAGGGAATTAACTCTTTCTTATGGCCAGTTGAATCTCTACCGTTCTCAGAGTCCGGGATGGTCCCTGATATTATCTTCAATCCTCACGGTTTCCCATCTCGGATGACAATCGGAATGATGATTGAGAGTATGGCTGGGAAAGCCGCTGCCATGAATGGAGGCTATTATGATGCCTCACCTTTTGTCTTCAATGAAGAGAACACGGCTATTAACCATTTCGGGGAGCTTCTACAACAAGCTGGATACAACTACTACGGTAATGAGACCATGTATTCGGGTGTGGATGGTAGGGAACTCAAGGTGAGGAGGTCGTAAATTGCTTTGTATTCGTTGATAGGTGCAAATCTTCTTTGGAATTGTGTATTATCAAAGGTTGAGACATATGATTGCTGACAAGTTCCAAGTCCGAGCGACGGGAGTTGTGGACCCGGTCACGTTGCAGCCCGTTAAGGGACGGAAAAAGGGAGGAGGAATTCGATTCGGAGAAATGGAGCGTGATACCATGATCGCCCATGGTGCCGCCTATTGTCTACAAGACCGACTGCTGTTTTCTTCGGATCTCGACTTCTGCAAAGTCTGTGCCAATTGCAGTTCAATTATATCGGTATCAAAACTGAAAGCGGCAAATGTAAGTAATATTTAATTGCCCGAGAAAACATTGTTTTGTCTGCAGGTAAAGAAAGCCGAAGATTATGAGCGAGGACCAAGGCCGGTCTGCTTAATATGCAATAAAAGCTCGGACGTATACGACATCCAGGTTCCTCGAGTCTTCCGATATCTCGCCGCTGAACTCAGTTCCGTCGGAATCCAACTCCAATGTGATGTTGGCGACCCTACTTCTCGTTGAATTTGTTTGCGTTTGTTATTACGTCTTTCATTGGAAGATGTTTGTTATATTTTGTTAGTTGTTTTTTGTTTCAAATAAATTTTTCATTACAAAAAGAAATTAAAATTACATGAAATTTGAATCTAACAATAATCTCTTTTTGAACTTATGGGGATACCGGTTTTACACTGGAAAGCGATCGTTACCTCTCGTTCTTAGAATCAATACTCGCCAATGGTTGCCCGCCCTTAAATTAACCAATTATTTCAAACAATGGGTCGTAATTCCCATTGTTTCGAACAGGAATCTATATTACAATCGTATAAAATTTGAACCAAAGATTAAATTTATTTTTTATACTTCTGAATACCGGATTCGCTCATAATGCAAATGTGATTCAGATCACGGAACTTCTGATTGTAATCCAGGCCAAAACCAACAATAAACTTATCGGGAATGCTGAAGGCAACAAAGTCTTCTTGCACTTGCACTTTCCTGGGTAATCTCTTGGACAAAAGAAGACCAGTCCAGATCTTCTTGGCTCCCAACTCCTTGATCGTGTGAATCAAACGAGACATGGTCAACCCACTATCCACAATATCGTCAACAATCTGAGAAAGAACTACTCACAAAGTTAGAAAAACATACCAACACATTCTGGTCTCTCAACTCCTCCATGCTTGAAAGCCCGATGATCTGCAATTTGCCAGTGGATTCTGTATCTTCATAACTCTTGGCTCTGATGAAGTCTACAGTAAGGGGATTATTACATTGATGTCGGGCAACAGATAACTCATCGACCAGGGTTGTAAAAAAGCGATAAGATCCCTTCAAAACACACAAGAGAGTGACCGGCTGATCTCCAATTTGCGTATGGATCTCCCGAGCCAACTGTCGAATTCTGTCGTTTATAAGGCCCTTAGGGATAATGACTGATTTAAGATCGTCCTTGTAGCAATTGGGGACGAGGAAGAGGTTGGTCGCGTACTGCAAAAAAATAGAGATCAGAGAGCTTCGCAACAGTGTCTGAATGATCCATCATTCATGGGAAACGACATTACAGCAAGTGGTCTCTCGGTTTCAGAACGTCGAGTGATAAATTTGCAGAAAGTATATGACTAAGGACTGTGTTAGATCAATAGATGTTCAGTCTACGATTAATCTATTCCAAACATAAAGACAAAAGCAATAATATTATTATCATTCTTACATTACGTTAGTTTGCGCATGACAAACGATAGCTATCCAATTATTAGTGACTCAAAAAAACCACTATCGCCATGAAAACCTTCACAAAAAATTACCTCAAGATCATCAGGGATAGCAACACAATGAGTAGAGGAAGCCATTTTAGCCAGAATGCAACGTAATCCTTCCCCAAAAGGCAATGGAAATGATCGGAGAGTACCCTTAACGCACTTTAAACGAATAGACTCCGCCCAATCTGTCCGCGTATTCATTTGGGATCAAATTCACGTGTAATATTGGTGGGACTGACCTTCCTTCATCGACGATCTCATTCAACGGAAATGTTTATAACAACAAACCCAACAAAAAAATATAAACAATTTTACTGCAACAAAATCAGAAGTCCCAACCATCGTATTCCTTGACAATATTCTGATTTGTCTTCCGTCCTCTTCTAACCGCACTCTCCTTCCCTTTGGCTTTGAATTTCTCCCTTTTGGATTTTTGTTTCTCCTAAATCAAGAGTTCAGTTATGAATGAATGTTCGGCCAAAGTTCATCAAATCTTACAGTAAGAAGACGTTTTCTGATATCCTCTGGAGCTATCGTCGATCCGTCTTCGAACACTTTTCTGGATGACGTCACTTTTCCTCTTTTCAATTCATAAACATCTGTTCCAAATTCAGATGGGTTGTCTTCTTTCTCGTCCCCATTCCCTTGATCCTCACCCTCTTCAATTAAAATTTTCTTGACTTCTTGTTCCTTCACATGTTTCTCTAAAAATGACTTTTGATTACTTTTACATGGTTATTACCGTAATTTTCTTTCATTTGTTTGTCAGTAACATCAAAATCTTCTTCAATTTTCATCCCGGATATCTGACTTTGTGCATCTTCAAGCCAGGTAGTGAATCTCGAGGCGGCTGCCAATTCACTTCGCTAAACCAATTCTACTGATGAGTCATCTTGCACTCACCCTCAATTTGGCATTTTCTTCTTCCTCCTCGAGTTCTTCTTCATCCACTTCACTGGACTCCTCTTCGATGACTTCATCTAATTCTCCCTTCGTCATATTACATCTGTCCTCGTATGCTTTGTTGATGTCTGCTGCCATTTTCTTTGTAAATCCAGTAGCTGCCAGCTCCACGTCCATACTAAATCTCCTCTCGACTTGATCAAAGGTGGGGAAATCTTCCGACTCGTATTTGAATTTCTTTCTGAAGAATTCCCGAATACATTCCACGTCCCTTTCAAAATAAAACTGAGCATTAGGATGATCCGTGCTGGTCATTTGAGGAAAATCAATGATGTAGACCTTCATTTCCTCCGTCATCATAATGTTGAATTCGTTAAAATCTCCGTGAATAAGGCCATACTCAGCAAATTTAACAATGAGACCCATAAGTTCATCGTAGAGTTCACCGGGATTCTCCAATTCCATCATTTTATAAAGCGGAACCCCTAAATATAGAAAAAAATATTCGGTAAAGTATAAAATCACAGAAACCAAATTTCAATTCCTTTACCATCAATCAGGGACATCACAACGGTATGACGGCACACATCAATTGGCTTCGGAACTGGGAACCCGGCATTGTACAAGGCCTTCAAGAAGGTGAACTCCTTCAGAGCCGAGATCCGAGAGAGGTACAACCAGGAACAATGCTGTCTTTTCCCGTGATAATCTCTCTTTTCCTTTAGCTTCCTGAACGACGTTCTTCCCAATCTACTAAACTTCAAGACAATATCTGCCAGATCGGCGTCCCCTCCAACATAAACATCTGATTCTTTTCCAACACCAATTTGATTTCCAACGGCCCCAACAACTCCCCTGGACCTGAGGGTGTGAAGTGCCAGATAATCATATCCAAGCGTTGTCAATCGATAGCCATCAACTAAAGAGGAGAATTAAATAAAAAATAATCATTCTCACTTACATTTGCGACCCTTCTCATGGTAAACCAACTTCATTTTGTTCAAATCACGTAGCAAGTGAGCGCATCCGCCACGATAGATACTAGCAATTATGGAGATTAACTGTAACGGCACAGCTTCATGATTCTTCATTCCCATTTCGATAGCAAGGAGCACTCGAAAATGCTCCTTCTCCATGTGCCTCATCGGTTCAACATTGAACCTTCCCATAGTATAATAGTTTTAAAAATTGCAAACAATTAAACTCGATGTCTAGTAGTTCACACTGTCTAAAACTTTTAGCGAAAGTCCTCAAAATTTTTTATTTTACTTTCCTATTTTATAATTTCGCAGCCTGCGCCCAGCACTTCTTGCGAGCTGCGGCCAAACGGCGTCACTCGCCCCCAATTTTTGTTGCAAAAAATCTTTTCTGTCGTAAACCTTATACAAACGGACAATTCGCAGATTTTCCGTGGCTTTTGTCAAAATGAGCGAAAGGAGACGTCAAAGTTCGAACAGATACAGTCCTTACCCGTCTGGAGGAAGTTACTCCAGAACCCCTAATCGCCGAGGAAATGAGTCTGAAGAGATTATTGAACAGGACACTAAACAACCTTTGGAAGAGGCTGTTGTGATTGACGATTATGAGCAGAACCGAGGTAACTAATTTGATGTTAAAACAATTTTTTTAGAAGCGATTGTGGAGGAGGAAGCTATTTCCTTCAGAGATATCGGACAACATGCCAAAGATCAAGGATTCACTTCTAACGCGGAAATAATTGTGAGTTGTATTAAATTTTAAGTGCCATTTGTTGTAGAACGCCACCCCAATTATTACTATGGATGTACCGGCTATTGATGTCATGGAGCTGTTCAACAGCGTTCAGAATGGAGAAGATATGAAGAATACTCTGGCGGGAATTGGATTAATGGTAGTTTATCTGTTTCCTCCGAAAATAAACATAAATTTTTGGTTTCAGATTAACCGTCTGATCTTTGAAAACAGATATCTGGTGCGGGAACTCCATTGTCTGAAAAGTGGAAATGTTTTGAATCCAGCTCACAGATTCGATAGCTTGCTGTTCAAGAAAGTCAACGTTATCAATCAGTGGATTTACCCCGGAACAAGTGAAATCCCTCCAATAAATGTAAACAGTTTGGTCGATTCCTTCGATCAGAATTCGACTAGAAAGAATGACACTGCTGTAAACACATTGAGAAGATTTGTTAAGTATCTCTTGGAAAACGTAAGTCCTTATGTAAATAACTTAAATTTTTAGATCATTCCGAAGAAGCATCACAATAAGTTTACAATCCGCGAGAGAGGAGGATACGATCATTTGACAGAACTCCCGGTGGATTTGACTACTCTCGTCAGGGATCTTTGTTTGGAAACGGTCAACTTATATGATCCCCGGACTGATGAGGACAAGGAGCGACGAGAAGAACTGGGAGAACTCATCTACAAGTATATGAAATTTGCTCTGTAAGTGAATAAAGTTTGAGTAATTGGCTCTTCAGGCAAGAACTGCGTCGAACTCCCAGAAAGTCCAAGGTTCCAGTTGCTCGACCGACCGAAGAAGAGATCGTTGAGATCGAGGAACAAGTAGTGGCTTAACGCCAGCTGCTTCCACTCCTTCTGTTCTCCGATTGTTCGTACTTTTGTACTTCTCCAAGATCTTAAATCATATTTGTTATAAAATGAATCAACCAATTTATTAGATTATAGTAACAAGCAACAATAAACAACTTCATGGGCACTTTCATCTCTGTTTCAATCCATAATCGATAAGAATTTGTTCAAAATGATCTTTTGCACACCCGTCCCGGACGATCGAATAGGATCCTTTCTCTGAGAGATCGATGACTGTACTGCCTTCTCGCCCTTTATTACCACGACTCTCCTCTGTCAACACGAGATCTATGCTCTCCCATAATTCCTTGAATTCCTAAACCAAAAGATATTGTCTTAATGAATACAAAATTACATCTGGTTGAACCGAACTTGGCTTCCCACTAGAGTTGGCTGATGTCTGAGCAATCGGTTCGTCGAAGCGGGCACAAAGTTTCTGGATAAATAAACTATCGGGAACTCGGACACCCAGAAGGTTATTCTCATATACAAAATGAGAAGGAAATGAGGGCAATCTCTTCAATAACAATGTAACTCGGCCAGGTAAGAGCCTGCAGAGAAGGTCCTTGCCTACTGTGGGATACGTGTATTGGAAGATAAGGTCGGGATTAGCAAAGAAGAGCCCTAAGGGCTTGTTGGCATCTCTCTTCTTGATATCCAGTAACTGTTGAGAGTGGGAATAAAGAGAGACGAGCCCATAAACGGTGTCAGTGGGAAGAGCAACCACTCCTCCATGGGAGAGAACAGTGCCCGTCTGTTCCAGGACCTGTTCTGCTGTAACAGAATATCAGGGAAAATGGGAACTCACCCTCCTCATTAATGTTAAGGAATCTACATTTCTTGGCCACTCTATTTGCAACATCCCCCATCTGCAATATTTTCAGACTCTTCCCATTCATGTCCATATGGTCTGTAGACACAAAACAATATTCGCAGAATCATCTCCAAAAATAACAAAAGTATAAAAAATATCGAACTGCGCCCTGGAGAAAACAAGAAACACTAACAATAACCTCGAATATTTATTGAGAAGTTTAAATGAGTTATTACATGAGATTCAAATTTTAATTGATTATTTCAGACGGTAGAGCAACTTTCTTTGCATTCTGTACTGCAACTCTCCTCGCTTTATCAAATATTCAATGACTCTTTTGATGACGGATTCGGAGTAGTTCTGTCTGACGAATTCTTGGACAATCATGTGTTCAGAGACGTGGGTTCCCACCAGAAAATGTTTCTTGAGTTGTTTTTCGACCCTGGCAAAGGTCTCCTCATCCTGTTTACTGGTGAATCCTTCAGCCCCAGCCAATTGTCCACTAGCAGCAGCAGCGATAGTTGATACATTGAAGAGACGAAGAGCCTCATCGACATGTCTCATTTCAACGAATGGAAGAAGTTCCATTTTGGCTAATGATTCACTCAGTCGAACGATGGCCTCGAGTTGCCGAACAGTGATGGAGATCACATTACTCTTTCCCCTCTCTTCCGGAGGATTTCTAATCTGAACGTAATGTTTTCCCAGCTTTTGAGCGGATTCTTCTGATAGCCGAGGGGCACAAGTCGCCCGAGCGTAGTATATGTATCTTTTCAAGAAGTCCAGGGAGAGCTCGTCTGGATCATCCTGGGTTTCATGCTCAGCATTCATGTGGACAGCCACAACATGTTTTGCCAAGGCCTAAAATTAAAGTCCAAAACACTGGGTATCTCAACTTACAGCATCCCTCAGACTGTCGTGGATATCTTTGACAACAAAGATGGTATCAAAGCGAGACAAGATCGTGGGCATGAAATCAATGTTAGCATCGCCTTTACTATCATCCCAACGTCCGAATACTGAATTTGCAGCTGCCAAAACGGAGCACCTTGAGTTGAGGGTGGTTGTGATACCAGCCTTGGCAATGGAGATGGTTTGCTGTTCCATAGCCTCGTGGATTGCGACTCGGTCATCTTCTCTCATTTTGTCAAACTCATCAATACATACAACTCCGCCGTCAGCCAAAACCATGGCCCCACCTTCCAAAATAAAACTTCTCTAAAAACGATTGTCTTAATACATTTCGCTGCTTACCGAATGCTGATCTCTCATGACTGAAGCAGTAAGTCCAGCAGCACTACTGCCCTTTCCCGACGTGTACACTGCGATAGGAGAAACTTTCTCAACAAACTTTAACAACTGAGACTTGGCCGTTCCTGGATCTCCCAACAAAAGAACGTTAATATCTCCTCTCCTAGTCAACCCGTCGGGCAAACGTTTTCTCGATCCTCCAAACAACATACAAGCAATTGCCGCTTTAATGTCGTCTGATCCAAAGATAGATGGAGCAATGCTCTTCGAGATCTTCTTATAGATATCCCCTTGTTTTGCAAATTCTCTAAATTAAAATAAGAACAAAATGTTATTAGTACTTACAGGGTGTGCCATCTTTGTGGCCCGATTTGAACTGGCCATAACTTTTAATTTTTCTGCCAATTTTGAAGATTCTTTTTTTTTTTGAACCCCCCGTTTTGTGTAATACCACATATGTGGCAGTAGCACAAAAATATTGCCATCTTTGTCGTGAAGAACAAAAAAAAAATCCCAAAAATCAGCGTTCTCGTGAACGGTGGAAGATAGTTGTGGCAAACCTGGGTTCAGAAGCTTTAGAATCTTGCGTGGAATAGTTTGGAATCCAAAAAAGTGGGAAAAAATCACTGCTAAGGGTGAAACCCGGAGGGCACAGATATGAAAATTTTGAAAATCCGCAAAGTTAGGGTAAATGCTTGGCCCCAAACAGGTGAGATTTTCCAATAAGCTAGAGGCGGGATAAAAAATTTCGAAAATTATGGCTAAAATCTGGTCAAAAAAATTCATTTTCTAATGTCCTTACTCCCGCCAAAAGGAAAAATTCAAACACGTCGAAATCCTTTCAATTTGGACGTGTATGGAGTGGTTTGCCCGCTTCAAATCAGATGACACCAGCTTGCAAGAAAAGCTAGGAAGAGGTCGACCATCGGATTTCGACGATCAGGCACTTCTGGCTTTGTTAACTATCTGAGGAAAAACAAAGAAAATTTAACTCGGAAAAGTGACCAAGTTTTCAAAACCATTCCAAAAATTTTCTAAGCTTTAGCGGTTCCGGCATGAAAATATTTTTTCGAAATTTTGGGAAGGCATGGAAAGGTCAATTCAAATTTTTTTTTTCAGTCGGTTGAAGATGGCGGGTCTAAGCTACAGAAATATCTAAATTTTAGAAAAATCGGCGGAGTCTCCCTGGGGAAATTCAAAGAAACATCATATTAGTTTCGAGTGGCCCACCCTGTACAGGGTGTCCAGAGAAATGTGCCGGAAAGTTTTTGTCGATTTCTTGGCGCTCAATCAAGATATCCGAAAAATTCTTTTTGCAGGATAAAGAAGAATTTGGGCGGTTTTTTGTGCAAAAGAATCATTTTCTCCGCCAGCGCGGAAGGCAGTGTATTCGGCGGAGACTTTTGATCGCTTTTTTGATCATCGCACCAACTTTAAACGCTTTATTATGAACTTCGATGGTTGAAACAAAGATATTTGCATATTTTCATGTTTACCAAGTGTTCGGCGAAGGTGTGGCGGACGCTCGCCGAATCGGCGGAGGCCATAACTCAGCTGCGGACAAGACATGGTCCAACACAATTTTTATGGCCTGGCTAGAACACCCTGCTGGCTTCGTATGCCTTCGAAAATTTTGTCACCAAGCTTTGGCAGAAGCTAAGCCATCGGAAAACCACTTGGTGCGGCAGAAAACAACAAAATATTTTTTGTTCAAATTTCCTTTTGCCTTGCTGTTTCAAACCTCCGCACGGTACACTCGGACTTTATTGGTGTTGCAGCGAGAGGCTGCACCGTGCAGTCGCTATATGGGATCGCATTGCGATGTCGCTGTCTGTGTGATTTATTGCGTCAAAAATTTGAAGACTTTACGGAAGTTTCAGCATCATAATAAAGCGTTTAACATTGGTGTGATGGCCGAAAAAGCGATCAAAAGTCTCCGCCGAATACACTACTTTCCGCGCTGGCGGAAAAAATGATTCTTTCGGACAAAAAACCGCCCAAATTCTTCTTTATCCTGCAAAAAGAATTTTTCGGATATCTTTATTGAGCGCCAAGAAATCGACAAAAACTTTCCGGCACATTTCTCTGGACACCCTGTATATCCTGTTTGGCATTAAACAAAATGGGAGACTCTGAGGATTCATTTAAAAAAAAGAAGAATCTTCAAAATTGGTAGCAAAATAAAGAAGTTATAGCCAAATCAAATCGGTCCATAAAGATGGCACACCCTGTATTTGAAAACCCCGGAAACTTACTGAAATTCCCGTTCTTCTTCTGGTGTGAAGACTGGTTTGTCGCTTCGACCAGGACCTTTATTTTGAACTTGGATTCCCAAAACTCGAAGATAGGGCGTTCGGATTAAAGACATTGTTTTGTCGACTCCTTTTTGTCCCTAAAACAGGATTATTGTCTCACATTACATCCACTACCTGTTTGTTAAACAACTTTTTGATAGAGAAGATACCAGTGACCTCGATTCGATTACCAGGAGTCACAATATCAGTCAAATACCTGTCAACGTATAGCTGCATATGTCTGGGCATTTCTCCCTGAGGCACATCTTCGGGATTTTCTTGTAGCTTGAGAGTTTGATAGTCGACGCAGACACTTCTGTCAGGGAGGATATGATAAGGATCCATTGGACATCTCTGAGTTACGCCTCCTTGAGATCCTCGGCAAGTTCGAGGAAGTTGGAACCCTTCAAGACCTCTTTCAACCTTGATGTCGCTTATTATATGATTGCAAGTTCGGCATTGCAAATTCACTTTCACAGCACGAGAACGGACTTGAGATGCAGCAATTACAATACCCGAGACCTTGATAATGTGCGAAACATCCGAAGATTTAATTTTTCGAATACTTGTAGGGGCTCCATTCATGTTTAAGACAACCTGAATATCCGCAATGACCTCATGGCCAGCAGAGCGGGGATGTGTCAATGTGTCCACTACGTCCTTAGCTGCTGCTTCCAACTAAAAAGTTTATTAAAAAAATCTTTCAGAAGTTATCACAGCAAAACTCACCGGGGCCTGATATTTACTGGGCTGATTCTGCAGCTTTAAAGCCAATTCTTCGTTGAAAGTCTTGAGGTCATCGAAATTTACGTCAACCATAAACTTATTCAAGGTGTAATTCTGTTTCAGCCGATCTCTAAACAAAAATCAGACATGCTTTAAAAGCTACCTGTAGTGCATTCCAAAACTTTCGATGAAAAATTCGCGGAAGAAGCATCGAAAAAGTTCGACAGTCTCTTTGTACTCTACCACCAGCTGATGTCCTTCATCGTCAACATTCTCAGCATTGTCCAAATTCACAGACTAAAGTCAACAAAGGATGACGGTGATTAATTAAGAAGTCTTACCTTATAAGTTATCGCCGTTCCGTCCATAGCCAACATCTTCAATTCAAAGCGATTAGTTCTTCTCCAAGTTCTGAAAGATATGAGCATTAGATCAGAAATGAACAAAATACATCACATGAGATGCTAAATGAAACCAAGAAAAACGATCTAAAATTGGCTTCGTGGAAATTGGACAGAGTGAAATTCGACAGAGTGAAATTGGACAGAAATAATTTGGACAGAGCGTGGAAATTGGACAGGGTGAAATTGGACAGAGTGAAATTGGACAGAGTGAAATTGGACAGATTTTCGCTGCAATCGTACGAAATGTCAATATTGAATCATCAAATAATTATTTTTTGCAGTGAAAAAAAATCTGTCGAGTTTCACTCTGTCCAATTTCACTCTGTCCAATTTCCACGCTCTGTCCAAATTATTTCTGTCCAATTTCACTCTGTCCAATTTCACTCTGTCCAGTTTCCACGAAGCCCTAAAATTTTCTGAACAAATTCGTCACACAATCGCGAACACACAATTTTCGCGCCCGCCTTCAAAAATTCTTTTTTGCGCCTTGATTTGTTTTCGTGGCAGGACGGGCTGGTTTGCCGGATCAGTGCAATTTCTGATGAAGCTAGACACAACGTTTTTTCACGGAATTCTGATCGCGTCACGCCACGAAAACAAATGTTTGGCGTACTGTTAAATAATGTTTTTTGGCTTCTTCGAGAAATTACAAAAATTGTAATTTAGCCCAGTATTGAACAAAATCTTGACAGAAAAAAGCTATAGACCCTATCAGTGAATTTTTCTTGTTATAGTAGGTCTGGTTTGTCTTTCAAAAACACCATGTTTGATGAGTTTGATAATTAAAATATCTCTAGTTGCGGAATGCCACGGATTTTGTCATTTTGCGAAAAGCCCGGGCAACGATTTCAATCATTATAATAGCAGGAAAGATGGCTCAATAAGTCGAGTTTCGAGCCAGAAAACGTTCTGAAACTTTGCATGATGATTGAGAATGATGTTGTAGTGCTGATCGCCCATTTTTGTAGGATTCGTGACTAAACGTCGCCCGCTAGGCGATTGCAAAGTTCTCAATTTTGGGAAGTTTGAAGTCGAATATCTCAAAGACTGAATAACACATACAAATTTCTGAACCTCTAACAGAGAGATAACTGTCTACTCTTTCCAATTCACCATTTATCAAGTCGCTCAATTTTGGATGATCGGGTGAAAAGATCGTATCTTTGAGACCACCTTTTTGGAGCGAAGTGTCACAAAAATTCGATCGATAATGGCGCAATTAGAGCTCGACTTCCGCTTTTCTAGTTGTTTCTAAACGTTGTGAGAAGAATACACCACGTTCGGTCCAAATAGAAGAAAAGCCGCAGTTGAGATGGGATCCCGAGCTGCGCCCGCGATTTTTAATTCGTAGGGGACATCTTATACGAAGGAAGACCAAATTTTGCAATGATTGCCTCAGGGCTCTAAAAATTCATGCACAAAATATTATTTTAACGTAGATCCGATACACGCCACGAAAAACGTAAGGCAAAATTGGAAATAGAGATTTCGAGCTGCGCCCAATATTTCTTGATTTTTTTGATGGAATGAATATTGTGTTAGATAGTATTGTAACTCTGGATTTTGGAACAATTTCGGGATGTATATTATCTTTAAAATTACGTTGCTTTGAGTTTCAAGTGTTGAGTATAATGTATGAGTCCATGGAGCCCGGCACATCGCGCTCTGACCCCAACATTGATTTACCAGGTATGGAAGTGTCTTCAGAAAATGTAAGATTTCTCTTTTTGTGCCCAGTTTATAGATTAATCGCCATGTGGTGTTGTGTGAGACATCCTAGCGGACGTTGGAAAGAAGAAATCGGGAAATTTTATAGTCGAAAAAGGGCACTTGTGAGTTCATTATTGCATCATTTTGCAGGGGCCGATGGAGAAACGCAAGAAAGGACTGGAGAAATGGCGAGAAAAGCGGAACCAGAAGAAGCAAAACTACGAAAAGCTAGCTGAGAACTTCAGGAAGGTCCCGTTGAATGTAGGGATGAGTCCATGGAGCCCGGCACATCGCGCTCTGACCCCAACATTGATTTACCAGCTATAAGTGTCTTCAGAAAATGTAAGATTTCTCTTTTTGTGCCCAGTTTAGGGATGAATCGCCATGTGGTGTTGTGTGAGACATCCTAGCGGACGTTGTAAAGAAGAAATCGGGGAATTTTATAGTCGAAAAATGCACTTGTCGGTTCATTACTACATCATTCTGCAGGAGCTGATGGTGTCTCCAGAAAAGGTAGGATTTCTCTTTTTGCATCCAGATTAGGGATTAATCGCTATGTGGTGTTGTGTAAGACATCTTAGCGGACGTTGTAAAGAAGAAATCGGGAAATTTTATAGTCGAAAAAGGGCACTTGTCGGTTCATTATTGTATCATTTTGCAGGAACTGACGGAGAAACGCAAGAAAGGACTGGAGAAGGCGTGAGCAAAGCTGGATCACAGGAAGCAGACGACGTTTAGAACATTTCAAGTTAAGTTTGTGACGTTGCCTTTTTGATTTTTTGTTTTTAGCCCATTGAGCCAATAATTTTCTCTGGTAATACCTAAAATAATATAATTGATATTTCAGCCGGTCCATGTTGAAGTAGAATGTGAAAGCCAGCATAATGTACCAATGGGTGTGGAGATTGAATTCCGAGTTCAGATTGTATCCGACAGATTCGGTGGATTGTCGAAAACTTATGTAATTTTAATTATTCTTATTGGTTTGATGTTTAGGTGGAAATAAAGAAGATTTTATGAATTTCAACTTAGTAGTGGTCTGTTGTAGCAGGATCAAAGCCCTGCTACTCTTGTAAACCTCGGAAGAGCTCGAATTCGGTCAGATTCATCGATTTTGATCCAATTTTGCCTAGTACAATATAATTCCTTTCTCTTCTTCGATCAATCTGAGAAGTTCGGGGTGCACCTCCTTGATGCCTTTCGATGCTTTCTCGCCGGTTTCACACGTAAATTGTTGTTTGTTAGAATTTTGGAATCATTTTTGTTATTTATTTGTAAAGGTTTCAGCGTATGAAATGTCGAAAACATTTTCCCGCGAATTTCTCTATTTCCACTTTTTTCGTGGCGTGCCGATATACCAAGTATCATCTTTCTGTCGCTGTCTATCTTCGACTTTGGATAAATATCAGATTTTGCCTAGTTTTGAGGCTGTTTTTGTACCCATTTTTTGACCACTTTTTGGCTTGTAATGATAAAAGTAAGATAGTTATTCGAAATATCGCTCTTTGATGTTCTAGAGAGCCTTCTTGCGTAACCCTTTTAGGTAAAGCCAGACCTCAGTGGTGTCCCCCCTTTTCAAAACGTTTGCTCCAATGACGTCAATTTTAGGCCAAATTTTGCTGATTTTTCGAAATTTCTGCCTATATTTTTTTCAGAAGTCCTTTATCGAAAAAATCGCGATTTGAGTGTTTAGAGAAGATCCTTGTCGATGTATAGAAACTTGCATTTTCATCCAACGACCAATAGTTTTTTCAAAACGTTTGCTCCAATGAGGTACACTTTGGGGAAATTTTGCTGATTTTTCGAAATTTCTGCCTATATTTTTTTTCAGAGTCCTTTATCGAAAAAATTGCGATTTGAGTGTTTAGAGAAGCGCCTTGTCAATGCACAGAAAGTTGCATTTTCATTCAACGACCAATAGTTTTTTCAAAACGTTTGCTTCAATGAGGTACACTTTGGGGAAATTTTGCTGATTTTTGCATATTTCTGTCTAGTTCTCAGACGAGTTTGAAAAGATGCATTTTAGAGGAAAATTAGATTGGAAAACGGTGTGTTCAAAGAATTAGACGTTTAAAAAGTTTCGGTGTTCTCTGATTCATCAATATCTTCATCGATTTGGCTTGTGTCAATCCCAAAATTTTCGATTGCGATGTTCCAGGTTCGTTGAATGACTCTGAAGATGTAGGGTAGACGCCATGAAGACAAAACTCACCTCCTTCATCTTTTTCTGCCGTTGGCAAAGTTCTTGAAGACGATGGTTTCAATTTCAATTTATTTACACTAATCACATGCAAAAAATCATGGAGTGTATCATAATGGTTTCCATTGTCCGGTCAGTGTAAGATCGCTCCACCGGAGGCCATGATTCTTGCCAGCATCGTCGATCCATCTCATCCTGAAGCGCCCAAACGGTCGTGTATAAAGGGATGTCGAATTCATGCTGATCACTTTCGTTTCCAACGATTTCTTGAATTGCTTCAATTTCCCTCGGTTTGGATTGATCTAACATTGACAGTATGAACTTGAAATCCATTACGATGAACAGCTACTGTCCCAGGCGAAGCCCTTTGTGCCCGCAACGGCATGGGTGGACAGGAAAACCGACCGCTCTCCAGGAAGAAAAAATCGGAATCAGACGATGGTTTATAATTAAAGACGATGGTTTATCCATAAAAAATTTGACGCTCAGATTTTAATGAAACTTTGTTAAGTTGAAAAATTAACTGAAACAGCAGCTAAATGATTAAAACGAGACGGGTATTTCAGTCTTATTTCATTAACTCGCAAAACATAGAGATAGTGGATGGCTACTCGAATAGAATGCAATTTTCTTATAGATGTACTATGTTGACGTCCATTTTTCAAAAATATTTTAGTCGTTGATGTATATGCCGGTTACTAAATCTAATCATGCTGCTTGTCTACAATTAAAGATAATTATTTCCTCGACAAACGGCAGTAAAAAAGATGCAGACAGAAATATGCAAAAATCATCAAATTTTCCACAAAGTGTACCTCATTGAAGCAAACGTTTTGAAAAAACTATTGGTCGTTGGATGAAAATGCAAGTTTCTACACATCGACAAGGCTGTTCTCTAAACCGTCAAATCGCGATTTTTTCCATAAAGGACTTCTGAAAAAAATACAGGCAGAAATTTCGAAAAATCAGCAAAATTTCCCCAAAGTGTACCTCATTGGAGCAAACGTTTTGAAAAAACTATTGGTCGTTGGATGAAAATGCAAGTTTCTATACATCGACAAGGATCTTCTCTAAACACTCAAATCGCGATTTTTTCGATAAAGGACTTCTGAAAAAAAATATAGGCAGAAATTTCGAAAAATCAGCAAAATTTGGCCTAAAATTGACGTCATTGGAGCAAACGTTTTGAAAAGGGGGGACACCACTGAGGTCTGGCATTACCTAAAAGGGTTACGCAAGAAGGCTCTCTAGAACATCAAAGAGCGATATTTCGAATAACTATCTTACTTTTATCATTACAAGCCAAAAAGTGGTCAAAAAATGGGTACAAAAACAGGCTCAAAACTAGGCAAAATCTGATATTTATCCAAAGTCGAAGATAGACAGCGACAGAAAGATGATACTTGGTATATCGGATCTACGTTAAAATAATATTCTGTGTATGAATTTTTAGAGCCCTGAGGCAATCATTGCAAAATTTGGCCTTTCTTCGTATAAGATGTCCCCTACGAATTACAAATCGCGGGCGCAGCTCGGGATCCCATCTCAACTGCGGCTTGGACCGAACGTGACACGGCTTGCCCAAATAGACTAAAATCGGAGAAAAAAACGGACACGGCCTTCGCAGCTCGCGCCCTATCCTTGGAAAATTGCTGAGAAGTGCCCCTTAGAGTTGATGCTCAAAAAGTACAAAGCGCTTATTATCACATAAAACAATCTTGATAACTATTTTCTTTGAATGTCTGTCATCTATTTAAGCTATTATTCATATCGTTGCCATTTCTGAATCGGGAAATATGGGCCCCTCAATATCAGCAATTTTGATGTATCTTGTACAACATGTATATATTCGAAGAAGCGAAGTGAACAAAATTCCATCTACAATTCCATGGAGACGTTGCAGATGATGCTCCAAAAAAATTTTCGTCCAAATTGGACAATTTTTTGGGGTACTTCAACGTTTCCCACTGCAAATGGAGCATTGCCTACTTGTGGAGCTCCAGTTCTCTTTGAAAAACCACAAATTTGTTGGTTTCTTTGTGTTAGTTAACACAGTTGTTAGTCTATTAATAGGCTAGATACTCTTTACAGCTTCAGGAATGAGAAAACAAAAGTTATGTCGAAATTTGTAAAAAAGTGACAAACAGGTCCCCATGTACAATATCCCATAACACAGTCAAATAATGGACTTCGTTAAAAAACATCTACAATTCCACAATAAACCTATCGAAGGAAATGTACACAAGTTTTCAGACTTCTGAGTCAATTTTTTGACACACTTCAACGTTTCCCATTGATTTAAGATGATATTTCGTATTTTTGAATTCCATCGGTTAGCGATCCCCCGTGTGGGGAAGAAGGTCGATTAACAATTTTCTAGTTCTAAAAACATCAAAACATGCTTATGGGTGCTTATTGGACTCGTCTTAATCCAATTTTATCAAAAGTAAATATTGATGATAATAGGTATGTAATGTGACTTGCCACAAAAAGCTAAGATGTCTGATTTTTGAAAAATGCATCTACAATTCCACAGAAAACCGCCTGATGCCTATATGGTCTAAATTTCAGCTTTCTAAACCGAGGTTTTGACCATGTTCAACGTTTCCCACTAGGCAAGCTCAATATCTGGAAATTACAAATTTCGTAAATTATATAAAATAAGCCTTAGTGTAAGGTAATGCAGGGTGTATATGACACTTTTAGCTAGTCTTTTCAATTGAAGACAACTTTCAACATTGCATCATTCAAAAATATTGAGTTACCCCCGATAATTAATACAGTTGAGGCATACATCAATATCGAAAATATTTGATGGGGGACAAGGCTCGGTTTGCTTCGAAATAGAAGATTACGATAAGTACTAATAATGACAGATATACTCGTTGCAATTTTTAAGCTTTTTGATAGATTTTGTGAGATTTCACAGGCAAAGTCATGAAATGTAACCCCTTGGCTCGTGGCAAGTATAGTATTCGCGCATAGGTAAGTCAGAGTGGCCGATATTGACGAATAAAGTTTGTGTACTATTATTATCAAACAAAGCCTATTCTGAAGCATCCTTTTAAGGCAACATCCACGTATTATCCATGTTTACCAAAATTCATTAAATTTAATGTCCAAAAATTATATTTTTGTGGTAATGATTTTTTGTGGTATGTGCGCGTTGATGTAAAATGTTGGGTTTTCTACCAATTCCTATCAATATTGACAGTTCTGCTTTCATTCTGACATAAAATAAGATTAGAAATGTTTCATCGTATAAAATGTCGCTAATTCTTCTTTGGACGTTTTTTTCTCCATTTGGGCAAGCCGTGAATAATATTCTAATAGCAGAAAATCTTGTCTACCTTGTACAAGATGCCTCAAACTATGAATTTTCACGAAGACTTTAAGGGTTTATCCCCAGACATCGCTGCGCAGATATTGATTATGATAGAACAAAACGAAGAGTATAAAAGTAAGCTCCTTTTGTTTGGCCATTTTGAACCATCATAGGCGCCATCAGGAGATTCATAGAGCTCTTGGACGAAACTCGGTTAAACTGGAAGAAAGCGGCAATGGAGTCATATAAACTTAGAGAGGAGAATTGGTAAGTTATGAGAGTAGAAAGTTGATGAATTGCAGGGAGCTGAAGAAAGCACTAAATCATACAAACGGAAATGTCAAACCACCGAAGAAGAGAAGGATTTCGGTAAGTGAAACGGATTTTTTTACGTGTGTATATATTGAATTACATCCATTGACAACTGTTGTTTAGAGGGTTGCTGACTTTACCTGTAGTGATTTGGATGAGGTTGATTGTACGCTTGAAAGAGAGGAACCTCTAGACGTTTTATCTGATGTCAAGGTAGAACTATTGACTCCTGAACATGTTAATTTCGTGCAATCCGCACATCAGTCACAGGAAGAAGGCCCGATAAAATCAAGCGACAGTAATCAGTATGGAAGTTCCTACGAAGAAGCGAGAAAATTAATGTCTGATAGATCGAGATTCCAAACAGAAAGGAAGATCCGACGGTCCAATTCTGTTCCGGATTGTTTGGAATTGGATACACGAGTAAGGTTTCCTTAATATTTGAAAAATCTTTTAGCGAAGAGGCAGTGATAGAAAGATGAAAGCGACTGTCGAAAGGACGCCATCTTTGAATGTGACTTCAAAATCTGGATTGGAGAATGTCGATGGATTGTTTGAAGAAGAAGATGATGCCTTCTTGATGGGCGATAGGTCTCACGAATTCCAACAACGGCGAAATTTTACTAATGTGGATTGTTCAAGCTGTCGGAGGACGATTAATTTTGGCTTGATATCTGTTAGATGCATGGGTAAGCCTGAAATGTCATCCGGAAGGTGTACTTTGCAGTCTGTAGACTATGTTACCATCAAGATTGTAGTCGGAGGAACATTATGCCGTGTATGCCCCGGAGAGCGCCAAAAAAGAAACAGCAGAAGCAAGCCAGATTAGGAGATTATTGTCCGGATATCCGACCAATGATTCCTCAGATCGTCGGATTCTGTTGTATTCAGATTGAAAGGAGTGAAACCAATCTCCCATTATACCAGATTCCGGGGTAAGTTGCGTGCGGAAGGGGATCCCCGTTTCAGAAGTCAGGAAGAAGTTCAGAAGTTGTTGTCCGCCTTTATGAAGAAAGATAAGGTTCCTAAACTGGAAGATTTTGGAGTGTTGACCATTTCTGATACAGTTAAACGATTCCTCAGTAATCTCAAACAACCATTAGTACCATTGGGTTACCATGCGGAGTTCAAAGGTGCTGCGCAAATGGTTGGAGGAGAAAAGGAACTGATCCAGCAGATCTCTGCACTGCCTCAGGCACATTGCGATACCCTCGCCTATTTTTGTAGGCATTTGAAAAGGTTGAATGAGAGCTCAGATGTGAGTTTATGTTGCTTCATCCCTAGCTTAAGCTTCAGCATCAAAATCTCTCCGTAACTAGTTTGGCCGAAGCACTGGCACCTGTAATCTTTGGGACGGGTAACAGTCTCGTTCTCTCTAACAAGGAAGCCGCGCTTATCACGGCTCGTCTGATCCAATTACCTGCAGACGATCTCCAACAGCTACTTGGCGGTGATAATAAATTGAACCGTGTTCCATCAGATCATCTAAGGAAGAGGAGAAGATCTTTCCAAGGACATTCTCCTCTTCTTCCAGTTTCCTCAATTACTGTAAGAAGAAAGTAGATTTGAAAGTGGTCGCTATCAATCAGTTTTGTTTTGTAGTCTAGCCTGTATATTGTTTTGTCAACTTGTATATGTTGCGACTGTGTTTTTACTTAGATGCCCATAACCTGTGATTTTTTGCCGAGATCTCAATAAATAAATTCTACTTATATTCCATCACATTTTTAATTCTACGTTTGAAAAGCACATTCTGTGTTTGATGTTCGAATTCCCAATTTACAGCCATTTGGATGACTTGAAAGCGGTGGGTTTACTGCTCTCGATCATGGGCCAAGTGATAACCTTGGGGCCGTTTCATCGTGCCGAAGTTCAGATGAAAAAGTCGAACGGGATCATCGAATACACACCCCAGCCGCAAGAAGAGATGCTCCAATTGGATACCGAGGTGGACCAGAAGGGAAATACCACCGTGGACCACGTCTTCAAACGCACCAGGTATTCTGAATTTAGTATAAAATGCCCATTTTAAGAGATGTCTACGGACAGAGAGCCCGAGATCTCAAGCTGAAGAAGATTGATTGGAGTGAGTACGTGACTCCCCTCAAGAATCGACCCTCGCCTTATGATTTTCCTGCTTTTGAGCATGAGGAACGCCCTAAAAGTAAGGTTCTGGCATGATTACATTAACAGTTACTTACAGTGTTGAAAGACAGATCCCTAAAATTGTCCAACATCAAGAAGGTTAAGGAGAACACCAAGAGTTTTTCCAGCAAGGAGAGTAAAGAGCAAGCTCTCTCGGTGGAGAAGAGCAAGGCGAAAGCGAAGGAAACCCCCAAGAAGGAAGTTAAGGACATTCCGAACAAGGCCAAATTCAAGAAGGCTCGTGTTTCCCACAACAAGGACCTTGATCATTGCAGTTTGGAAGATTAAAAAGACTGCTTTAGTTCGGAGCTGTTTTATTTAAAATACTTTTTGAACTACAAGATTCGAATGTTCGGGAAATAGACAAAGTACTCCGAATCTTCAATCATAACAATTACATTCAATTTAATATTAAAAGATATCAGCCCGAGGTGATGCCGCAGTAGCTGGCCGTGAGCCGCCTTGCTGATCTTCGGCTCGCTGGGCTGAGTTGTTGGGAGTTGCTGCGGTCTGAGCTGGAGGTTGTTGAGCGTTTGCTTGTGCGATCGTTTGGGACTGGTAGTATTGGAGCTGATATGCCAAAGGGCTTATCTTGAAACCGTAGAGTCTAAACCATGAACATCAATTTTCTCATAAATAATTACCTTGGGACATATGTTTTATTGGTTCTCTTGGGCCGGAGATCTGGATGAACAAAAAACAACATGTGAGGAAACCCAGTACCAAAGTAAGCTCCATCAATGTGATGATATTTCGAAGATCGAGGCACAAACACATCACAACATCTCGGGCAATAAACGCGTACCATCGAATCATTAACAACATCGGAGAGACCTGAAGATTATTTATAATCCCATTTATCATACTTACCAATAGGAAGCACAGATTGATTCTCGCAATAAACCCTGGGGCAAGTTCCGAATTCCTCACTTTTCCATTTCTCGACCATTAACTGAATGCCTCTATTAGTCAAAATAAATCTGGCGTGAATAAGACCGTATAACATCTCCGCTGCTTGCTCAACGAGGTCGGAATGACCCTCTTCATATTCATCATCTAAAAAAATTATGAATATACGGAGAGTAACCTACCTGGCTCGAGATCGAGTATCATATCGAGGGCCTGTCTGAAATGTGGGACTTGTTCGGATAATCCAGTCAAATTAAAACGATCTTGAATGTACTCTTCATCCACCTCGCAGAAGAAATCATTGCCTCGCAGACCGCAAAACCAGGTTATCCATGAGACTTCTTCGGAACTTGTCATTTTAATAACCTACAATAGTTAGTGATATAAAATAATACAACAATAAATGAACAATCCTGCTTGGAAAAGGAAAAAAATACGACAAATTGTTCAATATTCGGCTCGATTTAACGAAGTGCAACAAAAAAAGACGAAGTGTAACGCTATGGAACGAAACACCACCAACGATTTTTTTGACAGATTCTGGATCACTCCATAAGGCCCTCCTTATAACGATCAATGGAAGTTTTAGTTGGGACTCGTTTATTCTTACAAACCAAATATGAGTATTAGCAATAAAAGTATATAGATATCTAAAAACTTTAACAGAAACTGAAGATTCGGATAAATAAAATACAATCGAATGTGTATTAAACAGTACGGATTCGACCAGGGACGTAGTTCTTGTCGATCTCATTGTATTGGAGGAAAATATGCAGCGACTTCTCATTCTGCGCTAACGGATGCCCGGCAACCCTAAAAAGGGAGTTCTAGCTGAGTATTATTGCTCTTACTTGTTTAAGAACTGTTCCAATCCCTTGCGACGATCCTCAATAAAACCTTCTTCGAAGATTCCATCGTCCGACCGGAAAGGAAGCTGCCTTTTTAATGCTTTCCCAGGTAGAGGAGGCACTATGATCTGAAAGCAACTCAAAACTTTTAACATGGAAACGATTAAACCCGTTGCAAAACGCATAATTTGATTTTTGAACGTACCTTGCTATCTCTTTCCAGCTCATTTCTCAGCCATTCAAATTCGGAATACCTTCTTCGAACACTTGATTCCTTATGCTTGAAGACGGGGAGGTTAGTCTAAAAATGGGAACCTGAATATACCAGCGGCTATTTAAACTTACGCGAAGACGCACTTCATAATCGGTGTACCTATTTTTACCGACTCCATGTGTGATGGGATTTACAACCTCAATTTCAAGGAAATTTGCCGGAGGTGCGTAGGCTTCGTCCAACGTCTGTCTTTTCGAAACGAGACGCTGAGTTGCCGCTGTGCTCATATTGTTTATCTAAATCAAATAAATTCAACATCCAAAACGAAGTGGGAAAAGCGAGAAAATTCGTGGATTGGGCATAAATAAAGAAGAATAAATAATTGCATAAAAACATTGACCGCAACTGGTATGTGTTCTATCGATCCGAGTGTAGCCCGCGCGTGTTGAGCCGCTGAAGCCCCTAGAAATCAGGGGAAAGACTTGTCACATCCGTGTCATCTGTTACAGGGAATTCCGGCGATTCTCAAAACAGCGGACGGGAAGAATTAGCGAGTAGTGCGTTAATCATACAAAAACGTTCAGTGAGCTCACTCACTGCAGTGAGTTCAAAACATAAGAGCTTTTTATTCTGTGGGTACCACAACAACAGCAGGCCTATTACGGGGTTCGATCAAATCACAATTCCACTGAATGGGTATGACAAAAGGTGACTCATTGATAAGTTCAAAGGCTTCGCACTCGCTCAGAGCCTCTTGACCGTCCCATCCTCCCATTATCAGCATAACATTCTTTTTATCCTTCTTGAAAATTACTGTGCAATGATTTTCCCGAGGCGTCTTTAGCTTTGCGTCCACAAGGAGGGTCCTCTTGGTTATTGTATCATAAATGGAAATAGTAGATATAACCGAGACACCGTCGAATCCGCCCACATTAATGATAAACTCATCGAATACGGAACTGCTGTGCCCCTCAACGGGGTAGGGCAGTCTTGTTTCGTAGAGCAACTTGTCATCCTCGTAGGTAAAGATTGTATCCAGTGTTCGTTTACCATCCCAGCCTCCAATAATATATGCACGATTGTTTCTTGCAATGACAGCAGCGGCATTTTTGAGATCAGTGGATAGAGGAGGGCAGCGGGAGACAAGGCCGTTGTTGATCTTGTATACCAAATTATGACATCCTGTCTTGTTGAAACCACCAAACACGTATCCAATACCATTCTGGAACGTTTGTGTATTAATGGTAAAGATACCCACCTGCACTTGACAAAACGCGGAACAGCTTAGTCCATCTTTTATTACCTCGGGTACTAATGTGGATTTACCCCCAATTCTAAACATTTCGAGGGAATTTAAATGTTCCCCTCGTCTTCTGCATCCTCCCACCACAACAATGTTCTCGTTTTGATAGAAGACTGAAGGAGATCGTCTACTTTCTAGTAATTTTGTATCTACCATTTCAAAGCCTTCTCCATTTCGGCTGATTTCAATGGATTTCAGACATCCTTCTTCGGCCGCGGCTGAAGCTCCACCAAGAACAACAATTATGAACCCTGCCCGCATTACTGCAACAACTGCATTAAAGACCTCCATTTTCCAATATCTGGTTGAACTGACAATGTCTGATTAAGACAGGAAGTGCAATAAAATTTATTCGTAGAACATTCTTTAGGCACGCCATCGGAATTCATAATAAAATTACAATCTACGTAAAAGTAACATCCATAAGACAAAAACATCGTATCGTTTGTAGTTCTTAACCAGGTGGCTGAGGAGTGAAGGCTTTTTTAGTTGATTTGCTTCTGAACAAAAGCAGCAACATCCGCAATCTCCTGAAGAAACATACTTGTCTTGTATATTACAACTTACTTCTTCAGTAGTGGAATGATCACAATTGTAAGTTTTGAAAGTAACATTGGGATTAAAGGTTTTCAGTTTGGCTTCTGTCATTTGGCCGAAAGTTAAGGGCACCAGGGGATCGTTGCGGCCATGGCCAAGGAATGCGGGAGTTTGTTTGTTGGCACTGATCAACTGAAAATTTTTTTATACCACACGATCAGTCACTCACCCCTTCTACCGTATCTCTCTGAAGTAAGAATCCGCTCAATGAGACTATCCCGGCCAATTTGGCACTAAAGGTGAGCCCAGCGTGGATGGCCAAAGCTCCACCCATCGAGAATCCTCCAATGAAGATCTTATCGGCAGGAATTCCTTGAGACAGCTCCTTCTGAATCAAAGAATGGGCATACTCCGTGGCAGATGCAATGCCTGGGGCATCTTCTTCTGAGTTGGGACTTAGTCCTTTCAGATCATACCAGGCTGGCATTTGCATTCCAAAATTGAGGGTGACCGGACGAGATGCACTAAACAAAATTTATGTTATACAGAACATTCCCGTATTACGCATTCGGACAGACAACTTTGACACCGAGTTTGTTGAGATGAATGGACAAGATCTGACTCCAACCGACACCCTGATCACCGAGGCCATGGAAAAAAATGAGCTAAACCAAGAAGGGTAGAATTCAAATGAGGCCATACCGTAGATTTGTGCTGCCCTACAGCTTTGGTCTCGTACGGGGAAGTACCAGCTATAGTCGACGCCATTCTGGACGATGCCAATCCAAAGCACGACTCAAAGGAAGCTCTAATTGAAGAGAACAGTGTGCCTGCCTGTAATTGACAATGGTAAAAAGAACCATGCCTTACAAAGAACCAAACGAGGATACTGAACAGCAAACACCACTTTAGTATCCGCCAATATGGCATGCACTTCAACAAAATAACACTCTTGAAACCATAGCAATATCAAATGGGAATGATCACCATCTTGGACAACCGCTTCTACATGAACATGTTTATTATGTCGATTATCAGATAATAAAATGGAATGGATTCGTATCATACGTATAAACTACACAATCTCCGGACCGGGAAATAAATATTTTGGATCGACATCAATAACTACCGAAATTCTTACAATAAAATCTTTTACCACAATTAATATATAATCAATCCACTTTAACGGCACCATATATACGTCGCAGAAAGAAGTACGCGGCATAGAAGCCCACCGTTCCAGTGAGAACGGCGAAGGTGATGGAGATGAGAGAACTGTACACAAAGTAGAGCAAAGTCGGAACAAATCCTTCGATTGAGAGCTAAAATAAAAACATTACACCTTCTAACTCCACACAAAAGTGTGCTTACCTTGGTGTAGTAATAGTACACCGAGTAGGCGAATACATAAAGAGCTGACCCAGTGCTGACACTAAACGACTTCCACCACCAATGGTAATTCTCCGCACACAACTGGAAGTAGGTGACCACAATGGCGATCTGGGTGCAGGAGACAAATAAAATTCCCACAACCAGCCAAAGGAAGCCGAACAGATAATAGAATTGATTCTCCCAGATGGCTGAGAAGATGAAATACAATTCAATGAAGACAGCACCGAATGGAAGAACTCCAGCGATCAGAGCACAAGGCAAAGTCTTCAGATACCATGGCTGATCTGGGACTTGACGGGGAATCTGATTAGTCCGCACTGGATGAGAGTAAGGTTGCTTTCTATATCCGAAATGGAATCCGATGAAGACAAGAGGAAGATCAATCCCCAGCCATAAGAATAAAAGAGCAATCATCGTTGTGAACGGAATCTGAACATATAAACAATCTCCATGAAAGACTTACAGCTCCAGAAGAGTGTTTTCCAATCAAAAAGAAGTTAATCACGAATCCAGTGCCCAAAACAACCGTTGGGAACAGGGTAGCCGTCTAAACGATACAAACTATTATTATTAAACTCTTTTCTACTTACTCTGAAGGCACAACTTCTTGGTTTTTCTCCCTTGAAGGTCTTATACAAACGTCCGGAATGATATCCAGCAACCAAGCCCATAAAACAGTAGAGGAAGATGGCCACCGACGTCAAAGATCCCCTACTGGACGGCGACAACATACCAAGCATGGCAAAAGCTATAATAAATCATATTTTACTACAGTCCCAAAGACAGAATAACTTTTAAAAATTACTTACTAACTGTAACCACAACCATTCCAATAATTTGTATTCCAGTTCCAACAAAATTGACCAGAAGCATGTGATATCTCGGTGGTCTGAAGACATCGGCATGAACCAATTTCCACCCGGTTTCTTCCAAAGCGTCTTCCAGGTCATCCGCACGATTATATTTCGAGATATCCTTCCTGACGGTCCTGATAATAATGACACTCAAGAACCCGGCCAAGCAAGCAACAACTACAAGAGAGTTGAGGATGGAGAACCAATGGATCTGGACGTCAGTACTCTTCAGCAGGATGTCCCACCGGCTGGCCCAAGGAACAGAAGACTCCTCCCATTTCACACTGTAACTCCACACAATAGTGTTCTCACTATCCTTTTTCAACTCTTGGAAGGAGGGAGAAGCTCCAATGGAACATTTCTACAAGAGCTAAATATAAAACAATGAACTTACTCGATCTCCACTAATTTCGAAAGAGTCGGCATTGATAGACTTTGGTCTAACTTCGAAGCCGACTACTCTGTGTACTCCTGCAGTGGGTTCGTGGTATTTGAGAACCAGTTCCAGATGATTATATACATAAGTCTTTTCCCCTTCAGTCCATCCAATTCTGTAGCCATTGTCATAAAAATATTCTCCTGGCTTTTCGGGCACTTCATACATTGTAGCGCAGGGCAAATTGTCGACCAGTCTAAAGAGTAACTAACCGAGGCTTCAAGAAACTCACAAATGCACATGATAATCTTCATGAATTCTCCTGATTAGCAAGTTTGTTTCTTCTACGGTCAACGTCTTTTTCTCCTTGTTGGCTGGGCATAATGTTTGGCATTTACTATCTGTCTTCATGTAAACATCGAAGGGCGTGTTGACAATCCGGTCGCCTCTCATGACTTCCCCAAGGTTTTCAGATTTGTAATGAACCTGCCCATTAGGCTTGCAGAACGGCAAGCTGTAGTACTCATATGGGACCACACTCTTGATGCTCGTTAATTTTATACCCTGAATAGTAGAACTTTTTTTTAGAACACGAAAAGAACAAATGGAACATGAAAAACGACAATACCTTAACTTCAATTACATCCCCAATCTTGAATTCATTCGGCGCTACACCAGGAACATAAAAACCTTGACTAGCAGAGGTCGATAGCAACAAAAGAAGCAATATCACATAATTCTTGTGTCTCATCTTATATGAGAAAGAGTAGGATTTGTAACCCTTGTCAGGTGAAACCAACAAAAACCGGGCCGACAAGAACTTCGTTGGATGAAAGGAGCACTTGACCCGTTTGTGTCAACTCTTCTCCAGGTTTCGGATGCTGTGCAGGGGTGGTCAGCAGACCCTATTTTTCCGATTTTCGGCCCGCGGCCCGGCCCGTCTAATTGACCGGCCCGGCCCGGCCCGTCTAGTCTTTTTCCAGGCCCGGCCCGGCCCGGCCCGTGACGGGCCTGGCCCGGCCCGGCCCGGCCCGTGCAGGCCCGTCTATAGAGGGTTCTGCGAACTGCGCCCAGGCTCGGGATCTAAACTGAGGCAAAAAAGGCGTTGATCTAGCTAGTAAAGGATCAATGTGATAGTTTTGTGGTTCTATAATGGAACTAGAGACTTGTAAACGTTTTAGAACTTGAGAAACAGCAACTATAACAACATCAATTAATTTTCCCGGCGCGAAAACAATGAATGCCAACGGTTTGGCATTGTATTTTAGACGGGCCGGGCCGGGCCGGAAAAACCCCAGGCCCGCGGCCCGGCCCGGCCCGTGACGGGCCCGGCCCGTTTGTCAATTTCCATTTTTGAGGCCGGCCGGCCCGTTTGGCCCGGGCCGGGCCGGCCCGGCCCGCCGACCACCCCTGATGCTGTGTTTTCTCTATCTCTGATTCTCAATATTTCTCTGAAACTTGGAATGTAATTGTAACCGTCGCTCAAGCGAAGTAGTCAAGATTAAGTTCATCATGGAGCATCGGATAATTGCAATTTACTCATCATGATTATGAAATTATGTTTACTAAATTTAGCGATACAGTAAAATTAAGCCAATGATGTCTTTGTGTAACGGGGCATTATGAAATTGAACGCGCATAAATCAAGAATTGTTTAGTTATGCAAAACATTGTATCAGCAACTTATTTAAACATCTTTGAACGTTGATAACGTCCCTTTGAAAACGACTATTTGAAGATTTCCGTTGGCCTAATGTTTGCCGCCAAATAAGACTTTTAAATATTTCCAATTTTATTCGGCAAACTGCGCCCTGGCTTTACAAAAAAAAACATTTTTGGTTTTTTTACTATTATATAATCGTAGCAGCAGCATGTGTCTAGAAGATCGTATTCGAGAACTAGAGCTGGAAAACGAAATTCTCAGAGCGGACGTTAAAAGATTGAGAATTGAGGTAAGGGTGATATAATTTCCTGTTATTTTCCTTAGAAAGACCATGGTATGATTCTGGACATTCCAAAAGAAGAGCTGGCTCCCACCTGCATAAGATTGTTTAGATTTTTGAAAAATCAGGAAGATAAAAGTGTTGCCCACAGAATTCAAATCATAGAGTTTATGAAGGAAAATGGGTTTGAGATACCTGAAGAATTTCTTGTCAATGACAAGTTGGTATTCGATTCAGCTCCGGAGAAAGTAAGAATAAATTGCTGTTTTCTATTGTGATCTTTTTGTAGGTGACGAAGACTAAAAATTTAATCCACAAACATTTGGCCGATGTCCATGATTGCCTTCTAAAGGTTCGTCAACAGGTGAAGTCCTCCAAAGAGTAACAATATTATTAATGCGAAATAAATATTTGTATATACGTTGTAATGACGCGTCTTTTTTTCGGTCTTTTTCCGTTTTATTTATTCGAAGCGGACCAATACTCTTTCCGAAAACAGATCAGTTTCCCCGAAATGGCTTCTGAACATTCAGTGTTAGTTGACGATTTTAAGTCGAGGTTTTTTGAGATATTTGCAAAGTCTGCAGAATTTGTTGTGAGATGTCCTGGCCGAGTAAATCTGATTGGTAAGACTCCTGCAAGCTCAATAATGTCCGAATAATTAAAGGGGAACACATAGATTACAATGGCTACGGCGTCCTGCCTATGGCTATTGAGCAGAGTATATACGTGGTGTTTGCCCGGAATGATAGTAATATTATCAGATTCCGGAATTCGGCGGAAAAGTTTGTGTAAGCTATAAATTAGGAGTAATTTAGAATTTTAAAATAGATCTTTTGACTGGACAATAGATGAAACCTGGCCAGGCGCAAAAATTCCCAAATGGTATGAATATTTTCTTTCTGGATGGAAGGGTGCCATTGATTGGTTGTCTTCCAACAATAAACAGCACTCCGTTTCTGGAATCGATCTTTATATTCATGGGGATATCCCCCCAGCGGCTGGGCTTAGCAGTTCCTCGGCTATGGTTTGTGCAGCTGTGTTGAGCACATGGACTCTGTATACGAGCAAAATCTTTGACGGATATGATAAGGTGAGATTAATATTCAAGTTATTAATGAACAGAGGGATGTTGTTGAGGTGGCGACGGAATCAGAGAGACTGGTGGGACTAGAAGGTGGGGGAATGGATCAAGCAGCGGTGGTCTTGGCCGATGAAGGGACCGCTCTTCACATCGACTTTGATCCCCTTGTTATTCGCAAGGTTGAGCTTCCTTTAGATGCCCTTTTTTGTGTTTTGCATTCTGGAGTGGATTCCAACAAAGCCGCCAGTTCTTATTATAATGAACGTGTGGTTGAATGTCGGGTGGCTGCACAGGTATGCGCAACTTTGTCTTCTTCATTAATTCTTTAGTTGTTAACATTGGCTTCGAAGCCTTCGTTTGAAGATTATCGCAAAATCAGAAGGCTTCGTGATTATCAAACGGAGACCAAATTTAGTTTGGAAAAGTGCAGCCAAGAAGCCAAGGTTCAGCTCCATGAAGGAAATTACTCAAGAGAAGAGTTGTTGCAGATTCTGGATACCACAGATTCCGATTTTCGTAAAAACTCGCTGAACTTGGCTACTGTAACTAGTAAGGAATCGCTTTCGGCCTGACATTTACACGTTTAGAAACTGAATTCCAACCGTTAAAACGGGCAGTACATGTGTTCGATGAGGCTAAGAGAGTGGATGACTTCGAGAATGCCTGTCTGGAGAAGGATCTCATCCAAATGGGGGCACTAATGAACAAAAGTCACTTCAGTTGTAAAGATTTATATGAATGCAGTTGTCCAGAAATGGACGAATTAACAGAGAAATGTCGAGAAAGTGGATGTAAAGGAGCCCGACTTACTGGAGCTGGATGGGGAGGATGTGCGGTGGCATTGGTGGACAAAAGAGACAGGGATAAGGTAGAGGCGAAGGTCAATGTTCTCTTTTGGACTAAGCCAAGTGCCGGGATCCAAGTATTCAGAGCTTAGAACCGTTTGTGATATTTAATTATGTTATGCGTCTTTAATTTAATTAACAGTATCCAAAAGCGTATTTTGGAATTCGTTAAATTTAATTTAAAAATTCGCAAAATTGCACTAATAAAAAATGTATAAAAAGGCACCGCGCGGCACTTTTGGAATCCGGAACAAAATCCTTATTGAATTCCTGCTTTCACCTCCCTTCTTAAAATTGTTGTACATTTTGAGCCTATATGAACTGTAATCTGGAATCCAATATGGTTTGAAGCTGATTTGAAGCCTCACATGTGAAGTGTAATCTGCAAAAAGTAAAAAAAAGATGGGGCCTATATGAACACTAATTTTTTAAAGATTGCATTTCGTATAGCCCTTGTTAGTGGTCTGCAAATCAACATGATTGAAGCATGTGTTTTCGTCCCTAAAAAGCAATACTGGGCAGCTAATTTTTGCATATTCTTCAGCATGACTTTACCGATTTTTTTTGTTTGAGATACGCCTCGTCCAAAAGTAGGAGCCCCCATAAAAGTACAGGGTGACAAATAAAAAATGCAACTTTTTTTCATGGGTCCTGCCGCGAAAACTTTTAGGTTTAGGAAAATATTGTTCATACCATTAAATTCTCCGTGTTTTTTTGTCCTAGCCTCTCAATTTTCATACCCAAATCGGTTGATTAATATGTTTGTTTCGAGTCTCAAACAGAGGGACCCCGATTTTAAACCTGTCACGGAAAGAAAAAGGACAGTAAAAGATTGCTAAATTGGTCGGTGTAGGAAAACCTGCCATACGAAAAGCCATCAAACGACTCAACGAGCTTGGCCATGGTGGTAAGTGTCCAGGAATTAGAAGGAAGCGCATCTTGAAGACTTCTGCCAACCTTGAGATCATCAGAAAGCGAGTGAAGCAAAATCTGATGGTGTCCATGAAGAAAATTGCCCGGGAGACCGGCATCAAGGGAACAACGGATCGACGAATGGTGATCAATGTACCGTAGAGCGAGTCTTACAAGCTCCAAAAAGCTTAGCGCCTCACGGAAGACTACAAGCAAGTACGGCTCAAAAAATGTCGAAAACTCAACCGTCGCGCCGCAGCTCAGCGATGAGAGAAGGTCCTGTTCGCGGATGAGAAATATTTCAACATCGAGCAGGCCTACAACCACCAGAATTGCAGGAGTTGGACTGTTGAGAGTCAAAAACCATCCGCCATTTTTGAACCCAGTAAAAATCCGACCTCTCATGGCCTGGGGCAAAGTCTTGCGCCAGCGGCGTGATATCCTTGGTTTTCCTTGGTTTTCTTGGATAAAGGGGTCAGAACCAAACCGATAAGTCTACCAGCGGAATTTTGTACACCATCGTGATTCCGTGGGCTCAGTAGCACTTTGGCGGTTCACAACAGGACACCGTAGCATGATTCCGCCATTAGCCATAAAGCAAAAAAGACGCAAGGCCAGGAAAGGACCTGTTTTCCCGATTTTATGTGGTCTGCGAAATGGCCGTCTACTCACTGGATCTGAATCCGGTGGACTATGTTTTTTGTTTAGTTAGAAGCCAGGACCTCTAGTTCACGCCAAAAAAGTTTGGAGCCGCTAATTGATCGCTGCTGTAAGAACGGAACCGATTTCCCCAAAAAAAGCTTCGGCGAATCGGCCAAAATTTAAAGTCACGTTTTGAGCTCTATATCGGGGCCAAGAACAGCCACCTTAAAACTGGCCGAGCATACTATTAACAATGCTCTATGTACTGATATTCACCGTTACTTTGGTTAAGTTTGGTGTTTTAGACAAAATATGGCCATAAATATGAGTTGCATTTTTTCTTTGTCACCCTGTACTTTCCTTGTAAATATTATTATACTTTAAAACTAATTGTAAACAAAATAAAAGATATTCTGTTACAACTTTACAAGATAATAAAGGATTAATCGATATAAAAAATTAATATCTGCCCTGAGCCATCTCACTAGCCGCGTGGCTTGCTGCGGCACGGGCTGCTTGGGAGGCGGCTGCCTGGACTGTCCGATCTGACATAACACCATCACTGAACTCTTTCCGGGCCTTGTCCAACGTGAATCCAGCACCTCGGTAGAATCGATGGACCTTGATCAAGCTGAACGCCATTCCGATAAAGGCCACAGTAAATGCAATAGCCGATAACAACATTACAAGTCCAACCAAGACATGATTACTGAATGCGCCGATGGCATTTGACCATCCACACGCATAAGAGGAGAGCCCAAGCATCTGTACGAAACAGAAGATCGTGTGGAAAAAGAGCACGAAGAAGAATATCATGAAATTGAAGGAACTGTCATCTCTGAAATTACACGCTTACTTCATATTCTTCTAGTTCACACCTACCTAAAAGCCTTGTAAACGGGCCTGAACCAGAACAGGAAGGCGCATGGCGTAAATAAGATGAGTTGAATGACAGATAAAAAGAAGATTCCTAATCCTCCAGCAGCAATCAGCATAAAAAGTAGGGACGCAACGGCATTTATTGCCAGAGCTCCCACATAGGTCAAGTAGGTATAGTAGACCATCTTCACTGTCTCTTGGAATTGAACAGGCACTTCGACATCGATATCCTAAACGTATTAATAATCACAAGCGTTGCTTACTTGATAAAAACATGGCTCTACGGGAACAAATGACGGGAGAGGGGGCCAATTATGTTGGTGTTGTTGTCGACTTCCTCCGGACTGTGCCTGGCGTTGCTCGAATTCTTGTTGCCTTCGTTGTAATTCAGCTTCTCGACGTCTCAGGTCTTCCTGTTGTCGGAACAATTCGTCACTGTTAACATCAACATTTACCTAAAATAATATAAATGAAGCACAGACAGCCATTATTTTACAATTTTCATTGACAAACGAGAATACAAAATGTTAAAGATCTCAAATCGGTTGCTGTTGCTTATTATTCTTTTCAAATGCCAGCGAAACCATATTGATTAATCGATATTGGGCAAAGGAGTGAAAACTTACTGCTGTGGAGGCTGGAGTTGCGCCAAAAGCCTTATGATCCTGCCCCTGACCTGGTTGGGAGAACGGATTGAACTCTTCGCTTGCATTTTGCGCTCCCCGAGCAGCATTTTGTACACTTTGATCCTAAACACAAACTCAGATACTTTCTATAATCTCACCTGAAATGGATCAGCAAAGGGGTTGTCGTTGAGACCCGACATCTTTAATCAACCTGAAAACACAAGGAAAATTACAAAATAAATCATTAATCACAGAAATCTGAATCAATCACGATGATTTTCAATGATGTTCGGAATCGATTTTAACATTATTCATCTTGACCTTATAATCTACATTCCCATATCAGAAACACAATGTAAAAACGAAAACAAAGACTATTAACCACATTTCCAAATAACACAATGTTATTTTGTTTGCTCTTCCTTCTCTGCCGCACAGCGGTTTCAAATACATCATTCGCGAAAATTTTCGGAAAAAAGAATGAAATGCGCGCAAATTGTGGGACCAAGGTATACGATAGAACATGTTTAGAAAGAAATCGTACCGCACGCCACGAAAAACGTAAGGCAAAATTGGAAGGCTTCGTGGAAACTGGACAGAGTGAAATTGGACAGAGTGAAATTGGACAGAAATAATTTGGACAGAGCGTGGAAATTGGACAGGGTGAAATTCGACAGAGTGAAATTGGACAGATTGAAATTGGACAGATTTTCGCTGCAATCGTACGAAATGTCAATATTGAATCATCAAATAATTATTTTTTGCAGTGAAAAAAAATCTGTCGAGTTTCACTCTGTCCAATTTCACTCTGTCCAATTTCCACGCTCTGTCCAAATTATTTCTGTCCAATTTCACTCTGTCGAATTTCACTCTGTCCAATTTCCACGAAGCCAATTGGAAATAGAGATTTCGAGCTGCGCCCAATATTTCTTGATTTTTTTGATGGAATGAATATTGTGTTAGATAGTATTGTAACTCTGGAATTTGGAACAATTTCGGGATGTATATTATCTTTAAAATTACACTTCTGATGATACGGTACGCGTACCGTATCATCAGAAGTGTGATGTAATCGATACTAAAAAAATAAAAAGCGATTTTGTTGACCTTTTCAGACCAGTCATTATTTCAGAATGCACATTAAAGCAAATGAGGCAACAGTTCGTTTATCATGGCTGCCATTGGGTTGCCCCACAATGAAAGGAGGTAAACCCGTTCGAAGATGTAGAGGAAGCGTTAGACGCTATGGGAACACCAAAAACCAATTTAAAAAAAAATTCTTCTTACAGCAATATTGTAAACAATATTGTACCATACCCGATGAATACCGGCTGTGATTATATGAGGCTGAAATGAATGTAAAATTTCTAATTGAAAACATAAAGATAGAGGAGGACAGCCTAAGTGCAATACTATACATAGTCTTTTAATAGCTTAAACGTTAAAAGTTGAAGTGCATAAGGTGAAGGTGGCCACTGTACCTTGCGAATGCAAAATCGACACTGATTCTCTACAATTATTGCTTACTGAGTTGTATTAGCACCATAAAACCTCAATACCAACCATTTATGCAATGTGTTTAATATGTCATTAGGTCCAAGACAAATTGCAGTTTGCCGTGGAATGGGCGATTTATATTTCCACCGTAACAGTGGACTTATAAAGGCCGTTAGTTTATACAGTAGAAAACGGTCATTTTTAGAATCCGCGAGCTGCGCCCCCGTTTCAAAAAAAGAGCAAAATAAAGCACCAACTTTTCTTCTATGCAATGTAACATAGGGCGCGAATTGCGGAAACTTGAAGATTCGTTTTATACGGCGAAACATTTTCCAGAATGGAAATACCGTATGCCAATTCATGTCCGAATCGCTTCCGAGTTTAAAAACGAAGAAAAATTGTATAAATACACCTTTTGTTGAAGATTTATGCTGAAGACAAAATAATGCATTTACAGCGATTGTAGCAGTGACAATGTTTCTTTGTACATATTTTAAAGATAAGAAAACCTGTAGAATCTTCATTTCCATTTTGTTCTGGCATCTTGTCTGATCCTAATGGAATTATAGTTCTTTGCATTTCTCTCCTTCCATGCTGTTACGGCCGACTTTTTTTATAAGTTAATGGGGGGATCTTGGATGTCACGGACAATCCTCATCGGAAGAATGGGCAAGTTAATATGAGTGGAAGTTAAATATTAGATTAACTGTGGCCGGAGGCATTCGATGCGCTCTGTCGATCACGCCACACTTCCTGTGGGATTCCCCAGAATCTGGAACTTCGTCTGGAAGCAGCGGAACGGAGCGAAGAAAATGCGCCACAAGAATTCAATGTTCTCACTGCCAGGTAAGTGACTCCGAGTTACAAGAGGAAGGGTCTCAAGTACCGTCTTGTAAGGGCTCTCCATATTACTGGCCTCTCGCTCGTTTACACCTCATTCATGTCTTCCTTCCGTCTTGATGAGCGATGTCTCCAAAGTCCGTCGTTTTGATCTCTCTGCCCATTCAGATGATCCCAACCGCCCCAGATTTGTTCCGGCGGCCGAACCTCTTCTCCTTGTGGATTCTGGAGAACCATCTTCTAGAAGATCGTCCACCTCGAGAGTGCCTGTAATCCCTTCCATCGAGAGTCCTGATCTAAAGACTCCTGAAGATGAAGATATACAAGATGTGGGACTCATAAAGTCAGTTCGCAGCTACCCTCCGGGGGTATTCTTCATGCTGGGCAATGAGTTTTGCGAGCGGTTCTCTTTCTATGGCATGCGAGCCGTGCTGACGTTATACTTGATCCATGAGTACCAATTGGCTGACAGGTATTTTTGAATGCCATTTAATTACAACTTTGTAGCACGGCTTCTTTGCTGTATCATTTGTTCATTTCTTTGGCCTACTTCTCCCCTTTGTTTGGCTCTGTGGTTGCTGACAATTATTTTGGCAGATTCAAAGTAATTCTCTGGGTAGGTTAAACACAAAAAAGATTGTAAAACACCTTAAATCTTTTGTAATATTTCAGGTGTCCGTAATCTACGTAATTGGTCATATGCTACTCTCTGCCGGCGCTTTGCCGTACTTCAGTGATCTGACCCGAGCCCTGTTGGATGTAGGCGGATTGGCTTTGATTGCCTTGGGCACTGGAGGAATCAAGCCCTGTGTGTCTGCTTTCGCCGCTGATCAGGTATTCCTCTCCAAATTAGAGTAAAGCTGCTTCCAGTTCGAAGAGAGCCAAGTCCAGGAGAGAACCCAATTCTTCTCCTTCTTCTACTTCTCCATCAATGCTGGGTCTCTTGTGGCCATCATCGTAACCCCCCTTCTCCGTGCTCGTCTTCAATGTTTTGGCTCCGATTACTGTTTCCCTCTGGCATTTGGAGTGCCTGGAGTTCTGATGGCTATCGCTTTCTTCACTTTCATTGCCGGTTACAAGTATTATAAGATAAAGCCCGCGGAGAAAGGGAACATTTTATGGAAGGTGATCAGTTGTATTTGGACCGCGTTGAGGAAGAAATTGAGAGCTGTTATGAGAAGGGAGCAGAGCGATAAACACTGGCTACAGTATGCTTCTCCAGAGCATGACGAGAATCTGATCAATGGAGTTAAGAGTTTGGTAGCAGTGTCACTTCTTTTTGTTCCTGTCGTCTTTTTCTGGGCATTATTTGATCAGCAGGTATCCACAGATAGCATGTTGTGTAGTGAACAATTAGATGATTAACACGCATTAATATCCTTCTCGTATTTAGGGTAGTACATGGGTCATCCAAGCTCGTAGAATGGACGGCAGGGTAGGGCCCTTTACAATTCTGCCAGACCAGATGAACACTTTCAATCCACTGATGATCTTATTTATGGTTCCAATATTTGAAGCTTTCATATATCCATGTCTGCACAAGGTTGTCGTAATTACCCCGCTTAGAAAGATGGCAATGGGAGGAGTTTTGGCTGCCCTTTCCTTTGTTATAGCGGGAATCTTGCAGGTAGGTCGGCGAAACATTACTATCAGCCACGAATAATGTTATTGTAGATAAAAGTGAACTCGAGTATGGAATCGATGCCTTTGTCCGGCCAGGCATTCGTTTATCGCCTTGGGAATTCAGTGGACACTTTGGTCAGTCAGAATGGGCTCATATTGGCACCTGGGAAGAATGCGTGGCCTGAGGGAATTTATGATTTCCAAATTGAGAATCGGTCCTTCAGTCTTGAGTTACACGGCGGCAAGTCTTATGTAGCCGGGATCTCGATTATAGACGACAAGTAGGTTACAAGTTTCAACAAAGGTAATTACTTTCAGACTGCTCGTAAATACGTTTGAGTATAAATGCGAAAAAGTGGAGAACGGAAGGACCCGAATTTACCTATTAACAACAGAAAATTCGAAGCTGATAGGTCACAAATTTTACATCTTAGACAGTGCAATGAATGTAAATCAAGAAACCGTTATCAGACCGGGACAATCTGTTGATATTGTCCCCAATATAGTGAGTTATCCACAGTACACGCTAGCCTACGGAAACTGTAACGAGGCGTTGCAATGTGACCATGAGATGTAAGTGAAGGATTTGATGCACTCTTTTCTAGAAAGATAAACGCGACGGTTGGTTCAGCGCACGTGATTGATGTGGATCAGGGAGGGTTGAGAACTATGATTGTCCGTCCAAACTCGGTCAGTGTTCTATGGCAACTACCACAATATATGGTGATGACCTGGGGCGAGATACTGTTCAGTGTGACGGGCCTCGAATTCAGTTATTCTCAGGCTAGTCCAAGCATGAAAAGTGTTCTTCAGGTACGTGTCGAATAGCTATGATAAAGGGATTTAGGCGATCTGGTTGATGACAACGTTCTTCGGGAATGTGATTGACATGTCCATATCCGGAAGTCATCTTATTCGAGAACCCGAGATTGAGTTTTTCGTCTATGCATTCTTGATGTTGGTGGTGATCGGGGTTTTTGTCCTGATAGCCATGAATTACACCTACGTGGAGGACGACTTGGAGATGACTGACAGCCAACAAAAGCCAGCCGACACCTACTTAAAGCCTGATGATAACGCCGCTTTCTAATTTACTTTTGTGAATAGTTTTTTTTTAAATAAACCTGTGCCGCCTTATAACAAAATTAAACAAAAATTACGGCAGCCGAATCGAAATCCGTTTCATATCAGCTTCATTCAAAATATAAACCAATAATATAAATAGAGATCTCTGGTGAATAGTAGAGTTCCATTCGTGCGGGGAAGAGGAGAAAAAAGATAGCCCGCGACTGGGTGATAAGAACAGGTAAAGGCTTGCGATGTTAGACAATAAATATAATGTTTTCAGCGGATTTTCCGGAGTATTTTCATTGTTAAAGGTAAGAAAGAGTACAAGAGTAGAAAGAGTGAAAAGAAAAGAAACATTTCCATGGTGAGAAGATACGAACATCCATTATGGACTCAATTACATCTACAAGAGGAGAGGAGACTTGCCGTGCATCTACACTACCATCGGTGCCGATCAAGAATCCCCGAACCCTCGCTGCGACTACAAATAAATAAGAGTAAATGTGAAAAACAAGTATAATATAAAGTAATCGTGATGAAATATAAAATGAAACAACAACAACAACTATTCGACTTGATTATTAAAGTCAATGAAAAGTGGGCGAGATGTTTTTGGTCCCATTCAGCAACCTGGACGCCTGGGAAGAAGCCGGCCCAAATCCATAACCAGCTAAGTTTATTGGACCAGTACCATTTAGAATGGAGAACAGTTCGGAGGCCGATGGAGAGTTGCATCGACTGGATTGTGGGTTGGAAGAAGAACGGGGGACAATAGACGGGGTTGAAGGGGCCGTGAACGCTGGGTCTTGGAACAGAGAACTAAAATATACTAGGTTGAGTCAAAATTTTCCCGCCATTTAATTATAAATTTTTATAAAATTTTAACCAAGTGGTGCTACAAAAAGGCTAGAGTTGATAGAATCGAAGACATTCGCAAAAAATTAAACCTATTCTTTATAGTAATCATATCAAACAAAAGATTTTTTTAGTGACCTGGGAAGTTGCTAGTCCCCTGAATATTAACCTCGAAACAAACGGGAAATTTCTTTAAAGTTTTGAAATAATTTGAAACAAAGCACGTACAAAATGAAGTAGTAATATGGTTTTTCAGAAATGCGTAGACTTTTTTCCACAGTGCATTTTGCCACTTTTCGCACTGTGCAATCTCTGTCACGTTCGCAAAATTCGCAGCGACGCAGTTAAAAAAATGCACCACGGCGATTTTTTAATTGCATAGTGCAAAAGGTCAACCGCACTGTCCGGAACACTTGCGACAAAAAGTCGACGCACTTTTGAAAAAGCATATTCAATCAAAAAAATTCTGTAAACAGTAAGTTGTCTCACAGATATATACTACAAATTTTGTTTTGAAGTTTCCGAGGAAATGGTGGCAACCTTCGACTAAACTTAATAAAAAATCATCGCACCGTGAAATACTCATTTGCAGTGTTTGAACTTACTATCCACCAGCTCTGAGGATCTTCTCCAAGTCGTTGGCATCACTGCAATTTATTGAATTTCCATTCATTGGCTTGGGCATTGACTGCACAAAGCTCGGGGAAGAAGAAACCGGAGATACAGCTGGAGACGAAGAGGAGTTAGTCGACCCATCTTCGCATCCCTTCTTGGCTAATGAGGCCACAAGAGATGATGGGAGCTGGGCATTCATGAAGTCCGCCTTCAAACAAGGAGCAAATCCATTCTGGATTCTCTCGATTTCCATCGATCGAAGCTGGTCTGAAAACAAATTTCTAATGAAAAGAGATTTTTAAAACAAGGTTCGGGGCGAGACCCGATAACTGGTGCTTGGAACACTTTTACCAAGCACCGATTTACCTATTTACGTTTTTTTCAAACTCAAAGGAATCTTTAAGTTGTTTTTAGTCAGATGTGCTCAGTATGACGTCAAGAATCCAATCAAACAAGTCGAAGTCTCAAAACATACTAACAACACCGCTAAAAAATTTATAGTAAAGCTACAGTACGCCTACAGTAAGCCAAATCTTAAAAAAATAAAAGTTCCAAAAATTTTTATTTTGTTAATGCACTCAGTATGAGAAATTTGAGACTCGTAGGAACAAATTGGTAAAAATGTGTTACGCCTATTTTTCCTAATTGTGAGTGATAAAGTTTACCAATTTTTGTTCTTTTTGCCCCCAAGACATTGTCCCCACTTTTTTTATTTTTTTTTTGTCACAGTTTCGTCCCCAAGCCGATTGAAAAGACATACTGGTCAAAGTTTCGATTTGAGTCTTGGAGTCATTCAAAGCCCTAAACAGATCCACTTTCAGGCGATTCTCCGACATCAGGGTCTTCTCCAATCGAGCGATCACTTGCTTCATTTCAGCCATTTGTTTTTGGGTACTCTGAATATAATAAATTCATTAAAAGTGCAATCCCCTTACCTTCAATTCACTCTTCTCGGTATCCTTTTCCAACTTTGCATTCTCTGCGGATCGTATCTTCTGTTCCAATTTATTGATCTGATTCTGTTTCCCCTTGAGCTCACTCGCCGCTTCTTTGAGTTCCTTTTCCTTCAAAAGGAGTAATGTCTTCAGTTCATTGATCTCCTTCTGATGGTCGATAACAGCAGCCTTCTCCGCGTTGAAATTGGCCTTGTCCTTCTTTAGTTTTTGTTGATGATTCTGAGCTTGCAGACGGAAACTCTCGGCCTGCCGAGTAGTGGAATCCAATTTTTGTTCAGTCTCGAGTAATTTGGACTTGATAGATTGGATTTCTTTCTTTTGATTCTTTTCCTGGGTCTGTGAAAGGGTAAGCTCGGCTTTAAGGGAGGTCTCGCTGGATCTAAGCTGCAGCAAATCAGACCGTACTCCATCCAAGGCCCTTTCCATCCTAAATATAAAAAATTTTAAAACTTTTTGAATCATTTCTTACATCTCCTTTTCTCTTCCCAATTGTTCGATCTTCCTGTTACTCTCTTTGAGTTCCATTTTCAATTTTCCCATCTCTTCTCCATATTGTTCCATTCTATACGCATAACTTCGGTGCTCCACTTCCATATCTCCATTACAATTTACTGCCGATGAACGAATACAACTATATTCCGTAAGTCCATTAGAAGGATTATCAGGGGACTGTTCGATAACTTCTGGCTTAACTTTTGGTGGAGTAGAAGATGGACTGGACTGGGCAGAAGGATCGTTGGGCGTTCTTCCGCGTCTCTTGGACTTGTTTCTTTTGGTTTCCCGATGTTGAAATTCCTTATCGCTTTCATCCAGATCTTCCACTTTCTCAGCCTCGTTATCCGACATCCAACTATCACAAATCGCCTCGGACTTCCTTTCTTCATCAACCTTGGACTGCGCCTGTCCCGCTGCACAGACCAAGTCGAACAACGGTAATAACAAATACGTAAAGATACACTGAAAATTACGATGTGAAAGGCGCACAAATGAATCTACAGAATAGCTCGAAAAAGGTACCATAACAACCACGGAAAAGTAGCGAAACAGGAGGCCGGGGATCGCGAACAAGGTGATCGATGGACGTCGCTTATCATTGTCGTCGTTGCCATCGTCGCCCATATTTAACGAGTCACTGGTCATCTCCCTGGACACCTTTTTCTTATTTCCACTGACATTTTGCTTGGCTTGCAACTTGCCGTTCGTCGATGTAACCCTCGTGTTCTTCCGTTGTTGGATGACGTGATTATTGTGATGAAGAAGTACTCCGTTCTGGCTGGTGGCCAGATTGTTAGAATGTCCGTTTAGATAACAAAAAGTCGTGGGCTGGCTGGTGACAACAGAGGCGCCCACCGTTTGGATATTGTTCCCTCCGTTCAAGGGACTCTCTTCTTCATCCAATTCGTATTCTGAAACCATTCAAAAAAATTATCACATCGTCGAAAAAAAATCCCAAACAGAGGATGCCCCACCCCTCCCGGGGGATAAACAGTTTTAAACTCGGCCTCCGAAAAAACAATGGATATGTCAGAGTTTTTGATCTCTCAAACCCAAAGACCCACCGGCTTGATCGTGTTCCAGAGCTAGCTGTTGTTTGGCCGAAGACAGGTGATGGTAACGGCATTCCAATGGGATCGGCACTGCCTCTGCCAATAACCTTTTAAATAGCTCATTGCGATGTTGCACATCTCTGCGACGTCGCTTTAGCCGCCAGCTTCTGAAAACCGCAGTAATTATTACATTTTTTTGTCATTTAACACAGAATGGAGGCATAAACTTACGAGAAGAACGATTTAACGCGAAACCCCAACGTCACTATAGGGTACCCCAAGCAGTGCGCGGCAAACGGCCTATAAACTTCTAATCTCTCCGCCGACGACGTCCCTATTTGTATGCTTTCGGCGCCATTCGAAAACATCCCGGCAGTAATCCAGGACCCTCGTGTTAAATACAAAGTTGTCTGATCCAACCTTGAACGTATTAGATATTCGAATCCAACAAATGCACTCCATAACAATAGAGATGATGCACAAAATCCTCGCTCCGCTAAAAATGGAAAAAAATTAGGAAAAGGTAAGAAATCTGATCAACAAATCTAGGAATAAAGCTTACTTGACTGATAAACAAACTGTATCCACACATACGTGCTGGCAAGGAAAAGAAGCACTTGCACCGGGATGAATAAATAACAAATCAAGTCCGAGGTGGCTGTTATACATACAAAGAACACCGAGAACGCCTAAAAATAAGTCAAAATAAGGCAAAGGGTACTCACGGAGTAATGAAACGAGGAGGCAAACGTTTGGACCCGGTTGGCATCGTATAAATGGCGAACCATTAACCATAATGGCCAGAGAAGTTCGAATCGGAAGCCAATTACAATATCCAACACCACACAACTCAGCCAGATGAGGAATAGCTTGACGTACACCAACGTCGTGCCACTAAAATCGGAAAATAAAAAAAACTGACATCATTATGCTTAAATGATACTAGACTTCTACAAAAATATTCCACTTCTAAAATACTACAAAGACACCGCGTTTCTAGACCCAACAAAGCTCCCATTTTCTAATACATATACATAAGCGAAATATTTCTTGCAATTGATGCCGGAAGTCCAAACGGAAAAAGAGAGGAAAGTATCCATGCTAACTTACAGCCGCTTCATGTTCGGTAAAAGCATTTTGAAAAATTGCGAAGAAATTGCACTAAAACAGACACCTCATGCACAGCAGTGCCATGCAATCGAGGAATTTCTCCGATTTTGCACTTGACATAATTTTGCACGAAATTCATTTTTTTTCGCGCAGCCAAATAAAGTTTTCGTCTCAGGACCCGATTACAATCATAATTGTAATTACAACATAAGAACAGATGCTGTTCCTCGAAGAGACCTTAACACAGAACAAGAAATGAAGTAGTCATACCTCAGACTGACTGATTCGCCGAGCCGGGGCCTGTTCTTAACCGTCCTTCTGAACTTCGGCACGTCCAGTGCTCTCATCCGTTTCATCATCAAAAATAAATTAGACCAACTCGACACTTGTTTCCATAAAAGGGCGAACGAGATTATTCGAAATAAATAAAATATCCTAAAATTAATTTGGTCACCTTCCACAACTCCACCCGGATATTCAACCAACCGCGACATTCGGACTTGATTTGTAAAATGACAACCAAAATTTGGATTTAAAAGTACATTTAGGTGGGAAATGACTCGAATAAATTAAATTGTCGGCTTCTGAAAACCAAACTCGAAATTTCTCAGTTCGGAGGAGTCTTTGGATGGAAATCAGATTGGAAATAAACATTTTATTGTCAATGGAGAGCGAAAAGAGATGAAACACATCATAAAACCCATGTGGCTGCTCTTCCCAATAATTTCAGAATAATAATACAACCAATATGCATGAGACATCTTCGTTCCTTTTTTGATTTCAATTATTTTCGCGGGCTTCTTTAACAGAAATATTTAAGCAAAAGGTTGTTAAATATAGTAATATTGAGTTTAAATCAACGATAAGAAGCCCGAAACAGTTTTAAAATTGACTTATTACATACCCCAGGCATCCATAAAGTCGGGGAATATAAGATATCTTCATTCGGCCGGGAGTGCCGCTCTTTTTTGTCTCTCTTTGAAGGGAGAAACAGGAAAGAGAGAGGTCATCAGAGACGGAGAGAAACTAGAGAAAAAGAGGGTTTATTAGAAACAAGGAGAGCACAGAGAAGGTGTCGAGAAAGCGCTATTTTCATAATTAATTTAATGCTAATTTCACAACGACACATGACTTCTTAACTGCTAACAATTTTGGAATCGTTGTTTAACCCATTCTGCATTTAAAAAGATTTTACAATTACAAACTTGTTCAAGATGCTTGTTGCAGTGTAGCATCAGGTATCCTTTTTTTTAATTCTCAATCCATAATTTTTTTGAGCGTATTTTGATAGAATATAAAAATCATTTTCGATATTATTGCCGGATTTAAAAACGGCACCGATAATTTCAATTTTTTTAAATCATCACAGGTTGAGACGGCCTTAAAGTTTGGACAAAACAAAAAAGATTTAAATGAGGGAAAGAGGGAATGATTGAATTAAACAAATGACATGGCCTAGCCTTGACCTGGGGGCTTCCGAGTTGTGTTCTTTCAAATAATGGGTTTGTTTTCTGGGTTCCAGACTTGTTTCCAAATGTACGAAAGCCCCAAGGATGAACAGATATCGAAATGAATCAAAAAATTTTATTCTTGAGGGCTTACTTCGGCTTAAAATAGTCTTACAGGAGGTTTTTCAAACGGTCGTCCGAGGAGTTTAGAAATATTTTTGCAGCGTTTCATTGTAAGTTTCTTTGTAAAAAAATTTAAAGAAAGTTTTTCCACACGGCTAATAAAAAAACATTTTTTAGAACGCGCAAAAAGTTGTAAATCTACCCATAGAAAAATTGTTGTCACTTTTTTGATAAATAAAAGTCAAAAAACCCTGAAAGACGGCGCCGCCACAAATCAATAGCCAGAGGGGAAAGGGCTTTTTGGCACAAAAAATTCTCGCGCAGTTCCATTTAAAAGGCCCTGAGCGCCGGACGAGGCGAGGATGTGACAGCCGGAGGGCTGGAAATGGGAAGTCTAATTACGAGTTTATTAATTGAGGAATAAGCGAAAAACTAACTTTGTTTTCGTAATTAATTTATACCCGATGCACTTGGTTGCTTTTAAAAATTTTACATCATCATTTAAAAAAATTGCATTGAAGTTACTTCCAAATATAATACATCAAAGAGTGATTTAAATATGAAAAAATATGAGAGGATTAAAGGAACACCAACAACCATAAAAGTGCCAGAGTCAGCAATCGGAACGGGTTAAATTATTGGCTAATTAAAGGTATGCCAATATAAAACAAAAGTGTAATCTATCCATCTGAATGTTTTTAATGAAAAAGAGATTTGTTTTGTTATAGCCAGCTCTCTCTCTCTCCCTCTCTCTCTTAAGGAGAAATCGATGGTCCGACGGAGTGTCACTATCGATCACCTAAGCTCCCCCGGTATAATATAATTTACAGTCTCACAATCTGTAGTTATTGTTTAATATTAAAGCACCAATGTCCACAAATCACAACTCTGTTCCTTATTGTTGGAAGCAAGATTACCCTAAAGTAATATAAAGATAGAAGTACAGGAATTCTAATTACAGCTGTTCACAAATTATAAAAGTTGTAAAGAAGTGGAGCGAGTATGTCTCAAGGCATACAGTGACACTGGTGGAAGAAGTTGGTGTCGTCATGACAACCCCTCATGGACATTAAAATTTCAATTGTTTTGCAAATGAAACCACCTGACTGTTTAGCGCCTCAGTTCCTCACGCAGAATACTTAACGTCTACGTAATGACATTTTGTTTCGTAGGGATTCTTTATTAAATGTAATTATAGTTTGCGTAAATTGTAAACGAAAAACTGTTTCAAGTTACAGAGCCATTGGCAATTAATATTTTATCAAACTTTACAGATGACTATGGATAGCGGAGAGCTGATCAAAGAATTCCTTTGGCCCCAGAATGGATTTTTATTTAAGGAAATGGAGCTGAGTCCTGTGTTATGTAAACCAAAGTTGATTCCATTGAAGAGTGTAACGCTGGAGAAATTAGAGAAAATGCAAGATGAAGCCATGGAAAAACTAAAGGAAATGAATGAACAACAGGGCCAGGAACAGGTAGAGCAATAGAAATGTAACCCTATTATGATTACAGACTCATAACCAGCAGGACGCTCCATCCACTAGATCGGCTAGTCCCGCTGATGAGCCGGGAGGACCCTCAACCACTGATATTTGGCAAGCCGATTGACCTTAATTATCGAAAATGTAAAACAATTGTCATACATGTTTCTTTCTTCCATATAAAATTTTATTCTCATAGTTACATGAATAAGCTAAATAACAAAACATCTACCTAAGACAGCAACTGATTACAAAGGGCAAGAACTCCACGGGGAATGATCGGATATCCACAAGATATACTCAGCTCACTTTCTTCTCGACCGGAGTCTCACTCTTGATCTTGTAGGCCTTGAAGATGAGGGCGACAGTGATGACCCCGATCATGGCCGCAATACAGACGATGGACAGAGTGTGATTATCCTCCTATAATATCTCATCACTAACCATAACACTTACAACTACATCCAGAACCTTCTCCTTTACATGTTCGTAGAAGTTCTCGAGTGCTGTTGGAGGTTCGGGAACACGGTGTCCTCGACTGTCTTTGAACTTCTGGAGAGCAAAGTTGGCCAAGCCACGGACATCCTTGGCCGGATCTGTATATCTGTACATCTTCCCTCGGTGAAATAACAAAAAGACGGGGCACTGGTTGTCGTCGATTCTGAATCTCTCGGCTACATCGTCGCTAACGGAGACATCCACTTTTCCCACGTTAACTAATCCTCGAAGCTTGTGAGCGACAGTTTCCCAGACCGGGATAAAGGCATTACAATCCAACTCCTCAGAGTCGTAACTGAAACGTGAAGTGTTCCCATTTTCAATTGAAAAGTAGAGTAAATTGTAAAACTTACAACATAACAAACCAATCGAGAGACCCTTCGTCCGGAGAGAAGGAGTCGGTCTTCTGTTCGAAATCAAAATCACTCAAATCCCATGTGGCGATCTCATCGTGTGCACGTATCCATCTCCACACGACTTCAGAATCCTTGAAATCACCTGAAGGAGACTAAATGTATGTAACCGAACATACCATCATAAAGGATTGGATTCTTTCTTCGGAAGTAAACCAAGGCGGGGAAAGTGGTGACCCCGACTTCCCGTGCCACTCGTCTGTCATCAGTCTTTACCACCTCGATGTAACCCGTGGCCTCAATGTCATCATCGATCTCTTCAACTTCACTGAGAGCTTCTCCACAACCAGGGCACTTGACTCGGCCGTCATCTAACAATACCAATATAATCTAATCCTTCACCTTACAGAAGAAGACCACCAGATTTTTCGTGGCGTCCTTCAGAATCTCGTCAATCTTGTCTTCGTCCACGTCTTCGATCGAGAATTCCGTGTCAACATGAGCTTTTGTTGCGATTGGTTCCGGGACTGTCTTGGCCTAAAAACTTTTTTAATGGATGACTTAATATCCCTAATATTATATATCTTGATTCAAAGTCATTAAATTAAATTTTTGCCAATCAGATTACTGAATTTTAACATTTCTTATTGTTTTCTTACTTAACCATTTCATTCCTAATGTTTCAGATCGATAAACAGAAAATGAAAAGAAAATAAAACAAGAGTAAACAATCCATTAAGCCCCCACCTTTTTCTTACTAGCCGCTGGCTTGCTAGGCTCGGGTGGAGCAGGGAGATCCTCGGCTGCCGTTGTCTTGTAATGACTTTTCTTCTTGGCCTCTACATGAGCATCATTAAACAACAACAGTAGACAAACAACAACGGATATAAACTTAATATCCATTCTGTGAGGGAGAACAGACTTTGGGTGTCCTCCGGATCAAAGGGTCGGGATCTCTGGGAGGGATCGCTCTTTCGGCCGCCCTTCTCCATTCTCTTCTTGATCTAAAGACAGGTGTTGTTCATGAAGGAAACGTGTTATCATACCGGCTGTCATTAATTACGTGTTTCGGGTGGGGGAACAACGTGGTTTTGAGGATGATGCTACAATTACACGCAATAAAAGGTTCAGCGCTTTATTGACTTTATACACGTTTTTAAAAACCGGATTTAATTGACCCAATCAAATAAACAACTCTATGCTAAAGAAAAGCCACTTGTGTTCTCCAATGCCATCAGAAGACGTTGTTTCATCAACTTTGGATCAGTTATTTTAGGCAAATCAAGGAGATTGAAGCATGTGTGGGCAACGGGGATAAGGTGTTCGGGTTCAGGTTGGATGACCATGCTGACTTCTTTCATCCCCCTGAGGGGAATACGATCAGTCCCCATCAGGAAAAGAAGGAATTTCTTCTTTTCTTCTACTGTCAGATCGTAAAACACCTTCCAAAAACATTCGATGACTGGATGTCGGGCGTGATATTCATCTTTATATTTTGTGTTCTATAACAATATCAACGACAATTTATAGAAAACTTACTTGTTTCAGAACATCCCAATCATAGTTCTCGTTTCCAGTGACCATCTCCATGAGTTCCCTTGGCTGGAAAAGACCCAGGATTTCCGAATCCAAAACCCGACAGAATCCTTTGAGGAATGAATCCAATTGAGTGGCCAGGACGTTGTCCACTCCCTTCTCCATCTTCATTGTAATGTATTCTTGGACAAACTGATTCTTATTTTGTTGAGACACCGGGATATCTGCACCTCCAGGCCTTAAGGGAACATCTACCCGATGCTCAAAAACTTCCAGTGATATGACAAAGGACTGGCAGAAAACGTCCTCAAAGTCATCGCCTTCGTATTCCAGCATTTTCTCCAATGAATTTCCTAAAAAATATGCTTACATGGCCAGAATACTGTACCTTCTGTCGGATGGAGCTCCTTGAAATCTTCCAATGTAATTTGTTGCCCCAGTAACTTCTTATATAATGCCAGAGGAAAAGGAAGATTCACAAGTGTGAAGTTGTAGATGGCCAGAGCACATAACCGACCGACCACTTCATACGAAACTGGATCCCCATCCACTCCGGAGAACCAGGCCATGTGAGAATCGGGATCTTCCACGAACATCCCATATCTAATTTTAGGTATTATATTTAAAAAAAATACACTTGCGTTGGTTGTAGCAGTTCCTGGAACAATAACATGAAGTATTCTTTCCGAACGCCCCCTCTATCCTCCGCTTCTTCACCAACAAAATTAACCCTGAGGGGCTTTGCCATGTCAGTGGGCGACGTCCTCATAACTTGTTCGTAGGTGTCTTCTACAATATGATCTCTTCTTACATGGAAGTGGAGGAAAGCGTGTTCTTCCGGGATCATGTTGAATATGGGAATTACACTGGCCACAGATAACTGTAAGATAAAGTAAAATCCACACATGCTGATTTCGTACTTACATGCATTTTGAGCATTGAATCGGCTTCCAAGATGGCTGACTTTGCTTCGGCATTCATCAAAAAAGGGTATTGAGACCAGTAGAACAACACGTTCTGTTTGTTCTAAAGTCATAAAATTAAAAACCCTTTTCCTACACAAAAAAAAGTTACCTGGCTTCTAGGAAATCGTTCGGGATATTTGCTGACATAATAATCGACATAATCTTGATGAACATTGACCTTCCCCATCAATTCATTCAAATAAAACTTTTCATAAGGGACTCGGTTTGAAATCTTGTTAACCTGACAAAGTTGGTCTAATACCCTGAGGGCAGGCAAGTATTTGGGGCTTGGTGTGGGGTTTCGGCGGAAAAAGAATTGGATAAAACCGACCAGGCAGCTCACGACCCGATTGAAATGTCGCGTTTCGAAAGTGAGCCACCATGTTCCTAAAATTATCTCATTCTATCAAAAAACACTGGAATTACATCGACGCCCAATAAACATGACTTACTTAACACTTGCCCATATATCTTTGTGACATTTTCCAAGAGTTCAACAAAAGGAATTAAAATATTCCTCATGGTGTGATCTGAGGGGTTAATCATTGGATGGAACCAGGGCAAGATCAGAAAGATCCTCAGGACTTCGAATGTCAGTTTATCCGAAGGGATTCTAAGTAAATTGTCGTAAATCTCTTTGAAATTGATATGTTGAAGGGCTGATATGATCTAAAATATAAACATAATCCTGCACAAATACAACCACCTACACATTCGGCGTATTCTCTGGCGTGAGGAGACTCGTCGATTAGATTGAATGTCTTCATTACATCATCCATATTCACTCCATGATGGGTAAAATCACAAGGATATGGGCTGTCAGGGAACAGAAATGAGGCATTTAAACATCCCAGGGAATTAAAAACAAACTCCAAATGGGAAATGGTGTCGATCTTATCCTTTCCCTCTATTAAACTCTCCATTTTTGCGTAGGTCAAGACCTTTGGAAGCTTGATATTCTGCATCCAGCCCTAAAACATACAAAACTAATTTTATGAAAACTTACAGGACCACCGCAAAGTATAATTGTCTGATCCCATCCTGCAAATAAGGCCTTAGGATCGTCGACCTTGACCGATACTGGGGATAATGCTGTGGCGTCTCTTTCCCCGGTTCCCAATTGACCATAATCATTATAACCGAACGAAAATAATCCTTTCGAAGTCATAGCCATTGTATGTGAAGAGCCACAAGCAATGGATTTGACCTTAGTTCCCAAAAGATCAAGCACAGGACTGGGGACACTAAGCGCTCGGCACTTCCTGGACACTCCCAGCTGTCCAAAATTGTTGGCACCGAAGCAGAAGACTCGCCCCTCTATGGTCAATATTGACGTATGCCGACCACCGCAAGCGACCTAAAATAGAGAGATACAAATATTACAGTTGTCACATACCTGGATGACTTTCATGCTTTTGATAGGACCCCCTACTAGAGTGGGTTCTCTGACTTCGTCCACGGCTTCCACTGACGTCTGACCATAATCATTGCGCCCCCAGCACATCACATTCCCCGATCTTGTTAGCACTGCAAAATGGTCACCGCCCGCAGCGACTTGCCGAAGTGGAATGTGATTGAGAAGAGGGATCTCAGTAGGACCAATTGCTTGGCCTATTACCCATCCGAATACAAACACCTTGTTACCTATAATATTAGAACAAACAACCAAATCAACCACTTACAATCGAGCAAAACTATAGATGACAATGAACCACATGCAACTTGACAGACCCCACTCAAATTTGAAACTCTAGTTGGTGTGAATAAGCTCCCGGCTTCGGAGATTCCGCATTGATAGTTGTCGTTTAGACCCCACGCAAAGAGCCGTCCATCTTCTGTTACTGCCAGATTGTGACTTTGTCCGGTGGCTATTTGGATTATCTTCAACCCTTGTCGAAATTCGCATTCTCCAATTAAATCGAAGGCTGAAAAAAATCATTCACACATAAACCGGCACTTTGACGATAACATGAAACAATTGACATACATTTCCTCCCAAGCTGACCATGTTCATTGGAACCACAACTGTAAACTCGCCCCTTCAGAGTCAACGCTAATGAATGTTTCTCCCCCAGACAGAAGTGCACTACTTGATCGGTTTCTCCATGATTTAGATGTAATCTCCAAGAAGTGGGACTGTCTGCATACTCCTTATTTACATAACCAAACTGACCGTCGGCACAATGCCCCATCACCATTATTCTCTGTTCCTTCGAATCATCCATTCTGAAGAGCCTTATACCGTTACATCTCAACTTTTTTGTCATTTTCTGACAAAAGGATGCCATTACTTACATCCAAAATAAATAACTGAACATCAAATATGAAGAATAACAACTATAACACGCAAAACCCAAATCCTATTAATATCGTAAACACAAGAAGCTTAAAGATCTCTTTTAATCATTCAAATTACATTTTAGAGAACGAAATTTTACACTTACTTAGAATTTTTATACGGTCTGTAAACGCTTCGGTACATCCTGAACAGCGAAAAAAAGAAAACAAATATGTCAAAATTCTTCAGAGCGTTCTCGAAAACGGAACTTCTGACCTCTACCAAACTCAACCTTAATTTAGATTACCGTCGACTTTTAATGAAATAAAGTTAATTAAAACTAATAGATAGATGTCGAATCTCCGGAATAGGAGGTAAACACATATGTGTTACTAACAGATTATGCACGCATACGGACGACGAAAAGAGCATGATGCAAAGAATGAGAATTTCAAGGATTTCGTAAGACATAAAAAAACATGGAGAATTTTTTTTGGCCGTAGAATCTGCTGTAACAAACCACAACATTACTAACTTACCTTACAAAAATCTCGATTTTTCTCGTGTAATTCAAGAATTATTTATCAGCCGCAGCCTGCAAAATGCAAAAACCCCGAAATGCGCCCGCGATTGCATAATAAAAAAATAAAAATTTTTTGCAATTTTGCGGTCGGTCGGACCTTGGTGATCTCAGAACTATGTCCTTCCGCGATGAAGCCATAGGACTATGTATTCGAATATCTGCTGCGGCTGTAATTACCTATTTTTCTGTCAAATATATGGTCCGATTCCTCGATCCCAATCATGCGTTAAAACAAGAAGCAAAGAAGAAGGTAAGGCGATTTTGTAATTCAAGGAATAATGTTGATTTATGTTAGAAAGACTATATTGTGCATGATTATTTAGGTACAAGAACTTCTTGAACGCCTCCAAATAGAATTTCCAGTTGAATTAAATGAATATGAGCTTCGAATTGCTACACAGTTGGTGACTCCAGAAGAAGGTGCGTCATGGTCTGAAGTTGGAGGACACGATGATATTATTAAGGAACTCAGAGAACGAGTAATTAATCCCCTCAGGGCAAAAGCGGCCGGTCGATTGCCAAACTCAAGTCTTTTCAACCCAGCCAAGGGAATTTTACTTTACGGACCCCCTGGCTGTGGGAAGACCTTATTGGCTAAGGCGGTTGCCAGGGATGTCGAGGCCCGTTTCCTACACCTAGATTTATCAGCTTTAACTGATAAGTGGTATGGAGAGTCACAGAAATTGGCAGCGGCTGTCTTTTCGTTGGCCAAAAAATTGCAGCCGTGCATTATCTTCATTGACGAGATTGGTGAGTGTTATATTTTTGATCTTTTATGAGTTTTATTTAGATTCATTCTTAAGAAATCGTCAAATGTCAGATAACGAAGCTACAGCCATGATGAAGGCCCAATTTATGAGTCTCTGGGATGGATTTGCTTCAGGTGATGACATTATAATTGTCATGGGTGCTACAAACCGACCGTTTGATCTAGATGAAGCTATTTTGAGAAGAATGCCTACAAGATTTGCCGTATCGTTACCGGTAAGTGACAAGGTTCCTGTTCGATTCTTTAGAATGAGAAAGCTCGAAGTTCAATATTAAGAGCGATTCTGCGGGACGAGAGTGTGGCCGCAGATCTTGACTATGATGTAATAGCAAAGTGCACTCCAAAATTATCTGGCGCTGATTTGAAGGAAGTCTGCAGATTGGCAGCTCTAAGCCGACTAAACGAAATTGGAGGTGTTGGGTTGTAAGTCGGTTCCAGTTTGACGACGTTCTTTCTAGGTACGAAGATATTTCGATCCGACAAGAAGACATGTTGGAGTCAATCAGAAAATATTGCAGTTTGTCTTTCAGCAGATGGAATCCGGCCTCATTTCAAGAAAGTGATTTCCTCACAGAAGAACTAGAGTAAATAATCTAAAGCTCGGTGAATATACTTTTACGTTACCTAAAAATTTTATCACATCATTAGGCTTATTACTATAACATAGTTTGATATGTAAAACGGCAGTTAGATTAGCCTAAAAACAATTTAAATCAGCTGTTTCGGGCCATCGAATTAAGTAATGCCACGTGTTTCCTTCGAAGATTTTCTTTTCTTTCTGATGAAATCTTGTCGAAATGTGTTAGCAACTTCTTAAAGTCGAGATTCAGCTGGGGTTTCGGTGTCTTTGGTGTTCTATAACAAGCATATTTGGAGCCAAAATAACTTACTCAATCAATTGTAAGTGTGGAATGGCTTGAAGTCTTTTATGAAGGGTGTTAAAGGCTTCAGTTTGGGGCAACAACATAAGCAAGGCTGACAGAACAGAAGCCAGAGGACGTTGATGTTCTGATGATAATAAATCCATACGGACATCTAAAAAATAAAATATTTTTTTCGAAGGGAACTTACAGGCTAGAATGGGCGACTCAATTAGCTGTACTAGGCGATCCAGTTCTGTGAGGATGTCTACAGTAAGGTCCAATTCAGACAATCTTGCAGCTAAATCGACAGCATGCTGATAATTCTGAGAGAGCAGACAAAGTGATAACAAGCAGATCGGTTGATAACACCAACAGCGATAAAGGCATTCAAACAGATTAACCACATTCTAAAATAAAATTTAATTTAAATCGAGACGGACATTTCTTACATTTTCCTGTGGACTTTTAAGGGAGACCCGGAGTTTAAAGAGTTCGTTGGCGGTAAGCAATATCCTGTTGAGCATGGCTACCAACCGAGAAAGGAACTCCACATCCTCCTCTTTATGGATCAATAGAAGAGCTAATGACTTAAAAACATCTGCTGGCTCCAAAAGGAGACATAATTGTCTAAACAAATGATATTACACTTCCTTTAATTACTAACCTTATTATTTGTATTCCCCGTTCATCCATCAACTTTGGATCTGACTTGAAGAGATCTAGAAGACTGAGGCAAAACTTGACAAGATATGGTGATATGTCCCCAAACTGTGTGATTACTTCATCGGAGAGATCAAAACTTTTCAAATCGACTTCAGTTTGATTGGCTGAGGAGCAAAAGTCTGTTATTAACATGATGTCCAACATCAAAACATCATCAGCCGAGTCCATCAAAAGGTCCAGCAATACGGGGAATAGCCGGTTAATGTAGACGAACATGGCCTTAGGATAAGTGGAATGCAGAAGACGAATCCAATTTAAAGATGCTATCCTCGTTTGAGTTTGTTCGTGTCGGAGATGAGCCGAGAGAACATCCACCACCGAGTCCATTTCGATCTCCGTGCCAGGGTCCACTAACTCTGATAGTCTCTTGTTCAATTCGTTGGCCTTCAACTTATCGTTGTAAAGCCAATCTAAACATGCCGCCAGCATGGCCGACAAGTTATTTAGAATCGACTTCCCGTAAAATACGCAAAACTGGTTCAACCAAATCAATGCGATCTCTCTGGCTGGGGCAGAAGTATTCGTGTGGGCTACCAAAATATTTATTATGGGGGTGGGTGCCTCCTAAAAAGAAGGTGTTAAAGCCGAGGCGCTTCAAAGACCGAGTAATAAAAATTAAACTCACTAGATCACCGTTTTGTTCTGGATCCAAGGCGTGCAAGAGCTCAGACAGAACTGTAACCGCAGTATCATGAACAGCTGGAGACGGATCATCCAGCACCTTAAACAATCCATCGACAACTTCCGGCACAAAATGTGTCACTTTAAAATTGGGCATTTTGAGAACTGTATGCAACTAAAAAGAGACTGAAAAAAAGTTAAAGCTTACCCATCCAATAATGAATCGTCGGTTGGAAGAGTTGTTGCTGTATATTCGTTCGCGAATTAACAGCATCAATTCATCGACGTCAAAGTCTGGAGAACTACGGACGATCTCCTAAAATAAGTTTTAGTGTAAAAGTATGAATCCGCCGTTTTTTATTGTGCATTTTTTACAGGTAGAAGTAAAATTTTGTAATTTTTTCTCAGATCACCTGAAAGAGCGTTGAAAACGCGATCTATTGATATATGTTTCGTAAGGCTAAGCTCAACCCGTGGCAGGACCTTCGTGAGGATTGGCACACTGGAGAACCGACGTGACATCCCCATCTTGGCCCCGAATCATGGCCTGTTTCTCTACTTTTGATAGATGATCAGCGGAAATAAATTGAAATTGAAGGCTAATCATGACGGTTTTTAGAGCTTCAAAGATGACCATCCCATTGGCTCAACGAAATAGTTTTTCTCTGATGTTATTAGAAAGTTTCCGACATTGTGGGAAAATGTCATAATTGTTAATGGTAATTACTGTTAAATAAACTTTAGTGTAAACTTTTTGTTTTGAAAAAAATTGTTGAGCCATAAAAACGGCGGAATAATGTTTTTAGACCTAACAGAACAGATCAATGAAATAACATAATGCCGTAAACTTAAAAATCCTAAATAAAGAGAATCTTTCAGTCCAAATTACCCACCTTGATCAGCCGGTCCAGGAGTTCAGCCCCACTTCGGACAGTCTGTTCAGAATCCGAAGATAGCTTCCATAAAACATCGAAGAGCTTGTCGAACTGATTCAAGGCTGAGGTTCTACATATTTTTACCACATTGTAGAGTGATTCGCATGCAAAATAGCGGACCCTCGAATCAGCGTCCGTGAAACACGTCAGAGCCGAGGTGAGCAATTTTTCCGAGAATTCCCCATAATTCTGTTAATGAGTTTAAAATGATAATAAAAAAATTATTATAAAAAAAAAATCCTTCAACCTCACCTTCCCAAGACCAATAGCAATTGCCGCCAGGCCAATCAGACCACCCTTGCGGCAGTTCCCATTGGGGGTAGCTGTCAACTCTTCTATGACTTCTATTAACTTCCCTAGATCTTTGATTCGATTCTGTTTGATAAGTTCTTTAACCAATCTGAAATCACGTCAGTGAGCAGCGCATGGGCGAAGCAAAGAATTAATGACTAATACCCACTTTTCAATTTCCAAGGCGGCGGCCTTCCTTTTCTCATATAACTTATCAGTTAAAGCGCGTACCAAAGCCGGGGTCAAGGGATAATACTTATTACTCGGATCCGCCATCCTCACACGGCTATGATAACTTCAAGATTCAAAGATTTTCTCCGAAAAATAAAAAATCATGGAAACCTGTAATTGACGGAATGCCTTACAAACGCAAAAATTGCGGGAATTTCGAATAAGGTTGACGTTGCAGAATTTTTTTCCCTTTTCCATTTCCAATAGAACAAAATCGGAGAAAAAACATCCACGCTTTTCGCAGCTTGCGCCCGACCCTTGAAAAATTCCCGAAATTTGCCTCACACTATAGATAGTCAGAGTTGATGCTCGAAAGGTGCAAAATACATAATATGTATTTTATCACCAGACAAAACGAGGCTTATAACAAATTTCTTTGAACATGTGGCCATCTATTTAAGCTATCATTCACATGGTCGCCATTTTTTAACCTGGAAATATGAGCTCCTCAATTTCAGCAATTTTTATATACCTTGTACAACAGTGTAAAATCAACAGACATAATAAACGAAATATGCTCTGCTAAGCCCTTTTAGACAATGCTCCAGAAAAATTTTCATCGTAATTGGCCCTTTTTTGATACACTTGAACGTTCCCCACTGCAAATAGTTGAGTTGCCTATATTTGGAGCCCGAAATTTTAGAATTTTCAAAATGTTCTCTGGCAAGTCCAAAGCAACACTATTTGGAGGGCATGTACGTAAATTTTTAGGATTCTGAAACAATTGTTCGATAAACTTCAGCGTTTCTCAGTCGGTAAATAACGGCGGATCGTCGCGCCACAGAATCGCCCATCATCGCTTTGCGACGGCTGCCGAAGCTGGAGATTTGGTGTGCGACTGCACCCTTCTTTCGACGAGGGGAAACATTTTGCTGCGACGACCCACCGCGGTGTGCACCGTTATTTTCCCGACAAACTGACAAGAAAAGATTACGAATTATTTATTCCTTTATACGACGAAAATATTTCATCGTATAAAATGTCGCCAACTTTTCTTTGGACGTTTTTTTCTCCATTTGGGCAAGTCGTGCGAATGTTTTCATCAGGGGTGGTCAGCAGACCCTATTTTTCCGATTTTCGGCCCGCGGCCCGGCCCGTCTAATCACCGGCCCGGCCCGGCCCGTCTAGTCTTTTTCCAGGCCCGGCCCGGCCCGGCCCGTGACGGGCCTGGCCCGGCCCGGCCCGGCCCGTGCAGGCCCGTCTATAGAGGGTTCTGCGAACTGCGCCCAGGCTCGGGATCTAAACCGAGGCAAAAAAGGCGTTGATCTAGCTAGTAAAGGATCAATGTGATAGTTTTGTGGTTCTATAATGGAACTATAGACTTGTAAACGTGTTAGAACTTCAGAAACAGCAACTATAACAACATCAATTAATTTTCCCGGCGCGAAAACAATGAATGCCAACGGTTTGGCATTGTATTTTAGACGGGCCGGGCCGGGCCGGAAAAACCCCAGGCCCGCGGCCCGGCCCGGCCCGGCCCGTGACGGGCCCGGCCCGTTTGTCAATTTCCATTTTTGAGGCCGGCCGGCCCGTTTGGGCCGGGCCGGCCCGGCCCGCCGACCACCCCTGGTTTTCATAGCCTAAAATAAACCGCATTACTTTTAGATACGTTTGTTATTGGTGTTTCACTCTATTTTGAAATGTAATTTTCTGGGGTAAATTAATAACAGGGCATTTCTTTTTCCTCACTGAGTCATAACTTCCATTCAAGATGAAACGAAAGCATTTCGTCTGGAAATTAGAGAAGTTCAAGGGATTCGACCGCCCGAAAATCGAACTTGAGCAGTACGAAACGGACGCTGAGATGGCTGTAGATATAATTGAAGCAATTAGTGAGATTGAAGATGAAATTGGAGGCATGAGGATCGCTGATTTTGGTTGTGGACCGGGAATCCTTATGGGTGGGATGGCGTTAATGGGAGCGAAGGAGTGTGTTGGATTCGAAATTGATCCTCAAGTAATTCAAGTATGCGAATCCAACTTGGCAGCCTTGGAGGGTGATTTAGATCCAGATCAGGTTGTCCAAGTGAGGAATGAGGATGTACGTTTCGCTGAATTAACAGTATTTCTCATTTAGAGGTCCAAAAGTTAATCAAGCTCTTTTTTAGATCTTGTCAGAAACTTTCAAGGTTGCAGAAGATAAATTATTCGACCTAATTGTTATGAATCCTCCGTTCGGCACTAAAAACAACGAAGGGATTGATCTGAGGTTTGTGAAGAAAGCCGTGGAGAGTGTGAAAATTAATGGGTCTGTCTATTCTCTTCACAAATCGTCCACTCGAGAGGGAATTCAGCGACGAATAAAGGCATGGGAGGAGCTTCAAGTTAAGTTTGAAGCCGTCGCCGAATTGAACTGGAATCTACCGAAGACCTACAAGTTCCATAAGAAAATGGACAAAGACATTCAGGTGGATTTGTTGAGATTCACAAGGATATTAGAGGACGAAGAGTCGTAATTTCAAGTAATGATATTTTGAATTACATCTGTATAGTACTGTTAAGTTTGTTTTTGAAATAAAAAGAAACTGGATTAACTGGATTGTTGTATTCTGAATGGTTTCGAAGCCAATACTTTTTTATTTAGGCTACTGGATCTTTCGAGATCTTCTTCTCGGACACTTTTTTGGGGTCAGCGAATTGATCGATTCTTTCGTTTCGACGATGAACGAATGAATCGGAGGGTCACTCTTTTGTTTTTCCTACTCTACGGTAAAGATCGCGTATTAGAATGATTGTCTGGGATATTTTCTTTCTGTTTCTTAGACTTTTTATAGATGATTCAACATTTCTGAGTATTTGTTTGAGCTGCAATTTTTGCTAGTTCGAATATTTTAATTAGTCTTTGTTGTAAACTTTGGAATATATTTTAATTTTTTATCTGATTATGATTTCAGTTGGCTTCCATCCAAATTCTTATAGAAACGGAATGTTTTCGTGATTTTGGTGTTATTCCTCTTTTGCCAATCCCAGGAACAGGTTTTTTGGCTTCTCGAACCGGAACTTAAAAGGTCCTGTCCATTTTAAATTGATTCCATTTGGGGTTTGGAAAGGCTGATTATCGTTTTTCTTTTTTCTGTCGAATCGATACGAATGGAAACAGTATATTATGTATGCCTGGTTTTGGGGCAAATTTTATCGCGAATCGAGTTGCGTATTTGTTATCCAACTTTATCGCGATTTGAAATTATATATATTGGTCGTTCTCGTTCCCTGACATCACATTTTGTCTATATTGCGTCTTTTTCTTTGAGCAGTAGTTAGAATGGAGAGCTTATCAGTGTGGTACTCCTCCTTATTGCTGGATCGAAACTTCTCTTGCTCATAATTTTTGTAGACTAGACTGTTCAATTTAAATTATGCGTAAGGTCGCACCCAATTCTTTTCGTGGTAAGTCGGTCATTTTTCGTCTGTAAATCTCTTTTACTGCGCGTTTTATTGTAAGAGGTTGGTGGGAGAATAGCTCAGATGAGAAGGATCATAATTTGATGTTATCTTCGACGCGAAATGCAGATAGATGTATTATGTCTCTCCTTTCACTTGAAGAGTTTGGTTGTGTTTCTTATTGGCGGACAGCAATTATAATATAGAGGAATCAAGTCGTCGGAATTTGTTTGTTTTGGCTGGTTCCATATTCGGGGTCTAAAGGATCTTTCACCCTAAATGAGAACTCTTTCGGACACATACACCATAAATACCTGATTGACATGTGTGCTTGATATTCTGTACTTATATAATTTTTTGAATATCTTTTGTTGGACCTTGAGAATACAAAACTTTGGTCGTCTTACCTGAGTTCTCCCTTTTTTTTCTTTCCCCACGCTCAGTCCGAGTTTGGTCAGTGGCTCTCGGTGCGAGGCGCTGCGATTTCAGAAGGTCGGGAATAGAAGCAAGCCCCCTCCCCAGACCAACGGAATTAGAAGGAAAGAAATCGCGACAAATAGTGTACAAAAAAGGATGGATCGGTTCTAGATATGTTTCTTCTGAAGGCCGAAAGTGAGATCTCAAGGCTCTTTCTTCCGCGAAGTCTTTTTTGGGCTCCGGGGATTTTGTAGACATGATTGGCGTTTAATTTTTGTCGTTTTATTTTTTATACCAACCTTTTATTAACTTAATTGCGACCTGGCCTGGAACTTTAATTGAACCGTTTTCACTTTTAAACGTTTCTGATTTACAGTACCCTTGTAAACTCCGATGTTGCCAAACCACTGGGACGGTCTGTTTTTTGTTGATTTTTGTTTTTGGCACTCCGCCCATATTATGCGGCTTTTCTGACCCTCTTTTTTTCGCGACCTGCAAGCCTCTCCTCCTCCTCAGTCTCTCAACTCTCGAATTTTAGCGTCCTCGCACGGTGCGACCTCTTTCCATCCCCTTTTTTAAATTTTGGGCCGTTCTTCTAATCAGGATTTTCTGCCGTTGGCCTAAATTATAAAGAATAGGGATGTTTAAGGGAACTTTGAAGCATCAAGTGATGTTCCCTGCCTTGCCTCTATTTCTTTTTTTGAGGATGGTTGTTTTTTACAGTCTGGAGTAATCCGTTGACCAGCTTTCCAAAACAACTAAACGGTTTATTTGACATTCTGCCAGGCTTGCAGACACCGTTCTGCCGACGAGGAGAATGTTTACGAGTAATTGAATATGTATGGCTGGAATTAGTGGCTATTGGGATGGATATGATTCCATTCCCTCTTTGTTTCAAAAAAAGGAACCCGGCTCGGGCTCGGTTTGTACAGACCGTCCTTTGAATAGGAGGAAAACTGTAATAGAGTTAATAAAAGAGGATCTCTGTTTTGGAATGAGTAATTCCAGGTTTTCTGGGTTCAGTTTGGTCTTTTTATGTTCGATTGGGGGAATGAGCTTATTTTTGTTTTTTAGTGGGCTCTTTGTTTTTCTCGTGTTTTTGTTGCACCTTCCATACCCCTAACATGTCAAGTTTCAGTGGCTTTGGGCTACAATCTTCCTTAATTATTGGTTAAGGTGGACATTGCAAATTAAGAGAGTGGGAGAGATATTACAACACAATGCCCGGAATGTTCGATTATTTGAATGACGACCCCGTACTCCATGAACAAGATGATCCTGTGCTTCCGGAGTTCGTGAACGATTTTCTTTCGGGTAAGTACGATATAATGTATTGGTCTGGTACTTTTAACTATATTGTGTATTAAAATTATATTTGCAGCCGATGTGATGATGGACACGTTTGATGAGGACAGTCTTTTCTCGACTCTGAACAACGCCACGGAAGCTCATGTGGCCGAAGATCATTGTTATGCCGGATTCGAGGTGAGCAACTCCCCCATCAGCTCGGAAGGGTCTTCTCCTTCTTCCTCCAGCTCTATGGGAATATCCAATGCTGACTCGGACTATTGTTCACCCGGGGGCTCATTCCCAAGTGAAAGCCCAGTATATGACGGCGTGAAAGGAATCAAATTCGAGCCCGATTATGGATACGTAGAGCCCCCACAACCAGTGCCCATGACTAAAGTTGTGAGAGTGCAGCATAAGAGGCAGATCGGGAGGGTCAACAACACCTCTCAAAGGGCACGACTCAGCTTCGGTAAGGTTGAGCTTTATTTTCCTTTGCCACAAACAATAGGGCGGCTGCACTGTTAAGAAAAAAGATGATTGCTTTAAAACTTTTGTGCCATTTCATGGTTGTCACAATCAGCAGACTCTAGATTCCATTTTTTCTTTTTCTGCCGCTTAAAAATACTCGCAAGGTCGTTGCGCAATCGATTGGTGTATTTGTAGGTCAATGTCGTTTGTTTCGATTACAAAAATGTTTTTTGTTGAGGTTATTTTCATGAATATGCTAGGAACAGTTTGAACGAGAGTTTATGACGGATAAAGTCCTTATGGTTAGACTACATAGATATTACGCATTCAAAATTTACGGGTATCTGACCTCTTACTAATCCGAGGGGCCGTCGATTGAATACGTCAATGTTTACAATCGGTTTAAGAGATCACCTGGCTCTCGAGATGAGCACAAAGAAGTCCAAATTCTTTATTTACACTCTTGCGCAACTGCCTGTGGTCTCCGGTGCGAACTTGTACCGGCTGACCGGATCGCCGCGAGCCCCCGAAAAACGATGAAATAAATGTTGGGAAGTGTGAAAACCTTGAGATTCGAATCAAAAAAAGAGTCAGCGGACAGCAGAATACTGTAAATCCCATTGTTTATATCACTCAAACATCCGGCATTAGATCAACCAAAGTGCCATTTTTTGTTTATTTAGCGCCCTTAAAAAGTTCTGAACCACTTTTCAGACGTAGGGAAGATTTTTTTTTGATTTATTTGCCTAGGCCACTGCTTCCGTCTCCATTTAAAGATTGACAGGCTGTTCCGCTTTTATCTTTGTTTTTTTCTGTGTAATATAAAAACCAGAAGGGGTCGCATTCCGGAAAACGCTCTAGGAACAGCGCAGATTTGAATCTAATTTTCAGAAAACGATAAAACAAAAAAAATGACAGGAAAGTAGCAGAACGCTTGACAATTCACTATACATCGTAATTGAACAAATTTTTCTTTAGCTCCGGCGACATTCCATTATACCGACAACAATGAGGGGTACAAACCAGTGCAGAGAACCCAGACCAGCAACAATCTGGACTCAGTTCAATTCAGCCGGGTACCACCAAATGTAAATCCGGCCGACAGACAACGAAAATATCCACCATTGGTGTTGTCCGAGGAAGAGAAACGACTCTGCAAAAAGGAGGGAATCACTTTGCCCGACTGTTATCCCTTAACCAAGATTGAAGAAAGGGAACTCAAGAGAATCAGGAGGAAGATCAGAAACAAGAAGAGTGCCCAGACTAGCCGCAAGCGAAAACAAGTAAGCCTTTAATATATTACCAAACCATGTGTGGTATTGTTAATGATGATACCGTTTTTAGGACTACATAGATGCTCTTGAACATCGCGTTGAAAGTTGCACAGAAGAGAACCGCGACCTCAAAAGGCAGATTGATCTTCTGACCAAGGAAAACCAGAACATTACAGTTCAATTGAGGAAGTTGCAGGCCACTTTGACTGGATCTTCCAAGAGAACCACACAAGCCGGCACTTGTCTGGCCGTCCTTCTTCTTTCGGCTTGTCTTCTGGTGATGCCCAATATGAATGGAGTCGTCAAAAACAAGAGTCTGGAGCCACAACTCGCCGAGATTGAGGCCGTCCAGCCAGAAGAGGCCGAGTCCCGAGGACGGGGAACCATCGCCGGGTCTAATGGATCACTCACCTTGACCTGCGACAACGCCATCAACATCAACAATGCCTCCGGCTTTGGAAAATCTCGAACTTTGACTTCCGCCCTTCCCGAAGAACTCGGGAGCCTGGAGGCATTTGAGGAAAATTTAATTGATACGAGTCAACTCAAAGAAATAACTATAGAGGACTCGGATTTCAATGGATCAGACCTTGTCGATGAATCTATGACTCAAGAGCTGGTCGAAAACATTAACCATGACGTCCAATTTCAATCAAAGGACCAGGACCGAGCTTACTTGGCTCCTCAACAGACAGTGAGACGTGTGATCCTTGCTAACAACCGCGTGGTCGAGAAATCCAACGACCGTCAATCGTTTGTCCAACGGAATGTCCATCAGTATGCATACGAAAAGACTTTATCCCCACAGGTGGTTTATATTTCAAATGGACCAGATTCCTTAAGAAGAGCGGCGGATCAGAAGTATCAGCGGATTGTAACTAAGAACCACGGAACCGTTCGCTTGGTCCCCGCCCGCCTTAACCACAACACCACTGTCTTCAATTATGGGGAATCCGAACCCAAGAGGACCAGATACCATCAATAACGTCTATTGTAATATTATCTTATAGCTTCTTTTCTAATTAACATCTCTTCAGAAACTGTGATTCCCCTAATCTATCTTTAAATTATTCATAGATATAGCGTCGATTTCTCCGACTTACTCGGTAACACTAATCTAACTTTTTAAATGTATTTGGTCATAATTTATACCTAGATATTCTAGTTTGCTAATCTGGTCTTATCTTCCTTACTAGGGCAGTAAATGTCTTAGAATTTGAATGGCTGACTCTCTGGGACTGTCGGTCGTTTCTGTGTCTCCACTTTACACTTGGCTGTATTGTACATGTTAAACAACACATGTGATCACCCTGGATGGATATAGTGCATGAATGTTTGGATCCACCCCAATTTGTTTTTCTCGTTGATTTTCTGTTGAAATTCCATAAGAAGATGGAACAAAAGGACCTGCAGGCTCGAGTGATCCCGCTTTTTTATGTCACTCGAGATTAATTTATTCTTCTCTGGCCCCTCTCTCAACCCAATTCACTCTCTTATTTTGCTGGTTGGTTTTTGTTTTGTTGATAAAGTTTGAAAATGCAATTAATTGAATTCAGTGCTATGCCGGAATGTTTATGTAATATTTTTGTGGCCAAAATTGGTTGGAAAACTTTAATCAAATGCATCTCACTCCTTTGGTCACATTCCGAATCCAATCACAGAATAAGGGAATCTTCAGGATAACCGTTGGATTCAAATTCCCGTTGGATAAGTTGTTCTGGTCAAGTTGTTGTTGCCCAATGACTACTCCGACCTGGGTGGGAACCGAGGATTCGACTATCACAGGAGCGCCACTGTCACCCTCAAGAACAAACAATCTACACGGGTATATGACTTACTGCTTCTGTAGATATTTCTGTTTCGCCCGCACAAAAGTACAAGGGTGTGTAGATGCCGTATCTAAAGGGGATTTGATTCGTATATAGCTAATTACCGATCGCATTCTTCTGGATGTTTCAATTTCATCCGCATGGTCCGAGATGTAGTCGTGTCTTTGTGGTAAGACAAAAGAGCGACCGCCGCATTTAAGTCATCAAAAAATGATGACAATTTTACCGGGGTTACGGCAGATATGGATGTGTGTAACTAAATCACTTTTTTGTGGGTGTCGCTAAGGTGATAACCTTCAGAAAAGGGGAAGGAGGGACTAAAGTTAATTAAAATAATTGTATTTTTTCCTGCCTGTGATCAGAAGACCTCCCTCCCCCGACCAATTCTACGTGTGACTACAGCCTTACCTTTACAATGGCGACATCCTTTTTCATTGGACTCTGGTCATTTATCTTTTCAAACCTATGTATCGTAGCTATTTCACTCGTTATGTTCTTGGAGGGTACTGTAACATAACCAGTTCTGCAATATAATCATAAAAATGTGGAGCAACTCACTGGCCTTCGCTTCCACAATGAGCTGCTGTGATAACAAAAGTGGGTGAGATAAGGGATCCAATGCAATTTCCCACTAAATTATTATAGTTTTCTTAGGTATGCCTTACTTAGTCCACTCGGGGTAAGAACATGGACATTGACAACAAATGAGTACGAATTTTCTAGCTTTTGGAGTACTGCTGATTGTACAACGTAGAGAATAGAAAATAATCTCAGCGAAGATAGCATCCCGGCCACACCTTCATCTCGCGGGTAAGGGTTATATATGAGAATCTCGTTGGCCAGACGACATTTGACTCAGCTCAAACTTTTTTATTTGTAAGGTCAATCGGGCGATGAAAAAAGAATTGGAGGGGCTAAGGTAGTACAACCCCCCAGTCCATTTCAGCCCCCCCATGACCCAGTACAAACCCCCTCATCCAATCCGAACCGCCTACTCGGGATTGGGTTCTCTCAGCTGCGGTTATCGTTGCCTGAACCACAAGAACGAATTTGGGCGGTGACTGCGGGGTTTTAGCTAAAACGCCGGAGGTCATTTTACTGTAATTTGCAGTTTTTGTATTATTCTAATTTTTTCATTATGGGGGGTGTGAAATGGGCAAAACAGTGAGGGGTTTGAACTACCTTTCGTGGGGGGCTGAACTACCAAAGCCCCAAATTGGAATGTTATCGATCTTACAGAGGAGGTACTGCAAGTGCGATGCTCGGATTGTGATAAAACTTGGCACAAAATCTAGAATAATTTTTTAACAATAAGACATATGCGAAATTCCTAAATCGCGCTTTGCAGAAAAGAACGAGATTTTTAGATCGAAAGTTGAACGCATTCTTTAAAATTAAAATCACCGTAACAGTATCAAACGTAATAAAAAATGTCCTTATCTTCGGCCAATTATGATAAGTAGTTAAGTATGTTGTAATTGTTGATTGGATGCCTACAGCCATTTAAAACAAGAAACTCAAAACATTTTTATTATAATTTCCACGGCTTATTCAGTGACTCAAAAATCGTGTTTAAGAATTAGCGTTTATTTAAATGCATCTTCTCGTATAATATTTGTATTATCTGGTTATAGGATTCCTTTGTACATCTTCTTGAACAATAAATAGTCGATCTTTGGATTCTTGGGACAGAATTGTTTGACATAGAGTATATACGTGCCCCCATAGTACCCTTCTGAATACGCCATCATATTCTTGGAGACAAAGAAATCCAATTTGTTATCCTGGCTCGCATTCCCGCGTATTTGACGGAGGAATTTAACTGAAATTACGTTAGATTACACAACAAACGAGACAGACTCGCCTTTCTTCGATCTCCATAAATTCACAGCCAAAGAATCTTTGGTGATTACCAGGTCGTCGATTACATTAACACACCATTCTACCCGATTTGAATGATGGATTTCATTCCTCGGGCTGACTTGGCCTCTTTGCTTATTAATATTCCATACCTATATTACTTCATAAGTACATGTATGATAAAAAGAAACCTAGCCTAATAAACTTACTCTTATTCCTCCACTATAAGACATAGCACTAACCAAAAAATTCTCGTCAACAACTTCCAAAGTAGTGCTGAAGCCCCGAATAGGAAGAGCTCGTACGACTGTGAGAGTTTCTTTATTCAGCAGGTAGATACTCGAAGAATATAACTGGGTTCGGACAGCAATCAATCCATGTGAGGGGATCAACTAAAACCAGAAGCTTTACAATCAAACAAGCATCCCACCTTGATAAATTCGGTGGTTCCATTAAGAGTAATGGAGGCGATCAGATCTCCCGTTTTCAGGTCCAGGGCCATTAACCGAGATCCTATGACTCCCACATATAACATATCTTCTGACATTTCTCCACAATAAATGGCGGGGAAGAAACGGTCCCAAAGCATTTGGCCTCGACCGCTCGCGAAGTCGATCACTCTGATACTCCCATTGGCAAAGAACCTCATTACACTTAAAAAAATAAACAATTCACATTAAACTTACATGTGATTCCTGCAGAGGGCGTGGATATGAAAGAGATGTGAATCGAATTGCCTGTCCTCCCATATTATCTTACCCGTTTTCAGACAGAAAAGGACCGCGCGGTAGCAAAAGAAGACTAATATACAATCTTGTTCGGCTATGATAAACTTGGAATGCCATCCAGCAGCTAACAAAGGGATTTTGAAAGCATCAACGTAATCCCAGATCAACTTAAAGCAAAAAATAGAGGGTGATTACCTAAAAAAATGAACCTTGTTGGCTTCGGTGCAGAAGACAATAACCCTTCGTTCCAGATACAAGATGACCTTGGAACCATGGAAGTAAACCTGGTTGACCTCACTAAACGATTAATGGTAATGAAAAAATATTACTTACTCCGTGCTTGCAATGAACTTCTTTTTCAACGTAAAAGTAAATTCCCTGGTATAAGTCAAATTCGTCCAGTTCCTACGAATCTTTCGATGACTGTAAATAGTTCTAGGAAAGTTTTTACACGCACTTACTGGAAGTAATTGTATTTCCAATATAGTTGATGGTCATCTTCTACCTCATTCACAGGCTCGATGGCCGCTTTACCGCAAGCCAGAGACCATATTCTATTTCCTGATGTAATCCGACGCCATCTTCTATTCACTTGCCCCATTGCTTTCAGATCATTGGCTGATAAACATGAAGAAATTATCTCGACCAACTAAAATTAGGTACCAAACAATGGAAAAACTGAGAAAGAGTGACCTCGCAGAACACAAAGCTTACCTCCATCGGAAGATGTCCAACAATGTCGTACTTTGTCTTGTTCGGCCACTTACAAGAGCTGAAATAATCCCGAGTTAAAATAATATTACCCCCCTTACCGTTTGGGGATAGTATCGTCCGGAATTCTACCCACGGCATTTCTTTTCCTCAATCGTTCTTTCCAGACACAGTCCATGACCGAGTATACCATTGAAGGCACCACATCAACTGGCCCAACACCAGTCTTTTATATTTTATATTGTAATTGACCAACAACTGACGTCCGTTGGAAAACGTGGAATTATTCAAATTCAAGCGTTTTTAAACCCGATGAAACTGTGTGCGATTTGATCGTATATTTATGTTGGCAACAGTCCACTTTCGTTGAAAGTATAAATTTCCATAAAGAATGTGATTGTGGGAGTGCAAAATGCCAAGTCTAGATGTACAGTAATTTTATTTTTTCTTGCGGCTATTGCACTGGTTTTTCTAACAGAGACTCCATGTAGTGTATAGCTTTGATGGCTTCCTTCTTCTTCTGCTTTTCTTGTATTTTCTCCACAGATCCATGTTTCTCCTTCTTCTTCTTCTTTTTCTTCCTTCTTTCAGACACTGTATTCGTGTTTTGGGTGCTTTCAATTTCCAAGGATTTCTCGTTATCATTAATTATGACAGGAGGTCGTTTCAGAAGGCCGTGAGGGCTTCGGAGGAATTGCACATCGTACAACTGAAAGTAAGCTAGCTAAAGCAATGTTCTTACTTCCTCCGGCCTTTCATTTGAAATGTGTTCCTTTTCCTTATTTTTCATTTTCTTTTTTTTATCAGATAGCAAACTCAAAGGTTCGGAGGTTTCGTGAGGCAAATGATCTTCTACTTGTACTACAACAACAACGGGAGCATGTTTGGCTCGAAGAAGGTTTGGCCAGGGCCTTGCCGGGAGAAACCTTGGCATTTCTTCTTCCTCGTCATCATTGTTCCATCCTTCGACTTGCCGGATCTTATCGATGATGAATCCCACCAAACAAATAATCCCTGCCAATGATAGTTCGAAGAATAGACTAAAACATGACGGTCGCCCAGTTCGAGCCTTACATTACAACTGGAACGTTGAGATGCTGAAATCCTTCAAACATTGCAAACTCCGCTTCTCTGTGCTATAATAAAAAGTCAAAATGATTCTGAATGCGGTATTTTTGATTATCCCTTTCGAGAATTATGCATAAATATATATTTATAAATAAGGTAAACTTCTGACAAAACCCGTTTATAGAAAGAAAGTTATACTTTTCTTGCAGGGTTGTATGATAGAATTTTTCAAAATGACGTCATTTTGGCTAAAAGTAGGTTTTGATATACGAAGTTTTCCAAGGACGTTAGAAGGAAGTACGTTATGCAAGACAATAAAGTGGGGCCAAATTCTAGGGCACAGCCGTTGGTTGCATCCTTATTTTCTTGTCATTCGCTTACTTTCCTCTCACTCCGCCCCTTTCCTGATATTCTTGAGCTTGGCATTCCGACAAAGAAAAATAAATATTTTTTGCAGTAAAAAATAACGGTCTGGAATTGTTAGTTGTCCAGAAAAGGAATACAAGTTTGTGGTAAATCTTTGCACACTATTTTACGTTCTTGTGTAGTACGAGCGAAATTAAAAACATAGACAAAAGTATTTCAGATCGTTATGCCCTCAAATGCTTCCCAACCTTCATCTTCTGCGAATTCGGTAACCGATGGACAATCCACGAATGGATTGTCCGAGATTTCCGGCCATAGAGATTCGATCCCATCGGTTCTGAACAAGGAATGGACTGATTTTTCTGTTGTTTTGGAGATGAAAATGGGAGAGATGGCCGTCGTCACAATTAGCTGTCCCCGTGAGGAATTCGACGGTGAAAGTGGAGATGACGGGATTATAAAATTTGGGGACAAATCTATTGAATTCATCCGAGACGAAAAGCAGCTGGGTAAGAATGTTTTTCTGTTGTTTTGTTTTTAGGTAATAATTGGATGTCAAGCATTACTTTTACAGACGGTAAAGTGCAAAGTAAAAAACGGGTTGTTTCGTTTACGAATATTAGATTTGAGCCCAATACGGTTCAAAATGGCATTTGGTCAGACCAAAATGGACTATTTTGTTGCCGTGTAGAACTCGGATATCGGGATTACCTCTGTGGTGAGTTTTTCGCTTCAGGCAGAAAGTTTAATGGGGGTATGGATGAATTTACTGAGTTTCAGGTATCCGTCGTTTCTCGGATCTTCAAGCTTTTATGGCGAACAAAGTGCCTCTGAAATCATTTGCTCACAAATTATCGATGAATGGAATGAAAATATTCTGCGCTGAATGTAAGGCAACCATTCTCGAAGCAGAAGATGGCAAAAAGGTGGATGTCCAAGCTTCGGAAGAGTTGGATTTGCTAGAAGGAGGGGTGGATCTGTCGGAATATGCATATCACAGCTGTTCTAGTGAACATAAAACACATAATCATGATGAAAATGCGTGCGACGGCAAGCAAAATCAAAACGGGAAAGGTCGTGATGGAAATGTGGACCACAAGTTTATGGCACCTACAAATAAGAAACCAATTCTGACTGAAACTCAGTTTTGGATGAGGTACAACAATAAGTTTGAAAAACAGCTTTTGGTCGACAAGAAGAGTATGATCGTGTCTTGTAAGAGTTGCGTCAATGAGATTGGGAAAATCGCAAAAGGTAACGAACTGAGTTTTTTCGTTATTGTTCTTTAGGCGATACAAATGTCATGAAGTTGGACTTATCAGCTGCTATAATCGAAGATCCTTTATCCCCAAAATGCATAATTGAAGAGAGATTCCATTCCCTCGAGCGATATTTTGCGTTTTTGTTATTGCGTTGTTCTGCCTTCGACAACTGTCTCAAGTTGATGATCAGAACTCTGGACAAAACACCCTATTTATTGGTGTGGCTGATCGAACCCATCTTTTTATTCGCCGATGGAAAGATGAAGGAAGAAGTAGAGCCAAAGAAAAACACCAAGACCAAGCCCAGTAAACTGAAGAAGAAGGCCATGGTGGACAGTTCTTTGATACATGCTTACACTTCTTTGAAGGTCTTGTATAAGGTATTTGATAATGAGGCTGAGAAAAGGTGAGTTCTCTCTCATTCATGGAGAATATCTTTTATAATGTGACTTTTTAGCAATCCTGCTGCCGTGGATCGTTCGGCCACCTTTATGGATCTACCTCAGACCACTTGTATGAAGTTCGAAGAGGTTTTACTCAGGAACTCGGCCCGGTTACCTGCACAAAACAGATTTTTAGGCAACTTCATGGTGAGTTATCTCTGTGTGATCACGGTTTTCTTTTTTGCAGATATCCTTCCTCACTGTTGATGACGAGTAGAAACAAAACGTCTTCGATTAATTGGTATTCTTATTGACAACTTCCCTTGTTACATTGTAAATTAGAATAAATATGATTCATAGAACTTTACTACAATAAATATCACATTCTGAACACACCAAACTTGGTCTCTTCAACTGGAGCATTTAAAGACGCCTGCAGTGAGAGTCCAAGCACTTTCCGTGTGTCCCGAGGATCGATCACACCATCATCCCACAATCTGGCCGACGCGAAGTACGGATGGCCTTCTTTTTCGAATCGCTCCTCTACCGGTTTCTTAAGAGCATCTTCTTCTTCTTGAGTCCAACCCTTCCCTTCCCGAGCTCGCTGATCTTTTTGGACTGTTGCCAAAACATTCGCGGCTTGTTCTCCTCCCATTACAGATATTCGAGCATTGGGCCACATGTAAAGAAAGCGGGGTGAATAGGCTCGGCCACACATCCCATAATTACCAGCACCATAAGAGCCACCTGAAATAACAATTTGAAAAGTAAAATTACTCTTTCGATGACAATTCTATATCATATTTCCTACCGATTATCAGAGTAATCTTGGGGACTTTCGCACAAGCTACTGCGGTTACCAGTTTTGCTCCATGCTTTGCAATGCCACCGGCTTCGGCTTCACGACCCACCATGAATCCCGTGATGTTCTGGAGGAATATCAAAGGAATTTTTCGTTGGCAACACAACTCGATGAAGTGGGCACCTAATATGATGGCAGTTTAAATATTTTTTAGTCATCTTACCCTTCACGGCGGATTCCGCAAAGAGAACGCCGTTATTTCCGATGATTCCAACCTGTTTCCCATATAATCTTGCCCATCCCGTGACCAATGTATCTCCGTATTTTTTTTTGAATTCATCAAATCTGGACCCGTCCACAACCCTCGCAATGACTTCCCTCACATCGAAGGTCTTCTTCAAATTGGTTCCCACAATTCCATACAGTTCCTCAGATGGGTAAATGGGATCCTCGATGCCCGAGGTTGATGGGAATCTGGCCGGCTCTTGATTTAGGCCAGCAATAATCGACCGCGCCTGGAATAGAGCATGCTCATCATTGTGGGCGTAGTAGTCGGTAACACCAGACTCGGAACAATGCAGATCTGCTCCACCCAGATCTTCAGCACTGATCTGAAAAGTGTTATAAGTGTAAATGAATTTAAACAAATACAGAAGCATTCTGACCAAATTTAATTTTTGTTTCATTTTACCTCTTCTCCCGTAGCTGCCTTTACCAGCGGAGGCCCTCCCAAGAAAACTGTACCATTCTTCTTGACAATAATAGCCTGATCAGCCATGGCAGGAACGTAAGCGCCTCCGGCAGTGCAAGATCCCATGACCACAGCCAGCTGGGGAATGCCCTCGGCACTCATATTGGCCTGGTTGAAGAAGATTCGACCAAAATGTTCCTTGTCAGGAAAGACATCTGCTTGCCGCGGGAGATTAGCCCCTCCGGAATCGACCAAATAAATGCACGGTAATTTATTCTGAAGCGCGATTTCTTGTGCCCTGAGGTGTTTTTTGACGGTGATCGGGAAATAAGTCCCTCCCTTTGTGCAGGCGTCGTTGGCCACAACCAGACATTGCCGATTGGCCACAGTTCCAATCCCTGTGATAACACCAGCTGAAGGTACCTACAAGAATAAAAACGAAAGTAAAAATAAATGTGATGGCGCAGCTTACAACATCCTTTCCATACATATTATGAGCGGCCAATTGAGAGAATTCGAGGAATGGGGTTCCCGGGTCAATCAACTTTTCGATCCGGTCCCTCACCAGCAGTTTACCTCTGGCAAGATGTCTTTGTTTCGTCCGCTCGTCAGTCCCATTTACTATCGAATCAATGGTTTTCCTGAGATCTTGAACCACCAAATTCATTTCCTTCTCATTCTGTTGGAAATCAGGACTTTGAGGGTCAACTTCTGACTTCAAAATCGGCCATTTCACCCCACTGAGAGAACGAATAAAGGATATTTGAAGGAAATGGTCCCTAAAATGATTACTGTAAAACAAAAAAATCAATGTATTTTTTTAAATAAAAAACGGGAAAATTACTTTATGGCATTCTGAGACCTGCAAACTCGAAGACGTCCGCTTATTTTTGGCAACATCTAAAACACGGTATATTAAAAAAGATTTAATATGAGAATCTACAACCGCGCCTTGAACAAAATGAATTCCAAAATTTAGTTTTATACATGAAATTATCTAGGGTTTTTAATAAAAATGTAGTTTCTGATCATAAATAATTAGGCATCACTTTAAGCATAAGCAACTTCAATGTCCGATCTCCAGGGAAATTAAAAAAGCCAGAAAGGAGACGAATAAATGGGGAATGTTTTAAAGAAAGTGGCAAAGAGCGCAGAACACTCAAATATCAGACGGGCGACCATGAAATCAAAAAAAATGCCGTCATAATCACAAATCCAGACAAACTTTCTGTAAACATATAAATGCAAGCATGGCTAACAGAAGGATTGACAAAAAAATCGCCGTCTTTTATTAAGAGCATGGAGAATAAATAGAACATCCGCCAGATTACAGAACATCCAAACCACAAAAAAACACTTGCTTTCAGTTTATATAACAGTTAATAAACAATATGTATAATTAAGATGTCCCAGACTTCCTCTCGTTTCTACTTTGATATTCTGGATTATGAACATACGACAGTCGATGATTACAATTCAAACATGTCCGAACAATCCGTTTCTTTTGTTTTGTGACTATCATGGGAATACTTCCATCAGATTTGGGTACTAAATAATGTCGACACTTTTTACATTGAGATCTTTTGATCCCCTGGTCTGCTTTTATTTGCCCAACATACCCAAATTCTTTAAGTTGGGTCATGAAATGAGACGAGATCTTGTCGTAGTAATCGGATGTGGACGCTCCTGTAAGTTTAAACCAATTGAATTGATCGTCTTACCGGTCTGAGCCATCAATGCAGCACTTTGTTCGAGATACGAGATCCTCAGGGCCGACATTCTGTCTATTCCGACGACTTTCTCCTTCGACATAACGTCTTTTTATTTCTAAAACAACAGAATTCCATTGATAACATAGCAAAAATAATTTCCAGACAATTCACAACTGCTTTTCTGGTACATACAATCACATGGTCATTAATTTATGTATTCAAACGCAACAACAATGAAGTTAATTATATCACTCTTTGCCTTCAATTACTTTGAGGTCCCTAGAATCCTTTTGCTGAAGAGATTTCACTCTTTCCAATTTATTCTGAACCGAAGACAAACAGAACTTGGCTTCTGAAGCTTCATCTTCCGTCAGAATGAGATCAATTGAAGCAAAATATTCTTTTAATTTCTCCTTATCAGACCCCAACAAGTTGAAGATGGCATTGATACGATCCTAAAAACATATTAGAAATAACAATAGGATTTACCTTTAGTGCATTTGGCGAAAACAACATAGCGTTGCATTGTTCTGCGGCTGCCCCCAGCTTATCCTCCCTCTGGCTAAGTCCATATCCTTGTCGAATTTGTCTCAAAAATGCGCAGGCAACTCTCAATAATCGATGGGACAGCTCCTTATGGGTATTGGATAAGGCCTTGACTTTGCTCACATCCCAATTGATCACCTTCTCTATGCGTTCTCTCTTCTCGTCGGCATGCCCTAAGGCTGTTTGGAGGGCCAAGTCAGAAACTTTTTGCATTTTATGTCTCTCCAACAATTGGTCAAACCCATAAACAGGAGAAGGGAGGAAATGATGAGGATGTGGATTCGATCTGACCCCTTGAAGCCAGAGTTGAGGGCTAAACCCATCAGGGGCGTTGTTGAGATACTTTTCTTTAGATTCCAAGCTCAAGGATACCAATGGCACTACTTGAGAGCACTTCAGTTGGGTCTCAAGAGCTTTCATTTTGTCTGGTTGGGACAGGAATTTAAATAAATGGGTAGCCCTGACCTTGCCAACACCCTTCTCAAAGACATGAATGAGTACTTCGGTCCTGGAGTCGTCCACTGGCTTCACTCTCTCGACGATCGTGTTTACAAACTGCTTCTGCCCAAGAATCTCATCAAGTTTTCCGGCCAACTAAAAACAAGACATTCTAGTTCAACATCGCAAACCTAAAAAAATCCACGAAAAGAAAAAACCTACATTACTCTGTTGTGCACCGTCTGATATCTGATTATAAGGGACATTAAGAATGAGACCACAGATTCCATCGTCATCTGAAGCGTCCGAGATCTTATTATAGACCACCCCTTTGAAACGATGGAAAATGTTTTTTGCATTGTATTCTACAGGTTGTTTGTCATTCGCATAATAACCAGATCCGATTCCGAACCCGACTTGGAGTTGATTTAACCTTGATACTACCCGATCCTTCTCATCATTGAACAGTTCTGGTCCGCAAAGAGACTTCAGCAAAACATTTGTGTCCTAAAGTTTGCATAAAAAAGATGAACTCATTTACCGCGCATATCTGAGCAACAGACTGTGTATTCTGAGATGGCTGAGCAGTTGGCTGAGCAGCTGAGAAAGGTGTGGATGTTGTAGTCGAACCAAAAAGGCTTTTGTTACCAAACATTATTGTCAGAAATAATTGAAAATATTATTTTAGAAGCTCCGAAAAATCATTTTCCGAATTGTTTTAGCGGGGTTTTCAGCTGAGCGAAGTGTCAAAAATTGATTTATTGGAAAGTTGAGATCCGTTAAATAATTGTTACGCAACAAGTCCTATAAAACTTCTGAGTATCTGTTCCTTGATAATATTATATCATTTCTTATATCCAGACTTCCTTTACGTTATAATATTATATACTAAAAAATAAGATGATAAGGAATCAGAATTGAGGAAGTGGACAACAAATACAGTATATATGTAGATTTACTTTTACGGGCCGAATTCTTCCGGCGAGATTTTTGGCTCGACCCTAGAGCCATCTCTACCCATCATATTTGGTGGACAAAAAATGGTGTGTCTTAGCTTCAATCAGATATAAATTTTATAGAAATTAGTGGATTATTGACGGAGAAATACCGGAAACAAGGGTGCAAGTTCCGAGTGGCCCACCTTGTATGATCTTGCCTGTGCCCTTGAAACTGAGTAATCAGAGGTTGAGAAGGAAAATGCGGCTTCTCGATGGTCAACATCGGCGGACCAAGGTGCAGAGAACATCACAGCCTTCAAAAAACTTATCGGCAGAAAGAAGACAACAAATTCAGTTGAAAAGCCGCTCACACATGATTTTGATGTCGAGTAGTACAGCGATTTTAGAATATGCAAAAGAATTTTTTCTTACATCGGCGGAGAGACCATTTTTCCGCGGAGACATTTGACGTCTTTTTTGAAAATTACATCTTGACAATATAAATGAAAATTTGAAGTGATTAGCGAAAAAATCCTCTGCTTTTTTCCAATCCGATTCACAAACGCCAAGCCCTCAAGACGGCTCCGTCGGTAAAAAGTCTCCTCCGAGCCTTCGCCAATGTGTGAAACATCTGGAAATCTACCGAGACTAACAGATTAAGTCGCACCAGACGTAAAAAACCTAATTTCATACTTAGTTATGCCGTCTGGGCTTTGTAACGAGATGTAATCTTCAAAAAATGTCTCCGCCGAAAAATGGTCTCTAAGCCGATGCAAGAAAAAATTCTCTTGTGTATTCTAAAACCGCCCATCGTCGAATTTTAAAATCAATCTTCTGAGATAGCTGGAAAGATTTTCGCCAAAAGTTTTTGTCATATTTCTTGAAACACCCTATATTGTTAAAGATAAATTTTTATGTTTAAAAGTCAGAAATTGACAGTCATTACATCGGTTTATAAGAAATTACGTATTTAGCAATTACTTTGGGGTTCTTTACAATCACTTTCCGCACAAAATACAGACAAAATTTTCGCTATCTCTGCCTGAATTCGCCGTGGGGTTGTGGAAGTGGATTTCGGCGTGTATCAGGATGCCAAAATGGATTCGCAGCGGGAGACGAAAAAGGGCCGCATTTCTTTCCTGTGAAAAAAATTTCTTGATCGATTCGCGCCAGAATGGACGAGCCAACTTCAGCTGAAAATGGGTAAGTACTTGTTTAGTTTTTATTGTTTGTTTTAGTGTAAAACGAAGGCGGAGAACTAATTCAACATGTTCCGTCTTATCCACGGCCACCGATTCTACGATTGGAAGGCGTCGAAGAGGGGAATTAAATGCGGAATTAGACACCAAAACGTTTAAAATGTCCGATCTTATTGTATGGAGACCAAATACTGAAAACGAATTGAGAAAGAAGTGGGATGATCAGAAACAGAAGCTCTTGGAGAGTATGAGCAACGCGTCGGGTTCTTCAGAACAATTTGCCAAGCCTAAGCCACCGGTGTCTGTTCCAAGGGTGAAGCTGAACGAAAAGGGGGAGATTGTTATTGATCAAGAAAGCTTAGTGGTCACGGAGTCTCCGGAAAATAATGTTTGGGATCATGTCGATGATGTGAGTTCTTGCGATTATAATATTTATCTACTGGTTTGTAGGACGTCATGCCCAAGAAGTTAAATTCGATGAGTTTTCGCAAGAAGATTCAACGATCCTCCGCGTGGACTGATTTAGAAACTGATATGTTTTACAGTAAGTCGGTCAGACATTTTACCTTTATTCATTTAGATGTTTTGAGTGCTACTGGTCCGGATTTTGGTCTGATGCATGAATTTATTCCCTGTCGGACAAGAGCTGAATTAAAGAAGAAGTTTTCGAAAGAAGAAAGAGAAAACTCTTGGAGAGTCGATGAAACTTTAAGAAAGCCTTCGTTGTTAAGTAGAGATCTGTTTGGCAAGGTGAAGGAGATGATGAAGAAAATTGAGGCGGAGAAAGTTGCGAGGAAAGAAGCAAAAAAGAAGAGGAAAGAAGTTATTAATGACAACAATGAGGACGAAAACAATCCAGAGCAAGATGATAACGGTGATGTTATTCCATAATTTTAAATATGTATGCACTACTTTTATTTCTCTGCTTCCAGAACCGTAGGTTTTTTTGGCGTCTTTCGGAAACAGTTTCGGGCTCTGCATCGGGCTCTTTTCTAGGACGTCCTCTTTTCTTGGGAGTATTTTCAGTTCCACTCGAATTCTGATCTTTCTTATCCGAAACTTCTTTTGATGACGGTTGCTCATCTGGAGAATCAGAAATTGGTTTCTCTGCGTTATCGTGGAAGCAGAGAAATAAAAGTAATGTTTCAGGGTCGTGTTTCCGACTGCACGCACCTGTATATTTATCCTTTAGTTCTCCTTTAATTGTTGTTGTTATCTGTTGACCAATAAATAATACCCTTGATCCCCCGCGGGCCTTTCATTTATGATGGGAAGCGGGTTACGGTAGTCTTTTTACTGTAAGGTCGGGAAATATGAACGCTTTTTTATCTGCGTTAGAATGTTTCATGCAAATTTTCGCGATTTTTTCTTATTTCGTGCTTTCTTGCCCACGAATCGGTGGGTGTTTCGATAAGCCTCTGATTGAACCTTTAGGGTCAGATCGTAATGGGAGTCCCCGCCTTTTTCCGCTGGTTGTCCAGGAAGTATCCGAGCATTGTTGTCAACGCTGTCGAACAAGGAAAGACCATTGATGGAACCACTATTCCTGTCGATTCCACTCAACCAAATCCCAATTTTCAGGTATGACTGTTTTATTTACTTTTGCAGTATTATTTAATTCGTTTTTTTCAGGAGTTTGATAATTTGTATTTGGACATGAATGGCATTATACATCCATGCACTCATCCGGAAGATAGACCAGCCCCGAAGACTGAGGATGAGATGTTTGTCTTAATTTTCGAGTACATTGACCGTCTGTTTGCCATTGTCCGACCCAGAAAGTTGTTGTACATGGCTATTGATGGTGTTGCTCCAAGAGCCAAGATGAATCAACAACGAAGTCGTCGATTCAGGGCATCGAAAGAAGCGGCTGAAAAGGAAGAGGAGATCTCCAATATCCGAAACAAGTTGAAGGAAGAGGGTATTCCCTTGCCTCCGGAGAAAGCCAAGGAAGAGAGATTCGACTCCAATTGCATTACTCCTGGCACACCTTTCATGGCCAGATTGGCCATTGCCTTGCGCTATTATGTTCATCTCAGAATGACCAGTGATCCCGCTTGGATGAATCTGAAGGTATCCGGTTGTTTTAAATTTGAAGAAACCCACTGTTTTATATTTATTTCCTCGTTTCAGGTGATTCTTTCCGACGCGAATGTGCCTGGAGAAGGCGAGCACAAGATCATGGATTACATCCGACGCCAGCGCGCCTCCCCTGGCCACGATCCCAACACCGTGCATTGTTTGTGTGGTGCTGACGCTGATCTGATTATGCTTGGGCTGGCCACTCACGAGGTCAACTTTAACATCTTAAGAGAAGAATTCGTTCCGAATCAACCAAGACCCTGTGAATTGTGTCATGGTTATGGACACGAATTGAAGAATTGTCAGGGATTATTGTCAGTTCAGAACAAGGACGACGAACCCATTGTGAAACACACGAATTTTATTTTCATTCGGCTCCCAGTGTTGAGAGAATATCTGGCGAAGGATCTGGAGATTCCTGGGCTACCATTTCCGTATGATCTTGAGCGAGCCATCGACGACTGGGTATGATTTTGATTTGATTGGTTTGGATCGATATTATTTTTCAGGTATTTATGTGCTTCTTCGTGGGTAATGATTTCCTGCCTCATCTCCCGTCTCTTGAGATTAGAGAAGGCGCAATTGATCGTTTGATTAGATTGTACAAGGATATGGTGGTGCAACAAAAGGGATGGCTCACAGAGAATGGAGAGGTTTCGACAGAAAGAGTTGAGATTATGATGAAAGGACTGGGGAAGGCTGAGGATGATATCTTCAGGAACAGACAGGAGAGTGAACTCAGATTCAGAGCCAATCAGAAACGGCGAAAACTTCAAGAGAAGAGTCGTCAGAAGCCGGCGTTTCTCCCTCCATCTCAATCCATTATTGCTCCGCATGCTCCGAATGAGAAGATGCCTTATGTGTCCGGTGCTGAAGCTCGAGCTCAGATGGCCGATCAACGCAGGGCGGCTATGAAACATGAGGAAGCTGAACGTGGATTGGCTGCCCTTCTGAGGCCAGTCAAACGGAAAGACGACGATCCCGAGCTCCCCGTCCCTCCAGCGAAGGTGAGTTGAACAACGGCACTTGACCTCGTTTGTTTGGTGATGGTTGATGTGATGTTTTGGCCCTTGGCTTTGTGTGATTTGTTTTGGTTGCTACTTCCGCCTTAGTTTTTGTTGAGTTTGTTGGTTAGGTGTTTCAAAACGACATTATCCTTGCACTGATCAGTTTCCTAATTTGCAATTAAGAATCATAATTGCTGCGTAGCGGGTTAAAGAATCGCTTCTTCACGTCGATCAGCCCCGGACTCGGGTCTGGTGCCGTCGAAAGACGCCCCAACTAACCGTCCTAATTTTTAGTCTTTTAAGGCCACTGCCGACGATACTGTGAAGGATGGACAGTGGCGGGAAATTAAGAGAAAGGCCCATGATTCGGAAGACTCGGATCAGGAACCAGAGGATAATATAAGACTCTGGGAAGACGGATGGAAGGACAGATATTACAAACAGAAGTTTGGAGTCGCTGAAAGTGACATCACCTTCCGGAGAAAGGTCGCTTGGGCCTACACCGAAGGCCTGTGCTGGGTCTTGAAGTATTATTACCAGGTATGGAAATAAGTTATTTAATTAATTTTTTTGGGTTTAGGGTTGTGTTAGCTGGAATTGGTACTATCCCTACCATTATGCTCCATTTGCCTCTGACTTTGACAACATTTCTGAGTACAAACCAGATTTCTCGAAGCCGACCGTCCCCTTCAATCCACTTGAACAGTTGATGGGTGTATTCCCCGCTGCTTCTGGAGCTCATATCCCAGAATGTTGGAGAAAGCTGATGACTTCCAAAACCTCTCCCATTGTGGACTTTTATCCCCTCGACTTCAAAATTGATTTGAATGGAAAGAAGTTTGCTTGGCAAGGAGTGGCTTTATTGCCGTTTGTGGATGAGAAGTTGTTGTTGGAAACTTTGAAGGATGTAGGTTTTTTATAATATCTCAAAGTAGGCTGTTTAGTATTACCATGAACTTTCCGAAGAAGAGAAAGCGAGAAATGTGAGAGGATCGGACAGGTTATTCATCGGAGCCAGACATCAGTTATATGGGTTCTTGAAGTCGATATTTGATGAGGGAAAAGAAGGTATTAACACTGAAAATTGGGTGGCCATAAAGCCGGAAACCGCCGAAGGAATGTCTGGAGAAGTCAGATATGATCCTACCGCTGTCGCTCCAGGCGCTGTTTATGAATCCCACTTCAATTGTGATGCTTATATCGACATAAAGGTAGGATTTAACAAGGGAAGTACCCCAAGTGCGACGCTCAGATTTTCTTTAAATTTTGCACACACGTCGGGAATAGACTAAATATCAATTCCTGAAAGTTTTAGCTCGCGCTTTGCAGGAGCCGCCGAGATATCGGACGATTTATGCCGCCGAGAGAGCACGCTAAACGTGGAGAGCGGTCAGAGAGAAAAGCGCTTTTTGGCCATAACTTTGGCAGTTTTGTGCGGAAAAATTTGATTTTTTGTAGAAACATTATCCTTTACGGTAGAAATAGGCACGAAACTTTTCGTGCCGAAATTCAGCAAAAAGTACTAAATTTTCGCCGACTTTCAGTCTAAAAATCTCCGTCGTTTCTGCAAAGCGCGAGCTAGAATTCTCGCATATATCTTAGAAAAAATTATTCTAAATTTGTGCCAAGTTTCATCAAAATCTGAGCGTCGCACTTGGGGTACTTCCCCTGTAAGTTTAATTCTAATCTTAGCGGGTTCATTAAGTATTGAATTTTTCGGCGAAAAAGTTTAACGAAATTTTATTTCTTTCAAAATTGGGAGGATATTATATGTCAGAAATTCTTGCGTACAGGGTAGTTAACCCGGAGCTTCCTTACGAGTCTACGTCACGGAGGCACTGACCTTTGATATCTTCGTTCCAAATTTTGGAGCCCAAAAGCGGTGAAATGTAAAATTTTTGCAATGATTTTAAATTGGGTTTCTCGAACGTACTAAATACGATTATGATATTTGGGGTTCACATTAGCGACCCTCATTTTTTTAGAAGTTTTGCAAGAAGACAATGCCCACCAAAACCGAACTGGTGGGTGTTGAGCCATAAGTAAAAGTCGTTTTAAAGCATATACGAAAGGCTATATATAGCTGTATCAATCGCTTTAAATATCTTGTTCATTCTAGGCCAACAATTGTTTGATGGTCGCTTTCCGTGATCCTCAATTCCCGAAGGGATATATCTTCCCAGCTACACGATTGGAAGGTGCAGTTACCCCCGAAGCAACCCTGAAACCAGAAGATTGGAATACGAGAAGACAAGGAGATTACCGTCCCAACACTGGATTCACGAGACATCGCCCTCAGGCACAACTCTCTGACTCTGGCCACAGAATGGTTCGCCATGAAATTAGAGATAACAGGGTTAGTAACATTACCGAGTAAACCAGTAGTCCGTGATTGTTGTATTTGCTTTTCATATTCCCCTCTTCGCTGTTGTATCTTGTCTTGATCTCATGGGTGCGATGGCCTTAGTTTAACTCGACTTTTATCCTTCTTGATCGTCCTTCATATTGTCATGTCCTCACTGGTATAATAGGCGAAGTATTTATCCTTCCTAATTTCAGCAGAACCGACCTTATCAAAGGAATGACAATAATAATTATGGCGGACGGAATGACAGATATGACAGCAGAAATGACCGCCGTGATAATAGAAACGCCCGGCCTTATGGGCAACCCCCACCTAATGCATGGCAACAAGGCCCCCCTCCACAGCCTCCCTATCATCGGGGTCCCCCGCCAGCACCTCCTATGAGTTTCAGCCAACAGGCCATTTATGGAGCTGCCTCTTATTTCCCTGCCGCCCCCACGCCTCCACAATTACAACAGCCCCAAGGGTATGTCGGATCCTTCTCAAATCCACCGCCTCAACGGCAGAATCGGCGCGGACCTCCGCCCAATCAAAACATTTACGGACAGGCCGATCAACAACCTTATGGTGGATATAATGGGTTCTTTGGATGAGTACTATAAGGATTGTTATAGGTCATTTAATGACCACACCTGTAATCGTATATTATAATAAGTAAACAGTTTTTATTTAAAAATCCTGTACATACATAATTTAAATTTCTTTGTTTTGTTTGGAATGCACCGAAATGAATGTAGGACGAGAAGGGAATTGAGCAAGGGAATGTCATGTTATGGCCAGTATCCTGAGAAAACAAGGTATCCTGAGAATCAAAGCAACTGTCACCAGTGATGTACAGGCTAAGAGTATGGTTTAATTTGATATTTAAGACTTGCAATTTACCTGATAACCTGAAGGAATGGGAGGTTTGTCGGAGTTCTGAAAAAGGTGAAATTGTTATTGTGTAATAACCAGCATAAAGCAAGTGAGTGCAAAAAGCGTGCCTGTGTTAGTGCTTATTGCCTCTTTTTGTTCAGTCCCATCCTCATCATCCACTGAATTGGTCGGGATATTCTCCTTCTCTGTGTCTCCCGAACCTAAACTCACTGCAATTTAAGTGTAAGTTCAAAGCTATCCTGGGGTGAGAGAAAGCAAAAATATTAGTCAACCAACAAGTGAGAGAACCGTGAAATTTAAAAACTCATGAAGCACTTGCGTACCCTCTGTTGCTAGCACTTGATTTGAGCTGAAAATTGGTTGAGATTGGACCAGTCTGATGGTCGCGAATTCTTTCCCGAAGTCATTGGCGGCCACACATTTGTAGACTCCGAAGTGATGGGACTCTGCGTACTGTACTTCCAGGACATGAACTGTCTTGTACCTCTCCGTCACCGACTGTTCCATCCGAAAACTTCCCGAATCAAAGAGTTCTACATCATTGAAGTACCAGGTGACCATTGCCCGAGGCCAGGCTTCCACATTACAGACCAATCTGGCCAAAGAACCCAAGGAAACTTCGACCAGAGTACTTTGAGGAATAACTGAGGGTTCGACTGTAAAAATGAAGGGGATCATAAAAGTAGCAATCGTATCTTACATGTCACATGAAGTTTCACGGTCCAGGTTTCGTCGGGAGGGATGTCATTTGTGGCCACACAAACGTATTCACTCATGTGTTTGCGGCTCACTCGAGTCAACGTTAACTCAGATCCATTGTAAACTGAGGCTGCAATGTAATAATTGCATTAAACTTTTTGATTCTGCTGTCTTGATTGTCATCGTTTCTCACCTCCGTATCCAGTAGCCCCATTGAAGCGGATAATTTGCCGATCCTGCCTTCGCCAGGTTATTTTTGGGGCTGGATTCCCATTGGCTTCACAATTTAATGTCACATTATGCCCTTCTCTGACCTCAACCGCCGACGGCGTGGAGCTGCGCGAAACAATTGGCGGCACTGAAAGTAATTATGGGCGGGCGCTCAGATTTGATCTAATATGCAACAAGAAGGGAATAAGAAGGTAAAAAGGGGGCCCGATACGCTTGGAAACCTCGGAGGAGAACAATTATCTTAAAATAAAAAAAATAAACCTCCAAGGGTCAAGTAATGTAAATGAATGTACGCCTTTTCTCAGGTATCTATGGGGTGCTCACCTCTTAAAGCCAAGTACCCGATCCTGGCCATGACTGGATTTGTATTTAGTTGGCAAGAATACCCTCCGGCGTCTGTTTCGTCCACATTTTTGACTGTCAAGATCCACTCTTCCTCGGTTACTTTTTTCTTCAATTCATACTTTTCTATCTGGCGAAAAACCTGGAACAGGAAATTATTAAATCGAATCACAAATCTCAGCGCCAATTTTAACATAAACGCCTTTCGAAGCACCGTAAACAACAAAAAAGATGGTTAAATTTAAATTCGAATACGTATGTACCTGCTCGTCGTATGATATAAGCCGAGGAGTGTCTTCTACCCGAAAGAACGCTACAAGATAGGGCCCAGGGTCTATTATTCGACATTTAAATTCGACATTTTGTCCCTTTATGGCAGTTATGTTCATCATCACATCTGGCGCATAAGATGGAGTTGGAGTGCGGACACATACTGAAATCATGAAATTATTCAATCTCTAATGACATCTCCAGAACCACATCCTAATCCTAACCATCATCGATTACCGTTGAATAGCTGACATAAAAGGGCTGGAAACATGACTGTTGATGACATTAACTGGCTATTACTCAGTCTCAAAGATGCGCATTTGAAGCGAAAGAGATGGCCAAGAAGTGTCAACGAGCCGAGAAAAGTGCCGGAATCCGACGATAAAGGGCCTGAGGAGATGCGCATCAACAAAATCCATTTTTAACTTTTTCTTCTCGGCTCATCGTCGGTCTCCAGAGAACGCCAATCGGGCGGCCAAACAGATTTATGCTAATTTAGAGGGAAAGCGAGCCATTTAAAAAGAGCCGCAGGGCATTTAGGAACCGAAGATCGTTGCAAGAACCTCTCCCATTTATCTTACACTTTCTACCATCTTTTCAAATTAATCTTAATCCCACGTTATGTAATAAATGTTGCGTAACGTATTGGTATAACGAAATTAGCGGAACTTCCCAACGCATCCGTCATCTTGATTAATAACCCCAGCATAACAAATAAATCCAGCAATTTTATGTTATAGTTGCTCTTACCTGTAAATGGAAACCAAACTAGAATAATGTAGAGGAGATCGGCTATCAAAGTGAGGTTCGGGGATTTCATTGGACGGCAAGCTGAAGATGCACAGAACGCATGAAGTTTAATATTAAAACCTTTTCATAAAAGCAAAAAAACATTGATGTTACGAATAATATCAGTAAACAGCAGGTACTCTCGAAATACGAAAAACTAGAGATGAGAACAAGAGCCTATCAAATACCCGCCATCTTCTCCATGATTACATCATAAATCTCGGGAAATCGGGTTAAAATAACAGTCAAACAAAGTGGCGGAAACGATTCGTCTTCTGGTAAGTAGTGACCTCCAGTTTAAAACATATTAGAAACGACCAGCTGGGGACAATCCAACGGCGACAAATTGACCTCTCTTGAGGGACCGCCCCCACCCCTTTCAATAATAATCGCCAAAGAAAACGAGTACATTACACTCCAGGTTCTCAGGACTGATGTCAGAGAGTGTTTTCGGTGGGAATTCGACAAATATACCTAGGGTTAGGCTTTTTTTGGACATCCCCCTAAGGGCAGAAAAAATTTCGATTAATAGAGATGGACAATAACAACTAATTATGAAATAAACTCTAAGAAAACGAGAGAGATCAGTCAAAAGATTAGGTAATCAATTACCTCATCCATTACATACGGTTGCCGTTTAATTAAGACATCCAAAAAAGCCATAAAGGACAAGTCAAGGAGCAGAAGAGGAAGGTCGGCGAAGCTGGAAGACGCCCCTCCAACAATAGAGCCCTAACAAATAAATAAACGAAACCCTGAACTCACGTAGAGAAGGAACGGCGACCTTCTCTATCCTCCTGCCCTCAGGCAAAGGAGGGGCATTCGAGCAGGTAATCAGAAGGCAGCCAAAACATCCTATTACATTATGTCCCCTTCTTATGCAATGTCGTGCCCAAGTTGTTTCTCAGGCCCCGTCGTGGACCCCATTGTCCCGCAATTTCCGGTCCCGAAGCACGGAGTAAAAAGGTGAACAACGTATTCACGATTTGAGGGATTCGGCGGGTTAAAACTAAGATTTACAACATATAAGATTGATTTAATCCAATATATCCGCCTCTGTAAAAGAAGAAGGTCAAGTCCAATCCAAATAAGGTCACACCCCCACTCTCTGGCCATAACTCGGCCAAGTTTGGGTTACAAAAAAAGGAACCGCCTCCCTTTTATCGGCCCAATCTCAGATAATTCCCCATTTTCGATAATCCCCAAAGCCCAATGCGCGAGGTAATCGGGATCGGCTAAAGTCATAAAAAGTTCGGGCCATAGAAGGAAAAAACAAATGGAGCTGCTTAGAGATTCGAATACGAATTCCCACTCAGATCCGATTTCCTTTCTTTAAGAGTACTATAATATAAACCAAATCTATGGGAGCAGTAAAAAGTAGTTGAAAAGAGTTAGCATAAAATGTATGCGCATGTTTTGAACGACATAAGGGTTTGAATTCTGAGATTTCTCCTCAATAATGCACCAATTTCTATAAACTTTACATCATTGTAAAATAGCAGCGGAGAGACACCATTTTTTGTACACCAAATATGGCGGGACAACGTTCACGGAGGCTCCGTACTGACCTTTGCCATTTTCGTTCCTAATTTTGAAGGTTCCGCAAACGTAGACCGCCCATATTCGGTGGACAAAAATGGTGCATCTCAGCTTCAATTTATACAAATTTTATAAAATTTGGTGCATTTTTGGCGGAGAAATAATGGAAACAAGGTGGTAAGTTGCGAGTGGCACACCCTGTACTTATAATACTCTTTAATTCTTGCGCAATTAAAAAAATGATTTCAAAATCAAATAAACTTATATTGCGTCACTATCTGCCTTTATGATGACTTGTTGCGTAACAATAATTTAACGGATCTCAACTTTATAATAAATCGATTTTTGACACTTCGTCCAGCTGAAAACCCCGCTAAAAGGCTTCGTGGAAATTGGACCACGGTTTGCCCAAAACGACAAAAAAACGCCCGAAAAGACTTTTCTTGTTTTTTGCGAAAACCACTTTATACGATCAAAGTTTCAGAGAACTAACTGGGATGTTCACCTTGCAAGGCATTCTAAGCGTTACTGAAGATTGTGATTGATATAATTAGCATAAAGAAACACAATATTATCATCCGGTACTAGAAATGTCTTGTTAATAGACAAATATTATCTTGGCCAATGGAGTAACGAATAGGCCAAGTAGCCAACAACACAACTTTTTTTGCGTAATTCTTTAATTAAACCGGAATTTTTATTATATTTTTGCCTATTTTTATATTGTAAATGCACCACGCTTTTTGGTTACACTCATCTACTTCGACTTGCACCCTATCAACACATTTTTCGCCGTCTCTAGTTCATTTGGGGACTACCCTCGTTCCCTGTCAGTCCTACTGTGCTTAAAAAAATTGAAATATCACAATACTCAGTGCATCAGAAAAATCGGAAAAATTATTCTGCGTAATAAAATTAATATTATATTATGTAACAATAATATAACTACAATCATCATTCTTCAAATATTAAACTGTGTGCCGCCCTTCCATAAACATCATCATAATGGGACATTAAATCATTTTTCTACTACCACTACCAGTTTCCCGATGGTTTTGTCATCTTCACCATGATGACACTCTTTTTCTGATTACCTTTCCACAGTTACCACATAAGTAATATTGCCTCAATGCTGTTTATCTTCTCACGTCAAAATCTTTAAAAGATCAGGACAGTATCGAACATTTTTGTCAATAATTTTTAAGGCATTATGTTTTTGATACCATATCTACGGGATTTTAGTCCTGACAGAAGCTGTTAAAACCCACGGTACAGTAAAAAAATTGCATCTAGCAGTGTAGTTATTTGTTGTACAGCCCAGGAGAACAGTCACGACATCCCCTAGCCATCATGAAATTTTTTTTGCAAAACTTATTGTACTCAAGGGGTGATGCTCTCAGTGGGGTCCAGAAAATCGAATTAAATATTAGGGCTATAATTCTGAAACTTTCCAGTATTTGACTCTAGTGTATCCCTCGTCTAACAGAATTAAAAAATTTTCACAATGTTGTGTTCTACAGTATTTATGGAGTACTGTAAAATGCCTACTTTTTGCGATTTTTTCTTCCGTACACCCCTCACTCCGAACACCTATGCCAGAAATCAATGGGTAGATGTGGAAAATGCAAGTCAGGTTTGATAAATGCTAGTGACACTCAGACCAGACCGGCTGTAACGGTTTTTTCGACGTAAAGTTGTTTTACACATCAATTTCCAAGTACTTTTTGGACCCTTCATTGGGGTCCAGAAAATGACCCTTCAAAATTCACCAAATTGCATGAAATTTTCAAGATATGCTGTTCTGATAGTCGTGTAACTAACAAAAATCAAACATCTTGAAAATCACCTCTAAGAAGCCATATACGACCCGCTAAAAAGCGCCTTAAAATTGCACATTTTCGAAAGCTCACGGCAAGTCAGAGTTTCGACATGGAAGATGGGGAAACATTCAATACGACAGAAGAAGTGTGCAAGAATTCATTTTTACTCTTATTTTCTATCTTTCTGTTAGTCTTTGCTGTCTTTTACATTCAAACTTTTACCCTATAATTCCGGAATTTTTCACGACTCGGGCGCGAAGTGCGAAGGGCTCGGGCGCTTTTTTGTCGTTTTTTGTTCTATGTGGGCAAACCGTGGGACAGAGTGAAATTGGACAGAAATAATTTGGACAGAGCGTGGAAATTGGACAGAGTGAAATTGGACAGATTTTCGCTGCAATCGTACGAAATGTCAATATTGAATCATCAAATAATTATTTTTTGCAGTGAAAAAAATCTGTCGAGTTTCACTCTGTCCAATTTCACTCTGTCCAATTTCCACGCTCTGTCCAAATTATTTCTGTCCAATTTCACTCTGTCCAATTTCACTCTGTCCAGTTTCCACGAAGCCCGCTAAAACACTTCGGAAGGCTTCGTGGAAATTGGACAGAGTGAAATTCGACAGAGTGAAATTGGACAGAAATAATTTGGACAGAGCGTGGAAATTGGACAGGGTGAAATTCGACAGAGTGAAATTGGACAGATTGAAATTGGACAGATTTTCGCTGCAATCGTACGAAATGTCAATATTGAATCATCAAATAATTATTTTTTGCAGTGAAAAAAATCTGTCGAGTTTCACTCTGTCCAATTTCACTCTGTCCAATTTCCACGCTCTGTCCAAATTATTTCTGTCCAATTTCACTCTGTCCAATTTCACTCTGTCCAGTTTCCACGAAGCCCTTCGGAAAGTTATTTTTCGAGGCTTCAAGTAGGGTTCGGACGGGGTATATACACAAATACCTGCGGCGCCGGGTATTTTCGGGTCTTCATGGTAATTTTCAAAGTACTTTTACATTTAAAAAACTGTAAAAAAAGTGGAATTTGTTCACAAAAAATCAATGAATGTTGACATTTTGTCATAACGTGGTGAATATACCCGAATTTTCCGAACCCTACTTCTAAGCCGTCAACTTGACGCGTCAGTCATTGGTTGTCAAATTGAACTTGCCTTGAAAAAGTCTTGTATCAACTTTTTTTGAAGTTGAAGGTCTGAAAAATAAATTTTTGTACCAAGACTTATTTATTATGTCTTAGAAGCTCAAGAAACATAATTTTAAACTAAAATAAAGTCTGTAAACCTGTGAAAAATTGAGCGGGAAGAGGTTATTCAGGACTTTACGCGATTTGATTTTTCACCCCTAAAACCCAAAATTGGGCAGCTAATTTTTACATTTTCTTAATCAGCATGACTTAACGGATTTTTGAGCTATGCCCCGTTAAAAAGTAGGAGCCCCCATAAAAGTACTTTCCTTGTATATTTTCAATTATTTTTAACAATGATGTTTGGTAAAAAGCTTTTTTGCCTCGCTTCTTCTGAAAATTTTTACAAAAACGCTCAAAACGAGAGGTGTTCGAAAAGGCGAAGTGTTAACAATTTGCCGGTTACAAAGGTTTTTTACTACTTTATGCGACGTTATAATTTATGCAGATTGAAAAGTGTAAAGTTAATATATTTGGCTTTTAGCTTGGAAGTTTTTCATCAACTGGGCCAACGTATCTGCTTCCTTCCTGGTGACAGCGTTGTAAAGGGAAGCCCTGATTCCACCGACAGACCTGTGTCCTTTCAAAGAGATCATTCCTTGGGCCTTCGCTTCTGCCAAGAATTTTTCTTCCAATTTCTCGTCTCCTTCATTTATTCTAAACGGGATGTTCATCCGACTTCTTACACTTTTCTCTACAGGGGAACTGAAGAAGCCGTTTGAGTTATCGATGACATCATAGATGGCTCTAGACTTGTATTCGGCATTATGTTCCATTCCGGCCAATCCTCCATTTTTCTTAATCCATTCCAAAACCAATTTGGTAATATAAACACTGAAACTTTGTATTAAACGCACGGTTATAGGCCTACGCAAAAACACATGGCGTATTGTACAGGGATTCGTTCTTGTGGATGTCAGCATAACTAAGGATACCGGGAGTTTGGACATCTTGATGGCCGATCAAATCCTTTCTGATGATCACGATTGTTAGACCTCCAATCCCGAGGTTCTTCTGGGTACCAGCAATAATAACAGCATGCTGTGATTGGCAGTGTTAGTCAGCGTAAGAACAGAGATTGTTACCTTGGCCACATCAATGGATCTACTGAGAATATTTGAGCTGATATCTGCCACTAGATTAACGCCTTCAGGCACTTTGGGAGTCTCCTTGAATTCGACCCCATGGATCGTTTCATTGGCACAATACCACAAATACGCGGCATCCGGATTCACCTTCCATTCAGAGTAAGGTGGAATAAGGTCATGAGATTTGTTTTCAGTGACCTTATTCACCTTTACATACTTCTCCGCTTCCTTAGCAGCCTTTTGACTCCAGGCGCCAGTCACCAAATAATCAGCTGAAGGGGGTGTCGATTTTGATAAGGCGCGGAGGTTAAGGGGAATAGCCGCGAACTGACCGCTTCCTCCTCCATGCATGAATAACACTTCGTAATTGTCTGGAATCGACCTGAAAAAAACATTTAATTGATAATAGACGGTGTAAATACGAAATCTTACAGCAGCTCTCTGAGAAGTTGGATGGCATCAGTAATAATTTTTTTGAATTCAGGGCTTCGATGGCTCATTTCTAAGAAAGATCAATATTACTTTAGGAATCTCTTACCCAAAATACTTAAACCCATTCCATTGAAATCCAACAACTCTTTCTGGGCAAGTTGAAGCACCTAAAGTAAGAGGAAATACAATTTGAACTCATTTCTGATATAATTTTTACCTAAATTCTCCCATCCAATGTGAATAACTTACACTTTCAGGCAATTTGGCTGGCCCTGCACCAAAGTTTAGTTTCCTTTGAGCCATGAGAATGGAACTAATCAAGTGAACAGTACAAATGGTATTATCAATGATTAACAGACGCTTATTTTATTCTATCCCGCTTATCAAAAGAAAGTTTTGGGGCGGTCAGAGATTCCTTTTCGAACGCAAAAATAAACACATCATTATTACGCAACAAAAACAAGTTCCGTCCGAATTACCTCGGACTATCGATATATGTGATACAATTTCCCTTCCAAATATCACGTTGCCTAACATAAAAGTCACGTACACATTTGATCAGAGTTCTCTAGGCTTGCTTCAAAAAAAATAACCAACCATACCAGAAAAGACGATACAACATAAAAGTAGTTTTGAAGAACGTTGAAGATTGGCATCGCTTTTAGAATGGACTCAAATTTTTATATAAGGGAAGTAAAAAAGAAACGATAAGCTAACAACTTTTGTAATAAACGAGCACCATAGACATGGGATTCAATCAAGTACATCCGCATTATATTTAATTACAGTATGACATATTTTGGCACCATTAAGGTCAAAGAATACGATAAAGGTTCATTTTACACAATGAAACCTGGCAGGAAGAGAACTGATTAACTGATTGCCTCTGTATAGAACTAAATGAGCCGTCATATCTTTTGGAGGTTCCCACAAAGCTAGTGTGGGCCTGCGCCATTTCCAGGCCCGGCCCGGTTGTTTTGAAATGCCAAGCTTATGTTAGCATTAAATGTTTTCGTGCCAAATGATTTTTTGGTGGGATTGTATTTGTAGTACTTCAAGTTCTACAGCACTTGACCACTTTATAGTACCTTTTTATATATTTGTTGTAATATAAGGTCCAAAATTGGAACATATATTATAGTTCATAGCAGATTCTATCACCATAGAAGCGGTGAGATCCGCTTCAGTAAATCTGGCAGTTCGCGCCCTAACCGGGCTTATACCGGCGCCAAAAAATGGCTTCAAATTGAGAAAAAGGAAATCTTTATCGAGAATCGGGAGGTCTGCGGAATATCGAGAAACCCATGTTTTATGCACAATTTGTATTGGCCAAGAAAGGCCCTTTATCAAGGATCTGGTTAGCAGCTCACTTGGAAGAGCGCCTCAAGAGGAAAGATGTGGCTGACACCGATCTTCAACAGGCCATTACTGAAGTTCTTCGACCAAGAGTGAGTTAATTCTTGTATTTCTACTTTTTGTTTAGATCAAAATCTCTTTGCGGACAACAGGTTTCTTATTGTTTGGAATCTGTCGGATTCACAACCAGAAAGTGACCTATCTTCTTCTAGACGCCTATCACATTAGAGATCGACTTTTACACTTAAATTTCAAGAAACCTACAGAGAAAAAGTCGCATCCTGCAGGTCAACAACCTCCGTTATCAAATCTTCATAATGAGACGATGCCAGAGGCCAGTGTTTATGAATTGGATGGAACTTTAATTAACCCACAAGACTTTGCACATCCCCCAGGCCCGTTAGTGAATTCCAGAGCAAATGTAAACGACATCACATTGCATGAGAATGAAGATGAGCAGACTGATATGCTGGCCATCATCGATAATATGGAATTAGAGGGGGATCTGGACACGGAATTCCAAAGGGCCCAAGAACGTTTGAGAAGTTTTCGAGAGAATTCTGAAGATCCAAATAGAATGATACCCATTCCTGAAAACGAGAATATGGATATTGATATGATGATTGAACAGGCTCGTCGTCAATCAGAGACGATGAATATATCCAGCCAGCCTGTTCTTGATCCTTCCGAGACTCCAAAGAGACCTTACGAAGATGTCGCCGAGCTGGATCGGCTGATTAACTTTGTTGGTGAAGATCATATTGATGATACCTCACATCATGAATACATGCCTCCTTTGGACGACGAAGTTCCCATGGAAATTGATGGGGATCCAGGGATGAATTCCCGAGGTATGTACTTATATTTTATTACTCCGAATTACTAAAAGTTGTTAATCTCTCATTTAGAATCTTTGCAATCTCAAGGCTCATTGGTCCTTGAGACTTTGACGGATTCCCAGATCAGAGCACAAGAAATAGAAAAGAGGAGGCCAAGAAGACGGCGGCCAAAGGGACTTCTTTATGACGAGGATCCAGAACTGGATGATGATTTGATGTTAGAGTGGCAGAGCGAGGTCAGGTAAGTCTGTTAATTCATTTTCAAATTGCTTTAGCGACATCCAAAAACCTGTTGAATTGGCGGCACCAACTAAGCTCCTAATGAAAGCTCAAATGAATGGGGATCTTCAAAGGATTTGGAATAATCCGGGAACCGATTTGTATAGAAATGATGACTTCTGGGACCTCTATCAAGAGTGTTTAGTGCCCCAATTAAAAACTCGACTCAACGATCCACAAGAATTTATTCATGACGAGACTGAAACCACGGATCTGGAAATCAGACACTCCATTGGTCTTGTTGATGAGGTTTGTCATCAAAGAAAATTTTTAGCTCTGTGGTTTGAATTGATGTAAACAGTTTCGTTTACAGCCAGAACCCGAGCAACCTAACCCAGCATTGGACATTACTCTTCAAAACCCTGATGACTTCCCTATCGAGAATCCTCGGGCAGATCATTCAATTCTGAACTTTGAGAATGACGAGAATGTATTTGCAAATACATCTTTAGAAAAGGATCTGACTTTAGATGAGCAACGGGACCAGAGTCTTCTTCAAGCCAGCCAGACATCCAGTGCCATGGGAGAAATGGAAGTAAATGAAGTGAGGAGAGAGATCAGTGTGGAACGACATAAAATCGAGGAAGCCGCCAACAGACTCATGGATAAGATTGAGAAAGAATGGACGAAACAGGAGAAGAAAGGAGTAGGTTCTGTGCTCTTATTTTTATGGAATACTATAAGATCGACGGTCTATAATATCTCTCCCTACTCATAGGAAACCAAAATGGCTGAATTTCGTAAGATCATCCAATGGCAGCCATCAGCCAAAATTTTGGCTCGGGAATTTTATGCCTTGCTCGAGTTGACGACTATGAAACCGATCGAAATAAAACAAACTCAACCATATGGCCCTATCTTCCTTAGACCTCCGTCACATCAACTATAACGAACGAACGATTCATTTTATTTTTTGTTGTAAATAGATCTCAAGTTACAGAACAAAGCAAACCCTGTAAAAATTTGGTTTTTCTAGCAATACTAGAACACTATAAAAATAATTGTACAGGGTGACCCAAAAAAACGATCATCAAGACTTTTCGTAATAAAAAGTTTGTTTTTCGGTACAAGCACAAATTTATGAATTCAAACGATAAACAACAAACCTGGTGATCAAGTACTAAGCTAGTTTCAAAGCAGCAGCACTTGGCGGCGATATAGAGCGCCAAACGTAACTTAAAATTTTGCGCTCGGGGCCGCAGCTTTTTTCGGGGAAATCGTTCCCATTCTCAGCGCAGCGATCACTCAGTGACTCCAAACTTTTGTGACGTGTAGTACAGGTACTGCCCTCCAATTGAAAAAAAATTATAGTTCATCGTTCTCAGATCCGGCGAGCAGGCGCACTTTTCGCAGACTGGGTCAAATCGGAAAAATCGGTCCCATTACTGGTCTTGAGTCGCTTTTGCCTTGCGAGCCAGCGCTGAGTCTAGTTGAAACGCCAAATTTGCATCGCCAAGGTTCTTCTAAGTCAACGGAAGCACGACGAGATGGAGATTAACGCAGAGCTAGAATTTTGCCCCCTTGAACCACTAAAAGCATCGATTTCTTGCCGCTGGCACAAATTCCGCCACAGAGGGTTACGGTCCGCATTTTTTCGGGTTTTGACGTTAGCTAATGTGCTCGGGGCCTCATTGGACCAGATCCTGTCGTTCTGGTGGTCGCGCATCCGCTAAACATTGAACCACGAAAGGAATGCGCTCACACTTCTGAGCTGCAGCCCGACCCTTAAGTTTCAGGCATCTCTGGCACTATACGCGCTTGTTGCCGCCCTTGAGGGGTTGCCCCTTTTTGCAGCTTCTACAGTACGGGGTTGAGCTTATCTTTGGCTATTCGGTAGACGAATCGATCGCTGATATCGTTCTTGCGGGCGATTTTTTCTCGAAATTCGCGGATTTTGTTGTTAATGATGCCGCGTCTCGCAGAAGTGTTTGCGGTGCGTTTTCTTTCACTTCCTGGACGCTGACTATTGTTGCCAAGCTACTTGTATCGTGTGATTGTTTTCGACACAGCGTCCTTTCCACATCTAGCAAATTAACAAGTTTCCTTTTGTCGAAACGGTCCCAAAGTCGCAGTCCCTTTCTTTTGACATTTAAAAAAACATGTTAATCAATCGATATGGACATGAAAAGGGAAGTACTAGGACAGAAAAACACGGAAATTTTAATAGTGCAATAATTATTTCCCTGCATCTAAAAATTTTCGCGTTAGGACACAAAAAAATTTGATGATCGTTTTTTTGGGTCACCCTGTAATAAAGTTTGCTTTCGCGTCCTCACTAATTAGGGGAAAAATGCGATCGGTTACACCTGCAGGAAACGATCAGGTAGTTTCGGTCTGCTCGAACATGACATGCCAATTCGAATGTGGTAATCGCCGCTGTTGGATCCGGGTCATTCCTCCGAACTTATTCTTTTTCACGATTTTTCGTCTTATCCGGGAAATCTCGGTCATCCTGTTTGACTATAAAAGGATCAAAAGGGAGTAGCGATATTAGATGTCATGAAGTTATCAATCCTCCTGCTACTGGTCACCCTATTGGCCTTGGATGCCTGTAAGATCACTCTGAAGGCCCGTTCCCGAACCAAGACGCCATTCCAACTTCAAGTCTATATCCCTTCATTAAAGCAGAAGACCGAAAGAGTTACTTTCAATGGACCCGGAGAGAAGAAGGTCTTGGTAAGTAATCCTTAAAATATTATCTTGTAATTGCCAATTGACGCTCTTCGTAATCTTTCCTTATTCAGATTGAGGGAGGTAGCTGTATGGATAAGAAGTGGGTCTTCAAGACCTGGAAGCAGGTAGATGGAAAATGGGTTGGTGCTGCTCAGAACTCTGGAAAACTCGGAGGTTCGGGATGGTTTAGAGTCATCGTGGAAGACAACCTGATGCCGTTCGGCAATGATCGATACGGAATTGCTTGTTCCGAGGGTGCTGTTTGTGGATAATCTCAGTCGGTTTTATATTTTATTAGACCTTCTTCACCATTCTCGACTAATAATTCTGTCTAATATTCCCGTTTCACTGTTTATTTTAATCGATAAATACCCAATGACACGATGATATGAGCTATTCTACAGTATGCGTGAAAGGGGAACAAGACGAGCAAAGTGAAAGAATGGGCCGACAAGCATACAAAGCATTGGTCAGTAGCATTTGGGATGATCTCACTGCCGAATATGGGGTGGTTGACGCTGTTGGAATTGTTGTGGGGGAGGTGGACCCCGAGGACTTTGCTGCGGAGTAAACCGCTGTTGTCCTTGTGGAGGGGACAGAGGACCTTGCTGATAGCCCTGAGGGGAAGTAGAACCTTGTTGTTGGAATTGACCTTGAGGAGGTCTGAATTGCTGCTGTTGTTGTTGATATTGGGGAGCATTCTGATATTGTACTTGATTAGGGGTCTGGGCATTGATGGGTCGGTCGTTGAGCTCTTCTTCGGGGAACTCTAGCTCCCAAATTCTCTTTAAATGTTTTCCCTTTACGTCTCGAGCGGTTCCGAACCCAGTCATCCCCTAAATATTTAATTTAAATAGTGTTTGTATACATATTTTACATTGGATATAAGGAAGTAATGGGTGAGATCAGGAAGAAGAGGGACTGAAGAGACACCCACTTTCTGCGAATCGAACTTGTTGGTGCCACTTTGGAGTCGGATCAGATTGTCCTTCTGAGTCAACTCTTCCACTGCGTATCTCTTTCCATCGTCTGCGAATACAATCTTCGTGGATGTATTTCGAGGCATTCCAAAACCGGTTTTTCCCTATTACCGAAATAATCAACTGTTCAAAACAAGGAAAGAGAGTGTGGGAGAAGTGAGAGAGGTGTGGAGAAAAGCGGAAAAATATATCTGACAACAATTTTATAATTGTCATCATTTTTTATACAGTAAAACGATGCAATTATAAAAAAATTTGTTGTCAGATATCAGCAAACCTGAATGGCCGTACCCTTTGCGAATCGAACTGGTTAGTACCGGACTGGAGGGGTACAATTCCATCGGTCTGTCTGAGCTGGGCCAAAGTAAACTTTCCATTTCTTGTTCTTCTGTCATTTCCTGGGGTGGTTCCGCTTGGGGTCACCGCTGCAACCTTAAGAACGCCATCTGGAAGGAGAAATTAGTCGTGAAAGTAGTGGTTTGCTAAGCGCTTTTATCTTTATTTTGAAGACACTAAAGCGAAAATCAAAATTAAAAAATACACTTTTCCCCAATTGGTTCAGGGGTGATCAAGGTAACCATAAAAATTGGAAAAAAAGAAATATTGTTTTAATGAACCGATATTAACCTACCTTGCCCAACAACATGCTCTTCGATTGGTGGCTGAGAAGGGCCACGGCCCTGTGGCGGGTAGTTACCTTGTCGAACAGCGGCCATATTGTTCTGGATATCCACCAATTAGACCGAATGAATAACTGGGATGCGCGTGAACGGCTGTTTGAAGAAGAGATCCGGGCGTATATTGTTGATCATCTTTTCTTTGTTCTGTTTTGCCTTTTGCTTCTCTAGGACTCTCCGTCCGGTCCCGCCAAGAGCCGGGCTCTCTTGACTTGATCGGCCGCTCTTTGGCCGCTCTCTTTTCCCCGGATTTCCTCTTTTATCCGCCCTTTAACACTCTCGAAGAGCCGAGACGCCTCAGCACAGTGATCGGGAAGATATTAGGACCAGGGAGGAGGGTCCGGATATTCAAAAACACGGCCTAGCTGGGCCAAGTGGTTCAGAGGCGGGGCGCGTGGGTGTGGGCGAGGACGGGGACGTTACTTCAGACTCAGTTTTTTGTTTTCCCACCTACTGATTGGGTCAAAATTCCCTTAAGGCATGCTCTTAAAAAGTCGAAAACCCGGAAAGAACGGCCAGCTGACATTCACGGTGCAGATGATGTTTAAACCGCCTTAGGCGTTTTTAATTCAGAATTGAATGAGTTGGGATAGCTTGGCAGGTACTCCGGGGGTGGGCTCGTGGACAAGAAAAGAAGTGAGCAGGCCAATTTCTGCCACGTCGAGCATTGACTTTGGTCCTAAACCGATAGTTCGGCATACATAAATAGAAATGCAGAAAATTATTCTTGTACAAGAATTGTCGCAACTGTTCTCAAAACAAACATTCTTGCTTTTACGAAAACTTAAACATTGTAGCTGCGACAAGGCTACACTGGTCGACTGGTAATAAAATAAACTATCTGAGATACAAGGCCAAAGAACTAATCGGAATGGTCATTAAAAGATCAAAGATGAGTTATGAATCACTCTAACATTGCACTTGACCCCTCTCGACTGATTTGTTCGATTATCGCAAATACCCAACTTGATTTCTTTCTCTGGTCATTTATTGGAGTACTGTTTTGGGTCGGCTTTGTTATTTTGGGCAGATTTGGGCGGATCTTGACGCAACCGAACGAAAACAAATGGAAAGCAAGTACAACTAACAATAAAGGAGCAATAAATGGCGACTTTATTATATGTTATCTGATGGATTGTGGGGACAGAAGAAGATGGAGACTCCGGAGGGAGTCTCTGCGGACACTTCCGTGTTTAGTCTTAAAGGCTGAGCGATTAGAAAGGGCGGAAACAAGGCGCGATACGAGGGACTTTAGAGACGATCCAGGGAGATCTCGGCCTCCTCGGGGTACTCCAACTCCCAGATTCTCTTCAGATGCTTGCCACGCACATCACGGGGCATACCGAAGCCGGTCATTCCCTTCTGCGAGTCTCCTCTGTTCCATCCGGCCTGAGATGGGATGATGGCTTCGGACTTCTTCATGTCTTCGTAAGGCAGTTCGCCGGCTTCGGCTTCGTATGTAGTGTTACGGATGGTACCGAATCCAATCATACCGGCTTGAGAAGCAAATCTGAAATCAATGTTACGCAAGGTGAAATAATCGAGTTATTGTAATAATTGTAATCAAATAATTTATACGGTCAGAAACGGACCTGTTAGTACCAGATTGCAGACGAACCATTCCTTGGGACTTGCGATTTTGCCAAGAGATGGAGGGGTCAAGGACTTCCCAACGGGGCTGACCGAAGCCGGTCATTCCTTTCTGAGAGGCGTATTTGTTGGATCCCATCTGGTAGGGGATCTGGGTGGAGTCGATGGAGGATTCTGGGTTGTAGTCGGGATGGGCAGTGTCCACGATCTTGCAGGTCTCACGTCTGTTGGTACCAAAGCCGGTCATTCCCTTTTGGGAGGCAAATTTGTTGGTACCGGACTGGAGAGGGATCTCAGATTGGTCGGGACGCTCGTGGTCGTATTCGGGATGCTTGGTGTCGACCATCTTGGTGGTTTCACGACGAGCAGTACCGAAGCCGGTCATACCCTTCTGAGAGTCGTACTTGTTGGTACCGGCTTGAAGACGGACGATACCATCAGAAGCACGGATCTTCTCTTCTGGCAGGGGCTAGAAAAGAGTAATCTTTAAATGGGCACAACTAGCTCACCTCCAAGTCAGAAGGCAGCTGGTTAACGTGGACTCCCTCACGGCAGACATCACGACCAGTACCGAAGCCAGTCATACCACGCTGAGAAGCGTATCTGTTGGTACCGGACTGAAGACGGACTTCGCCGTGGCTCTTCAAAAGGACTTCTTCTGGGACCTCGGCCAAGTTCTCGGCCTTGACTCTGGTGGAAGTGTTACGGGGGGTACCGAAGTTGGTCATCAACTTCTGGGAGTCTCCCTTGTTCCAACCCGCCTGAGATGGGATGATTCCATCGGTCTGACGCAGCTGGGCCAACGTCCAACGGCCAACCCGCTTGGGCGCTCCAGTCTGGCCGGTCACCTTGGTCTCCATGGTGGCGTTGGGGGTCTCATCGACCTGGGGTTCTGAATCCGGATTGTATTATACATGAAAGACGGAATTCTGGTTACAGAAACAGAAGATAATGTTAAGCAAAAAAGGATGGGGTTAATGCACTCGGAAATGCATACCGGGCACAGGCTCGGGTTCAGGCTGTTCCTCGATTTCTAAAATTAATCGGAAAATGTTAAGTAAAGCTGTTAAAAAGAAGAAAAAGAAGAATAGAGAGAAATCAGGCAACATATTACCATTAATAATAAAGATGTTGAGTTTATGGCGATACGGATAAATGGTCGATTTATTGTATCCAGATTGGGTAAATTCGGGGAAATCCCCGAATTTTTTGGGCTTCTGATTCAAAGGCGGACTGATATCTCCGGCCGAGATTCGACTCCCACAATCCCCTAATAAGGCCCCAGTCCAGGCCACCATCCTGGCTAGAGCTCACGTAATTCACGTAAACCCGGCCTCTTGAGACGGACTTAGACAAACAAAGCCTCCGGGCGGCTTTAATTCCAACCTCTGATCCGGTGCAAAAAACGGATTTCTCAAATTTCATCGTCGCTATCAAGATCTCGCACTTCCGATTTCACTTGACGGCAGATTGGGGTTATTACCACAAGTGTTATTCGAAAAAACATTTACCAATTTGCGTAATCAAAATCAACCTGTCAATTTTTTCGAGAAACTTATTTTTGACCTTTATTCTAGACAACAAAATTTGAGCGGATTATAATTCAAGCTTATGAGTTCTGCTACATCTATGTTTGCAAATCGAGATTCCAAGTTTTGGTTTTCTGTCTGTTTTTGATTTTTCTTTGGCCCGAGGGCGTAAAAAAAGGAGAAGAAACCTGCTGACGGTCCGAAAAACACTTAAAACACCTACGCTAAATCTAAAATCGTAATTTTGATACTAAAAAAGGAACTGTTTGAGTTAGATACACAAATTTTAAGAACTGGATTAGAATTACTATTCTACGCAGTAGTAAATTAATATTGAACTCGAATTGCTAAATCTAACAAGCAAATTAAAAAGTGATTAGAGCCAGATGGAAATGAAGAGATTGATTACATTTCTACACTTACCGGCATTTTCGTCACCGTTTTCGGGATTTGCTGCAGCCGGCATCCTTGATTATTTCCCTAAATTTGGAGGTCATAGAAGCTCCAAGAACAGACACGACACATTCTTATACCGCAATTATGCCGTAATAACAACAAATTCGATATCAAAACTGTAAAACAGTATTTCTTGATGACTTGAAGAGATTTCTCCGGGATTAAAAATACAAAATAGAACCCCCACATTTTACAGTAACCCCAACAAAGGATCCTTTATCAAATCAATCGAATTGGAGTCGGGACTCAAACGCGACGATCCTGCTTGTGCCCCCAGGCACTTGTGGCACTGGACTGAGAGAAGAAAAGAGATCTCAGTTTAGATCAAGGCCCGAAAAAAGTGTGGGCGGCCTGATTTCCACGAAGGCCGAAAACGTGCAAACAGGCCCTGGGCCCTTTGCTCGGCCGCTTCTTTGGGACAGGTAATGATCCGCCTCCCTTCGGCACAAATATAAAAAAAAGAAACTGAAAAACGATTTTATTAGCCATGGAAATACTCGCGGGCAGAAGAAGATATTCGGTTTATTTATTATTACGGGCCTGTCTCCAGGCCCTCAGGGCATAAGAAACAAAGAAACAGTAATCGGTGAACAACTATTTACTTTACATTGACTATAATCTTGTCCGAATATAGCCCCAATATCGACATAAAGAGCCCAGGAAAAGAAGCTTCCCACATAATGCGTAGACTGTGGCATGGGCCATATTTTGCAGAAACCATTGGCCACAACTAGCCAAGAAATACTTGGAATGCTCCAGAATACAGTAGGTCCGAAGATCTGTCTGAGTGAGAAGCCAGAGTTCACTGTACTTGAAGACAGCCATGTAGATCAAGGACATCCCCATCATCACCTGGGAATAAATAGTTTATTGTAATCACTACTTACATAATCAATGGACTCCCAACTTGCATCATACGAGATAACAGACAGCTTATAAGACACCAATGCTGGCAAACTTAAGAATGCGGATACCATTCCTGTATAGATCAGGGAGAAACTTTCGAGGTCCACAACACTGCTTGTAATATGATATGCTCTGTTAAGTAACACTAGATGTAATCCTTGGAGAATTCCATGCATTGGGGACAAAAACATAGCCATCCCATCGTATTCGATATGGGAAAACTCCAGCCAGGACAAAGATGCAGAAAGGGCGATGGGAAGCTGAAAATAAACGAAAAAGGAAAGAAAACTTACAGTATGACTCCAATAAGGCCGAGATTGAGAGATCCCCTTCATTTTTGATGACAACAGGAGTACCGTGATCGTGATCAGAAAGTCTGATATCCTAAAACGGAAGCTCATTCAAATTATAAAATTCTCACCTCAATAAATAGAGGCTTCCAGTTCTGTTCTGCGAATGGATTCTGGATGACAAAATAGTGCAAATTAATTGTAAAATCACCGCCGGAAATACACTGGGGACCACTCCGCTCAGCTTGGGGATCCTCTTCTTTTGGGGCCATCTTTTCAACACAAAAGTATGATAAGAAAGGAAGACGAAGGTCAGGAAATGATGGAGAAAATGCAGAACCGGAGTTCTGATGTCCAGTACAAAGTAAAGAACATTATGAGCGGCCGAAAGGAAGAACGCGGCCACAAGATTAGTCAGCCAGTAAAGGAGAGTTTCCCGACAGAAAAACGCCGACGCCATTCCATCGACTGACTTCTGGAGACTCTGGATCTGGGTCGACGGAAATTTATCTGATTCCAGAGGTTCGGCGAGTGAAAAGAAAGGCAAAGGGGTGTCTTAATTAACGGAGAACACTTTCATCGCCCTTACAACGCTTATGAAGGTCAAACAAAAGAGTTGGGATGAGTTCTGGAAGGTGCAAAATGTCATGGTAGGTTTGCAATACCGGTTTAAAATCTTCGATACCCTTTTCGATACGAGATCTCTCACAATTCTCGATGCCAAAACGATAACAATAATTTTTCATTAAATGCATATAAAGATGGTCACGGAAGTTCTCGGCCTTTTTCATGCTCTTGGTTTCGATTTTCAGTGCAAAAAAAAAAGACGTGCAGTAAAATCGAGAAATCAGTGCACACTTAATTTTCGTTCGGCAGCGATTTTTTAAAGTCTGCACTTACTATCTTTCCCATATTTTCGACCCTGTTGGACAATAAATTTTAAAATTCAGCCCTGACATTTTTTTGCACTGCAAATCGACAGTAAATAAAAAAGAAAGTCGAGAATTCAGCTTGGATTCTGTAATTTAAACAAAGACCGATGACAAATTTACAAATTATCTTCATTATGTATAAAATAAAATTTAATTTGAAATCTGTCTCTTCCTGTCAATGCTTCTAATAAATCTCGGCAATTTTGATAAAACCGTATTCACAATCTTGCATCTCAAATTTAAGTCCATTCGAAGCACTGACACCGCGATAGATGAATTCGTATGACATCAGCATGGCAATCACACCAAATAAGAGAAACTTGAACGCGCTATTCAATTTGAATTCGGGATCGGTGTAGATGAAACAAAGAAGGTAACTCAAGTTGAGGGCAATGCAAATACAAATGAATGACATTGTGACATCCATGTATGCTTGGACAAAATGCGCATTTCTGGAATCATATATGTAATATCAGGAAATCTAATTACTTAAAAGAATCTCTCCAAAAATACGCGAGGACACGGAAGATGACGGAAACAACTCCTGGCAATGTGAAGGTGAACAGCATCCACTGAAACTATATTGCTATATATAGGCCAAACCTACAAGTTGCATGATAATAGGGACTCCATATATCTTCAGCTGCTCAATCTCGGCGGTGTACATCAAACCGGTGGTAAGGATGGCGAGAAAAAGAAGAAGACCAGTGATAAAAGATGGGCAAAGACAGAGGGAAGACCCATAAATTAGTAAAGAAAATCCCAAAAACGTATTACAACAAGCCTAAAACAGCAGTTATAAAAGAAGCCAGGTTGCACCCTTACGAGAACCTTTTGTTGTGAGCTCTCCTCAGGAACAGAGATCTTCTCGTTGGCCACCGGTGAATTCAGATCTCCAAATTTGTTTACAAACATCTGTTAATTCCTATTTTCTAAGTTTTTTCCAACCAACCAGCAACGAATTCTTCTCTATTTTGAATGTGAACTTCAAATTTGCAATCTCTCGCTAAAATTGTTCATTTTGGCATTCTGTTCCACCAAAAATAATATTTTTTTTCTTATTTTTACCAGAATTTGTCGACATGTTCAGATCTCTCGGAGCTCTCCGTTATGGTTCGAGTTTATTGAATCGGGGTTTCTCCACAAGTGGCCCCAGCAAAGAGGTTCTCTTATCCATCGATTGGCTATTTCAGGGCGTTGTGAGTAATATGAATGTGACGTAATTTTTCGTTTAGCTGCCAAATTTAATGAAGCAACAAGCTGGATCAATTTTTGCCCGAATGACCAGTGATGTTGCTTTTCACGATAAAATTTTTGGTTATGAAGTTCAGTAAGTTCTGGTGGTTAACATTGTTTTCGGTTTTAGTGGTGTTCATGACCTAAATTTCCATTTGATGAAGGTTCGCGCATATTTTCGATATAAAAGTCCGTTTGTTAAAACTGAGGTAAGCCCTTTGTGTATGTATTTTTTACCTTGGTTTAGTATGTTGGAGCAACGGTATATGAAGGAGACGATATGATCACATTCTTGTGGAAGTTGTCGCGGTTAAATTCTAGTTTCATTCGATACTTCCCTGAATTTGTAACGGGGAAAAAGGTATGTTTCAAAAATTTTTGAGATGCAGTGGCCTGCTTTGCTTTAATCTGCTGAGGGTTAAGATTTGTTGTTGCAGCAAGACGTAATTACATACGAAGGGGCTCTCGAATGTTATGTGAATGCTGATGGGAAGATTTATAAGATGATCAATCGACCAGTAACTGACGCTGATAAAGAAGCTGCTGCTGAATTTTCCAAGCTAAAAGAAGAAGTTGCAAAGGAAGAAGAAAGAAAAGCCCTGAGGGAAGAATAAGATATTTTTTCTTGGAAGACGAATTAACATTGTTGGTTATTTTTAGGTTGTTATAAATAGTTAATTGACTATTCTGTATTGTTTTTTAATATGTCATTGTCAGATATCGTTACCTTAATTTAAAGTAATGATTTAATTAAATTTTTAGTTTTAGGATGATATTGAATAGGCTTAGAGTCGGCAGATTAGTTGCTGACAGGAGGTTTTTCTCGTTCAATTTAGCATTAAGACAACAAGATGAACGGCCTCAGATGTATCAACTTGAATATATTCAAACCAGAGTCGCTGAAAGCGTAAGATTTTTTTGAAGGGATTCATATTTTCAGGGACCATTAATGTTTCGACAAAAGATGGACTATACATTCTACAGAGAAGATGTGATATTGGAGGATGACATATTTAACGTTAAGAAAGAGTGAGTGGTCTCCTTAACGAGTCCCATTAGAAGGCATTTTATTACATTCTTTGTAGAGGCCGGCAACAGATGATGCATTACTTCGGAATGATTACTGTCGCAGGGCAAATTTTATTCCCATATATTGAGTTTGAAGTGAGTTTATCGAGAATGCTTACAAGGAACTATTTTTTGTTGTTCGTAAAAAGAATTTTCGCTGTCCGCAAGAAAACTTCTCACTGTACTCAAATGTGAATCTTTTTGTATTTATATAACTCAATGTTTAGCAGCAAATTTGATGTGAAAGTTTCGGATGTTACTCCTAAACGTATAGTAGTGAATTTTGCTCTTACTTCTGAGTAATTCACGCGATAGGCAGGAACCCTGGACAAAATATGATGATATTGTACATGATATCGGCGATTATTAAAGAAAAAACATGTACATCCTTTATCTGTTTTTCTTGTATACTGAAGGAGGTCTTGTTACTTTAAACACCAATTGGATTTCTTCTTGGGCAACTTTTCATTTGCGGACAGTCAAAAGCGCGTCCATACTTTAATCTGTTATTAATCTTTCTTTAGTCATTGAATATAATACCATTATTGGATGATGGGACAGTCAGATATCGATGGAGAGTCAAATATTTAAATTGGATTCAAACTCTTAACGTCAAGAATTTTAATCCCGCGATCAGAGACAAGAACGTAAGTTGACATCCCTTGCCGTGTCATTCCAATTTTAGGCCAAATGGTTTGATGGATATTCAACATTCTTTGTTGATGGAAACGGGAAAGTATTCAAATTGAAGCTACAAAAAGTAATGCCGGATGATAATTACATGCAAACTTCCAAAAGAATCGCCCAAAAATTTGCCCAAATATCAACCAATCAGAATCCATCGCTAAATTCAACGGCGAAACACTAACAATGGCCTCGAATTTGCCCTCAGGGCAATTAGGAACTTGACTGGTCTCCCAAATCACCTGATCGGGTTATTTGGTCCCTCTACGTTGTTGTTTTAGGCTTTAATTGAATAAATTCGTTAATTATGGCCATTAAATCCCGTGAAGACCCGGTTCCCGGCTTCAGCGCACCTGTCCAGCATGATTTCTGGCATGAATAATTTGATTCGGCTCTGAAAGGTGCCGAACTCCTGCTTCTCTGCCCACCATCCCAGCCTAAAAAAAGAGGACGCGCTTTTGTTTGGAGAACGAAAAAGAGAAAGCATCCCGCTGACTGCGTTTCCCTCTACCAAAATAGTGTTCGTTTTGGGGCTCGGAAAGTCCGGTGACAGCGGGAAAGGTCCACTCTTTCCCCCTTCCGGCCATATTTGGAATAATAAACCCTGTTTATGTCATGGATAACATGCTCTAGTCGGGTGTAGGGTAGACGGCTGGGTTAGTCTAACAGGGTCACGTGTCGGGATGTATAATCTCGCTCCCCTTCTCACAGCGGAACGGCTGGCGGGATAAAGAGATAAGCAGGATCATTCATATTGGCGGGAATGTCCATGAGATCTCGACTCGTGTCTGGGACCATCTTTAATCGTAGATCACAAGGTGCACAGGAAGTCGTTGTACAATTATGTTCGCATCTTCCTGAACGTCTGACATTTGCTTGAAAAAGAACTTTCCAATCATGAGAGAGAAACGTCAAATTTTATGGGTTTTATGAGCCGAAGCGTAAATTTTTATATTTTATTTTCCCATTTTTCCTAATTTTCTTCGGGTTTTTTATATTGATCATCACTCCAGGTGACAGGACCGCATTCGGCCCGTCGACAGAGCAAATTAACGCATCGATGGAATTATTTTAGACTCCTTTTTGATGTGGCCGTTTTTTGGTTCGGGGCAGCGAGCGGTTTCGGGTTTCGTAACGTCTTCTTCTGTTCCTGGAGGATCTCTTCGTTTGCCGAGGTTTCTCCAAAAAAGAATTCTGACCCGATGAGATCTTGGTTCGGCCGCGGAATCGGCCAGAAAAAGTTTTGTGATGGACAGTTTCCGCATAAGTGTCTTCCTTTTCTCATGTCTATATCGATTTCTTCTGTTTTAATTTTTGTCCAAGATGCGCCAATAGCGCGCCAATGATAAGGTACAATTTTATTTGGATTAAAATTTGTACATTCACGTGCACGTGCAATGTACTCTTCCATTCCGAGAACTTGACTTGTTTATAACGTTCGGTCAACGGATGACTCATGTTTGACTTTACGTGTTCATTCGAGACAGTTGCAAATAAGACGTGATGGGTGAAGAAAGTCTTTGTCCCAGTTGTACTTGTTTTCAGTCCTCCTTTTCCCTTCACAAAAGTTTCCCATGTGGATAATATTAAAAACCTTCATTTTTCGTATCTATGTGTCGTCAAAAATGGTGAAATTTTTGGTCGTTTAGAAAATGTCGTTTTTCCGATTTTCTTTTGGTCCATTGTAATTATTTTTACAATTTATCCTCTACTTTCAGATGGCAAAGAGACAGTACGATCTTCTCTTCAAATTGTTGTTGATTGGAGACAGTGGAGTCGGAAAGACATGCATTATGTACCGCTTTTGTGACGATGCCTTCAATACAACTTTTATTTCTACTATTGGCAAGCTCTGTTTCATTAGATTTATTTCGATTTTTAGGCATTGATTTCAAAATAAAAACGATCGAATTGAAAGGGAAGAAGATAAAGCTCCAGATATGGGATACGGCTGGACAAGAGCGATTCCATACAATCACTACGTCCTATTACCGGGGAGCTATGGGAATCATGCTAGTTTATGACATTACAAATGCCAAGAGTTTCGATAATATCGCCAAATGGCTTCGGCAGATCGATGATGTAAGTCCTTTACTTTTTTTTCTGTAAAATTTTACTTAATTAATGTTTTCAGCATGCCTCAGAAGATGTTGTGAAGATGATACTGGGAAACAAATGCGATATGACTGACCGGAGAGTTGTCTCGAAGGAATGCGGAGAAAGGATTGCCATAGATCACAGTATTCGTTTCCTGGAGACGTCAGCCAAGGCCAATATCAACATTGACAAGGCCTTCTATGATCTGGCCGAAATTATCTTGGACAATGTAAGTCTTATCCTTCTCAATTGTTTCTAGAATAATTTTGTTCGTTTTAAATACCGTTTACACTGGCTTTCTTTCAGTTGCCAAGTTCAAACTCGAATGAGCCTAGTGGAATTAGACCGGCAGTTCAAGAAGGTCAAGGCGGTCGTGCGGGTTGTTGTTAATTGAGAACTGATAGACCAGGCGAAACCATATTCGACAGACACCATTCTGTTGGTTTCCGGAACATTTCAATCAATCTTTTGTTGATAACTAACTTCATATAAATTTTCTGTCCATTCTGTTCGTTTATCAGCCATCTTTTTTTCTAATCTTTGTTTTGGTGATCCTCGCTCCATTCGATCAAAAGTTTTGTCTGAGATCTGCGACCTTAATTATATTCTCATCCAGCTTCTCCGAAGTTTATCCTCGGAATCTTCCTAAATTATCCACCAGATCCTTGTTTCTTTGGCCTTCTCAGTGTAAGATTACTATTTGTTCTTGCGGGCTATTTCTCTAAGCGATTTATTGCTGCTATCCCGAGGGTACTCTACCCTTTCATCCACTGATCGCTTATCTGTAAGACTGCTCTTTTATCCATCCTCTTATAATCTCGTTTTAATAGAGTTGTTCATTATATGCCGGTAAAGCCGAATTCAATAATTGATGGGTGTTCAATATTTGCCCGTGGAGAAGTAGGTATCTGCTACCTTTGCCAAAAATCATATCCCCCTACGCCCCTGGAAGTAATATCTCCAATTTATATCTATCCGACATAAACAAGAATTTATTGGTAGAGTTAAGAGCCGATAGAAGTCTTGCAATTATCTGAAGTGAATTTTAGTTATAAAAATCTTAAGAAGTTTCATACAATCAAGCGTTGTCTAATTTAAATGCCTAATGTAAGGGAAAAATAGTTGTGACTCTGAGAAAACAATCGAAGTCAAAGTAAACTCTGCAGAAAGGCACGTTCATCTGGATAAGCACCATCTATGGTATCTTAGAGTAAAAAGAATTTACAATAGAAGTGGGAGAGTAGAAATCAGAAAAACTACTAAGATTAGGAGAGGACATACTTACAAGAGTTAATAGTAAAAACCCTTTTATTTGAGGCTAGCGAGAAGTCTGGGGGCGTGGAATTCCTCGACGGTGCCGTCAGGACTTAGAACTACAGAACTCTTGGAGGTGTCCACACTCTCGTTACAAACCATCTTATCCGTGATATGCTTTAACTCTTCTTCGCATTGCTCATCCGGCCCATCATTATATTCAAAAGGAAGGGGAGCCAACTTCAGTTCCACAATTGGCTTCATCTGAAGAAAAAATTTGCATTAGCTATGCCTTCAGATATAATTGAACTTATTCACAACAAAAAATCAATAAGTTGCAATAAAACAGAATGATAGATAACTATGGGTCTATATTTTTCCCCCAGAATTAAAAATATTTTTCCCCAGAAAAGAGCATTATAGAAAAACTCCTATTTTCTCCCAGAAAAAATATATTTTCTCCCAGAAAAGAAAATATTTTGATTTGGGGAGGAGAGGTTACCCCGAGAATAGGTTACCTACCGGATAGGTTACCCCAAAAAACAGATAACTCGGAGGATAGGTTACCCCACCGGATAGGTTACCCCACGGATAGGTTACCCCACCGGATAGGTTACTCCACGGATAGGTTACCCCTTACCAAAAAAAAGAAAAAAATTTTTTTTGAAATGTTTTCGCTTCGGGAGTTTAATAAGAAGGATTTTTTGTGAAAATTGAATAAAATTTGAAATGTTTTCGCTTCGGGAATTGGAAAAAAAGGATTTTTTGTGAAATTTGAATAAAATTTGAAATGTTTTCGCTTCGGGAGTCGAGCTGACTGAGTATGAACTGACTGAATGTGAAAGCTGGGTTTCTGTTACCTTACCTGCCTTTAGGGATTCTTTTTGAAAATTTTTCGACTTATAACACTTTTAGACGTTAATGGTGTTGTTTTGGTGCCTAGTACTGCTTAAAAAACACATTTTTAACACTTGGTACTAAATAGTACTATTTAGTACGAGGTGCAAATTTGGCCGTAAGGCGGTAATGGCGTTGGTTTGGTGCTTAGTAGAACCCAAAAACACGTTTTAACACTTGGTACTATATAGTACCAACTGGTACTGTTTTGTGAGAAGTGAAAATTTGGCCATGAGGCAGTAATGGTGATGGTTTGGTGCTTAGTAGAGCCCAAAAACACGTGGTACTATACAGTACCAGGTGGTACCATTGGTTTTAGACAAAATTTTAGTGCTGCCGGCACCACAGTTAATATTCAGTCAGACACCCTTTTTTCTACTTCCGATGCGAAAACATTTAAAAATTTTGTTGAATTTTCCAAAAAATCTTTTTTCCCAGTCCCGAAGCGAAAACACTTGAAAATTTTTTCAAATTTCACAAAAAATCCTTTTTTTCCAACTCCCGAAGCGAAAACATTTGAAAATTTTTTCAAATTTCACAAAAAATCCTTTTTTTCCAACTCCCGAAGCGAAAACATTTCAAAAAAAATTTTTTTTCAGGTAACCTATCCTCGAGGTAACCTATCCTCCGAGGTAACCTATCCGTGGGGTAACCTATCCTCCGAGGTTACCTATCCGAAACTTGGGGTAACCTATCCGGTGGGGTAACCTATCCGCTGGGGTAACCTATTTGTTAGGGGTAACCTATCCTCCGAGAACGAATATTTTCTCCCAGAAAGCATAATTTTGTAAAAATAAAGCACGGAAGTAGTAAAAATTGATGAATTTACTAGTAAAATAAATTAAGCAGTAGTGTAAAATAGTATTTGTGGTAAGTTTTTGAGGAAATACTGGAAATAGATGTAATCGACGGTGCTGATTTCAAAAATGATTCTCATTTTTTGTGATTTTCACTTTTTTGTGGTCAAAGAGTACATTGAAGTGTACATCGACAGCCTTTCTTTTCCGCCTTCTGCGCCGGGAAGAACATTCAGATTTACAATAAGAGAAATTCATCAAAAAAAAACTCATCGGGAAAAAAGACATTCAAGAATAAAACATGAGAGATTACTACCTTCTAAAAGATAGTGACGTCGAAGACGTAGATACCGTGAAGGTTTAATTCAGCACGACAAGGCAATATGTCAGTTCGAATCCAATATTATGCCCTTCTCTGGGACCCATGCATCGTATTTTACATTACTACTTGCAATAAAGTTGGAAATTCCACGTTTTTCCAATCTTTGTTCAGATTTTCAACTTCCAGATATTACTTTAGACGACTTCTTAATTGAGTTTAAAAACCAGTAAGAATTATAATGATTTATGCAAAGACATGTATGAATGAATTCTTTAATGGTTTATTCTTGGATATCTTTTGTTCCCAATGAAAATAAGGATGAGTTTCTCTTATTGTAAATCTGAATGTTCTTCTTGGCGCTGAAGACGACACAGACAGGCTGTCAGTGCACCCTTTGACCACAAAAAAGTGAAAATCACAAAAAATGAGAATCATTTTTGAAATCAGCACCGTCGATTACATCTATTTCCAGTATTTCCTCAAAAACTTACCACAAATACTATTTTACACTACTGCTTAATTTATTTTACTAGTAAAGTTACTTATTCATCAATTTTTACTACTTCCGTGCTTTATCTTTACAAAATTATACTTTCTGGGAGAAAATATTTTCTTTTCTGGGAGAAAGTAGCATTTTTTTCATAATTCTCTTTTCTGGGGAAAAATATTTTCTTTCTGGGAGAAAATATATTTTTTCTGGGAGAAAATAGGAGTTTTTCTATAATGCTCTTTTCTGGGGAAAGATATTTTTAATTCTGGGCGAAAATATTTTTCCCGATAACTATTATTAAAACAGGTTTTGCGAAAGACTCGAGCTTTCAGATTTGCCTTGTGCACATGAAACAGGATGTCGCAGCAGAGCCGTGAAACAGTAACCATAGGTTTCCCTAATCACGAGTATTAAATTTCAGAAAAATTTTTTTGATTATTGGCCTACTGTAGGTGTACTGTAGCTTTCCCGCATTTCCAGGATCTCAGCTACAAGAGGTCGGATTGTATCCGGACCTTCTCTGAATTATAGAATGGACAATTCTAAGCATCTTTCATGTTGGGCACTTTTTCCTATCTGTGCCGGAAGTATTCTAAAAATTTGCATAATTGTCAAAAAATTTACATTTTTCAAATTTTATAGAAAAATTTGCATAATGGCATGACATTTTTATTGCTCTAAAAGATGCTCCGTGATGTGGCAATTCAAACGGTATATAGATCACCGCAAGGGGTTCTGCCTATGTTGCAAACGGGTCGTCTAAATATTGGATCATCAGGATTTAAAGTCAAATTTTGTCAAAAAAATTTGATGTTTGGTATGACACTGCAGGTTGACGCCAAGTCTTTCCCTGATGTGTCAAGTTTCTCTCTCCCGAAAATAATTTTTTTTTATTTCTTGACGTATTGTGCAGCCTGTTTCTCTATGAAGATGGACTGAAAAGTGCTCAAGTAAGTTATTATTAGCAAGAGGAGGTGTTATTTTTTCATTTTATGCCAAAAATGTTGATTTTGTTTCAGGGAAGCGTACAGAATTCATCCAATTCGCAGAGCCAGTTTTTAGTGATCATAAATAATGTAAGTCCGCTTATTTCGTTTTTTCGTGGTTTAGTTAGCAGTTATAAGTTTGTCTAAGACTTAGAGGAGACCTCACTCTTTCGGGTTGTTATGGTTTCCATGCATAAGATCCTTCAAATGTTTCGCCATAATCAGTTTAGGTAAAATTGACCAAAATAGATGTCATGGAGAAGATAAAAAAAATGGAAAAATTGCCAAGAATAGGGCCCCATAGGTCGTCATTAAAGCCGGAAAAGAGCAAACACGGCATGAAAATCGCATTCAGAGCTTTGGTCAAGGTCCAGGGACATCTGAAATTCAGCAAGTTCAAAATGGTCAACAAAGACTTCATGGAGAAGATAGAAATGGACGCAGTGGACATAGTCGGCCCTCGTTTACACCCTCTGAATGGGGTAATCAAGTTTGGAATGAGATGTATTAGCCATTTGTTTGAATTTATTCTTGCCAATTTTTCCATTTTTATCTTCTCCATGAGATCCACTTCCAACTTTAAAACCGTCTCCAAATGGCCTATTTTGCTTTGTTAGAACATCTCAGCCTCTCCATTAGGTCGAAAATGTCCTCTCTCCTCTTGCTGGGAGACAATTTTGCCGTTCTCTTGACCTTTCCGCCTTGATTATCTTCTCCATGACATCTATTTTGGTCAATTTTACCTAAACTGATTATGGCGAAACATTTGAAGGATCTTATGCATGGAAACCATAACAACCCGAAAGAGTGAGGTCTCCTCTAAGTCTTAGACAAACTTATAACTGCTAACTAAACCACGAAAAAACGAAATAAGCGGACTTACATTATTTATGATCACTAAAAACTGGCTCTGCGAATTGGATGAATTCTGTACGCTTCCCTGAAACAAAATCAACATTTTTGGCATAAAATGAAAAAATAACACCTCCTCTTGCTAATAATAACTTACTTGAGCACTTTTCAGTCCATCTTCATAGAGAAACAGGCTGCACAATATGTCAAGAAATAAAAAAAAATTATTTTCGGGAGAGAGAAACTTGACACATCAGGGAAAGACTTGGCGTCAACCTGCAGTGTATGACCAAAGATTGTATTAGACTTCAAAGTGGTTCCAAAGTAAAAATAGGTAATTAAAAATTTGATTTGCGGCATTTTTTTTGACATTTGCACCCAGCCGGCATCGAACCCGGGACGCTGGAATGGTAGTCCCGCCCACTAACCACTACACCACGAAATTTGTCGTACCACTTTTTGCACTTTTTTTGATTGCATCTAGAGCAGAATTTTACGCTGATTAACATATCAAAAAACCAGCTAGGGGTTTTTAGAAACAAAGATTTTACGGCCGTTTTTTTCGGCCAATACTGTATCATGGGAAGTTACAGTAGGAAACTAAAAAAGATAATAGCTCCGTCGTGTTAGCAATGGTCGAAAACATCAGTAAGCTTAAAATTGTTGTATTCAGAGCTAAAATACGACAACTATAAGCGATTACTTAAAAAACAGTAAATTGTAAAAAAATATATCTTAATGGAGGATTTGGCAAAAAACGTCCTTCGCTTTTGCTTAGCATCTATCGACGGTCGTTTTAATGCAAAAATCTCAAAATTGATTTTTTCCTATGTCCACTAACCCAGAAATCGTCTTTTAAAGATTTATAACATTATTTTGTCATAAAATTACATATTTTTACTTTGGAACCACTTTGAAGTCCAGTACAATGTTTGGTCATACCAAACACCACATTTTTTTGACAAAATTTGACGTTCAGAAAAATTGAATTCCTGATGATCCAACATTTAGACGACCCGTTTGCAATATAGGCAGAACCCCTTGCGGTGATCTATATACCGTTTGAATTGCCACATCACGGAGCATCTTTTAGAGCAATAAAAATGTCATGCCATTATGCAAATTTTTCTATAAAATTTGAAAAATGTGAATTTTTTGACAATTATGCAAATTTTTAGAATACTTCCGGCACAGATAGGAAAAAGTGCCCAACATGAAAGATGCTTAGAATTGTCCATTCTATGATTCAGAGAAGGTCCGGATACAATCCGACCTCTTATAGCTGAGATCCTGGAAATGCGGGAAAGCTACAGTACACCTACAGTAGGCCAATAATCAAAAATTTTTTTTCTGAAATTGAATATTCGTGATTAGGGAAACCTATGGTTACTGTTTCACGACTCTGCTGCGACATCCTGTTTCATGTGCACAGCTAGCTCGACCCTTACAAAAAAGCTGTTTTAATAAAACGGATAATGTTTTTTGCCCAGAATGAAAAATGCTTTAACCCAGAAAACGTATTCTTAAGAAAACAGTGTTTTCACCAGATTTTTAGTTTTCTGGGAAAAAAGCACTTTCATTCTGGGCGAAAAAACATAACCTAACTATAATATCATCGAAACGGGACCATCACACCCACTATACTCTAACATTCGCCCCATTTCACAACACTCAAAACTTAGTCTTCTTTGAATTCACACTCACCAAGGAGAATGACACAAGCGCATGATCTCGCCAACCTCCCACTGTAAAACAAATTAGAGCTTACTTGTATTGTTTAGAGTCGTCAAAAGAGTCAGTTTACGGTGGCAACTCAATTTTCAGCATACGTTCAAGCTAGTAATTTTCAAAAAAAAACTCCAAAAAGTTCGCTTTTTTAAAGTCTGGCAAGAAAAAAAAACTTACCGCAGGCTCGTCTGGCTTTGCTCTGTACGTGTCTACAGCATCAACCTTGAACTTGAACATCTCGATCTCACAACTATAAGCTTTGGGAGTCAATTTGATTACAGTATGAAGAGGGACATTCAGATATGGCAACTCGGTTCGATCCTTGTTATCAAAATAGGCAAGAATACATCTTAGGACGGCTTGATGGGATACCACAAGTACGTTGGACTGCCGTTCCAACTCCATAATCACTGGTTCCAGCCTGGCCACCAGATCTTCGTAACTCTCCCCACTTGGATATCGGTAGTGGTACTTGTCCTTATCCCTCTCCGCGAACTGTTTTGGATATCTGCTTTGGAAGTCCTCATAAGTCAGGCCCTCACAAATGCCGGCATCAATCTCATCAAGCACTTTCCAATATTCCACATGAGCTGCCAAATCCTTGAGATAATTGGCGGTTTGAGCTGCCCGGATCTTCTGAGAGCTCCATATTCGAAGATCGTGGGAAACGTTCTCTTTCTGTTCACTTGTATTCACAACTACAAGAACTCACCTCAAAGTATTGTCTTAGCTTTTCTGCGTACCTGACCCCATTCTCACTGAGTGGACTGTCCCCTCCCAAACGACCAATACGATTGTATTCTGATTCCCCATGCTAAAGAAGATGTAAATTAATAATCAATGTCCCACCCGAGTAAGATAGATTGATCTCGGAAGCAAATGGATGTTCATCAAGAAATAGACTACCCGGCTTTGCACATGCCCATTTACATTGTGAACATAGAAAGAGCGACCCGCATTGATGACTTTGATAAACGACAACTCGTCGTCTTCTTCTTCGTCCATTGGTTCATATTGAATTCTATAGTTTTCAATTCGCTTCAAGAAGTCTTCTTTGGCCTCTTCTTGCGTCATTCGGTTTTTGTAATCAGGGGAGCTGATTTTAACTTCCTGAATTTAAAATTAATAAGCGGGAAACTGGTCTACCGAAATGTTGGAATTGATAATCTCTGGGTCATCACAAATACTTTCAATGAAAAAGACCCTGAATTTTGGATCACGGTCTTCTTTAAGACAAAAACTGACTAGAAGGTCTCGACGTTCTCGAGTTGTGTTCGTGGCATCGAAAATCTAAAAATTAATTCTAATATTGAAAAAAGGGGACCTTACCGCAACTTCTCCTTCCTTTCGCTCGAGATACTGTCCCATGTCTTCCATGGCAAGTCTCGCACATTCACTAAATTCAGGCAACAATTACATTAGCTATGCTGCTCTTACTCTCGGATCTTGATTCCCTGTTTGTTGTTTGGATTAAAGAAGTCGGCTTCGCCTTGTTCAGCCAGATTACACGCCAATCGTCGGTATTCACCCACATTGAATGCTAAGAAATAATAAATTATATCACTTTAGGCTAAATTGTCAATAAATCTGGAGAAAAATGGGCTACCCTTCATATGGGCCAGATTTTATTTGGGACAGATCGGTTATCGGCCCAATCTTTATAGCCAATACAGCAAAACCTTTTTGCATCGCTAGCCAACGGGAACCACTCAGTGTTCACACCGGAGGATAGGTCGCCCATGACCTAGCTCGCGACCGCGGTCAAGACGGACGTTCAAAATATTTTCAAAATGGCCAAACTGGACGACTAATGTGCGATAGTCACTTGGTATGCTTGGCGTGACCTAGCTCGTGATGTTCTGAACTCCGTTCAGAAGACAGAACGAGACAATCATTGTTTTATTATTTCCAATCTTTCTTTTGATAAGCTAGTTCGTGACCTAAGTGTGAGCTATCTCAGGATTAGCGTCCAAGATCTTCTTAAGATAATCCTACTAGTTGATCCAGACGCTTGTGGCACTTCAGTTAGGTCGAGTCACAGCCATACTGACAGGACCAACCGACCGTTACGGGTAATTTTAACCACCTTGACCTTGGTCACGACCTTTTTGGGGCGCTTTTTGTCCCTAGTGGTTATGACATTCAAAAAAAATTTTTTGTTTGACTAGCTAAACGGATTTTTTTTGCCAACTCAATGGCTAGCTTTGCAAAAGATTTTGCTATATATTGGCCATAAGTTTTGGGCCGATATCCGATCTGTCCCAGCTGAAAAGTTGACGAAAAATTACCTCTGGTCTTTATTCCTATCCAATTTAAATATCTACAGAGCTTGTGCGAGATGTACGTCTTTCCACGAGCAGGTAAACCAACTAGGGCAATTACATTAGGGACCCGTACTTGTTCACGTGTCGAGTCTAAAGTACAAATCAAATCAAAATTCAAACCTACTAGCTAAAATATGTCTCAAATTATAAGTCCCATACCAATTACAACCCCAAAAACCTACATTGATGGATGTGAATTCGAGTGTGCATACCAGATAAATATTCAAAAAAATTTTAATTGGCAGTCTTAATACCCCCTAAGAAGGTCTAAAAGCAGAGAACACCGCCCGTCAGACTAGAATCAGCTCATCAAGCGATCATTCAACAATTTAAAGTGAAATAAAAACATGAAGATTATGACGGAATTAAACAATTGATTTAACTTTTGCGGCGAGAAGGGTTATCTAGAGAGCGAGAGACAACGGTAAACATACCACCAGGAACGTGTTGGAGCTTGATGTCATAAAAGGTCATTTTTCGCTGAGGAACCATTCGAGCCATGGCGAAAACAAAACAAATCAGAGAGAAGAAGAGTGCTCTTTCTCTATTCCATTCAATTCCTCCATCAATTTGTCAAAAAGTCCGTGCTTTTTCTGAAGTCGCCTGCCTTTGAGCAGACCGACTACCGACCGGAACGCCTTTTTCAACCTCAAACTTCTTTATTTTTTTGCCCGGAGGCATTGTCCTCTGTTCGCTTATTGCCAGATGAATGAGGAAATCAAACCAAAGATCAGCCAACAACTTTTTATCAAAAACAAAAACGAATGTTGTCAAAGGGAATAGATCTTTCAATAACATCTAATATCTGTTCACATCGTCAACTCCATGATGGCATTCACCAGATCATTGTCTGCATTCTTCAACGCTTTTATGGCTTTATTGCGACTGACGTTGGCCTGCGACATGACCAACTCAATGTCCTTTTCTTCCAGGCCGGTTGCATCCACTTCTTCGGTGTCGCTTTCCTCTTGCTGAGGGGCCAAACGGTTCACATTCTGCATGATATTGGCAGATGGAGGCTTGAAGTTCTCGACATCGGCCAGCTGAGCGTGTTGACTCAAATCTTCGATCTTGGCTTCGCCAAAGACGATGTAAGTGTCGGAGCCAGGGCTCTTGTAAACATCTGGCTTATTGATTACGAACAAAATGGATTTGGACTTTCGGATGGAAACACGGGAGACTCCATGGACTGGCTTCAAGCCGAGTTTGGAGAAAAGTTTTCGGGCCTTTTTCTCGGATCTCGATTGCTTGGAACCCTTCTCGGAGACCTAAAAATACCACGTGAGTGTTTTATAGCCCAAGACTAAATAGACAGACGAGATGGAAGAGGTCAACATGCCTGTTCGGAGAGGCCAGCAGCTTCCGCGACCTTGGCTTGTTCCTCCGTGATGACCTGGGCACCATGAGTCTCTTCGTCCTCATCAGAGGAGGAGTCTCCGGAGGTGTGCTTTACCGGCTGTTCCTTGGTTTCGACCACCATTGCGATAACAACTTCTGCAAAAATTAGGTACAAAAATCAAAATGTGTTGAAACCCAAAATATAGTGATCAATATTAAACAAAACACGACTAAAAAGCGACGTTCCGTCTTTACTACTTCTTAAAACGTAGCCGAGGCAAAACACTTTTCTTTACCCGACTATACAACGGCTCAAAGCGTGAAGAAATGAAATAATAAGCGGTAACAAACCGAAGTATCCTAGAGTTCGTTTTCCATATAAAATTTTATTAAGTGAATCATCAAACTATGAGCAGCTCTAGCAAACTATATATGAAACAACTATACACAAGATAATACTGCCGGGAGGACATATATTACACTACAAATTCAAAGTTAAGAAATTCCAAGGCACGTTTAAATTGGGAACCCTGTAGACTAAGTGACGATTCGAATCACAAAAACAGTAGTGACTAAAAAACATCAAGGCGGAAAGACCTCAATTTATATCGTTACAAAGACCCCGCATATATCGATAGAATGTATATATTATTCGTTTCCGAAGCCTTCAGTCATATCGATCGCTGCACTCAACTTCTCGGCCAATTGATCATATGACCGGTAAGGAGGTAAGTCCAGGCGATTGAAACAAGTATGAGAACGAGGTAGCCAATTCTCCTTGCCAACCCTCTCAATGCAGAACAATTGCGGTCCGGTAGATCCAATTAGCTCCGAGAATCCACCAACTGGGACTCGGCAAGTTCCGGTTACAAACTGGAGTAATTTGGACTTCCTCTCTTGGTCCAAACTTCTAACGAATTGCCAGAACCATATGATCTGTTTGCTCTGAGGTGCGTAGTGTCTGTATACTGTGTTTCTTTGCCAATCATCTACATCGATTTCTTGCATTCCACATAGTAGGAGTTCCAATTCTCTTTCATCAAAGTATTGTAGCCATTCAAGCGGGAAAACAGATGTAAATCCACTAAAGAAGGCTCTCGTTTGTTGCTCGATTCCTCGATTGAACCTCCATTCGACCAGCATCTCAATGTATTCCTCCTTGTTTGTCTCGTCGACCTTGCAATCAGTTCCTCCTTCTTTTAGTTCATGCGTTTTCACTTCACCGAGTAATTCGTAATCTACGACGAAGTATAACTCCATATCACAGTCGTCAATGTTGTTGTCCCGAATCCAAACAATCGAGTTGTAAAACTCCGAATCGACGGACTCCAGATCTTTCAAAGTTATTTTTTTATTCAACATCTTTTTGTAAAAAGGCAGAGTGAACCCGCTGTAGATGAATTTTCCATGGAAAAGGGCCTAAAGTAACATGAACTGATTACAAATGGACATTCTTACCATCGCGATAAAACGACCAATGAATTCGAAATATTTTAGATGATCTGGATTTACAAAGCTGGCGGGATTAATCTGGAGAGAATAGTTGGACGTTCCAGCATACATAAACAAGCAATACATTGGATTTAACACTTCGTGTGACAATAAGAAGAACCACTCCCTAAAAAACAAGAATTAGAAAAAATAAACCTTGAGACTTACCTTGCAATTCCACCATAATCGAGCCCATCCTCACCCTTAAACTGTATGTATAATCGCCGTCTCAAATCGACTGCATTCTTTCTCATTATTTCCTGGAAGGAATCTTCGAACAAATTGCCTCTAGAAACTGTTATCTTGACGTGATTTGGAACTCCATTTGACAAACACAAATACCGGAATTGGGCAATTTTGAACTTAAACGTCTTGTCCATAGAAATGTTAAGATTGGAGAAATTCAAGGGCCCAACAGGTTTTCCAGTTCTTGGGTGATTGTAAGTGGTAGTCTTGGTGTTGTGGTCAATAAAGAAAGGTATTCCATGGTCGGTTATGCGGACTTCCCATCCTTCGGGAAGGGGAGAATCCTGCAATCCTTGGGTTCTCGGATCTTCCCATTGGGTAGTTTTATTTACATGGTTAACAAAGTACTGCCTTCCACTATTTGGGTCTTCCCTTCTCTCCCAGCCTTCAGGTAGAGGTCCCAGAGGATCGTCGTGAGCTTGGTAAAGGAATCTTTGTTCCCATTGATGCATGGCTTGATCTCTGCCAGACTGCCATTGCTCATGGGCCGCCAGCATATCAGTGGTTGGTCTTTGCCAGGTAGTCGTTCTAGTGTTATGATCAACGTAGTAAACACGTCCCCGAGGATCTCTTCTCATTTCCCACCTAAACAAATAATTAAAGAAAAGATTTCGTAACATACCCAGGAGGAAATGGCTGATTACTAGGCCTTTCCCAAGTCGTGCTCTTTGTCGTGTGGTCGACATAATACGTCCTTCCATAGGCATCGTGCCTCATCTCCCACCCAGCAGGCAGAGGTTCTTCTGTTCCATTGGAAGAAGACGGTTGATCTTGTGGTCTGGACATGATGGTGTCCCTCTTTCCGTTGTTTCTTCGATCTCCACCGTTCTCCACTCCGTTCTGTGGCGTTCCGTTCTGACGTGCACTTCGCCTCTTCCTCTCTACTACCCCATTCACCATCAATTTTAACTCTCCCACTTTTTGATTATCTTTTCCAGTCAATTGAAGAGTTATGGCGGTGTTTGTAACTAAAAAGATTAAAATTCGATTTATGAATCACTCACATTTCCCGTTATCGGAATCTTTTTTGACCCAATGCGATACCTTGGCCGCCTTGGATCCGAATAAATTGTCATCAAAAAGCTTGTTTTTGCAGTATACCTTGAAGTCTATGACCGATGAGTCCGTCACGATAACATCGAACACCTCATCCCACTGTGGATTGTTGGTCCGTTTCTTGATTCCCGACTTTTTACCGTCGGCAGAATCAACGGAAAGCTCTACATAAACATCTGGTTTGCCCAAGATACCTCCAGATCCGTTCAATTTGGCTGATACAACTGGAATATAAAAATTTTAGGTAACAGATAAACAAAAAAAACAAAAACGTTTAAATTACTGCTCTCCATTTGACTCACCAGTGATCTGGATTGGAAAGGTCTTCGGCGCACTTGTACCATTGGCCATGACGCCATTTCGCGATGAACTTGAAGTCGTTGGTTCTTCGGCCATCTAAAACAAGTTCACTCGGACCCTGGAAAAAGAACAATTGATGAAATACTACTATCAATAAAACTCTCTATCGATTAGTCGCGTTTGCCTTTACAACAAACCGAAAAAAATCGGCCAAAAAACGTCGGGAAGCGGAGGGAAAAAGTCAGACAGAACCTGTTCGAGACAACGGAAACCGAATTGAGAATTCAGGAGAAAAAGAGTCGAGGACAAACATGAAACAATCCACAATGTAATGAGGAATTGCCTAATAAACAAGAAAATATTTCGCGATCCCTCCGGGTCTCCAAGGAAATTATTTCTTCATTTTCAATCGATAAAAACTCTAAAACAATATCTTTCCTGAACGATTTTTAATATTTTCAAATCCCTAGCAGCTCACGCAAGGCGCGAAAAAAGCAAATTCTCATTAAAACACTCTTCATCATTGATCGTAAGCGGCTACGAGCCGATGAGATCATAGGTTTACAGTACCGAGAGAAAAAAAAATTTCGGGCTGTCTCCCGGCCCGTCTTTCTCATTTTTGGCATTCCGATTATTCTACTCGATTTTTTGGAATTTTTTTTGGTCGGATCTGGACGAAATTCTGAACCGGAGGTGTGTTTGGATCCATGTCCGAAAATGTGGAGTCGTTTGAGCCCAAAACACTTCAATTCATATGCACCCAGACTGATTTCTTTCTGAAAGGCATCAGAAGTGTGTTAAAATGTAACAGATCATCTGGAAAATTATGTTTGGCGTCACATTCAGGTATTTTTTTAAGTACAATGGTTCAGTGTTGAGGGTTTTTCTAAACGAAAGCTTGGCAATAAATTGAAATTTTCTGTTTTAGAGCTAGCGGATGTGGATTCTTTGAATGTGCTGGGAACATTCTGTGGGTTCTTTGGTCGTCTGGAGTGTGATGATGGATCCTATCTGCTGCTGATATCACAATCGTCAAAAATTGGACATGTTGGCCCATCTGAATCTCCTGTTTTTCGGATAGATCGACTGGTTGCGATCCCCATTGTTGATGATGGGTCGTTATCTCCGGCGTGCCTTGAAAATGATACAGGATTTGATCGTTTAAAGAACCAGCAGAAGAGGTTGTTTAAGTTTGTGACCAGGAACAGCACCAGCAGTCGGCTGATTGATGAAGTTCTCAAGCTTGTCAATGTCTCGGCCAGTTTCTATTACACTGAAGAACACGATCTTACTTTGAGGACTCAAAGGTATTATTAGTCTTACGATAATTCATTGTTTTAGACATTCCAAGAATCCGTTGGATTCTGCAAACGAATTTTTTTGGAATCGAAATCTTCTGAGCGATTTCTTCGATGAAAATGGGAAACAACTCGGAAAAACCGAGGAATGGTAGGTGAATTTACTTCTTGTTATTGAGTTTTAGGGTCCTTCGGATAATCCATGGCTATTTCGAGCAGAAGTTTTTGTCTTATGAGACGGAATCCCAACTAAGATTGACTTTAATCTCGAGGAGATCTGTGAACCGAGCAGGCTGCAGATATCTGCGGAGAGGAGTGGACGGTGAGGGAAATGTGGCCAATTTTGTGGAAACAGAAATGATGCTCAATATATTCGGACATACGTTGTCCTTTGTTCAGGTGTTTTTTCGTATTTAATTTTTTAAATATTGTTTTAGATACGTGGTTCGATCCCAATTTATTGGAGTCAAAGAGGGTATAGGTATCGTCCGCCATTGTCCATCGAAAAGAGCTTGGCAGAATCTTTGCCTGCTTGTGAGAAGCATTTTAACTACCTAAAGAAAGCGTACGGAACTCCAATTAGTCTGATTAATCTCGTTGATCACACGGGCCGAGAGTTTGCGTTGGGGGAGTCGTTTCTTCAGCACATACTTGAGTTGAACGATGCGGATATTCGATATTTTTCATTTGATTTCCATGATCATTGCCGGGCTCTAAAATTTGACAATGTAAGTTCAGTTAATTTATTTTTATGTTGTTTTAGATATCAGTTTTGCTAAATGCGTTGGAGCCGTCATTGTCATTGACAGGATTTTGTTGGATCGATAAATCTGGACAAATGGTTAGAGAGCAGAAAGGAGTAATTAGAACGAACTGTGTTGATTGTTTAGACAGAACTAACGTTGTCCAAGTAAGTTATTCTTTATATATTTCCATTTATTTTTAGAGTGCTATATCCCAAAGTGTAGTTGCCTGTCAGGCTTTGAAGTTGGGCCTGATCGAACCGTTCACGGATACCCCCGAGATCCTGGTTCGACTCCTTCAGACACTCTGGGCAGATCACGGTGATTTTATTTCGCGTCAATATGCTGGGACGAATGCGCTTAAAGGGGATATAACCAGAGGAGGGCAAAGAAAGCTGGTTGGGCTTGTTAAAGATGGGTACAACTCGGCCAGTCGATACTATCTGAGTCATGTGAAAGATGCTCAAAGACAGAGGGCCATGGATGCCATCACTTCGGGGAATGGAAAGACAATATTCTTGGATAAAAATGAACCAGAGTTGGGTACCGAAGCCAAAGAAATGGAGAAGGTGGAGGAGGAACAGGAACAGGAGGAGATTGAGAACATAGGGAGAATGGTCCATGAAACAGCGCGGTTTGTTTTGCCCGAAAACGAGGTCTTGGTTGGAGGATGGGCGTTAGTGGAGGCTTCAAGCAGTTCCAACCAGGTGGATACTGTACTTCTATTGACAAGGTAGGGGTTTTTTTTGTAATACACTCTGTTTCAAAAAGAATGTTGCGCTACGGACACGCTGAAGCAGAATGTTATCTGAATCCGACGTAAAAGTTTTTACAAACGTCTCCAAATTGCGGTCATTGGGTCTTTCTGTGCATATGGCTTGTTGCGAAACGTAGGGTAGCATCCAAGGTTGGTCCTGTCGCAGCGGAATCATTTTTGGTTGCAATGTTCACGCATTTTTTGTTGCGTATTTGTGAAACATAACTGGATGCTGTCCGACATACGTACGTCGCATCTACACTGTCTGTTCTCATGGATAGGCAGAATGGAGAGATATATACATTTCCTAGAAAATTGCATGAAAGTCTAGGCATTTTGCCCTCGATCAAGTGCAGACACTCGTATTGCAGTCATGTTAGTAAGTTCAGGCGCTCTGGGGCCCATATTCATAACATAATTTGTTTTTTTCCGGTTAAAACTTGGTTTTGTGGTCGAAAATTTGGGCTAATTTTATAAGTACCCGAATACTAGTCCTTCCGGAAAGTCGCCTGACTGATTTTTGACGTTTGCACTGTGCGAAAAAAGTCAGGGTGCGAGCGACAGCCCCAAAAAGCCTATTGCACTGTGCAAAAATCCAAAAATTGCACAGTGCAAAGTGAACTTTCGTTTTCGCGGAGTGCATGTCGCCGATTTCCGTCCGGCGACTGTCCGGACGGACTAGTATACCCGCGTGGTGAATATACCCGGATTTTCCGAACCCTACTTACCAGTTTGAAAAAACTAAATTTTAAAACATTGCAAGCAGAGCGGTTGCAAACACAGTCAGACCTTGCATACTTTTTTTTACCCTAACGCTCCTTCACATCCTCTTTCTTTTCATCTAAGTAGATCAAAGAATCGTACGACGTCTGTAGCCAAGATGTTATGTCTGAGAGTTGTATCTTTTATAAACAGTGTATATATTTAGATCCGAAGTGTTTATTGCCTGTTATTCCGAAGATTCTGAAAAACTCATCGAATTGATCAAAATCGACTTCCCTGAAATCAGATTACTGGAAACTGGCCCCATCGATAACACCGACAAGATACATCTGAGGATTCATTGGAAGTCGGACGGCCAGCAAATGTCTAAAACATGGAGAGCGGCCAATATCAGACTCTTCAATAATGTCGCCATCCTGATCAAGGACGAATCAGAAGGCGACGAATATGTTTTATCCATTTCTGAGCAGCTGAGGATTACCTTACAAATGTGCGGACATCCAGTTGAACTGAGGAAAGTATCCAAATTGGATTCAAATGGAAGTCCTTTGGCGTAAGTTTTTATTCACAACTATTGTAAGTTCAATTTACAGGTCTGCTCGTACGAATATACTGAATACTTTGAGCTCCAGGCTCAGATTGCCGGGTGTTACGAAGAGGTCTACTCCTGGGAAAGAGCTAACTGTCCCTTCGGTAGGGGTTTTTCGTCTTTTATGCAGAGTATTGTTACAGCAGATGCCCCAATCAAAGTCCGATGGGCTCCTATCGAGTTCAGGATTTATTGGAAAGCTTCAAGACAAGTTTAAAGCTCCGCTAACAAAGTCTACCAATCAGGTTTATGCAAACGAAGTGGCAGTTTTAAGCTTGGAAGTAGGGAAGCCGGAAAGGGATCCCTTTGAATCCTACAAAGATCGAATTCTTCAGTCAAATTCTCAGGTTGTGATGCTCTAATCCTGTGATTCTAAAATTAACTTTACTAACCGCGTCTTATTTTGTTTGTGGTATGCCTCATAAGTTCCACTGATGCCAGTTTAAGTGTGAATTACTTAGTAATTCAAATATCTCATAGTTCTAGTCATTAATGTCTAAAATAATCGTTTGTAAATACCTCTTCAACTTCACTTCATTTTTTACGTTTTCACTTCCTCAAAGTAATGGATATATATAACAGTAGTGATAACGATGAAGGCATTGCTTTGCTTTAATCCACGAATTGAGCATAATTTGCTACCATAAATAAATTGGAATAATAAGAGAAATGTACGATTAGTCATCGGTATTAAATGCTTTGCAAAGTATGTTTAAAATATACTACGTAGTCTATATCCGCAACGGTTGGATGTAAGGACAGAAAGAATAAAGAAATGTACAATCGAGAACGTATTTTTGGGCATCAAATGGGATCGGCAGAAAACGGACATAATCATCGTTGATAATATGAGCACGAATCACGATTCGACATAGCTCCTTCAACTTGGGCATCAGATTTGATCTCCTGAATGGGTAGAGTAACTTAACATCCTGACTCCGTTGTGTTTCAGAACGCGGCATCTCAAGGATGTTGAGCAGATCCCCTTTTCTGGAAGCTTCCACAATTTTATTTACGAAGTCCTGCATGTCATCTGATTGGAGCAGAGCATTGGCCGAGCCCAGACAAAAACGCCCCTTGAAGTAGCCGATCCGGCTATGATTGACGACTCCATTTGTTTTGTAAGTGATGGAAAAGAAGCTGGAGAGAGAACCTCGAGAATCTCGGAACAGAAAAGACCCATCCGGTCGGCTTCGCAACATCAGCTCTGCACGTCCCGCAGTTATCGAACCGTAATAACAACCACACTAAAATGGGAGTCATAAGCAAAGGAATCCAACGCTCACTTTCAGTATCTTCTTCATGCTTTCGGCCAGGGTTAGACAGTACGCATCTTCAGCCGCTTGATCGCATGTGGAACTAGAAGCATGTTGGCATCTTCTGGCGGTTAAAATAACCCGTGGTTCTGCACGTCTCATCTACAACGTTTACGAGAAACATTAAGTAAACGCATTATTCAAGTACCCTGATGACAAAAACATGTGAAACCAAGGGATGAAAGCTCTATTTATCATTTAATTTAACGAAATAACCGTATGAGACGTTTTTGCCCCCAAGCCGGGCGTGGCTGGGCAGATTGTGTGTGGCCAAAGGGAAAACGAACGGAAAAGGAAAAATTATATCCCCAACATCACCGAAATTTCTGGTATATACCCACGAGGTTAAAATACCAGAATTTTCCGAACCCTACCTCGTACTATACAGTACAACCCGCTAAAAACGTGTTTTTTGCGCAGTACTGGTTATCAAACCAACAGAATTAACACAATCTGACCTTATTTCTACCTTGTACTAGATGCATCACTTACTTATAGTACATAAGTAGTTTATACTATAAGAACTAGACCGATACACGTTTGCCCAGTTACAACTAGCTTGGCCAGCCACAACTAGCTTGGGGACAAAAACGGGCCCAGTCAAAATAAACAACCAAATATTCTATTAGTCAAACCAGTATGTACAAATATGACTTCTGAAATATGTAAAACTGAAAATATCACATAATGCTCATGAAAAAGAGATCAATTCATCCTTTGTGGGCCCTGACCGAAAGGCGGCATGCTATGAAGTTGCTGATTGGGCATGTTCATAGGCATGCCCGACGTCATAGGAGGTTGGTTCTGGTACATCATAATATTCTGCGGATGCCATCCTTGATTGGGCCCTGCGGGTATTTGCCCTAGATTTCCGGGAATTTGTCCCGGAACAAATTGTCCACCTCTGTTTTGATTTGAATGAGTAGGATCCATACTGTGCGAGGGAGCACCTCCCATTTCTTGAGAATAATATGGCGGAGGCATATTCGGGGCCGTCCTCATCGCCATTTGGCCATATTGTCCTCCGGGAATTACTTGAGGTGGGAAATGCCCGCCCGTACCCGATACGCCTGGAACCGGTCCATGTTGTGCTTGCCCACCTGGATGCACTTGGCCATGGGAAGCAGGGATTAGATTAGGCGGTCGTCCAAAATGCTGAGAGTTTATGTTGGGATTCATGTGATTATTCGGGAATCCAGGTGGATTCTCCACTCCTGGCATCCCCATCTGACCTTGGGGTGGTTGTTGATGATATCCAGCTCCATTTTGGAATGGCTGATTCGCCTGAGGTGTAATATGAGCTTGCTGAGGAAGCCCGGCTTGTCCCATTGACGGTGCGGGGCCGCCTTGATTTGGAATCTGCTGTGGCAATGGAGGAGCGGGCATGCCCATCTGTGGATTAAGAGGCATTCCTGGATGAAGACGAGATTGAGATCCGAAAGGATTGCGACCTTCAGCTTTCATTGCGTTATATTCAGCCAGAGAGGGTACGGTCACCTGCCATTGATGCAAAACTTGGATCAGGCTGGCATGAGGAATGGATTTGTTGAGACGATCACTCATATCCATCACACCTTGGGTCTGGAGGAACTTCAATTTATGTTGCATCGACTTCGGGAAACGGCTGATTGCCTCTTCGGTTTCTCTAGTAACACTGAATCCCGTCACTGTGTATTTGAATTGATATAACAGATCACACACAAGGTCCTCGTATTTTAATTCGGAAACTGTTTTTAATATCCTGGGGATCATATCGTAGATGGTGATAATCAGATGCAGATAGGCCTTGCTCCACTCCTTTTTGCTGGTCTCTTCCCTATCATGCACTTTGCTGAGATAAACAGCCAAGATACGAAGGAAATAGATTAGTTGAGTCTCGTTGTTGACCTTGGGTGCAAGATTTTGTTGAATGAAATTACAGAAATGGGCAAGGCTGTCACAACAGGCATGCTGGATGAATGAGTGGACAAGGGCCAGCAATGTTATCATCCTGTCGTCTCTATATTGCATGATTTCGATGTTGAATGAGGATAACATGTAATCAGGACTCTTGGAGAGAAGTTCTGGCCACTCAAATGACTTCTCGACGATCTTGTAGAAATGCTCTTGATAGTGTTTGGGAAGATGGGTTAGGATCAAGGCAATTGAGTTGAGTCTGTCATATGGCCGATTGATTGGACGAAGGAACATACAACCAACCAATCCCTCCACGATCTTCTTGCTGCTTTTAGGAGATATCATCAGCTCCAGACATCCAGCAGTGACTGCCTGAGCAGCTGGAGGAAACTCGGCAAGGCGCCAATCATGACAGACAAAGTCTGGAGGCTCGTGGATGTAAGTCGAGGCGGCCGATACTCGGTTTACAATCTCCTCACATATCTTAATCGGAGCTTCCTATGAAGAAACATAAAAAAATAACACTGAAACTTACTGAATGATTGTTGTGGATGAATTCAGCAGTCAGATATGGATACTTCGACTGCCTATCATCGTCCAGTAACTTTCCAACGGTCTTTACAAAGCTCACCATATCCGAGGATTTGAAATTCTTTTCGAGAACAAAGACCATCTTATACAAGGAGGTGATTGGAGCAGCTGGAAAACGTAGAATTTATTCCAATACATCAAACTTACGGTGATACCGATACAACGGAGCCAAGAACTTGGCCAGGCCATCAATAATCATCCCATCCATGCCGACTTCGAAGCATCGCATGAAGAGAAAGTCGACCAACGGGACCAATCTCTCTGCCAGATTACTGTAATACATTAACACTGGTGTTTCGGAGTTGATCTCGTTCTCGGATATTCCATCCATTCGCGGATCCGCATAATCAAAATGTTTCTACAAACCCCAAATTAAATAACGCATCCTGCTTTACAGAGTACTCGACATGTTACAATCCTTACTCTATTATATTCTGCTTGTTTGGCAAAGAAGTCTGCAGACTTGTAAGTGAAATAACTGTGGGTTGAAGGGACATAACTATACAGATAGACCAATCTCTGTGCCAATTCATTGCTCTCGCCTTTGCTCAAGAAAGTGTGGAGAAGGATCAAGGCCAACTTGATAGATTTGTTGTCGTTGGGATGTACAATCAGGGCCAACAGAAATCTCTCGACAGGAATCCCGGGCCTCACAAAGATCATCTGATTGAGAACGGTCATCATCTTCTCGATCTCACTGTCCGATGTCGCGTTTTTACATTTGAGAATGACATAATCGACCAGTCGATTTAGACTCACCGTCAGTTCGTATATTGTCATCGATTTTACCATTCTAAAAACAGATGATGATCTAAAAAGTTCTTACTTGAAGATCGTGACTGGAAGTTGGATTCCTTGAGCACCCGCCTTGAACAAAATCACCAAAGTGTTCTGGGTGCACTGAGGCTGTGTCTGCATGTTGCCTAATTGGTGAATCTCGGCATCCGCTGCTCTATCCATAGCATTTACATCTTCAATATCCATCGCTTGTTCGTATGTGACCTCTTTCAGACAAGCCGGTAACCATTTGGCGGTGCATTCAGGAAATCGGAAGGTCTCCTTGATTAAATCGATGTGGTAATGGAGGTTTGTAGTTCCATCGCAATCGGCTAAACAATTAATAACTCCCACTAAAAACAAATGCATACCAATCAACTTGATGGACATGATGAACTGAGTTACGATCAGTTTTACGATCTCCGGACATAAAATCAACTCTTGACCAAACTTCTCGCTGGGTAAGAACAGATTTATACCTGCCAAGAATGCGATTACATCAACATATAATGTGATGACTTACGAATTTTTTTCAGCGACATAATACAGGGGATAATATCAAAGCAGGGGGCCGTCATCAGCTGTCTGAGAATCACTTGCTCCATCAGCACATACTGAGGAAGTTTGAGGGATGCTGGACTGGTTAACGGAGGAAGAAGATCATGGGCTCTCCCGAACAATTGGATCCTGAACATAAAGGGACCGGTCAGAAAAGCGGTTATATTCTTGAAACGATAGGCCATGATGTCATAGAAGATAAACGAAAATCTATCGGCCGGAGCTGTGCATTTGGTCAGGAAGGCGAACAGAACACTGCTTGAATTCTTTATGTTCAAGTGGTCCGAACTCAGCAAAATCTTAGTCAGAGATTCTGAAATTAACCATAAATTAGAAATTATAATTGATTAAAATAAAAATAAATAAAGTACCGAACATACCAACTATGGCTGGAGATGGATACTGCTGAGAATTGGAAGTGTTCACGAAATGAAACAACATGTAAGTAAACAGCTGATTTCTCGCTGAAGCTGTCAGAAGATCCAGAAAACTTGTCTCAAGACCTTCTAAAGACGCTGGGCATTGATGTTTAAATGGAAGTTCATACACTCCTTTCACAGAATTTATCTTTTTCATAATTTGAGTGCAAACTTCGGTATTGAACACAGTTTCATCATTGCAATCTAAAAATAAAAACACTATTGAGAAAAATAAAACTTACAGGCATTGGCACAACAAGCCAGGAGTCCATCGTCTTGGGCCAAGCTGACATGTTCCTTTAGATAATTAATGCCATTAGTCAAAATTGCCGGGGGGTTATTTTCTTTGGCCATATTCATCCAAATTGCAGCCGGAACAAAGAATCTGACCAAATCAAAAGCATCGGCACTAGATCCGCTCCAGGCAATATCTTCGGCATAGAGAATATTGAAGATCTCGGTAACTAAACAATATTAACAATCACAGTCTTAAACTTACTCTCATCCTTAGGGAATTGTCGTTTGGAAAGAGAAACACACTGCAAAATCAACCACATCAACTCTCCCTTGGATTTCTTAAAGTTGGACTGATGAGCATTAAAATGGTCTTTGAGAAGCTTCAAAAGTTCCGGGAATGATCCATATTTATGAGAGATGGTGTAATTACACAGATGCATTATGTGTCTCCAATTATATTGCACTTCATCACTCATTACTTTCCTTTTCGTATTCTCTGTGGCACACATAGCTTCCATTATAAGGATGTCCAACATTTCATCGCACATTACAATCTTCTTTTCTTTACTTTTATTGGACAAATTCTAAAAATAAAAAAGTGACAACGACAACTTACATTCAGACAACTCTGACTCCTTGGTTGCTTCATTATCATGTACAGTGGATAAGCTTGAGCGACAACAAAGAGAGTGTTGTACGGAAGATGGGTTTTGGAATTTCTATATCCGTGTTCGCTGAACCTCCATGTATTCCCATATGAAGAGTAAGTTAACATGGATGTTACCGGATAGGCCCACGGTCTCCCAATAAAGGTTGTGACATCTGCAAGGGTTCTGAAGGAAGCGACAACATTCCGGATCTTCTCGGAAAGTCTCTAAAACACAACGAATATTGCATTCTTTATCGTACAGGGTGGGCCACTCGAAACGGGTAAGTTTTTTCTTTGGATTTCTCCGCGGAGACTCCGCCGATTTTCCCGAAATTTAGATTTCTCTGTAGCTGAGACCCGCCATTTTTAACCGGTTGAATTTGAAAAAAATATACTTTGAATTGACCTTTCTATGCCTTCCCAAAGTTTTGAAGAATTATTTTCGAGCCGAAACCGCTAAAACTTTGAAAATTTTTGGAATGATTTTCAATTGACTTTCTCGGACTTGGAAAATTTTTGGCTTTTTTTGGTAAAATCGGGAAGTAAAAAATTGCGTATGCTCTCTCTAAACTTGTTTAAGGAAAATTGAAAGCAAAAATAGTGTTGTTTGCGTTACCGTTAAGGTACGAACTTTCAAAAAAAAAACCGGTAAAAAATGGCGGGTCTCAGCTCCAGAAAAATCTAAATTTTAGAAAAATCGCCGGTGTCTCCGCGGAGAAATTCAAAGAAAAAACTTACCCGTTTCGAGTGGCCCACCCTGTATATATTATATATACCTAAATTAGGTTGACAGTCACTTACAGGTAATTTATGGACAGCAGACGTTGGGAATATCCTGCAGACTTCGGTAATGATAAAGAGACTTGGGTAAAAGTTGTTATACCGATCCAGCAATTCGATTGTCAACTTCTCCAAAGGAAGCAACTGCACAACTTGGCATCCTTCCAATTTAGCGTGCTGTTTCAAACCACGGTCCAATTTCTCGACCAAAACCAACTTCAGGATTTCCCTCATGCCCTTATAATCGATCTCTTTGAGGTGGTCCCGAACAAAATCAATTTTGATAGGGTTGATAGGGACTTGAAAACGGACAATATCCAACGAATTAATCATCCCATATGCAATAGCACTAAAAAGACAACAAATCTGTCCAAAGCTACCAGCGATCAATGACTTACAGTACAGGAGCAACACTTTTTTTGTGCAAAGCGAACAAAACTTTGGTTACAATATTGTCAATCTCAACGAGATGCCTTGTACTATGTAAAAAGTATGTGACCATTGCATTGATGCATAACTCCAAGTCTCTCTAAACACAAAATAATAAAGAATACTGAAAACAAACCTGTCCTTCAACCTTCTTCATCAGCTCCACTATCTCCACTACAACTGCCTCATCATCCTTGGAGTCTTTCTTGAAGTCTTTGAACAAACCTCCACCTTTATCTCCTTCCTTAAAAAGATTTATATACTTCGTGTTGGAGGTACAAGATTTTTTGAATAATCAAAGACTTACCACAAATTTATCAATAATTAAGGCGACTCTTTTATCGTTCTTCAATGTTATACAGGTGGAGATGTCAGCGGGCGAAACATCGGTCATTTCTGGCTCAACACTTCGAACCAACTGGCCTAATATTGAGCTACTCATTTATTCTGATTTCATGAGTTCAGTCAGATCGAACGCAAGCAAAAAATGCGAGAAAAAATTGTTAAATTGCTTTATGCCAAAGAATAAAAAAATGCTGCGGGACCCGATTGGTTTTTCATAAGCGATTACATAAGACCATGATAAAGTTATAACACAGGGAACTCAAAATCACTTATAGGTAATTTTTATTTTCGGCGCCCGGGAAATTCACTTATAGGTAATTATAAATACTTATAGGTAACAGAAAATTATACACAGTGCAGGATAGATAAAAATTTATTCAAACAAATTAAAAAACAACTTGACTCTGATATATTACCGGTTACACATGTGGTTAGCGCATCTTCTGTGCCCTGACGGGGCAAGGATTGCTTCTGTGCGGATTTTCTATGGGTACTCCTGCGGCTAGATGCACTGAAAATAGTCAAAGATAAAGAAAAAGTAAATAAAATTGTCGGAGATAGTTTATTATGAGCTATCCTTGAACTCATTTTTTTGCTTTCCCATCCCAAAAATTAGTTTAAGGATCAGAAATTTGGCCATGAGATTTCGAGACATCAAGTTTTTTATGTTGTACTAGGTCTAGGTGAATATTATCAACATACCTGAGGCATCCGAGAGTCATTTTTTCCAGACATTGTGTACACGTTGTCCATTTACTTCCTCCACGAACATTTTGTGATTATCTGAAATAGTGGGTTCACCTGGACCTAGTACAACATAAGAAAACTATGTCTTGAAAAGTTTCTGGCCTTCTGAAATGTGGAAGCAGTTTAAAACACCTACCAAAATCGAGGAAAGAGTTCTCCATCCAAATTCTTGATTGATCATGCTTGTTCCTAGATCTTCCCAGGCTGTCTGCTCTTCCACTTAGACTTGTTTCCTAATCGGGAAGTTTCTTATGTTCCGGATTTTTCATCTACCCACTTTTTACAGTCCTGTAAAAGAAAAGAACTCACTAGAAACACCTTACCTTGTTCCATCCAACGTTTAAATACCCTCTTTGACCAGTACTGCTACGAAAAACTTAGAATTTCTAAGTCTCGCCCATGCGTTCAAAAAGCCAAAAGCGTCTTTGGCGCTCAACTGTTTTCTTTTCGGAGTCCTTATTGGTAATTATAAGTAAATAAAAGTTCTTATAAGTAAATAAAATTTTTTATAAGTAAATCAAAATAGGCTCCGCCTTTTTTTAACTTATAAGTGAATTTTTGGGAAATATTTTTACCTATAAGTAAATAAAAGTTTTTATAAGTAAATCCGAATCCCCTGTGAAGCAAGTATTTATTAAGTTTTAAATTACAAAAAATGTAAGAGTATTGATTCATGACGACTTTACGAACCAGCATTGCGGGTCTGAAAAATAAAGAAAAAATAAAAATACAGTAAGCTGGAGACGAGAAACAAACAATCAAATACATACCTCCTGAATCTGTCGCTTAATTTGTTCCACTTGCAATCGCAATTCGGCTGCCTGTCTTTGAGCGGATTCTCGGTGTTCTTGGGCCTCCTTTAATCTGATTCGCATTGCTTCCAATTCGGCCTTCTTTTTGATAATGGCGGCCTCCTTGGGATTCAAGGGATTCAGCGTTGTTTCTTCCATCGAAAATACGAAATATCAATAGAGAAATGCAAGGTTAGAACCGAACAGCTGGATCTGATATCTGAAAACAACCAGTCCCCTCAGGGAAAAAGAGAGGGAGAAATCAGCACCTGATCCAAAACCTTCAGTGTTTGGTTCAAAAATATGTTTTCGTTTACGATGCTGCAATCTAGAGCTCATAATAACTCTTGTTAAATATAAAGACAGAAAACCTTATTCATGTTTTTACCGTGATATTTATGTCTAATTCATTTATCATTGCCTTTTCTTTTTTTTTGCCTTGTGCTCCTTTTTTCAATCTGATCTTTTATTATACAGATGTAATCGGTTTATTCTGCCTTTAATATAAAAAGTTATATTTGACAGATGATGTCCACAATAAACGATATAAAAAGAAATAAATTTGAGTCCAATTGATGTTTTAGAGAACTCTGATTGAGGAGAGAACATTAAATGGATAGAGCAACGCCGTTTTATTAAGATGGAAAGCAAGATGTAATAAGGACGGTGTTTTCTTTTTAATAGCCGGACAATTCCTGGAAGGTCTGGTCCAACTCCTCGGAGATGCTCTTGTAACGTTCTTTCTCGTGGACCAATTCGTCTAAAGTTATATAATTAGGATTTTCTTGTAACACAGAAATAGGATTAGAGTTATGCTTTATTACAAGATTTCACAAAGTTATAAAACATTGCAATCGGAAAAAACGGGGTTATACATCGTTTTGTTTACAGGCATGTAAATTTACACACAAACTTACGAGTAATTACACACAATGATGATAAAAAAATCATCATAATGAGTAATTGCTCTGACAGTGATTAGATGATGTATTGCCAGGAAAGTGACAAAGAATGTGATTAAAAGTTGAACAAAGTTATATCTCAGAACACGGATTAGATCAAACACTGCTCAACTCGCTGACTAGCCGATCCAACTCGTCCTGGAGCTGTTTAGACTGGCTGCTGACTTGCTCTTTCTCATCTAAAACGAATTTTAGAAGACACTCCAAACATTAGTTGTTGAATCAACACGTTTGGGATACAATAATAATGACATCATTTGAGTTTAGATTCAGAAATTCACACTCAGAGGGACCCATTCGACAGTAAGAGAAGGCTCGCTGGCTACCTTCGACTTACGATACTACAATGTGGACATGGACATTAATACGAAGACATTAAGACCCCTGGATCTCTTGAACGGTCTGTTCAATCTCAGCGGTCAAGTTGCGAACCCTTTCTTTTTCCACCAAAAGTTCATCTACAAAAATGCAAACGTTTTTTTTTGGATGTAAATGATCGTACCCTTCTAATAATTTCATACAAATTCTAAGCAGGTGGTAACTTGTCCCAGCTAACCTTTTTGCGAGTTTCACTTTCTTTTCTCTCCCTACTCTCTTCTTTCTTCGCATATTTTCTCTGCTCTCTTAACCCTCCAGGATAATATTTCGATCGCCCCCGCAGCCTCCCGGATCCTCTCCGATCCCTCTTCCCTTGATCCCCTCAGGGCGTGGGTGTCTTATTTCTTCGGACGAACAAAAAACACTGATAAAGCGTTGCTTTTCACTCGTTTAAAAATAGGACATATAACACTAAAATATAAAAAAAGTAAAGGCTACAAACCCATGCTGTAGCATTGTAACCGATATTACTAAGCAATGGTAATTGTAAAACTGACCTTCCAATCTGTCAACTTCCTTCTGGAGTTTCTGGACTGAACGTTCGGCGAATTCGGCACGGGTTTCAGCCTAGAGATACATACATTAGAAACAATAATACTTAACTTGTAATGGACGGACAATTCAGGACAAAAAAATGAAAGACAAGACGCCCAGAAATTATACTAGACAACAAATTATGACATAAACACGAATAAGATCCGACCTCCTTCAGCCGAGAGCTCAGGGTTCTGATCTGTTCTTCGTACGAATCCTCACGTTGAAGGGCCTTTTCTTCGCTGACTTCAAGGGATTTCAAGTTGTTACCCACCACTCTCAACTCTTCCTCCAATTCGACGATCTTGCTATACAAAACAGATTACAATTACATCACATGGCTCGGGTTATCTATTTGCTTGAGGAGAAGCGACAGAGTTGTTAAGGAAACGATAAGAAAAAAGTTAGTAAAAACGGAAAACCACATGTTTCACATATATATATATACATCCACATATACGGATATTGTACCTCCTTGAGACGGGTGTCCAATTGGCGGATCTGTTCTTCGTAGGCTTCCTCGCGTTCCAAAGCCTTCTCTTCGGAAAGTTCAAGAGATTTCAAGTTGTTTCCAACAACACGGAGCTCCTCTTCCAACTCGACAATCTTGCTGTAATGTGATTATGATAGTAAGAGAAGACAAAGAGATTGAGTTAGGAAATGAGGGTGTTGTGAGCAGGTAAGTAGCTGGAAACTTACTTTTCTCCGGCTTCGGCACGCTCTTCAGCACGCTCCAAGTCAGCCTCAACCATGGCCAATTTACGGGCGACCTAAAGATGACATTAATACTCAAAAAAGATATCGGTTAAAGACAAGATAGACGGAGAAGTCATTTCACCTCATCGTATTTACGGTCAGCCTCTTCGGCCAGGGATTGGGCCTCCTTGAGTTGGCCTTCGACTTCGTTGGCACGCTCCTCATCTTGAAGGGAACGGTTCTCCATGACCTTGCGGGCACTGAATAGCAAAGTTTAAGGTCATCGGGAATAGGCTTCGGATTACGAATACCTTCCAGCTGACCTCAACGACGCCGTGGACTGACCGATCATACATTTACACGACAAAACAAGTAGCGGTTATGGAAGGATAGATAAAATAAAAAAGGAGTTAACGATGAGTCAACAAGTATTCAAATACACCAACTTCGGAATTATACCTCGTCTGCTTTGTTTTCGGTCTGATGTAGCAGTGATTGTGCTTGGCGGAGTTTCTCCTCGAGCTGTGTGCATCTGTCATCATCCACATCCACCTTGTTCTCTAAGGACCTTCTGGCACTGCAAATGGAAGGTTTGTTAATAAACCCATGTTAATTTGTAAGACATTGGAGATCACTCAAGTTAGATCACACGGAAATGGAAGAAATAAACAAAGCCACTAAGCAGACCTCTTCGTATTTGCGATCGGCATCTTCGGCAATCACCTTGGCCTCGTCGACCTGCACTTCGAGGATGTTGGCTCTCTCCTCATCCTGCTGGGATCTAGTTTCCATCGACTTCCTCTGGCTGAACAACAAAAAATTTACATAAAAGAAGCGGACGGACAAAGACTGACAAAGGGAATGACACAAACAAGAAAGGACAAGGACTGGACTGAGGCGTTGTCGAGGCTGGCGGCCGGTTCTTCTCATCCGTCAGGCCATCCAAGCCTACCGTTCGGATTCATCACAGTTGGCGGAAGCCTCCTCCATCTTCTCGGTGGCGATCTTCAGACGTTCCTCAGCACGCTCCAACTCTTCTTCCAAAAGGGTCATACGACGGTTCAAGGAAGCGACCTCAGCCTCGGCCTAAATTGGGATTAGAGTAGGACAAATAAAGACAAAGCTCAAGCGTGGGATGGATGTTTATGGCAGTGAGAGAGACACTTGAGTCGGCGTTCCGAGATCGCCCGCTTTTTACCGTTCAGATTCGTCGGCGGCTTTCGAAGCCTCGTCCAATTTTTGCGTAGCGATCTTGAGGCGATCCTCGGTTCTTTCCAAGTCTTCTTCAACAAGTACAATGCGACGATTCAAAGCGGCGACATCGGCCTCGGCATCTTCACGCTTCTTCCGCTCTTCTTCGAGCTGTCTTTTGACCTCATCAGCCTCGTCCTTGGCTTGCTCGGCCTCCTCGCGGGCTTGCCGCATCTTCTTTTTGAGGACATCGAGCAACGATGTCTGTTGCGAACCACCCTTGTCCATACGCGACATGATTGCTTATCTGATACCCAAATCGATAAAGTTCTGGAGGGATTTAATTAGCTCTGATGGGGATCTGATCGCGCAATTACTCGAGTAAGAGTTGCGCAACAAAAATCATACAAGGAAAACGCCCACAGGGATGCAAACGTCATAAAGATTCGTAAGGAAAACTTAAGCCTCTACAAAACGGTTACTGCTTTTTGAGAAATAACTGAAATCCCTAAGTAGTGAACTTAACCCTGTAAAACTCGAGACCTATCCTCGAAACCCGCACCGTCGATCTCAAAGACAGGAAACTGACAAAGGAACCGACTCTCGAGGATGTTCGAGTCCCTTAAGACAAACAATCCCCATCCAGAGAGTCCTATCCTCTTCACTTTCCGCACAAAATCCCACGTAACTGTTAAAACAAGGTCCTGCTTATCAGGGCGGGCTGATTCAGGTCTCTAATTCCTTTTCCCTCGAGGCCTTAATCGGTAAAAAAGAGAATTCAGAAAAATAAAAGAGAAAGGTCCGCTCCCGAATACATTCCTCACCGTTTACTGTAACAAGATACAGTGGAATTAATGAAGAATGGGTGGGTCGAGAAGGAAGAAAGGAAGAGGCTCGAGCGGATAAATTGTATTATTTTTGATTTCCGCCCATTCCGAACTTTTTTGATGTTCTTTTTCTTGTCTTGTTCAATCCTTTAATTTTCTCTTTCACACAAAAAACATTAAGATGACGATGGAGAACAAAAAAAAGACGGAGATCGACTGGTTTCCCAAAAGGAGGGATTGGAATTACCCGTCAAGATAAAAAATGGAATTCTGAATCAGTCAATACTAATCTGCCCCACTCCTTCGCCTCTTCACCTCCGTCGACCCTGAGGGCTTTCCTCGTCCGGAACCTAAAAGGGCCATTCAAAATAAGGAAGAGCACAATTCCCTTTCTCTGCGGGCCAGCTGAGACCTCACTCACTATTACTAATACTGCAGCAACTTGGAAAAGGGTTCAGTAATTACTGGGGATGAGCATTTGTAATATTGATATACTAACGACAACAAAAATCAATGACGAAAAACTAGTGGAAAACTGCCTCCAGACAAGGACGTTGTTCAATAAATGGAACATTCCGAATTAATCAGGCCTTCAGTCAGCCGCAGAAAGACCGAATTCGGATTGTAAGGCCTTTTTTCAGTACTGTTAGCATTTTTGTTTCGCCCATCTGATTCAAAATTCGACGGGCCTGTGAATCAGATTGTTTTTTTTCGCATTTCTGTCGCGCTTATCGCATGTCTCTCTTCGCCTTTACATCCTTTCCGACAAATGAGTAATATAATTGTAAAAAATAAAAAGATTACTCCAAAATAAGAGGATCGTGGAGCACTCGGGACTTACTTCTTGGACCTTCTTCTCCTTCTCCTCGAGTTGGGTGTTGGCGGCTGCCAGATCTTCCTGGGCCTTGTCGAGGTCGTTCTCGGTCTGCATGTTCTTCTTCTGGGTGTCGCGAAGTTCTTCCTCGACGCGCTCCAGTTTCTCCTGGGTTTGACGGGCTTTCTCTTCGGCGGCATCGGCGCGATCGAGGGCGTTGTCCTAAATATTCAAATTATGAAATGTTACGCAATAATTTTAAAAATTATTATGACGTCGAATGTAAATAAAAACAAGGGTGCGATACCTTCTCGATCTTCATCGCCTGCATCTTCTTCTTGATGGCGTCCATGGCTGCTGATTTGTTGGGGCCGGAGGCAACAGAAAAGAAAAGACCTTAAAAAGGAAATATTTCATTTTGTCCTAGTTAAATATTCCAAAATTGTAAATACTCGCATGAAAAGAGAACCCCGACAACAACATCAACATTGACCCGAACTTGAGACCCGCGGCCGTCCTGGGCACTGTATCAGCCACTTCTGAAGGCCCCATTCCCGGCGTTTGGTGGGGGAGAAGCGACAAGCCCTGGGGGCAACGGAGAGAAAGACGAAAGCAGAGGCCTGATCTCGATTGCCAATCACCAAAAACAAATGCTTTCGGCCGCCCGAGGCCCGAGACAACTGGGTCCCGAGGGTTTGGCCAGGGAAGTGGGTGTTGGCATCGCCATCGCCTGGGGGACCCGCCTCCGCCTGCCGCCATTTGGCCTTGATCTCGGCACTTTTCAAAGTCACCTGCCTGCCGAAACTCTTCCGAGAAGTTGGGAGCGGGGGTGGTCTCGAAAGATCCCCCAAATATCCAAAAGAACATGCATATCAAACCCCAGAAGTGTATCAAACCCCAATAAATCATCTCCATCACAGCTACAGAGATCAATTCCGATTCTCGGAGTTCGGTCTGAGGATTTGTAATACATTATAGATGCCCCAACAATCTCCAAATGAACCGGGAAATTGGCTACGCTAATCCCATGGCTGTTCAGCAGGTCTTAACGACCTCTCTAACGACGGGCTGATAATCAAATCAATTCATTACTCTTATTTATTTACGATCGCATAATAATTAAAATCGAGAACATCGTCTTCGTATCGCTATTGACTTATGAATGTAAAAAAAAGGATGATACTTTCCGATAAACAATAATTTACATTCTACATTATAAAAAATACTTAAATTATATTGAACTAGACCTCTAAACGATACGAAGGCGAGTTATGTACAGAGAAGGGAATAATAAAATATTCAAATTGGCAGCTGACTGTTTCATTTTGGCAATTCCTCTTATAACAAATGCAGATCAACAAAACCCGAAGAATGGGAAGCGAGAGAGATGGGAAGGGAGAGAGTGGCAGAGAAAGAGAGATTCAAAAATCTTCCGAGATTCTCTTCCCCACTCGACGTCTGGCACTGAAGGCTGACATGTTCTAAAAAGGAGTTACGTAAGACTTCGGGCCATACATGTGGTACATCATAGTAATCATAACATTATATTACACTATTATTCTATTGTAATCAACATGGACTGCAGTGAAAATAATGGAACAAAGTAGACGCGGACAATGTTCATCAAGCTATTCATTTACCTCGACACACAAGACAATCAGTTCTCTATCACAAGAAACTTCGCGCGGTTCCACCATAATCTCCTGCGCCTGAGGGCCTACAAAAGTGGCCATGCCGTAATCGGAATGCCTTTCTGATCTCCATCCGTTGCAGAACGCATCGGTCACACGATTTCCAGCAGCATTCGATCCATGCCAAATCCCAGATTCCTTGCTAAAACTTTACTTTTTGTTGCGAAATTGTGACATCCCGAAAAAGATGACTATTCGAAATGTAATTACCGATTACTGAACTGGTCGATCCCATTGAAACTGAGAATTTTTGCCTGGGGTGCTTTCCCAGTGAACAAACTCTCCCAACTATCGAATAATCGATCTCCTCTCACATTTACAACTGGATATTTCCTGTCATCAAAGAAGACGATCTTATTCAGATCCTGAACTTTGGAAGATAGGAACGCCCTAAATGTTGTCTTGAAGCCCGATCTTCGAGCCTGACGGTAACATTCAAGATCAGCTCCACGGATCCCTCTCATGTCACCTCGATATAGTTCATTTAGAGCAATCAGATGCAACTAAAATAATATAACCTATGAAAGGATTCCCCTACTCTTTGTTTTCCATAATGAGGAGACAATCTAGAGTCGACGGTATTCTGATAAGGTGAGTTCCCGTCTTTTTGAGGCTTCTCTTTATGGACGTAATTGTATTGATTATACTTGTTTGCCCTTCCTTCATCAAGAACTGGTCGAGTATACGGTAATGGAGGTGCTGGAGTGGAATGTTGACTGATATCCCTCTAAAAATCAAAGGCTTAGATTAAAGATGGAATAACCTTTAAAGATCACAACACGACAGTTTGAAAGGAAAGGAAAAATCACCGGCTGAGCGACCGAACGACGTGCACAGGGAGCACGATCAGCACTATCGGCGTCATTTTCAAGCTACAAGAAGCAAGGTAAAAACGGAAAAGGACAGGGAATCGGCGCGTTCTGGAACAATCTACTCACCCAATACGACAAATGATCTTTGGCTGGAGCATTGGCCATATAAATGGGCTGAAAAGATGATCGACTAGTCAATTATTCTTTACGACTCACCGCTGACGGCTTTCTTTCCATGGAGGGGTAAAATCCATCAAGCTAAATATTACGGTATTACATTTGAAATCAAAAAAAAAATTAAATTGAAATTACGTTCAATTTATATACAAATAATCCTCGAAATCCCTTGCCTTAACTCCTTGCCAGCCATTATTAACACGGATAAATAGTTGCTGACTGGACAAAGCGAAGGCCAGACATCCTACGGGAGTCAGGGGTGATGACGAGAACAACTCCACGGCCGTTTCATAAACTCGTACCCCACCCTGACCCCCTCCAGACGAAGCCCCATCCCTTCCTGGAGGCCCTGGAGGTCCTGGAAGCCCGTTTGAGCCCCGAGGGCCGGGGATTCCGGGTATTCCAGCTGGTCCCGGGTAGCCGGGATCTCCTTTTTGGCCTTTCTCACCGGTCGATCTGATTGGTTCGACTGAATATTGAGAGTGATGGTATGGTTTGGCCTCGGAAGACTGTCCTCTCTCGCCCTTCTCACCCTAAATTATGCTGTTATATCGTTTTAAAACAGATTGAACTATTCTAATAGAGTTTACCTTTACTCCCGGATATCTGGCAATTCGTTCTACGTCAGCAGCCGTTAATTCAAGACGTGGTTCCATTAATGGGCACTTTTGTTCGCACTAAATAATTAAAATTATCAACTAAATTAATACGCTTGTATAACATAACAACAAGAACGACAAATAAACTTACAACTCCCGGAGGTCCCATTGGACCTGGAATTCCAGGTAAACCAGGTGGACCAGGCAGACCAGGTTCTCCCCTTTCCCCTGAAATAACTAAAATTTAAAAAACTTAAATGTAATTTGTGAACTGAGTAGGCAAAACTGTTAGAGCAGACCGCGTTAGACATCATATTCAACTAGACGAAACCATTGACAGAAGCTAGATACCCTGGGGGCCTGAAGTGGATTCAGAACCCCGACTCCAGAAGGACTGGACCGGGTCCGCGTGGACACTATACCGGTCGTTATACGAGAGGAAGGGGAGGATCAGAGAATCGTCCTCCAAAAGAAATGGAGAGCCGTCTAAAAATTACGTCATCATATTCCAGACCATTATCTGACACTATTACGTAATGTCCATAACTTTTAATATTTTTTTTGTTTCCCGTTACCTTTCAACATGGGAGGAGCCATCGGATAATCGGCCACTAATTCTGGGGCCCTCGTGGTGCTGGTGGTCGGATAAGTCGACTGATACGATGTCTGATATTGGTTTTGAGGAGTGCCCTCCAACTCTTCGGGCTCTCTTTTCCCACTTCCTTCATCCTAAAATATAAAATAAAAGAAATTAGCGCTAAGAAAACTTCTACCATACAAATTACTACATCACAACACCGTTACCTTTCGGTTTTGTTGTTTTTTCTTCCACTTAAATTAAAATATTATAAAAACAAAACTCTCGGCCCTACCCAGATATCGTTACACTGATTAGCAGCCTCTGCGGGGTTGTCGAAGATCTTGAGTTCTTGGATTGAGCCCTGAAACTTGCCTTAGGTGAGTCCGGGTCCTCGTCCAAGTAATCGTCCGTAGAAATACGGGAAATGTTCTGCATGAGACCTGCTACTCGATTATGTTCTTCCTCCTCACTGCTCACATAGACATCAGAAAATTGAGGTGTTGAAGAAGAAACCGATATGGATGTGAAAGATGAAGACAAAGAATCAGAAGAGGACTGAGAGGATTGAGAGACAGAAAATAAAGCTTCGGCATCATAATCCTCTTTTTCTTCCTGGGTCGAAGTGTCATGTTCAGTGTCTTCATCCTCTTCTTTGTCATCATTATCGCCATCCCTTGGCTCTTCTCCAGATCCCACTGAAGTCTCTCTAGATTCACCTCCAGAATCATCACGAACAGAAGCCGCCGACAATTCCTTCATCTGATACTTCTTCTTATATCCAAAACAGTCATTGATAAAGAGTAATATTACTAGAAGCCTCAGGTCCATTCCCTCCTCAATGGCTAAAAAAGTTGCGATAATCGAGAAAACACCACTCGCAGTTTACAATGCGATAGGGCAGAGTCTAAAGAAGGTATCATAAAGAAAGCCGCCGTTCTTCCATTTAAAGTCCTGAGGCGTTTAAAAATGGACATAAACATTAAAGATCGCCGGCCACAAAAAAGAGGGTAATTGAATTCAAAAGATTCAAAACTGAGATCACATACAAGCGCAATCTAAAAGAGCAGGTGGAGCAGATCGGAGAAAGAAATCAAAATATTCGATGACGAACCAAGATGCAAATTTGGTCTCAAAAAAAAAACAGAAACGGCAGGTCCATAGACCAACGCTTTTCTCGGACAATGTTTAAACGACGACCCGGACTCGGACTCACTTCGAAACCGCCTCTTAAGATCGGACCGGCATTCGCGACGTACAACTTGGAAGCGTCGTCCATCTGCAGATACTCTGGATTCCGACGGATCTGAAGATAAACATTTAATATGAATTTAGGACGTATTGATTATTATGCTTGTAACATATAATTCTAAAGCTTTAAATTTATTTTCAAAGATTTTGATAACTCTTGCTTTTAAAAAAATTAAACAGGATATTACCGTCTTTGATGCGTAACGAACGCATCTGAAATACAAGATCACATTGTCTTCGTTGACCTCAACCGCCAGTTGAGTCCATTGGTTGGTGAAGGAGGGGACCAAGAAAGAGGCCACCACCCTCGAAGAAGTCGCTTCGTATTCCGTATCCGTGTAAATTAATGAAATATTTGTTTGCGAATCGGCTAAAATCACATTCGATGGAGAAACACGATTTGTGCTTACGAGCTGGTTGCCATTTAAGGCCCACATCAACTACCGTATCAAATGCATTGACAACTGCAAAAAGATACGATTCCTTCTCATCTCGAGGCTTCACGGACGCCAGAATTGCAAAGTTGCGGTAAAAACGTCGCGGAAGATATATCCGATATGGAACAACAATCTCGGCTCCCTTCTAAACAGATGCTGGTTTAATAGATGCAATATAAATTTATGCAGAATATAAGCTCACCTGAACTCCCACCGCCGGCAATCCATCAAGTCCTTTTGTTCGGAAGACGTGACCTCCAGAATGAAGCAGATTCTCGAGAGGAGTAAGCAGATTCACCTCTGATTCGTCATCTAAAACAAAGTCAGATAAACACCTCTGTAACGATGGATTGATCTCCCCTTGTCCTAGGCCAGGTTATGATGGGAATAGTACATAAAACCAAAGTTATTTCTCCCCGGAGATTAGAAAAAGATTCGTGGAAGGAAATTATTGGAGATTAGAAGCCGTCAGGCCCGTCCCCCGAGGGCATAACCCTAAGCAAAGTTTTCGGCCGCTCTTTTTTATGTTTTTTGTAAAACCTTCTTTACACTTTTACGTTGTATTATTATTTAAGATCAGCGAAAAATAAATAATTAGTAATTTCAACCCTTCATTCCTTTTCCCGAATATTAGGTCGAATTTTTCTGGAGGTCGTTGCATTAAAAACAAATTCTGAATACGGTGCCTTTTTCTAATCCCTTTAATCCATTAAACTTGAAAAAACGCCTGCGGCATAAAATTTCAAAAACTTTTGAGTTTCCGTTTACAAAAGGGAAAAGATAAAATCGATAAATAAAAAAACTGCCAACAACAATACTACATCCAGAAGACGGTATCTACAAAGAAACGTTATTACATGAAGAAGCTACCGTATTCTGGTCCACTTACCGCCTGGGATCTCAAATCCGATGACACGAAATGCCCCGAGGCAAAGTGTGATCAGAAGTAAGGAACCGGTCATTGCAAATCATATCATGCCGGCTTCCAATAATCTGGGCTTTCCTTTAAACGAAAAATCTTCAAAAGCGCATCTTCCGGACAACCAAAAAACAATACGAAGAAGGCCAACTCTTGGCCCTGCCCCCAGAAAAAGACCTCTGAAGTGACGACGCGGCACTTCTGGAGATAAAAGCAAAGCACGATGTCGATTAAGGTTAAATATCATCGAGAGCAGACATATATATCATATCGGGCACTCGAAACGCGACAAGAACATGTTCGTTTGGATATTAATGAAGGCCAGGGATTAAATCTGTTTAAAACATGACAAAAGATTGAAGTAGACAACCTCTTTCAACCTCCAGTTCGAGGTGTGAGTAATGTCCATTCATAAGAGTTACAATCCCTGGAAACCAGTTATACCAACAAAACCTTATTGTAAATCCAAGGTCCCTCCAGTTGAGGTCATCGGCACAAAAGCGGCTAACAGATGATTCAAGACTTTTGTGAGAAGACCTGGAATGGAATCGCCCCCCCCCCCCTTCACCAAAGTTTTGAATGCCATTCGACGACAAGATAATTGCGTAATTGATAGGTGAGGGAGACGATCGACTACACCCCCCCCTTTAATCTTATCCTGGATTTATTTAACCTCTTAATGTCCACTTGAGTGCTTAAGGGCCCGAGATAGCGTCTATCCATCTAAAGCAAATAGAAAACTGACCGGTTACGTTTCCGAAATGACGTTGTTGTTCCGGGCATTGACCGGCCACTACGGTAACATTGTCTACGTTCACCTTAAAGCCTGTTTTCCCACTTCTAGCGCCTTCCAACAGAAGCTAAAATTATATTCATAGTACACAATGCAAAGCATCTTGGTTTTACCTGAAATCCTTTGTCTTGTCGGGCCTTACTTTCCACTACTACCTTCTGCCATAAGCCCTGAGGCAAATTAGCAAGACTCTTCTCAAATAAAGGCAGAGCCCGATCCAACTCTTGACCTTCGAACAATAGACTCAATTTGAATAGACCTAGAGTAATCTATCATTTGAAGAACGTCGGCTTTTACCTTTACTTCCTTCAGCTATAAAATAGTGGAAACTAGAACAAATATGAGAAGTTTTCTTCAGTTGAAACACCGGAGAAATCAGACGCCCAAAGCCGGTGGAGTCTTCAGAAGAGCCTAAAGTTGTGTCCAGAAGCATTGAATAGCCTGAAAGATGGGGGACACATCCAAATACACATATCACAACAGATGTTGCACATGCACACTTACCATGCCCTGAGGGCACTCGTGTCCATTCGAATTGCGCATTGGCTTCGGACACATAATCACATTGCCCTGCACTCTCAAAGTCACATTTCTCGACGAATCCATTTTGCGGGATTACTGTAATTCCAGATATAAAATAACATCACAAATTTCTAACATATACATTGAGCAAACCTATACCTTGTGAAGGCGTGGCGGCCACCTTCACTTTACTCCATTCACTTTCTTGGCCATCAGGAAGTATGGCCATGACTTTTACTGCGTATTTCTGCCCTGGCTCGAGTCCAGTAATACTCGCCTTCAGGGCTTCGGTTGATAATTTTCGCTTCTTCTCTTCATCATTCAAGTTCCAGTATTGGACGACATATATTATACTTTTTAAGTCATCCTCGGACTTGTTTACCCTTGGCTCCGCCCATTTTACTTTGATCTCTGACGGAGAAAGTGCCTTTACTCTGATTTCAGGGCCTTCGATAATCTCTGATGGAGACACTGAACAAAAATTAGATTACGAATTGTTCCCATCGTCTTTGCAATGTCTCCGGACTTACCTGATTTTAAGGGCAATGTTGTCAGGGAAATGAGGACTCTCTCGCTATCTTCCCCTTCCGCCTCATTGTAAGCAGTCAACGAAAACACGTATGCGGTGTTGGGGGCTGACAAAATTAAAACATAAATATGTGAATGATCAACTTACTAAGGCCGGTTACAGTATATGCAGTGATATGGGGAGTAGCGATCACGATCTTCCTATTGGGAGTCTCGATTCCATAAGATAAAGTGTATCCTCGGACCAGCGGATTTGGAGCAGAAGATGGGGAATCCCACCACAAAGTGACCGAATCTGTCTCCGCCTTGCCACGAATATTTTCTGGAGGATCTGGCACACGCGATTCTGGGTCGTCTAAAAATTACTGTAAGGATTCTATAATCAGCAAAGGATTAATAAAGATAGAGATGACAATGTCCTCTAAAGATTGGCATACTTCCAGTCAACCTACCTGTAAGTCCTGCCACAGAAGAGAATAGAGCACAGAGAAAGAGAAGGTTCATGTGTCCACCGCCCTGAGCATCCCACTTACTTGCCCTAAGGCGTCGGCAACTGTCAAAGAGAATATTTTATGCACCGAAATTATTAAATCATCCAAGAAAATTTTTCGGCCCTAAACGAATTTCGCCGTCTTCAGAAGCGGTGTTCCGGTTCAGTCGCGGGGCAGCAAAAACCGCCTAATCAAGAATACAAATTATTCAAAAAAGGACCTCTGGTCAGTCCGAAAGGCGAAAGAAGAAGTCGTAAAATGGTCATCGTACAAAACCTGGGCCTATAAAGGACGCGAGAGTTACTTCCCTCTAAATATCATGAATCACAGGAGATCATTGCCATCCAGGAGGCTTTTTTTTATAAAACCAAAAAAACCTAATAGCACTCATATATAAAATCAAAAACCTAAAAAATTCGGCCAGTTGCGCTACCGTAAACAAAAATTTCATGTGTTGGACACCCGCTTTGGCCTTATTCTGGATTATGACCTGAGCTCCCTGTTGCTTTTATTAGTCTCAATTAGATCCCAAATCGGGCCAAATCCCTTAAAAAGGTCACCGCTTGTGGGATTAAATCAAGCGTAAGCAAGAACAACAAAAAGTGAGCGTTTTCTTTGTTCTTTTTGAATTTTTCTGGTCTGAATGGCACTACAATTGTTAGAAAAAGATACTTTATTTAAATATCATTAATAAACATCCATGACCGATTACTTCTTTTTTCCTTCCTCTGATTCGGCAGCCACCCGTTCATCGTCAACCTCTTTCAGAAGATTCTCGACTTCCTCGACGCTTAGAACTCGGTGTGAACAATGCGATTCCTGAAAGTTCGTAATGAGAAATTCGTCAAACGTGGGATTAAACTTTAACACGCTCGGTTATATATATTTTAAATAATACAATTTGGTTGGGCATATGTACAAGGTGCGGCGATTTTTTGGCCGGATTTGAATTGGCTATAACTTTCTTACGAGGGAGTGGTCTGAAATTCCCCCAGCGTTTGGGAAAATGACTAGTACAGGTGGATAGAGCAGGTCAACTTTGGTAAAAAGAGCCATTTTCCAGCTGCGAAATAAGCCTAGCCGACGAGAAAAATCGACCGAAAGTTCCACAAAAATTCTTCTTTCTCTTCCCTCGGAAAAGAAGAGCGGTGTCCAGTGGTTCGGTTAGCTGAATGGATAAAGCATCCGCTCGATATTCTTTTGGGGGTTGGTTCGATTCCGGGGTCTCCCGAAGGATCCGTGATAAGGCTTTGATGGGCAAGATGAAACTCCAAAAAATATTTTGCCATTTTTATACGTTTTATAGGTATCAGCCTGTCGGGAAAATAACGGTGGATCGTCGCATCAAAGTGTCTCGCCTCACCGCTCTCGCGCACCAAATCTCCAGCTGGCCGCCGTCGCAATGCGATGATGGGCGAATCGGAGGCGCGACGATCCGCCGTTATTTTCCCGACAGGCTGATATATAAAAATTTTTAAACAATAACAAAGTGGGGTACAGACCGTGTCAAAAAGATAGTATTTTTTGATAACCTTTTCTCTCACCAAACGAGTATAACTTCGACGTTTTATCGCTTTGAAGGTTCGGAAGCACCCAAAAATGCATTTTTTGACGATTATTGTTTTGTTATGAAGACGTATAAAAATGGCAAAACATTTTTTTTGGAGTTTCATCTTGCCCATCAAAGCCTTATCACGGGTCCTTCCGGGAGACCCCGGAATCGAACCAACCCCCAAAAGAATATCGAGCGGATGCTTTATCCACTCGGCTAACCGAACCACCGGACACCGCTCTTCTTTTCGGAGGGAAGAGAAAGAGGAATTTTTTGTGGAACTTTCGGTTGATTTTTCTCGTCGGCTAGGCTTATTTCGCAGCTGGAAAATGGCTCTTTTTACCAAAGTTGACCTGCTCTATCCACCTGTACTAGTCATTTTTCGAAACGCTGGGGGAAGTTCAGACCATTCCCTCGTTAGTTTTGGCCAAATGGCAAGATTCTTTTTCCCCTGAATCCTCAGAATCCCCATTTTGTTTAACGCCAAATATATTACATATACATAGGCTTAGCTCATAACTTTCTGCCGTAGAGGGTACCGTTTCCACAAAATATCAACTGTTTCCTCACAAAACTGGCAAGGATATAGCCAGTTTTTCTGTGTGACCACTCTCGTACCCTCCTGGCCACAAAGATCGTTGAATATCTTGGCCGCCTCTGAAAGGCGCGAGCTAAAACTTTCAGAAATTGATATATAGCCTGTCTGTCCCGTGTGCAAAATTTGAAGAAAATCTGAGTGTCGCACTTGGAGTACTTCGCTTGTCAACTATGGAAATTAGAGTTTTTTGTTAATTTTTAATGTAGTCTAATAAGTGGATATAACATATATGGTATTAAACAAAAAAGGGGTTCTGTGGATTCAGAGAAATGTTTTGTTTTAACGTTTGGCCAAAAACTAAAAGAGTTATTGCCAATTCAAATCCAACAAAAAAACTTGCCGCACCCTGTATTTGAAAATCAGAATATTCAATAGGAACGTAACTGACAGAAAGAACTTTACAAGGTCTTTCATATGGGGCGCTCAGATATGTATTCTAAAAATTTTACATGCGGGCTCTGTAATAGCAAAGACACACAAAATATGCACGGCCAAATGACGCGTCCTCTATACCATTCGAAACTCCTTGGAAAGTTATTCAAAGAGCCGGCTTCAAAAACAATGTGTGCGAGAGTTCCCCAGGACTGAGACGGAAACAAATCAGAGGAATAAGCCTAAAATTATTTGAAGTCGTAGATCTTCGTGGCCAAACTCCGTTGACAATTTTTGAAACCGGTTCCTATAACAAGTCTTCATGGGCTTTCGAATGGTATATAGAACATGCCATTCGGTCATGGTTAGCTTGTCCGTTTCCCTCGTTGGCATCAACCGAAAGATCGAATCATAATTCAACTCATTACACCCCTTTCCCCCAAAAATTTGAGCCGATGCTAGTTTTTTAGCTACCTCAAAATACACACCTAAAATTTATTTTTTAATTTCCTTACCCGTTCGTTGTTGGCGGTCATAACAGCGATCTCGATGTTCTGAGCCCCACTTTGTACAACTTGAGAGAGAGCCTTGATTACTAGCTTCAGAACAGCGGCCTCATCTTTGGTTGTCTCGTCACTGTAATGCTCTTCCAAATACTCTCTGACTGGCTTCTCACCGCGACCGGTCGAATTGGCAAAATATTCGTAGTATGTGCCAGACGGCTCAGTCTTAAACAATCTAGGAGTTCCATCGTAATCGAAGCCACCAATCAACATCGAGATTCCAAACGGTCGACGACCTGGACTCTGTGTGAATCTCTAAACACTCAACTTCTTACTCAACATTTTGGTTATTACCTGTTTCATATTGGCAACGTAACGAGCAATTGTTCCGACGGTTACTGGATCTTCCAAGGTCAATTTATACGATTGACATTCAATCCGAGCATAGTCCACCAAGACACGAGCATCTGCACTTAATCCCGCAAATGCAAGCATAACATGTTCATCGATGCTGTGGATCTTCCTGATGGTACGATCATCCTGAAGAGTCGGAATCGACTTCTTCTCTACTCCAATCACAACACAATCCTTTCCTCTGACACCAATCTAAATACCAACAAATAATGTGGGACAAATAAATATAAAAACAGACTAAAAATATTTATTTACAGCGGTAGAACCCTTCTTGACAGCCTCCTGCGCATATTCTACTTGGAAAAGATGTCCATCAGGTGAGAAGATGGTAATGGCACGGTCATATCTCTCCATTTTTTACCTTTACTTCAATCTCACTTTCGCGAAGGCAAAATTATATTTTTCGAAAAAGAATTTATTGCAGAAATCATCATAAACAGAATGCCAAAATTTTGAAAAGCCGTCAATTGAGAGAGCTTCTTCGCTCCGTGTTAACCTCATCGCACTACTTTCATTACTGTAACAAGAGAAAATTCAGCGAAAAATTATATTTTTTGTAGAAAATTCATGTTTTTGACTCTTTTAGCCACCGGAAATTTTTGTGTGATCTTGTTTCAAGTTGATGTATAATAGTTTTTTTTCAGCAATCTGGAAGAAGACCATAGGAAAGCTAAAACCAAACGCTAACCCCTGAGTCTTAAATCGTTCAAACTTCAAAGCATATAAAATGGTAAGCATTTCTCGTTAAAATTATGTTTTTGTATTTATGGTATGATGTACAAAACTTTCAGGCCGCTGTTGCACAAAAACCCGAGAAGCCGGTGGAAAGCCAAGCCGCTCACCGCATCCGCATTACTCTCACTTCCCAAAACGTGAAGGCCTTGGAGAAGGGTAAGCTAAATATTTAACATTTTTTATTTTCCGTTTAGTATGTGAACAACTCATCTCTCGTGCCAAGAACGAGGATCTCCAAGTCAAGGGACCCGTTCGTCTTCCCACCAAGGTTCTCCGCATCACCACCAGAAAGACCCCTTGTGGAGAAGGATCCAAGACCTGGGATCGTTTCCAAGTAAGTAGGGTTAGAATGTAGTATGTAAATTCGTAAGTTATCGGTAAGCTTGTCGTTTCACGTGTCGGCTCCTAGAATAGTAGGGCTTTCATGAGTATCGTTCTAAATATTCTACTTTGTGTCAATTTTAGATGCGTATCCATAAGCGCCTGATCAACTTGCTCAGTCCTAGTGAGGTCCTCTCCAAGATTACCTCAATCTCCATTGAGCCCGGAGTAGATGTCGAAGTCACCATCGCCGACAACTAAGGCGGGCTGACTGGGACAAGCACCGGCTCTTTGATATTTGTGTGCTTTGTTGCGGTTAATCGCCAGAAATGGCCTTTGTTTTTTGTTAATTTGTTTGATAAATTTGAAAAAAATATTTATTTCGGATACTTGGTTAGAATTGATTTTCTTCTTCATTGGGCAAGGGCTCGGAAACGGCGACGTGTCCTTGCTCTTTCAGTTTCTTAATCTTTTCTTGCTTTCTGAACTTGGCTCGTCTGTTCTGGAACCATACTTGGACTCTGGCCTCAGTCAAATCAATTCTCATAGCAAGGTCTTCTCTTGTGTAGATGTCGGGATAATGACTTTCCAGAAAAGCTCTTTCAAGTTCACGAAGCTGGCTAGGAGAGAAAGTCGTTCGAATTCGCCTTTGTTTTCGACGTTCATTAGGATTTCCCAAAGCAAGACCGTTTCCGCACAGCGCTCCCACAAAAGAATGGCTGGGCAGTGATGCCATCAAAGCTGAACTATTTGATGGAAGTATATTCGCGGAGGTGGTGTTAGAGAGACTGAATGGGGTTGATGGAGGGTAAAACTTGTACTGTAGCCCTTAAAGATATTTTTGTATTGATACGATGTGATTCATATGTACGTCACCATAATTGTAAAAGTATTCTCTACCTGTGTTTAGGAACATTTGGATCGAATCTGCGGTGGGCTTGTATTCTATGGTGGAAGATTGAGTAACTGGAGTGACCGTTTGATTGGCATTAGGTTGCGTGTTCGGTATTTGAATTCTGTAGAATACATTGACTCGTTATTTGCCTTACCTTCCCGGATTTGCTATCTGTCCATACGAGTTGGAGTAATTATTGTACAAGGCAGCATTGGCCAATTGACCAGACGATCCGTTACCTCCTTGATTCGATTGGGTAGAGGTAGCAAATGATATAAACGGGTTAGTCAAATCAGATGAAACTGAAGTCGAAAAGTAATTACCGTACTCCATCCGTATAACAAACAAGATTCTGGCGGAAATCAAAAGCAAACGAAGCCAAAACGAGATTGGCGCCGGAATTTGGGCCGCAGTAACTCGATAGAAATCCAATTGGATTTCATTTAGCCAAATTGAACAATACCAAAAGCGGGAAACAATTCCTGAATTGGAAGAGATTTAGCTCCGATCGGGCCTCTCAACCTCATTAACTTATGTTTCGACTAATGACATCCCCTTTGGCCATAGAGACATTATGTTAGCAAGCGGATTTAATTAATCCGAACAAATTGATGTCTTTCTTGTTGATCAATTGTGTTGCCTTCGAAGATGACCCAATTATTGCTAGACACTTGCATAACTAAATGTAAGTCTATTGTCCCGTTTGAATTCGACCAATGTGGCATTTAATAAGCCGGTCCCAGATGGAAAACGTTCCACACCAAACCCCTGAAACAAAAAGGTGTAAAAAAATTGTGGCAATTGGTCGAAAGAGTGGCGACAAAACGGCGTTGACAACTAGGATTTCACGAACGCATTCGAGTTTACCTTAATTTTGTGTGTAATAATTTATTTTACCAAATCTATTAGCTCAAACTTCGCGAAAGCAAGAAAACCTGATGTAAATTGAATAAAAGCGGTAAGTCTGACAAAATCGAACTTTATGGTAATCCAGACAACAGTGTTTTCCTGTTATAATAATTCTTCTATAATTACCAATGAAAACGAAACCACAGATGTGATATACCTATTCTTTAGGAGAAACGTAATATTGAAAATTGAGCGTTGTCACATCTCGATTCATGGCAAATTTGACAAAACCACGAGGTCACGTGATGGAACCTGGAAGTTTTAGTTCGGTATTTGGTACGTTTACCTTCAACGACTTTCAACATTATCCTAGATGATACTGAGTTCAGGAACTGCTATTCTAGTTCAAAAAGCGATGGTGGTGAAGAAAATACTTTCGATTGTCTTGAAAGCAAGATTACATCGAAAATTAGCAGGTATTAATGTTTTAGAATCTTGTTTGAATATCCCAGAGTCTAATATGCTGCCATTTATAGCGTGGAACCGAGCGGAAGACGAAAGCTTCACCATGAGCCGGTTATACCTAAAGACATTTTCTCAAACTCAACCCAGCTCAGTCATACAGATAGCTACAACTCAGGCGAACAAGACTTTAAGGAAAATGTAAATCTGAGAAACCCTATCCGCAAGAATAAACCCTGGGAGCAATTCGCGCACAATTATTACCGCTTCAATCATTTGGTTGGTTTTCGATAACTGTGGACGGTCGATTATTATGTGTCTTGATTGAATATGTTTCAGCCTAATTCGCCACATGAAAATGAAGGAAAAAAGAAAAAACGAAAAAATCAAAAACATTGTAAGTCTATTATTTTCGATGTCGTTTAGGTCCTCTGAAGTTACCAGCACTCAACAAGCGCTAGCAAATAAAAACCCAAAATTTGTTATCTAAATTTACCAGTTGACCACTTTTTTTCGCATTTTTCTGCGGCAAAATGACTTTTCGCCGGGTTGCGAACGCAGTTTTTTTATCGCTCTGGACTTATCATCGGCGCGAATTTTTGGATTTGAATCTCGAGAGTTCCGATGCATGGAAAATAAATCTGAACGGCATTGTCTCTCCCATTTCACCATGACTCGACTCCATCTTGCAGCCGACCGGGCCCCGGCTCCCAGAATCAATTCCACCAACGGATTCATTGATGAACGACGCAAAGCAAAAGAATACACGGCGCCTCCAGTGGACCACCAGACGGCCGAGGCCGACCTTCGGCCCACCACAATGGCCAGATTGGATCATCTGAGTGCACAAATATACGACTTCCATCGACGACATGAACAGTCCATGAATTCATTGAACGAAAAGCTACATCTCCGGGATCTTCTCTATTACGCGATCTCTCCGCACTTTCCCGGGTGTGGCCTTTACATTGTGGGATCTACTTTGAACGGATTTGGTTCAAATTCATCGGATATGGACTTGTGTTTGATGATCACCCCCAGAGACGTAAGTATGTTTCTTTGTTTAGTTTTGGGTTTTTTTAGATTTCTTATGGCTTAGTTTCAGTTGGATCAGCGAGTTGACGCAATCTTGGTGTTGACCTCGGTCATGGGACATCTAAAAGATCTTCCTTGGGTCAAGGAGATGGACCTCATATTTGCCAAGGTACCGATCCTCCGTGCTACTTTCAATCCGCCCTTTGAGAAGATTGTGGTCGATTTGAATGCCAACAATTCAGTGGCCATTCGCAATACTCATCTTTTATGTTACTATTCGGCTTGTAAGTGGTTGATGTTTTAATCATGACTGCTTTAGTCGATTGGAGAGTCCGTCCATTGGTCTGCGCAGTCAAAGGATGGGCCAAGAAACGGGGGATCAACGATGCGAACCAATCCTCTCTGACCTCTTATTCTCTGGTAATGATGGTCATCCACTATCTTCAATGTGGCGTTAGTCCCGCCGTTATCCCATCGCTTCAGCAGCTCTTCCCTGATCGTTTTGGAAATAAGATTGATGTTCGTTCTTTGAATGTTACGTTACCTTTAGACTCTATGGATTGGCAACATGGGCGGAATATGATGTCATTGGGAGAACTTCTTCTGGGTTTTCTCCATTATTATGCACATTGTTTTAAGTATGTTTTATCTCGGTTTATTGTCAATGGAAATTTGGAAAGGCTTTTAATGGATGAACCTTATAGTTTTGATACAATGGCAATTAGTGTTCGTCTTGGACGTGCTGTTGACCGTGCATATGTGGCTAAGAACAAATCCCCATTCAACTCTCTCTCTCAGTGGAGATGTATCTGCATTGAAGAACCCTTCACCTACTCTAACACTGCTCATTCAGTATTCGATGAGCGAGTCTTCAGTTGCATCAAACAGTCATTCGAAGAGGGATACAATGCTCTCGTCGCCGAAAGAGATCTGGGCGTTCTGATCCAAACCGAGCCTATCAGATTGGGAGAGTGAGTTGCATTGTACCGTTGATGAGTTGATTTTAGGGGCGTGCCGATCGGATTCCGCCATTTCCGTGTTCCAGTCATCCGTTACGACCGGGAGAATCATGAGGCCACCGAGAAGAAGATTGTCCAAACGGTGGCGTCCTTCCATCTCGACAAGACTAAATAAAAAATCCTACCCATCCAGAAGTGTCCACAGCATCAGTCATATCTAAAAACACGACTCTTCCAGGTACTAACGGGTGGAATAAATAGGAAATACTTATCTAATATCTATAGTAAATAGTTTTTAGTTAGTGTAATCAATTGCTCTCACAGCTTCCGACTCTCTTTTGATCTCTTCTGCGCACTCTTTCGTAATTGTAATTAATTTATTAATTATATTTTGCCTATTTTGTCAAAAATGTAAAAAAAACATGTGAACCGCGATGTATTGCAGTTTTTTCACTCTCAATAAAAGGTTTTTCCTGCATGATGTTGGAATTTATTTATCTATGGGCTCTGTGTACTTTTTCATAAATACGGAGAGCGGCACCCACGAAAGTGATGCTCAGAGAACAGTTAGTATTTTCTTATAAATTCATTGTCTTAATTTAGAAGAAAACATCTGGAAAGCATTCTCCGGAAGGCTGTTTCTTTAGGTATAGGTTTACCTGTCTGTTTTGTTATGCCCGCGCTGTGTTCGGTTTCCCTGACAACGTGCTGTTAACCCACTGACCCGTCGTACTCAGATGTAAGACGTAGTAAATTTGATGAGTTCCAATATCTTCGAGTGGTGCAACTGTTGCTGGCCAAGTCGAAAAGAGAAACCTACCGTAAGTTATGCACTTTTCGGAATTATTTTTTTGCCAGACCTCAGCCGTAGATAGAGCTACAGTATACTTCAAAGAGCCCGTGGTCGTCACACCTCACTATCCGCGAGAGGAACTCGATGTTGAGAAAGTGCCCGAGATTGTTATCACATCACCCCGAAGTAACTACGACCCGGACGAATTTTATACCGCTAGGACAAGCAGATCAGTGGAACGGTACAGGTTTAAAAATATGCAAAGCCTGATCAAAGAAATCCGAGTGGAAATTTTAACCGAGTTGGATGAGACGGCAGAAAAGAACAAGCCATGAAATGAATCCTTCCAAATGCCATAAACTGCCCAACGCTCGTCTATGCCAGACGACAAATTGTCTCATTACTATAAGATATTGTCACCTTTCCTTATTGACGTGCTTCTTTCTGCTTCTACTCTTTGTAGTCCCAACATTTCTTATACACGATCATATCATCAACTGTATTATAAAAATCCCAATATGCGCAAATATTAATAAAAACTTTATGTAGTTAAAAATAATCCGTACCCAGTAATTGAAAATCAAAATATAGTTTCCGAAAGACTCAATCAATACTTTTTGTTTTTTATAATTTTAAAACAGGTAACAACGGTTAAATCTGAATTAGTAATCATAAATTATTTCTAATACCAATTACTTTCCCATTTTTCTTCGGGCTGCTAGTATCTTCCGCCCTGCGGCTAGACCGCCGGCAGCGGGAGCGGGTGCAAATACGTTTCCGGCAGGTCTAAAAAGGCCATAAGCATTTACTAAATTTAACGAGCACTTACGCTGGAGGAGCAAACATATTCGCATTTCCAAGAACTGGAGGATTCGGATTTCCACCGAAGACGAACGCTAAAAAATAAAGATGTCAGAATAAAAATCAGCCCAAGAACTTACGTGCACCGGAAGCTGGGGCAGGAGCAGCACCGTTGGAACTTGATGAAGCATCTGATCCAAAAGCAAATGGAGCTGGAGCGGCAGGGGCAGGGGTGTCCCCGATTTTAGACGAAGTGGATGTACCACCAAAATTGAAACCTGATTTCAGCGAAGACGATCCAAAGTCGAAACCTATAAAACAGTTAAATATTTTTAACTCTGCCAATCAGACATATGGCCTTTCGGTTTCTCCCGTGATAACAAAGAAAAATTACACAAACATGCTTACCTGATGACGAAACGGAAGCAGTCGCGTTGCTGACAGAGGCGCCCGACAAACCCGTATTGGAAGAATCTTTGGGAACTGCTATAAAATAACGGTAAATGGGCGAATAATTTCTATTTACCTGATGTTCCATTTTGGCCCCCAAACAAAAAACTTCCTGACGAAGGTTTCGGAAACAGCTCCGATGTTCCACCTGGATTCTGTCCGAACAAAAACGGCCCTTTGCCCGATGAAGAAGCTGCCGTGGAAACGGCAGGTGCATTACTTGTTGAACCAAAGACAGCTAAAAAAAGTCTTAAAAAATATCCTTAACTCACATAAAGAATTGGAGGAAGAACCCGTGGAACCAAAAGCGAACGGAGAAGTGGTGCTGGTGGTGGATGTTGACGACAAACTTGGAAACTTCGGAGCGTCTTTCAACACCGAAGAAATAGAAGATGATACGGAGGGAGTTGAAGTTGTTGAGACAGTAGCTCCAAACACGGGGATCGACGGTATTGAAGACGCAACCGTAGTCGAGCCCGAAAACAATGGATTTGATGTAGTCGTCGTCAATCCACCAAACAATGGAGCCGAGGATTGAGCAGTCGTAGCTGCTGGGGTGTTCTTAGCTTCGGTAACCCCGAAAGAAATCAAGGAAGATCCCGAGCTAGTTCCATTACCTAATCCGAAGATTTCTAAACAAAATTTTCATCATCAAAAGCAGCAACTTACTCAAACTAGACGCATCTGAACTGAACTTCGTTGGCTTAAAAGCAGGTGCAGCCGGTTTTGGAGCCATCACACTGGCAGATCCTGCAGCCCCAGGCTTAGCCGTTCCACAGCAAGGACATTCACTAGCTTCGGGTTTATTCCTTACCATGCATGTCGGACATTCCCACTGGTTTCCTAGTTTTCCTGCAGTAGTCGGTATAGAAGTTACAACTGGTTCCGGAATTTGCTTTGAAACAGGTTCAACTTTATCCGCGGCTTTCTTTCCATTCTTATCATATTGGCATCCCTTGCATTGCTGCAAATCAATTTCGTTCTTGTTGAGACAATTTTTGCAAGTCCACTTCTCCGGCTTTAAGACTCCGACTTCTAAAAAAAGAATAAAAAATGAGAAAAACGCAATACTTTTCCCAGCTGGCTTAGACAACATATCATTCGTAGGTTCTTCCGGCTTCTTTGGTTCGATAATTTCCAAATCATCACTCTCTGCAGAAGTGGAAGAAGATTCGGAATCAGAGGAGTTCTTTTTGAGGTCCGATTTAGATGATGATTCTGTTGGAGACGGACTAACCGAATATCTCCTTGGAGCCCTAACCTCCGGCGGATCAAAGGAGAACACCAGTTCGTCTTCATTGCCTAAAATTTCCATAACTTTTTTAGAAAGACTTACCATCCAGATTGTCAAGATCTGTTAGCCCAAACTTGTTTGTAGTTGGGCCGTTCGAAACCTTGGCGACTTCGGTGTGAGGTTCATCCGAACTGTCAAACTCCCTAATATCAGAGCGGGCTTCACTTTCTTGAAAGAGCGTATTAGACTCATTAGAAAAAGAAGCGTCTTTCTTCGGCATTGTTAACCTAGACCCGTTAGCAACAGTATCATTGAGCAATGACGAGTTCCATGAACTCTTATTAGCCTTGAAGGTCCGGTTCATGTTAGCCGAGATCTGTTGAATTCTCGATGGCGTAAATGTAGACCTTCTCGGCGGAAGCGCCGCTGCACTCTTTGACGAAGAATCCATCCATCGACTATTTTCAAACAAATGAAGATTGTTCTTGGAAGAGTTCTGCAAAAAATGCATATTTAAAGCATTAAAAATTATTAAGCATTTTAAAATAAACTTACAGGATTTGAGCTATATTTGGTAAGCTCGGCAAGAATTGATTTTGTCCGCGATGGTGTCTTAATTTTGTGCCTCAAGTCAAATACCGGGGGTTTCGACGAGAAGCTGTCGGGAATCGACAACAAAGAGTCGTTGAGGGTAATATTCTTATTCGGAGCGCGATAAGAAAACGATGAAACCACTGGCGGCGCCTTAACGCAAAAATAATAAATTAAAGAAATATATCAAAAACAAATCAATGTAATGCTCACAGATTCAAGTAACGCCACCTCGGCTCTGGCTTTTTTAGATACTGCGGGTTCCACATCTTCTTCAGTATCCTCTTGGGCGCGTCTTTTCCTCTAAAAACAAAATGAAATGTAAAACTGACAACACTTACACTCCCCGTAACAAAACTGAGCAAATTCGATGTCCAACTTCCAGGCATTTCAATATTTTAGATAGTCGAGATAGAAATTGATAGCTGATAAAATATCCTCACAGCGTTATTATATGCGGTCAACTTCTTCGTCACCGGCAAAACGAGAAAAAGCGCACTTTTTCTTTTTTCGAAATTCTTGTTCTTATTGACGCATCAGGGTTACCGTTGTGGGAGCACACAGAGTTCGCGGTTGAACGAAATGACAAAAAACGAAGTGTCATTATTGACTGCTAAATTAATTCTGGATGAATTATTTTACTTTTTATGAGGAATCGAAAGTAAAATAATCAATGGCGACGGATGTTTTTAGCATTAGGGGTTGCAATGTTCATGCTTGGGTAATTTGATGAACGCCGTTATGCTTGCGAAGAATCGAGGAACTTGTTTGGTTGGAAAAGATCAGGTTACAAACTTCTGAAAGGCTGGGAAGTGTCTACGCATAAAATACCCTGTTGTCTCAATTAAGGGTGGGTTCGACCTGTCCGTCGTGAATCCCAAGTATTTTTACTTTTATAAATGTTTTCTTTGACTTTTTGCATGGGTCACTCGGCCATTTGAATGGACGGAAGAGAAGAAGAAAGCGGCGAAAGGGAGACTCGTGAGGGCGAGCAAGCCTCGACCAGCTGGGCAACATTTATTGAATGGCGCCAGTTGTGAAATCTCTTCCGCCGATTGGGCCCGGAATATACCCAGAAGAGTTGCGCGGGGTTTATCTTTCAATTCAATCTGCCAGTTTTGTTCCGAGTCCAGCACTTCTGATATTTTCAGGGTTTTTGCGTTGAAGTGCCAAAGAACGAAATGAATTTATACTTGGTTAAGTGATTCATACTATGAGATCCGTTTTTCTCCTGGCATTATTCTCAATCTTCCGGTGTTGTAGCTCAGGTAAGTGTAAATATACGTGCAAGGTTTGAATTGTCTTGTAGATCCTTTCGTTGACTTCAAGTTCGTGGGACAACCTTTGGATCAAGTCATTGGTCCTACTAAAAGTTTAAAACTGCAATGTACATATAATGTAAACAATAATACGAAAACGGTTGTTAAGTGGTATAAGGACGGTGTGCTATTATCAAAAGATTCCCAAGTGTATGTTTTTAGGTAGATGAAACGTTTTTTCGTATTTTGCGAATAAGTTTTACAAGTTTCAGTGAAAACCTATTGATTGAAAAGCCAGTACAATCTGATGAAGGGTATTATCAATGTCAAGTGAAGGTCTATGAAAAGGAGAAGGTGAAATGGGTCTTTCTCTCGAGGAAGGCGATGGTCCAATTCTCTCGGATACGACATTTTGTCCATCAACCGAAGAGCCAAAAGGTCTTTTTGAATCAATCTGTTTCCTTCAAATGCTCTGTGGTACGTTCGAACTGTCATTATATGATTCGTTTAGGTCGCTATCGGAAATCGGGATGAAATAAATGTAGAATGGTTCCATAACAACCATAGAGTCATTCCCGGTTTGGGTAAGTATTTTTATGCTTGTCATATTTATCAACTTTTTTAGGCGGTGTCGTAATTTTGCCGGAAAGTAATACTCTCGAGTTGTCCCATGTGAACAAAAACTCGTCTGGTACTTATAAATGTATTGCTCGACTTAATGGACACTCACTAACCAGTCAAACTGCTATTTTGGATGTAATAGAAGGTAGGATTTACATGGTGATGTTGGACTTTTTAGGAATCGTCCCTCTTTCACCAGTGCTCTCATTAAAGCCTTCGGACAAGGATGTTTTTGTTGATGGCTCTGTCCTCTTGGAATGTATGGCTAATGGGTCTCCTCAGCCAAAGATCTCCTGGTTCCGAGGATCCGAGCCTTTAAAAGTGGATAACCATAGACTTCGATATGTAGGGGCTGATCGGTCGAATGTTCTCATCAACAAAGTCAAGTATTCTGATGCTGGGAATTACTTGTGTGTTGCCGAGAATGGAAATGGAAAGGCAGAGAGTGCAGCCACTATCCAAGTGGTCTCTCACCCCAAGATCTTAAAAAGACCGGTCAATGTTGTCAAGACTGAGACTGAGGATATAGACGTAGGTTGAAGCTTCGGGGAATTAAGCTTTATTGTAGTTTGAATGTACCGCTGCCGGCTTTCCTACACCGAAGATAACATGGTTCAAAAGTGGAGAAATCATTGTTCCAAGTGAATATTTTGTTATCGAACCTGGTCGACTGAGAATATCTGGCCTTATAAGGGACGATGAAGGTGTCTATCAATGTTTTGCGGACAATGAGTATGGAAGTGATCAATCTTCAGCACAGTTAATTGTAAAGCAAGCAGGTTTGTTAATTCGATCTTCAAATATTTCGGATTTAGAGTTTTTATCGCAATTCAATTCGCAAAGAGATAATAATACAGAAAAGGATGACTGTAAGCTATTATTATACAGGCGTGCGAAATTCTAATTATGCTGTGTCTTTGCGATAAAAGTTCTTTTTGTGTTTCCAACAACAATATTACAAGTTCATGTTTGTTTTTAACACTACAAAAGAGTACAAGAGTGAAGTTCTGAAAGTGCACTGTGTTCTTTTAGCTCTAACGCAAGCTCTAATATCCGGAGAGAACACCGGACCACGATCTCCAACAAATATTCAAGTACAGAGTGTTGGTGGAAGGTCGATCAGATTAAGATGGTCATCTCCCATTGGGGTCTCGTTCCCGGATGAAGTCGAATACGTAGTCTTCTACCGAAAACTGTCAGAGGTCGAGTAGGTTTTGCTTTCATTTTTATTTACGTTTCCAGGGACCAAACTTACAATACAACCTCACCATCTGCCACATTGTTGTCCTTGGATCCGGACACTGAGTATAAAATCCAAGTTTCTGCCGTTGAGAACCATGTAATTGGTAAAAAATCGGAAGAAATTTCTGTAAAGACGAAGAAAGAAGGTAGTGTTAACATTTCAAGGTGTTATTTCTTTGCAGAAATTGTCGTTGGCCCAGTCAGAAATTTAAAGAGCAAGGTCTTAAGTTCGGACTCGGCCCAGGTGACTTGGGACCCTCCAAGTGACGCGCCGCTGAACGTAAAATACAAATTGTTTTACAAGAGAACTGATGTTGCTACGGAATTGGAAACTCAAACAGTTGTGGTTAAACCCGCATATACGTTGCATGGGCTCGATAAGAATGCGGATTATGGTGTGAGAGTTGAGAGTGTTGGGCCTGACAATCAGGGAAAAAGTTCGGAGCTTCTGACTTTCAGAACTTTATCTGATATTCCTGATGGCCCTCCATTAAATGTAAAGGCCGAATCTCAAGGACCAGCTTCCATTATTGTTCGATGGAGTCCACCATTGGAAAGTCAAAGGAACGGTGTCATCACCGGATATAAAATACGATATAAGACCAAGGGTACCAAGGCGGTTAACTTGAATGTGAATGGAAACGTGAATGAGTTCAAGATTGAAGGTCTAGAGCCTGGAACTACGTATCAAGTTAGGGTGGCTGCACAAACTCAGGTTTGTTTTTATTTAATAGAAATATCCGAATTCTTGTAGAATGGAACTGGTGTGTACTCCGAGTGGGTGTCGTCATTAACCCTCGAAAACGATGAGGTCGAAACAATTCCTGGTGCACCAGCTGAGCTATTGTGTTATGCGACAGCAAACTCCATACATTTGACATGGAGTCCTCCTCAAGGAAATGGAGTTGTTATCAGAGGATATGTGGTAGGTTTTAAAGCTATGCATGGCAATGTTTTTAGATTGGTTGGGGACTTTTTATACCCGACGTTGAGAAAGTAACGGTAGATGGTTCAATTCATCAGTACACGATCACTAATGTAACAGCTGGTCGAGATTATGTGATCTCAGTCAGAGCCACGAACAGTGCCGGAACGGGTTTTCCGATATACGAAACCGCCAGGTACGTTTAGATTGATCAGGCCACTTATGAATATTTTGTAGTACATTGGAGCGATCTGAACAGCCACCTAAGGGGACCGCGGAAAACTCATTAAGATCATCTGTGGAATTGGCCACTCCGGTCGGGGTCCAGGCGGAGGCTCTTTCTGATGGGGCCGTAAGAGTATCTTGGACCGATACTACTAACGCTTTCAACCAAGTGTTTGTTGTCAGATACTCTAGTAATGAAGATCCCTCGCAATTTTATTATAAGGATTCGACTGATACGGAAACAATCATTGAAAATCTACAACCAAATACTCAGTACGAGTTTTCTGTAAGCCGAAAGGGATCTTCTCAATGGAGCATGAGTACCCTCTGCAAAACAGGATCGTCTGCGCCATCCTCTGCCCCCAGGGATTTAACTGTCGTTCCAAACTCACCCACTGCCCGACATGATCCAAACACCGTATCTTTGAATTGGCAACCGCCAAAGTACGCCAATGGAGAGATCGAAGGTAAAGCTTTTTTTTGCGTTCGTATTATGAATTTAATTACTTAACAAAATATAATAAATTATTGCTTTCAGAGTACATCGTGTTATACTCGGACCGTTTAGACGTTCCTGACCGTGATTGGATTGTTGACACTGTAAAAGGTGATCGACTTTCAATGCAAATCAGCAGTCTGTCACCTAACACGGCTTATCACTTCAAAATCCAAGCCCGAAATATCAAGGGATACGGTCCATTATCTCCAGTTGTCACATATACCCCCGGAAAAGTTGGCTACAACACGCCCGTCGGAGTCAATCATGTAAACATGCAGAGCAGAAACGGAGCTGTATTCAACGAGTTTGAAAGATACCTTCCGTTTATTATACTGGGAAGTGTCTGCGTTCTGTTTACAATCCTGGTTGTCCTATGTATATTCTTCTGTACCACCAAATGCAAAGGAGAGAAGAAGGACGACTCTAGGATTGGATATGTGACAAGCTCGAGGACTCCCACTAACAGGAAGACATCGCGAAATACTCCGCAGAAAGATTGTTGGATTACCCATCCATCCAACCGAGTCGAACTGTTCGATGTACCCAATTCGTCAGTCAACGAATTGAAGAGGCTTACCAATCACTCAGAGTCTCCGATTCCGCATTATCAGCATCTTCAAGGTTGGTTTTCGTTTCTTTTTTTTTTGAGAATATTACGCATTCCTTTCCCTTCTGTCACAATTTTTCTTTTGTCCTTCTGTTTTGCCATCCTTAATATGATTCTAAGCTCGTTCTCGTGAGGGATCCAATTTCTCATTTATTGCTCGTCATCCCGATCGTGTCCCCACGGTTTCATTCGCTTTGGACTCCCGGCAAAATTTGCGGAAGTCACTGCCTCCTTCTCTTAATATTTCTACAAGGGCTTCTCAACGAGGCATTCTACGAAACACTATTGTCACCCCTGAAAACCTCCGGTGCAAATCGTCGATGAGTACCGATTCGGCCATTATGACCCAGTCTTCCCATGAAGCATGCTCTGCTTGCAGCTGGGATAATAGCAACACAACATACGTCAAGGATGCCCGGAGGGTTTCAGCTCAATATGCTGTTTTAAGAGGGGTTGACAGATTGTCGTCGTCTAGAAATACACCAACTGAATTGCAAGGCGAGGGCGATTGTAAGTGGGCAAAAAGAATGCAATGGAGAGATTCTGTGTCAAGGAAGCTGAATGTACAACACAGTCCTAAGTCCTTAAAAGAGAGTTTTTTACAACTCGAAGGATGGCCCGGACATTTCGAAAAAACGACCGACCCAGAATCTTTTGGTATTTTGCATAGTTGTTGTACTATGATAGCTGAACGTCAGCACGAATTTTTAGTTTCAGAAATTACCGTATACGGGGGTTACGGTAGGTACAATTTTTAGAAAGATTGGGTTCGTATGTAAAAACCACGAAGAGTAAAGGGGCGAAACTTTGCTAGTTTACGTTTTCGACCCTGGGGAACATTTTCATAATTGACAACTTTGCCGTAGGATGTTGCCTTCGACTACTTTGAAAAATACCAAGGTACCATATTGAATGTAACTTTTTTGCAGAGAACTTGTCTCAACTTTTGAAACTTCTTAAAAACACTTTGACATGTATGTAACAACATATCAAAAATGCGCGAAAATAAAAGGGGGGGTTTTGGAGTTACGGTACTTAGAATGTTGCCGGTACGGTATATCAAAAAATAATTTTTTTCAAAATCGGTGTAGAAGACCCGCAAAAATTTCCAAAACACGTTTTCGACCATGGCGAACATTTTTGTAATTGACACTTTTTTTGTAGGATGTAGCCTTCGCCTACTTCGAAAATGACCCAGATACCATGTGTAATGTAACTCTTCGGCATTCTACTTGTCTCAACTTTTGAAACCTCTCAAAAATACGTTGACATGTATGGAACAACATATCAAAAATTTAGAAAAATAAAAGGGGGGGTTTTGGAGTTATGGCACTTTTAACGTTGCCCGCATGGTATATCAAAATTTTATTTTTTCTAAAATTGGAGTAGGACAACCGCAAACCTTGCCAATATACGTTTTCAACCATGGGGAACATTTTTGTAATTGACAGTTTTGTTCTAGGATGCAGCCTTCGACCGGTTTGAGAAATGTCAAGATACCATGTTCAATATAACTTTCCGGCATTCAACTTGTCTCAACTTTTGAAACCTTTCAAAAACACCTTGACATATGTGTAACAACATATCAAAAATTTAGGAAAATAAAAGGGGGGGTTTTGGAGTTATGGCACTTTGTATGTTGGACATACAGTACACCTCGATTTATTCTCGGCTTAACTTTACGTAGATTATTTTAAAAACAAAATGTAATGTTTTATCTATGTTGTACGACCCTCACAAACTATTTTCACAAAAAAATTCAAAAAAACTAGACCTAAGCATACTGTAACATATCGTGCGCAGATAATTGGTTACTGTAACAGCAAGATCAGTGATTTCTTAATTTTTTTGTAACAATTGCCACGGTTTAGAGACGTGTGTGCCATACGACGGTGGAATCTATCAAAATCGGATGTCAGCATCACAGAAAAAGTTCGGTGTACTGTATGTCCAACGTTCAAAGTGCCATAACTCCAAAACCCCCCCTTTTATTTTCCTAAATTTTTGATATGTTGTTACACATATGTCAAGGTGTTTTTGAAAGGTTTCAAAAGTTGAGACAAGTTGAATGCCGGAAAGTTATATTGAACATGGTATCTTGACATTTCTCAAACCGGTCGAAGACTGCATCCGAGAACAAAACTGTCAATTACAAAAATGTTCCCCATGGTCGAAAACGTATATTGGCAAGGTTTGCGGTTGTCCTACTCCAATTTTAGAAAAAATGAAATTTTGATATACCGTACCGGCAACATTCAAAGTACCGTAACTCCAAAACCCCCCCTTTTATTTTTCTAAATTTTTGATATGTTGTTCCGTACATGTCAACGTATTTTTCTGAGGTTTCAAAAGTTGAGACAAGTAGAATGCCGAAGAGTTACATTACACATGGTATCTGGGTCATTTTCGAAGTAGGCGAAGGCTACATCCTACAAAAAAAGTGTCAATTACAAAAATGTTCGCCATGGTCGAAAACGTGTTTTGGAAATTTTTGCGGGTCTTCTACACCGATTTTGAAAAAAATTATTTTTTGATATACCGTACCGGCAACGTTCTAAGTACCGTAACTCCAAAACCCCCCCCTTTTATTTTCGCGCATTTTTGATATGTTGTTACATACATGTCAAAGTGTTTTTAAGAAGTTTCAAAAGTTGAGACAAGTTCTCTGCAAAAAAGTTACATTCAATATGGTACCTTGGTATTTTTCAAAGTAGTCGAAGGCAACATCCTACGGCAAAGTTGTCAATTATGAAAATGTTCCCCAGGGTCGAAAACGTAAACTAGCAAAGTTTCGCCCCTTTACTCTTCGTGGTTTTTACATACGAACCCAATCTTTCTAAAAATTGTACCTACCGTAACCCCCGTATACGGTAATTTCTGAAACTAAAAATTTGTGCTGACGTTCAGCTATCATAGTACAACAACTATGCAAAATATCAAAAGATTCTGAGTCGGTCGTTTTTTCGAAATGTCCGGGCCTTGTTATGAGAAGCTTCAATCTGTAAAAAACTCTCTTTTAAATTCTCTTTGTCTAAAAGTCCTCTGTCCGCCCATTTTATTTATGTTATTCATATTATAATCTTATCGTTACCGCTAACATTTTTTATGTATTTTTTGAGGTGATCTTTGAGATTGTTTAACTTTTAATTTATGCATATTCCGTTTTTAGCGAACGGAACGGTTCCTCGAAGCTACCACCAATCGTCGGTCAGTTTGGAAAGTCGCCAACGAACCCCACAGATATTATACACGGGATCTAATCGACAGGTAGTTTCAGTGATTAAATAAATATTTTTTTAGCAAATAACTCGGATTGAAGTGGGATCCGACAAAGGTTCGTCGTTTGGAGGGTCAAATACCGGCTTACAAGGCAATGATACCCCTCCAACGGCGTCAGATGGAATGTACCAGACTGTCAGAACCAACTCGAATCCACTTAGATCCTTCGTGAACAGCGTGAATCCTGTTCCTCCTCCATTAAACTTGTACACATCTCCTGGCCTTTCTCACGAACCTCGGTTGGCCAGTGTTCGGCCAGTTGTAGTGGCCTCCTCGACAAATTTGAATCGGCCAAGTAGGTTTGTTCACATAATTCAGGCATTTAGGACACGTTTTCCCCGATCTCCGAGAGTTTTTGCGACTTTCTCTACTTGTCTTTACTCAAATTCGACTTTATCCAGTTTGGGCGAAAAACTCAAATCTTTTGTAAAAAGTTTGCCTTAACTCGATAAAGCCCTCAGATTCTGATCTGTAACTTGTTTTTTTCATTTTCAGTGAATAAGATTAGCAATACGGTACTCCCCATCGGCCGAGCACAAGCACAACCTCGAGTAAATCTGTCTAATTATTCGCCAAATTATTCTCTACACGGGTCAAGAGAAGATTGCACTAGCGCTCAAGACGAGGATCTGGTTCAGATTAAAGCTCGGACCAATCAAATGTCATCGGTAAGTTTACTTTTGTTATTCAGTAGTTTATTGCATGTCATTTAAAGTCGTATTAACTCAGTTTTCGTTTGTTTCAGCCCCAGTCGGCAACACAGGAAGACGTGAACTCGTCTCAGATCGAGAATATCATCACTCAGTTACAAAGTATGCAACACGATTTCGACAGCTAATACCACACCTTCATCCAGTATATAAATTTATAATGACTGATATATCTACATGACTTAAGACCGATCTCAAATCACTTGCCAACTTTATTATTAATAAATATTGACGTTTTATATGAAGTTTGAGGCCTCTTCGGTTATGACCAGTTCTACCTCGTTTACTGTAGGCACACGTGCTGTCTTAAACTTTTTCCACGCGTTATTTCATAACTCTTTTTTTTTTGGCCGTTCCGTCCTGGCCCTATCTCGAAGGACCGGACGAAGAAAGAGATTGTGCGTCCCTCTCTCCGAGAGCCGCCTCGCTTTCCTCTCGCTTGGAAGGCCCCGTATTCCAGTTCTATCGACATATCTGGGCCTGGCCTATGTCCCGTCTTATTCCAAATTGTTCGCCCTAATATTTCCCGTTGTTTAACGCATTTATCCGCGATGCAGACCCCTGGCTTGAATGTGAGATTACACATACCATTGTGTATTCCAGGAGGCAAAGTCTCGTGTTCCGTTATTATCCAAAGCTTCCTCCTGACCTCGGGTTTCCCAAAAATATGCTTTTGGTTTCGAAACGATTAAAAAAATTGTTGTCGGAGTTATCAGTGCTGGTCGCGTCTTATCAGCCGACCCTAGCTGAGTCTCGTTTCATCCCATTTTCTCGACGTTTCCATTCGATTTGTGGTTTTAACGATTAATTTAACTATTTCATCTTGATTTGTCAAATAATGTTCAGCGTTATAGTACACGCGTTTTGTATAAATTTCCTGGTAAATCAATATTAATTATTATCTGTTTCAGTTTTTCTCTTCGAGGACTCCATTAATTTTCTTGTTTCGTCCATTGCACTGGGGGATCAGGTGCGTATGGACATTTCATTCAACCAGCCCCAGAAAGTTCAATCACAATTCCGTCAGAAGAATCTTCTGAAGGCTTTTCAATAACCCAGTTTGTAAGTCACTGGCAGTTTTTGTGTATAATATGCAGTATATCTGGCAACTGCGTCCGGTTGCTTAAAAATTATTATGCTTGATTTCAGCTTCTCGCGCTCCTTCTGGTTGTCGTGGAGTCAGTTCCAAGACCCAGAAGTCCGCAAGTAAACTTGGACAAGAACGCCGAACCACCTTGGGACCCTGATCCAAAAGTTGGTTGGTCTTCTTCGGACTTCTGAACGCCTCGGTTTCCTCATCTCTCAAGATTTCCGCCCGTCTTACAACAAACCCGCCCGTTCGCGTACTCCATTCCGGATACACCGTCAGTTCTCTACAGAAACCGTGTGAGTGGGGCACTCAGTGCCGTCTGATCACTTGCATTCGTCGCTTGGGAAGGCCTCCCTAATAGGCCAGCTTGTTCGGTAAGTCTAGAAATGAATAGAAACTGGGTCTGACATAATTGTCGAATAATTGTTTTTTTATAGGCATGCCCGTGGTACAAAACATCAAACGCTTCGGCCAGGCATCGGTGGAGTTGGCGCAAGAAGTTGCCCAACTAAAAAACACCCAAGGCGTCACCGATGCCTTCTTTGTGGCCGACGTCGGTCAGGTCGAGGAGCTCATGGATCGCTGGATGGAGGCCCTTCCTCGAGTCCGGCCTTATTATTCGGTCCAATGCAACTCCGACCAGGCCTTGCTGGCTGCCTTGGCCAAACATCCGGCCATAGGATTTCACTGTACCACGCGCCAGAATACGAGCGAGGTCCTCGACCTCGTCCACAACCCAAACCGAATCTTCTACTCCAACCCATGCTGGACCAGAGGATCCTTAAGCAACGCGGCAAACAACGCCATCAACTTTATTGGGTTTGACAGTGCCAAAGACCTTCGCCGTATCTACGAACAAGTTCCCCAAGCCAATCTTATCATGAACATCTGCGTGATCCCCAACGAAGAGGACCCTTCCAGCACTTTCGGATGCTGTTTAGCGGACTCTCCCGACCTTCTCCGTACTGCTTTTGACCTCGGTCTTAATGTAGTTGGAATCGGCTTTAACGTGGGACACGGAAAAAACTCCGCGAGGATGTTTGAGAACTCGATTGAAATGGCCTCCCAATTGTTCAAAATTGGACAGGAGGTGGGCCACGACATGCGAGTCCTCAACATTGGCGGTGGCTTCGAAGCCGGTGAATGCGAGTTTGTGGCCACTGCTTCTCAAATCAACAACGCCTTGGATCATTTTTTCTCCGACTATTCCGCATTGGAGGTCATGGCGACACCTGGTCGATTCTTCGCTACCTCGGTTTTCTCGCTGATCACCAATATCATTGACAAGGACGAAGTCGACGCTAGTCAGATCACCAATGATGATTTTGACTCCGGAAAACTGGCCTATGTCTACAAGACCAACGAAGGATTCTACGGTCCATTTGGCTGCAAGAACAGAAACGCCAACCCCGAATGTGATGCCCTCTTTAAGAGTTTTGAAGACCGTGAAGACATCTTCTGCACTTCAGTCATCGGCCCAACGTCCGATGAATATGATCAAATTGTTCCCGCATGCCAACTGCGTCAGCTCTCGGTTGGCGACTGGCTCGTCTGGTCCAACATGGGGGCATACTCTCTTGGAAACAACGCTTCACTAGACTCGGGCTTCTACCAGGAATTGCCCATCTACTACGTTAAGTCACAAGATTACTGGTAAGATTTTGTCAGGTCGCGAAGAGTTTGTTGTTTCTTACCGTTACTGATGTTTTTCTTTAGGTTTAACGATACTGACTCTGGCATCGACAACTCTGCCGGCAACTCGGACACGGAGAGCGTCATCAGCGACGACGATGAGCTCGCCGACCGCGTCTGGGCCTCCTGGATGGCCGACTTTGCAGGTCGCGAACGGGCGACCAATTCATTTTCATTCTAATCACATATATTTTCTCTGTCTCTCTAATCGCGTATCAGTCTTTCTCGACCAAACGCTCCATTTCTTTCCTTTCAGATTCCAAATCTACGTAGTTAGTCCCAACAATTATTCGTAATTACTGAAATAAACGCCGCTTGGGATGTTTGGGATTTTTTTTTAATTTAAGGGATGGTACTTGACAGTTTTATCGAGGTGTAATACATACATATGATGCGGTGTTGATCATATTTATGTTAGAAATTTTTTGAATGGGGTCAAGACAGGTAGAAGATGGCATAGACGATCCTGTTTTGCAGGGGGTGCTCAAACACCAATAAGAAGATCCGATTAGGCGTGAAGCAAACTTGTATTAAGTTTTCGATCGTTGAGATTGCTCGAAACGAACTTTATCCAAGTGCAGTTCGTAAGGCGAATCGGATATGTGATTTTCTTGTCATAACTTGGCACACGATGTTGTTTATACTTCTCTGCTCAACTTTCTTACTCAAGGATATGACGCCTTGCGTCATTTCTATTAAGCGGCCGAAGAAATAATGACGACAAAGACATCGATAAGGGCGGGTCAATGAATCCATCAAGTGCCCATCTTGACCGAGATTATCAATATGGAAAACGGACCGGGAGTCAAGAGCGGTGGGTTAACTCGACCCGGAGGCCATCAGCTGTCAAACGAGACTTCAATTGGCGCCTTCTTTCGGCCGCTCTCCCGGTTTTGAGTGCCGCTGCAAATAAATTCGTCTTTTGGTCTTAGGCAAAGGGGGCGAAGGGGTTTTTTGGGCCTGATAAAACTCGATTCCATAAAGGGACCAGGCTATTTATTTAAATGTAATTTTCAGATCCCCAGTGAATGGAAAGTCCGGGCATCCGGCCATCTTCTTCCCAATCCATTTGTTTCTAGAGAAGCGGGCGTGCGACTGCCGGGGAAAGAAACCGGTTCAAAGTACATGAGTGTTGATCAACTACTGGTCGGATCAATGGGATGAGTCATGGATTGGATCTTGATCTTCTTCTTGTCGGCCTACTTTCACAGCATTTGTGCCAGTGATGAATTCTTTCGTAAGAATTGCTAAAATAATAGAAATTGATGCAATCCATTCAGTTTGTTTTAGTTTTTACAATATTCCGTACCCTAAGCCATTTTTTATTCAAAAATTTGATTGCATAACGGATTGCGCAATAGTTTACGGGAAGGGAAAGGGAACTAGGTCGCGAGATCGGATTATATTTGTAAACCGTCAAGTTTATAGATTTTATATAAATATTGAGCACGGACAAACATTTTTCCGTATGATTAAAGCATATAAGCATCGCGGAAACTTTATTTTCAAATTTTCTGCCCGCCATGATTAATATTACAATGGGTAACGGATGCGAAGAAAAGTTCGCTGAGAATAACAACGATAGTGAGACTTGTATTTCGATGGAACTGGAAGATGATATCAAAGAGGACTGTCGCTTCTGCAGGTCCCTCGATTGCGATCTCATCTTCTCCTCCGTGATCGTTTTAATTGTAGCCGGAATGTTGATATTTATTTTTGGCTTCTGGCTACACGGCGTTATCGAATACACAGAGTAAGCGTTGCATTCCTCGTCATCATATAATTCTTGACGTCTTAAATAATCCGATTTTACGCCTGCTCCTTTACCAAAAAATATTTATCTCATCAAATCTTTGGATCCACTTTTAGCATTTACTGAATGTGATCATGTCTTCGATAATACGGTAAACAAGGGTCATTTCTCGCTGCCTATCTTACCCAAAGAACTGCGAAATACGAAAACGAGCTCACCGAAATTGCCAAATAATATTCAGGTGAATAAATGTGGATAGCGTCACTCTTTGTGCTGTCTGTCTTGTGTTTTTGCTTGTAATTCATTGCGTACAGTATTACAAATGCTCTATTTCAGTGTGTCTACACGTTTGTCGCGGGAAAGGGCCAACGAGTGAAGCTGGAGTTCACTCAATTCCAGTTAGATGGGACTGTAGACAACTGTGATTTAGAATATATAGACATCTACTCGGAGCTCACATCTCCGACCCAAGATCTCCTTACTGGTCCACTGGCCTCTCGTTATTGTGGTACCGTTTCCCCCCATGTCCGGGTCAGGTAAGAATGATCCATATATCTCTAACCTGACCTATTCCTGTAGTCTGAATAATGTAATTGTACTGGTATTTCATTCACGGGTTGGTCGGAAAAGAACGGAAGCATTTCAATTGAAGGGGAAGTACACTTTCATAAATGAGACCAAGTTTATTCCTGGGAGTCGGCTAGGCGAACATCCTTGCGCTTTTCTCATCGAACCCACCAAACAGTAAGTGGCTGATGAATAAAAATAATTAATTTTGTAGACGACGGGGTCAGATTCTTTCTCCAACATATCCTGGAACCTATCCGAGCGTATGTTCCTACCTTTGAGCATACAATTTATCTTCATAATTGTAGAATTTTCACTGTTCATACCTCTTGAAAGGAAACTCTGGTGACAGAATTCGATTATTTTTCCGTGACTTTGACATATATTTTGGTGGAGAGCATTGTCCATACGACGCCTTGACCGTATACGATGGACATAACAACAAAGCGCCCATAATCAGAAAGGTCTGCGGTCTACAGCAGCGGCTGGAGATGTTTTCTTTTGGCTCCGAGCTATTCTTGGAGTTCAACTCCACCGACCCCGCTAAAAATGACCCCAGGGGATATCTTATAGAATATGAATTCTCGGACAAATTCGTGGATGTAAAGCAATTATTGTCCGGTCAGCGTGGGGTATCCTACCTCACCGGCTCGGAGTGCGATGTCCGAGTTCAAAGTAATCGAGAAACTGTTCACTACATCCAAAGCCCCAATGTAAGCTTGTTCGCAGCCTTGTATTGTATTGCGTACGGGGAGCGACAATTGGGGAAACTGAAAAATAATATTATTCTTCTTGCATGTAAATTTCGAACTCAGGATAATCGATGGCGTTTAATGCAAAAATCATAATCATTTTTTGAAACTTCTTTTCTTAAGTAGTACTAAAATGCAGTAAGCTATAAAAAACAGTTTTTCGAATTTTGTGGAAAAAGTTCGTTTAGAAAATTACTACTTTACCGTACTGCTTAAGAAAAAATAACGGTCAGAAAAAATGAACGTCATTTTCGAAATCGGACCTCCAATTCGTGTATTTGTGACAAAAATTCGAACAATTGCTGTTTTACAGTACCAAAAAAAGTAGGAATCAAAAAATGATTATAATTTTTGAAACCAACGCCATCGATTGCTCTAATTTCGACACATTTACTCTATACAAGAAAAAAATATTTTTCAATTTCCCCAATTGTCTTTTTTCCCGATTGACGACGTTCCTTCAGATTGTGTGTTATGTTTGTCATAAGACTATTCTAGTATCCTCACCCTTACCCACCAAACACAACGTGCACGTACATTCTGGACGGTCTGCAAGGAGATCAGAATCTTGAAAAAGTGATCCTCAAATTTGAATCATTCGCTGTTCTCAATGATGTTCAAGGCTCGAGGTAAGCCTGTACACATTTGCTATAAACCCGCGTATTACAAAAAGAGTCATAAGACACAAAAATTATTTCATAAGACTTATTTTATTGCCCAATAATGCAAGGGCTTGTAAGGTGGAAGTTTTTTTATGGGCTACAATTGTACAGAAAATTCGGCCTGACTTGATCTTCTGTCGAATTTGCAGGGAGGTGTCATTGGAAAACGGCGATGAATGCTGGGCATTTGTGGGTGTTGCTGGTCAGGAGAGCACCATTAAATCCGTTATGGCCAACAACGAAGAGTCTGTTTATGACGCCACATTATGTCATCGTATCCCCGCCGGGAGTCCCAAACTTGGCCCGTATTCCAGCCAAGGGCCGAGGATGGTGTTAGTGTTTGGAAGCATGAATGAGGTCCCCCCAAATGTCCCTTTGCCCTTAGGGTTTAAAGCCAGAGTTGAATTCAAAACCGACTTTGGAGTACCCGGAAGTCCTATGGGAGGCTCAAATGAATGTCTATTCCAATTCACCGAGAAGAGAGGGCATTTCAACAGTCCAAGATACCCAGCCAATGTAAGTGCATTCCATTAAACCAGAAACGGTTTAGTATCCTCTGGACACTACTTGTACCTATATCATAAAAGGAGAGCCTGGCGAACAGGTCTTACTGTATTTTGAACAATTTGCATTATTCGAAGAGCCCTCCAAAGAAGAATGCAATGATTGGCTGGAAGTTTATGATGTCTCACGAGATGGGAATGAGACGGAAACCTCTCAGTTACAAGGTTTGCCTACTCTCAGTTTCATAAAATTGTTGTAGCCAAGCATTGCTGGACGGTAATCCCGGGTCCCACAACTTCAAGTTTCGGTTTTCATGAGATGAAAGTGGTCTTCAATTCGAATCAATACGGGACCGCCAATGGATTCATGGCCTTATATGAGATCAGAAAGGCGTTTGCTGAACAAGTTCCGGCGAAGGACGGGGCAGACAAAGATCATTGTGGAGGTCTTATTCAGGCAGACAGCGACCACACCAGTGGCTGGATAACTTCACCCGGATTCGGAGCCAAATATACAAAGGACCTGATATGTGATTGGGAAATCAAAGTCAGGCCGGACCATCAAGTGAGTTCAGTTTTTTGGACTTATTACAACTGTTTTAGTAAATGTAATAATAATTATTGAACAATTCTTTTTTATTATTATTAGTCATTAGTTACACTGGTACCACTTATTTGTTTCATTTGGTATAATTTATTGATGTTGTTGTAGGCCCTCTTACAACTTACTCAAATGGATGTGGAGGGGGAAATGACTGACACCAAGGTATCTTGTAAAAACGCTGTCATTAAAGTACATCGCGATTACCTCAACCGAACTGCGGATATAAATATTTGTGGTACCAATCCTGCCGTGATTTCCCCGATCATATCGATTGGAAATAGCATTCGTATCAGGTAAATACTTATGACTATCTATTCTTTATTAAGAACGACTTAGTTTTTGTGAGTTCTGGGAAGAACAAAGTTGGAGTTTAAAAAAAAAATGTCCTTACAATATTAGGAAATTTCAATTTCCGACGTTTATATTGGCCCTGCATACCGGAGCAAAGAATTTATAGTTTTTTTTTAGTTTTCTAACTTCCCCTGACAAAGTAAATGGACTTAATGGATTTAACTTCACATGGACAGAGATTCGGATGGTGAAGCGTAAGTTTCATTTCTGTACCGTAAAATAAAACTTGCGAAAAAGCTAAACAGCATATTCTAGAGGACGGCGAATGTAGTGGCGAAGGCTTATATCTATGCAGTTACACTCGGTACTGCATTGCTTCTCGTTTAAGATGTAATGGAGACGACAACTGCGGGCAAAATGATGACACAGACGAAGCTCATTGTAAGTTAAATGTATCTTTGTTAATAAGGCTGATATCTATCGTCACAAGCTTACCCGTTGATGATTAAGACTTTTATTCTCTCATTTAAAAATAATATTTTTTGTGAACCCGTAATCTTGAATCCTTTATTGCTTTTTAACCATTCAAATTTAACATAATACTTTGTTTGCATTAACAATACTTTGTGTTCTTTTTTCTGGCCATTTACCTGCCTCCGGACACCATTCTAACCAGGCTCGAGAGTGCCCACTATCCTTCATCTGGATGCTGCTAATAATTCTCGGTTCTCAGCTGCCGTAACTGCTAATCTCATTTCATTTGGTTGGGTAATTTAAGTTTGTTTAGTTTATACTTTTCCATGATTACGGTAATACCTGGTCTTTAGGTAATATACTGGAAAAGGCGGCTGATTCGCAGACATTGTTGGTGGCTGCCATCATGTCCGGCTTCATCTTCTTGTTCATCTTCGGCTTTTTTTGTCTTTTGTTCAAGAAGAAATTGGAGAAAAAAACGGATCGGAACACGACTACGATGGATCCCAAGGAGAGTGAGAGGGTTAAAAAGGAGAGTCAGATCCAAGCAATCATTGTGAAACAAAGACAGCGACATCCCTTCCGCCAGCAACAGCCCAAGATCTCGCGAGTGTCCAGAAATGGCAGTGATAATGGGTAAGCATTGCATTGCCTTTATTTTGCTCGTGTTTACTGTAAGTCTCAATGGAATAACAATGTTATGTTGCAGGATGTTGCCAACGCCGGCCCTCAGCCGAATTAGGAGACATGACGAGATGACCGAGCTCATAATTCCGCCGAATCAGATGGCTTTAAATGAGCACACTTTCTATGGGTAACACTTGTTTGTACATAAAGCTCTTATTTTTGCTCAAGGTGACTTTATTACTTTGTAATTCATATATTCTACAGTAATTTTCACTTTGTTTTCATTGTATGTAAAAAGCTATTTCTCAGACTATTGTAAATTGTTGCGGCTTACATAATGAGCGTTCAAATTTATGACCGTATGTAATAAAAAGCTGCGAAGATCGTTCGCTTCCGTTTTTACAGCACCAAATTAGTCTCACAGAGATTTTACCATTCTTTGGGTAACTTGAGAAGCGGAAGATGAAAAGGGGGATGATATAACCGGGATAAGAAGGCACTTGAGGGTATCTGTTCCTACGTATCATATCTCGTTTAAAGTGAGGGGATCAGAAACCGCACAAAAAAACTTTAACTTTTCTCGAAAAAAATTAAAAATTCAAAGACATTTTAAAGAAACAAGTTACGGCTATATTTGTTTACAATACGACCCAAATCTAGTCAGACTAAACCCCTTTAAACAATCTCTGAAACGACATCGATCCTCCGAGGGGAGGGGTCAATCGGGACAGGCTCTTGTGGCCATAAATGGGGTTATGCAAGGAAACGCGTGCCAGGAAAAGCAAAGTTTATATCACCATTTGGGTTGAAGAGCAGCAGCAGACGGAAGGAAGGGAAGGAAAGAAGATGGATAGTCCCGGATACAGTTACTATTACGGTACTCCAGCTGGAAGGTAAGTAGTTTCATCTCAGGTTTCAAATTGATGTCTCTGTACTTACAAAACTACCGTAACCGTTTTTTTATTTTTTGAATGTTTTTTTTATTTTTTTATATTGTAACTGCTGCCGTATTTGCAGAAATTAGACCTAAAAAGTCTTGAAGCCTGAATTGTATCTTTTTTCAGCAGTGGGTCATCGTCCCCGGGCCAATCTTCGAAACGACCTCAAACCATTCAGAAAGCGATCAAGAAGAAGAAATCCAGTGAAAAGGAGAAGATCAGAAATGAGGAGATCAAGAAGAAACTGGGGGAGATCTCCAACATGATGCCTCTCCAGAATACCGAAGGGCTCAGCAGGATCAGAACATTACGTCTGGCCATTAAATACATCCATCATCTTAACGGAATTTTGAATGGGGAAATGGTAAGGAATTAATTTAACGGTACAGCTTTTGTTGATTATTTTACTGTACCTGATTGGTGATAAATTCAATTACAGGTGTATTGTCCGATGCAAGGAATGTATCGACCTCGGAACTGTAATGATTTCCAGCAAGATGTGGCTGAAGAAATGCAACGAACTAACTCCTACAAAGAAAGGGCCGAGATGGAAATGCAGATGGGAATGGGGACCACTTCTCTGAGGGCCAAGAACTCATCCACCTCGCCTGAGATGCATTAATCTATGTTTTGCAAATCTTCGCACACTTATTACACAATGTACATTCCTTGTTTATTTACATAAAAGAGACCGCTTAACACTGAATGCCGAATCTGTCAAAATGCCGCGTTATAACGGATAATCTGAAGGTGACAAGCCCGCAGCTCGTCGTTTGTAATCGCATTCGCTCGTTGGAATCGTCCAATATTCGAAGAGATTTGAGTTGAGTTCCGCCGCCCACAAATCGCCGAGTTATTTCGTTGCGGAATCCACTCTTCGGACGCCAACAATGACATTTTATCTGTAAGATTTGTGTGAAAAAAGTTTAAGGTCTCCCCAAGTCTGTGAAATTGTGCTTCTTGCACAGTGAAACTTGTGAAGTGCCTCACAAGTTTCACTGTGCAAATCGGCATAATAAAGAGATTTACCTTCACACGTATATCATAATGTAACATTTTACAAACCCCTCGGCCACACTTCCATCCCTTTATTGCATCACAAACACCCTCAAACTGACCTCGTGTTCACCAGGCGCACTTGGAATGATAGCCGTTCCATATCCGCAGATCTCTTGCCGATTAAATTCGTCCTGTCTCCAGATCTCCAAGTGAATCCGAGGCCAATTCTGAATGGTTTTTGTAGAGAGATGAAGGTCGATGGGATGACAAAAGTACGCCCTTTCTAAGACGGAGATATCTGTTTGAGTTTGTCCTTCTGTTTCGCCTTCAATCAGCCGCCAGCCGCCACCTAAATTTCGTGATTGCAGTTACATTCATGATATTTATAACAGATGCCTTTACAGGGTGCGCCAAATAGATTGGAACAAATATTTTTACTTGCCCTACGGGCTCTAACGGTACAATAGCAAAGTGGGCAATTGTGAAAACGTGTAATGCATCCATGAATCCATCTCCAAGGTTTCAGACAAAGTAAAAGTTTCGTCATTATACATACGCTCTCAAAAATACATAATTCTCTGAAACACGGAGAGCGAATGATTAGGGAACTGAAAAATATTATTTTTCCTGTATTGCGTCAAAATTAGGACAAGAGTTCAAGTTTTCTTTAGCGGAAATAATGGACAAATTGATATCCCGGTCATCCCTCTGAAAAAAAAATTTTGCTCCTCCAAGAACTTTTAATTATTTTTCCGTCTTGCAATATGCCCCAACCTTGGTGTTACCGTTGATGTACAGCACGTCTGTTGCCCTTGCTAAACGGGATAAAAGCTTTAATTCTTAGACCAACCTACAAAAGCTACATGGAATTTATTTTTGTCCAAGTCTTTTCGGCGCACCCTGTAAGGAAGCGAGTAGCTTACCAAGATAGACAATCCATCTGCAGCTTAAACGATTGTCAACAAACCCATCCGCGGATTCGATCTGACCAATTACATGTACTTCGGCCATGGTTAAATGACCCTAAAGAAAGAAAAGTGACCAGCATTTTGGTTACTATGGCAATGTGAAATGAGACAATCTTACTTATGGAATCAAGGCGTTCAAAAATAAAGCAAAACTGCGCAAAATAAATTATAATTAACAAACTGCTGATACCGTATCATAATTACTTCTCGTGATAAGGATTACAATAACATAGCATGTTACTCTGCAGCCGTCCCACCACGAAAACATCCCCGCGAATTTCAAAAAAATATTGTCATCGAAAATAATTTTTATTTTTTCGGAAAATTCTGAAAGATTAGTTTTGTTCGTTGGTAGATAACCTAAAAATGTTTATCCCATCTCACGACGATGAAGATACTTCTGAATTTAAAGATAAATTTATGAACGAACCTGAAGGTTATGCTCTCGATCTTGTTCAGCCTCCTCTCGGAATTCACGTAAGTGTTCAATATTCTGCAGTATTCTGGTTTTAGCCAAAAGAGTTTGTGAACATGTACTTTGGCCCTCGCTCTGATGCCAAGAACCTGCAATTCAGAAAGGGCACGACCACCTTAGCCTTCATTTATGAGCCCGCCACTCCTAACGATAAAGGTGGAATTGTTGTCGCTGTCGATTCTCGTGCAAGTGCTGGTCAATATATCTGTGAGTTTACGATTTTCCGGCGGCTGAAGTGAGTCGCAGTGAATTCTTTGAACCTTTATTTCCAGCTTCGAAGAGTGTCATGAAGATTCTTGATGTGGGAGATCGAATGGTTGCAACTATGGCCGGTGGCGCCGCCGACTGTCAATTTTGGACAAGGATGGTTGCCAAATACTGCACGTATGTGTATAGAGATCTAATATGATTAGTTTAGCTTGTTTGAACTGCGTGAGAAGAGTGATATCACTGTGGCAGCCACAAGCAAGTACTTTGCAAATGTCATGTACAACTGGAGAAACCATGGATTGTCTGTGGTGGGTTACATTTATTATTTTGCAATTAATATTTTAGGGCTCTATGGTAGCCGGGTACGACAAACGAGGACCAGCAATTTTCTATGTTGATAACGATGGACAGCGACTTTCCCAGAGAGTTTGTTCGATTGGTTCCGGATCTCTGAATGCTTACGGTGTTTTGGATACCCATTATAAACCCAAAATGACTGATGATGAAGCTCTGAAACTCGGTCGACGGGCCATTATGCATGCTACCTTCCGTGATTCCGGCTCAGGAGGTGTGTGTAATGTCGCCCATATCACTCCGGTCGGAAAAACAAGATATCCTCCAATTGACGTCAGTGAGCTCTACTATGAATTTGCAGCGGAACTCGGCAAAGAACCCGGTTATTTGCCGGAGGACGACTCCTAAATATTATAATGGTATTCGATAAAGTAATCTTATTGCATTTATTCGAATTTGTTCGTATATATTGCTTATGATTATGCATAGTCGGTGTCCTGTCGTATGTTTGGCCTGAGATCAGATAGGGGTAAGGGGATTAAAGCATTCGGAGGAGAGTTTAAATCAGCGTTATCGCGGTTATGCACAATTGAATTATTAGGCAGATTGGGGCTAATATCTGGGTCTCCCATGGTATTTGGAACACCCAGTGAGGCAGAGGATTGAACAGTTAAAGCGTTTTGATTTGAGGTGGGAAGACTGGTGGTGGATATGACTCTACATTGTATCGCCATATCATAGGAAGGAGGAGGTTCGAAAGTTTTGAAAATATCCGAAATGTTTGACGGTTCAATATAGGTCGGTGGGGGAGCTATGTTGTATTCTGGATTTGCCACTGGTCTCACCGGTCTGGTTGAGGTAGGGTTTGGAGGAACTGCGACTTGTTGGCGTCTAGGAGTTGAATGGCGACGATTCCTCCGCCGATGTTCGGGTTCTATAAATTATTCAATCCCTGCACTTTTTTAACTTACCTTCACGTGGCTTGGAGAAGAAATCAGCCCGACAAAAAACGCAGCATCCAATGATAAGTACGAGACACACCAATGGAATTCCTAATACGGCTAGCCAGGAGGAGGAATAGAACTGCAAATATTCGTGCTGTCAAAAAGCTATGCTTACTTCGCAGAACTGTCCCGTGTACCAGTCGTCAATGCATTTACAGGTACCATTACCCAGATCACGGCCTCCATTTTCACAACTCACGATTTCACAATGACGTCCACTAATATATTTTGGACTAGGACATCTGTAATCATCAAGAATTACTTCGTCTTGAAAAAATAAACAACTCACATGCATTTCCGTTGCTCCGGATCCGGATGCCGATCCAGTGTTCCGTTATTCAAACATTCAACGAGTTCACATCGATCCCCAAAAAAGTGTTGTTTGCACAAACACTCCCCATTGGGAGCCTTATACCCATTATTAAGGCAATTCCCGGAGTACCCCATGAGTTTTCCTAATTTCTGGAAGATTGTTTGTGCCACATCGACCACTCCTGAAACAGAGGAATTAAAATACGGTTTTTCTAAGCCTCGATCGAGACAACACCATGGTGCCGACGTGAATTTCAGATTTCCGTGTCGAATCATATTTTGGAATTTTTAGGCTCATTCGAACCGTAAAGATCAAAATCCAGAAACTGGGAATCTTATTATTTTTTTTATTAGACAAAAACTGAATTTGGTGACAAAACCATGCATATTCAAAATTTTCCCGACTTGGACTAGTTTACAAAAAATGGTTTCCGAGTACGGTAAAAACGATTTTAAGATCCGTTTGCACCTTGCGTGTCTGTTTCATAATATAAAATATGCCTTTCACTTACAGTACCACCCGGTTACGGTAACTTTTTAACAGAAAATTACTTATTGTGTGGTAGGCACTAATATTCGAAAATTTAGTTTCAGTTTAACAAGTCTGAAATTCACGTCGACACTGCGCTCCAACATTACAAAAACCGTGTTTTAATGGAACACCAGACGTTCGAATGCTCGACAGCCGGCTGTCCAACATTTAAATCGCGCGCCAAACAGCTTCTGAATTTCAGTTTTATTTCGCTACGAAGAGCCTTGCGGCAGGTGCGGATCCTTATGAATGGCTTTTGCGCCGGAAAAAGGACGATCTGGATTACGTACCATTTGGGAGCTCGTCCACTGACGACGGTTTGGGGCTAAGTGACTCCAGAGTCGGCTTCTGAATAGGAACTGACCCAGAGATGTTGGCCATCCCTAGAATTTTTATAATATTAGGAATTCTCTTCTTTGTAAACCATCGGAAAGAGCTTGTCAGCCATTCTAAATAAACATCGGGAGAGATCAATATCTCAGCGACAAATTAACGCGCCTTTGACAACCCGAAGATGATTCAAATAATTTATTCGTATCTATTATTCCTAATATCTTTTCTTGTGCTGTAAAGCATTGTATTCTCCCAGCAGAGGCATCTCTTCTTGACATTTACTCAGATTACTTTGTTCTAATGGCTGAATGAATCCTGAAGAGAGATTTATGTCGTTAAAAAGAGGCTTATTCTCGAGAGATCGACTTTTGGAGATTACGAGATTCAGCGAGGTTAGTGTGGCACGATTGTTGTTCAAGCTGAAACGTTAGGAAACCATAACTTCACAGATCAAAAAAGCTTGAATTAATATTAGAAATTTCAACAAAGCAAACATTTGCAATTAACTGTCGACTCACAGTCTAATAAATTCTTTGAGGAGATCGCGCAGTTCTGATAGCTGTTCAGGTCCAAATTCCTGTAAACTTATGCTTTAGAAGCAAAAAATTATACAGAGTATTTTTTAAATTAATTATAGCTTGCCTGATCCGTCCTGAATCTACACCATTCATGAAGATAACCTATCCTGGCAATCAAATAGTCCGACAAATCTTGAAATAGCTCCTTTTTAACCCGTGTAAGAAAAGAATATGTCGATTCACCCGGCTTCCTTAGAACTTCCGGATTGATGAGCTCGAGTTGGCGATCCACATCTCGGAACACCTCATCAAATGCTATCATCCGACAAACATGAGGTGCATTGGCATCTAAAGAAAGATAAATGCAAAAACAATAGCTTCTTACGCTCAGCTATCATCAGACAATCGGTAAGCGGTGGAAAGTGCGACAGTTTAAATGCCCAAACATCATCTACCTTCTTGTTTATGATCTCTCTGGCCTTCTAGATTTAAAAAAGGAATAAATAACTTCGAGAAGAAAAATCTAACCTTTCTAAGCTCATTTGCTACCGTGCTATTGATTTCCTTGTGTGTACTATTGTTTCGGAGTCTTCGTATTTGTCGATAGAAGAAAATCCCGAATAAAACCGCCATCTGAAAAAGGATTGACCTTGAATTTTCAATATTGATTTAGAGAAAACTGACCAAAAGAAGAACGGTGAGGGCGAAGACGATTGTATATCCTCCCAAACTCAATGTGATCGAACCTGGCATGTTTTGATTTGTAAGGGTAATCGATCTCCATCCAGTCTCGCGAGACTCGATTAAAAAGATATTTTATTTTTCTTGGTGCACAATGCCAACCTCGCAAAAAATGCGGGAAATTCAAATCATTCGTTCGTAACAAGGTGAATCAAAAGTGTACCCAGACCAACTTAGAGCCAAAATTTTTACACTGCTCCAAATTATAGGTTTCTTGATGAGAACCGGTAGTTTTTTTTATCAAAACAAGAAAGTCGGAACTTGACTAATTAATTGGATGGCTTCTGATTTACTTGCACTGCCAATAGGGATGACAAACCCAGTCTCGTTTGCATGTGCCTTTATAATTGTTTGGAGAGAGGAGTAAACAAATCTGCTCTCCGATTTCTGAATCGTTGAATCCCGATAAACAAGATATTAACCGGAGATTAGTTCACCTTGAAAAAAGATGAGAATCTGAAAGCGCCTGAAGGCTGGGCGCTCGTTTGCAACGTGAAGAGTGGGAAAAGAAACAAAACATTAAGAGACGCGGTTTCGGTTCTAATGGAATCGCCCAGAGTTTAGACAAGTTTACCGGAGCAATGTCGTTGCGCAAGAGCCTCTGCTGTTTTGTACCGGCCAGAAAGAAATCCTACCAGGGGCATCTCTATCAGAAGGTGGATCAGAATATGTTGGCGCGAATCGACGAGAATTACCCGAGGAAGAAGGGTTGCCGGAATGAGGACAGCCATCGGATCGATCACTATGGAGATGAGATTGGGAGGGCTTCTCGACACGGTACGATGGGCCGTTCCAATTCCGGGAAGAGCCATTCATTCCATCGGGCGGAAGAGAGACCTTCTCCGGAAGACAAAGCCCCTCAGATCATTTCTACCTCATCGGAAGCTCTTCTGGAGATTGATGACGTTGGCTATGCCAAGATTCTGAAGCCCCCCAAGACACCAAAGCTCCCTCCGAAGAAGACAGAGGTTTGCAATTTTGTAATTAATCAGAAACTAGTCTGGCGCCAAGTTCCATCGTTATAAAGTACAAGTTCGTTCAGCTGAAGGACTCTCATCCGACCTAATTCAGAAAAAAGCGGTCACTTCTCTTTAAAAGCTTTTGTATTTATTGTGAATTCGTTTAGAAAAGTGGTCATTCTGTCAAATTAAGACACGTTCTAGAATATTCTTACAACCGGGTCTATTCAGTTGAAACGCAATCAAACTTTTTACACCTTTCCTGTAAAAACTCTGCAGGAGTTATAACGACCTTGAATAACCGAGAGATGCAGGGCTAGTCAGTTGGGTCATCAGGAACAGTAGGAGGGTTATTAAGCGAGTGTTTTCCCTCGGAGCAAGGGTTTGTTTGAATTAAACGACCTGAAATGATCGTTCACAAATCGTTTAATAGTTGAGGGAAGGCCGCGCGACTTATTCCACCGGTCCCCGCAATTTGCTATTCAATGGCCGAAAGCGAAAACTTGGGCCATGAAAATTGCATGGAAAGCTTTTGTCCTCACAGCCGGAGATTTCTGTCATTGCGGTTAGGTTTCGGAAAATAAAAGGACGGCCTGAGGGGCCGCTTCTGTTTTATATTCGGCCGACAACCTGTTGACTTCCAACGTTTACACCGCTCTCGAAATGAGTCAAACTCTGGAGGTACGATCGATTGAGGCGCGTGGTGTAATGTGTGATGACTAGAGCGATTTAAGGCTCTTTTATGGGTCTCCTAATATTGTGGGAGCGACCGGCGGCGAAGAACGGAGGAAGGGAGTGGTGTGAGGTTAGATTAGAGCGCGAATTTATTATCAAAACGTCCGCTTTTAACACCTCCATCTTCCTCATCCAATTCCAAACAACTTCTTACCTAAACTTTTCGGCTGGCGTCCGTAATTCGAGGGTTTTAAGCCTTGCGTAGCACCTACGAATTCGCCCGTTCCTTATCGTTAATCGATTTCCGAAAAGCGACCTTTCCACAACCACATCGTCAAGTCTTAATTAGGCGTCGAGCCCACCTCTTCCGCTCCCCCGAAGTATCATTGACACGCTTATCAGTTCTGATCGTTGAGATTGAGAAGTGATTGCGGCGTCATTGCGCAAGTCATATTTAACTGAGCCCTTCCTTTGCTATTGATTTACAATTAAAATTATCGGTTTTAGAGCGCAGAAGAAGACATGGCAATGATCGCAAGAGTGAAGCCGTATCAACAAACAAAGCCGAGGGATGAGAATCCGAATCCAAACTCGCACTACCAATTCGAAGATGTCACGGATGATCCGAAGGTACGGTATATTTTACGAATTTCCTGGGAACTGTTGTTCTTTCCAACTTGTGTATCCCTTCTTTCTTACGGTAGGAGATTTTCTCCTATTTTGAAACGTCGAAAAGTAAAGAGAGCAAGCACCTTCAGGGGGCTTTTCAAGTGACAATTATCTTATAATTGCATCTCCATTCAACCTTTTCCAGTATCAAGAGCCCAAATTGCCGGATCTGGAAGGCGCTCTGGTCGAATACTGTCGGATCGATAAGAACAAGCAGAAGCCACAGCCTCAGATCCTCCAATCTCACACGGTCGTCAGTGCCAGGGCCCCCAGTGAGGTCAGTTTTAATCTAATTTTAACTCTTAAAAGTTTTAAGTTACAAGTATTTACAATTAGCTTTCGATTTCGTTCTATTTAGGACTCCTTAGTATTCTTTCAGAAGTGTCTTTCATAGCCTCGGGGTTTTAGGAATTGCGTGCTGAGAAAGGGGCGGCGTCGAGATTAGTGGTCAATTGGCCACTAATGGCCATGTTTTGGGGCTGGATCGTATTAGAAATAACATTTATTGAAGTTGCATTCTTTATAGGAGGAGGGCATCATGGTACATAAAACCCTTATATTTATTCTATCATCTCTGCAAAAGTCGAATATCCGTAAATTCAATTGAAACCATGTTTGAAAGCATTTTGCGTGATTGGGACTGATCCTTAAGACCGAAACTCAATTATAATAATCAAGTTTAGGGAGTGTAAAAAGTGAGGATTTGTCAGCAAAGACTGAAAATCATGAGAAGGCTCTGTTTGTCATAAAAATTGTCATTGTGACCCCCTCCGCCCGTTAATCTCAACAGTAAATTTCCCGCCAAACCACAATTGTTTACTGAGCAAGGCTTTCGCTCTAAGCCGAACGACTTATTGAAACTTTTGTGGAAGATGCCCTAAGGCTATAATCGGAGGCCAAGGGCATTTTCTGAAAGGAAGGGAGAAGAACCGGAAACCGACACTTCTCTTCAGAACTCTTTCCTCTGAGATTCCATCGTTCCCGAAAAGATTCGGCCTCGGTTTCTGCGGGCCTTTCCCCGCCTTAGAAAGCCTTCCAATCCGGGGCTTTGTTGTTCTAAATGGTCCGGCCTGACTTTTCGAATCTGCGGCGGATCCGGCTTCGTGTATCTTGGGCCACGTTGTCCCATCACTTTGGGGCCGTTCGACGGACTCATCAAACGGACTGATGACGCTTCCGGCGAGCGGCGAATCCCTTTGGATCCGGGGCCAGGAGTTGTAAGCCAAAGGGATTGAGGGATGAGCCACTAATTGTAAAAGGAAGTGACGTCATTACACTTAACATGTTTAACGATCTTTTCGGCTTGTTTAAATTTTTTTCTTTTTTATTCAAAATGATTGAGAATCCCCATCTTTTGGAAAGTGTAAACTCATCTCCACGCCTGGCTCCTTGTTTAGACAAAGCTTTGAAATCAAAAATTCCGAGTTTTTTGTTTTCAGAAGCCACTTATCGTTTGTCTTCTGTCAGAGGATGGTAATTCCATTCATGGTTCCAAATGGTGTTCGTTTATTTTCGGCGTTTTGTATTTTTTGCTTTTGTGGATATAAAAGGGAACGGATTTGGTTTACAATTGTCATAAACTTTAGGGACTGTATGCAGTAAGCAGATGGGAGCCCTATTTTCCCTCAAAACAATAGAGTTGCTTTCCAAAAGCTTTATACGCCAATCTAAAAAATTTAAATTAGAACCTCTAAGGTGACAGATCTCCTCGCATTAATTTTTTACACCTTCAGGGCCTTGCCTTTCTCACAGCGCTGGCTTTTATTTTTAGCTTAAATAATGAAAAGTTTTAAACCCAAACTCATTCCAACCGTTGGGGCAATTCCCTGAGGGCACAACTTGTTGAAGGGAAACGAGTGCGCAGTTGAGCGTTATGACCGAGAACAGCCGGATTTGGGCCAGAAAGTACCCCCCGAACCTGTTTATTTGGCCGTAATTGGAGAGCCGCGATCGTTTGGAACTCTTATTTTTTATGAAAGGGGTACTGTAACGAGTGATAGACTGGGTCCTGTCAGTTCTTTTTTTGTTTTGTCCTTATTTTTACTGACTCGCCGTCTGGTTTACATCCTTGGACAAAGACAGAAAAAGCATTGGCCGGTGTCTGCATTTGTCATATTTCGATAATTTATTGTTCAGAAATGGCCTTTTGTAAACACTCTTAGCAACTCTTCCCGAAGGCTGATTATAAATGTATATGATGTTTATTCTATTTTGAATGAGTTTGTGACCAAGAAAAGAAAACTTTTTTCCTTTGCCCTGAGGTCTTGGAGGTCGAGAGCACGCTGAGAATGGGGCCACTGTTTATGGCCCGTTTATTTGGGTCAGGTCGTGTGGTATATGCAAAACATATGGATTAGTTTCTTTGACTGATGTCCCCGTTCTTCGAGTCCGATGTCCTCAGGCATGCGGCTCTGGTGTTTATAATCTCGAAACTTTTCTTCTTTTATTCATTCTCCTGCAGCAGATTAATACAAGTTGGTTTCAGAATTTTGGTGGAGCTTCGAAAGGTAGGGCGCAGCCTGCTCAAGTGTTCCGGCCTGCTGACCACAGACACATGGCGCATATCATCGATGTGGATGTGGGTCAGCCCTGCTCGAACTCGGCCAAATGTCAATGTTACGGGTTCAGGCCGCATCCCTGGAGGTGAGTCTTTAAAGTTGTGATGTCTCCTTGTTATCTGTCTGGGCACCTCTTTTAACGACGGATGACTAGACGACAGATGTTAGACAAAGGTTGTTCATTTCAAATGGGGGCATCTTCGTTTGAAATGAATCCAGAAACTTTGGGAAGTTTAATTAGCAACTCGAGTGTTGCGTTTATGATAGATAACGACTTCCCGGCCTCATGATCCCCATTGCCCATCCTCGAGCTTCCGTGCGAGGCTCCTCGAATCTCTCCCTCCGGATTTGATATGGGGATTCGTTGGCATCGAGATTGGGTCTGACCCCGTCCGCCCGCCGAGAAGACAATGGAATGTTTCCGGTTGAGTAGAACATGACTTTTGGGGCCGGGAGTGAATCGGCCCATCCTTTTATCGACTCCGCTTTTACTTTTATTGGTTTATTCCAGTTGTTATGTAATGTTTGTGATGTGCCGAGTAGAGTCTGTCACTTGTCGATGCATCGGAGATTCGGGATCCATCGTTTAAACGATTCTCATTAGTTATTAATTCGTATGTTTTTTCATTACTGTGGTGCTTTATTAAAAGTTTCCGCATCGCATACGGCCTTTCTCGTCTTCTTGCGCCTCTACCAATTTTTCTAATTTACAATGAGATGAGAAACGAATGCACAAGACATATTGTTATATAACATTTCTTCCCGTATTTGTGTGCTCCGGATTTCCTTTTTATATGAAACGTTAATGTCATGGTATCTTCGCAACATGCCATTCATTGTTACGGTGGTCATCCTTCAAGCCCTCGGCCGAAACCATAAGTTGTTGGCGGCGCGGTCTCTCATATATCATGCCGTTATTTGATTATGCGCCTTTTCCGCAGTTTTCAGAATCTCGGAAGCTGGCATGGACCTTGATGAGCTCTGAGGCGCTAAACAGTTTCTTTTTTTTGCAAAAGAGCTGAGAAGCCGGCGGGCGCTGGCCCTTTGTGTGTACGGACACAACGCTCCGCCCATTTCTGCTTTCCGTTGGCGCCTTAGGGCGGTTGGTTAAAGAGGGGTTTATCTGACTGGCTGTTAGTTGGAATATCGAGGTTGAGGCCGCTTATTTTTCCTATCCCTCCAAGTTTGACCGCCTGGACAGTCCCCGGGGCCGGTCGGGATCCACGCCCTTCAACCCGGACTCGGTAGCGGGAAGACACTGAAAGAAGACGAATTCATAGCCAGATTCTCGGTCAAAACACGAATCCCGAAGCCTCGCGACCACTGCCCGCCGGTCCGCCAGGAGCCCGAAATCGGGGGTCACTTTCTTCAGAAGGCAAAAACAAGACCGTGATCCCTTCGGACGTTCTCCTGGCCTCTGGGTGTTGAGTCGTGGCGCCGGGAAAATTCCTCCGCCGACTCTTCCGAGCCCCAAAGGAAGGGGCTCCGCGACAGCACGATGAGGTCAAGGCCGCGCCACATGCCCCTCAGAGTTCGGCCGGTGGACATTGTGCCCATCCCTCGGCCTCGACATCTGTTCCCTCTACCTCGGGAGAGCGTGTGTCACCCCTGAAAAACGGGGACCTTCGGCTTCCTCTACATAATCATCGACATCGAGAGTCGATCCACATTGAGCAGGCTAGTCCGCCCTCTTCTCGACGTCCCAATTCTTCGGGCAAGAAACCGATGGTGCAATCGGATGTCGCAATGTAGGTACGGGTCATGTCGGGTGGGTATTGCTTTGATGGTAGTTCTTTTGATTGACAACTTGTCAGAGGGAAATTCCATTGAGAATTTATTTCTTTGGATTTCCCAGAGCAATATAAAATACGCCGTGTGTGTTCAGGTTGCATGCTGGTAATCTTATCGTTTCGCCGTTATGTTTTTTATCGTTTTATCCTGTTCCAATATAACACCAGCGAAATACGTAACGCATTCTTCACTTTTATGTGCATCCAGTGACTGAAAGTGGAGCTTTCGTATATTTTCGTTTGGCCGGAATTCGTAAATCGTAACAAGTCTTGCGTAATAATCAGGAAGCGATTTGTACCATAAAATTTTCCTGAGGCAGTCGATGGGTTTGTATTTTCTTATGCGTTTTTATATCGTTGCCTTATGGATTTCCATTCCATTTTTATGGCCCCAGTTGATTTGGCCGCTTTCGAGCCGAAATTTGATCTTCCAAATTTTAAAAATAGAAGCTGCGGACTTATGCGTTCAACACAAATCCACTCAAGCGAAAGTCTTCTTCAAATGAATTTGATTTGGGGTCCAAGATTGGGATGAACAGAGAAACAGAGATCTTGGATGGTTATGAGCTCCGATAAGGGATTCAAGGGCAAACAGAAAAAAACCGGAAAATGAAAGTGAAAGGGGATGCGCGTCTGATCCGAATCTGAATCTTTGTTTCATTCCTCAGCGGTCATCTTGACTGAATAGACCTTATTTGTCATCACCTGAGCGGATCCGACTCCATCCGGCGTCTTTGACCGTTGCCTTCTGTTATAAATAACAGCTCTATTCCTCTGTCTGAACGCTTTCCCACGGACTGTGATGGGCCTTCAGAAGCGCTCATTCACGTCCTTATTCCGTCGTAATAAGCGGTATTGTTTTTTTTATCTCTTTGGCCAAGTTGTTTATCACCTTTTTTTATCATTTATATGATTTGTTTTCAGAAAGGTTTGTGTCCATTGTAAATGTGACCGAAACGAGCATGATGTCGACTCCAATAAAGTGCTGACCGTCTACGAGCGCCTCGGAATCAAACCCAAGGAAGGAACACAGGTAAATTTTGCTTACTAGACTCACTAAACTAAGATGATTGGATGCTGCAAGGCCGAGATTATAAATGGGATAAGCCCATTTCTAATCTCTGACATACAGCTTTCCTTCCTTCCCAAAAGTTGTAGGTCTAGGCTGAATTTGTTTCCGCTCGGCTTCCTCTGAATCTCCACAAATCTTCATTCAGATGCCTCAGAAAAACAACGAGATTGGATCGGCGGGGCATGGGTACACTTGGGTGCCCCCCGGCTTGCCTCGGGCCAAGGTCGAAGAATACATGAACAAACTGCCCAACCATGTGGTACCGCGGGTGAATTCAGCAGGAGAAAAGTATCGGGAAAAGCAACTAATGGTCCAATTGCCTCGTCAAGACCTCTCTGTATCTTATTGTAAGCACCTGAGAACAGCCGTGGAACGGCGGATTTACGACGAATTTGTCAACTCCAGGAACGAAGTGGCCCTTGATATCGGATATGTAAATGCAGCAGTTTCCGCAACTACGGTAATCTTTTCTTGACCAGTTGTTTTGAACTGCTTTTAGCCATTTTTTTGTCGTAATGAGGTCATCCCAAATTCGTTTAGGAATGTCGCAAGTGCAAAGGAATTCTGGAGAAGGGCACCATGGCTGTTATTTCACCCAAATTGGGCGACGATGCTGGCTGGCACCCGGCATGTTTCTCCTGTGATACCTGCGAACAGGTACGTTGTTTACGCATAATACATATTAAAATTCCGGCAACAAACATAACTTCAAGCACAAATTTCTATTGTTTGATTGATGGGGATTTACAATGTAGTCAGAGGAATGGTTTAGTAGATATTATATGTTCAGAAAAAATATTTGGTGGGACACTCTTGGGATTTATTTGACATAAAAATTTTTAAATGAAATACGGTGCAAAATAATTTTATTTTTGTATTATAAAAAAATCGTTTTTACAATTAATCTTTGTATTTTTTCTTGTTAAAACTCATAGTTTATACGATCACAGTAAAAGGGCCGGTACGAAGCTTAAGGCTTTATAATACCACTTAAAATAAATGGTATTTTTCAGCTACTGGTGGACCTAACGTATTGCGCCAGGGAAGACAAGATTTATTGTGAAAGACACTATGCCGAACTCCACAAACCAAGATGTTCTGCGTGTGATGAGGTGAGTGAATATCCGGGATGGGGTTGGATTACAGTATTGGGCCGGAAATTGTCCGTCGGGAGGTTTGGACAAACAACCCTGAGTGGGGTCAGGTAGTTTTGTTGGGAGGGGGGAAGGATGGGAAGCCGGGTTTGGAAGGTTAGAGTGCGAATTGTAGTCTAGAGAAAGGCTGGTCTGGAAACAACTCGTGTTTCCAACATGACTTTGAATTTCGGATGGCCCGGTTTTAATATACTGTATTTAAATTTACGGTGATCATCAAAGAATGATGATTACTGTAACGGTTCGGAAAAGACTGAAAAAATAATTTTTTTGCTGATTTGCAAAAAAAGCTATTATCAGTCTGTCGGGAAAATAACGGCGGGTCGTCGTGCCTTGGAATCGCCCGCCCATCATCGCTTAGCGACGGCTGCCGCAGCTGGAGATTTGGTGCACGACTGCACCTTTTTTCGACAAGGCGAAATATTTTGCTGCGACGACCCGCCGTTATTTTCCCGACAGTCTGATATCAAAAACTACCCATTTTTTTAATTTTTTTATTTTACAAAGTTTTTTTACAGTACAGTTGTAAAGGGTTCTGCTGCAATTGTAACTCTCAAAAAGACATATCTATAATAAGTCGCAGCTCGGCCCCTCGGCTTCCTATGGAGCCGATCGCTAGGTATGCCATAGCCGCTGTTCCTTTTATTTCCGGCGTTTTTATCAACTGTCGGCCAACAGGCGCTCCCCCCTTTCAGGTCCTCGGGCACACTTGGCCAAACATTTCTAAAGTTTGCGACTGAACTCTCAAAACATGTTCTCCTCTAATCATGCATATATGTGCGCCATTCGATTCTTATTCCTCTTTTGTTTCGCTCGAACCGCGGGCGGCGGGGATGGATATGACCCGAGGGGATTAAATCGTCCAGCCACGATGCGCTGCAGACTCTCCGCTTCCAAAGAGTTTTGCTTCTGGCCATGCCCATAAAACGAAGGTCTCGAATATTTTATGGCCGTATTAGTTGATCTCATCACTATCTTTTGGATTTATCTTGTTCACGAGTTCAATAAGGGGGGTTTCATTATGACGAGGACATGCTCGAACAGCTGATCTCACCCACTCATTGTCATTAAGACCATTTTCCCCTCTAATTGTTGGGGTTTCCGTGTTTTAGGTTCAGACCTCCATCTCTTTTTGATCTTTTTATAATTTCATTAAATGTTTTAGTTAATCTTTGCTGGAGAATATACCAAAGCTATGAACAAAGACTGGCATTCCGACCACTTCTGTTGCTGGCAGTGTGATACGACATTAACCGGACAGAGATATATCCTCAGAGATGAGCACCCATACTGTATCAAGTGCTACGAAGAAGTCTTTGCCAATACCTGTGATGAATGTGGAAAGGCCATCGGGATTGATTCCAAGGTAAGCCCTGTGTTCTTTCTGTCTTGTCTTATAACGTTTGTCACAGCTGGAGAGTCGTCAAGAACAAAGAAAATGACATCTCCGCACATGGCTAACAACATTTCGATGATTTTGCTAGATTGTTATATCATCATAACGACTAGTTTGTTTTAGGATCTCTCTTACAAGGACAAACACTGGCATGAAGAATGTTTCCTCTGCTCGATGTGTCGTTTCTCCTTAGTGGATCAGCCGTTCGGCAGTAAGAACGAGAAGATCTTTTGCTCCAACTGCTACGATCAAGCATTTGCTACGCGATGTGACGGGTGTAATGAAATCTTCCGGGCTGGGATGAAAAAAATGGAATATAAAGGAAAACAATGGCACGACAAATGCTTCTGCTGTGCCATGTGTAAGACACCGATTGGAACCAGGAGTTTTATCCCCAAAAACGATGAGGTCTTTTGCTCCAATTGCTATGAAGAAAAGTTCGCAACTCGCTGCTGCAAATGCAAAAAAGTCATCAACTCGGGTGGCGTCACATACAAAAACGAGCCCTGGCATCGAGAGTGTTTCTGTTGTACAAATTGTGACACCTCTTTGGCTGGGCAGCGGTTTACGTCAAAGGATGACAAACCTTATTGCGCGAACTGTTATGGAGAACTGTTTGCCAAAAGATGTAGCGCCTGTGTCAAACCTATCACTGGTATGTTTGGGACTTGCTATCCACTCCTTTGGTCTCTGAAGAATTTGTTTGATACCTCTTTGGATTTCAGGGTCTTCTCAAAACGAAAGACCTTGAGATAATTGAATTCGAATCAGTTGAGATCACTAAATATTTCAGGGATCGGCGGCGCTAAATTCATTTCCTTCGAAGATCGGCATTGGCATAACGATTGTTTCATCTGCGCCCAATGTACGGCCTCGTTGGTTGGGAAGGGATTCATCACTGATGGAGCAGATATCCTTTGTCCGGAGTGTGCCAAGGCCAGACTGATGGCGGCCAATGCCTAGACCATGTCATTTTCTTGATCCGACCCTCTGGCTGCTCCCATTCAAATTTCTTCTTCGTCTTCGCTTGCTTCCACCCATCTTGTCTTCCTTTCCCGTCCATCTTTGTTTACAATTGCACCGCCTCTTTTTGTGTCATTATATTAGACTAAAAAATACTTTTTTTGAACGATCTCAGTACATCTTATCATTACGTATAAGTGTAACATAAACTTGTATTTTATAATAGCATTTAACAATTGTAATAAACGTAACAACAACAGTTTGAAAGTAAGTTGACAACAATGGATGAAGAGGTCGATTATTACTTCTTGAACTTCTTCTTGGGGGGTTGTTTAGCCCTTCCTTCTTCGTCCTTTTCCTTTCCATTCTCTTCCTTTTTTTCTTGAGGCTGGGCGTCTTCATCTTCGGATGAATAATCCCCTGTGACTTGTCTCTGTTTTCTGATCAACCTCCTCTTTTCTTCTTCGAAAGCATCGTCCATTTTCTTTTGGCGTTTCTCCTTGGCCTCCAGTTTTCTGACAACAGCATGCTGAATATTCTTTTCTTCGCGGAGTTTCTTCTTCCTGCAATTAAAATAATATGACAAAACAAGGGAAGTATAAAAATCAATCTTGTGAGTTCAGACTTACTTGATAAGCGGAATCTTCTTCTTCAGTTTTCTGATCTCGGCCGTACTCTTCTGGACATATTTATGGTACAGGATTTCTCCCGAATCAATCCCATCTTCCGCTTTCACCAATTCCCAAGTCATTCTGGGTCCAATTTCGACCAATCTAAGTTTTGTTTTGTCACCTTGACTGCATCCTCGAGTTTTCAGATCTTGAGCTAATTCGACCTCAGGTTGTTCTCCTTCAAATTCACTTTCGCTCAGCTGCCCCGGACTAAAATGTCAACATTGTGTTATTTCATTCAGAACAACCTTACTTTGTCAAAAATTCGCTGATATCTTTGTATTTTGAAAGATCTGGAATCTTGCTCTGGACCAATTTCTTGGTGGATTTACTGACTCCTGCAGGGACAGCTTTGATAGAGCTAAAAATGCGATTGCAGTATTTAAAAACACTTACTAATGCCTGAAATCGATGCTATCAGTTTCCGCATTGTAATTAATCAGCAAAGCACGGCGGATATTCTTCAACTGAACAGTGTCAACATTTATTGTGGGAAACATGTTCTGAATGACAGTCTGGACGAGTTGTAAATGCCTCTTCTCTGGGTCGTTGAATCCATTTAAGACTACTAACGGAGAATAGTCGAATAACTTCTGGAAATGGACTGGACGCTTGGAGACGGATAAGATGTCATGAGCCAAAGTATAATTGTCGACTAAAAATTGACTAAGAAAAAATAAAAAGCCCTACCTTTAAAATGAATCGTGGGACCTCGAGGAACTCGAATAATACGAAGATTAACTGACAGCTCACTTCTTGTTAATACCACCATATGGGATACATGCAATGGACCAGCGTGTGCCAAGAAATCTTTAAAGTTGTTCCGCTTTTTCACCTAAAAAACAAATAAACGAACAAGCATTCATCCGGTACTTATTAATAAAGATAAACCAACCTGAAGATCCTTGGCAGTGTAAGGTAACATCACTTGGCGCAGATCTCGTTCCAACCTTTTGACAAACATCCCAACTTTCCCTGTGTGAATAACAAACGAACGAGGTATCTTTTTTTCATTCGCTTCAGCGACATTTCCTGATACCTTGGCCCTAAGATTTGCCGCATCTTTCTTCTCAACCTTTTTTTGCTCGCGTTTATCTTCAATTTTAGCCTAAAGAGATTACAAAAATGCATCTTAAACTTACATATTTTGAGTTTTTGGCCTTGGGAAGTTTTGGAAGGCCTAAAAGGCCTCTCTTCGCAGCTTTGGCGGATTTACCCTAAAGCATAGCGTCAAATTACTTCAAAACGAATGTTTTGAATATCCAAAAAAGAACAAACACATACCTTTCCTCTTTTCCGAGCCATTATATTCAACAATAGAACTTTACCAAAATGTTGGCCAAAAAATTTATTTATTTTGGCATTGTGATTGTTATTTTCGCTGTGGGACGCAGAAAGAGAGCCATTTCTGTCTTTTTCTCTGCAGAATAACTACTTCGTGGACCCTTAGATTATTTTTGCATAACCGAAATTAACATACCTAGATCGGTATGTATGGGTACGAACAGCAGAGACAGGCGGCTTCCTCAGCCGCCGTTCCGAAGAATATGGGTTATGGATACTCGACGTCCACCACGCCCGGCCAAGCCAGTGCTTTGTAAGTCAACGAAGATTTTACCACTTCTGAGTTAGGATGACCTATAACAACTTTATTCAATCATTGGGCCAGAATTCTTCTGCGACTAGTTATCCCATGGATTCGTACGGCTCATCCGCTGCTGTTGCCGCTGGTTATGGACAGGCAATGGATTCATACTCAACTGGTGGATACAACAGAACTTATTCTGGGCAGTCTGCTAACAACATCCCACTTGGAGGTGGTAATGGATATAGTGGTTATAGTACCCAAGCGTCAAGAACTGCCAGAACAACATCAGCATTTGGAGTGATGGCTGCACCAACTGCAAACAAGAGAGTTGTCGGCCGTGCTGCTTGGCCAAAGAAACAGAAGATTCCCAAGCCACCAGTTGATCCCAGCCAATACTTTTGCGATACTTGTAATGTATCCTGCGGAGGCCCTCAGGCGTATAATGATCATTTAGCTGGAAAGAGTCATAAGAGGAAGGAGGAGGCAGCCAAAAAAGGAACTGCAGGACTCCCAGCTGGCAAAAAATCGTACAAATGCGAGGTCTGTTCGGTTACTTGCACTTCCAAGGAGGCTTTTGACACTCATCTTATTGGAGCCAAGCATAATAAGGCGGTAAATATCTTGAAGAAGTTGGGAAAACCCATTCCTGAGTCGGTTACCAATGTGATAATGCCCCATGGAGACTCCAGTCAGCATTTGCCAGTGAACAAGAAGGTTGTTGGAGTCACTTCGACCCCATTTGTGGGCGGAAATAATCTGTCAACCACTAAGAATGAAGAGGAAGATGATGTAGGGGATGACAACGACGAGGTCGAGGTTCCTCCGGTTGGTGAAGAATTTTTAGACGAAGTGAAGGGCGGCAAAGTGATCTCTTACTTCTGTAAATTATGTGAATGCACTTGCGGGGACCCATCTGCTCGTAATCTGCATGTAAAGGGAAGAAGACATCGTTTGCAGTACAAAGTAAGTGTTTTTTGAAAGTTTGGATTGCCAATGAAGGGTTAATTTAACATTTTTATTCCAGCTGAAAGTCGATTCCTCCATTCAAGTCGATTTGAAGCCCCACTCGAAGATCAGGGGTGTTAAGAACGCCCATTTGGCCGTAAGGAAGGCAGAATTGTAAGGAATGCTGTAAAGCTTTTGGTCTTATCTGATCTAATAGCTTTAAAATAATTTTTATGGTGATTTTGAAGTCTTTCACTGTTCTCTGTTATACAACGGAGTTATACCGCCTTCTGTCTACCTTCATTTAGTCTTTTTTATCCTCTGCTTACTTTTATCGTTCCGCGTGATTTTAGTGGTTTTTTTGCATAATCTAAAATACGTATTTCAGACCAAAATTATCAACCTGCAGTTTGTATGGTTCCCAAACACCATCAGTTCTCCCTGACACCGCGATGTACGACGCTTATGATGAGCAACATGTTCATGCTCGATTGGAACAAATCAAGCCAGAACTAGAGCAGATCAAGGATTGCGAACGATTGGTTGGTGTGGTGGAAAAGGCATTGAAGAAGATCTCAGACAAGTTGACAGAAGAGAACGGCGAGAATGACGGGGAAAGAACACTTCGAGGTGTCATCAGGGTCGGGCCTCTTGGAGAACATCTGCTCCTTAAGACTGACAAGCAGATCAATACTGTTCTGTTGTGCCGTGAAATTCCGACGATCTCTCTTTTACAAAAATTGGTTCAGTTGTTTCCGCAAAATGTCGAGGTTTGTTTTTCTTAACTTTTTCTTGCTTTGTTTTAGGCGTATCTACAGAATGCTAAATATTTTAGGATGAGACCGAGAGGTCGAAGGTCAGCGTCGAGTCTTGTGCCACTGAAAGTGGATTTATAGTTCGTCTCTCAGATGTTGATTTAAAATGTGTGGTTACTTTAAGTTGTGTTGGACTTAGACAGGTGGTACCTTCAGGTAAAAGCATTTTCTTTATTCTTTATTTCAATCTTAGATGCTAAGAAAGACGGTCAGGCCGTTGAAGAGAAAGCTGTTGTAATGCCTCCAGATCCACTGCCTAAGGAAAATTGCCTGAAGGCATTGGCTGATCTCAGACACACAAAATTCTTCCAATCCAAATGTATGGAGGTCCCAAGTCTGGTGGAAGTGGTCCTTCTTCTCAGGGATGTTGGAGCGAGAATCGACACTTGGAGTGTCTTTTCTTTATATGTCCTCGAGTTACTCGTTTACAAAACCATCTTATCCCATCCTATGCCAATGAGAGTAAGCGATGCCTTCAGGAGATTCTTTGAAGTCATGTCTACAGGCCAATATTTATCGAGTAAGTGTTTCATTCACCTTTAAAACTACCGCCGCGATTGTCTAAATCTTTTTTACAGTCCGAAGCACTTTGGAGGATCCTTGCGAGAAGGATGGTGTCAATCCATTGGCCGATTTAACCAAACAACAGAGGGAGAATATAATTTGTAGTGCTCAGCACGGTCTTCGACTCATTGCATATGATCAGATCCACACAATCCTCGGAATGGAAAGAGTCGAATCACAATCAAGGAAGAGAACATCCGGGGGCGACGATAGTGGAGTTGGTGCGTAATCTTGTTTAAGTTTGTAATTATAATACGGTAGTTAAAACAACTGATGAGCAAAACAAAAGCTTATAACTGGACCTAATACAAGTGTATTTATCCAAAATAACAATTAAAAATAACATATTCCCCTTTTAGAATCAAAGAAGGAAAAACTCGAGGAGAGTGAACAGATCCCGGCCGAGGAAAGCCCTTCATCTTAACTTAAATGTAGTATGTCCAGTTGTAAAGCGAATATCCCATTCTCTTGTTTCGCTCTAAGTTAACATTTAATAAATCTACTATTTTTTTATTATTTATTTTTAAATATTCAACAAATAACAACGGAATAACGATTAAGTTGTAACAAAATTACATTATCAGTCGACATAGGAACAAAACGTGAGTGGCTTCACGTTGAATCAAACTTCTTGCCAGTCAGCTTTTCGTGTAGCAATTTGGCTCCCAGAAAGGATCCCTTGGACTTGAGAGTCTGGATGCTAACTGCCTTTTTGATCGTTTTTTGGGCCGCTTCGCTAGCCAAACACATGTGATACAAGTCGAAACATCCGCTGTTCAAGGCGGTAAACAGTCTGAGTTGTTCCGCCGGCAGTTGACAGAGAGAATCACTCAACTTCACAACAGGTTGTTTAACATCCGCCTTCAATAATTTGGTCAGTACAAATCTGGCGGCTCCTCCTTGAATGATATGCTTCTGTTCGGATTCCGTGATGTCATTTGGGATGAATTCTTCTCCTGCGATTTTGGCAATGGCATCAAAGCATGGCTTCAAATAAGCTTCCTCAATTTGACGAGTCATCAATTCGGTCTCATCTAAACGCATAAAAATTAAACAATCCCTTAAAAAGAGGCCATCTACAACCGAACTTACGAGTTGGTTCTAGTGCGTCCAAGACTAGGACAGCTGAGACCTTGTTGTATAAACACTCCTTCATATTGGCCGCAAGGAATGAATAAAGGGACTCCTTGATTCCACTGAACAATTCTTTATACCGATCCGCAGCGGGTTTCTTGGTAAATTCATTTGCATCCCCCTTCTTCAGGATTTCAACCATACCCTTACCAAGGACCCGTCCATCTCTCGGATGCACCAGATAATGCAAGACTTGTACTCCCTCCGCATTGTAGATTACGTCTGCGATCTCATCGGCGATTTCTTTGACAATGATTTTGTTTACCAGCACAGTGTCGTCAACAGAATCAAATATGGCGTAAAGGACCCTCCTGGAGTATTTATCGAGGGCTGCTTTAACTGACAATCCCTTAAAGGACTTTACAATAGCCTTCCTGGTCTTGACATCTCCTTCCCAAATACAGTCCATTGCAATAAAGGCACCTTCTCTTGTATGACAGATCTCTGGGAGGAATTCCTTAATCGTCTGCACCATTTCCAACTTTTGTTGCTTTGGGCAATATTGGAGATAATCCCATAACAATTTGTGAACAAGTGAAAGTTTCAATTGACCCCTATAAAATAAGTTGCATACCATTAGACCAATCTTACTTTTCAATGACATCATTCAGTAAATCTTCTAGATTTTTTACAACACCAGGTATCTTTGACGGTGCTTCTTTCGCAACCTCTTCGATGGTCCTGTAGTTGTTCTCGTCCTAAAAACAGGGTAATTTAGCAAAATTCCAACTTACCTTGAAGATCACAAACTCGTTTCCATAGAACTCTCGAACAATGTTATTCCTTTGATCTGCAGTCGCCAAGTCGTTGTACACTGTTTCTAAAATGTTTGCAGACCATTTATTCCTAAGGAGATTGACACAGTGACCACGGAATGCATTCAGGATATCTATTTTTTGTTGGCGGTTTCTAAAATTACACCAATAAATTTTTGAATTTACTTACCCATATTTTAACATTTTGACCAGGAAGAATCTGGCGTAAGGCGACTTTGCCATTCGAACAATCTCAGGCGTGAGCTCTTCAAACAATTTGTCCCTAACTTCTTCATTTCCAGTGGCAAGAAGACATTGAATGACACGGGACGTGTCATGGGCATGAATAATATCTTTAGTCTTTCCTTTTACCAATTCATAGAGTTGCTGGGTTAATTTCTCCTTCTCCGCCTTAGGCGTTTTAGAACTAAATAACCGGGATAATTAATAAATTGATGCTCTCACCTTCTCAGTTTTTCCCATATTTTCTTGGCTTCCATAGCAATTCCAAAGTTTGGCTTCGTCTTAGCCCTGAGCGTTCTGATAAACTGCCGCCGTTCCTTCTTAGTCAACGTCTTGAGGTGTTCCTTGACCGACTTCTTGACAATAATCGACCTTTTCTTTCCTTTCAGAGGCTTCTGAGAAGCCTCCTCATTCTCAGGAACTACTTCAACCTGGTCCACCTTTTCCTTTCCTTTCAGGATTCCCTTAACTCGTTTTGTTGTTGAACTGGGCCCAATCGACGACGACGTGTCGACATCTTCGATGAGCCGGCTTTCCTCAAGAGTTGCGGAGAACGACACATTCTTCTTGTCTACAACCTTCTTAGAGACTTGAGTATTCGGTGCAGCTTTCTTCACGATAACCTTCTTGGTCTTCTTTGCGTGCCCGTTTCCTCCTTTGCCACTTTTATTCCTACTACTTTTGAGAGCCATAACTAAATAAAACGAAAGGTTTCCAATTTCCTCAACCGTAATACAATTATCTTTGGCTACAAACCATACTAATACGGATTCTCAAATAACAACGTATTCATTTACCAGATAAACAAAACAAGGGTTCAGATAAACAGATGAGGTGGAGACTTAATCCAGCTTCTTGAATCCGATGTTGGCAGCGTACTCACGGAAACAACGACGGCAGAGGTTGAGACTGTACTTGCGGATCAAACCGTGATGGTTGTTGCACACGCGGCATTGTCGGGAGCCGGCACTGTAGTTTCTGGGGTGGCTGAACCAGATATTTTCGTGTCCCATAATTGACAGAGAGTCTGCAAACGATAAAAGCAATGATTACAGCCAAAACATCAACAAAAAATCGAAGAGGCCCCGCGAAATTCATTTATGAAGTCAATCGGAAAGTACGAGAAAAAATACTTTCCACGTTAACCGCAGCTTTCGGCACAATGAGCCCAACTAAAAGCAGAAAAGAAGAAAGAATGGCAAGATAAAAATTACCTTCACGTAAACGTCGTATTTTACCAAAATTTTGCAAAAAAGTGGAATTGCTATATTTTCTCTTCATTTATTCCACCGTACTCAATCACAATTTCGTTGCGAAACGCAGAATCCCGATACATGTTATACAATCAAACATTTTGTTATTGTTTTTTGTAAAATTTGCACTGATAACAACAGTCTTTTTCCGACGATAACAACGGGATGTATGGAAGATTCTTCTTCAATTTTGGTCGGACATTTTTCCTTCAAGCCCCAAAATCGCGTAATTTTTTTATTCCTGCAACAGGAACATCTTTTGCTGCATTATTCTGGGGATCAACACAGAAGACCGAAGAGAAAACTGCAGTTTTTGATGTAATTCGGGATGCCGACATCTTTTACAACCAGTACATGATTGACAATGCTTATGGGATACTGAGGAAGTAGGTTGGTTCAGTTTGTCAAAATAATTTTCAGATACCGTAAGTCTGATGACCCCGAACTTCTTTGGAGGTTGGCCAGGGTTATATGTGAACAAGGAAAGGCATGTGCCAATAAAGAAGAGAAGCTGAGGTTATTCCAAGAAGCCCTCGAATATGCATCCAAGGCTTTGGCCAGCTCTGATGCAGGCGGATGTTTTGGCGCAAATAAATGGTAACGAAATAAAAGGGTTAAAGTATCTCGACTGCAGGTACGCAATAATCCTCAATTATGTGGCGGAATTAGAGGGAACGAAGGCACAGATCAAGTCAAGTTTAGACGTCAAAAGGCACCTGGAAAGGGCGTTGGAACTGAATCCAATGGATGCGACCACTTGGATGATTTTAGGTAATATAATGCATGAGATTTTTACATCAGTTTCAGGGATATGGCACTATTCCTTTGCCAATTTGGGCTATGCCAGTCGTTTGGCGGCCAAGGCTATTTATGGATCTCCACCATCATCCACATACGAAGAGGCCCTTAGGCATTTTGAAAGGTAAACTTAGTGCCGGGATACGACTTTTGTGTTTATAGAGCCGAACTTATTCAACCTGGCTTCTCTTCCTCCAACAACTTCCATCTTGGGTTATGCTATGAACACTTAGGGCGGAAGGATGATGCCATTCGTGAATACAGGAAGACATTCCTTGCCCCTTGTGTCAGTGTTGATGACAATGAGTATCACAAAAAAGTGAGATCGTCTCCTTCTGTTAATATATGGTTTTTTTCAGGCCTTTGACAGGCTGAAGAAACTTGGAGTTGATCCCAATAAGCTCTCAGCTTGAGTTGGAATGAGCTGATGACATCACATTGCTCGCCAGGTCTATTAACTAGAAGTAAAGTAATATAAATAAACCCTTTCGGGGCGTTTTCGTTTGTTAGTCAGATGTTTTTTGATGAGAATTTCCCTCAAAGAGAGCAGGTCTAGATCGATGTTCAAGCACCGGAGATGCTATTTGTTGCAGATCTTTTTCTTTTGCAATTAATGAATAAAGGAGTTTTGAGGAATATTCGACTTTTTGTGTAAAAGTGGTTTTCCCCATCGAAATGACCTTTATCTTTGAGTTGTTGGTATATCGAATGGTCACAAGGTCTGAGGTCATTCGGTTGCATTCAGTCCATATTTCGTCAAGTCTTGTCGCTTTTCTGTTTTTCTCGATTTTTTGCTCTTTGTAATTGATTTACGATAATTTTGGGCGAAAAGACAATCGATACGCCACTAATCGAATACCACATGATATTTCCTGTGTTCCAATACGAATTCGATATTGTATTTCGTTTTCTGCGTGTATTTATTTTTATTCTATCCTGTTTTCATTAATTTAAACTAACTTGAATGATTGATAAAACCTTATGTTGCAGAAAATGGACGACGACTCTATGGCCGAGGAGATGGATGATGCTCCGAATTATCCTCGAGGCTTCCGCATCGCGAACATGCTACCAGAATCGGCGTATTCATTGCAACGAATGTCTTCCTTCTCGGATCATGAGTCACCGAGTATAAACCACTCAGATTATGCTGAAGATGAAAGCGTTGCTGTCTTGAGATTGAGAAAGTTATATCCAGCTGTTAACCCAGATGTACGTACTAAAGTATTTTTGTTGATTTTTTAGATGTACCCTCCTTTACCGAGATTCTGGAACCCAATGGACAAGTATAAACTTCTGGTATTGTCAAGCGATTATTTACGAATCAAATACTCCGGAAAGAACAGCGCTCTTAAGGATCCTGCATCTGTTAGAGCAAATGCTGCCATCCCGCGATTATGTGGCATTTTTTACTACGAAATACGAGTAATGAATATACCGAGCTCGGGGTATGTAAAGTTTAGTATAACAACGTTCCCGTTTAAGTTGCTTTGCCATTGGTTTGGGAGACAGAAGCACTAGTCTGAACAAGCTTCCAGGAGTGGAAACGGGAACGTTTGGTTATCATGCGGACAAAGGCCGCCTTCTCTCCGGCCATACCAAAATCGACGCCAACGAAGTCTACAAATCGGATGATATTATCGGCTGCGGTATCAACTTTGTGACTAGAACGATCTTCTTTACCAAGAACGGGCAGAAGTTGCAAAGCGAATTCACTAATGTAAATATGACGAGGTCTTTCTATCCAATTGTTGGAACACAATGTCCGGCGGATGTGGTAGATACCAACTTTGGACAGAAACCATTTGTTTACGATATTGAATCGGAAATCAGGGTAATCTATGACACCAGAAGATTAAACTAGTTTTAGAAATGCAAAGAAGAAACGTGGTCGACCATTCAGAATCTCCAACTACCTCCATTAAAGTCCGTTTGGATGTCCAAATCGATCTCCGACTGGTTGGCCATCAAAGGTTACACTACTGCCCTCACAGCTTTCAACAAAATCAATGGGTTCCCACAACCAGATGACTGTGATCTGATGAGAGAAAGACGACGGATTGTAGATCTTATTACCAGCGGACGAGTCGCCGAGGCCATTCAGTCTTCAGAACGGGTTGCTCCAAATATATTTGAGAAGAATCCGGAACTGGGGGTTTTACTTCGGATTCAAGAGTTTATCGAGGCCCTCACTTCAAATGTGAGCAACTTGTCAACATTTAGTGATTTTTTAGTTCGAAAAGAATGATGCGAGTAACGTCGATGATTCCAATAAGCCGACGACCTCAACTCATCAACCCCGTAATAAGAGATCAGCTCCAGATGGGGAAAATAATCAGACTCAGCCGAAGAGAAGGCTTAGTACAGGTAATCTAAACGGGTTTTGTATGCAATTGTGTTCTCTAGGTACAGCACAGAGAACAGAGAGATACCATGGATTTTCTGATGACAATGGCGAGATGAGTGACGGCCAGATGAACGGGCTTGGTAGAACAAATGGGGCCTCCTTCACCCCGACCAACGGAAACTCGGCCAGCACCAATATCATCGCTGAGATGGACACCCAATCGTCCTCTTCTCCTGAGCCAACTGAGCCTGCGGATTCCACGTTATTAGTTTCTGAAGAGAAGATGAGTGATGGAAATGGAATTGCAAATCTTGATTACATTATCAGATTGGGGCAGGACATTCAGAAACAAGCTGAGGTATTGGAATTACCTCGCGGGCTTATTAATTATATGGATGTAAGTTGAGTACGACGAGCACGAGGTTGTTTTAGGAAGTCTTCAGCGTTGTTTGTTACCCTAATCCAAAGCAATCTCCGAAAGCATATCTGTTTGATCGCAAATATCGTTATCATCTGGCCAAATATTTGAATCGGGCACTTCTTCGTAAGCCTTTTCTTTATTTTTTTTTACTTCAAATTTAAGGTCACCATAAGCATCCCATTGCAGAAGAAGCTGGGGATGACAGCATTTGTCCAATCGAGAGGCTCTTCAAGAGCTCCCATTATATCCACGGGGTTGCCATCAAAAAGTCGATTCCTTCCGCTGTCTTCCTCAATGAAGATCGGATTATCGAAGCTGGACGATCTTGTCAAACTTACAATCTTTGATGTACATTATTTTTTTCATTTCCCGCTTTACAATTTCCGATTACATCCGAAAACATTGTCTGGTTAATAAATTTTAATGAATATTCAAGTATTGAAGGAAGTCTTTGCGTTAATTACGCTGGTATCTAGACAGGGTTAATTAGGAGTAATAGTCAGCGTTTGCTGTTATGGAAGATGTCTGCTCGCAGTCCCGATTTCTACAAAAATAAGGTAATTCTGGCTCCTATGGTGAAGGCTGGGAGGACTCCGTTCCGAGCCTTATGCTCGGAATATGGCGCAGATCTCGTTTATACCGAAGAGATTGTGGATCAGAAGTTCCTTCAATGTACCAGAACAAGGAATGGTAAACAAGTAATCGTAGGGTAACCGTAAAATTTAGACATTTTGAACACAATTGATTACTTCTTGGACGACGAACTTGTTTTGAGGATAGCGAAGGAAGAGAAGGAACGTTGCATCCTCCAAATCGTGAGTTCAAAAGTAGTCTGTCATTTATCACGTTATAGGGCTCCAATTCAGAGCATGGTTGTATCTTGGTCAGTAAGAAAATGTAAGTTTGTATGTTTGCGAGAGGATGTTTTAGTGGTGATGATGTGGCTGGAATCGATGTGAATATGGGATGCCCAAAGCCGTTTTCCATCTCGGGCGGCATGGGCGCGGCCTTATTGAAGAAGCCCGAATTAGTGCAGAAGATGATCTCTTCCTTGGTTTCAGTTTCAAAAATCCCAGTTACTTGCAAAATACGAATGCTGGATACGGTAAGCACTTGAAAATTTTTAGTACAGGGTGTTTCAAGAAATTTGGAACAAATGGTTTCCTTATATCTTTGCGTGCTTTGCAGCTATCAACGAATTTCTTTTTGCTTCTAAAAATTGACAGCGTGCGTTTTTAGAATCTCGAAAAAAAATTTTTTTCGTCGGCGGAGGGCCTATTTCTCGGCGGAGAAAATTAGGGCCTTTTTTAAAAATCACAGCGTATTACGTGGCGGAAACGCCGTTGCAAGGGCTGAAATCAAGTTTACGTTACACCTCCCTCGATTTTACGGTGTGCATTTTTTTGTTTTCGATTTTACGCGCACCGCGGAGGCGCGGCGGAGACTTCAGACTTCGGCGGACGTTGTTTTGGGCCTTCGGCTGCTGCAATTCATGTTGGAAAAGAGGTTGGGGTGATTTTTTGTTGTCATCCGATGCACAGATGGCAAAAATTTCGTGCTTTTTTCCCCGGCGGAGGATTCGGCGGAGGCTTTATCAAAGGGTCAAAGCTGTCTTACGAGTCCGGGAAAAATCTCAGCTACAAGAATCCATCAGAGCAGCATTGTCTTTCAAAGATTTTTGATTTTTTTGGTCCGGCGGACAAATCGGCGGAGTTTTGTTTTTACCCTTTGATAAAGCCTCCGCCGACTCCTCCGCCGGGGATAAAAAGCACGAAATTTTTGCCATCTGTGCATCGGATGACAACAAAAAATCACCCAAACCTCCTTTCCAACATGAATTGCAAAAACCAAAGGCCCAAAACATCGTCCACCGAAATCTGAGGTCTCCGCCGCGCATCCGCGGAAGTGCGTAAAATCGAAAACGCAAAAAAAGCATACCGTAAAATCCATGGAGGTGTTACGTAAACTTGATTTCAGCCGTTGCAACGGCGTTTCCGCCACGTAATGCGATGTGATTTTTAAAAAAGGCCCTAATTTTCTCCGCCGAGAAATCGGCCCTCCGCCGACGAAAAAAAATTTTTTTCGAGATTCTAAAAACGCACGCTGTCAATTTTTAGAAGCAAAAAGAAATTCGTTGATAGCTGCAAAGAACGCAAAGATATAAGGAAACCATTTGTTCCAAATTTCTTGAAACACCCTGTATTTGTAACGGAGTTGTTCTTTAGTTGGAAGACACCATAAAATTTGCAAAGATGTTAGAATCTTGTGGTATATCAGCTCTAGGAGTACATGGCAGAAGAAGGGATGAACGGCAACAACATAAAAACAGGTCGGAAGAGGTGAAGGCAGTCGCCGATGCACTCAGTATACCTGTCATTGCAAAGTGAGTATAAACGTAAGCTCTACGGTCATCTCATCTTTCTAGCGGGGAGTCCGGAAATATCTCCAAGTATGAAGACATCAAAAAGTGCCTAGACAAATGTGGAGCAAGCAGCATTATGATCGCCAGGAAAGCTTTGAATAATCCTTCGATCTTCAGAAAAGAAGGAGTGCTCCCCATGGAAAAAGAGATTCAAGACTTCCTCGAAAAGGTAACTCAAAAATGTGTCGGCGTAATGACTATGTCTTTAGGCGTGTACTTACGATGAGCCCTACACTACCGTCAAATATTCAGTGCAACGGATGCTGGGATCACAGCAAGAGTTCGATCCTCGGGGAAAGAAGACCCTGGACGCACTGACTGTTGGTGAAATCTGCGCTATCTGGGGTAAGACCGCGTTTTATGATGGATGTAAAGAACAACGACAGCGAATGACTCTCAAACGACATCACACAGAGAAGGAGAACGAACTGGAGAAGGAAGGAATTGTCGTTTCTGATTTGACATTCCCGCCGTACGTTCAAAACACGTTTTAATCGCATTTTCAGAAAGCGCCTGAAAGCAAATCATGGTACCCTATCGCCCAAATGTATTCTATTGAGATACTGCGCAGAGAAAAAACTCGAAAAACCCATTTTCAAAACAGTATGCATTCAAAGCGGAAATACAATGTTATTTACAGGAAAGGAGGGCCCGCGACGGACGATTTGAATGTGTGATATCAGTCGCCGATAAGAAATTTGCATCGAGGATCTCACAGCCCAATACAAAGATGGCCGAGCAGGTTGCCTGTTTAGCCGCTTTACATGGGCTCAATATCAGGGACAGATTACCTGGAAATTGGGAAGAATAGAAAACCACTGGACGTTACAGATTGTTAAGTTTATTGTTGTTACATTTATATTTATAAATAAAGTACAAAAAACTTAATTTAGAACTCGTCATCATCATCGGGCATTTCACTAGCCAATTCCAACTCCAGTAATTCTCTTTCCCTCTGTTGTTCAGTTTTTTCGTTGTCCGGCTTCTTGTTGTCGGGATATCGGAGAGCCTTTACCGCCAAATTATGCAGGTCCAAACAGTTCTTTATACGCGTATCATAGGCAAACTGAGGTTCCGTGGTACGGTAGACATTCTCCGAAACGCCGGATTGGAGGTATCGACTATCAGTCCGGGAATCACAAGTGATGACGGCATCAACGGTATGGTCCTTGATGGCTTTAGCAACAATATATTCGGCTTCGACTTCGGTTGGTAGCTAAATCATAGATTTAGATATATAAAAGATGCTCGATACTTCTGAATTCATTAGTCCTCTCACCTGAAGTTTCTTGGCAATATCGGCAATCGGGATTCTAGAATAGGCCAAGGAGATTTGTCGAATCGCCGTCCTGATGACATTTTGACGAAGTCGGACGATCAAAGTCAAGGTTTCATCGGTCTCAAACACTCCAGAATACTTCTCTAGCACCTTGTTGAAGAGTGCAATGTCACCCAGACGGACAGCTAAAGACTAATAAAAATTAAACGATCTCTCACCATGAGTTAGTTGCAGATATGGAGCCAACGTCACTCGATGAATTGGGACTCGGAAGATGGCACGTTCTGGGATCTCTCCCCTCAACAAAGAGATCACCACCACCCACTTATGGACATTCTGCTTAAATCCAACAGCCGAATCTTGGGGAGATTTTCTCAAACTGAGTTGAAATAGATCGGCGGCTTCGACATATTGGAGTTGAAGGGCTCTGATCCTGCCCCAGTAGTACAAATAGCGAGCCAGATCATTGTTGTTGGCAGATTCTGGGAACTTGACCTTGGTAATCAGTTTCGAGGCGGACGAAAGATTCTTCGTAACCAGGTAAATACGAAGGAGGCATACAATCAATGTCGCCTGTGAGTCATATTGATGTCTCAGGGTGGCAAAGCGAAGGCGACTGTTCAAATATCTAAAAAAAAGTAAAACATACTAAAAGCGTAACTAAACACAATATACCAATAATAAACTTACGGTGGGAGAGTTCCAATCTTCCCGGTTCTTTCGGAGATCAGAGTGAGATAGAAAAAACCCTTCGCTAAGAATGGATCCAAAGATCTCTTGTCGTGTCCATCGGCGCATTCAATTAGACTATTCGCACATTGGAGAGCCAACTCATGTTTCTTCTCATCAGTCAAGAACAGAAGAACCAGTAAATGGATGTAGAGTTCAAGTTCAGGAGTTGGAGTAGTTTTTCTGGAGAGCAACTGCTTCTTGGCGGACGACTTCTTTTCTTTGGAATCAATTTCCATTAAAGTTTCACTAAAAATACAAAACAAAATAAAGCAATCACTTACGCAGCTTTTGGCAACCAACCCATCAAATTCTTCTTGACTTGATTGTTGCCCAAGTATGAGGTGCAAAGTTTTGCCAGCAAATCCGGATTCAACTGCCTTCTAGTTCTATTCAAAAACTGCAGAACACGACCGACGATATGAGTTTCGCCCCGCTCCAGCTGATTACACCATTCTTTCATATCTGTAAATATATTGATGACAAAAGTCTTCCAAACTCATATATCACAGGCAAACACACACTTTCGAAGGTGATTACATCGAGATCATCTTTCTTCTTGTCGTCCTTCTGCTCCTTTGGAGTTTCCTCCTTCTTGGATCCGGGTTGATCAACTTCCATAGCTTCGGTCATCCTGTTATGATGTTGAAAGTACAACCAGTTCACAGACCAAAAAAGATAAATGAAAGAATTTTTGCTCATGATTATAGAACGCCAAGGAATATCATCAGGGATTGTTTTCGTGGTGGGACTCAAAGACTTTAGTGTTGTAAAAAAATATTCGTAATTCATGGCACATTTTGGGCTCAATTTTTAACACCTTCCCGCTCAATTTTCACAGGTTTACAGACTTTATTTTAGTTTAAAATGATGTTTCTTGAGCTTCTAAGTCGTAATAAATAAGTCTTGGTAAAAAAAATTATTTTTTAGACCGTCAACTTCAAAAAAACGTTGATTCGGGCCAAAAGAGAAATTAGCCAGTTTTTGGGCATTTTCACCCCTAAAACCCCAAATTGGGCCACAAATTTTTACGTATCCTTGATCAGCACAACTTTTCGGATTTTTTGAGATATGTCCCGTCTAAAAGTAGGAACCCCCATAAAAGTACCTTGTTAGAACCATAGAAGCGGTAAGATCAAAGGAAATTTGGCAGCTCGCGACCTAACCGCGCCTGATTTTGTAAAAAAGGTTTCGTTTTTGATCAAGAAATTTTTTTTGAAAATGCAATTCATCGTTCTCTGTTCGTAAATAATGGCAAAGTACTGTGAGATTGCAGCCGTTTCACTTGTTGACAGATCTGCTGTTTTTTAACCATTTTGCTACCAACTGTTTAATTTAACAACCCCATAAGACAGATTCTCGCGCATTGACCTAGTTTGTTGGTCTCTTTGTTCTGTAGTTGCGCTCATAAAAAATGGGTTGTCTCCTTGCGGTTATCATTGAGTCAAGAAGGAAACGAGATGGAGTGGGGCAGTCTGTTTTATGCAGTAATTAGCGTAACATTAATATTTGAAGAGATAATCGCGACTTTTTCGAATTCCGCAAAAGTGCACTTGCGACTTTGGGAGCCGGGGACGAAAAGCTCGTGGGGTGGTACGTGACGTCACGTGCCTTGCACCGAATGTTTCGCTGAGACGCGTACGAGGCGGTGCAGGCGGCGAGAAGAGAGTGGGGCAATCGGGGAGAGCCCCGTCCCCCTCTCCACAGCCAGCCCGCGCCTTTTCTTTTCGTTCAGCCTGGTTCTGCGGGGTGTCGCTCTTCGTTTTTCTCTTCACACGAATCGACTGTTTCGCCTCTACTCAAATCGACTGCGATATCCTTATCCTTTGTCTTCCACGCCATGTCTTGGTCGTCTATCCAGAGAGCTTGTCATGATGCGCGGCGTTTTTGGTCGTTAAAACGACTCCATAAACTTCTTCCAAATCTGAATGTCTTCTTTTTTTCAGACGGGTACTCGATTCGGTTTCCATGGATCAGATCGGCGACGATCAGGCCAGCCCAGCTTATCTTCTGCGACGAGCTAACTCCGGTAAGTTTTTGTCGATTTTCATGGAGGATTTTAGGAGTCAAAAAAAGTTGTGTATTAAAAAAAAGTTTGTGTATTACAAGGCGTATTGCCTTTTACTTTAGTTTGAATTTACTTCTGTTTTTTAAATGTTCTATTTTGGTTTGCATCACAAGGCATATTACTTTTCCTTTAGCTTGAATTTAATTCTTCTTTTTTTAAAATGTTTTTATCCTCAGTAATTAAATATAATTTTAGTTGTAGGGCTTGACAACCTCGGGTTTTCCAATTTCGATCTCCGTGCCTGCAGCATTTCCTGCCCTTCTACCTCCCGCTATGCCGGCAATGCCGAGACCGGCTCTAATGAATGCTTTACGGTCTGGGAACCTGTATTCCTACGACAAGAATGGACTGTAAGTTTTATTACCTACTATATTTATGACATCTTTAGATCAATAACATCAAGGCAGCTCTCGAGTTAACAACTCCAGGTATTTGTATGAGAAGTCGGGCGTTTAAAGATGAATCGATGCCTGACATCAGTTGGCAGCTGTGTTTATATCCAGGAGGCAAAAGGGAAGAAAACAAGAATAATGTTTCCTTGTTCTTAAAGATGTCTACTAGTCATGCTTCCAAAGAAGTAAGTCGAATCAAAACGAATTTTACCTGTTTTATTTAGTTCACCGTGCGGGCTGAGTACTGTTTCTACTTCATGGACGATAACAACAAATCTAAGTTCAATAATGTGAATACCGGGGATTTCAAGGTCAAACCAACGAAAGGATCTCATTCTTGGGGTCTCAGGAATATCCCCAGAGCCAAAGTAATTAACAGTGTGAGGTCCGACGACTCTCTACACATTGTCTGTGAGATACAAACGGTCCCAGACTTTAACCGAGTACCTCCTGTTGTGTATAAAAAAGAATCACCGATCAATCAGAGCCAAGTATGTTGTATTTAACTTATAATAACTTCTTTTAGTTGATGCGTGACTTTGTTGGTCGCTTCCACGACATGTACGAAACCGGTGAAGGTTCAGATTTTGTGATCGAATGTCAAGGGCGAGAATTTGCCGTCCACAAATTTGTTCTGATGGCTCATTCCGAGGTTTTGCGGGCGATGTTCAAGCATTCGATGGAAGAAACTAAGAACGGTCGAATGAAACTGTTGGATGCATGCCCTGAGGCTGTCGCGCACATGCTATACTATATGTATTCGGGAGCTCTACCGCAGGAATTCGAATACGAGCACGCCTCGCCATTGATGCAGATTGCTGATAAGTATGCTCTCGATCAACTTAAAATGCTGTGTCAAGAGAAGCTGATCCAAAGGTGAGCAGAAAATTAAAAAAAAAAACGTTTGGTACCTAAATTTAATTTACATTTATGTTTCAGGCTCAATGCGAGTAATGTGATTACTATGTTGATCATGGCAGATTACCAAAACGCTCCTCTTCTCATGGATGCTTGTATCCCGGTGGTAAGTCTATTATAATTTAATGTTTTTATAAATTCTTCTAGCGGATTTTATTTATTCTTTTAGATTAAAGCAAATAGTCGTCGCATAATCTCTAGTCCGGATTGGAACACTTTGAAGACCAACAACCAGAAGCTCGTGAACTCAGTTCTGGAGAAGATCGTGGTCCAAGATGATTCCCCTCCACAAAAACGACTCAGACTTACACATTCCAACCAAATGCAACGTTGAATAAGTACTCCAAGGTGGTCTTTCTTCCACTCGCTACCCATCCAAACGTTCTTTCTGCCCATTTTATTGTTTTTATCTCATCATGAGCGGTTTATTTTACAATAGATGATCGTATCTTTTCGTATATTGAACCTAGATGGTCTTCGGTTAGTAATTGTACTCTGAATATAATCAGAGATATTTTCCTAGGCCTCGTCTATGTTGGTTTTATTTGTGAAATTCCTCTCCTTTTCTAGCGAAGTAAGTAAGTAAAGTTTTATTGGAATTCAATTCAATTTTTTGGCCGCTCGAACACTCTTATCAAACGCTTCAAAGGCCTCCAATAATTCCATTTGTAATTTTGTTTGAGCTGAGATTTCGAGTCTAAGCGAACGCCGAAGAAGTAATGACACTTCGCAAAGCTGGTTGCCGTAATCCCCCATCTTTCTGGCTACATCTTCGAACTTGTTCGTCTTGGTACATGGATCTTGAGGAGTCAGATTGGAAGCGAGTTCATTAAGCCAGGAAGCGACCTGAATGTTGTTAAAACTGGGTATTATACTTACAATCCGACAGTCATTTTCACAGGTTGCAAGTTGTATCATCTGATGTAACTTTAGTTTCCTCAGTTCACTCAAGGAAATGCAACGCTGTCTTCGCTCTGACATTGATTGAAGATTCTGATTTAACAGGGTCCCTAGAGATGTTCCCGTGTCCTCAATCAACTCATCACACAGTTCCTTCGCTTCTCTGAACCTGCATTCTAAACTAAGCGTATCTTCTGCATAATCATTTTATTACCAAGCAATCCAACAAGTTCATCCAATTCTGACACTGACTTCTTCAAAGTTTCTACGGAAGTTGAGATTTGGTCGGTACAAAGTAATTTCAGCAGGTTCTCCGCTTCACGATCAAACTGAAAAATACGTGGTTTGTGAGTTACAGTAATCGGCACCTTGATGAAAAGATCTTGTACTTGAACACAGACTCGCAGTCTCCCCATAGCCCGTCGGACTCTCATGTCGACTCGATCTAATTCTTCTTGGAATGCCTTTAGGGCAGGGTGTTTTGATTTGAAGATTTCCAGTCTGACTTCCTATAAATTGTAATAAAATTGTTAAAATTGAAAAAAAATTACTGTCAGTCGCCCATGAATGTCCGTAGATTTTTTTAGAAGATTAGCAGATTCCTCGAATGATTTGGGAAGCATCTCCGTCAAGGAATCCACAAACTCCATAACCGATTCATTCAGCCAGACTTTGACTTCTTGGACTTCCCCATCACTGATTATAATGTTACTTTCTGATGTCATCTGATCTTCTTGTGATGAAAATTCTGGTTTCTGTTCGATCTGAGGTTCGAGTATATTAGACACTTCATGATCAGTACTCTCTGAAGAAAACACCTGCGGATCTTTTGGTTCTTTGACTTCATCTTCTACGACCTTAACTTCCATTTTCTTTGCCGGTATCAATGGGGGTGGTCTGTACTTTAACTTGCCGCCGATTTCGATCAAAATTGCGCTTCCTAAAGCAATCGTGTATGATTACAAAACAATATAAGAGCATATTGAAAAGGTACCTTGCTTCAAGAATCTGTTAAGACACTTCCCGTATTGTAATCCATCACGTCCAAAGTAAACTGGATTTGAGAAGAAATGTTGTTCGAATTCCTTAAAGAATACAGTAATCTTTTCTCTCCTACTTGTTTTATATCCGTCCAGGTCTGCAAAGATGCATTGTTTTCGAACAGATACGCTCTTTTCACGTGTTTCCAGAGCTTTGTGCGAGAGCAGATGGTTGTCTGTAAAGTCAAAATTACATCTTTAATCGAATTACTTTGAAATCATAGGTTTCCAAAGCCATATCCAGAGAAATCTTTTGTTGTTCAAGAAAATATTCAGACTCCAAGACGATTGCATGCTTGATTTTGAAGGCCAGGGCATTTTGACATGCCCTCAGGACAACTTTTACAATCTTCAGGGTCAATTTCTGACATTCGATGACTACTACGATGTGATTACTGTCATCTGAATAGTTCTCGGAAAGGGTTCGCAAACCGTATGCCAGTGATGAACAAAGGAAATTTGATATTGGAAGAGATTCTAAACCTTATTGACCACTGATGAAAGTTTCAAACCTTTTGCAGACCCTGCTTCCAGATGACGATTTACTTCAGCTGCATCCAATTTTAGCCAAATCAGTGATTCTGAAATCGCATTCAAAGTATCTTCGCTATTTTACCATTTTCGATTAAACTCCCACAATTCTTTGAATAACGACTCCTCTTCAAGCGAATCATTATGAACACCACCGAAACACCTATACGAAAGGAGATTCTCGCCAAGAAGGATTTGATAAAGACGGCTCTAATGACACACTTTCGCCAAGATCCTTCCCGCAGCTACAAGGTCATTCAAGAAATATTTTGTAAAATTTATTCAAACAAAAACAACAACGAGAAAAAAATTAATCGAAGAGACCGAAGCCCATGTCCTCCTCTTCTGACTCTTCCTTCTTCTCCTCCTTCTTGGCGGCTGAAATTTGAAAGATTAATATGGGATACATTTTCAATCAAAATTTTTAATGCAAAGCTGTACGAAAGCTGCTTTTCCCTTAAAACTAAACGAAAAACCCCTCCTTTATGCATTTAGTTACAAGAAGCAAAACCAAAGCTTTGTAGGTTGCCGTGTTCGAATAACAGCGAATCGCTCGCCTTATTCCCTAATTTACATCCGAATAAAACAATAATTTACCTGGCTTATCAGCGGCGGGAGCAGCTCCACCAGATGGAGCGGCGGCGGCGGCTGGGGCAGCACCTCCTGAGGGGACGGTGGCCAATTTTGATTGTCCGGCGGCGATAACTTCTTCGATACTCTTGCCGTTCAATAGCTTGACAACAGTCTCGGCCTGTTGTTTCTCAACTTCGACTCCGACGGACCCTACAAATAAAACAATAAAGAAGCGTAACGTTAAAGCAATCTAAAAGTCAACAAGATCATAAACAATAACGTACCGAGGATGGTGGAGAGGTCTTGGACTGAAGGATCAGTTTTGCCTCCCAAGTTGGCCAAAAGGTAAGCAGCAACGTACTTCATGGTGATGAAGAAGACTGTAAAACAACAAACTCACGATAACAACAAACAAGATAAAACTCGGCACGATTTTGCAAAACTAAAAAATGTAAAAAAGATCAAGATAATTTCCTTCTTTTCCAAAAACCTACCGTAATGCTCTGGCACAATTTTCCGCGGCGGGACGTAGGTTTACAATGGGTGAAATTAAAATAATTGCTTCGAATAAATTAAACGTTTATATTAGGATTACGCAATAATCGTGATTTGAAAAAATGATTCTATATTAAATGCGACATCAGCAACTTCCAAGGCAGCGTAAATAATTTTACTCGTGTGTTAAAAGAACGAGGTTGACTGCAGGCTCTACCGTATCAACCACAAATTGTTGAATGAAATACTGGGTGATTTTGTACACAAATTGTACGCAACTTAATACTGTCTTAATGCTACTGTACTTTCGGAGATGAATTTTGAAGACGGACGCACTCTCTGCGCATCAGAATCGATTGAAGGGCAAACTAGTCGAGAGAGGGCAGCCCCAGCGGTGAAACGGCCGTCAGTCGAGAGAGTGTGTTGAGAGCAGAAGGGTCGGCGTGTGGTGTGTAATAAAGCCGGTGCTGGTCGAGAGAGCAGGACGAACCGAGAGAGACGGGGGGACTGGAGAGTGCGGACGTCTCTGGTGCCTCTCACGCGCCCCGCTCTCCTTTCCCTGCACCAGCCATCCCCATCGCCCCTCTCGAGACGCGTCGACGCGGGTAGCGCTTTGACCGCCGGCCGCTTTCTACTATCACTCTATCTTACATTACCGCGAGGCCCTGTGCACTGATTATTCTTTCTCGAGCTTCGAGCATCTCGCCCCCGACTTCGGCGGCTCCGTCGATCTTGGTTCTTAGGGATTATTGTATGAACGACGTCTTGCTGGACCCGTCCTCTTCCAGTCAAATCAATGAACGGCATCTTGCTGTGGTGAAGTAGAGCTCAACTCAGGTAGGTTCAGGTCACTAATCACAACTTCGACCAGATCGAATGCACGTGGCTGCAACTTCTTCTAGTTCGGCCAGTCAGTCCCCGCAAACCCAGTTATATTCGGGAGCGTATGCATCGTTTGGTCGTGGTGGTGTTTTGAGTCGCAACTCTGATCCAAAGTTGGATGTTCCCCTTCTTGAGCAAGGCCATGAAGACGATCTCGACTCCAGCCAACTGGCGGCTTCATCTTCTCTAACCCAATCTCCCAATATCGACCATTCAGCGTCGCCATTCCGATCAGATACGGAGTACAATTTGAATTTGGATAGTTTTGATCAATGTTCTGGGTCTTCGGGGACGGCAGGAGCGACACCTCGGGAAGAACCGGAGCCTACGTCATCCCAGGCATTGGTTGTCTCCGTGAATGCCGTTCAAGTACGAAGGTTGAAAAGGCTAGCAGCTTTGAACGGAAGTCTATTAAGGAAATGTGGTACGTTAGCTTTGTTGTTATCATTTTCCGTTTCTAGGTGTGTCATCGGCACATGTATACAACGGTAGCCTTCCTGAGAGGATACTTGTGGGGAAGTCAGAGTTCCATCCCTGTCCCTTGATGACATTTCCTCCTGCCCCTCGAGCTCGCAAATTTCAATTTGAATCTATGGCTGATCTCCAAAAACAAAGTTTAGGAACCCCTGGTCCCTCAGGGGAATCCAGAAAAGTGGAAGTAAAATGTAAGCGAAGTCTTTATAAGATCTATTCGGATTTAGACAAACCAAATGAGGTTCCTGGGAACGTGGAGAACCCTATGCTGATGAGTATGTTGAACAAGAATGGCCCTTCCATGACTACAGATCCTCAAACCCGTTATGTTTCTTCCCAAAGTGCTCCAATGAGTCAGCCTTATGGACCTGGAATGGTTGCTTATAAGATGCCTAATGGAGAAATTGTTCATGAGGGATATGCGCCCGTCGAGACCGCGAAATTCAATGGCCAGACAGAATTCCAGGTACGTTCAGGACAGTATAACATCCTTGTGTGCAAAAGTGTTTCCTGATAATCATTTTTCAGTCAGAGACTGCACCGTCGCCTAAGAAGCCACGGAAATCTCGAGCTAAGAAGCCGAAGGAAGAACCGAAGCCGATCCCTGAGCCTTCCCGACCAGTCCAAGCCCCACCCCAGATTCCTCAACAAGTGCCTGCGGATTATTATCTCGCGCAACAGCATGGTATGCAACAACAGAGGGTGCCGCCTATGCATCTTGCTCCTCAGGTTTGTTTTCTTGCATACTAGTTAGTTTATGAATTTTCGATGACTTAATCAAGCATTATTTATAACGGTACGATAAATAATCACATCTTTTTTACAGTATCGCCCGAATTATCCAGGTTATCCGCAACAGCAAGGTGTTGTACCAGGAGGACCGCAACGCGTCTTCCTTTCAAGCCCGCAGTACCCTCAACAAATGTGGAACCAGGTATGTTAATTTGAAAAAAAAACAATTGATTAGCCGGTTTTAATGTAATGAAAATGTACTCTTTAGGCGTCTCCCGATGAGAAACATCAGATGATGCAGCAGCAGATGAGGATGCAGCAGATGCAGGGATATCCAAGTTATCACTACAGTCAGCCCGGTATGAGTGTGGAGGACCCGAATCGGCAGTTTATAAACGGCCGAGCTCCTCCACAACAAGTAATCAGTCCTCAGGAGATGGAGTTCCGTCGTCAACAGCAAGTGAGAATGCAGATGCAACAACAGCAAAACCTCCAAGCCCAGGGCAGGATGCAAATGCCTCCCCATTATCCCCAAACTCCTGGCCCTTCAAAGTCTGAGGGAATGAAACAAGAGTATGATATGGCGGATAATGTGGATGAACTGATGGCTTCCATAAAAGGAGAGGATGGTAAGTGACTTCAAAAGCTTTAGTCGTTCATTTTCAAGAGGATGCAACTAATAAAAAATTTCAGTTGAAGATTTTGATTTGGATTCTATTGAGCCGAGTAAATTGGAGAATTCGGAAATCAAAACGGGGAAAAAGGAAACCAAGAAGAAGAGCCAGTCCAAGTCCAAAAAGCAGTCAGATAAGAAGGAGCTCGATGAGCTTGAGAAGGCGATGAAGCGGAATCCAGACGAGCCTTACAGCTCCCCTCCAAGTGTTCTTCCAGAAGCACAACGGCAAATGATCGGAAGTGCGATTGATTGCGTGATGGAGCGCGTGATGCGGGAACAGGCCCAGGAGAAGACCAGTCCTGGAATGATCCCGTCCACCAGTTCCTCGTGCTCGGACCGTCCTCAATGCTCGATGCAGGAGAGGGCATGGAACGACGGTCCGGACCTACCTCAAGATGTACCTCAATCGGCATCTTCGGAGCTCCGAAGCGGCCACTCATCCTCCTCGCCCTCTACCTCGAATGTACGTGACGACTTCTCCGCCCCCTCCTCTGTACCCGATTATCAACATCAGGAGAGTTATAAGTATGGGATGTACGGTGAAGTGGTTCAGAATGGTAATCATGTAAGTGTTGTCCATCCTTTAAAAGAACGTTTTTTACAACGTGGCTCGGACGTTTCCAAAAATTCACCTTCTCAGAATCTTTTAATATTTTGCCTTACAGTAAGACCTGGATGTGTATTTTTTGGATTTTTAGAGCTTTCAAGATCTACGTTCGTTGACATGGCAGATTCTTCGAAAAAACAGTTATATTACATAGAAACTGGTTTAATTTCCCTACAAAAGGCGCAGGCATTCGAAACGATAAAAAGCGCAGTCGGTCTCTTCCTCCGGAAGAGAGCGGCGTGGCCGAGTGGCTAGTGCCGTAGTCTGGGAATCAAGAGGGGGAAGGCCGCAGGGTTCGGTTTCCGTTTTGGGCCGAATCAACATTTTTTGAAGTTGAAGGTCGGAAAAATAAATTTTTGTCCCAAGACTGATTTATTGCGTCTTAGAAACTCAATAAACATCACTTTCCTTGTAAAAATATCGATTTTGGGGTTTAAAACGAGGCCAAATTTTCAGTACTAAATAGTATCAGGTAGTACTAAATAGCTCCAAGTCTTTAAAACGTGTTTTTGAAGAGTACTAGGCATCAAAACAACACCATTAACGCCAAAAGCCATATTTTCATCTCGTACTACATAGTATCAGATAGTACTATTCCGAACCTTAAAACCCGCACTGACGTTCACCTGTCCTATTACCACAATCACACAAAATTTCAAAAGATTCTGAGATGATCGATTTTTGGAAATGTCCCGACCTTGTTGTGAGAAGCTTCAATTTGTAAAAAGACGCCTTTTTAAAACAATCATTAAATTTGATACTACATAACCCTAAATTTCAACTCCATAGCCACCACTCTCAATTTTTATGACAAAAATTTTTTCCTTAAAACGACACCTCAATCGGTAGGCCCCCAAACGACTAAACCACGAAGCATTTGGACGCTTTATAACAAACGAGGCTTAGCCTTGCATTAAGTTTACAGGGGAAGTACTCCAAGTGCGACGCTCAGATTTTGATGAAATTTGGCACAAATTTAGAACGATTTTTTCTAAAGTATATGCGAGAATCGCGCTTTGCAGAAACAACCGAGATTTTTAGATCGAAAGTCGGCGAAAATTTAGAACTTTTTGCCGAATTTCGGAACAAAAAGTTTCTACCGTAAAGTATAATCTTTCTATAAAAAATCAAATTTTTTCGCACGAAACTGCCAAAGTTATGGCCAGAAAGCGTTTTTCTCTCTGCCCGCTCTCCACATTTAGCGTGCTCTCTCGGCGGCAAAAATTCGTTCGATATCTCGGCGGCGCCCGCAAAGCGCGAGCTAAAACTTGCAGGAATTGATAATATCAATATTATTTTAAATATTATTTAGTCCATACACAACGTGTGTGCAAAATTTAACAAGGAAAGTACTTTTATGGGGGCTCCTACTTTTTGACGGGACATATCTCAAAAAATCAGAAAAAATGTGCTGATCAAGGATGTATAGATCTTAGCTGCCCATTTTAGGTTTTTAGGGGTGAAAACTCAATCGGAAGTTGACTTAAAGTCCTATATGAACCCCTTTTCGCCTAATTTTTCACGGGTTTACAATTTTATTTTGGCTTTAAATTATGTTTATTGAGTTTCTAAGCCGTAATAAATCAGTCTTGGCACAAAAAATTATTTTTCCGACCTTCAACTTCAAAAATAGTTGATTCGGCCAAAAAGGGAAATCGAACCCGTGCGGCGTCCTCCCTCTTGATTCCTAGACTCCGGCACTAACCACTCGGCCACACCGCTCTCTTCCGAAGGAAGAGACCGACTGCGCTTTTTATCGTTTCGAATGCCTGCGCCTTTTGTATACAGGGTGTACCAAAAAAATGGAAACTTTTTTTCATTTGTCCTGACGCGAAAATGGTTAGGTGTAGCCAAAGAAGTTTATTACTACAAAATTCTCTGTGTTTTTCTGTCCTAGTGTTTTGATTTTTACGCCCTATCGATTAATCGACCTGTCTTTTTTGAACTTCAAACAAAGGGACCTCGATTTTGGACTTGTTTTTGGAGCTGTTCGAAAAGTTAATTTGCTCGGTATAGAAAGAACGTTGTGTCGAAAGTAGTCACGAGGCCCAAGGAGCTTGATACGGATAGTAAGCGCCCAGGAAGTGAAAGAAAACGCACCGCCAGCGCTTCTTTCAACCGAAAGATCCCCCACAGCAAAATCCGCGATTTTCAAGAAAAACTAGCCCTTGAGACTGACATCAGCGACCGATCGCTCGGCCGAATAGTCAAAGGCGAGCTCAACCTCATGTCATACAAGCTCTAAAAAATTCAGATCTTTAAAGTCGAGAGAAAGTGCATACAGCGCAAAAATGTCGGAAAGTGAAACGGGTGGGCCGCAGCTCCGAGACGTGAGCGCATTCAGTTCGCGGTTTAATCTTTAGCGGATACACAACCACCAGAACGATAGAATCTGCTTCAGTGAGGCTCCTAGCCTGTTGGCCACCGTCAAATACCACCAAAATCCGGGTCGTCATTGCTTAAGGCGGAATTTGTGCCAGCGGCAAGAATTCCATGTTTTTCGTGAATAAATGGGACGAAATACTAGCGCCGCGTTAATTTCTATTTTGTCGTGCTTCCGTGAGCTCAGCAGAACCTTGGCAATGCAAACTTGGGGTTTCAACAGGACTCAGCGCCGGCTCACAAGGCAAAATCGACTCAGGACCCGAAATGGGACCGATTTTCCCGATTTTGTCCCGCCTGCGAAATGGCCGCCTGCTCGCCAGATCTGAATCCAATGGACTATATATTTTTTTAATAGAAGGCCAGCACCTGTACTATGCTCCACAAAAGTTTGAAGCCGCAACGTAAATGATGCGCCAAGAACGGGACCGATTTCCCCCATAAAAAGCTGCGGCCCGGACCCCAAAATTTTACGTCACGTTTGGAGGTCTATATCGCCACCAAAGGCAGCCACTGTGAAACAGATTGAACATGTTATAAACAATGCTCTATGTTACTAATCATAACCGTTACTTTTGCTGAATTTTGATTCTCCAAAAAAATATAGCTATAAAAACAAGTTTCCATTTTTTTGGTACACCCTGTAGGCATGGCTCCGGGCCGGGCTTTCCAAAATTTTCCGGCCCGGGCCGGGCCGACTAATTTCTCGGCCCGACCCCGGGCTTCGATTTTCAGGCCCGGCCCGGGCCGGCCCGGTTTTTTGAAATCTGAGTTTTGCCCGGAAAAAAGGGGGAAAATAAGCTTTTTCGATAGATTTTTTCATTTTTTCGAACACAATGCTGGTAGCGAACGTAAAGTGATCTTATTTACCACTCGCCCAAATAAAAAAATGATTTTCAAGTCAATTTGAAAAAATTTTCAGAAATTCTAAAGTGCCTCATAGTTAATACGCTGGCAAAAAAAGAAAAAGGAAAATTTTTCAAAAATACACAATACGCTTGTAGGTTTTTTCATATCCGATAAAAGATCTGTGATAAAATATTTTTGCTAAAATTTGGGTGATTATACACAAAATTTTTATGATTTTTTGTAACCATATGGCAAGACAATTTATGGCGACTTAGTAATTTGTAAAAATAGTCAAGCGGCAATTGCACTATGTATAGGTTTTGCTAAATTATTCTTTACATTTTGCGGAGATGCGCCATAATTTTCCCTTCATTTCCTGCTTTGTTTCTTTCCGGCCTAGTACAAATTTTTTCCGGGCCGAACCGGGCCGGGCTTTCCAAATTTTCCAAGCCCGGGCCCGGGCCGGGCTTGGAGATTTAGGCCCGACCCGCAGGCCCGGGCCGGGCTGGCCCGGTTTGCAGCCATGCTTACTTTTGTAGGGAAATTAAGCCAGTTTTTGGGCATTTTCACCCATAAAAATCTAAAATGGGCAGCTAAGATTTACATATCCTTGATCAGCACATTTTTTCTGATTTTTTGAGATATTTCCCGTCAAAAAGTAGGAGCCCCCATAAAAGTACTTTCCTTGTAAAGAAAATCTGAGCGTCGCACTTGGAGTACTTCCCCTGTTAGTGTAGGCTGGCTTAGATAAGTCTAACAGTCTTATTCACGTTTTAATGCACTTGAAACTTTGGTAGCTTAGTCGATTAGGGGGCGCTCAGTCAGGCGCACCCTCAATCATCCACTGTGATAATATGGGTAGTCTTATCCGATTAGAGTCTTCAATAATTTTCATAATATTTGCAGACACAGTATCCCGTGCGACAACCCCAGAAGGAATTTCCGCCCCCAGATGCCCCCTATCACGGTGAATTTGATAAGAACTGGGACTTCCTCGAACCCAACAACGGCTCACAGCGGAGTGGCAAGAAGGAGTTACATGATATTCGCGTAGAGCAATAAATCTTTTATATATTTATAATAATAACAAATTGAAATGTTGTGAGTTTGACTCTAAACGAAATATTCAACATACTAAAACCGCTACAAACGCTAAAATAGAAGATACGGGGTCATCCCACCAGGTTAGAAGAATTATTACTCGCTAAAACATGTCTTTTCTCGAGGCGTTCTACAAGCTCGTCGAGACGTTTGATGGCAGTTTGAATGTTATGAAGATCGTGAAGACCAATTTTGGGAAGATCGGGAATGACTATACCGGGGCGATCCTCTGCTTTTCCTTCTTTAATGTACGGTTCCATAAACCGAAGGACATCCGATAATTGGTCTTGCGTATATCCTGAAACAACTAGGGTCGTATAGGATCGTATCAAAAAGTTAATTTAATGGTGAGAAAACTCACCAATTATTTTCTCAACCGCTTCTGTCGGTTCAAAGGCATAGAGAACAACAGCAGCAGCTAACTCACTATATGTGAAGTTCATGTAACAAACATTGGTCATGCAGAGATCGAGAACTCTGGCACATTCAACAAAATCGTCTCGGGCCAAAACCGGGAGAGTAAACGATTCTTCGACCAGGCAGTCATCATGAAGGAAAGGGTCGAACGAAGTGCTGGCTCGTGACGATGACCGTGAAATGAGAAGGTCTAAAATGACATTAATACGGGGCCCGCAGTCTCTTTCTCACCTTGTTTACACATCAGTTGCATGTAAAACGCGAGCCATTGTATTGATGTCATATAGGTGCAATTCCATTCCAAAACCTCTAATATGATCTCCTCCATTGCTTTCATTTTAACAGGTGTACAAGCACCATCAGTGAAGTCCGCTAAGGCTTGTACTTTTGGTGGGTATATCTCCTGAAATGGATATGATAAAAAAATATAAAAACCCGACTACAAACCTCGACTTTAGCAGCGATGAGAAGACAAGAGATGCCTAAGAGTTGGAGATTGCTGACTTGGATCTTATAATCAGGATTTTGAAGCTTTGGCACCTTCGAAAGATACCGGTCAATAAGGGAAATTGCCAAATGAAAGGTTTCCCGGTGTAACATAAGTTCGGCACATACCTATAAAAATTTTCACTTTGGAAATTACGCCTACACTCATAATCCAATCATATAACATCACCCTCATATGCGGTTTTAGGTTGGGATGCTGACTAAAGGCAACGGGAGACGCCTTGCATTCCTGGTCCTTCTCAATCAGAACATCCCAAAAAGTTTCTGGCGTTCCGAATTCTTGAGATGTATTCAAAATAGACGGCATACTCCTCGAGGCTACCGGCCTCTTCCGTTTTATTGTTTTAGGTTCTTTACATGTTGGGGAGACGTTCTCATCGTTCTCGAAGACTGCTGATGTGCTCATCCTTTTCATCGGCCGCCTTATCGTGTCTAAAATAAAATATGGTTCCATCTGACTGAAGTTAAAGCACGAAAAAATAATTGAGCCTGGTCAGAGATGCAAGAATGGATTCTAATTGTTGGCTATAAACCTCAAAAGACCCGGGTCAGCCAAATCGCAATCTTCTCCTTGCCATTTTCCCGCGTTTTATGGTAAAGAGAAATAAAATCAAGAAATGACCAGTGTCCATTCTTGCCCATGAAATGAACTTACGATTAAACGACCTGCTGGACATAATGATAGTTGAAACAGTCCGCAGGAAGCGTCCACATTAATTCTGTCCTTCTTCTCGTTCTTTTCCTTCTTTTCAATCACAAAATCGCCCGCGCCCTCGCTCTTTTTAAACAACGGAATGCCAAACACGGCTGAAATTATGATATACGGTCATTGCCCAGAAGCATTAAATTGAAGAGTTGTATCGAATAGCAAACGACACGAATAGTTAGCCTACGTATAGAAGCTACAATCCGAAGCCATGCTAGTTATCTACACTCAAAAATCAATGAAATGCAAGGTTTAAAATTGTAAGTTAAATTAGTAATTTGGTAGAATCTAGGGTGGTAAACGCGCTGATCTTTTTTCGAGTTTTGGCCTGGGGCCCGGCCCGTGTTAAAGGTTTGCAGGCTCTACCCGCGGGGACTACCCGTACAGGATCGTATAGGGCGCGATCTTCCAAATTTCATTTGATCTTACCGCTTATAAACTATAATATATGTTCTAATTTTAGACCTTATGTTATAACACATATATAAAAAGGTATCTTAAAGTATAAAATGTTGTAGAACTTGAGATACTACAAGTACAATCTGATCAAAAAAATTCTCGACGCGAAAACATTGAATGCCAACGCTTGACATTTCAAAAAGCGGCCCGGCCTGGAAAAAGTATAGGGCCGGCCCGTCAATTTCAGGCCCGGTACGGCCCGTTTGAAAATTTGTCAGAGCCTTCCCGGTGCACCGGTGGCCACCGGGTGCACCCCTGGGTCCAATCAGCTTTTTAAATTTTTTTTCTTCGAAATGTAAACCGCAGAAGATAGGGCGCACCTCGCGCCGTCTGTAAAATTGTTTGCACCAAAAAAAGGAAAATGGTTCGCAAATGCTTTTTCCATTCTTTTTATCTTCGCTCTCGACCCTATAGTTATCAGTGTACATAGGTTTAAACTGTTTCTTGCCAGAATATCTTATTATTGTTTTTTTAGTAGGCCAGCCCTTCATATACCCAAAATGGTACACTAAGTAGAGTATTTCTTCTTGGAAGTGAATATTAATTCGCAAAAAAATGTCGACTCAAGAGGCAGAGCCAACCTCGGACGACCAGCCACCCTTATCCACCGGTACCAATGTTAATACTCTAACAAGTGTGTCAGTTAATCAGCAAACTGCACTAAACTCGGCGTTGACGTCAAGTGTGACATCGGCTGAGGAAGACAAGGGCAGCGATTCTGATGGAGATGGGGCTGAAGAGGTTGGTTTTACTCCGTTTCTTTATTTTTTTGTTGTTCAGGAATAGTATGATTGTTTTTGTAGATTTTGGAGGAAAGTCCAGATAAAAGATGGTCCAAACGCCGGGAAAAAGTAAAACAACGAGATGTCCCGGGGATTGATGCCGCTTATTTGGCCATGGACAACGAGACGGGTAACGAGGTGGTTTGGAACGAAGTTCAATTCTCTGAACGAAAGAACTTTAGAGAACAGGAGGTACTTTTGCTCTATGTTTTCAAGACTTTTTTTTAGGAGAAGTTACGATCCGTGTTCGATAATCTTACGCAGTTGGTGCATATTAATCTGGTCAAGTTCCACAAGTATTGGACCGATACGAAATCGGAGAAGCCCAGGGTTTGCTCGGCTTCATAGTACTATGTCTTTTTAGATGATTTTTATTACGGAATATATGTCATCTGGATCCATGTCACGTTTCCTTCAACGAGCTAGGTCTTCTGGGACTTTATTGAACATAAAGGCATGGAAGAAATGGACAACTCAAATATTATCGGCTTTGAATTATTTGCATTCCTGTGATCCCCCTATAGTGCACGCTAATCTGACTTGTAATACCGTTTTCATCCAACAAAATGGTCTCATTAAAATAGGATGTGGTATGGTTTTCTTTATGTTTTAATGATTATATTTAGTTGCTCCCAATGCGATTCATCATCATGTTAAGACTTTCCGGGAGAATTTGAAGAACATGCATTATGTTGCCCCAGAATTTGACCGTTAGTTTTTTTCTTACATAAGTCAAGCCTGTATTCGATAATAAGGTTTTGTTTTAGAATTGTCTGAAGCCACCACGGAGACGGATATATATTCCTTTGGAATATGCGCGTTAGAGGTGAGACTATTACTTGTATTGAATTCGAATTTTCAGATGGCAACGACAGGAGGCCTATGTTGTAATGGATCCGCGGAGACGAATACCCATGTTACCCCAGCCATGATACGAAAGGCAATCGATGGTTTAGAAGATGTAAAACAAAGGGTTAGTATTGAATCGATCCTTATTTATTGTTACAGGACTTCATAGAGATTTGTCTGGACTCCGATCCCAAGAAAAGGCCTACGGCCCGCGAACTTCTCTTCCACCAAGCTCTTTTCGAAGTGCATTCTCTCAAATTATTAGCAGCTCATGCCATTGTTAACTCCAAACTAATCGATCACCTGGGAGAAGAAGACCTTAGGGTCCAAGATTCAACGCGCATTGTGGCCACTTCACACTACAAGCAGCTTGCTTATTGCGAACTCTCCACGTTCCAGGTAACATTTACTCCTTCACTTTGCTTTTATAAATCGATTTTATTTTTTATTTTTAGATCGATTTGGATAAATTTCTGGAAGATGTGAAGAACGGGATCTATCCTTTAATCGCCTTCGCCCCTCTGGCACATTTGCCAACGAAAGTTAAGTTAAATGCGAATGCGGCAATTACTGGATTCACTCATGATGCACCCATCAGAAAAGAGCAAACCCGCTCCATATCTCCAGGAAATGGACAATATAATCAGAGGATGATACCGGAAACGAGGTCGGAAAACCCACAGAACAAAGAAAACAATTCGCAACAAAACAATGTAAAACAAACTACTAATATCACTGGGAATACGGTGGTAAATACACCCGGAAAGGACGAAGGATATGACACGGTTCAAAGCGGAATGTCTCCGCCAAATAATCAGCCATCTGGAGAAAACAAAGAGCAGGGCAAGTACACAGAGAGCAGAGAGATCATCGAGATATCGGCCAACATTGAGGGGAATATCCTCAAGGCAACCCTAAAATTGGACGACATGATGATACGAGAACTGAGGACCCCCGTAGAGGCTGATGACAGTGCCCAAGTTTTGGCCAATGACCTAGTTAACCTCGGTTTTATTTGTGCGGTAAGTTTTGTTTTGTGGATTGTTCGTTTTATTTGGAAATTACATGTGTAGTTGTTTTAGGCGGATTGTGAAAAGGTTTGTCAAGTTCTCCAATTTACGTTAGACGAAAGCCGAATGCAAAAAGAAAGCGACAGTGGGAAGAGCTCAAGGAAATCATCACGGCAACACGACCCCAACTTGGTGATCTCGACCCAGCCCCCCTCCCAAGATCCCAACAAAACCTTGACCTAAGTACAGTATTCGTAATTATTGGCCTAACCTTTAGTTATATTCTCACTCCTCTAATGTATTGTCCCTCTGTTCACATTTGCTTCCACTTTGCGCACATTTCGCAGTCAACGGCATAGATGAAAATACCCCGCCACGAATACGGTATCTTCCATTAGTCTTTCCAATCTTCGGCGTGGTCTTTGAAAAGGTCTGGGTTCAGTGGTGCTCTCAGAGGATTCGATATGTTAGAAATGCACCATAACAATTCATTTCGATTATTTTACATTTTTTAGCGTACCTTTATTAGCATTGTAAAGAGATCGATGGTGATGAGTGTAATCTGCCTATCGATCCGTAATCGACCGGTCGACCTGTCCGCTGATCCTATTTTTTTGTATCTTTTGCTTGAATTTCGTCGCTCTCTAGGCCTACCAATCCAACTTCCAGACGGTTCTTTTCCACATATTTGGTCATCTAATTCCTTTCCTTTTTCGAATTCTTGGGCCCATGGCCTAAAGTCAACGGGTTTGTTCAAATTGTTTCCGAAAACAATGTTGAATGACGTTTAAAATCATGTTTTCTCTGACTGGTTCACAATCTGTCTTTGTTATCATAATTATGGTACCCTTCTTTTCTTCATTTAGTCCACCAATTTCTGATTAAATATTCGTATATATTGACAGAAATAAAACATACGAACACACTCGTTAGGTTGATGTTTAAATAATATTCGATAAGTTTGTAAGAAATAAACCAGTTGCAAATTAAACAGGCAAAAATGCGGCTACTCTTCATTCCGACACTTTGGCTAGCCAATCAGTTTTACGCCCCTTATAACCTTTTGACCAGTCTTTTTAAGACTTCAAAGTGATTCTGACACTGGCTGAAAAAGCACCGGACCGGCCTAGCCACCTGCGGGCCGGGCTGCAAAATTTGGCCCGATTGCCACCTTACCTCCGATGTAATCCGTTTCATTTCTGTTTGGCCAAAGGGTTTAAAGAAGGCGGAGCCAGGACCCGAGAGGTACGAGATGAGACAAAAGAAGAGCCACTGATTAGGTCACGGTCTGCGTGAGTCTTGACCTGTTGTTTAATGACCCCGCGAAGTGGCCGGCCGACTTTTCTTCGGTATTGCACTTGAGGCTCGAGTGACGGATGTCCTTAAAGGTTTTTTTTCTTCTTTTTTCCTGCATCCAGTTTGTTCGTTCCCAGCATGGTACTGTGGGCCGACCTTGTGAAGTCTCCACTGATTGTAATACTGGCAATTATTGTGCCGGAAACAAACGTTGTGCTTGTCTGACCACCTATGTGGAGATTGATTCTTATTGTTGGAGAAGTAAGTATGGATGACGTCATCCGCGGGTCAAAATGTAATTCGAGATTCATTGCTTTAAATTTGCAGAGATTAATCCGGGAGAATCGGGATGCACTCAGAACAGACAATGCGAGGCCGTTTGGCCTGGGGCATACTGTAGATCGGGGGAATGTCGCTGTGCCAACAATCAGCCGCCTTTCCGAACCAGAGATGGATTGGTCTGCTTGAATTATGGATTCTGTCCGTTGAATGGAAACAATCCTAAATTCCGAATAGAAAATCAGGTACCCGTCTGTTTTGATAGCAGAAACCTCCATTTGATATTTTAATTTTATTTTATTTAGGTCCAACAATGTTACGGAGGAGCTGATGCTACATGTGAAGCCATAGGAGCTTTGGCCTATGATTGTATTTGTGACAACGACGACTGCACTGTAAATAATCCTATCAGTTTCTGTTGCCCGTCTCGAGGTAATTCTTTTTTTATATTTATTACGCTTTCCCAAAAGTGCGTAGACTTTTTGTCGCGGGGCCCCACCGCGCTCCATACAAAAACCCCCGTTTTGCACTGTAGTATACATAGTATGAACTATATGATACATGATATCAAATGGATAGTATAATCTAAATGTTTTAGCCTTTGCTTGCATCCAGCCCCCGAATGAAGGGTATACTCCACCAGGTGGAGGGACCACTTTGAACCATTGGTATCACGACCCTATCACTGGGGAATGTCGAGAATTAAAATATCAGGGGTACGGAGGGAATGCGAATAACTTCCAGACCAAAGATCACTGCGAAAGTTACTGTAAACAGAGTAAGTTATAGCTGAGAAGGGTGGCTTAATTGTATTTAGCATGTAATCGAGGACTTCCCTTATACCGAGATCGAACAACCGGTGTCAAACAGGAGCCAGTGTATTGTCAGGGGAACGACAATGGATGCAACAATCCCAATTACATGTGCACCACCATGGGGACCCTACAACAATGTTGTCCCACATCTTGTAAGTTTATATTACTTTCACGGTAAAGTTTCTGTACTATATTGTCTTTTAGTGCACATTTGTAGTAGAAATGGAGCTATCCCGACAGAAGTTTACAATACTGCCGGAGGGCTTCCGTCTGAATATTTTGATGTTGGCATCCCTGATGGCACTGGTAACACCTATCCCAGATTTTATTACGATTCCAGAGAAGGAAGATGCATTCAGTTTTCGGTAAGTGGAATTAAATTTGGATTGTCTGCCTGTAGAATCCTTAAAATAAAAAATGTTTTACAGTACCTTGGCCAAGGAGGAAACTTTAATAATTTCCTATCACAAGATCACTGCGAAAAGTTCTGTTCGAGAAGTAAGCCTTTTTGAAATTTAACTTTAAATTTAGGATAATTTTTACATACTTTATTTTATTTAAATACCAATCATTATTGTGTATATTTTTAGTCCTATGTCTTGCCGGAGAACCTTTGAAAGATTCTAGTGGAGAGAGGAACATGGAATGTTCTCCCACTGGAAGCGGAGCCAACTCTTGTCCGACCACCCATTCCTGTGAATCCACTTCTGGAAGCACAACTTTCGGCGGTGTCTGTTGTCCCCGACCACAATACGTTTGTAAATTGTCCAGAGAACAAGTACGGGTTTGTTCAGTAGTTAGCAGACTCAAATTGTACATCATTTACACTATTACCTTCAGGGAAATTGCGGAACCTACAGTAACCGTTGGTGGTTTAACGCCAAGACGGGTAACTGCGAAGAATTTATTTATTCTGGATGCCAAGGGAATGCCAACAATTTTGAGACGTATAAAGAATGTCAGGATTACTGTAGAGATGCCAAGAGTAAGCACAAAACTTGTATTGTATGTTGTGTTATTTCATTATTACTTTAGGTGAACCCCAATGCATCCAAGGAACAGCCCTGACGGATTCGAGTGGAAACTTTATTATTTGTGGAGGTTCAAGCTCGATGACTTCCACATGCCCAGCCAATTATTACTGTTACTATGACGGAACAACATATGGCTGTTGTCCAACCCAAGGTAAAGTAATATAAGTTTGACCATCATGGATGCTTTTAGCCTACACTTGTTCTCTCGGATCGAAAAGTGGTGCTGTTTGTGGTCCTGCAGTGACCAGATGGTACTACGACTCGACTACTCGTACTTGTCAGACCTATTCCTTCAATGGATGTGATGGAAACTCCAATAACTTTGCTACTCAACAAGATTGCAAAGATTACTGTAGAGTGGAGAGTTGTCCTGATGGTGGAGAAGTCTGGAAAGAGCCGAATGGAGCCCCTCGAGGGTGTACCACCAACAGGCAATGTCCAAGCACACATTATTGTACGCCTGTCACCACTTGGACCGGGACTTTATATCAGACCAAGCCATTATGTTGTCCATCCAAGAACTTTGTATGCAGTCAGCCAAAGGATGTAGGGGTCCGATGTTCGAGTACGACCATCACGCGACACTACTTCAACGCTGACACCAAAACTTGCCAGACGTTTGAATACAATGGATGTGAGGGTAGGTGGAAGAATGATATTTTTATGATTAAATCCAGGTAATCGGAATAACTTCGCCTCCCAGAAGGCCTGTCAAAATTATTGTTTGTCCGAAGCATGCCCTCCGGGCACAGTCGTCGCCAAAGAGACTGATGGTCAGCGATTGGTCCAATGTTCGAATCCTGGGGGTTCTGGAAGAGTGTCAGGAGGATGCCCTGAGGGCTACACTTGTTACAGCAGTCCTCTGCTGGATCAGAATGTCTGTTGTGGGGCTAGTACAGAGCTGCAAGGTAAAAGCAATCTTTTTGAATGGAATTCTTACCTCTAAAAATGTTATACTTGTGTTTATAGCGCTTTGTCCGGCCACCTCGACTCCCTTCATCTCTGCATTATCTCTCCAGCCCATGCAATGTACTCCCAATGTGGACGGGGCGTGTCCGGGCAACTTTTTCTGCTGGTTTTCGACAACAACGACGGCAGTTAACGCCTTCTACTGTTGTCGATCTCCGGATTCTGTGGATACTGCATGTGAGTTTATTGTTTTTAGTACATATTGACCATCGATTATTATGGTTATCGTCTGATTTTAGTCTGTCCTCCTCAATTGGTGCCAGTTCCTGGAGATGGAGGAGCCCAATACAGATATTGCAGTCCCTCCGCGCCCATAAACGATGCCATTCAAGGATGTGGGACCAACAGACATTGTCAATACTCGACAAGTCTGGAGAGATACATCTGCTGTGGTCTGGAAAGTGATGTCCGACTACCGAGTGAGTTTTTTTCATTTATGATTTATCGGCACACGGACAATCGGAACCCTGGACATTCAGGTGTGAACTTCCGGCCGTATTAACCTCAGTGAATTTACTTCCTTAATACCTGATTATTCAGATGTGTGTCCCCCTCAACCAGCCAATCTTGTCCCCGTTGAACTGGCCGGTAATTATCGGACATGTAATCCCTATGCTCGGAGTGGAACCCCTCAATCGTGTCCTGATAACTCGGCCTGTCTCTACACTGGTGCTGACAACGGATTCATCTGCTGTAGAGTGCAGCTTTCTTCGGGCGGGTTCTGAAGTTCTGTTGATCTTATTATTGTATTATAGTTTTCTGTTGAAGGAAGGAATTAAAGTTGAATTAAAAAACTCGATGTTGACTTTACGTAAACGTTTATGATGAACTTATGTTTATGATGAGTTGTTACGCCAGTTTTCTGAATTTTCCATTTTTTTCGGGAGAAACGGGGTTGCGGAGCCCGTTGAAGGTATGCTGTCCGACTGTGACGCCACCTGAAGACACAAATCAACGTACGGCCTAGCGGAATAAAAATCTACTTCCGCACATCGAGATCCTTCTCGATTCGTTATTTTTGGCAACTTCACTCACAACTAGGGTTGTTAATTTGACGGATCTTTTCAATCTGACCTCAACTTGACGTCACATTGCGTCAAATTATTCTGATACACGAAGCTTTCAAACGCGAGTTTAGCATAGATTTGATGAACACCGGTAATACTACTCATAACTAGTTAGGATGCATGTTTTCGTTTATTTTTGGCAAATGCGGCATATTCCTGCGGTAATGTCCAAGCCACAGAAAATAACATTGCTTATTAATATAACTTAATTTTAAGCATACAACATATTTGGCCTGTCAACCCACTATCCAGGTGGTGAAGAAGGTGGCGGTGATAGTGGGTAATTGATAAACAGTAGCGACGATAAGAAGAGTCAGCAGTAATGCGCACACAACCATCCATACGCAAGACCATCCTCCAGTTTTATGCCAACAAATTCGGCAGATAGCCTTGGCTCTGGAGGTACACCAGAAGGAATCGAGTTTGGGACGATCGGGCTTGGGGAGAAACGGAGACTAAATCAAAAATCAATTAAGGTACCATCCATTACGTGATTCGGTTTGTTCCGCTTCCTTCCGACAGGGTGAGACAGAGCCTCCTCCAACGGCAAGAGAGTCATCTCCATCTCCACCAATCCCGTTACATATTCCACGCTATCCACTTGATTGTCACCTTGTTCGTCTGGTTTGGAGACATCGTGTTTCTTTTCTCTCTCTTCATTCTCTGCGCGCTGTTTGGTAGGCAGGTTCGTGGCAATGGCTGGCCAAAATCCGGATGCACTTCTCTGTTGGAACAAGGACATGTCTCCCATAGCCCCAGGAATATAACGCTAAATCATCCATTTAAGAATCTGGGATCCCAATGTAAACAGTAACGCCACAACTCTTACCGGTGCTCGAGGCATTTTGACGGCCTCCTTCTTTCTGCTGGGTCTTCTTGAGCAGCACCGCGTTTTCCAACACAGCTTGCATCCCATAGTGCAGACTTTGCAGCAAGTACATCCCTTATTTGAATCCTTTTCGTATCCTACAGCTTCGATCTCTTCTTCATCCAACAATCCTTCTTCAAATCCGAGAAGATCCAATTGGACCTGCCCAATGTATCGATCCTTCTTGAACTTGTTGTTATCCCATATTTGGATAATCAAAAAGGGATCCACCAATTCCGAAGACTTCTTCCTGAACCATCTCTTCTTCTTATACACCTGGATCTGTCTTTGGAACACATCGTAATCAAAATCAAACACAAATCTCCAATTGAAAGAAGCGGCCCCATCCAGGCATCTGAAGTGGATATCCGTCTTTTGTGATTTCTCCATTCCATTCAGGTAACAACGGACGTAAAGATCAGCAGCCTAAACGTGAATTCGAAAATATACGACCAGACCTCTTCACTTACCGGTCTTCCAAAGCTTTTCTTTGGTAAGATCACATTCCTCAAACCCCAGATTACAACACGAAGTTGATAAGGCTGTGGTTGACGTGGAGAGATGTCAATTGGTGACGGAATTCGATCAGAGATGACCTTAGGGAATATATGAACAAACATTTCCAGCTGACCACACTCCATCTCCGGATTTACTGAGTGATACAAAGGGCGTGTCTCAATGTGTTCTGGTACCAGGCCAAGCTTGTGGAGAATATTCAGAGCCAAGCATTGAATGGGGCGTCCAGAAAAGTTTTCATTCATCTTATCCTTCTCCAGGTCGGATACATAAAAAGTGCAATCAGCCCATTCGATGGCATCTCCTTTATCCGTGTGGAGGATTTTCGGAGGAGGCAAATTCATCTTTTGGCAATATCTAAACATTACGGTACAACTACCACTTGCCTACCCCTACCTTCTCATAATCTGAAGCGGAGTTAGCTGATCTTTCCAAGGCAAAGGCCCCACCACATTGTACTCCTTGGGCATTCCCACAGTGGCTCGGAATTTGGTTAACAGCCGGTTCTCCAGATCAATAGTGGTGGATCCAATTTCATTATCTAAAACAACTGAACATCATTCGTATTGCCTCACCAGACATAAACAATCGCTTATCCATGACGGAAATGGTCAGATCTTTTTCCTGGGGAATGGTTACCTCCATTTCAACACATTGTCCGAAAACCGGGTCCAGAGTTTCCGGACGGTAATCCTTGTACCCTTTGAACTTCTTTTTGTTCCCACATCTGATATTGATGTAAGGATCACAAAGACCGGATCTCCTTCGACTGACCAAATCATAGGCCGAGACAATATATACTCGGATCACACATTCCACTGGCCCATCAAATTCAACACCCGAGGGCGTAGATTGGACGTCTAAAGAAACATGAAAATAAAGCTACAGTACACTTGCCGCTCTTTCCATCATGTTTTGTGATGAACAATTTGCCTTTGAGTTCCCCCTTCTTATCACAAATGGAATCTAATTTGTTGGCATAAGGTTTGGTGAAGACGAAGGTGTCCAGGAAATCCTCGAAACCCTTGTATTCGCCGACATCTTCCAACGGGACCTTGTAGATGGCGAGTCTCCCTAGATTTAATTCTTTGTACCCTGGGGCCTTTTCGATGACGTTCTTGGAGAAATAATACCGGGACCACCAATCGATCTTGGGACTGTTCGGATCCTCGGGGTAAGCCAGATATTCCTCAGGCTCAAGTTTTCGGAGGGTTCGAATCTCTTCCATCTGCTTCTTATATTCATGTGACATTTCCTGATCGAACGATTCCCAAGCCATAGCTAAAGGGGTATGCTAAAATTAAACCTATTTTATAATTACCAATATTCGCTTACAACTGGAGGAGGCGAGATCATATATTTCTGGAAGTTCTTGACAATACAGGCGCCGACCAAAGGCTGACGGCCAAAGCTTCTTCGATCGTGGAGATTGAGCACAATTGGAGGAGCAAATCCGAGTTCGGCAGGCATCTGGACCTCACTGAAGGTGAGCAATGGCATCACAAAGTTGGGATTCACCGAGGTGTCCTCGATAATGTCTGTCGTATCCTTTCTATCGGCTACCGTAATTTCCACAAAAGGAGATCGGACAGAAAGTAACTGATGTCTCGCCAGATTTCGAACCCCCCAAGCCATAATTTGGACAGTGAAGTTGGTAAACACAGGCCTGCAATCAATTGGGACTTCAAATCTGTTCTCCAGTTTGGGTTTGTAAGCTGGGACAATGGGAACCATGGACTGGAAGGCGGGATCGTTTAGAAACAGCTCCATATGCAACAACAAGGCACCCCTGCAGATTAAGGTACAGAATCTCCAATGAGAAAAGCAATCAAAGCTTAACTTACTTGATCTTATTATTAGGAAATCTCAAGGGTCTCCACCCAGGTCTCGACCGCGGATCAGTGGTGCTATTGACGACAACCGGCTTCAGATCAAACCTTCCCAAGAACACCGGCTTCCCATTCTCTTCTTCTCCATGGACTTCAACCACAGCTCCAGGAGGATTCATTTGGAGGGTTGCGGAGCCCCCGGGTATCAAAATCTAAATCAAGCCGTTTAAAGTTCTAAATAAAACGCTCACCTTGTTAAAAATTAGGGTTTCGTTCCAAATGGGATTCAACGAATTCTCAACGACATAAGTTTGTTGACATCGATTAAGGAAGAAGACCTTAACGAAGGCTCGACTTAGATGTTTCTTCGGAGAATGAACTTCACGGGCCCAGAGAACATATACTCGAAGTTGGAAGACACTAACTTGATCATGGACTTCATAGATACGAGGAGAAAGGAAGTGGGGGTCGTCTGCCACCTCCTTGCTACCTTCAACTCCCATTTCCAGTTTGCTAAAGATAAATAATATATAAGTTTGAACAAGAAATCATGTTTTTGTGACAATTTGCTTACTAATGAAAGTCTTCTTTCTGTGGTACCAGTTCTCTGACCATCCTTCGTCTTCTAAATTTGTCTCCACATTGTAGCAAGAGATGGACTGGCTCTCCAAACTTCGCGGCAAACTAAACAAATCTTATAATTCTGGGGATTATAGCGACGCCATTTCGTTTATATGCACACTGTTATCCTCCGAAGGGAGACTGAATATGAACTGACTGAATATAAAGGACCGAATATGAAGGACTGAATATGAACTGACTGAATATGAACTGGGGTGCTGACTGAATATGAAGGACCGAATATGAACTGACTGAATATGAAAACCGGGTTTCTGTTACTGTTACTACCTAGGTTTCGATTAAGGACTCTTTTTGAAATTTTTTCGACTTACATATAACACCTTTAGACATTAATGGTGTTGTTTTGGTGCCTAGTACTGCTTGAAAAAACATTTATAACACTTGGTGCTAAATAGTACTACCTGGTACTATTTAGTACGAGGAGAAAATTTGGCCGGTAATGGTATTGGTTTGGTGCTTAGTACAGCCCAAAAACACATTTTTAGAACTTGGTACTATACAGTACCAATTGGTACTATTTAGTACGAGGTGAAAATTTGGGCGTAAGGCGGCAATGGTGTTGGTTTGGTGCTTAGTACAGCCCAAAAACACATTTATAGCACTTGGTACTACATAGTCCTCGAAACAGACCAAATTTGCCAAATTTCATATTCAGTCAGCACCACAGTTCATATTCAGTCAGTTCATATTCAGTCAGCTCATATTCAGTCCTTTTCATATTCAGTCCTTCATATTTAGTCCTTCATATTCAGTCAGTTCATATTCAGTCAGGCACCCGTTATCCTCACCTCCCATCCATCCTCATCTAGGTTTTTAGCAAACTCTCTGAGATCTTCAAACATCTCGGCGACTCCAATATCCTTTTTCCCAAAAATCCTCCTCCTCACATGTCTTCTCCTTCGATAACGATGACTCAATCTTTCCACCGTATCCACATTTTGTTCATCCCAGAACATCAGCCCACTCGAATACACCCATCCTTCAGCATCTCCCAGACTATGATAATCGATGTTCCATTGGGTTACATACACCCATCCGGGCGGGGCTTCGTGGAGGCTGTGTTTGTCCAGAGGATCCCCGTAGAAGCCCGTGGACATGTGAAATTTCCACTCCTGGGTTATCGTATTCTTCTGTTGGACTTCGAAAAACTCATCCTCGAAGGAAGTGTGTCCAGCATCAGCCCCGACCCACATATCATGACATCTTTTTAAAGTCCATTTGCCTTCGAAATCCCATCCAGAGGGCGGATGAATTGCGGTTTCCGAGAGTTCAATCTTCCCCGTTTCGTCGGAAATGTTAAACGGCTTCCTGAAATTGCGAAAATTATAGAGTACATGTACAAAATAACACATTATCACCATACTCTGTGGGCTTCCACTTAGACGAAAATGCAGATCGGTGTTCATTTATGAAGAGTTCGGCGTAATATTTCATAAAGCCGGGCCGGATCAATTCGAGCCATGACTTTCTGTACTTGGTCTTCCCGAACCAGGCTTTGATATGAATGACTCCAGGCAATTCGTGTCCCTAAATACTTTTACACATCTTATCCATGACCACTTACTCTGAATTTAGTGAGCTGAGCGGTAGGCCAGCTGAGCGGGACGGCTTGGATCTTGCCGGAATAACGACCACAACGAAGTGAGGACTTACTGTAATATATCTAAAAGGAGAATGATCAATTACATTGTACATAAGAATGCTCTTACTTCATGAACTGGAACCCTTGCATAGCCAACCACAGCGTTGTCCACGATCATATGAACACAGAGATCGGGGACAGAAAGCTGAGGATCATTGGCAATCTCCTTGAGTTGATTGGCGAACACTCCCAACTGTCTGATCGTATTCTCTTCCATATCAGACACATCAATGAGATTGAATTTGAAGTCGGCAAAGGTCTTGTAATATCTGTAGAGGGCGTCGGCTCGAGCATTCAGAAGGAGGATATCAAGAGCTGTAAGCGATGCGTTGGACTGCTGGACATTTCGGATGATCCTATTCAAGACATCGAAGCAATCGGCCGCTTCTTCGATGGCTTCGATTACCAAAGAAGCCAACTCCGATTGTTCTGGATTCGATCCTGATTTCATTTGGGCTTCTTCTTGGACTTCAAACAGCAGGTCGGCTGTCTAAAAAAACACCGTTTTGTAGATGGGTGTTACATAACATTATAAATTTCCAGTATTACCTTATACAGGATATTGGAGATCTCAAAACGCCAAGAAATATCTTCCCAATCACAGAGGATCTCACAAATTGGCTTGTGATTGCCCCAGGGCATGGTGTACAAACAAGAAGTGTCGTAAGACGGCATTACGGGCAGGGTTTGATTGGTACATGTCAGCACATTACCGTAATCTTGACTTCCAAATTCTCCAATGGAAACCAAAAACTTCACATTCTTGGACCTAGAAATAAATCCATTCATAGTCAGACTTGCTTGAAGTCAGAGTGAATCAAGTTCGCTGCAAAAAATGAACAAAACAGGGTAAATCTATCCTGGCGATAGAAATTCTCGGCATTCTGAACGATGGCTGTGGGGATGCTGATGACGTGCGTCTTCTGGACTCCCGATTCTTCACAACTCAATTCAAAGAAAACTCGGCCACAATAACTGAAACATAAGGATGTTTATATTACATCATGAAAGAACAAAAAAAATATTTACACTCACTGTGAGCCCATAACTTTCCCATCCCTGACATGATTCTTCTCCCAGGGTTTCCAGGTTTTCCGATTGGGTTCTGGGCCGAAGAATGGAATGTAAGCGGGCCCGAAGTTGGGAAGAAATCCCCGCTCTCCTGGCTGACAGAGATCCCTCATGTTCACAAACTCGGTGCACAAAACTCTCTTCCTTCGTCGACGATTCAGGGCAATTAATCTGAATCTCAACTAAAATAAACGCATTATTAATCATTAACACGACAATGCGTACCTGCTTGATGACAGTTGGCCACATTATGGGAATCTGAAGTTCTTCCCCGAAAGAAATGGTCTCATCACTGGCGGATTGGAAGGTGGAGAGACAATTGTATGCTCCAACGGCAACTTCAACTGCAATTTGTCCAGCTTCTGAGGGGTCCTTTTTGTATGGATATCGAATATGATCGGCCAATTGAGTAATCTTATAAATCCGGATCTAAAAGCAATACAAACAAACTCAAACCACTTACTCTCAGACAGTAATTGAGAAGCTGAGCTCTAAACAGTACATCCGTATCGTCATCTCCACCTCCTCGGACCACCAAACTTGGAGGGATCTGATTGGGATGGAATACGCAGATGGAGATTTTGAGGAATCCCCGAATCTCTGTAGCGGCGCCAATTCCATTATCATCCTCTTGCCTACTTGGCATCAACGCAACCCATTTCTCGACAACAGATTGATTTTTACTTTGATAAACAACACCCATATTGATTCCAAACGAACCGATTAGAGAATCACGTATCAAACGGCGAGCCGAGTATACCTGAAGAAATGCAAAATCAATACTTCGTGCTTACATTAAACTCGCAATTCAACATCGCCAGGTCCTCGATGCAGCTTTTTATGGTGAACCCAAGGGTCTGATTCCAAAATGGACGGTCCGTCCCCCTGATAGATCTAGTTGTTCTTGTTTTAGACCCCAAATTGACTCGGACCAATGGATTCAGACCTTCTCCTTGCAATTCCTTGGCCTCAATTACCCTTACTCGGACTGTAAACTCTGTGTGAGCCTTAGGATTAAAAGCGGTCGCTCCATCCGGTCTCATCTCCCTAAGGCGCTTTTCTTCTTTTTTCGTTGATTTTCTTTTCTGATCCTCAACATCAGACTGATCTGTGGCCGTGGAATTAGTCTGCCAATCAGACCCATCCCGGGAATTCCTTTCATCACCACTTCCAGCAGAGCTCTGAAACATACAGATGTAATACTGCAGCACCCCTTTTCTCACACTGTAAACGACAACTTACCGTGCCACTCGATCCAGTATCAGCAGACTCAATAGGCGTTTCCGTGCCACTTTCCGAAGGCTTCACAGATCCTCCGGTATCCGTTCCCGATGTTCCTACTTGAATATCCGGTCCTGAACCCCCTCCATCGTCGGCCAGGACACCTTCCCCCTTCTGTTTTTTCTTCTTCTTTGCTCCTTTCTTGGCCTTCCGATTCTCCGCGGATTCTGGGGACTCAGACTGGCTTCGGCGGACTTTCTTGCTCAATTTCCGGAGCAACTTTCTTCCACGACCCTCCTCTCCACGCTAAAACAAAAGACATATTACCATAAAAAATCCAAAAAATACACGACATTCCCGGAATAGCGACACTTCCGGAAGGTAAATAACACGTGAAATAATAGTACCCACGACCTGACTTAAACGGTATATAATAGTCTTGAGATCACTGTGTATTTATAAACGTGTTTTTATACCCAAACGTGGAATTTTGGATGAAGGTTGATGACGTTGTTCATGGGAAACCTCTTCCCGCAAGGCCCAAGTGGCCTCGATTAGAATTGTAAACGATGCTGTGGATAGTCGTCGCATTGATCAACTCGCCCAACCCTCCAAACACCCAGATTGTGCTAGGAATATCCCATACCCAACGCAATCAAAAAACAAAAATATTCACTATCCCAGATTCTGGAAGTGACTACTCCGGAAACGTCCCGGAATGGCGGAATAGAAAGTCATCGGTCCATCTCATCATTCTTGGCGGCCCATGAATGAGATGAACCAATGACTTTCGCAAGCATTATGACCCGCGATGGAAGGACCTAATACTGACTAGACAATGGAACCCATTCTGATCCACTACATGCTTTTTTCATGTCACTGGTGTGAATATATTGAAATTGAATAATCCTCACCTCGTCCTCTTCATCTTCGTGCCCACCAGAGTCACTTCCTCCAACAACTCCATCGATTGCTTTCTTGGCCTTGTTCTCCATTCGGTTTTCGATCTTTTTGTTGACGAAACCCTGGAGTCCCATATTTTATCGATTTATCGTTGTCCCAGTTCGTTGAAGAATGGGTCTGCGAAAATGATTTCATCTCCATGAGAACGTGGCTTTTATACTTAGTCCACTTCTATTTGCATAATTTAAATCGCAATAATTTCGAGAAAATTGATTCTTTTTCTTGTGGCGAAATGTCGCTATCGATTAACTAAATATATAAGTTGATTAAATGTCAAAAATACAAACTTATGTTCGGTATTTTTTAGGAATCCCTATAAAATCTACAATTCTGGTCTCAGGGTTCACTTGACGGATACGAAACATATACTAAAGCATAATTTTTCTTATTGCACTACAAGTGCAGTTGAAAAAAAAATGTTTTCCAAATTTTGCGTTTTTCAAAATGATGGGACACATTATTTTTGCTAAAAACTTGTAACCCTGAATCTCTGACATTATTAACAAGACTGTAATACGACTGTTTGGACTTTATCGAATCCAAAATGCACAGATTTTCATTCAATTTTCGCGGAAGTCTACATACATTTTGTGCAACAAGCCCTACATGTGTTAGAAGCCCATTTTCCATAAACGTAGGCAGTGGAAATGCGATCTCTGTGGTTTCCAGAAAAGGTAGTAAGATTCCTACCATTTTGAACCCCAAAAATTGGAAAAACTTTCGTTTAAACGGCAACTGCAGTGCAAGAAGAAAAAATATTTTTAGTGTGTGTTTTCAAACCTCCTCTTTAAACCTGTAAAGGTTTCGTATTCGTCAAGTGAACCCCGACATTGCAATTGCAGATTTTATAGAGGTTTCTATCATCTTGAAACGGAGTGCATAGCTCAAAATTTAAAGATTGTACCAGTATCTAAATGGAAACCAAACTTATTCACTCCATGCTTTTGTATGCATGTGATTAGTGTGAATAAATTGAAATTGAGTATGAAAATTCCGACTTCTCCGGCATTATTTTGCCGATGGCGTTTGGATGTTTTAATATATTTGCCTTTAATTATTTCTCATGAGTCACCCTCGAAACGCTGGTGTTAAATTTCAGGATTTGGGGATATTTACTCATCTGGATCGGCGACTTTTCCCTATTTGCAGGAACGTCGATGTCTCGATTTGCTATGGTTATTGCCCTCAGCCTCTTCTTACTCCTTTATTCGGTAACAGTAATGGGGCAAATGGAAGCTGGCATGGCCGGGGAGATGGCTTACGGGATTCTGAACACGGTATACGCTTTAAATACGGATAGAGTCAGGAAGATTAAACCGTATTTCGATTGGGGACGTCATCATGGTAAGGATAATTGAGGTATAAATGACGGTTCAGCTGTAACTAATGGATTAAACGTTCTGAAATCAAGTACCCAGCCTACGACTACAGAAACGAGGACCACCACGGCGCCTGTTTCAACTACTCGGACGACGTCCTCAGCCTCTACAACTCATACAGCAACACTTGAGAGTGTTGTTCGATCTACAACAAATCTTTTTCCATTAACATCACCAGCTCCGTTGTCTACATCAACAACTTCTGCACCAGTTATTCCCACAAAATGGACTCACAAACACAGGACACATCGACCGCGAGGACCTAAGAACACCAAGGGATTAAAAACGGGAAATTTGAAGAAAAATAAAAGAATTCGAGTGGATGAAGAAGAAGATAAAAGTCCCAAGGAAACAACTGAAGCCATTCAAACAACTACGGAGCTCTCACATGAAGATTTGGATAAAGATGTGACTCTTGGAGAAGAGACGACCTCCCAAGGTAGTGTAACAAACGATCCGATCTGCAATGGAGAAGGAGAATGGTCAGAATGGGGAGATATGGGGAAATGTAGTGAAGAATGTGGGGCTTGCGGAGTGGTGCAGAGATTCAGAAAATGTCTCAGCTTTAAGAATGGGACTGGATGCCCGTGCAGGTAAGCGAACTCCTCTGTGGCTGACCGTAATTACATAAATTTAGTGGTAATTATAAAACAGTAAGGCCTTGCAATGTGCAAACATGCAAATTCCCGAAGCCTTCTTGCTGCCCGCCTTACGATCTGATGTATAAACATGAGAAATTTTGGTGTGGTCCGCAGGAAGAGGACGTTTTAAACGATGCACTAAAAGAAATAAAATAAGATTTTTATTTTTACATAAATGCCAACAACATTATTATCCATAAGTGTTATCGTTTAATGAGTTTGGCCTCCCTTCTTTTCTCCTCGGCTTCTCTTTGTAATCTCTCTGCCCTGAGGGCTTCAATCCGTTTTTTCTTAGCTTCGGCTGAGTCCTCTTCCTCTTCTGATGAGGATCTTCTCCGTTTTCGTTTCTTATGTTTTTTCTCTTTCTTATTCATCTTCTTTTCCGTTACGTTCTTTTCTTTTACTTCTGGTTTTATTCTCTCGATCTTCTCCCACCAATTCTTTTCTCCAGAAATCTCCATCGTATCCTCCGCAAACTTTTTCATGATCCCTATAAATAACAAGAATTACACACTTGATATGATTAGTTTACCCATCTTGCTTTCCCAAGCATGTTGCTCGGCCTTTTTCTCGGCTTGATATTCCTTATTTCCACTAGCCATATTACTTCTTTCTTGTTGTTCTAGTTCTTCAAAGAAATTTATGTGTCCAGAAGAAGATGGTTGAATCTCTTTTGTATCTTCTCCTTCCTCTTTATCTCTCCCAGATTTAAATGGATCTGATTGTTTAGCCTTCAGTAGTTCCAATCTCCTCTCATGTTCAGCCAATCTGACTCTTTCCAGTCTAGACTGCTCGGCTTCGGCGGCCGCGGCCTCGTCCCTGCGGACTCTGGCCATGTTCTCCTTGGTTCGGACATGCCATTTCTTCTTCGGTAATATATTCATCTACAATTATATCGGTGCTTGCAAACAAAAAGGTATCCAAAAGCATTGATTAACTTTACTTTCGCATAAATTATAGTTAATAACAAAATAATTTATTTTTACAAAATTATGCTACAGTAATCACAGTTGCCTGAATGAGTGGAGTCACTGAGGAGATAAGTAATCTGTTAATGGATATGTTAAGCTTTGAGAGAAGGCATGTAAGAGCTACAAATGGAGTGAGAGATGGAGACCGGCTTCAATTTGGTGGTGGACTCCTGGAAGACGGTCTCACGGTGTTTGTTAGGGCGGGGAATGACTGTTTGGCGGATACGGTAGATTCGGGAGGCATTGATTACAGTCTCCCGAACCAATTCGGGAAGTTGTCTGATATGGACTTGGGCTCCATCAAAAAGAGGTCCAAATTGGATATCTGGGTGCTGGACTTCGACTCGGACTTTGACCAGATTCACAGAAACAGGTTGCAATACTATCATCACATCACAGAATCGAGTGGCAATCACATCTCGTCGATAAGGGCGGTTGTGTTCGGTCCAAATGACATGGACTTCGTCGTTTCCCAGATGCTTCAACTTCTGGGTGATACTTCCTGAGAGTCGTGTGGATACGTGAAAGATAAGTTCACAAGCGGAGTTTGCATAATAAGGGGCAACATGACCAGTCGGGAGACCACCAGTGTACCCATGATGATCTGGCCCTATGTCGGCTGGCCAGCCGAGACGGGAAACAAAATCATCAAAGGCTGGAGTGGCACGGGAATTGGAGAGGATCGATTGCTTGTCCTGGAACCATAATTTACACATACCAAATAAGGATAACATACCTCCTGCCCCATTCCAACGTAGATCAAGGCTACTTTGTGGACTTCCCTGGACAAAGTTTGATCAAGATGTCTGAGATCTCGGGGGAAGTTCTGTTCGGAAGCAGGGACACGGACATCTTCAGTAAACTGCATATCCGACATAAACACCCGCCATTCTTGAGCATGGCTTTGTAGAGACTTAGTCTGCGAACTATCAAATTCACTGTTGCTTTGATCCTACAAGTTTCAAAATTAAACAAACATCTAATAAACTTTGAATTTAGTTTGCAAACATACCAGTCCTTTGGGTGTTCTGCTGCTGGTCTTTAAGTGTAATAAAAGCTTGGAGACCTCTTCTCCATTCAATGCAACTCCACAAGAACTGGCCGAGACTTGGGAAAACTCAGATTCAGATGGTGTAAAATTCTTGGCATGTTCAGCCACATATTCCTCTGGTGGCAGTTCTTTGATGGACGAACTTTGTGATAAATTGACCAGCCAATCATGAGTCGAAGTGTGGGCGGATGGGAGACCTGTTAACCGCTTCAGGGAGTAGCAGTGTCTGCCAACAACCGTTCGGCTCCAAATCCTGGAGTCCTGTCCGTTCTTTTCGAAGCTAAAAAAAATATTTAAATTATGTAAAGCTTTTTTCATTTGTTTTTATTTTAGCCAAGGTTATGACCAACTTGTCCCCCCTACCTGATAATAGCTTTCGGTTTTTGCACAATGACATCAAGCTTCGTATCCTTTGGGGCGTTTTCATAAACAGAATTCCATTGCGAAACCGAAAACCCAGGTAAGGGAAACTGTAATGCTCTCTGAATCAAAAATCCTTCGAAGAAATCGTCGCCGGATGCGGCCATGTTCGCCAGAATAGTCTTGAGAGTGTTGTCAATCCTCTCGGTAGACAACAATGTCACTATTTGCCATTTAATTTCATTGGCAATCCGATCTTCTTTCAACTGCTGACTCTTCATAATTGCTGATTCCAAAGTGTCAGCCAGTCTTTGTTTACATTTTAATTTGGCGGAGTAAAAGTTGGCGCAGAATTGAGCGAGGATTTTCAGATTGTTCCCATTTCTTTGGCTGATCAAATATAATACCGCAAAAAGATTGTCAAAGTTGTCTCTTTCCAAGGCAATAATCGAGAAGGAGTTTATAATCTTTGCCAAAGAATCCACATCTATTTTCACGGAGTTGTTACGCAATATGGAGAAGATGACCTGCAAATATTATACATTCCATTAAAACAAACAGAACCTTACCTGTTCCGCCTCTGGATTGTTAAGAGCAAGAACAGCAGCTACTTCAACAGCTTGGGAAGTGAACTCTGAGGACTGGGCCAACTTCTTCAAGGTGTTCACGGTATCCGTAGCCATCACGCTGGAGTCCTCTACATTCATTTCCGTGTACTGTTGAAGGAAGACTTGGACGAGTTGGGGGTTTTGGAGGGAGTCGCGGAACCTGGCCAAAATCTGAGCCCTCAGGGAATCGGGGGGATTGGACCCCACGAGGACGGTGGCCAAAGCGGCGATCGCCTCGGCGACGCCACTCTCCAGGAGCTGGGCGCCCAACCATTGGACCAGGGCATGGGCCGAGTCCCCCTCCAACAGTGCACGGATCGACCGGTCGATTGTTTGCACAGCCTTCGGGCCGAAGCGTTTGTCGCTCGCCGACACCAGTGACACCAATCGAAGCCAGCAGCGATACCAGGAGGGGGATTGGCCGACTCTCTGAATGGGGGATTTGCATTCGGATGAGGGACCTACCTCCAGAAGTCGAGTGTATTCAGAGGGAAGGAAGGTCTCTTCGCGTAGACTTGATGCATCCCCAGAGGCATAATGCGTGGAATGGTCTTGCTGGAGAGCCTTAAATATCAAAATGTAAGTTGATTTAAACCAAACTTTTAAGCTATCTTGAACGATATCTTACTTTAGACACCATTGGATGAAGAAGACTAGGATTTAGTTCCATATCCAGATTATTCAAGGCGAGTGCATATGTCATGAAGTCAACGAATATGGACCACTAAAGGATTTAGATTATAATGGTCATTTTTCCTTACTTGTTCCACCGCAGCATCACTACAGTTCCTCTTGAAGATCAACGCCAACGCATCCCAAGTTTGGACTGAGAGTTTGACATTCCGAAAGACAAATGCATTCACAAATGCTGACAACAAGGACCTTATAAACAGATGAACAGTGGCCTTGTCAAACATTAGCATTTCATTGCAACAAGAGTAAGTTGTTGAACAGAAATCCATTAGTAAATTCTGCCAAAAAATGGACGAAAAGGAACTTGAGTGGGGCTGAGTGAGGTCTCTGATAATATCCATTATAGTCTGAGTAATGGCCAAGACGGTGGGGAATCTATCGCCACAAGCAGAGATGTATGGAGATCGGAAAAAGGAGAAGAGAAAATCGACCAAAAGGACCTGAACTCGTTCTTCGGAAGGCCGATGGAGCTGCCAATTGGGATGGAAGAAGGGAGGGATCTCGGCTTTCAACAGCCAAGCTCTGATCAGGGACAACACTTTCTGAATGACGCTCGAACAGGCTAATGGGAGGAACATGGCCTTGTGTAACATTGTGAACAGCATGTTGACTGGAGACTCGGCGGCATAGAGACACTGAAACTAATCTCAACGTATACATTACCTTACCCTTCTGAACAGCAAAAGTCCAGGAGCCGAGTCTTCTTGCATTCCAGATAACGCGATGTTGACGACCCATCTGATCAACCAGTATCTGGCTATGACAAGGGGATCTGCCGTGTCTAGGAGTTCATTTTGATCTTCTTCTGCATCATCTGGCCCGCCGAAAACGTTTATTCCTTCCATTTTAGGAAAAACTTCGACAATGTAAAGGCTGCAAATCTTCTCAAAAAGGAACCGGGCACAGGTAAGTTGGGATTCTGGGTTCTGCCATTTCAGTTTGGTCATCTCACGGAATGTATATTCAAGGAATTTGTCTAGATATATCTAAAAAACAATAATCAACTCTGAGTTCACTAACCTGAAGATTCTGCGCTCGATCTCTGACATTCATCTGATCGAGGGGAGTTGTATTTGGAATGATAGGAGTAATCTTGGGCGGGGCTGGATTAAATCCAACAGTAGCGTTGTAATTCTTTCCTTCGCAATACCTGAGAAGTGTTCTCGCAGTCGGAATCTTAGACGTTAATGGGAAGAATGGGAGCAGAGATTGACACACTTCATCCAGATACGCATCATCATTTCCATAGACATGCAGAGATTGATACCACATCAAAAACAACCTGATGCTGATCTTCCTCACCGCAAACATATTCCCTGGATGTAGCCCTCGCCTCATTATGGTCTCTATTCCATTCCTTTGCCACCCCTTTCCCACCAGATCCGGGATATTGCACAATAGTTGTTCCAGGGCCCATAAAGCGGATTCGGCTTCAAAAACTCCTTGACTATCAATTACCAAGTCCAAATTAGAGAGTACTGTATCTATCAAATGGAATATCTCAAAGCTGTACTCATTGCAGAACTGTCGTTTCTCCTAAAATTGAAATTAAGCAATTAAAACCAAGTTTTTTTCCTAACAATGAGAATCGAGCTATACTATGATGTCGACGTGAATTTCAAACTTGTTCACATCAAACTAAATTTTGAATTATTAGTACCTAGCACCCAATACGTAATTTTCTGTAAAAAAATTTCGACAAAGTTACCGTAACCGTGGGTACTGTAAGCGAGTGTCGTAAAAATAAACCGATTTAGACATACATCCTAAACACTAATATTATAAAATTTGGTCGGATTTGAGCAAGTTTGAAATTCACGTCGACACTGCGCTTCAACCTTACAAAAACCGTGTTTTAATTGACTTACATCTTCACTCAAAGTATCATACACAATCCGAAGATGCTTGGTTCGACTGCTGGTGTCCCTTGTAAGGTCAGAGAAACGCTGAAGAGAAGACTGGACATCGGAAGACTTCGCCTTCCGAGCAAACATTGTCTACGACATACCACCTAATCGACTGTAAATCTCAAAACTGTTTCCATCAATAAGATATTAAATGCTCTTACAACATCTCTGGTTATTGAATGTGATTAAAAGTCAATAAAAATTTATTTTATGTACACAACAACAGCAATAACAAGTTTCTAAAACGCAAATAACCCGCTAAATGGAGAATCTAATAATAATTAACATCTTTGAAAGCCATCGCAGTAACAGCCATCGTGTGGCCCTGATAAGTGCCCATTTCTTTGCCTCCTTCTACATCCCACATCCTCATGAAACCATCGGAAGATGCCGTGAACATGTATTTACTGTCATTCGTGAATGCACACTCCCAGACCCATTTATCCGTAGGCATTCTGAATTCCCTTCTTAATTTAAAGTCAGTGGCACTCCAAATCTTGGCAGTGTAATCCGCAGCTGTCGTGGCAACACTGAGCCCATCCGGTGTGAAATGACACTTCAAAGTAAAGGTCTCATGTGCAGCGACTTTGGCCGACGGACGAATATTACTCATAAGTGTGTATAGGGCATCAGGACTGGCTGCAGAAACTCCAAACGGAGCATTATATACTTCTTCCAGCGGTAATGGAGGAGGCGCTGGCCCAAGAGGCGCCATCTCCATCAAACCTTGGGACTCGGGAACATTGAAGCTCATCGGCTTCTCGGAATTGTCTAATCGTGAAAGAAGTTAATAAAACGGATGAAACTTACCGACGGACGACTTCTGAGTCTGCGCCAGAGTCCCACTATGAATATTCCACATAAAAAGGTGTCCCCGATTAGTCACGGCTGCACATTGACGCCCCGTCTGGTCCAGTTCTACATGAACCACGTATTCGCTCAAATCGACTTCCGTAACGAGGGAATCATCTCGATCAGACCTCAGATCCCACAAATAAAGAGCTCCAGTGGAATCTGCTACTATCAATTCAATCTGGTTGGGATGCAATGCAACACAGTGAACAGCCGTATTGACCTAAAAGATATCCCAGGCTATTCAGAACGAAGTTAATGACTCATTTCAAAAAATATTACCTAAAATCGGAAAAGGAAAAAAAATACCTGGAATATCCTCTGACAAGTTAAATGATTAGCTCTCATGTCCCAAATCTTGGCCATGCCGTCTTCACCGCCCGTAAACATCCAATATCCCTCAGCCTGAAAGCCCAAAGTGGTAACATTCTTCTCATGAACTTGGAATGTATGCATATTCTGAGTGGTCGGGCTGCATGTGTCATATATCCGCACCTTTTCCCAGCCAGCTGCAGCCAATTGTGTAGAATCCGGAGAAATCGCCAAGCAGTTCACTTGCGATTCCTTATGGGTCAATACCTCTAAAGGCTTCCTTGTGACAACATCCCAGAACCTTATAGTAGCATCCATGCCCGCGGAAACGAGCATTGGACGTGAATTCATGGCTTAAAATTCTATAAGTTCTCAGACCATGCTACGGACGTTGATTCACACAACAATCTACTTTTCCTACCCCGGCCGATTCAAGATCATTCGTCCGTCGATTTTCGTGTTCCCCGGCCGCAGCCTGCGCCCAATTATTTTATTTTGCGCTTTATGCTCCGGCAAATTTGGAGATTCTGTTTGAATAATGGGTGAACCTGGACCGGTAAGTACTTATTTTGCTTTTATGTTTGTGTTTAGGGCTCCAAGAAACGCAGAATTGACGATATTTCAACGGCCACGGCTTCAGCCAATGAGATTTTAGCCGCTATTGACGCTGAAACTTCTGCAAACGAAGAGTCTTTGGATAGTGCTGCGGCTAGAAGGTTGATCTTGCAGGTATTAGATTTTTAGGGTTGAGTTGGTGTGATTAATTCGTTTTATTCAATTTTTTAGGTCGAAAAGAAGTACGATAAAAATCGTGAAGCGCGGATCAAGTATTCTGATGAACCAGAAAAATTCTTGAACACCGAGATCGAACTAAACGATGCCATTCAGGTGGGTGTACACTGTTTATGACTTATTTTAGGAACTTCATGCTGTCACAGCTCAACCCGAACTCTTTCCAACCCTTGTGAAACATAATTTAATATTTTTGATCACTCAGCTCCTCGCCCACGAGAACGCTGACATTGTTGCTGTTACTTGTTCGCTTTTACAGGTAAAAGCCGCTGCTTGTATTATTTTTTCTTTAGGAATTAACTGATACTAATCCGGTTTACGAGAATGAAGACGGCTCTGAGGTGTTGGTGAATGCAATGCTTGACGGCCATATCTTCCAACACATGACTCAATCTTTAAAACGATTGAACGAAGAAGATCGAGATGAGGCCGACGCTGTCAATAATCTTCTCACTGCCGTGGAGAACGTATGATCATTTTTCTGTGTGAATAATTTTTAGATATTGGAGGAGAATATTCCTGCCTACGAGGCCGTGGTAACGGATGATCTCTTTGGTTGGTTATTGACTAGAGCCACAAAAAGATCCAAGTTCGATTCAAATAAACTCTTTGCGAGTCAGTTGTTGTCAGAAAGTCTCCAAAATAGCGAAAGTGCTCGAGAAAAGTTGGTGGATAAGGTAAATGGGCTTGATCTACTTCTAAGAGCATTGGCGGTCTACAAGAAAAATGACCCCGAGACCAAGGATGAAACCGAGCACATGGAGAATCTGTTTGATTCTTTGTGTTCTTCTTTGATGCACGTTTCTAATAGAAAAGTTTTTCTGGATGGAGAAGGCCCTCAACTCATGAACCTGATGTTGCGGTAAGCTATCATTTTTGTTGGATTAGTGTATTCTTTAGGGAGAAGAAGCAATCCCGTCACGGCGCCCTCAAAACACTTTCTCATGCCACTGCTATTCCTGATGGAAAGGATAACTGCGAGAAATTCATTGAGATTGGAGGTATGGTGATTACTTGTTTTATTATTACTTTTACAGGACTGAGAACTCTATTTCCCTTGTTTATGAGAAGTCCGCAAAAGACCAAGAAGAAGGACACAACTCCAGATGAGCATGAGGAACATGTCATTTCGGTATCTTATTATATTTGGGTAATTGATTATGAAATACTTAGATTATCGATGCTCTATTGTTCCAATGTGAGGATGACAGTAAGAATCGCGTGCTTCAAAAATTTACAGAACACGAGTTTGAGAAGGTGGATCGACTGGTCGAATTATTCTTCCGATATAAGTAAGTATTTAGTTTTGTGTAAGAAAATGTGGTTCTAAATTTTTTTGTTAAGATTTTTTGTGTAATCCTTGCCTTTCCGTTCCCTTAGTATTCTAATTTCAGAGAGAAAGTGGAGCGTTACGAACAGATTCTGAAACGAGGATTGGGCGCCGAATTGGACGAAGAGCAGTTGAGAATAGAACTTCTTAACAATGGCTTATACTCGTGGCAAAGAATCGGCATCGTCTTGGCCGAAGTTTGCACAAAAGGGACCTCAGATTGCATGATTAGGGCCAATAAATTATTCAAAATGAGGCTCAAGAGTAATGTGGAGAATGTCCTGAATCCCGTAAGTGCTCAACTAGGCCGCTTATAAATGTTTTCGTATTAAATTACAGTATCTGACTGAATGGCTGCCAGATTTCGAGGAGTCATTGGAGCAGAAAACCCGGATCCAGAACCTCATCTCATCCATTAAATTCCAACAAACCAATCTAAACTAATTTATTAATTAATTGTTGAGTTTAAATAAATGATGTGCCCTCCCCTCCTTGCCTCCCTCCCTGACATACCCAATTAGGTCTTCCAAAAAATGGGGGAATCGGTAATCTTGGTGACAGACCGAGAGATAAAGTAAGACCTCTCAGAATAAACCCTCTGTCGGCCGCCTCTCCCCCGACCTTGGCCCGAAGAAGTGGTGGGTTCTTTTTTTCTCGCCCTCCCCCCGCCCGGAGAGAACGAGCCGGGCCTCAGGGGCAGGGCCAGACGAGAGACGCACTCTCAATTCCCCTCTCGAGGAGATTTCGATTCTTTTTTATCCGCCCTTAACATTCGACCAACAGGTTTCTTATCTTTGGTTTCGGGGTCTGAACTGCTCTCCTCGTGTCCCCCGATTAGTGCGATTCCCTCGGAAGCGCGGTTCCTCCGTTTCCGGCGGCCTTAAGTCGGTTCTTTAAGCGGTTTCTGCCCTCAGGCCATGGCGGCTCGCAAGTTCCAGAGGCGCGGCAGCGGCGACTCCAACTTCAGCCATCATGATCATGAGTTTGATATGGAACAACGGAATCGGGAGACCATCAAGAGCAATGCGGAAAGACAGGCCACGCAGGAGTTGGAGAATGCCAAAGTCAGTTTAGATTACTCTGCAATTATCATCATAGTTTATTAATTTCCAATAATATATTAATTTGCAGTATAATCCGGTGCTATTCGCGGTATGTACAAACTTGGAGTTCGACGGGTCGATTGATGACGACTCTCCAGTTCACGGCTGCGCCGTCTCATTCAAACCAAAAGATTATCTTCACATAAAACAAGTAAGATCTTACCTTTATGTTCTGTATTTAGATGCAGAGGGATTACAATAATTTTATAGAAATACAACAACGACTGGTGGGTGGGCCGACCGGTCAAAGAGAATCATGAGCTCGGATTCATCCCTTCCCCAGTCAAACTCGAGAGTATACGACAACAAAACTCGAAAGGAAAATTGTAAGAACAATTACTGATCATCTTTTACAAACCTTAAAAAAATCATTTCAATTATTTTAGTAAACAATCGACAAGTGCAACAAATCTGGGAGCTCTGGATAATATGATAAACAAGGGAGCCGGGGGATCTCGAGGATCCACTCCACCGACTCCAGGCAATGAATTGGATGACGATGACGGTCATCGGAAGATCCAAAGTATGGTAACAACACCTCCAGTACAGAAGGAAAAGAAGAAACTCATGTTCAAAAAGGTTGGTCTTTATCTATTACTTCGACCAAAGTTAGGAGCGCTGAATTACTCTAACTATTTTAGCAAGAAAACCTCCCCCCATATGATGTTGTGCCAACGATGAGACCAGTGGTGTTAGTAGGCCCCTCCTTAAAAGGATACGAAGTGACGGATATGATGCAGAAAGCGGTCTTCGATTATCTGAAGCATCGTTTCGAGGGACGGATCATCATCACTCGAGTCACCGCGGACATTTCACTTGCCAAACGCTCTCTTCTCAACAATCCATCGAAACGTGCCATAATGGAACGAGCCAATTCACGGTCGTCAAATTCCTTGGGTAATTTTTTAGTACTTTTTTCATATTTTGCGCGGACAATATAAAAGTATTATGTAAGCGGACTCTTATTATTATTATTCTAGCCGAGATCCAAGCAGAAATTGAACGAATCTTCGAATTGGCCCGGTCAATGCAACTGGTTGTTCTGGACTGTGACACGATCAACCACCCCTCCCAGCTAGCCAAAACCTCCCTCGCCCCCATCCATGTGTATATCAAAATCAGCTCACCTAAGGTTTTACAACGATTGATAAAGAGTCGCGGGAAGAGTCAGAGTCGGAGTATGAGTGTCCAGATGGTCGCTGCCGAGAAATTAGCTCAATGCCCTCAGGTAATAATAATCCCAACGAAGAGGCACAAATCACCGTATTTTAGGAAATGTTTGACGTGATATTAGACGAGAATCAGTTGGAAGACGCCTGTGAGCATCTCGCGGATTATCTGGAAGGATATTGGAGGGCGACACACCCTCCAGTGAGGAGTCCTCCAAGAATTAAGAGGGGCCCCATGGCTAACAGAGGTCCCTCTACTCTGTATACACCCGCCCAGATGATGATGGGAGTTCCTGTAAGTTAATCACAGGGTCATAGTCAGTGCAATATAACCGAATTATAATGTAAATTAAGGACTCGCGATATCCCGGTACCAATATGGCGACTCCCTCCAGTTTCCCTCCTCAAATGCCAGCGCCTCAGGGCAGCCAAGCTCGTCTGCCGACTATTGCTGTAGACCAGGTATGTGTTCTACATTGTCCTGTCATTGTGGAACATCTTTAAACGATGACTTTCCAGCCAAATTCATCGATGAACGGCCAAAGAGACATGCCTTACCCGGTCGCGCCTCCCACCACCCAACGCACTCTCCCTCCTCAGCCTGGGGAAATGAATGATTACGATGCCTACGATGAGGAGGATATACATGCCCCGCGGGCATTCTCCCCGAATCAGCATCAATATCGATACTAGGGATATGTTACTCTTCAGCCTCACTCTTTTTTAAAGTCGAGGGCTGCCGGCTGAATGGGAGTTGCAAATAGGCTAGCTAGAACACAACACCCTTAGGCTAAATATTCAGGGCCATTCCTATTGTATTGTATATAAGATTCGATGGTTTTCGGTGGGTCGGAAGGTCAGATCTGTCGGCCGTCTTCTGGTTTTCTCCTTTGTTGATCTTCTTCTGTCCTTCATTGGCCCCACTTTCCTTGCTATCTCCATTTCCCCCCGATTCTCACTTGATTGTAGACATTTTAAGAGTGCCTGCCTCATATAAAATATGTTTATTTAACTCAATAAAAGCAGCCTTATGACCTAACCGACCATTCTGACGAGGGCTAAACACCCATCCTATTAACCGTTCAAGAACGCATAACCCTCGACCACTCAACTGTAGGTAAAGCTATATTCGGGGTAAAATTACCGGATTCCTCAAAATTAAAGGTTTATTCCGTGGGTTAAAACTGGCATTGTGAATATAAAATACATACAACAGAGAAGAGGAGATATTCTTGAAGTAAAAGTTAAATACAAAATATAGATGTCTGATAATAAAACAAAACGATTATTGATTACGGCGGCCCTGTCTGGCGAGTGAATCAGCCATCTTATTTGATGCATTTTCACCGTGCCCACGAACGTGAGACACCTCGGTCTTGATAGTTCTCATGTTTTTCTCCATCCTCTTCAACAAATCTTGGTCGGCCACTGGCCGACCAGTCGAAGTACGGAATCCGTTTTCCTTCCACTTCGGAAGCCACTCGTTGACTGAGCGAGAAGCGACTTGGGAATCTGTACTAATTTTGATCTTGAAACACAACGCATTACATAAATTAAAGAAAAATTACATCGAAAAATAACTCGCAAGCACAAAAAACTATCCCTCCCACTTACACTGTCGTATCCCGCCGAACGGGCACGGTTTTGAGCCTCGATGATGGCATGGTATTCGGCCCGATTGTTCGTCTGGACCGGCCCCGGCAAGGGGCCTTTAACATCTCTCATTTCTCCTCCGGGAAAGTGTATTCCGAAACCTCCCTGAAAACGGAAGAAATGTAAAATTTATAACAAACTAAAACAATATCCAAATTTCGTAATGCATCGGCCAAAAATAACGTAAAACTTACCCGAGCGTTAGGATTTCCATTATTGGAAACGGCTCCATCAGTAAAGCATTCAATGTGAGATCGTCCTTGGCGATGACTCATATTGATCAGCACGGGTATCGTCGAGTTTGGGGGAACAAATTTAGGTAAATCCCCACACAAAAAAATTTGGATTATAAGGCCTAACTCGGTAAAGCCGGGGAAATGTAACCAGAATGCTGGCAGAGCCGAGTAAAAACAGCAGCGCCATCGGCAACTGAATTCAGGAATTCGAAACGAAACCCGAAAAATATGTCAGCGCGACGGCGGAAAATTCAAAATTTCAGAAAAGCAAAAAAATAATGCAAAATAAGTATTACTATATAAGTCTGTCGGGAAATACATGTTAGGGTGGAAAGGCATATTAATTTTTCAGTCGTTACATCTTTTCTTATACAGTAATGTAGAAAAATCAATATGATTTTTAACAAGGAAAGTACTTTTATGGGGGCTCCTACTTTTTGACGGGACATATCTCAAAAAATCAGAAAAAATGTGCTGATCAAGGATATATAAATCTTAGCTGCCCATTTTAGGTTTTTAGGGGTGAAAACTCAATCGGAAGTTGACTTAAAGTCCTATATGAACCCCTTTTCGCTTAATTTTTTACAGGTTTACAATTTTTATTTTGGCTTAAAATGATGTTTATTGAGTTTCTAAGACGTAATAAATCAGTCTTGGCCCAAAAATTTATTTTTCCGACCTTCAACTTCAAAAAAAGTTGATTCAGCCCAAAAGGGAAATCGAACCAGTGCGGCGTTCCCCCTCATAATTCCCATACTACGGCACTAACCACTCGGCCACACCGCTCTCTTCCGAAGGAAGAGACCGGCTGCGCTTTTTATCGTTTCAAATGCATGCGCCTTTTGTAGGGAAATTGAGCCAGTTTTTGGGCATTTTCACCCCTAAAAGCCCAAAATGGGCAGCTAAGATTTATATATCCTTGATCCACACATTTTTTCTGATTTTTTGAGATATGTCCCGTCAAAAAGTAGGAGCCCCCATAAAAGTATTTTCCTTGTAAAATCAGCACCTTCGAGAACACCTAAATCGAGCACTTGTGAAAAAAATCGAAAAATTACTACTTTTCAGTACTAGTTAAAATAGTAGTGATTAGAAAAAATCCATAATACTTTTGATATCAAGGCCAATCCGACACTTACATGCAAGAGCAATAATATTTTTCAGTTTCCCCAGGTGTCATTTTCCCAATTGTCGCTCCCCGCTTTCAGATGGTTTCACTAGTCAAAAATCGCCTTATTGTCATCTTTTACAATTTTCTTTTCGTATTTTTTCAAAACATTCATACTAGGACCTGGTGAATTAAATTGCCGTCCAGTAATTATAATCGCTCAGGACACTGGCATGATACCATGCATTATAATTATAGGGTAATGACATCACAACCTCTCATCACCATCAAATTTATGATTGTTTCAAAAAAGACGAAAAACTCAAAAAGATTGCGTAAATGTGGTGCAGAAGAACAATTAACCCTTTCCGGACGAGTCGGCACCTCCATGCAGAAATGAAAGAGGGTACCCTACTGAGTAACGGCATAATAGTGGTTCAGCCCATCGAAGCGTTATTTGGGACTTATGACAAAAAATGTCCTAAAAAGTACCCCCAGTTGACATAACCCTTATAAAATTTTGCTAACGACCTGTAAATTAGAAACTACCCCTAAGTTAAAGTCTAACACTCCTACTACTGTTACATCCAAGAACTGTCCAAATCGGATCACTACAGGATTAGTTATCGACTTTCGGAAATTGAATTTTAAATTTCGACCAATTTTTGGCCCAAAATTGAGTATATCTTCCGCCGGAATCAACCATTTCGGTCCAAATGTGGTTTTTCTGAATCTACATTGACGCTAGCTTCTTCCTAGAATGTTTCCAGAAAAAACCTATAGAGCACATTCCTGTAAAAAGCGAAAAAGTTGAAAACGTAAAGGTTTCACCGTATAAAATGTCGCCGCAAGCCGAGAAGGGTCGGGCGCAGCTCGAAAGGCAAAAATAATATATATTTTTTGAGAAATACTATTTTAGTGTGAAACTAAAGCAAAATCCAATGAAATTGCCTGAAAACGCATTAAAAATATTAAAATGACATTGAGTTAATGTTTGCGTGCTCTGTCTGTCTGTATTTCATCTGAATTCAGCTTGTCGACACTAAAATAATATTTTTTCTTCGAAAAATATTATTTTCGCCTTTCGAGCTGCGCCCGACCCTTCTCGGCTTGCGGCGACATTTTATACGGTGAAACCTTTACGTTTTCAACATCTTCGCTTTTTACAGAAACGTGCTCTATAGGTTTTTTCTGGAAACATTCTAGGAAGAAGCTAGAGTCAATGTAGATTCAGAAAAACCACATTTGGATCGAAATGGTTGATTCCGGCGGAAGATATACTCAATTTTGGGCCAAAAATTGGTCGAAATTTAAAATTCAATTTCCGAAAGAATAATATATAAAATAATTAATAATTATTTTATATATTAATAACTAATCCTGTAGTGATCCGATTTGGACAGTTCTTGGATGTAACAGTAGTAGGAGTGTTAGACTTTAACTTAGGGGTAGTTTCTAATTTACAGGTCGTTAGCAAAATTTTATAAGGGTTATGTCAACTGGGGGTACTTTTTAGGACATTTTTTGTCACAAGTCCCAAATAACGCTTCGATGGGCTGAACCACTATTATGCCGTTACTCAGTAGGGTACCCTCTTTCATTTCTGCATGGAGGTGCCGACTCGTCCGGAAAGGGTTAAAAAAAAGTAAAGATAATACCTTTAGTTTATGTCATAATATGAGAAATGTTGCAAAATTGTTTGACTACCTAGCCAATGAGTTTAAATGACAGCCAAAATTTTTCAATGCTTGCCAAAAACCTGGATCGGCCAGCCAAAGTGTCAAAATAACTGTGAAGCTTCAAAAAAGCTATTCAAAAGGTTGGAATTGGTGTCAAAGAGTAGGCGTAACACAAAAAACAATTTAGATGGCTAATCAAAAATCTGGATGGGTTAGCTAACAACCTGGATTGGCTAACCAAAAGGTTTGATTGGATAGCCCAACTGTTAGAATGCCTTGACAGATTATAGTAATGGTAGAAAATATGTACAGCCTTCCTTCCTGGCCGTCCCAAAACGCGATCCTAGATGTTTATTATTCTCCACATTCAAAAGCACCGTGAATCCCTTTATTTATGAAGTAGGATGCAGGATAATTCAAAAGATCATCTTGAGGGGAGCGAATGTCCATTAAAACATAGAAACGCGTTTTATGAGTACTAATAACATCATGTTACATAACAGGTCTATAATTTCAACTGGAATAACCGCATGGTAGTTGTCAAAGTTAGTACTAGAAAAGTTATCTATAGGTCTTTGGGAAACAATTTTTAAATATGCATAGGGCATAATCTAATTTTACGGGCAATTTGAGTGTTTTGTCCTGAGGGTCTCGGAAGAAACCATTCTTATTTGCGGATATGGATGTATCCTTTATATCATTGCTCTCTTTAATGGTTGCACAAGTTTGTTTATCAGGTACATTCACTAGTTGATTGATCAATATATGGCTCGGGAGTTCTAAATCTCTCCGCAAGAGTCCATCCGAACCCTGCAAATTTAGTACAAAGTTAAAAGTTGCGCAATCTGAGATAACATTGCGCAACTTCTCTCTTTGTAGGAATTTCTGCCTTTCTCTGTCGCCTCCTCCTTTTTTGTCAACTTTTAACTTTGGACTAACAAGGGAAGTACCCCAAGTGCGACGCTCAGATTTTCTTTACAAGGAAAGTACTTTTATGGGGGCTCCTACTTTTTGACGGGACATACCTCAAACAATCAGAAAAAATGTGCTGATTAAGGATATATAAATCTTAGCTGCCCATTTTGGGCTTTTAGGGGTGAAAATGCCCAAAAACTGGCTCAATTTCCCTACAAAAGGCGCATGCATTCGAAACGATAAAAAGCGCAGTCGGTCTCTTCCTTCGGAAGAGAGCGGTGTGGCCGAGTGGTTAGTGCCGTAGTCTGGGATTCAAGAGGGGGAACGCCGCACGGGTTCGACTTCCCTTTTGGGCCGAATCAACTTTTTTTGAAGTGAAGGTTGGAAAAATAAATTTTTGTGCCAAGACTGATTTATTACGTATTAGAATCTCAATAAACATCATTTTAAGCCAAAATAAAATTTATAAACCCGTGCAAAATTAAGCGAAAAGGGGTTCATATAGGACTTTAAGTCAACTTTCAATTGAGTTTTCACCCCTAAAAACCTAAAATGGGCAGCTAAGATTTATGTATCCTTGATCAGCACATTTTTTCTGATTTTTTGAGATATGTCCCGTCAAAAAGTAGGAGCCCCCATAAAAGTACTTTCCTTGTTAAATTTTGCACACACGTCGGGAATCGCAAATATCTTAGACAAAAATATTCTAAATTTATACCAAGTTTCATCAAAATCTGAGCGTCGCACTTGGGGTACTTCCCCTGTAAATTTGGAGGCTTCGGATGGACTTGCGGAGAGATTTAGAAGTCCCGAGTCATATATGAAGTGTTTCAAATAATAACATTACTTTAGAAAGACATCTGAGTGAATCAAATCGCCTTTTCGAAGACTTGTTTCGGACTTATCAGAAGTTGGTTCGACCAGTCGTTAAGCCCAACGAATCTGTTGAGATCGAATTCCAATTCAAATTACTCCAGATCCTTGACGTCCATGAAAAAGAGCAGATTCTGAGCACTTCCGGAATCTTAAATCATGTTTGGACGGATCACAGACTCCGATGGAGCCCTGAGGAATACGGTAATGTGAGCATGTTACATGTCCCGGGGGAGAGATTGTGGCTTCCAGATATTATCCTTTACAATAATGCGGACGGAACCCCAACTCCCAGGAAGATTACAAAGGTAATTTCTTTAGCAATTGATTCGACTTTGAGGCGGATCTTTATTCTAATGGGAGCATTCGTTGGACCCCTCCGGCCATTTACAATTCCCTTTGTTTAATCGACACCCAATGGTTTCCTTATGATGAACAACTTTGCACTCTCAAATTTGGATCTTGGACTTATTCTGGAGATGAGTTAGACCTCCGACAGCCGGATTCGGATGATCTGGAGAATATTACCTTACCAGATGGGAGTTGTGAGATCAGAGTTGAGGTTGGAGTGGACATCACAGAGTATCAGGAGTCCGTGGAATTCGATCTACTCTCCGTTGTGGGAAGTCGGCACGAGCGATATTATCCATGTTGTGATTTCCCGTAAGAATTTTCAGTTTGATTATCGTTTTTAGAGCCATCGATATAACTTATGACCTGGCGATAAGAAGAAAAAAATTGTTTTACACTGTGAATCTGATGATTCCGTGCATTGGAATAGCAATGCTGGCCTCATTTGTGTTCTATCTTCCGAGTGAATCCCACAACAAAATTACTTTATGTATCTCGGTTCTGGTCGCTCTTACCGTATTCTTCTTACTGCTAGTGAGTACACCAAGTATCTTATGTTTGTTGTTGATTAGATCGAAATCATCCCTCCAACAAGCACAGCGACCCCTCTAATTGCCAAATATCTTCTGTTTACCATGATTATGGTCAGCTTGTCAGTTGCAGCGACCACTTTTGTGTTGAATATCCATCATCAGGGCATCAAGCCCATGCCAACTTTCATTAGAACTTTCGTAATCCAATTCCTGGGATCATCCATGTTGGTTTATAAGAAGCCGAGTGAATGTTTTGAAAAGAAAAAGAAGAGAATGCCTATAAATGACGCCCTCAGATATCTGGATGACCAATTTAAGAAGGTTGAGCAGGTTCAGTGCAAGATCGAAAAGGCCACCTTGTCTTATCCTACTGTAATATCTATCAATCAGTAAGTTAATCCAATTTGGACTTTATTTTTCAAGAAATCCTCTCCAAATTTGAAAATAGATCCGTAAATATTTTTTCCCCAAAATATTCAAAAATAGGCCCTAAAAATACCGTAATCTAATGCCAGGGAAGAAAGCTGTTTTTCTCGAAAGTACAGTTTTTTTGCGTCCTCGGATGTTATGAAAACAACATTTTAACTTGTAAGGCACGAAAACAACCCCCTTCAAATACGTTTTTCTCGTATCTACGTATCTGCACGCATAGAGTGCACAAAAAAAATAAAATGCCATGTTTTCGGTTCTTCTTTGCTGAAATACAGTAAGAAAAGCACGTGGGAAGAAGGTTGCGAGTGAATGGGAAGAACGTTAAAATGAGGGAAAATTTTTTGTTAGGGAAGTTTTATATTGTACTTGATATTATTCGTTAAGATTTGTAATTTGTACAAGATCTAGACACTTTCAGCACCCTTTCTAATGACAAAAATGAACCCGTTCGAAGGGAATTACGTCATAAAATACGAAAGATCAGCAAGAACATCAAATATATTCAAAAAGATATTCAAAGGGAGACCAATAATGAGGATGTAAGTGGAAGAATCGCTAAGTACGAGTGATTGTAGATGAGATCCGACTGGAAATTGGTGGCCATGTTGACTGATCGGGTCTTCTTACTCATCTTCTCGCTTGTCATTCTGGCCGGAACATTAGTGGTGACACTAACAGCACCTTCTTTGAGAGATACCCGGATCCCTGTCACCGTTTATTTCCCCGAAGTTATTACTTATGACGACGAATAAGTTGATTGATGAGTCTTTATTCTCTGTTTTACATTATGTACATGATCCCGTATATAATAATATACGTTATTGGCGAAGAACGGCATTAATTAACAACCACGGACTACTTTTAAGAAGTCCAAACAGAAAATGAAACAAAGTTACTAGTACTAGTACAGGTAGATGAGTATCATCCAGTTAAAGCCTCAGACGAAGGACTCCCGACTCGGCAGATTCATAGCCTGCTGACTCATTTTGATGGCTTCGGCCGAATTGAGGGTCTGATTGTTAAGGAGGTTACTCGTGATGGCTGAGGAGGCCGAGGTAATGGGTTGAGATACGACAGAGCCAGTCTCCAGGAATTGCCGATGAATTCTTTTGATCTGGCCAAGGGTTGGGGGTTCTACTCCGAATTCAGAACGGTATCTGGAATCAAATTGTTTTAGATTTTGGTTCGGAGGATAATAAACAAAAGAGGAAGCCTATAGTGATTATTAATTGATCCTTTAATCATTACTTTTCTTTCTATCTAATGCTAGTAAATACAGTATCCTTTCCTCACCTTCGAGCTACCATAGCCAAACTGTTGGTCTCTTCGAACCAGCAGACCATCTTCGCCTTTTCCAAAACACTCAGAACTCGATTACCGGACATGTTTCGCAGAGGGAACGGTCTCTGAAATGCCGACTTATACTACTTTATATAAAATCGGTTAATGATCAAAAGTGGGCGGAGACAACGCGAGATCTGGGTGGGTCAAACCGAAAGTTGTATTGACTCGCCATGTGAGGGGAGTGGAGTGGGTGCAATCAAGTGCACAACAACAGAGACTAAACAGACAAGGCTGATGGGTCGGCCCCAAAAAAAATACTTTTTAATTTTACTTTTTATTTTCCTGAGGTCACTCCGAAATCTCGTGTTCCGTTCTTCGTAAGAAATATCCAACAGTCCCAACATACCCTTAAATTACCATTTTTTCAAGGATTTCTTCATTCCGACTTAAGAAATTTTTTTTCTGAAATTGTAGCCAATGTTGCAAAATTCTTTGATCTGCTAGATGTTGAAGTAACAGCAAAATTTTTTAAATGACAAGCCAAATACCTAGATCGGCTTGCCAAATTGCCAATATAGCTTTGAAGTCTCGAAACAAGTTAGCCAATAATAACTGTTTATTAATAAAAGTAATCCCCAAATTAAAGCATTTCAAACTTACCTTAGAGGCTTAACAAGCCAATTCAGGCTTTTGGCTAGTCATTTAAAGAATTTGACTGGTCATTTCAACTCATTGGCTTGTTGGTCAAGCAATTTTGCAAGATTGGCTATACATACTGGGCCAATCTCCCCTCCCCAAATGAAGGGTAGTCGACACTAAATGTAATACAATCTTTTAAATTCTAAGCGTATATATATTTACAATTATTATTTTACAACTGTTTCCTTGAACTGACGGCTGTTTTATTTATGCCCTTATCAGTCTTCCGATGACCACGAGACAAATTCACAACAATCTTAAATTGTTTTTCTCGGGCTTTGCACATTTTAAAAAGTTCGGGCTGGATCCGCGGTCTTGTCAATGATTAATGACCCTTAAATAGAAGGCGTCACATGCAGGAATCTGATTCCCGAAGGGTCTTTATTGTAAAGTAGTTGTTACAATGCGCTTATCTTCAAACTCAATACTTGGAAAACAAAAAAATATTTAATTTTGACCAAAAGATTTTTTTTAAATCCGCATTGTGGCTAAAAATGCGGTCTCTTCCGTTCGAAAGCCCATTCTATCAAATATTTTTATGAGCATAGAATAGCATCAACGTTCCAGCATTATCAAAGGAACAACAAAGGCAAATGAATCCATTGTTTGTCACTTCCGAGTGCCGTCTTTTGCAGAGAAAGGTCAATGATTATTCATATTAATCCTTCCCTCCAAAAAAATTAAAAAAAGGCCTTGCAAATTGGTGAAAAACATGGCGGACATCACAAAAACATACAAATATATCTTGTTTACATGCTCCGACCTTCGCTCCTTTTAAATACTGAGGAGAAAAAGAGGCGGAGCCAGTCTCTCAAAGGGCCGCTGCTCTCTAAGGGCGAGCAGAAACCCATTCCACGTGCGTTTGGAGAGAAAGAAAACGTGCAGAATTCGAGAGAAACGGGAGGAAACATACGACGACAACAGACATTCAGAGGAATACGACTAAAAGTTGGGGAAAATGACATTATTCAAGGTGAGAAGGGTAACAAAAGTTAGTAAACGTTGCATAAAAGGGAATGGGATTGATGGAAAGTCATGGAACAAATAAAACATCTTGCCCGTAATTTGCTGTCGATATTTAGCTTAGGCTCCACATAAATTTCGAGTGAAGCTACGGTATAAAAAAGTAAAAAAAAGACGAAAATGAAAAATAAAATAAAATGATAAAGAAGAGATCACCGGAACCTTCCAGAGCTCAATTGCGCGAAAGAGAAGGCGGAACAGGGGTTATGTGTAATATAAAATAGGGCTTTATGAATAAAAGAAATGCATAGTTAAGCTGTTTTGAGCAAAAGAATATCCTTGGATTACACTGTATAGATTTTTTACTAGGGTTGTTAATCCAAAAATTTACCACAAAAAGGTTCAATTTGACATGACGAAAATGACGGCAATTTGCCGACGTGACTGACGCGTCAATTTGACGGCTTAACAACCCTAAATTTTTACAGTACTGTGAATGTTCAATGATCGATACAAAAAAAGCGAAAACGAGAGAACATTGGAAAGCTTATAGATTGTAAAAAAGAATCTGATATCGTTCATTGATGACGTTCTCTTTTTTTTCAAGACATTTTTGAACACTCAAAAGTTTTGTAACGAAAATAAAAAATATTTGAAATGGGTTAAATTGGTTTTGCCTTGGGGGCATTTCAGAAAAAAAGGAAGGGGAAAACATGACGGGGATTGGGGCGGCTGCAAAAGGTTGGCATGTCAGCTGAATCCTTTGGCCAGCTATATTCGAGTCTGCTCAGCCATGCTAAAACCTTGGTTAGTGAATCCAATTTTTTGGCTAGCCGGACGGAAGAAACTTTCCTTCCATGCCAACTCATCGGCTAGCTAGTCTTGGCCATGGACAATCTATCAATATCCGATCTACCCCCAAATGGAGACTCGCCAATCCAATCCAACAGCTGTAAATTACTGGTTACAACTATGTATAAAAGTGCCTCCGATTTTTAGATTCCTTTGTTGACAAGGATTGAACGTTCAAAGGGCTCGGCTAAGTCCATAAGTTCGTTTAGTTTACTGTAATCTTTTATTGACTTTTGTTCTTTTTTACTATATAAAAATGCGCTCTCCAATGACTTTTGATGGTAAAAAATTCCACTTTTTGACCATCAAAATCATCAAAACATTTTTTAAAAGTGGAATTAGCAACCTTTTTCTGTAGAATACTGATAGGAGAACTTTGTAAACGTTTTTCCACATCTCTTAACAGCCGCTGTAAACCTTTAAGACACCTTTTATTTGAAGATTTTGTCATGGTTAACTTGATTCTACGTGCATTTCTGTCTCTATTCCATTTGTGTCTGTAGAAATTCTAGCTGTAATCGATTTAATTACATTCAGAATAAAGAATTTTTTTTAAAAGTTTTGATCGAAAAGACCTGACCTGCCCTTCACATGATTTGCAAAGAGTAAAGGTCAGCTGTAATAAAGTGTAATGTCTCCTCATCGATAACATTTTCTCTGGAGTCCAGATGATGGTCAGACACATGTTGTTGCATTGCATCATCAGGTACTTCTTGTTTTATGATCACGATTGCATCATCTTATGTTTACTTGCGGCTTCAATTTAAATAAAACAAATCTCTTTCCGATATTTATTTCCAATCCATATAATTACTTGAGCACTCCCAGATTCTCCAGCCAGTGCTCGCTTTTAAAATTCTCTTCGTCCAAGAAATTACTGTAATATAATTGGAATCTGGAGACGTCAGAATCACAATTCATCGCTTTCTTGCAGCAACAAACGAGCTTGGAACTTCTGAGAAGATCCCCTTCTGTGTACTTGGGCCATAAAAATACCGACCCGTCCAAGGATTCGATCCCATTGTTCACCAAAAGACACATATCTTTGAAGGGTTCGGCCTTTCCGTTCATATAAATCTGGCAGATAGAGGCAGCATGGATGTGCTGATGGTACTGATCGTCGGATAAAATGGTCAGATCAGTTGCGCTGGTCGAACACCCACTGGTTCTTCGGTTCTGAAGTCATTTGGATTATTGAATAGATAACATGTAAATTTATATTACAATTCTCAAAACAAAATTTAAAATTGTTCAGCTTAGAACTCACTTTATCAAGGGTGAACAAATACTCGACGAAGCATCCTTTCTCCCGGGCACATTCATCGTTGGAATTCTTTTCATCTGCGTTCACATTGCACGATCCCGGCTTTTTCACGACCTCTTCAATACGGGCTGTATCCTTGGCCAAAGCTATAATACACATATTGTAATCAAAACAGTAGAATTAGATTATAATCAGTAGTAGTGTATTACCATCCCATTACCACTTACACAAATCATCGACAAACACCCCAAATAGACTCCTAATCATCTTTTTATAGTCCTCGAAAGATCTCTGATTCTTTATAAAAGGCAAACAACATAAGGTTCCAGTGCCCAGATTCCCATGACAGAAATCTCCTTCGGTCATGGAAGGGCATTTCAAGTCGGAAACGTCCTCAATACTTGCCTAAAACATCTGTGCGTGCAAAGAGGTATGAATTCAGAAATCTCAAAAAAAAAAACGGATAACCAGAGTCCAAAAAAACGTACATTTTTGACCACAAATCCATTAATAGCTCCATCGCCGATTGTGTCCGGCGACAAATACTGAAGTAAACAGTAGCCGGTGTATTCTAAAAGCATAAAGTATTTTCCAACCCATGACCCTACTTGACATGACGAGTTCCAATTTATCAACGAGACGATTCAGATCGTCTGCCACAGCTCCAGTCCTAGGGAAATAGTTGCTATATCCATCCAAGCTCCCACTTAGATATGCGCATTGGGGAATATAGTCCGTTAATCCATTCACAATACTGGTCGACCCGATCGAAATCACTTCGTCGCACTTTTTCCAACCACCTAAACAGTAAACCCATGTACCTTCAGCTTGTTCCTTACAGATGAAATGCAGAAAGAGTCGTTTATTTTTCACTCCCACTTCGTTTTTGTTGTACACGGCATCATTTACCGAGCATTTATCGGCAACTCCTTTGAACACGGATCCACTGAGGAGGCTTAATGTTACATTCTTATCTTTCAAGGCTTCTGACAGATGTTTGATTTGGAAACGGGCGATCACATTCACTGTGTAGAAGTTGTTATTCTCGGACAGGCCCACTGGCCTCTCTTTAACCAGATCGTAGTAAACATTGCAGGAATCCAGATGAAATTCGCTGTCGTAGAAGGTTTTATGGGCACATTCCACCTTCTGGAACACAGTAATTATACTTGTAATCATCTTGAAACAGAATGCCAATTCGGCGAGGAGCCTAATCTTTGTATAATTTCTACAGTAACCCAATTATTATTATATTCTACTTGCCACATCATTTCCAAAGTATCTGTTGAGAGTGTGATAATGTTGTTTAGCTCTTTTGATGCACTCTTCTGGGTCCACGCAAGTACAATTTGCCCCCATCCGACGACCGCCTGTGTTGGTGCTGATTGTGATTAAGGCCCCAGGGCATTTAAAATCATCCAAGAAACAGGCGACCTGGCTCTTGTTGAGTGATTCCCTCAGAGATTCCGCATTCTCCCCAGTCAAGTTGACACTGAACAAGGTTATGTTGAACCGTGGATGTTGGCCACTAAAATATTCAAGGCTAATATTATCCTATTCATTTTACTCACTTTGGTTGGGATGCTTCGTAAGACAGACCACAATATTGGCCGACCGAATTCTGGGCGAAATCTGCGTATTGATAAGAGTTGATTCGAGGCGCAACCCCGAGAGAAGAGTAGTGTCCGGCCGGGCATCTAACCAGACCCAGCATTTGATCTTTCAAGGGATCCACCAGATTACAAAACTTTTCGTAACAACAACAGACACTCGCAAATTGGAATATATTGTAAGAGGAGTAGCAAACACTCCCCGAAGTGCCGTTCTCGGTGTGGCGACAGGAAAGAAATTTATCTATGTGAAGTTTTCCTTGATAATCAACGGTGGCGAAGCTAAAAGATAAAACGAATTGAATTGTTCTTACGTCTGATTGGTCAGGACCCATCTCAAAAGCAAATCTTCTTTTGTGAATTGAATCCGATTCCAGGTCAGAGGTCCGGAATAATATTCAAGGCGATCCGAAGAGGCTCCGAGATTCATTATGGACATGCAAGTGGTCGAATTGTAAATATTTCTCTAAACCCTCGTCAATTGCGGTGATTTTCTTACTGTAGGATAGCCATATTTGTCCACGCATCCTTTCGTCTCCTCTTGAAAAGAATATATTGAGTAAGGACCAGTTTTTTGGACGAATTCTATCAATTGATCGGGTGTGTGGGCCTTCTCCCCAAGGATAATATCTTGGAATCGACCCAATTCGGGGATAAAAGCATATGAAAATCGAGGGAAATGGGGAGAATCCGAGAAGATCAAAGAAGTGTATTCATTGTGTTCCAGGGATGTGTAGTGCTTCTGGATCAAAGTCTCCACTGATCCATTCCCCCATTTAGCCAGAATATCCTCACCGGGCACAAAAACATCTGAAACAAGATGAATATTTGATAACTCTGCTCACAATAGAATTTATCATCGTCGTCAACGTCATCCGTCGAGAGATCTGAGACGAACAGCATTGTACATTCAACTGAAAAGATTATTAAAAAATCAACATAAACTTCTTACTCGTCTCACACCATGGAAATGACAGACTGGGTGACGTTTGCGCCCTCGAGTAGGAGAGGGCGACCAGGATTACAAAACCGGGTTGCAACCACCACATCTTTGGAACACATGTTTGAAGATTTGGGACTTTTGTTTTCACAATCGAAAAATTTGCATATTAGTTTCTGTAGGCTGAATTTACATTGAATCAAAATTTGGAATTTCCCACGAAATAAGAAAATGCACGAAATTTGCGGCAACCCAAAAGGACAGCCAGAGGTTGCTCTATGTTACTGATATTAGTTGTTAAATAAGTTCTTCGATTTTTTGCCATTCAATTCTTATAATAATTATAATACAATTTTTATATACATAACAGAAACAAGTAATATGTAAATAAATTCAAGCGAATGCATCCAATTTGATATCCCGGATCTCGGCAGGTCTGTACAGTTTATCTATATCCATCAGCTGACTAATCCAAACTTTTTGTGGCCCGATCTTTCGTTTCTTGTCCAAATCGAATTTCCCGGAGATACTCACATCCAACGAGAAGTGCTCGTCCATCTAAAATATGGAATTCCAATTTTTTCATGCTCCGTTTTTGGGGTGATTCACCCTTCAGAAACCAAAATATCATTGTATCAGACATGCCCGATACAAGTGCACAAAGGTAGAATAGTATCCCAGGCGTCGTAGAGCAGTACCACTGATTATATTATAGTACCCCACGTAGGAGTTTTGACAAGGCAGGTCTGTGGTGTCATTAACCTGGGACACAAAACTACTTGACCGGGGGGAGGGTACTAGTGTAATAAGGCTGGGTACTAGTACACAGTCTGAAGGAATTTTTTGACGTTCACTGTTCGAGTGGTTGGCCATTATAATATATTTAGGTTGGGTGCTATTTTTTTTGAGCCCCGTAACTTAAAATTTCTTGCTTACCTTGTCAAAGTCATCGCTGAATGCCGCCAACCCCAAGAAATCGTCGATATCAAAGGGTTTCCGTGTAAATCTGTTCTTGGGGATCTGATGGCGTCGTTTTCTCGACTAAATATTTGCTTATATTATTCAAATAATATTACTTTTTTGGCTTTCACAATTTTATTTCCATTCTCGTCCTCTCCAGCCAGGTTAATCAGTTCTCGAGTCTTTCTCCTCGAATTCGGAATTGATTTTCGTCGTTCTTTTGTGGGAATTACAATTACATTATCGTTCTTGTTCTCCAGCAAGATCTGAAAATAAAATTTCTTAAAAGAATAAAATTTTGGTTTTTAAGTTGTCAACTTGATGCGTCAGTCACTTTGTCAAATTGCCGTCATTTTCGTCATGCCGAATTGTTTTGTCATTTAGATTGTCGAATTGAACTTTTTCGGTAAATTTTTGATAAAAAATCGCATGAATTAAAAATTTTTAGGAGTTGCTTTCTTTAATTGCTCTTGCTCTTTCTAAATTTCTCAAAACGACCGATGAAATAAGCAGTAAAATAAATAGGCTGCTTCATCACAGTCTATGTTAAAGTCGCGTTTGAAAGCTTTGTATATCATAATTTTCAATTCAACCAAAATAACGAAATTGCCGGCAATTTGGCGTCATTTTGAAAAATTCTGTCAAATTAACAACCCTAAATAAAACACAACCTCCTTTAACTCTCTCCTATTTTTACTTACATTTGTTTTGTAAGCCTTAAGATTGGAGTCAAAATAGTGGAAAATAACTGAATTTGGACGAGAAAGGTCAACTCTTGCTTTACCCATGGCTAAATTTAAATGAATTTAACTGAACAACGCCTCAAAATCCAGGAAATCCGAGGAATTTGGTGTTCGGAAACTGTTAAACAAACAAGAAGAAGTAAACAAGAAGGTTAAACATGTAGTACTTACTTTTTTCTGGGCCACCGAGAGCTCTGATCTCTTATCAGTCATGGGTTCTGCGGGAGTGGGAGCTAAAACGAGATCAGATTACTGTGGAATACACCAATCATGCTTACGAATGGGTTTGTCGCCTTCATCCGTCTTTGGTTTCCTGACCCTCTTCGTGAATTTCCTGGGCTCCGGCTCAATGACGACTTCTTTTTCTCCCGAAATAACCTGAAATACGCAATTTAGGGCCTTCTTTTGCGACACAATTATAATATTTGATCTCGTCTTTGTAATAACTCCCGTTTCCCCCATTTCTTACCGTTTTCGTAATTTCCGACTTGTCGGTTCCAGTTTTAAACTGTTGGATCCATTTTTTCTTCTGATCTTCGGCTGATTTAAAGGATTCGGAAGCCTTTTCGATGACTTCTTTGTGTTTCTCCTCCTTCAGTTTGAGGTTGAGGTCGTGTTGACGGGTGTTGATGCCTTGACTCAGGTCCTTGAACTCTCCGCGGAGCTTCGTTTCTTTGTTTTTCATCTGTTCTCGGAGCTCGGCCATCTGAAATTATTCAAATTTAACAATTTTGATACGTTTTTAACCCAAGTATAATATAGGCCCGTTTCTAAACCCATTGCCAAACCTCAAATCATATCTGAAATCCCTTTTTTATCGGCCATAGTGATATAAAGTTCATTTTAATGGTTATGAGACCATTATTACTACTTTTTAGAAAAGTTTTGACTACTTTTTAACCCACCTGTCTGTCGAATTCGTCGTTGATGACTGGCTTGATAACCTTGTAGGTCTTCTTGGGTCTGATCTCTTCCCTCATTTCCAGCCGACTACTTCTTTTATAAGTAATCTTTTCCTCCTTTGGTGGTGTTATTTCCTTGAACCTGTCTCTAATCGAGCTTATCTTATTCGAGGACCTGTTCAGTCTTTCCAGATCCTAAAATACGATTAATAAATCATTGTAATCTGACCTTCTTCTCCTTCTCTACCCTCTGTTGTTCTTCCGGCGTCATATTTTCGGGCGCTTTTCTGATCGAACTTTTATCCGGTAACTAAAGTAATACGAAATTACCGACATGATGGTATGTACTTACTTGAACTTCGCTCTGCTTCTTAACTTCCCTTCGTTCAAGCCTACAATAGAATTAAATCTTAAAAGTAAAGTAATCTCTTACTCGATAACACTTGGCTCTTTTTCTTCAACCGGCAATGGAATAACGAAAGTTGCGTCGACTTCTTCCTAAAATAGGAATCAGAAACAAGGTCCCCCGTTACCTCATCACTTATTTGCTCACTTTCCTCTTCACTGCACTCTTCTTCTGTCCAAATTTCTTCGTCTTCATACTGTAAATTGAAGAAAAATTAATGTAATCATGCTACAGTAAACTTCAACTTACCGTATAATCAGATTCACCACTGCATTCCTCGGAATCAGCCATGGCTGCCCGGTCGACCAGTGTGAGAACACATCCCACGTCCACATTCCCATCATATTCTCCATCACTGGACAATGAATAAGGTTCCGGAGTGAGATAGACGCCCAGACTGGACGGGTTTTCCATTCGGCTGGCTGCCGAGGCGTAGTAGTCTAAAAGAGCCCTGTATATCTGATTAGTCCTGTTATTAAGAGCCTTCCCATTGTTAGATATTCAGGAAATTTTATGAAAAAGTTCAAAAGAATATCTAAGTTACAGTAACCTAATATTAAAGTAATCGTATTTTACAATACCCTTACCCTCATCAGAAACTTCAGATCCGTCCTTTTCCCAATTCATGCCATCACAAGTCACAGACGCCGTGAAGATTGGAGGGGGCGGCAGAGTCGACATTCTCCTTCGGGGCTCTTTCTTTTCCACCGGAGGCAACGTAATGTCAAAGTCCTCGGGCGAAGTCGATCGAAGACTCCGAGTGTCCTTGGGATGCAGGGAATTGGGATCTGGAACAATATAATAACGACCAGATGGGTTTCGTATAAGAAAAGGCCAATCGCCCGGGTTTGGGGACATTAATCAAGCCGGATAAAGAGTTGTTTAGGGAGAGAAAGGACCACTATCAGCTCTCATTGACAAATTGGAGCAAAAAACTGACCCATGGCCTCATCTCCGAGTGTAATTGTGATGGAAGCATTGGCCTGGCCATCTTCTTCTTCATCGTCCTCGGTCTCCCATTCGTCGTACTCTAAGTTATGGAAAAGTAAATAAAAATCGTCGTTTTTTCTTCTTCTTTTGGGCAAACATGTCTTATAAACAAAGGAGAATTACGTTTTTGGAAGTCATCTTCCCAAAAGATTACAAACATAATATAAGATATCAAGATTATTTTGAGCTGACCTTCATATTCGTAATCACTCTCTCCACTACATTCCTCATCCGAAATTTGATTGGACATCTTGAAGAGATTGAAAGGCCGTGACAAAATTGGTGACACAGGGCTGGCAGGGGCACTGGGGGAGGTAATCAACAAGATCGGAGGGGGCAGAGATCCCAGACGAGGGAGCTGAAACAATATTCTTCTACTAACTTGAATTATTTACACAATTCTAAAAAAAATATTAAATGGTGTCATGATGACATAAATCAGGTCATCATGACATCTGGAAGCATATAATACACATAACATAAATATATATGAGTATAGAAATCGATACGACTAAAAAGAATTACGTAATAAACAAAGAACCCGGATCTCTTCCAGGCCACAGTTGTTCGGCCGAAAAGAGCGGCCGAAACGAATTATGCCCTGAGGGGGTGGAATCAAAACAGAAAAATATCCCGGCCAAAGCAGATCAAATCAGCTCGACGTAAAGAAAAAATTTAAAAAATTTACTTTACGAATTGAAAAAAAATTACCTGAGGTCTTTCGATTTCCGCTCCGTGATAGGACTTTTGCATCTGAGACTGGAGGATTTCACTTAGCTTGGCGGAGAATTTGTCCGACAAAACGATTCTTGAGGGAATGTGATCTTCTTCTTGATTTTCTTCTGGTGATGATCGACTTGATTTACTGCTTCCTCCCTTGCTATTCTCTCTAGTAGTTTGGAAGGATCTATTATTCGACGACTTATTGCTAGCCGTCGTCGATGTGTGTTTTGTCGGTTTATTCGACTCAGTACTGGCTGATATAGTTGAGGTGGCCTTCAATGACTTTTTTATATCATCCTTATTATGTTTTGTATAATCCGGTGCCATTGCTGGATTAGGTGGTGGTAATTTTATGTCTCCCATCTTCTGCCGCTCCTTTTCCTTCTTCTTGACCAACTCTTCTTTCTTTTTCTTCAAGAATTCTTCTTCTCTTTTTCTCTGCGTCTCTTCCCTTTCCTTGATCTTTCTTATCTCTTCGTCTTCTTTTTTCTTTTTCTCCAATTCTTCACTTTTTCTCTGTCTCTCTTCTCTCTCCTTGATCTTCGTCATCTCCTCCTCTTTTGATTTTCTAATCTTTTCTTCTTCTATTTTCCTTTGTTCTTCTTTTTTCTTTTTCTCTTCCACTTCTTTGACTCTTTGTTGGAAATTCTTTTGATTGAAATCGGCCATTCTGAGGATTTTCTGTAAAGGAGAAGGACCCGCGGGTTTCTTCATGGGGATTTGGACTGAAATTAGTAGTCATAAACTAAAGACAACAGCGAACGTACTTGGAACAGTGGGCAGGGAATCGATGACGGGGGTTCTGGAGACTGGGCTTTTCTTCACTTCATTCATGGTTCTCTTGATGTGTGCAACGTTCCCGATGGGTAATATTATAGATATTCTCTCCAACGTGGATGCCGGATTGATGAGAGTCCGGGTTAATTTCGCATTTTCTTCTTTGAATTCGATCTTCCTGAAGGTTGTTCGTTGAGGGGATGGAGACCGAGTGTGTTTGTAACTGTCAGCTATACTGATACTATTCTTAATATCACTGTCTCGATGGAGTAATTGTTCTTTGAGACTTCTCAGGTATTCTTTTCTCTCTTCCTTATTTTCCGGAAGTCTTTTGCCGGAGAAATCCGTATTTATCCCGGAATTTCTAGCTGCGTTAAGGCTCTGTGTCGAACTGTATACCCCTCCACTATCCGGATCCTGATCAGGTGTATTAAATCTAAGTCTGGTATTGGATTTGTAATCATTTTTCTCGTCAGGTTTAATGTCGAATGCGGCACTGCTTCTGAATCCTCTTTTTTCTTCAGTCCTTTGATTTTCTGGGCCTTTCAAAATGCTCTTTAAGTTGTCACTGCTTCCACTATAATGCTCCTCATTTCTCCTCGAGTAATCAACTTTGGTCTCCTTCAGAATACTGGTCAGATTATCTTCCGAACCTCGATTGTGGTAGTTTCTGGATGGTGATACTCTTTCTTCCCGGTGACTTCTAAACATCTTGTCATCGCTTCGGAGATCGGCGAAAGAAACCCGGAGTTTTGGTTGAGTCTTATGTACAAACATATCATTTTTATTCGTAGTACTGTATGAAGTCATTGACTGAGTCAAAGATGGAGGATTATTGATGGATCTGAAGGTCTTATCCAGCTGAGAGAGGGATCTTCCCATGATGGAAGCATCTCTGCTTCCAATCTCCTTTTGAAGAGGCTCTCTGGATGGGGATATATTTTTGTTCAGAGATCTTGTAGTAGAGTAATCTCTTGTCCCAAGGCTTCGGTTTACCGAGAAGTCCCTTGATCGTGTCAGCGTCGTGTCTCTTCGGACATCCTTGGTGGAATCTCTTAAAGAGTAGGTTGATGAGTATTCGGAAGGAGTTCTTGTAACATTTGTAGCATCTCTGGAAGTTGGGGTGTCTCTTTTATACGAAGAAATGGAACCATAAGTGCTTGAAGATATGTTGTTTAGGTTGTATGAAGAAGATGGAAATGATTTTGTTTCTGTCAGCGATTTACTCATATCTAAATATTTACGAGGTCAAGAAACAAACAAGTCAGCAAAGGATTTAACAAGGACACGATGACTATAATAAATACATTACTTGACTTACCTGATCCAAGGCTAAAAGTTTTTCTCGAGGTGTATGTAGATGCAAATCTTGATGAGCCAAGAGGAGAACTCACTGGGTTCTTCCCAAGGCTTGATAAACTCGATCTGGATCCATAGGCAGAGCTGTTTCTGAAAGGGATGATATATTATAGTAGACGTGTTTTAAATATAGTCAAATAAAATTACCTGGGTAAAGTCGACGAGAATGAACTGCTCATGTAATTGGGTCTGCTGCTTCCAGTAATACTCGAATTGGATAATTTAGTCTCGAGGATCCCGGTAATGGCTCGTAACTCCCAGCCCGAAAGGACGAGTTTAAACTTGATTTCCGGCCCTAAATTGTCATAAAAATAATCATAATAACTTACGGAATAACTCGAGCTTGATGGATGATATGAGGACGAATACGAGTCATATCGATTTTTCATTTTTATTACTTTTTAGTCAGATAATTAAATTAAAATTACCAAATATTCTCTTAGAGAACACCTGGTCTTTCGAGGAAGTGAATAAAGGTATTCAAATAAAGTTAAAACCCGAATTTTGAAACCAAAAAATGGCCAAGTGATTGGGGATTTGGAAGGCGGACCCTGAGAGCATAACAGTTAAGGCGCCTGTTCAGAGCCCTCGGGAAATGCTTAACCCTGAGGGATTTTAAAGATTGAAAGCGTTCTCGACGATGATTTAAGTTATGCCATTTAATTAGCCATATTTGAAATCACAGGTTAAGAGGACTACTTTACAATCTCCGAATCGAACGTGGGATCTGCACATCTGGCGGGCATGTGTTACGCAATGTTACGAACCCATTAAATCTGTGTTTTTCGAAGCCATTCCGATTATTTGCATGTGTTTTTGGAACATTCAACAAAATATTTAGAGTAAATCAAATGTAACATCAGTCTCAGAAGTCATTCATTGACAATAGAAAAAATGAAGGCTGCAATCTTTGAAACATCTTCTCCATCGGCTTTCCAAACAAAAGATTACAACCTTTGCACCCTCAGGCGTCCAAATCCGGGCATTTCCTTCCGGGGAAATCGCCGCTTTTCACATGCCGATTACCAGAACTATTTGAATACCGGCAAACCCCAGGAGATCCTTTCAAATTGGTCCCTCCAAAAGCGGAACCGGCCTCACTTTAGACCCTTAGGGCTTGGAGAAAGGTGCCATGGTCAAGGTCGGGGTAAGTGCGGGAGAAGTTCCCTGAAAGCACTATTGAACACAATCAAAGTAAGGTCATTTTCAGAGAGAAGTCATCAGTCTTCATGTCGGACAAGCCGGAGTGCAGATCGGAAATGCATGTTGGGAATTGTTCTGCCTAGAACATGGAATCAGAGCTGATGGGGAATGTATCGATTATGTGGACAAAAGTTTGAACACTTTTTTCCAAGAGAGCAGTAATGGTAAGCAAATTTTATCAATTTAATTACCACTATACCATCTTAATTTAGGTAAATATGTTCCCCGCACTGTTTTTGTAGATCTGGAACCTACAGTAATCGGTAAGAAAAGGTGATTTCATTGGATACAGATTTAGACGAAGTCAGAACAGGCGCTTATAGACAGTTATATCATCCAGCACAATTGATCACCGGAAAAGAAGATGCCGCCAATAATTATGCCAGAGGGCATTACACTGTGGGGAGAGAAATCATCGATATTACGATGGATCGAATTAGAAGTAAGGGCAATTTAACAGTTCCAATTGCATTTTAGGAAGCTCGGAAGCATGTTCTGGACTCCAAGGATTCATGGTTTATCATTCATTTGGAGGGGGAACTGGCAGTGGATTCACTGCGTTATTAATGGAGAGGCTGAGTACCGAGTTTGGGAAGAAAACAAAGCTCGAATTCAGTATCTATCCAGGTATCCATCTCTCTTCTTGGTTAATATTTTCTAATCTTGTTAGCTCCGCGTATTTCAACAGCTGTAGTGGAGCCTTATAACTCAATTCTGACAACCCATACAACCCTCGAACATTCTGATTGTTCTTTTATGGTCGACAATGAAGCCATATATGAAATCTGTCAAAAGAATCTTAATATTAGCAGGTAAAGATATATGTAATGTTGTGTTTATACTTTAAGGCCCACTTACACCAACTTGAATCGTCTGATTGCGCAAGTTGTGTCCTCGATTACGGCATCCCTAAGATTCGATGGTGCCTTAAACGTGGACCTCAGCGAGTTCCAAACAAATCTGGTCCCCTATCCGAGAATCCATTACCCTCTCGTAACTTACGCCCCGATCTTGGCAGAGTAAGCTCCCTTTTTATTATCGACTAGTATTTAGAGACCGAGCTTACCATCAGCTCTTGAGTGTATCCGAAGTCACAAAAATGTGCTTCGAAAAGGATAATCAGATGGTCAAATGTGATCCCCAGAAAGGGAAGTACATGGCCTGCTGTCTGCTTTATCGTGGAGACGTTGTCCCCAAAGACGTGAACTCGGCCATCGCGGCCATAAAACTTCATTCTCCCGTCAAATTCGTTGAATGGTCGCCGACGGGCTTCAAAGTCGGAATCAATTATCAGCCACCCACAGTTGTCCCGAATGGAGATCTGGCCAAGATCCCCCGCTCTGTTTGTATGTTGGCCAATACCAGTGCCATCGCTGAAGCCTGGGCGAGATTGGACTATAAGTTTGATCTGATGTATGCAAAAAGGGCATTTGTACATTGGTGAGTAACGCAAGCAAAAGTAAGACTGATTAAGGTACGTTGGAGAAGGAATGGAAGAAGGGGAATTCTCCGAAGCCCGCGAAGATCTGGCCGCTTTGGAAAAAGATTACGAAGAGATCGCCTATGATGAAGAAGGGGACGGGGGAGATGTCGAATACTAGGAGAACACTCTGTTTACACACGCAAAATGATAAACATAGTTCCTTTTTATACTTTGATACCTTTAAATTGTTTTACTTCCATCTTCAAAAGTCTTTCAAAATATTTGGATTGCTCTTTCCAAGTTTTATCAGACAGACTGATAATGCCGAAGGTTATTTGGCTCATAAACACTATAAATCATAAGGAGGAAGAAGAAAATCATCAGAACCAATTTCAGAGGTTCCAATTCCCATCATCCAAGAATATTTTTTTTGCGGATGACTCATTTTCTGGGGAATTTCCCAAAAGCCGTCATAACTTCAAGTTTCTTGCTGCTTGATATTGTAAACAAACTTACGCCACTGGACATTGCAATTATTTTCTTCTCTCGGTTCAAACATCACAACTTTTCAAATCTCTGATTTCTTTCAAATACTTTGAAATGGCTCGTCACGATAACCGATTTTCTATATTCTTCCTACCGGTAAAAAATATTTTTGTAAACGGCCAAAGAAGGGGAATAGGGGAGTTTACAAGGCTTTTCTCCCTCGCCTCGGACGATCACTCACCCCATTCCGAAAATTTTAGAATGGAACGCTAGAGGTCAAAAAAGGTGCCTAAAGAATAATCCCGGAGCACCCGCGCGGTCCGACACCCTTTTAAAGCTTATTTCGACGATTGCCTGCAGTTTTTGACGATTTCGGTGCACGTGATTTCCATGTTTTATAATCGTTTTTTAAACCCAAAAACGTCCCATCTTTTCATTTTCGATCACTCGGATGTTTCCTTTTGATACTGCCAGTTTAGATGTTCCAAATATTTGTCCCAAATAGGACTTTTTTATAATTGTACTGCAACAGTCTGCGATCCCGTTGGTTTCTTCATACATTCCCCATCATTATATTATACTCGATCTTTTATTGCCTGCTGTTTTCGCCATCACTGGAATTCGTCTTGACTCTTCAAGAGTTTTGTTGAATTCATTGTGTAACCCTTATTTTAGGACGAAAATGGATTCAGGAGACCTCCGCCGTGTTCGTCGTTTGACTATGGAAGAGCAGATTGATGGAGAATATTATATGTGAGTCTTAATTATTTGATTTTTTAATTTTGAGATGAAGAGTTTATGAGTAACTAGACAAACTTTTTAATTGGAGATGTAGTAAGACTTCTTAAATTGGAAGCGATGCGTTTCTTGCCATGTAAGCTTGTTTCAGCGACTTCTGTTTGTTTTTGGAATTAAAGTTTGAATTTAAACGGTTTTAACAGTCAAAACATTTGGAGAGTGCGTCAGAAGGATAGTTTAGTTATGTTGCTATTGTGGGGATTGTAAAGTAATTTCAAAAAGTAATCCTTTGCAATGGCAGTTAGTGTCTCCATTATGGTAGTACATATCTGAAATCATACCGTAGTCACAAGCAGTAGGTAGTATAAAAGATGAACCAACCACAAAAGTCCGATATGCAGTGACGAATATTCCCCCGACTTTCGAAAGAAGGACAAACCAAGGCCAAAATTCAATGTTTTTTCTTAGACGGGCAGCTGTTATTCCCATGGATAATATGACTACAAGGTCATCTGAGGGTTTTCTGGTAATTACCAGGTGAAGTCGGGTAGAGTAGCCTCGATTAGGGCAGAGCGAAGAGTCTTAAGCTCATTAGGCTGAACCTTCGAACTTTACGTGACAAATAAATTGAACCAGAGTAGATTTAAGAAGGTAAATAAGTGTTCGGAGGGAGAACACTTGAAAATCCGGTGCGTAAATGCGGGGTGAGGCGGGGAGGGTCGCCCGACTTCACATGAACAACGTGGCCAGGCCAGTGTCTCTTTGCTTTTGGGCTCAACCCCGGCCCCCCGGCTCTCCGAGTGCCAGAATAAGCGCGGCCCTGTTTTTCGGCCAGTTCTGTTCGACTCGTTCGAACGTTCGAAAAGTTCTGTCAACATGTTTATGAAACTAGGTATCCGGGCGTTAAATATGCGATAAGAAAAACATTTGGGGAAGGGTTTTCCCAGCTTATTTGGCCAGATTCGTGTCCAAAATGCAGAAAAATGAGGTAATTTTTGTCTAACTTTAACCAAAGTTCTGTATTTGTCTTTCTTTTCGGATATTTGGTGCCCGGAGGTTAACGGGGCCTTCCAGGGCGGCGATGATGCAAGGATTACCTGAAGTTATGTAAAGTTATAAGAGCGCAGGAAGGTCAGCTGGCTCCTTTATTCGGGTGAATCTAGAAATGGTTTTTGCGACAGTTTAGTTTAGGCAAATAACAAGGATTCATTATGTCTGGGAAAGATGCCTCGGGCAAAACTACCGGTTACCTATGGATTTTTTAAGTGTGAAAAAGCCGCTGGCCAAAAAAATAAAAAAAAGAAGGATTTCGTGTGTCCAGGACGGCTTTTTATTCTTCTTCCTCTCGGTCTGCGGTGATTTGAAACCCTTTTCCTGGGTTAAAAGCAATTCGATTTTACCCTGAGGGTTTCCCAGAAACCAAAAATTAATTACATTCGCGTTTTATGGAAATTGGAATAAATATCTTATCATTTAGATGGTTTCCACTCAGGCCGAAGCCGCTTTCAAAGCCGAATTGGAAAAGACGGCTTACGAAAAGTGAGTAAACTCTTGGGGAACTCTTACCAAACACTGATGTAAATTTGCATGAAACCGTTTTGTGGGAGAGGGAACTATGAAAATAATTAGTTTTGTGGAGTGTGAGTGCCGTGAGTGGTTGTGACGAAACAAAAGAAATGAAGGCTTGCTGCAAGGGATGTCATGAATTCAGGTGTTGTTGTAGATGTGGCTCGAATAAAATATTTTTTTAGACAGGAGCAGAAGAATGAGTATCTCCATGCCGCCACCAACCTGGAGCATCTTTGCCATCTCAATATCCGAGAGCCCCCTCACTCCGTCAGGAAGACCGGGATCATCTGCACCATTGGTCCCGCTTGCCGTTCCGTGGACATGCTACAGAAGATGATTGTGAATGGGATGAACATCGCTCGAATGAATTTCTCTCATGGGTCTCATGAATATCATGCCGAGACTATCAAGAATGTCCGTGAAGCCGCCAAGACCTTCACTGAGGAGAGAATTATCGCAATCGCTCTGGATACCAAGGGTCCTGAAATCAGAACTGGACTTCTGATTGGCGGTGGATCTGCGGAAATCGAGTTGGTTAAGAATTCCAGCATTAGATTGACCACCGACAAGAAGTTTGAGGAGACTGGGACTGCCTCTAACCTCTTTGTCGACTATGTCAACATCACCAAGGTCTGCCAAGTTGGATCCAAAGTCTTCATCGACGATGGGTTGATCTCCCTGATCGTCAACGAAGTCAGTAAGTAATTCTTTTTGAGGATTTAAGCTTTTCTAAAATTTAGGTGAAGATGCTTTGGTATGTACGGTAGAGAACGGCGGAATGTTGGGATCTAGAAAGGGAGTTAACCTTCCCGGGACACCCGTTGACCTCCCTGCTGTCTCGGAGAAAGACATCAAGGATTTGAAATTCGGCGTGGAACAAGGGGTGGACATGATCTTCGCCTCTTTCATCAGGAATGCTGATGGTGTTAGAACTATCCGCAAGATCCTCGGAGAAGAAGGAAAGAAGATTAAGATCATCTCTAAGATCGAGAACCAAGAGGGAGTAGACAATGTAGATGAGATCATTGCCGCTTCTGATGGTGTCATGGTCGCTCGAGGAGATCTTGGAATTGAAATTCCTGCTGAAAAAGTATTCTTGGCCCAGAAAATGATGATCAGCAAGTGTAATCGCGCTGGGAAATCGGTGATTTGCGCTACACAGATGTTGGAATCCATGGTCCACAAGCCTCGCCCAACTCGTGCCGAAGGTTCTGATGTTGCTAACGCCGTTTTGGATGGAGCTGATTGTGTTATGCTGAGTGGGGAAACCGCCAAGGGTGAATATCCATTGGAGGCCCTCAAGATTATGCATTATGTATGTTTAGTACTAAATTTTTGAAATATTTTTTATTACCTTGCGTTTACCCATTGCTTTTAGATCTGCAAAGAAGCCGAGTCTGCTGTCTTCCACATCAAGTTCGTTGAGGAGCTGACCCGTCTGACCCCCAGACCCACTGACAGTTCCCACACCATCGCGATTGCTGCCACTTCTGCTGCATCAGCATGCCATGCCAGCGCAATCGTTCTTTTGACTACTAGTGGAAGGTGAGAATTAAATTTGGGGTGTTTAGTAACCGTCTTGCTTTTCAGATCCGCGGAATTATGTTCTCGCTTCAAGCCCCAAGTCCCGATCATTGCAGTCTCAAGAAACGCCCAGACCGCGCGCCAACTCCATCTCTACCGCGCCGTTTTCCCATTGTTCTACAGCAAAGAGAGAATCCCAGAATGGGCTGCTGATGTTGACGCTCGTATCAATTATGGTATCTCTATTGGCCAAGAAAGAGGATTCGTTCACAAGGGAGATCCAATCGTGGTGATCACTGGTTGGAAGGAGGGCTCCGGCTACACCAACACTGTTCGCATCATCACCGCCCCTTAGATGATGACTAAGTTAAGAAATCTGTAGTTTCTGAGGTTCCATTCTATTCTAAAATAACCGATAATAAAATAGAAAATGAACGTTGGGTATCTGAAAAGAATTCTGTCTCATGGTCTGTTATATTTCTCTCTGATGTGGAACGCAGCTCATCTAGATGTCTTCTTTTTTTTCGTTCTCCCGACTAAAGAGACACTATCGAAACTCCGGGATTTGTTTTTCTCTGTTTTTGCGACCAAATTCTTTTACATTCAGATGACGCAAATTACGAATTCGACTGTTGTGAGTCGAATCAAATACCTCAAGATGAATGGCAACAGCGAGATGGACGAGTATGCACCCATGAGACTGGCCTTTCTTTCCTTTGCAGTCCTTTTCGGGGTCTTCGTTTACGTGTTCTTCAAGATCGTTTGGTGGGTTTGTATTAGCCAAAATAATGCATCGCTTTTACATGAAATTAGACAAGAATTGTTCGTGAATGTAATCGTTTTATGGTCTCATCTATTCCAGGAGTCCTCGAAGGTCGCGTCTTTCCACGTACGAACGGCTGAAAGCGGATGATTTGTGGAGCGCCTCACTTCTCGAAAACCAGAGCTAATGGCTTATTCTCCTTGATCATGATTCATCCGGTTAACGAACGTCAAAGCGGGTCTTCTGTTCTAACAATAAGTCCTTTCCATATCAAATAATTTATTCATTTATTTACATTTCAAGTTAATAAAATTAAAGCTAAGACAATATTATGCAATAATTCAATCTATATTATTTAAAAACCGCTTTGATATGACAAAATTTGATATAAAGGCACTGGTTTTGAGAGGGAACGAGAATAAAATTATAAAAAATCCTAAGAATATTATGGCCAAAGATTAATGTGAGTCTTTGAAAGAGCAAAAAGGAAATTAAAATGCCTGGGGTCGGGACAAATGATGATCAGTAAGTGAGAAGGTCATAAACTTAAAAGATATTATGGACAATGAAGTGTAGAAAGACCGGAGACAAGAAGTAAGTAGTAAGACAACATCAAACATCCGACTGTTGCATCAAGGGACCAGCATATCCACTGCGAACACCAATTTCTCTCGGTGGGGCTCGAATCGACCTCCAACTTTGAAGAATTCATCCATCATCTCCGCGTTCCTCAGCTTCTCAAACACAAATTTGACTCGATTGGATGACTTTGGACTGAGAAGTCGCTCCACGACAGCCAAAAGACTGCTCTCGGCTTCATCAAAGCGGTCGAAAAGATGAGTTCGGGAGTAACTGTAATCCACTTGATGGAACGACTGAACTGTCTTGAACAAATTCCTGAGCTTAGCTTGCATATTCAGCAGACAATCCATGTTGTTCTCGATGTTGGACTGCTCTTGGAACATAATCCCCAACTTGGTTACAGTCTTGATCACACCAGAAATCACCTGAACGATAAAACTTGATTTTATTGAATACGTTACCCATTGGTTTACCACAAATAAAAACCAAAAACCCTTATATTCTCCTTCATTTCTAAAGTCTCAAAAAATAAGAATCGTCGTACGGCACACCGAAGTGCCCTTCTATGTTGGGTAGCCGTGCATAGGAATACTAACCGCCGATAATTAACAAACGTGAGTTCCGCTTTTAAAAATTTGTTTCTTCCAATTACAATGAAAAGGCACACCTACTGCAATTTAACAGGCAAACCTTACCTTTTCGGCCTCTTTTGGTGAGTGAAATTCCACCAAAATTTGGTGGAAATTGTCGATGGCCTCCAGAATCTCATCGGGCAGGATGTGTTTGGCCACGGAACGATGTCCCAGCTTCCCAGCCAGCTTCTTTTCCACGCGGAGTGTAACGGAATTGGACTGAAGACCCATTTTTGGTGTGAGTCAGTGATTGATAAGCACTATAAATATGGGAAGTTGCAGAAAACACGAAAAAAGACGAGAAGGGCGTGTCACGCCTTGATGACTCTAAATAAACGTCCAGTTGAATCCACAAAACCCCGATTTCGCGGATTTTCGAAGGCTCAGAAAATGCGTCACCATGACGGGATTCTACAGAAATAAAAATAAAATTTTGCAGGCGTCAAATGATTGGAAGGTCAAGACGGAGCAAAAGTGAATCTTGATTCATTCATTTCTCTCGAATCCATTAAAATAAGATATTTATATTGTTGTAGCCATCAAATTCGATCAAATATCATTGAAAAAATCGACGAAATTTACGATTTTGCTTTCGAAAACTGCGAAAATCCAGAAAAAAGTGGGATGTACTGGATCCGTCCAGAATGATCCCATAAAACGGTTTGGGAAGCACGTTGTCACCAGATCTGGAGAGAGTAATATAAAGAAATGTGTTTTCCCTCCACGACCTTCGATTCGATTCCTGCTCAGCTTCTTCGAATGGAAAGAAGGAGAAGACGATCGCCCAACCCCCTGGGAACTCTGACACCAAGAAGGAGGAAGGACGCGCGGATCGATATATTCTGATCCTTCTTCTATTTGATCGGCCAGAAAAGGGGCTCTCTTTATCCAAAACAAACACCTAGCACAACACATTTACTATTTATTCATTCCGCAAAGCCCTCAGGGCCTTGAAATTGAAACCGTCGATCACATCGGGACCAGGCCACTGGTTCAGCGGGGAGTAGGGTTTCGGGGAGACTGGAATGGATAGAATACAGTAACTGGATCCCAGAAGAAAAGTGTTCCTGGACAGCTGAGATGACTTACGTTGCTCCATTGTCACTATCTTGTCATTTGTGGGCCTTTCCAAAGGTGTTTTCACATCGGATATATCCGATAATGAGCGGATCGTCGGGCTCATTCTTGGAACAGGGACTGCATAATAATAGAATGCGTTAAACTACATGGTGTTTCAAGAAATACTCCACATGTATTTGTGAATATCCTTGTGCTCTTTGGAGCTATCCAAGAAGTTAAAAATTGGGTTTAAAATCCGAAGGGCGTCTGACAATATAAATAAAAAATGTCGCGCGGGCGGAGATGCCATTTTTCGGCGGAGACATTTGACGCCTTTTTTGAAAGTTACATCTTGTTACAAAGCCCATACCACGGATGAGATTAAGTTTCTCACACCTGGTAAGAAGTAATCTGTTAGTCTCGGTAGCTTGGCGGATGTTGCACACATTGGCGAAGGCTCGGCTTTTCCAATTCGATTCGCAAAAGCAAATGCGAATCGAATTGGAAAAAAGCTGAACAATTTTTTGCTAGTCATTTCACATTGTCATTTATCCTGCTTTGATTTTTCTTTTGTCATTTCTGACGGGTGGCGGAGGATTCGGCTGAGTTATTTTTAAAATTTTGAGTGTCAGAATACGGGAATGGGACAAAAAGAGTGCCAACACCCTTTCTGAGGAACATCCGCCAGGCTACCGAATTAACAGATTACACCAGGTGTGACAAACCTGATAGTAAAGAAGACTGGGGTTGTGATCTTCAAAAAGATGTCAAAAGTCACCGCCGAAAATGGTCTCTCCGCCGAGGCAAGAAAAAATTCTTTTGCGTATTCAAAAACGCCCGACTTCAAGTTTTAAAAACAACTCAAACCTTCTTGGATAGCTGCAAAGAGCAGAAAGATATTCGCAAATACTTTCTGGAATATTTCTTGAAACACCCTGTATGTCAACAAACAAAGCCTTAAATGGGTGTAAGTTTGTTTAGATTAATACTTAATAGTTATTGCTGCGCTTACAACTACTTATAATTGTATTAAAACTTACTTTCCAATCCATTTGGAAGCCCTTGACTTTGATAAGGCATTGGTAATCTCCGAAAGTCTAAATTATGTTAAAACCGAAGACTTTGGAGCTACAGTATCCGCATCACAATTAACCCACCATTACTCCATGGTGATCCATCGAATGAAGGAACAGCTTGTCGATTTATGTCAAAATAATTGTGAGATGGGATTAACATGGCCCGCTGAAATCTCTGATTATCCTGGAAAAATCAAAATATTTCCGGATTTCCTGGTCCCATCTTACTTCATTTCTTTGTCTAACCACTGCCTTTGTCCACATCTCGAGGGTAGGATGATACTCATCATAATCATCGTGTTTGGCATCGGAAACGGAATAAAATCTTGGAGGAACCGAGGGTTTTATCCCTAAACAAGATTAAGACATAAACGAAAGCCTACCACTACGACTCGGTTGTATCTCAAAACTTTGAACAAACTTTAAACAGAACAATATCGCAGTAACCTTCCACATCTTTGCCTTGTTCTCATACTAAACACACTCATAAACAGGTTGTTGTCGCCGAACATTCGACTCATCGCGGATTAACAGGGATAAGTTTGGATTAACTTCTAGGGCTTTACTTTCCCTTTTGTATGAAGGAATTCGACCATAGGAGTGTTAAAAAAAAGATCTGATTGTTTCCGGTAATTGTTTGCAAAGTCGTATCAGCAACAATTATTTTTACAGTACCCATACTAAAGCAAAGGTCTTGTATCATTTCAAGGTTGCCCGTAATGGCCGTTTTTGTCCCCACCCTGGTTTTGTCCACAGGATTTTTTTTGTCCCCAATATTTTATTTTTACTTTTTGATCAGCTAGCCAAAGACTTAAAATCACAGCCAAATTTTTAAATGGCTAGTCAAAACTTGGATTGGCTAGACAAAGTGTCATGCCTGCTTTGAAGCCTTGAAAAAGCTAGCCAAAGGATTAGATCCCGGTTCTTACTAGCCATTTTAATAATTTTTGAAATATCAAAAATGAAATATCGGGGACAAAAATGGCCTGGGGACAAAACGTCTTGGGAACGAAACCGGTCTAGGGAGAAAAGGGCCCAAAAAAAGCGGGGACAAAGCCGTCCTGGGAACAAAACCGGGGAGGGGACAAAAACGGGCCCAATCAGGTTGCCGTCGAACTTGAATGCATCTCACATCTTTGCACCAACGTATTGCACTATTATCCATCATTACATGAGAATAACTTTTGAAAATATAAACATGCTTCTGATGTAGGGCGCGAGCTGCCGCCGGTTATGACGAAGTCTTGTTTCCTTCTACCATTTTTTTGGCAACAACCCGGCCTGGTCCGGGTACCCGAAATGGTGTTTTGACGAGTTTCATTTTGTTTTCATCAAGTCTCAACAGTAGGTTGGGATGGGGGATCAAGGATCTTCAAATCCAAATTTCCGATCTGATCTCTCGTCAAAAAATGTGGAACCGACGCAAGAAGACGGGACTGTAGTTGAAGATGAAGGGGACGAACAGTACTTCCAAGACGAGTTACATTTGCCAGATGAGATTCCAGATGAGCCAGCAGTGAGGAGGGAAGAGGCAGAAGAAGTTGGGGACGGACTTGACTTGGAAGAGGGAGATCCTTACTCGGGATCCACTGACAGATTGCTCGAATTCTGTGCCCGATATGGAGTCAAACCGATCGTTATTGTCCAGGTAGCTCATTGTCCTAGTTGTTCTTTTCCGGCTATTGTATCCATGACCTTTATTTTACTTTGTAGTTGTTGTACTTTCTCAGTCTGTCGCTCTTTTTGTTTATTGGAGTTCGGAGGTCTCTGTTTCGCTATGATGATGTGTTATATCAGCTCGAACTTGACGATATGAGGAAGAAAATTTACATTGTGAGTTCCGCGGGTCTTTCATGCTGGTAAACCAACGTTGTTTTAGGTTTCCGCGTTCTCGGTTGATTTGGTTATGTTTGTGATTTTACCTTTGGTCTCTGCTGTTTTCCATTCTTTAACTCTACTTGGCTTTTACCGGCCTCGTTTCACTCGATTTCACAAGACCAAACCATCTCGATTCGTCAAGTTGCTTGCTGTTCCACAAGTAAGACATTGAGATCTGTGAAATATGCCAGATTATTACTTGCAGATACTGGTTGTCGCCCATTATATGGCGGAGATATTCGTCTTTTTACCCGAGTTTTTCGTGAAGATTGAAAGCATTTGGAGCTGGGCGTTGGTGACCTTCGACTTGGCCATCTTTTCTCTCCATTGTTTCCTTTTCAATCTTACGTTTGGCATTGCCGAAATCGACGATTTGCTGTACACCTGGAGCTTGGAGAGACTGAGAAGGACCCTCCGAGTCGCTCAATAAACAATTTTCTTACGTTTCGTGATTACTGTTTCTTTTTATATTATCCATGGCGTGTTTATTGTCGAAAATGTTATTTAAATTTGCGTGTCGCGGCTTTGGTGGTTGGAAATAGTGTTATGTAAAATGGTTTCCAGGATGAGTTCCCTGCACACAGCACGCTTCAGAGAGTATGATAGTCGTCGAGGAACTATCAGAAATGCCCTGGATGAGCAGACTGACTATGAACAAGTTCGCTTCAGATGGCTTTTTGGATTCGTTCATGTTCGGGTATCTTGATGTTTCTGTTTTGTTTAATAGATTTTTAGCACTTCTTTGCCATTGTCCAGGTTGTTATTCTTTATTCGTTTGTTCCATTTCTTCTCCTTTGTGGTGGAAATCATTCCTCCTGCCCTCCATCCCTCTTCGGAAACCATAAATCTCCCGTCATCCAGACCTCTCTTCTTTGTTTGGCAATCTTTTGCATTGTTTGGTAAGGTCATAATTTGTGATATCACGTTGCAATATGTTACACTTTTTATGTGTGCTGTATAATTTAGTGTTGTCTTGTCGTCGGTGGCTTTTCATTGGACTGAAAAACTTCGCTATATGAGTTCCCCTGGGTACAGCGATCGTTTTTGCCAACTCTCTCCGATGCCTTTTGTCGCTCTTTTCTTTGTTCATCAGGTATCTCTATGGTTTATATAATCGTAATGTTTTATTTTACTTTTAGCTGTTTCTGTTCGCCTTGGGAATCTTCTATCTGGTTGATGTCTTGATCTCGGCCAAGCTGGATGTCTTGATCAGGAAAGGATCCTTCTCTGACATGATCTCCTTCCTCAACGGAGGCATCCTCCCGTTTTTGGTTTTCATGGCCCTGATGTTATATGTCATCTACGGAGACTTCAGACTGTGGTGTTACGCTTGTTTCGTCCGTGAACACACCAAACTGAAGAGAAGGTTGGCCAAGATCGATGAAGAAAGAGGTGGGAACAGGTCGATTGTGGATCGAGGTCGGGTTACTGTAATATAAATCGTCTTTTTTAGCTTACAAAGGGGGAATCAGCATGGGGAATGTTTCGAGGGGATCTGGCCGAAGTCTGGTGGAATTGATGGGGTCTGGAAGCATCAGAGCCAAGATTCAACGTTACAGTAAGCATTAATACTGAATATAATATATCTTATAGGACAAAGTCTTTCCCGTCAATCCATCACCACCGAAACAAACAACTCGTATCTTCACAACACCTCCAGAAAGCCAGGGTTGGCTGATCGTATGGATAATGCTGGTGACAATCCCATGAACCCCCACATCACGAGCTTTGGAAGTTCCCGCGATCACTCTCTGAATGAGTCCCGTGGCTCCAGAAGATTGGGTTCGATCCGCCCCACTTTGAACAGCCAATCCCCTCCGGCAACTGTTCGTCAACTCAGGGCTCCAGGTTACACGAATGCCGAGAACAGCGACGTTGAGTTGATGCATGTGTTGGATACGATTGGAGAAGCTAATGAAGAGATTCACAGCTCTTAAATACCGTAATAATTATATTAATGATCGAGATTGTTTTGTTGAAGCCTTCTTTAGGTTTGTTTTGTTGTTTGCTATTGTCCACCGATTCTTTCGCTTATCCACATATTATTTTCTCAAATAAATTTTGTTTTTCGAAAACGTATTTATTCATCAAAAGAAGGATAACATTCCTGATTTGTTCCCTAACAGCTGTCTGAGTTGATTTCCCATTTAACGGTGACAGCGTCTTCTCCGTGATCCAACCAAATAGGGAAGAGATCCGGGATTTTGGAATCGTCATCCTTAAAAAGAGAAACACATCGGGCGTAGAAATAGACAAGCCCGGCCAAAGTATCGAAATAAATCCGATCAGTGAAGGAGATTCCAACATACAGCTGACGTCTGTTGTTTGTCCTTTTCCGAGTCAGAATTGGCCAATGTCTAAACAATGCTTCGTTGTTATTCTCCTCACCTGAACACTCCATCCGATCCATGATAAACCATGAAGAGAGGGATGCCCGCCAAGAGACCATCATAGTTATTCAGGACTTCGGAAGGGCAACAATGATAGATCCTGAAGGATCCCGGATTAGGACATCCTTTCTCGGCATCCGCCTTATCCGCATCTCCAATGTAATAATCGAGAAGGGGATCTAAACGCTTCTCCAGAGTGTATTTCTCGACTCGTGGACGGAGACTTCCAGCCTTTCTGAAGTAGTGAAATTAGAATTTAAAAAAAAAAATCACCTAGTCAATGCCAGAGTAGCTGGGGATTTCGCTGGCAGACTTTTGGAGTCCGAAATCTGGCAGGAATCCTCGAGACTTCCTTTCTTCTGATAGGCATAGCCAAGGCCATGCACTTTGTCCTCACTTTTCTCAGATTCCTTTCGAACTCTGGATGATGCACGATGTGATGGAGCATACGTGTTCTTTTTCTAAGCCAATTTAAACCCTACAGTGCTCTGACCTACTTTTTCAGTCGATTTCTCCCGATACGAGTTACGGTAATTCGACGCAATGACGTCCTTTGCTTTCATATACCCGGAAGATGATGATTTCTTGGCCTTTATTGGTCTGGATCTCTCTTTCTCTGGCTCTCTCTTCTCGTTCAGTTGTTTCTCATAAGTGGAAGATCTCTTCTGTTTAGCTACCTGTATCTAGTATCAATTATGCAGAGATAAACTTACTTCACAAAGTCCTCCATGAACACAGCAGCAAGTCTTATTTGAACGCTCGGCTTCAGAATCTTCGCCGAGTTCTCGAAGGCGATTCCGTTCTTCGCAAAACTTTTCGTATGCTTGAGTCTCTAAAATATGATGATAAAGACAGTTTAGTCAAAGGAAGTCACATGACCAATGATGTCACACTGTATTACCTTTACTCTCTCTGATCTCTTTTTTGGATGGCATCTGTGGCGACTTGACTTGAACAACACCAAGATCTTCCGCTGATAAAACTACCGGTCGAAGGATCTTCTGTATTTGGAATGGGGATGTTTTTAATGATTTATGCTGATCTTTTTTATCAAATTTTGCACTTTATTTGTATTATATAATATTTTTTCGTTTTTTAATTATTGCAAGATCTCCATGACAACCTAGAAGAATACAAATGTGGTGTTCGCAAATGGACGAGGGTCATTTCCATTTGGAACCGAGCAAATGTACCCTGTTACGGGCCTTTTCTTGGCTAGCACGGCCCATTTTTGTATTATTGGATGTATATTTTGGAATATTGTAAGCCTTTTTTTGTCATCACATATGTATAATACATGTATATACATGTGTACTGTATAACATAATTTAAGGAAGACCATGTCCAATCCTCGATTGGAGAGCGTTATATTGGAACGGAGGGGGAGCAGAACACCAGGGGCTCTCTGATCCTTTGCCTGACCATCACTATCTGCCTCTTGGCTGCAGAAATTTTATTCAAGTTTCGGCAAATCTTGAGCGAAAAGCAAATCTTCTTCGCACTGGTGTCCCATACAATCTGCTGTTTAGTTTTGCTCAAATTCGTGGTTGATTTGCATGTGGTGTCCCATTTTTGGTACCTCTTAATCTTCGGCAGTGGACCTACTGTTGTTTTGGAGTTATATGTTTTTATGTCCAGTTATAAACGAGGCATTGTCTGAGGGCATTGCGATTTATTCAATATTTTTGCGATTACCTCAGTTTGTCTTACTCTTTACCGTTATTTCATCAACTTGATGATATTAATTTGATAATAAACTCTCCAAATTAATGTTAAAAATTTATTTAGACCCGTATGGAATGATCTCCAAATATTATGACCTGTAATTACTAGTGCCCAGAGTGGAACAAGACGCGGAAGAGAGGGGAATCTCGAGTTGAGAGTCGAATTGGGCTATGGGCGCTGGTCCCTTTGGTTTTTTGAGATGGATCGTGGACAAAAGAAGACCGGATTCTGGAAGAGGGGGCTTCTGGAGACTGAATCTCTGGCCCCCATTCCTCTTCAGGGACTCCCGGAGAGATTGGGACTTCCTGTTGCTGGGCCCGGCCTCTTCTTCTTCACCTATCACATGATGAACTTCTGCTTTCACATTCTGTTGATTCCTAAATTTAGATAATTATAAAATCAATACTGCTAATTGTAACAACTGTTGATCATCAAGAGCTTACTTCAAGTGATTTTCTTTGACCAATTCCAATTCCGAATTAATCGAAGGCCGATCTGTTCGTTGAGCTGAAACCTTGCAATTCCCATCATGATGATCCAAACTTACGTAATAGCCGATCATTCTGATCTAAATGATTCGCTTTCATCATATCATCGGCCTCTTCGTTCGGGAGTAATGAGAATTTTGTGGCCGAATTGATCATTTCCCTCTTCGTTTTGTATCCACTCGACTCTTCTTGAATGATCTGAGCATGTCGATCTCGAGATTCTAAGGTGATTACACATGCGATGATCAGCAGAAATGTCCCCAGCCCCATCAGAACGGGCCCCACATACTGCATACTCTTGAGTTTGTATCTGAGAGAGGCGTCGATTACCACGATCTCATCGCCAGTTGTCATGTTGTAAAGAGTACTCTGGAAGCAGTTAAAGATTGGTTGCAATCCATCCGGAAGGCCGTTGAAGTGAATTCGGGGTGTCTGCACAGTGCATTGCAAGTGAAAAGACGGTGCGGACGACAGACTTCGGGGAAACCTTCGCACGGGGCAAAAATCGCGACGCTACAATGCACGGCATTCTGTACTTTTGGGACACAACCGATCTCCGCGACTTTTTCAATTTTTTTCGTAGTGCGCTTGCTTTCTCTCTCCATATCTCGCTAGCCATTTGAGCTAAAAGGCTGAAATTTGGCATGGGAGTAGAGTAAAAAGCCAGCTTTCAGAAAATATATAAATTGTAAGGAACCCCGTCGTATAAACTTCGCAATGACAATTGAAAAAAATTCATTTTTGAACCTTCTGCAACCCAAAAGTGCAAGTTGCAAGATCGTATTGACAAATTTTTTTTTGTCTATGTGTGTCAAATTCGATTCTCTACAAGACAGCCAAATCTCATCTTATTTGATGTGTAGCGAACTGAGTTATGGTTACCGTTACAGTGCTTTTTTTGGTACTTTAAGGATATTTCGGCCCTTAGGGCATCTACAAATAACTCCACCAGCCGAATTATTCATTATGCCTGTAAGTACGATCCTACAAAGTTTCGTTCTTCTAGCTCGAAAAATTGCAACGTTATTCGCATAATTCTTCTTTCAATAGCCAAGCGCTGAGTTTTTTAATTTTCTGCTTGACAATAATGCTCAAGGTATGAATACCACTTAGAAACCTGACACTTGACGGAAACACTCGCAATGAAGACTTCCAAGCCTTCTTCCGATCCAGACTCAAAGCTTAGCCATTCAAGGAAGAACTATGCGAATAAACTTGCCATTTTTCGAGCTAGGAGGGCGAAACTTGGTAGGATCATACTTACAGGCATAATGAATAATTCGGCTGGCGGAGTTCTTTGTAGATGCCCTAAAGGCCGAAATATCCTTAAAGTACCAAAAAAAGCACTGTGACGGTAACCATAACTCAGTTCGCTACACATCAAATAAGATGAGATTTGGCTATCTTGTAGAGAATCGAATTTGACACACATAGACAAAAAAAATTTGTCAATACGATCTTGCAACTTGCACTTTTGGGTTGCAGAAGGTTTAAAAATGAATTTTTTTCAATTGTCATTGCGAAGTTTATGCGACGGGGTTCCTTACAATTTATATATTTTCTGAAAGCTGGCTTTTTACTCTACTCCCATGCCAAATTTCAGCCTTTTAGCTCAAATGGCTAGCGAGATATGGAGAGAGAAAGCAAGCACACTACGAAAAAAATAGAAAAAGTCGCGGAGATCGGTTGTGTCCCAAAAGTACAGAATGCCGTGCAATGGATTCTCGCAATCAAAAACATTTTTTGCCAATTTCTTCAATTTTCCTCCAGCGCGCTTTTGAAAAAAAACTGTGAGTTGTGACAGTTTTAGAAAAACGCACAGTGAAGCTGACCGTTTTGTTGGAGCACAGTGCATAGGCCAAATTCACTCCAGCGACTTACCGGATGGTATACAAAAGCAACTTACTGTAGTCAGATCTCGATCAAAGTATCCCAAAATCGTCATTAATAGCCCCAGGGCAATGATTATTCCCCCAACAACCACTGCTCGACAGGCCGCCCATAAGGTCTGAAATGGCAAATTAAGATGAAATTAAAAGAGAACACTATTTTCCTAGCAAAAAACACCTTTCACAACTCAAATACCTCTCTGTTTCGATGATAATAAGTCTTTAGAAAGTAGGAGTAGGCCCTTTTGGAGAGGTTTCTCCTCGGAAACTGATTTATCCTTGGTCTGGCTGCTAATTCCGAGAGTGTGAATCCATCGGGCTGAAGGAAACTGGCCGAGCGAAGAGCCCGAGGTGCATACATTTACTCAGAGACTGAGTTCATCGGTCAGAGAGAGGTGGAGGAGAATAAAACAGGATCGGAGATGGGAGAGACACATAAAAGCTACAATAACATGGTCATAAATGTGATAAAAAACAAAACAAATGTAATATAAATGATGATTTAAAAATATTTATGGTTAGATTAGGATGTTCGGGTCGAGAAAAAGTAGGATTACAGAGCAAATGCGAAAAAATGTTTCTGGAAATATTGTGAGGACTAAAATATGTTTTTTTTATACCACATAGTAACTATGTGTAATAAAAAGTTAATTAGGCGAGGGATTGCGGAAGATTACTAGATGTCACGACATAAAATTAAGCGAAATTTTAATTATAAAGATTTTCAAAATATTAAAAATACCGTATTTTAAAATATTCTCACCACTTTTATTACAGTCCTCGCCCAAATTTAGATTAATTAGGCCAACAAATGAAAGAATGATGGCCGAAAAAAGCAATTAAAATCCTTAAAAAATTCCAAACATTTTTTGAGCCTCTTCAACTAGTCCTCAGGACCAAAAAAGAACAAAACCCCCGAAACTTGGTACAAAGACAGCTTAGGACCTTGAGGGCATGAATTGTGACATCTCCTGATAACAACCCTCGGGCCAAACACCTCCAGAATCCCGCTGTGGCCAAGTGAAAACGGGGCCAAGTAGTTTGGGTTCCGATTTCCGTTCCGAAAAATTCGACGAAAATGCCCTCAGGAAAAGGTTTCATTCAGCCGGGGAAATTCGAAACACTCTCCAAAAAAGTAAAGTAATATTATATAATAGCCTAAAATAATATAATAGTCTTAGTATGAAACAATCCCATGGGAAAGGGAAATCGTTTTTTGGGAATTTTAGAATAATGGAAAATGAAAAGAAACAAGAGAATTGACGTAGAAATACGTCAAGGGTAACATAATAAGACGTAAAGATTTTTGATTGTCAAGATGGCAGTCCTTGTCCGATATAAAAAATAAAATTATTGCCACCTTTTTCGGACCAGCCAGACCAAGAATATCAATGGTAATTCGGTCCTTTCCTTGATTACAAAAATTTTAATTTTTGCACAACTTTTAATTAACCTCCAATGCCAAAAATGCTTGATCCTACCTCCTTCTCCACCTTCTCGGCCAGAATCTTCATGAATCCCAACTCCATTAGGGACGGAAAGCCGACAATTTGGCCAGAGACCTTTCCCAAACTAGATTAGAGCGATTCAGCACACTCCCCTGGCTTTATGGCCAAGTTCATTCCGCATTCTACTCTCTCGATTAATGCGTTACACAAACTTATGGCTGTTTTTTTTGAGCGATCACTCGGATTATCATGTCATAATCGTTAAAGTTATACGATCAGAGAGGCTTTCTGCTGACTACCTATGTCTTTTCTTATGTCGGGAGAAGAAGATAGGGCAAGATGGTAATTGAAATGGTAAATGAAATTTTGTAAGCAAAAATTACTCCAATTTACATATTTGGAAAATTTAATTTTTTCGTGTAGAGCACAAAGTTCCAGAAATACAGGGTGGGCCACTCGAAACTGACAAGTTGTTTCTTTGAATTTCTTCGCGGAGACTCCGCCGATTTTTCCGAAATTTAGATTTTTCTGGAGCTGAGACCCGCCATTTTCAACCGACTGAATTTAAAAAAAATATATTTTGAATTGACCTTTCCATGCCTTCTCAAAGTTTTGAAAAATTATTTTCAGGCCGAAACCGCTAAAACTTGGAAAATTTTTGGAATGATTTTCAATTGACTTTCTCGGACTTGGAAAATTTTTGGTTTTTTTGGGGAAATCGTGGAGTAAAAAGTTGCTAGTGCTCGCCGTAAACTTGTTTAAAGCAAATTGAAAACCACAAGAGGGTTGTTTGTATTACCATTAGGGCATGAACATTCAAAAAAAAAAGATTTCAAAAAGATTGAAAAATTCGACGTCAATGGTTATCGAGTCAGGCCTGGGGCATCTTGAAGCTCAGAGCCCGGCCTGTTTGAAGTTAAACCATATCCACGATACGCAATTCTAGCTGCTCATGACTCTCAAAGGCACTGCAAGTTTGTGATGCGAGAGGATGGACATAATTACTCAGATAGAAAAATTAATCATCAGATTGTTAAATAAAATTGTTTTTGGAACAATATTTGACAACTATCTGAGGCAAAACAAAGAAAATTTCACCCAAGAACTCGGAAAAATGACCGTTTTCAAAATCATTCCAAAAATTTTATAAGTTTTAGCGGTTTCGGCCTGAAAATAATTTTTCAAAACTTTGAGAAGGCATGGAAAGGTCAATTCAAAATATATTTTTTTGAAATTCAGTCGGTTGAAAATGGCGGGTCTCAGCTCCAGAAAAATCTAAATTTTGGAAAAATCGGCGGAGTCTCCGCGGAGAAATTCAAAGAAAAAACTTGTCAGTTTCGAGTGGCCCACCCTGTATAAGTAAAAAATTACCAAATACAAAATTGACCATTCAGAATTTTGTCAGTGGTCTATGATCTAACAATAAGTATTTTTTACTTACTTTCTTATCGACGTACTTTTTGACCACGATCTTTGGCTTCTCCTGTGCCTTCTTCTTGAGCTTCTGAATCCGCCCCAAAAGTGCCCGATCGGCTACCGGAAGTTGGTTTAATTCCGATAAGTTGATTTTCCCCAAGCCGAGAGACACTCCGCGAGCGGCCAACATCCTAAAATACGAAACGCAAATTAAAAAACGGATAAAAGAAAAAATGGAAACTGAAAACGACAAAAAAAAATATTAATGCAAGCGTCCGAACGAATTAGAAAATTGGTTTCTTATCCCCGACAAAGCACCTGGAATAGCAAGGAGCCCTCTAAATTTAGATTTGACCCATTCCCGAGGAATGTCAAAGTCTTAAATTGACCTTCTTCGGACGATCTGACGGCCCGAATGTAACTGGATTCAAGGGGACACGCAACAAGTTGCAACCAGACCTCCCTGTAGGACAATGACCGGACATTCGAAGCGGCTAAACGGCCGGAAAACGGAGCCAAAAACGGCCGAAAACATGGCGAAAATGGCTCATAAGAAAGGGGCCAAGGAGTTGTTCCAGGCATTCCCCCGGAAGAAACGGGTCGTCCTGGAGGTCCGGGGGATCAAAGACAGTTGTTTATTCCTAAGAACACATTAAATTAACTGCCCACAAACACCCTCCTTGAATAATCGGAAGGTCAGCACAGATCCTCGCAAATATATTCAAAATGGGACAACAACGCGACCACCGCACATTATTCAAATAAGACATCAACTGAATTAACGGCGGCAATGAAACATGGGAAGATCGTGAGAAAGGACGGCCGGTAAGAGTAGTCGAAACACTGGTAACAAGTTTCGCGGACGTCATCAGAACCCTTCAAAAGTCATAATTTATTCATAATCTCCACTTGAATATTAACATAAGTCTCAAGTTTCTAGGCTGCATAAGTAAAGAATGTCTTGCTAGAAGACAACGATCTGTGTTAGAAATAAATTATACAGTCTTCTCCTAAAAGGATTACTGTAGAAAAAGTCTTATCATTCTCTTTTAAAGCAGAATTGTCCCTGAAATTAAAATAAAAGAAAGATGTCAAGTTCATCATTCCTTCCTTTAGGCTCTTCTTCAGGCTGCAAATAAAGACCAGAAGCAATTCAAGAGCAACAGAGCGCAAAAAACGGCGCCAAAAAGATTTGGCGGCCGAAGGGAAGACGGGACCATAAGAGCTCGGCCCATCCCATCCCTCCTTCATCCTCAGACTTCACGGAATATTTATTTCGAGCTTCTTTGTTGATAGTTCACGGAGAATCGAGATGATATAAAACTGACAGGCTGATACAACATTGCGACCGCAGTTACATCAAATACATCAAGTGTCATATAATATTTTATATTATATGACATTGTAATCATAAACTTTTATACACAATTTAGATTATGAAAATCTAAACTTTTTCCGTCTTCTAATTTTTGCAAATGCCTCTAACTTTTTCAAGAGATTTGATTGCATTGCGATAGAAGACTTTTGAAAATACGAACACACGCTGGATGCATTCAAGTCCTGCCGCGAAAACAAAAATAATAAATATTTTTTCGCGAGAAAATTACATCACATTTTTTGGCGAACATGCGAGTGATTGACGTCCTGGACGTGAAATTTACCGTGAAAATGGGCTTAGAATATGGGATATATTCGTATTTTTTGAGGGAAAGAAAAGATGGCTTGTTGGAATGGGAAATGGGCGGATCAGAAGACCCGGACCCGCAACGATACCCCTCCGGTGGCTTCCTTTGCCGAGATCATGAGTGAAGAATTGGCTGAAGATCTCCAAACTGTAAGTTGTCATGTGTTTGACTTATTTTGATTTGTTTTTAGAAGGATCTGGCTGAATTTGATGAACTTCAAGAAGCCTTGGAGGCTAGTTTGAAGGAGTTTGAGGACGAAGAGATGGACCAATGTGCTCGTGATCGTGAGCTAGCGCTTCAACTGAGTGAGGATCCGGATTGTTCGGCTGATAAGAGGATGGCATTGGAATTACAAAGACAGTTTGATCGGGAAGATGAGATCAATCGACAATTCGCTGATAGTCAGGCATCTGGAAGGACCACTACAGGTGAATTATCGATTACGAAATAATGTTTATTGACTGATTTGTCTAATTGGAGCTGTTTAAGCTGGGTTAATACCTACACGACATGATTATGAGAAGTTTGAGTTGGATGAGAGCGATGAGGACAGCTTCGATGAAGATGAATGTCGTGAACTTGCTACTCAAGATTACTATGCTTACAAGAAGGAAACCTTCCCACCATGTGGGTTTGTACGTAATCAGAATGGCGAGATCATAACCAAGCACAATAAGGATGTCAGCGATCGACGCAACTGTCAACGATTATTCCAAGTACGAACTTTATATTATTTTAGGTACCTATTCTAAAACATGATGTTTTTATGTGGTTTAAAAGTTATTTTTTAGAGTTCCTCTGATTTAAAAAGTGGCGATCTTATTGGAGAGAGAATTGCCACCAAAATTGTTAATGAATTGGAAAGATTTGGCCAAACGGAGTTGAAAAGAAAGGCCAGAGTTAAGGATAAGGACGAGAAGGCCATGAGTGATGCATCCCTGGATGCTAAGAGCCGATTGATTCTGCTAAAGTGGATTAATAATGGTGATATCGACAAGGTGGAAGGAGTTGTAGCCATGGGAAAGGTACAATATCGTCTAGTATAGTATAATTTTACGATGATTTAGGAATCGACTGTTCTTCATGGTATTCTGGATGAACAAGGTACATCGGAAAGAAGTGATGTGGAGAAACACTTTGCCATTAAAGTGTACAAACAATCGCTGAATGCTTTCAGAAACCGAGGAGAATATGTGAAGAATGATTTTAGATTCAAGAATCCTCGTAATGTCCTCAAGATCTGGGCCACGAAAGAATACATGAATCTGCAACGACTCAATCGTGCCGAGATGCCTTGTCCACTTCCATTTCATGTCAAGAAGAATGTTTTGTTAATGAGTATGGTCGGAACAAACGGGCCGGCCAAGAAATTGAGAGAAATAGAATGGATTGACGATGAGGAGTTGAATAATGCTTTCAATCAAGTCAGAAAGGTGAGACAATATACACTTGGACATTAAATTGTGTTCAGATAATCATTAGGATGTTCCGCGAATGCAAATTAGTTCATGGAGATCTGAGCGAATTCAACCTCCTCTATGATAACAAGACAGTTTATGTGATTGATGTTGCTCAAGCTGTAGATGTCTCTCATCCCCGGGCGTTGGAGTTCTTGGGGAGGGATATTGAGAACATTCTGGAATTCTTTGCCAAATCTGGATCCGAGAATCTGCCGTCTTCCCAAAGTTTGTTTACGGCCGTCACTGACCTCGAGATGGATGAAACAAAAAGCCTAATTCCTCAGGTCGAAGAGTTTGAACATGAGAACAGGAATGTGAATATGAGGTTGTTCAAGGCCAATCCTTCGGATTGCGAACTCTCCAGGATGTATTCAGATCAGAATTCACAGAAAGAACAGTAATCTGGATGTAAAATGGATTCATATTGTTATAAAAACCTCTTATTGTTTGCTAATGCCAGTAAAATTATTTAATTGTTATTATCCAAGACTACCTGAGTTGACCTTTCCGTCTGATTGCGGAGATCTGATCTCTCGGCTTCAAACCTGGACTGACATTTCATTTCCTGTGATCTCCGGGCTTTTCGAAACCTTGGGGTTTGCGTTGTATTATATTATGTGACAACTTTCAGATCTCGTCTCCGGATCGGCCAAAAAAGAAGAGCAAGTGAAGTAGTAAAGCAAATCCCCTTAAGACTAATTCAACTGGCCAGAACAGCCGTGAACAGACAGGCCCGTATATCGATTCGAGTGAGTGCGTCCCTCTCCCCCGACCCTTTCCCTTTCCTTCTCGCCCATGAAGAGAGAAAACATCCCCCTTTAGAGATTTCACCCTTTCTCGCCGCAAAGCAGAAAGTGGTGAGCCCTCGGCACGGCACTTTTTCATCGATTTTGTTTTAATTTTATGGCCCTACTCTCTCGGCTAGACCCTTCCCTGGCCATCCGTTGAAGTGTTATTGCGCAACGCTCGGTTTCTCTCCATTGTTCGGCCGCCACTTCCGGCCGGTCGCGGCTTTGGGTTCTGCATTGTAAACACGGTTTTCTTGTGTTTTATTGTAAAAGTAGTCAGGTTGTTGGACTCGTGGCTCTGCCGCAGAGATATCCAAAGAAGGGAGAGCAGATGGGGATAATCGGGTCAAAACAGGAATCCAGGGCTTCTCCAGGAACGTTAGACTCTTTGCAAGGCCTTTGTCTACTCAAAAGCGTGATTTATTTTCAATTAACCCCGTGTCTTTCTGTTTTTTTGGGTTCCAGACCTTCATCCAGTATAATATCAGCTGCTAATCTTGTGTTGCCATTTCAGCAAGCGCGGAGCAAGAAATCGTTACTCCTCTCTAGGGCTCTGTTGAGCCTGAGGGAATGGTCGAGTTCTGCGAACTCATGAATGCCAACAGTCGCCCCGATCCCTCCGGGGCCTACCTGGCCCGGCCCCATCATTGGCCCCTCAGTGGCCTCGATGAGCATATTGCCGAGTTGGACTTTGGGTCCTCCATGATGGAGGAACAGTCCATGTTCTCGTCTATCGGACTGGATGTCGCCCTTATCTCCACAGACTCCTTGGACATGGAACAACTTCGGCAACGTTGTGAAACGAATAAAAATGATTACAAGATCGCTTTCGAGGACTCGGGCCAATGGACGACGAGTGGATTTGGGACGGGCGCCTCACCCAGCAATGGAGCTACGACTGGTCTAGAAGAGTTCTCGTCGGATGAGAGGACCAGCTGTGGAAACGATTCTTTGGAAGCACCAAATGGAAATCTAACAACCTGGGGACGAATCAAAAGTGTAGAGCCTTTCGATGATCATACCAAGAGCATGCCACAGGTGCAATTAAGATCTCCATTACTCTCTTCCAAACGAGGTCGTCCAACAAGTCTGGTGGCCAACTTTATCGGAAGACAATCAACTTCAACGAGTAGACGGGAAGAGAGTTCGACCACCAGTGAAGGGAGATTGGTCGATGTAAATGAAAATGAAGTCGAGTACGAGTCGGCCAGCACTTCTAGAGGCCCGGAAACAAAAGCTCAGGATCGTTGGACAAAGGCCCATAAGAGCAGTTCCAGTCCGCCGAAGCGAAGTTTCATCGATTTGGAGCCCTCCGAGTCTAACATCGATCTCAAATTTCTGCATTTACCATTTAAGGTGAGCTCCTTTGAGTTGTTTTCCTACTGTGTTTAGGTGCTTAGTCATCAAAATTGAACAATCACAAACAAAATTTAAATTCGGTTTTTATGATGGAAGTAACCTTTGTTCAGATCTTTAATCCTTGATATTAATGGTTAATTTCAGCTTCCCAGTTTCTGTCGGACCTCGACACCTTTGGATCTTCTACTGAATGAAGCCAACTCCAAGGATCGGCCCAGCGTTGCCCGTCTGAATCAACTTCGAAAAGAACTGGACACGGAGTCGTGGTATGGTCGCGAGATGAAGGCTTCGATCAGTTCCCCGAGTCTGGGCGTCACTCTGGTCGAGCCGGACTCTGGTCTCGGCCGCTCCAATTCGGGTCCTCTTCACATCGAAGATTGGCCTTCGTTGTCACTGCTCTTACCAAAGTAGGTGTTGTAGACAGTTTTTGGCACCGATTATTAATTCTCCATTTTCTATCCATTTTAACTCTGTTTTTTAGAAATGTTGTGGAGACTTGTTGTTTCTTCAAGAGCAATATGAGTCTCTTGGGAGGAAGTCAGCTCAAAAAGAATGACAAATCCCCTTGGCTTCAATCCACCCAAAGCGAGAAGCCATCCAAACCAGTTCAGACTGCAGCACAGAAGCCGCCGGCCCTGAGTCGATCATCCACCACCGTCCTCAAGCACAATCGTCATGTAAAACTAAATGCGGCCGAACTGGCAAACATCGGATTGCCATCTTACGATGCCAAGAGACGCCTGGTCGAGTGTGCCGTGGAGGGAGTAGCGGGGATTCTGCGAGGAGAGTCGAGTCAGTTGTTGTTCCGAGGTCTAGAACAACTCATCGCCGACGGTCTCCTGTCCTCATATACCCCTTGGGATGTTGTTCTTACAGCTACCAAGCCTGGAAAGGCCACTGGTTGGGTTCATGATCTGGTTGTAAAGCTTCAGAAGGATGAGAAAACTCCTCAATCTCAACTACAGAAATTCTTGGAAGAACTTTTAAAGTAAGGTTTTACCCATCATAATCGAATTAATATTTAATTTTTTGTATTATCATTATTTGTTCAGGTCTCACTCTCTGGATGGATGGTTGAGTTACGTAGTGATGAAAGAAAGGGCCCTATGCAATATGTACTCAGAAGATGCTTTCCTTCTCCATGCCTCCACCGCTTATCGGAGTTTGTTTTGGCGATTGATCGAGAGTTTGGAACTTCTTTCGGTCCTCTCCAGATGCCAGCAAGGTAATCTTGAGGAGAGTTTCTTCAACCAGTACGATGCCTCGAGGCTTCCATCCGACTCCCGGGTACCCAAAAGCTCATCGGTACCAGCGAGATTAAGCGTTGTCACTCAAAGTAAGAATTTATCTTTTTGTTGGCTTTCTTACTCTAAGTTTTTCAAAATGTTTGAGTTTTAGAACGAGGCTGGAGTTGCTCTTCTCTGCAACAACGAGATCTTCCTTGCAGCTACTTGTTGGATGATGTGCTCACTCGTCCCGCCTCAAAGATCCCTGTTGGATTTTGTAAATCCAAAGCCGGCGACTCTTCGAATAGCTCCACTTTTTCCAAATCCCGCCGTTCCCGGTCCCTGCTCGCCAAAGCCCGTGAAGATCTTCCGACTAGTCAATTCTCCCTTCCCCTGAGTAAAGGTGAGCCAGTCCGTGTTCTGGCTGTTCAGGACGGTCTGGCACGCGTAGCCAGACTTGATTCTCGGGCTGGGCAGATCTCCCTCGGGACTGTGCCCACCAAATATCTTCAGCTTTAATGCACATTCTACCTTCTCTCTCTCTCTAATTAGTATCTTGTAGTATGTTTTAAAATAATCCCCATTTCTGTATATGATCATAGCCATATAAATATTCGAAGGACGAGTGCATTTCTTTCTCTTTTTCAACTAGCGATGTTAATTCCGTTTTCAAATTGGTCTTGTCATTGTATCTATATGAAGCGCGATTCTTAACCACTCATTCAATCTTTCCTAACCATAAAGTTTTATTAAATTTATATTATAATCGAATAAACTTGGAAGTGAAAGATGTTTGGAGGGCCTTTAATATCAAATTACATGTAAAGTCAGCTGAAACCTTCTTTTAAATTATTCTTTGCAGGAATTCAGCTGTTTAAGAGCAGGGACCCAACAAAACAGGGGAGTAATAAACGTTTTGACAATGCCCAATGTTTTCCTCGTGCATTAAAACTAGGTCACGAAATAAAAAAGTACACATTAAATCATTACACTATAAATTTATTAATCTGATAATGAGAACAAGCGAAACGAGAAGAGATTAAAGAAAAATAGACCAAACAGGTTGATATTAATATTGTCGAGAGTAGGACTTGTACTCGGCTGTATTGTTGGCTGCAGCTGGGTACTCCCATTCAGTGCGATGTCGGGACCATGCTCCTGGCAACTGGGTCTCGTAACTAGAGGTCTCTGGAGCTTCGAATTGATGGACCGTGCCTTGATAAGGGACTCCAGTATCATAATACTGATCTCGGCTATTGTAGGCAGTCGGCGCAGTAGCAGCAGATCGCTGGTAAGAGTAAGAAGTTTGTTGGGGAACACCCCCAGCAAAAGCTGAGCCCAAGTTAGCAAGTTTCTCATTGTAGATTGTAGTTGTATCCGCGGCCCTCTTCGTTGAGTTAGTCGTGGAATAGGAACTGGACATACCATCTGAAAGAATCTTAATGAGTAAACAAACAAGATCACAGAGTAACTCTAATAGTACCATTAAACTCACAAGCATCATGTCCAGAAGCAGAATGAACATTTGCAGTCGGTGATGATCTCCTTCTGTCCGAATATCCAGAAGAATGATTTAATAGGGCGCGGGAAGAACTGTTCTTGACAGGGGGATACTTGTCATACTTCTCCTTGATATCCCTGTCATCTCTTCTCTTGGCCGGTGGAGATCGACTTCTTCTGCTGTCATTTCTTCTTCTGGGGGGAGAACGGCGAGGTGGAGACCGACTACGTCTTCTAAAAACAAAATATCACTTGAGATATCAACAAAGAAATATGACAAAATAAATGACACAGACGGAGATACCTTCCAGCAAAACGCGTGTCCTCCCTGCGAGGCCGCGATGAGTTAATATCTTTCTTAGCAGTTTTACTATCCAGGCTCGGAACGAATTGCCCAAAGTTTTGGGCAACAGCTTGTTGCTGGGCCTGGAGCTGGACTTGGAGTTTGAGTTGTTCCACGGCGAGCCGTTCCTTCTCCAGTCGCTCTCTTTCCAGTTGAATCTGAGCTCTAGCTCTTTCCTTCTCCAATTCAAGCTCCCTTTTCTTATGCTGTACTTCTCGTTCATGTAGAAGACGTCGCACTTCTTCACTTTCAAATACTCTGGGCCTGGGCTCTTCGTATCCATAACGGGCACGAGGATCCTCATATCCCACATGTTCTCGATAACGGCGATCCTCGTGAACACGCTGGGAGTATCCATGAGGTTGTTCCTGTCGTCGATCATATCTGTCGCCGTGTCGGTAATTGTTGGACCTCTCGTCTTTCCTTGAGGGCGCCGACTTTCCTCCACGAGGGCGGAGATTGCTGCGGGGCGGAGAGCGGCGGGATTCGTGCTTTACAGGTTTCGTTTCGGAGATGCGACGGGGCTTGGAATCACCTAAAATACGATTAGACAAACTGGGCAAGGGGCTGTACCCTTGGGTGGACTCTTTTCAGGAGGCTTGATCTCGGCCCTCTTAGATCCTGGAGGCTTGATCTCGGCTCGTTTGACCTCTTTGGAGTCGTTTTTGGATACTGTCTGGGCCTTTTCCTTGCCCTTATCATCCCGAATATCCTTTGGCGGGGACTTGGATGGCGGTTCGATTGGCTTCCTGTCCGGGACTCGGGTCGCTTGTTTGTTAGTGACCAATTCAACGGAGATGATTCTTCCCTTCCAATTGATCCTGTTAACTCCTTTTTGGGCTGCAATGGCAGAATTGGGATCAGCCATAGTAACTGATCCAAAGCAAGCGGGAGAAGTGTTATTTCTAGTTGTGAAGATCTTGGCCGTGGTAACTTTTCCGTAGTCGAGGAAGAGACCCTGAACCAGATAAACTTAACCTCCCGTATCTAAAAACTACCTTGAGATCCGACGCTTTGGTGGTGTTGGGGATGTTGGATATCCAAAGATTGCAGTCTTGTTCATCTTCCCCGTTCTCATTGTTGCCATTTGCGTTAGATGACTCCACATTCCGAGAATTAACGAGTTTGGAATCAGCGCTGTCTCCACTTTCAGGCTGATCTTTTTGAGATTCATCTTCCTTTGACGCTTCTTTGGCCTCAACAGTTTCTTTGTCGACAATTTCAGGTTCTTCGTGTTCTTCATAGTCCACTTCATCATCATCGATAGTAAGAGGCCCTTCGTCTTTCATCGGAGACTCTGATTCTTGTGCCTTTTGTTCCTGTGGTTCTTCCGTTCCCTTCTTTTCCTCTTGAATTTCTTCAATTCCTTTACTTTGTTCCTTTGGCTTCTGATTAACTTCTTCAACAATTTGAATATCATCATCCTGATCTTCTGGTTTCCGATGGGTCTCGTTATTTTCCTCAACAATTTTCAGTTGACTTTCTTCTGTATCTTCCTTGGGAGGAGCTGGTTTGTTTGAACTGGGCACCTTTTCCTCCACATTGAACAAATAGGTAGTAATGTCATGACCCTCGCTTTTAACGGCCTAAATGGCGAAAATAAAAATCAATTGTTTGCGAATGGCATGTGGCCTTCCCATTGGTGCGAAGACAACATTGCACCCAGAACGATTGCACTTCATGTCCATAGATCTTTACGTAATGCGAAACCCAGAATTCTTTTTTTTTTCGAATTCAACTATTATGTTTACGCTAAGCGCCGTTATTGAAAGAACACTGGGGTCAGACCATTACATGCTCAATGAGATGGCCTTTACCTCGGGGAGAAACGTCGAAAGCACGTTGGGAAGCTTTTCTTTCACGCAGAAAAGGGCCGCCCAAAAAAGCAGGCATTCATTAGAAAAGCGGACCCAAGGCCTTGATTAGGCCAGGTGAAAGTGCGTCTTTCCTGGCCACGTAACTGGCCAAAAGGAAAGAAATTTGGGTAAGTAGTAGCCGACTTTTTTGAGTCAGGAATAGAACCCGAGTCGGGATTCCAGAGGTAGGGGACCGTTTTTTCGGCGCTAGGACCCATTTCTCGGCAAATTAGCGTTTCCGCGAATCGTATTAGCCTTGAATGACTTCCTTTTATGAGGATTTGAGGTCCAACCCCGCCATTTTCTCATGTTATCCCTTTTCAGATCCCATGGAGAAATTGGTGAGGATTGTTCTGGCCGATGGGACCATTCTTCAGACCTTTGCAGGTGTGCTGATGATCGAGGATGGATCGAAATTCTCGGAAATGTTGAAAATGCCAGGACTGGAGAACAAAAAATTCATCAGAATCGATTGCTCGCATCGGGATGCCAGTCTGATGAGATATCTCATAGATTTTATGAGACATCTCGCCTATACTGGGAATCCCTCGACTCTCTCCTGGCCTGATGAATTCGAGCATTGGAACAGTCTGATTTCCGAGGCTCAGTACTGGGGGATGGTCGAGCTCGAGGAGCTGTTCCAACAGGCCCAGGCCGAAAGGACCAACACTATCACAATCTCTTATCACGCCGCGTTAAGTGGGGGAACAGGAACCGACGTCAACTTCCGACGAATCCATCGTATTCTAGTGCATGGACAGGTCTACATCTGTCGTGAAGTTTTTGGCGAGCATCTGAATGAGACCCGAGACGTAAACGTCGACTACAAGAGGTACACCTGCAGATTCTATCTATCTCACGGATTCTTGGAGCAGGCCTTTGACACCCTTGCACTGCATCGATTTCGTCTTGTAGACAGCTCCAGTCACACACCTAGCGGGTCCCCATACGTCCCCAAGCAGGTGCTGGGCAGCGGTGCGAAGAGCGACAATCAGTTTTTGCACTATGCCCAATATGTTTTCATAAGACAATATTAATCATAAAATTGTAAAGGACTACGAATCTATGTATAATCGACAATAAAAATTTTCAAAATCTAAGACACAAACTTGACGGACAAATATCGATTAAATTTCACACAAACAAACAGCAAAAATATGACCCACCTCCTCTAATCTCTCCATCAGAATCGCCTTGACGCCTGTCTTCTCCAGGCCACGTTTGTCCAACTCGTTCTTAAGTTCTGTGACTTTGAGTTCGATCAAAGACTTCCCGTAGCTCATCTTATCGATCCGATTCCTAAAAAAACATCGGTGTTACCAAAGTGGATTTGATGCTAAAGAAATAAAAGGTCGAGGAAAAGGATTGATCAAAGCTGGCCAATGAGAAATAAAAATGGTCAAAACAGCAGAAAATTATTCTTTCAATTTGGAAGAGAAATTCTATTCGATGTGGCGAAGTGTCACTATTGATTTTCAAGTTGCGAACCGCTTACTCGGACAGATTCCCAATTTATAAATATAACATTTATAACTATCGAAAACGAACTGGCTAGTTCTGCAACACGCAATATATTTATTTTACTAATATGACTTCGAGACAATTAGGTTTGAAGAAAATCGACAACCTTATCCATGAATAACTGTGGATTTTCAGCATGAAGCCAGTGGCCGGTGTCTGGAATGACTTCAAATTGGACGTTGGGAAACAAGATCTTGACCTGGGGTTTGTCTTGTTCTAAGAAATAATCCGATCTACCTCCATAAATAAACAAGACAGGCCCATCGAACGCTTTTTCCACCAGCTTGAAAGACAAAATATGACTTAGAGCACCTCCAATCGCTTCTAGGTTCATTTTCCATCTGAATCCATCCTTACTACGAATTAGATTAGTTAATAAAAACTGTCGGACTGTCAGATCAGGAATCACATCTTCAAGTTGTTCCAGTATTTGAGCTCTCTCCTGTTTAAGATTAACCTTCTGAAGAGCGTCGACATAACCAAGGAAAAGGGATTCTGAGCTCTCACGATGAGGGGATATGTCTTCAACTATCAACTTGTTCAGACTTCCATTGAGTTGAGGATGAAGGGCCAAATAAGAGACCACCTTTCCACCCATAGAATGGCCAAGAAGATTGATTTTATTCTGGCCAGTTTCCTTGGCCACATCCTCGAGAAAGACCGCCAGATCTTCAGCCATCAAAGGATAGGTGTGCTCCTTGGTCCAGGGACTTTCTCCATGATTTCGAAAGTCAATCGCGTAGACCGGAGTGCCCATTCTTTTGGCCAGGGCCTTTCCTACCGAATTCCAATTTTGTTTTTGGCCAAACAGCCCGTGGCAAATAACAAACGGGGTGTTTTCGGTGACATCTCCATGTCTTACGTATGCCATCTTCACAACTCCATTACTATGCCACCTTTGGATCTGACGAATCCCTCTAAATGGCCTCAACATCCTGAACAAAGTTTACAAAGCCAATCCGACAGCTATCGTAGTATGTGGAAAAAACGAAATCACAACGTCAAGAGTCTCAGTCCAATAATAATTATTATCCAATCAATTTAAGTTCGTAATCACAACAAAACAAAAAACGAGAAATATTAAATAATGAATGGTAACTGAGAGAGAAGTCGTCGTCCGAAGAACCGTAGATCCCGAGATTAATAAGGTTGGAAGCCACGACCACGTCTGAAAAGTCCGTATTATTGTGATACCTGATACAAAACGTTTAACTAATCATCAATCTTACCTTGGGGCCCGCCCTCGAGCTCCTCTGAAGCCAGGGTAGACGTATCTGACCACAGTGCGCACACGTCCACGACCTCGGGGAGGTCGGTTGGTGGTGCTGATGCCCGGTTTGTTCGTTCTCTTCTCTGTTACTTTGATCTGCCTTCCCAAGAACAAACTTTCATTTAATGCCATGGCGTGTTGTTTTCCTTCAACCTCTGTAAATTCGATGTACGCGAATCTAAAACATTTTTTTTTAAACTAATAAACTCCTACAAACCGACCCTTTAGGATTTCCACTGAACTTGTCAGCGAGGATAGTTACACGCTCAATGGCTCCGCATCCTCGGAAATGTTCTTCCAGTTGCTCTGGAGTGGCACTGTAATCAACCTAAACACAGAAGCTCAGAGGAGAGACTTGCACTTACGTTTCCAACAAAAACCGATCGAATGTCCTTTGCTTGTTTCTCCTCAATCGAGAGATTAAGCTGTGGATTACTGGAACCTGTGGAGGGATCAAATCGTTCGACATTATTCTGCATGTCTCTGATCTTTTGGGCTTCTTCTTCAATCTGTTTCAGACGTAAGCCAATGTCCCCGATCTGAAACTAGCTGTTGTACATATAAATTTCGTAATTTTGGAAAAGACGTTCAGTTGATGTAGAAGGCCATTAAAAAATATTAAAGACCTGAGAAACAGAGAGAACTATAAAACACTAAAATTACCTCTGGAACTTCCATCTTCTCCTCTCCAGGCTCCTGAGAAACCTCTTGCGGCACCTCGTCGTTGACTTCCTCGGACATATTTAACCTCTGAAAGAAAATTGTAAAATTAGCCAAGTATAGCGTCAAAAAAAACCTCAGGGGTGAAGGAAACGCAATAAAACTTCAGGGTTAGCAGCATTTCAGGCATGTCTTGGCCGCGCGGTAAAGAATTTCACTTCCACTACCGCGAACGCCCACTTCGCAAAAAAAAACGAAATGTCACAGAAAATGAACGAAATCCCACTATCGATTACGACTTAAAGAAAATTACGGGGCGCGTCTTATTGTTAGACGTTTCGCGATACAGATTTCAAGTGAACAATAGAAATAATCAAAAAATAAGCAACATTCTTATTTGAAACACAACCTTCCAAACTAACAGTGAGATAATTCTTTAATGCCAAACAACCTGCTTATATACGGAGTTCACGCAGAAATTTTTTAATAGTTTCTGCAATGCCGACCCTTGGACGTATACGGAAATTGCTTTGATTTTTAACAGAGATTCTTCCCTTTGTCTTTATACCATGGATTATTGTCAAATACGTCTCAAGTTAAATATGTTTATTATACATCTTTTCGTTACAATCTATGTAAAATGCCATTATTATTACAGTATTTTTGGAACCCGAGGGAAGTAAAGCTGCAGAAAAGTTGAAGTTTTAAAACACAAAAAAATGCCATTTGGAGGGAACTGAGGCTCGGAATGTGAAAAACAGAAAGAATTCGAATATAAAGCATACAAATTATTAGGATTGAAGGTCCTTATATTACTCCCAAGTAAGAAAATCAGGTATAGATGCAAGTATTCAAAATAAATGAACAAACAATGAAAAAGAATAATTGGAGGAAAAAGTGTAACAGATTTTGTAATAAAATTACTGTGTACATAAGTTACTGTGATTTCTTTTTTCGAGTTCAGATATCGGCCTTAATTCCATTGGAAGTGTTATTGTTGGTCTCCCCCATCTTGGCCTTGGCGTATTCTATCCGGATCGAGTTCCCATTCCCCAATTGGAAGCCCTGTAGGCCTTGCAAAGCGACCGCTGCATGATGGACGGACAGATATTCGACAAAGGCCACCGAAGAAGAGCTTCCTTTGTGATGCATCCGGATTCGGGAGAAGCCGGGGTACTGTTTGAAGGCATTTCTGACTTCGTCTTCAGTTACACTTGTTCCCAAATTGGCGACAAATAATGTGGAACAAGGCGGATTCATCGAATTTACAGTATTCGGAGCAGTTTGAGCAGCGGCGGCGAGTAAATTGAGTGGAATTTGTTGTTGTTGCTGCTGAATTTGAGCAAAAGCGGCAGCCAAAGCTTGTTGATTAAGATAGCTATGACCATTAGCCTGGCCATTGGGAAGCAAATGCAGGGATTGTTGATAGGGATTTACTTGAAGTCCAAACAAAGGTTGCTCATTCAAATAAGTCAGATGATCGACGAATCCCTGCAGGTCTGGGGTCTGATTGGTCAAAGTTTGAGCCAGATATTGGGTTGGCTGACTTTGTCCTGGAAGGAGAGCTGAGAGAGTGGCCGGCGATATTATTGGAGGGGACTGTTGCTTTGGTTTCGGGACTTTCGTGTTCGATCTGGCTAACTCAAGACGGATGGTTGAGGTGCAGTCAGGGTCAAACCGAACTCCCTGAAGCTTTCTGCATGCGTCATCGGCATCCTGACGTGTAGAGAAGGTCACGAATCCAACTGGAGCACTGATCTTTCCATTCTTATTGGTCACTTTTAGCAACGAATTCTCATATCCATTGTAAGCACGGAACAAGAGATACAACTCTCTGGGTTTGCAGTCCAATGGGAGACCCGATACAAACAGAGTACGCACCTGAAAGTACGCATTATGATAACAATGTAGTTTATAAGTTGTAATATCCAAAACAAGGATAACATTGGCTCTAAACTCCAATCAAAAGCTGAGTAAACTTACCTGAGACGGGGGTTCCAATGACGAGATGGTGGAGCAGTTGTCCAGGGATTCCATCGACACCGCATTCACCATCTTGGAGTGCTCCATGGTGGAAGAGAAGGGAAAAGTGATGGAAAGAGGAGGGGTGAACTGTTTGGTGGGTGAGAGGTGACGTCCCCAAGACGAAATGTGTGTGCAGTGCTATAAATGTGGGTGAGAAACATCGAAAAAGAGTAAAACGAACAATGCACATTATTCAGCCGCATCTTCATGAAGTCCCATACACACATAAAAGAAGGTATATGAGGCTTGGAACAGCCTTTTACACCACTCTCATGAAGATGCAGATGACGCGAATACAAAGGTTATGCCTACAAGGGAAGCAATGGTCACAAGAAAACGCAAAATGTCTACAGTAATCACATTCATAGGAGTAAAAACACCGATCCCCTTCATCTACTTGGGTATATAAAGGCCCGGAATGAACAACCAAGTCGAGTAAAACTTGTTTTAGACCGAAAGAGGACAAGATCCTTGGTCGTGAGTCAGATCGTGAAGTCAGACCGGGATTGGTAGGTCTGAATCAAAAAGAAAACGGTAAATATTGGGTCGGAGAGCGCCTGGTACAATCAAAAATGCTGGACATTACGGTAGAGGTAAGTCAAAAATGTGACCATTAGGATCAAACGGGTTATAAAGAAACCGATCCCTCTTGACTCCCATCTACAATATAAGGGGAAGACCTATCGCCCCGTGACAAGAGTTTGGGAATGGACAGTTTCGACAAAAAAGTGTACAATCGTCGACCTCGCGCACAAATCGAGGGCGACAGGTACTTATGGAGGAGGGAGGTAGAGCGAGGGGCAGATCCCATCCGCGTCTTTTGAGGTCGGGCGGAAAGAAACGTTCGCGATGACCACAATTCCGTCAGATGAGAGACCGAGAGACGCGCGCCCCCTCCTATCTTCTCCTTCCCTCACCTCCCATTCAGATCCTGACCGTCATCTATGCGTCGCTATGGCTCTCATTAAAGGTGCTTTGATCTCTGACCCGACCACAAATTGTTGGGATCCCTCCTTTCCAAGATTCTTTAACAAACAGGGATGATACGTAGGATTGATAGAAAACTGAGATAGCGGACCCAGTTACAGCCCCAATGGACCCCCCGAAATGTTATAATATCGGGGTTATTATACATTACCGGACGTGTGCCCGGCCTGTTTTCGAATACGGGATCCTTTGCCTTGAAATCGGACAGATTTTGAGGGACGTAAATAGCCAAAAAATGTCTTGGGTGACCGGTTGCGGGGGGCAACCACCTCGAACAAGAGCCTCCTAATAGTCTTCCGAGTATTATATCCTATGAATTATCTATGCTCCTCTAACGAACACACTTTCCAATAAATCCCAGTTTGTCACATGAACTCTACGGTAGTCATAGAGGCATCTGAAGACGGCCTTCCTACTTTCGGAAGCGGCCGAAACACCTGAACGCGGCCGAACCTAAGGAAAACCTCACCAACCAAGGGAAACCACTTAGCAACAAAAGCCAAACCATCGCCATGCCAAGGCAAACTGATATTGGCAAACAAAAAAGTGCAAAGCTCTCATCAAAATTATTATCAAAATATTGCACTCGACATCTGATGGAGTTGGGCAATTAAAATAATTAAACCAACCTGTTGCAGACGTCCTGGTGTCGTCTTCGCTCCTCGTTACGAACGGAAAGTCGGGATAGAGAATATTTTAGTTGATAATCGATAAATAAATAGTGACATTGTGACCAATGGCATTGAGCCATGAATAAGATAAAAAAAAGAGTTTCCGCGAAAATTAATTTGTTTAATGGACCAAAAAGAGTAATAACGACGCTGCCCGGAAAGTAGTAATAATAAATTGAGCGTTTCCATCATGGAGACCGAAACCGTGTCCATGTCCGACTTTGCCTTAATTAAAGTTTTGGGGAAAGGAGGTAAGCATCGTTTTTGTTTACATTAAGGCTTACAATGCTTTATTACTACCAACTTGGCAAAGGTTTGGCAAGGTCTTTTGTAACTTATTTGATTGATTTATTTTTGTGCCTAATTTTTGACTAAAGTTTCATTCGTTTTATTTCTATTCTAATTGTAATCATAAATGTGAATCACGTTCCTTTTTACACTAACTTTTTTGTTCCAGCGTATGGCAAGGTGTTTTTGGTTCGCAAAATTGGGGGGTCTGATCATGGAGTATATTACGCGATGAAAGTGCTGAAGAAAGAACGAATTGTAAGCAAACAAAAGAGTCTTGAACATGCCTTGATGGAAAGGAAAGTCCTTATTCAACTTCGAGGATGTCCCTTTTTGGTTAATATGATCTATGCCTTCCAGTCAGATTCAAAGCTTCACATTATAATGGGTAAGGTCTACAAAATTTTTTTTGATCTTTAGAATACGTTAGTGGAGGTGAATTGTTTACGCATCTATGCAGAAGAAGGTATTTCCCTCCGCAAATGGCTCGGTTTTACTTGGCTGAGCTTGCCGTGGCTTTGGAATATGTACATCAGGTACATTTGATGATTGTTTCCGTCAATAATTGTCTTATTTTCAGAATGGCGTTATTTATCGTGACCTAAAGTTGGAAAACATTCTTCTAGACAGTGATGGGCATGTCAAGTTGACTGATTTTGGACTTTCCAAAGCATTTGATGTCAAAGAAGAGGTTTGTCATGGCATAATGGCTTTATCTCGGTTTAGATAAACCTTGCTCATTCGTATTGTGGTACGGTCGAGTATTTGGCCCCAGAAGTGGTGAAAAGGGATCCTGCCGGCTATACCAAATTAGCGGATTGGTGGAGTTACGGGGTAATCGCCTTCGAGCTACTCACCGGATGTTCTCCATTTACTATTGATGGAGATCACAACTCAGCCAGAGAAGTCGGAAAGTAGGTGCAGTCTTTTTTTTGATTATGTTTTAGACGGATTTTGGAGAAACAGGTACCTTATCCGAAGAATATGGATAATGTTTGTAAAAACTTTATTTCCTCTTTTTTGGAAAGAAATCAAACGAAAAGGTTAGGGATGAACGATGTCAAGGACTTTGCTGATCATCCATTCTTCCAAGGAGTCGACTGGGAAGAAGCCAGAAATAGGAAACTGACCCCTCCATTCAAACCTCATATTGGCGGACAGGTAAGAGACCTTTGAATTGTATACGTGATGACTAATAAAATGGTATAAAGTGTTGTTTTAGTCAGATGTCCGAAATTTTGCTCCAGAATTCACTGCCCTTGAGCCAGTATTTACCCCGGGAGATGTCTCCGATTCTTTCAAAACAATGTTTATGGTATGATTGATTTGGATCTTTTAAATTGTTTAAAATATTTGTTTTTAGGGTTACTCTTACATATCCCCGTCAGTCATGTATTCCAATAATAATGTGATCGGCGAAGAGAATTTGGATGGAAACGCGAACATAAAACAATCTCCATTTTTCAATAAGTACGAGTTAGTACTTACAAATGATGGGTTTCTGGGACATGGGACTTTCTCAGTTTGCAGGTAAGCATTACTGATCATCGAAAAGGTTATATTTCAGAAAGTGCCGTCGTTTATCAGATGGAAAGCTTTTTGCAGTCAAGATTGTGAGTCAGAAGTTTTCTCATCAAGCTCGGAGAGAAGTCAGAATTCTGGAGACCGTCAATCCCCATCCGAATATTGTTAATTTTGTGGAGGTCCTCGAGGATTACCTCCATTTTTATATTGTTTTGGAGTTATTAACGGGTGGGGAATTGCTACATCGCCTGAAGAATATGAACGCCTTCACTGAATGTGAGGCCTCAAAATTTATGTCCCAATTGGTCGCCGCTGTGTCCCATTTGCATTCCAAATTTGTGGTTCATCGGGATTTGAAACCAGAAGTAAGTGGCAACTTTTAAATTCAGCTCTTAATTTTAGAATATTCTGTTCGAAAGTGATGCCCCGGATGCGCAGATCAAGTTGATTGACTTCGGATTTGCACGTCTCCTCCCCAATACCTATGAATCCCTCTCCACCCCTTGTTTTACCCTCGCATATGCAGCTCCAGAAGTGATTGAAGTGGAAGATGAACTTCCCCAGTATAATCAGCAATGTGATCTCTGGAGTCTAGGGGTCATTATGTTCACGATGTTAAGTGGAAAGGTCCCTTTCCATGCCAAGACTACTGCCGAATCCGCAAATGACATCATCGCCAGAATCCGTTCCGCCGAATTCAGTTTTGATGACCCGTCCTTTGACTCTGTTAGTAATATGGCCAAGGACTTAATAACAGGCAAGATTGATGGAAAGGTTAACATGGTTACAGGGTTACTTACAATCGACCCCAAGAAACGTGTAACCTTGGCCGAGTTGTGTCGTCATCCCTGGATTAATATGCATAAGAAAACAAATGCTCTCAGTGAGGCTAAGCAACTAACCACACCTACTCTCCTTCCAAAGACAGCAGGTTAGCATAATTTTGTAAATATTCAGGAAATTAATGCACATCTTACGTTAGCTATCTTAGGTGAGAGTTTCAATGAGACAATAACAGCTCTTTGGTCCGCTAATAAAGCTGGTTTCCATCTAATGGATGTAACTACTGCCCCATTACTGGTCAAAAGAAGGGGCACAAAAAGGGCGAGCAGTGACAGGAATCTGGAGAATAACAACAAGGCCGAATCTACATTGCACTCGGTCTCCGAAGCCAATGAGGACCATCTCTCCCGTCCCAATACTCTCGATATTTACGGATCGGCCCCCAATTCGGCCGCTTTTACCGAGTATCGAGATACCAAGCCCCCGGAATTGAAGTACAGCCGAGATTGCCCTCCTTACAACTAATTACATCTATATTTCGTTAGGACTTTGATTGTATTTACATTTAGGACTTTTTGTCTTCCCAGTACTCTAACCTTATGTATAACTCATATTTTTATTTGTGATATGTCTCTGTAAAAAGGGTCTCATTCGATCAATTCCATTATTTCGTCTACAACCCGGCTCACTGGTAATCCAACCACATTATTGTAACATCCCTCGATCCCCTCCACAAAAATGGCCGCTTTCCCTTGGATACTGTAACTTCCGGCTCTTCCACTGAATTTAGAAACAGGTTAATAGTAGTAGAATCCTTCATCTTACACATGTTCTTTTGTCTCCAGATATTGTTTGATCAAACTGTCGGGCAGATCCTTGAACTTGACCTTAGTTTCCACCACGAATGTCCTGTCCCTGCTCGGTGTTTGCAAAGAAACCCCGGTCAAACATAGATGAGTACGTCCACTGAGTCTAGATATAGTTACTTTAGCATAGATATGATAGTATTAGAAATACAGAGAGATATCAAAACTTCTAACCACAAATCTACTTACTTCTTAAGGACATTGTAAGCGTCTTGGTCGTCGCGCGGTTTTCCCAGTATGAGACCATCTATCTCGATTACCGTATCACTTCCGATTACAATGTCGAACGGAGTCTAAAACCACAAACATATTCCCTCCATTAAACATGATCATTTCTCGCCTAGTTTGTTCCAATTACCTGTTGTTGTGTCAGTTTTTCCTTCACATTTTTGGCTTTCTCGAATGAACATTTCTCAACGAAATCCCTAGGCGTTAATTCTTCGTTGAAAACTTCATCGAAGCCAGATGGAAAAACAATTGGGTTGATCCCCTGAAATTTCATGATAAGTTATATAAACCAATTAAATGATAAAAAGAGCAGCAAATGACTTGCAACTTGTTTCAGGAGCTCGAACCGCCTCGGTGACTCGCTAGCCAGCACAACGTTAAGTGGCTTGGCGATGTCGGCCAAGAACCAGGTGGATTTCATCGTCAGGCGGGTCCTCCTCTTCTCAAAACTGTTCACCGATTCTTGGGGGAAACCTAGAACTCTAGAATTGTAAGTTTATAACATAAACTATGTTACTCTCTTATCTCGTAGATTAAAACAAAGTATCGATAATTACATTGGGAAAGGTAAAGCCAGCTATTTCTTTGAATCACGACCACCACCGTTGATCATAACCAAGGTAAGAATTCCCAAAGAGGAAACGTTTCTTGCAGGAATGGCAAACGGATCAAGTCGAATGTCTAGATGGGCATTTCTTATCTCCGCTAGCTCAATATTACCCGGAAATGTACCCCACCGAAAATGTAAAGACATGTCATTGGAGAGGACACTTTGTGAAGAAATGGAAGGACAGAAAAGGACTTGTCATCATACTAGCACCAACTGGAGACCATACATTTACCCTGAGGGAACGATCGTTTGTTTCTAATCTTTTAAAAGAAGGCATAAGCTCGATCCTGGTAGAAAATCCATTTTATGGCAGAAGGAAACCACCAGGTATGGCACTCATAGAAGGAAACTTTGTTCCAGAACAATTCCGATCGGCTCTTCGGAATGTAACAGATCTCTTTGTGATGGGCGCCTCTCTGATCGTGGAATGTAATTATCTCTTGAAATGGGCGATCAGTCAAGGCCATGGACCTTTGGGGCTTGCTGGAGTTTCCTTGGGAGGCTACATGGCTGGCCTTGCTGCTACAAATTCAGAAATACCAGTGGCCGTTGTCCCTTGTCTATCTTCCACCAGTGCTGCTCCTGTTTATACCCGGGGAGCTTTAGCCGAAGCTATCAATTGGGAAGGATTGGCCAAGGAACTTCAGAACCCAACCTTTATAGATGCTATTGGGAAGATCCAGGGGCAGGATTGGCTGTACAAACTTGAACATCCATCAATCTCATACCCAGAATTCGACCGGTCTAAGATTTTTATGTGGATTCTGATGGAACAATTCACGAATCTAAACCAATACCCGGTTCCGCCGAGGGGCGATCTTGCCACATTTGTGATTGCCGAAGACGATGCCTATATCGAGCAGGAAGGAGCTCCGGATATTCGAGATATATGGCCCCAGAGTAAAGTCGTCAGTCTCCCACATGTCGGCCACGTCCTTGGATTCCTCAGAAATCAGTCCGTCTTTCGACAAACCCTCATCCAAATGCTACACAAGGCGGGTCAAGCGCAGCCTCAGGTCATGTCAAACTAATTAGTGCCTTATTCAATGACTCGAAATAAACTGATATTATCCATGACATCAAAATCAATTATCTTATAGGTATTTAATAAACCAATAATGACTACAGCGAAAAACAGTTATCACCTTTGGTTTATTCGCTCTAAAAAATCGCCTATAAACGTCCTCCAGTAACGATGGATGCGGGTCCGTCTCTTCTTCACAATCTACTGTTTCTGAGTTGGTGGTTCGCGTCCCTTGGTCGTTCTCCAGGCAAATTTCTGACTCTTAATGAAGGTCCAGGCTTGACGTTTTCCATACAACAATACGACAGCAACAATGGGGAACAACGCCAGGATCTTAAATAGAAAATCATATTATATAATACTTGATCAAGACAGAAAACTGCAATATACTTACCTTTAGACCATATAGTTTCCTAGTGTCGTGATAAGGCTCGGCAGCCCAGTGCATGAAAGTAGCGATATCCTTGGCCTGCTGACTCTGAGTGGCGACCGTTCCATCCTTATATTCGATACCTTCATCGTACAACTGCTGTGGCATAGAGATGACACCACCAGGGAAGTAGGGGTTGTACGCCTTTCCCTCGTCAACCTTAATTCCCTCAGGAGCGTCGAAGTAACTGGTCAACAGCGCAAATATGTAATCATCTCCACCATGGCGGGCCAGAGCCATCAAAGTCAAATCCGGAGGAGCGGCTCCGTTGTTGGCTGCAGCAGCGGCCTTCTTATTGGGGTAAGGATTTGGCAGACCGTCAGTCAGGATACCTGGACGTTGGATGGCGGCTCCATTTCCATCAATGTCATTGATCAAAGCTTCGGCGGCCTCAGCCTTGGCTTCTTCTTCGGTCATAAATGTATCGACAAAGTGGCGGTACCGAAGGAATTTCATCGAGTGGCAGGCAGCACATACTTGTTTGTACACTTCGTAACCTCGCCGAACCCTTCAACAGCAAAATTTAGGTGACATTAAACATGAAGAAGAAATGAAAGCCCTCAAAAACTCGATTTTTGATCACCAAAACATAGTATGCAGCGTGCTATAAAAACCGTTTTTTTTTGACCGCGACTTGTGACAATTAATCTAGAACTCCAAACAAAATAAATAAAACGACTTACGAGTTATAATCGAAGGACGAAAAGAAACCTGAGTGAGGCCATGGGAGTTGATAGGGATGGACAACCTGATCACTAGCTCGAGCAACTGAATTCTCCAAAGCATAGACCAAACCAGAAGCCGCACATACACCCGCACCCAACGCTAAGTTTTTCTGAAAATTTATAAATTATATTAACAATCGTGAAAAAGAGAGACAAGATAATACAACGGATATAGAACTATCCTACAACTTATATCCTAGCATAAAGGTATGAAACAATAAATTACTTCCAAAACAACAAACGCCTGATAAAGAAAACCATTTTCGAGACTTACCACACTGAGACGAGCTGCGGCGCTCATTTCGGCCTAAAATTAAATGAAGTAAGTATAATTAACAAAAAAGATCGTGATCGTGTGAGGTGAACCAAATCTACAACTGTGCTTAGGCGATATTACACACCTTTTGAGCATGAACAAGACGAAAACCGAGAAAAAATAGACAAAAAATCTCTCAAACCTATCTAGACCACGAAATTCCCTGATTTGAAACACAATGCCAAGCCTTTAAAAATTGAGGCACATTGAAATTTTCAAAAAGTGATAGAAGATATCTAATATAGATTAGTAGAAAGAGGAGAATTGACGAATTCAATGGGAAAATTTTGATACATTATAGTAGATGATACAGAAGAGAATTAAGAAAAGTATATAAAAAGGAATATGGATTTCGGCATGATCTGAACATAAAAGATGGATTATTTGGGGGCCGACACTTACAGTTTACACCTTTCTTCTACTTTTCATGGTATTAGCAATGTTTTCCAAAATTTTATTTAAATCATCTTGTTCTGCGTTCCTTGCTGTCCACATTCCATTCCGTCAAGTGTTTTTTTTAAATTACAGAGATCTTGTTGGCCGTCGAATTTAATCAATGATCTTGCGAACCTCCTGAAAAAGATTTCCATGAGTATTGTGAATTTTATTTACCCAGATCATACTATAACATCTGATCCCTAAATTTAGCTTCGATTTTCCCGGACCTGATTAAAGTGGTTGTTTACATTGATCTGAGACGTGAACTCTCTCTAATACGATGGGAAGCCAGTGTATACAAACGTAAGTCGACGATATTCTCCGTTAATCCGCCTTCGACCAATCAGCGTCGAGGTTGCGGGAAAGGGGGCGGAGTCTGAGTTCACGCTCGATTCGGTCGATTATGCCCGGGATGGTAGAAGAAGGCGCAACCTCTTTATGTTGTCGCTCTAATTTCTCATCATCTTGGCTTAATTGCAACCTTAATCGAGGCCTAAGAGGCAATCATAATATTGCCCACCTGAAGATTTAAATCGGTCTTTAATTTTGGGGGTTACTATAATAGTTGGGGTTAATGAGGAAGGGTATTAATGGAGCCAATAATTTGGTTTATATTAGACATTGAATTTGCTTGCAATAGGTTATAAACTTGGGCGTTTTTATTTTATATTGTATATACATGGGAAATGTGTTCGTGAAGTATACTGTAACTCATATTGAGAACAAAAAATTCGGTTTTGCAATAACTGTCGGAAGTCTTTAGACCCAAAATTTTTGGATTACTGTATTTTATTTTAATTTGTTTAGTGCTGATTAAGCTTGTTGTTGTTACCTAATTTATGTTTCAGATCCCTTCAGAATGAGTTTCTTGATAGCAAATCTGTTGGCCAAGAAGCCGCGAGATCCCTTGCCTCCCCCTTCCCCATCAGCGTCCTTCCCGTTCTCTCCGATCAGTTCCCCATACCCTTTGGATCTTCTCCCCCAGTCCCCCCTTACCCTCTCCTCGCCGTTCCCTTCCACCAGTTTCCTTGGAATGCCTTTGGGTAAGTTCCTCGATCATAATTGCTGTTTTTATTACCGTTGACCTGTCATGAATTGAGTGTAATGTGGAGATACCTGCGATCCCTTATCTCTCCTTGCTCTGCCTCCCTTGATCACTTTATCTCCATCCAATGGAGCGTTAACTAATTATGGGGGATAGTGCATAAGGCGCTGTTAATCGCCTTTTCGCTCCTTCCAAATTCCAAAACTTTTATTTTGCGACGTTTTAATTCATCGACGTCTTAATAGACTTAGAATAACACGATGGAGATGGTATTTGGAAGGGAGGGGAGATTACCGAGGATTTGGGAGCAAAGGGATACTGTACATCACTCAAGGAATAAAAGTTCAGAGGAAAGGTACACGTATTCTTTTTGCAAAATTTTGCCCTTCGAAATTCATGATTTGCCGCCTTTTCCCTCACAAAAACCGCCAAAGCAGCCAGATTACACAACAATTGCATAAGATGACATAAATAAACACGCCTGATTAAAAGTAAAAGTATTTGTTTAGTCAACATGTTCGGTCCATTGTCGTATCTTCCGGTCTTCAATGGCGAAGTCGGCATGTTACATCAACTCTCTCATTGTCGCCGAAAACGGCGACATCGGACCATCTTCACCGACGAACAATTAAGTGTTTTGGAACAAAACTTTGCCCTAAATCAATACCCAGATATGGGAATGAGGGAGAAATTGGCAGTGCAGTGTGAACTGAAGGAAGAGAGAGTCGAGGTGCGGGAAGGAAACTTAGGATGTAGTAAAAGAACATTAGTTTCATCAAGGGTTTTTATTATTTGGTCATGGATAATATAACTTTATTTCCTTCAGATTTGGTTCAAAAATCGTCGAGCTAAGGAGAGAAAGAAAGGGAAAGAAGGGTCGACCTCTGCTTCTGGGCATTCTCCCCATTCAGAGGAGAGCAATCACCTTATCCATGAAGATTCAGACTTTGAAGATTACGAATCGAAGCCAATGAAGAGAGGTCTCGAGGAAAAGGACGAGGAGATCCAGCGGAAACGAGTCAAAACCAAGTAGATTCACATCGATCGTTGCTTTCACGGGTTCGCAATGACATACTACTTCAAAAAATGGGATCTGAGCTTGTTTTAGTGCAAATGTACAGAAATCAGTTGTTTCGGTTGTTTTTTCGTATTTTAGGAGTAAATAAAATTGTGTTTGGAGAGATCCAGGGACGAAGCAAGAAAGAATTCATTTCAATCGACCTTATACATGCGAACAAAAGATGATTTTTGCCTAATATTGTCCAAATGGATGTTCACTCGGGCCAAAACACTCTCGAAGAAGGCTTTTATAAGGGACCGGGGACCCTCGAAACTTTACTCTTTAGCCAGGTGTTCTGGTTTTTGTTTATTTAAGTGCCTTCAATGGGATTATGAGAGGTTGGGAGGTGATTCTCTCGACAAACAGGAGCGACACCTTTTGTTATAACAGATTAACAGGTCACAAGTCGCGGAAAAAGATGCTCTATTAGGCGTTAAGATGACTAAACATAGGCTGCAGAAACGAGGGATTACGGTAGGATCGGGGTCAAAAATTTGGGACACTGAAAAGTACAGTACACTCATAAGACTGACCAAGTTCTATAAGTTACAGTATACCTGAATGAAAGTTTCTCTACTTTATCGATTTATAAGTTACAGTATACCGACTTACAGTAACGTTTTTTTGAATGCCAAAAGGTACAGTATGCTTACAACCCAAAAAATATTTAGAAATAAACAGTATTCATGCATACAGTAATACGTTTTAATTTCCTTTAAAAAATACCGTAACCCGGATAATCCTTAGATATTCTCAAAAAGATAGGGAAACACGCGATGGCCGATTGGATTACATAACACTGGCACTGGTAACCGGATCCATTCATGGCCACCTTTCCCAGGCTCTTGACAGTTTAGTTAAAAGTCATTTGCTGAGCGAAAACAGGAGGATTAGGGAGATCCGGAGATACGACAATCAGAAAAAAAACATGGGCATCGGGGATATAATGGCTGAGAATGCGATAAACGATCTTGCGCAACGTTACACTTGCTAATATTTTCGTCAGATTAGACATTTTTTGTAATGTTATTGTGGTATTCTTGGTATATAATGGATTATTCTCGTCGTGCCATGAAATCGCCCATCATTTGGCGCGCGACAGCATCAATGTTTCGACGTTTTGAGCAAAGTCCGAATTATTTCCCCGACAGTCCCCGGCTCAGGATCTTCCAGAAGTTTTTTGTCCCATTTATCATCAGAAGCGGTATTAGTCACGCCATTTTGTTGCAAATCACCTCTCAAAAACCCTCCCAAGGGCATTCAAGTGCACTTTCGCGAATAAATACATCCCCAGCGACGTGTCTTGGCCATTTACAACTTGTACAGTATCTTCGTTTACTACATTCTCGAGTGCAGACGTTTAATTTTATATTTTTTCAAGGCGTTTTTGTTTGCTTTGGTGCAGAAAAAGTCCTCGTTTTACAGTCTGTCGGGAAAATAACGGCGGATCGTCGCAGCAAAATGTCTTGCCTCGCCGCTATCGCGCACCAAATCCCAAGCCGCGGGATGCAGTCGCAAAGCGATGATGGGCGATTTCGAGGCGCGACGATCCGCCGTTATTTTCCCGACAGACTGATATGCAATAATGTGCGACCAAAGAATTTTTTAGAGAAAAGAAATGCACTGTTTCTATCCAAAGCTCAAAACAAAAACGCACAGTGCATTTATTACCCGCTCCGCATTTTGATCGAAGTGCTCAAAACGGCCGCATAGTGCAGCCTCAAATTTGAAAAATCAGCCTGCTCAGGCACATTTTTCACAACGACAAAAAAGCGACAAGATTGGCACTGAAAGTCGGTGCAAGCCGTGGCTTTGTCTCTGAACTGAACTCATTCGCAAAACAATGAGAAAAGGCAGTCGACTCTTGCTCGATCGCGAGATCCTTGTCGCGTTTCACGATTTCACGGCTGTCGCTGCTTTCGGGGCAGAAACTCCTGATACTCTCTCTTAAATCCTTTGTTTTTACTATTTCTTCGTCCATGATAGTAATCCCAGTATTTATATTTAATTTTTTTTCAAATCCATCGTCGCTGGTGGTCTCAGATGTCACTCAAAGTGGATCGAAGTAATTTTTAGATGTTATTTTGCCATCTCCAGTGTTTACAACATTTATTAACGAGTAATCCCCATCAATTAATCGGTAAATTGGCAGTTAATTAGTGGGGTAAACAGCTCTTTAATTAGAAAATAATCCTGTTTATGTCCCGGAAGCCCCGAGACTGCCGTTTTCTGGTGTAAATCCGTCCTCTTACATCTTCTTTCACTTCTTGAATCTTTCTGAACATCCGCATTCATGTCATCCTTGAGATTCCTTCAATATTTTATTCCTAAAAGTCTTGCGGATTTTGTAAAAAATTGGACTTGTTTTGTCTGTATGATTACTGTAGTCTCGGAGAAAATAGGCAAAAAAAGCCAAATGAGAGCTTAACGAAGCATGACTTTTTGCAAAAAATCCGTTTGGCCGTCCCTCCTCGTTTCCCACAATCTCTCATTACCAAAAATCAGCCCTTGTTCTGCAAATTTTGAATCCGATTTTTATGCATCTGTTGATACAAAATCTAAAAAAATATCTGATCTTCTCTGCCCTGAGGGCAGACTGATTGTCCTCCGAAAATAGTATCTTTTATCGCGTATCTCCAGACCATCTTCTTTTTTCCTCGTAATTGAGAAAACAGATTTATTTTTTCGTATAAAATGTCACCAACTGTGAGGCAATGAGTCAAATTTCTACATTGTTTTTGCTGAAATGTAATTCGGATTTGTCATGCAGGTTCCCACTGGCTGTATTTCCTCGCCCAAATATTATTTTAGCCTTCGAGAATGGCCAAGTATTTGCAAACAGAGGTACGACGATCGGTTTGTCATGTTTACACTCGTGGATGTGAAGTGTAAACATCCACTCGCGCTGCAAATCTAATCGCATTCGTCATGAAAAATAAAAAATGCCCACATTTTTTGTGGTAAATCTTATTTCACGCAGTTTTTTCGATTTAAACTCTCAAAGATCAAGTGTAAATGTGACCTCCACACCTACAAGTGCCATCGCCCACATTCCAGGAGATGATCTGTCATTTTGGGCCCTTTCTCACGCGAATCTTTTGTGTAATTCTATATTAAATATGTTATAGCCTCTGCCGATATTCGCCCTTCTCAAGTGTTGTCCCTGCCCTTTTTCGTCTTCCGAAAGTTCTATTTTTAGTCCAAACTATGTCTCAGAGTGTTTTTTCTCTTAAATTTCTGACCTTTTTTTGATCTTCACCATGAATAATATCTTTTGCATAACTTTCTTGAATAATATCCCAAATCAGCATTTAATCTTGAGGTTTCTGACGTCAAGAGGTCTTTAATCTTGCATCCACGGCCATTTTCGTATTTTATTCGTTCAAATTGCCCATTCAGCCCTTTCTTAAGTCATCACCCCTAAACGGCCTCTAAATTACCTACTTTCATTCATTCATAAATGCGTGTTTTTCTACTGTCATCCTCTCCGAAACCTCCTCAGACCACTTCCTGGAAGGAGTTTTGGATCGTTGCAGGCGAACCCTCCCTCTTTTTTTAATTTTCACAAAAATCCGAACGAACACTCCTGCTGTCAACACTCTTGGCAATCATTCCCATTCCAACCTTTTGGCTGTGCCAAACTTTGGCTTGCTGGTCCAACAATTTTGGAATATTCTCTGTAAATATAGGGCCGACCCAATCCGCCCCACATGGAAAGTTGCGAAATATAGTCATCGTAAACGCTTCACAAATGTCCACACCATTTTTGCTAAATAAAAACCGCTGCTATGGCCATAAAGTTCCGGCTCATTTATCGCGGATGTCGCGCGAAATGCATGTCGCTAGTGCAAAACGAGGAATGGCGGGTGCGAAAGAAAAACGCACTGTGCAAAAGTGTCGGGATTTTATGTCTTCACTTTATGTCGCGGGTAGTAGTCGTAGAAGTTACATACAGACCAAAGAAACATAACTTTTTAGGCTTCATAACCTAGTGCATGCACTAGGTTATAGTGCAGCATAAAAAACTGTCCCGTTGCGGAAAAAAAAAATTGTTTTTTGGTCCCATAACACCTCCGACATTCCAATACTGGTTGTGTGTTGCTCGGAAACCTACTATTCAGTATTCAAAGTTATGGTTTAAGTAAAAAATATTTTTTTTCAAAAAGTTGAAAGATCCAGAGAGAAAGTAACATTAATTATCTCTCTTTTCGTATTACTTTTTAACGTTTTGGCCATAAAACTACAGTATCTCATCTCTTTTTCAAGAGCCAAATTTTTTGGTCCAGTAATTTGTCTATAACTTTAAATTTTTGTTTTTCTCCCGAATTCTGAAGGATTCAGGAGTCCGTCGCCGATTTCTGAAGATAGTTCGTTATGAGAGAGAGGGGGCGGGGTTAATTGGAGGCCATTCAGGCCGTTAATTAAGAGATTTCTGGGTGGGGGAGGGATTAAAAATGCCAAACTTATTTAAATACCGCTCAAATTGTACTGAATTACTAGCCGATTACCGGGAAAATATCTTGTAGCAACATATCCGAATAAATCTTGCGGATTTGTCCGAATTTTTAATATTTTCTTACTCTGTAGTAAAAGTATTAGCTGAACCCTGATTTTATAAGTAATACTAGTTTAACTAATAATTGTTACTTTCGAAAATTTTTTTCGTCAGACTTTTTTACAGTAATTCCAAATTCTTTTTAACTCCTTGTTTCTTTAAGCAGTAGTCGTCTTCTGTCACAAAGTCCATAGAAATCGTTGTAATGGGAGGTTATTGAAGACGGAATTACTTGTTTTTGAGTTTTGTAATCCTCGAAAAGTAATAATATTTTCGTGAGACCCCTTTTTACGGTCATTCTGACGCGTTTTTATTTTTATTAAAAATAATTACAATTTTTTACTGCTTCCGGTTTAGTTGTAAACATAACATTTTGGCTTACATTCCCCTCGAATTTCGTGCGGCGACAGATTTTGTTCAATCCCTAAGGGCATTTCCTCGTACTTTATTACTGAAATACCTAGATATCTCTGGAAAAGGGGGAGGGTTCAGTCAAGGAGAAGAATCTCAGATATCCCAAATAGTCTCATTCTTCCAGAAATGACGTTGGGAGGGAGTTGCGGGTGTCGGAATGAAATCTTCAGACATAAGACGACCAATTGCAATGTAATATTTTGACTGCACTTCGGTACTCCGTCCGGCCGGGTTTCAGTCGATTTCTGGTTGCTTAGCGCCCTAAAGTTTGGGTGAAGCCTCAGTTTAGCTGACAAGGGAAGGCTTCCAAGTCAGATTTTCTTTAAACTTTGCAAACACGTCAGGCTGCCATATGATGCCTAAAGCTACGCATCAATCCCTGAAGGTTTTCGCTCGCGCTTTGCAGGCGCGGCCGAGACATTCGACGATATTTGCGACGAGAAAAAACACTTTTTATTTGAATGGTAGATCTTTTACCGGGTCTGAAAACGGTTGGTTATGAGATTATTGCGTATTCTTCAAAATTTCCCATTTTCTTTCTTGCCAGCCTAATAGCTATGAGAAAAGGCCGGTCGTGCCTAGACGGCGTATGGAAGGCCAACCAATGTTTATTTGTTATGATTTGATCGGAGTCATGATAAGTCTATCATGGTTAATCCAATAAAGATTAGACACTTCGTGGTCATCTGTTTATAGGAATCTATAATAACGAATCGAGTGCCCCTTTGTCTCCCCCTAGTTCAACATCGGAAAACAGGAGAGGAGATGCTCCTTTCCTTGAAAATCTCATCATCTCGCACCGACAAATCCCTCCCTTTGTCTCCACCAAGACTGTAGGCCAAAGTTAGCACCTTAGGGCGGATAAACAGCGCTAACGACGCCTTAACTGGAACCCCAACTGATTTGATTACCGCCTCCGAGAACTCAAATTTCCGGATAAATGTATTCACAACGAACATTTTTTGACGCGAGCCGAAATTCGAACCATGTCCAAGTTTGCGGTCATAAGAGCCCTGAGGGGAATACGCGGCTCTTCACCATATCATCCACGTAATCGCGAATTTGGGAGAGAACGGGTTTTCGGGTGCAAATACCGTAACCCGGGTATTCTTAGCAGGGTCTTGCAAGCAGCCGAATGGCTTGCGTAACTAGGTGACATCTTTATCACTTCAACATTTTATTTATTCGGTCACCTATGTACGTGTGATTCATCGAAGGCTCCTGAAATCTGTTCCTAATCGTAAGCTCTTAATGGTAAGATACATCCGGAAACAACTCCAGATAATCCAGATTATCTTCATGATTCAGCCCTTCACCCAATCTTCCCCTTCGACCCTATATTGTCTGCTCCTTCATCATTTATATTGTTTGATATTCTCCTTGCCGGTCCAGCTGTCCATTTCTTTTGTTTATAACATATCTACAGTATACCCCGAACACTCAGCTATTCCAGATATCTCTGAGGGCCCCGGTATGTTTTACTTTTTGCAGAGATGATGTATATGTAAAGGATATCGGCACTTCCTTTGTTCCATAACCAGTCCCCCTTTTAAGGACAGTAATTCTAGATTTCAAACCTAGTTATTATGGCCAACCTACCGTGCTTTCGCTGTGACGGAAACAAAACGTGATTTATTTAATTTCTGTTATTACCTCCGGCTCTGCTTATTAGACTTGTTTCTCTCGTTTATCTATCTTCGCTACACGCCTTGACGTCTTTTTAATTCGATTAGGACACCCCTAATTACTAATTTCCTGTCCTAATGCCAACCGTAATACGCATTGTGAAACTCGGTAAATATGTGATTGTCAAAAAGAGATTAACCATTCTTCCCGTTATAACAATCTTATTCTTCTTTCGAACTGATTAATCTTTAAGTCAAAAGGCAGATCCTGAGGGCGGGGATTACCATGGATATGTCTTGAGTACGTATTCGGAATAGAAGGTAATGATGCCCTCTGAAGAAAGAGGTATACTGATGGAGACACCTCTCCGTCGAGATATTTCAAGGGTAATATAAACCCCAAGATTTTACGTATATTCATCCGGATTGTCTGGTCATATTGTCCCCTATGAACTCATTAACCGTTCGTGTTTATAATAATAATAATTGATTGCATAGCGTGACCCTCAATTATACTAACCATGAACATCTTTCTTTTTCTTGTTCTTCATTTCTGTATTTATTATATATTTATGTGTAAACGATGTTTTATCAAGTGTTTCCCATAAATACAGTATGCGTCATAATTATAACCGCACTTTAAAAATGAGTGTAACTTTTGTGATTGTGAACAGAAATCTGTCATATTTGGCACCAATGTGCATCAGTGTACTAGAAATGATGTCCCAAAAAAATATTTTGAAAGCTTTCCGTATTTTAGAAAAAAGCTGCAAAAACCAAAATTTTGGTACTTTTCGGTGCGTCAAAATTATAACCGCACTTGCGAATTTTGGCTATTATAGTCTAATGAAAACACAGAATATCAATAACTGATGTTTAGTTACGCTCCCCGAGGCCTCAATAACGGCCATCACACGACTCGGAACCCTCTGCGCAAATTTTTTTGGCGCATCCTGACCCATCTTGTGCCTGAATCGGAAAACGGCAGATTTTCACTCAGTTACGGTAGAATACCGCTGGTTGTAGCGATGCAATTAACGGGGGAGGAGGCCCCACAAGTTTCCTATCGGATTTAAACCCAGGGAATATGCGAGCGAGTCTATGGTGGCAAATGCCTTGCTGTCAAAGGAACTGGTATGTCGACCTGCTATTGTGGACGTGGGCATTCTCCAACAAAAGTATAGCCAGATTGCCAGTACGGTACCAGATGTTCGCCTAAGACTTCGTAGTACTCAAGGCCTTTCATTTGAGTCGCTGTGGCCGTCAACGGAAGGCCTCCGGCTTTTTTGACGGCGCCCCAAATCATCAGCCGGCGGCCTCTATAATTACGGCATAAGAAGTAACGCTATTCGTTTTTAATCTCATGCCATTGGTATGTAAGACCGTCAAGGCTATCACGCTACTACCCAATCTACAAGGAATATGGTACTGCAACGGTCAAACGTCGATTTCAGCGATCTGTCACTAGTCAACCTCTGTTGTGAATGTATCCTTGGCAAATTTCGGCCGCAGGTTGCCGTAAACTGCGGTCAGCTGGGGTCACAACGTCACATACTGCCATGTGATGACGTCGCTGTGTTTTCCGACCCTCAGCACGGTGCTCCCGTTGCTACTGGAGCTCAGATCTTGATTTAAGTGAACCCCAGAGATGGCAGAGTTAGAAGCCCGGCGGATTATTTCTTTTCAACCGGAAGCAGTGGTAAACTTTTGTCTGCCATAACATTTAGAATTGTTAAAAGCTTCCGAGGCGACCAGAAAGTTCCTCACAACTTGGGCCCAACGGTCTTACTGCGCGAAAATCTGCCGTTTTCCGATTCAGGCACAAGATGGGGCAAGATGCGCCAAAAAAATTTGCCCAGAGGATTCCGAATCGTGTGATGGGCGTTATTGAGGCCTCAGGGAGCTTAACTAAACATCAGTTATTGATATTCTGTGTTTTCATTAGACTAATAGCCAAAATTCGCAAGTGCGGTTATAATTTTGACGCACCGAAAAGTACCAAAATTTTGGTTTTTGCAGCTTTTTTCTAAAATACGGAAAGCTTTCAAAATAATTTTTTGGGACATCATTTCTAGTACACTGATGCACATTGGTGCCAAATATGACACATTTCTATTCGCAATCACAAAAGTTACACTCATTTTTAAAGTGCGGTTATAATTATGACGCATACTGTATCATCCCTGAAAAGTTGGATTTCCTGAACCTTTTCCCACTCTCGTCAAGTACTTGGCTCTAAATTTTCCGAATCGCGTGAATTGCAATTAATTCGGAATCTGGATTCAGAATTCCCCGAGGATTTGAGTGCGAATTACGTAATCCTTTTTTCAGACTTCGTTTTTGGGGCCGATAAGGGTAACACATCTCTTTCTTTTTTAAATACAGTAGTCGAAATGGTGCAGAAAAGTGCTTGGCAAATGCTGATCCTGCTCCTCCTCGCCGTGTTTTCCACCATCCAGGCAGATCGACAATGGAGTGCTGGAGTTGGCCTTTGGGGAAAAAGATCCTATGTAAGCGGAGATTACAAGAAGAACTTTACTTTTTATTTCAAAAATTTTAATTATAATATTTCTTACGATCATCTGATTTCAGCCGCTTCTACGGAAACGATCGCCTGATTTTAACCCTAATGGAGAAGCAGGGCTCTGGGACAAAAGAGCACAATGGCAAGCTGCCAACGGACTCTGGGGAAAACGGTAAGATTTCTTACTCGTCTTTTCTAACGTCATTACAAGCCTATGAGTTATGCAAAGGACGCGCTTTCCACTGTTCGCAAATAGGATAAGCTGTAGAAAGGTACCCAAGAGGGAAGGTGCCAAAATTGGCAAGCACTCTGCTAGTGAGAAGTTCTTTGCAGACAGCATAGTTTTTTCAAAACAAAAATAGTGTCGTTATGAAAACAACAAAATTAACTGATACACCCTATAAATTCATCAAAAAAAAAGAACCATTACTACATAGTATAACATCTGAAATTTAATATCGCTCGTTTCAGGTCAGTACCTCCAGTTCCTCAATACGTACCGTGGAATTAACGACAGTTCAAGTGACAAGTACCTTAATTCTTGAGACCTGACGCCGCGCTCCTTTCCAACAACATACTACTAATGTTCAGTTGTACTCCTTTGGAATACCTTAATAAAGAAAATGTTTATGTTTTTATAGAGTACAAATAGATTTGTATGCTAAACACATTGTACATTATAATAAATAATATTATGTTAGTTTAAAGACCTTTCTCGCCATATTAATTTGACCATAACGTCTCCATATATCACTACAAAACGCCGTCAATGATAAGGTCTACTGACAGTAATATTACTGCGTTACAGCACAACATATAAAGTAGAACTGAACAATATAAGGACAAACTAGCATTTTGGACTCACCATAAGTGTTAAAGAAGTAACTATCTGATACTATGAGTTAAAGTCTATGAAATCGTTACCCCAATCACCATTTCCGACAAGTTATTTTTTGAAAAATCCTGATTTTTCTATACCAAAATTTTTCCCGGTACCCAGTTTCCCAGCCCCCAATTTTAATGCAGACAAATTCCGAAAACAATAATTGTTTCCGTTAATTTATAACGCAATGCCAGAATCAAGGCATTCAGGGACTGCGTGAACCACTTCGTGTTAGCCTATCGCTCGCAGTTATGGTATATTTTTATTTCTATAGCAAAATTTTTCTCAAAATTTTTCGGAAAGGAATGAAAATCTATGAAATTTAGCATGTTTTACATTTCGCTTTCACCTTCCGACCTGCGTTTATTATAGTCATATATGTTTTTCGTGTTTTTGATGTTGTTTGAACTGGTTGGACTACGGGCTTACTGGAATCATCCTGATTTTTCAATTTCAGGGTAAAATGGCTGCCAGGCCAGTTGTAACAGTCTATAATGAAAAGAATGAGCCTTCTGGCACTGAAGTCAAACTCCCAGCCGTCTTCCGTGCTCCTATCCGCCCTGATGTCGTGAGCTTCATCCACGATCAGATCGCCAAGAACAAGCGTCAACCTTACGCCGTTTCCGACAAGGCCGGTAAGTTGCATCGAAGTTTTTCATGTTCTGTGTTCAGGTCACCAAACCTCTGCCGAGTCTTGGGGTACCGGACGTGCTGTTGCTCGTATTCCTCGTGTCCGGGGTGGTGGTACTCACCGTTCTGGTCAGGGAGCTTTCGGTAACATGTGCCGTGGTGGATCTCTCGCCGCCCCAACAAAGACTTATCGCCGTTGGCACCGTCGGGTCAACGTTGCTCAACGCCGATTCGCCGTTGCCTCCGCGATTGCAGCTTCTGGAGTTCCTGCTCTCGTACAGGCTCGCGGTCACGTCATCGACAAGTTGAACGAGATCCCACTTGTTGTCTCTGACAAGATCGAGGGGCTTAAGAAGACCAAGGATGCCGTTACTTTCTTGAAGCGTGTGAACCTCTGGGACGATATTGAGAAGGTGGGTTTCTTATATTATTCAAATTGGAAGATTTGTTTTGAATTTTGGAGTATTAAGGTGCATGTTTTTAGGTCTATGCCTCCAAGCGTCAACGCGCCGGTCGTGGAAAGAGCCGCAACCGTCGCCACAAGCAGAAGCGCGGACCAGTCATTGTCTACGGAAACGATGGAGGTATTGCCCATGCCTTCAGAAATATCCCAGGCATTACCCTCCAGAAGGTCACTTCCTTGAACTTGCTCAAGCTGGCCCCAGGAGGACATCTTGGACGTCTGATTGTCTGGACCGAGAGCGCTTTCCGCAAGTTGGATTCCATCTTTGGAACCCTCACCCGCAAATCCGACCAAAAGAAAGGGTGGATCCTTCCCCGCGCCAAGATGGTCAACTCCGACTTCAAGCGTATCATCAACAGCGAGTCTGTTCTGCAGGCTGTGATCCACAAACCAATCAAGGCAACAGTCCGCAAGGTCCACCGCAACCCACTTAGGCAGAAGAAAATCTTGGCCAAGCTGAACCCATACTCCGAAGTAATCCGCCGTGCTGCCGTCTTGGCCAACGCCAAGGTAGCGCAAAAATAAATGTTATTCCTTTATTCTGTTGTTTTTGGTTGAATAAATTGTTTCATAAATTTGCTATATTTACTTTTTTCCAAGTGTTATAAAGTTATACATGAAAATAGGTTACGGCCTAGGTTAACAAGTAGTGAACATGACAAGCTACGAAATAATGAGCTAACAAATGGTTGACGATAGTGCGGGTTTTGATTTCTCCATGAACTTGATTAGGGTTTGTTGAATATTGTTGTAGTTGTGGATGATTGAACTGTTCCGATACTTCTGCGCCACGCTTTTGCACTGTCCTGATTTCCTCACCCTCATCACGGCGGCCGCGACTCCAACAGCCAACTTCTCGATTTCTGCAGCGGTCTTGTTGGAGGCCTTGAATAAGTAATCGTTGAATGTTACCCCCAGCACAAAGCAACTCAAGGAGTAAGAACCGACAGCCAACTCCGAAGGAAGCCATTGAGATGTATGATAAACGATCATACCACAATCTGCAAACAGTTGGGCCAGAGCGTAGACTTTCTTGGTGTCATCGGAAGGTAGTTGGGCGAATGCCCTCAGTTTCCTCAGAAAATGGCATGGATATGCAAAGTGAAGGTTAAATTTCAAGGCTTTAAGGACCTAAAACACAATATTATTGTAGATTTAACGCCTACCTGCAATTCTGTTGCAAGAACATTCTCACTTGTACATTGTCTTCCACCGAAATACGCGATGTCCTTAATGTGAGGGACGACAACTTCCTCGTATTTCAAAGCAATGTAGAGGCAAGTGACGGCAATCAACTGATAATTGGATTTGTTCACATCCATCAGAACACAACATCGGTCGGTCAGATTGATCGTCAAGGTCCACGCTTCCTGGCTGCACTTTATTTGGACGGCACAAACATTTAGTACCCAATCGACCAGTAATTCTCTCATTCTAGGCTCCACTGCTCGTCCACGGAGGAAGTCCGGTTCCATTTGTTTCTTCTTCTCCAGTATCCTCAAGTAGTTATCCACATCTTGAGCTTCCCTTGGACTCAAATAGAAGTCTTTCCCTCCATATACAGGGACACCTTCTCCTTTGCAACTCTGGAAAACGACGTTACTGTCTAAAAAGCAAAGACACTTACTTCCGTTGATCTGATGAAATTTATGGGAGTGTTTACATTCACATTGTTATCTTCCTAAACGTAATATGCAGAGGCAAATTTACTTACTGGACGAAAAGAAGAGCGTCTGAACATGTTAGAGAGCTGGCCAGAGATGCTGGAAAACATTGGTGGAACAACAGAAATTAGTATGTGACGACCCCAATCCCATTTCGCTTTTGCCTGCGGAGGTCAAAGATGACTACATTTTTAGAACAACGACGAACAATCCACCAAAGCTTAGCGTACATTTTTATCCAAAATCAACCGTAACAATAATCAGCAACAAAAGATTTATCTTTAATATTCTCCACGAGCCAACTGACGGCGTTGTTTTTTCTTCGACTCCTTCTTGGTCTTGATGGCAACATCGGTGGGCTTGGAGACAACGTCTTTCTGTTCGGAAAGGATGAACTCGACATGGCATGGGGATGACATGTAGGCTAAAATGACAACATTAAATCATTGACATAATGAAAATCAAAAACTCAAATTTAGAAGAAACTTACGATTGATGCGACCGTGAGCTCTATAAGTCCTTCTGCGCATCTTAGCGGCACGCTGGACAACAACGTGTTCGACAACGAGATGATCAACATCCAACCCCTTGACCTCAGCGTTAGATTCGGCGTTTCTGAAAGTAAATGATTACTTACAAGTTGAAACTATCAGAAATCATTCAGAGGTGATAAATTTCAAATCAATATAAAATTCGGTTACACCTAAAAGCGAAGCCAAAAAAATGCAAAGCTTACCTCAATAAACCGAGCAGGTAATCAGCAGATTTGATGGGCCATCTTCCCTGGGTAACGTTCCAGGTCTTAGCTTGGGCCTTGCGGCCGACGGTGTGCTTGAATCGCCGGAAAGGAACGATCTCCTTCTTTTCCTTGACATTCTCCAAGAATCTGATGGCGCGCTTGATGGTCATGCCTTTCAGGGCACGTGCGGTTTCATGGGTGTTCTTGAAGTGAACACGGAGGTCGGTGCCGCGAGCCTTGCACGACTTGGTGTTATTCTCAGGCTCCTTGCAGTAATGGACCTTAGTCATTTTACCCTGAAAGCAATAAAATCAATGTATACCATCAAAGAATAATTTTACAACAATGTAAATTTTCTAAAATACGCAAATAAAACGTAAATAGAATCGGTAAAAAATATAAAAATTTCTCCAGTTTTAGTGAGACCTATACCGTATTCGCTCCACTTTAACTAAAAATTGGCGTCTCCCGAAACGATAAGACGAAATGCCAGGAACGAAGTGCGGGCGCAGCATGCGAATAGAAAATAAATATTTTTTTTTGACGGAAATTATGGTTGCTTTTGTTGGAAGATGTAGTAATTGCGTATTTGTACTTACTGCCGGTCTCAAGGCTGTCGTGTTTATAGGCAGATATTATTATTTACCATAAGATGGAGCAAACATTAGCCTTATCTTGTGATGGATGCGGCTTCTCTTACCAATCGTTTGAATTACTCGCGGATCATCTCAGAAACCTTTTGTCTGATAGATATCATCAACAGCAGACATATGTCTGTACATGTAATAGCAACTTGCTATACAATATCCAGCAATATATTGCGCATCTTTCTCTTGAACATGATGCGACAAATCAACAAAGTAAGAAGTAGTACAACTCAAGTGTATTATTGATAGGCTCTTCTGTTCAAAACGTGGGTAGAAGGAAGTACATCTGTCCAGAATGTTCGAGAGAGTTTGCCGACAAGAGTAATATGAAAAAACACAGGAAATTGCACTCAGGTATTTTAAATCCAAATGTTGTTTGAATATTTAGGTGATAAACCCCATGAATGCAATATCTGTAAACATTCATTTGCCAAAAGAAGTAACCTGACCCAACATCTGGCAATGCATCAACGCTCATCAACGGATGTCTTTAAGTGTGCGGTTTGTGAAAAGGAATACTTTTCAAAATCGGCATTAAAACTTCATTTTCGAGTTCATACAAATGAATCGCCCTTCAAGTGCAAAAAATTGGAATGTGACTTGGCATTTAGGTTCGTCGTCCAACAGCCATCTTCCCCGTCCAATACTTACAATATACATAACATTTACAGAACCCGGAAATTATTGAACTCTCATGTTAACCGGACACATTCGTCGGTTGTGGGATCAAACCAACGTTCGTATTCCCCTCATTCGGCGCAAAAAGTTGTAAGACAGATAGCCGAATTAAGTGGAACAAAGATTTCTGAGGACCCTCCATTGAAGGCCTCGGCTACCTCAGCTTTTCAACGGGTGTCTAGTGGATCAAACACGTCGGCGGCTCCAAGGAACCGGCTTCAACGTCGAGCATCCGAAACTGTAGCGCCAACATCGCAGATGATAAGGTTTAATAGTAGTGTGGACATATAACAATAAACAAGATCTGCACTTTGGAGCGTAATAAGGATAAAAGTGTACAACAGTAACAAGTTGGTGGTTGGCTAGAGAAGCGGGATAACTGGTCGAGAAGAGCTAGACGTCTGGGCTGGAGTAGACGAAGACGAGGAGCTCGGTTTTCTGGAGAGACAGATCAGAGTAAACTAGCCTGGCTTTGGGTTTGTTCGTTCGGAAAGATATACTGTCCCGTCGCTTTCGTTAGTAAAATGCGTTTTAAAATGTTTACTATTATATTAGATCCTATTCCATCCCGATTCGGTCAACGTCCCATTTTAACCAAAACAAAGCCAGGCCAGCCTACCCTTCCTTTTCGTCAGCACTCTGGCTGGCTGGTTTGCTTTCAGACGATGAGTACCCATCACTGTACTTGGAGATTAGGGTCACCTTGGACAACTTGAGGTAAGCGACGGGCGCGACCGCATTGTCCGAATGAAGAACGGCTTCACAGAGGTCGACGGAGATTCTGGATTCATGGAGAGGAGAATCGATCACATAAGTCTCGTATTCTCCGCCTTCTCCACAAATATGGGCGCCATATTTCTTATTTGCCTCAATCAGTGGTTCTTTAGCCTAAATATAAACAATTAATAATTACTGTAACATCCATACCTCCTTGAGCGTCATTCCAAGATGTTTTGTGGACAGCCCGGCTGATGCGACTTTAATGATTATGGCATCAATCCCGTCTTGAATCATGTCATCTAGGAGTTCCAGCTGATCTCTTTCCCAAAGATAACAAAGAACTTTGAGTCCCAATCTTTTGCAGACATTCTCCACTCGGTCTTTTTGATAACTGCTCAGGATAGCTCCCACTGAGACTGCTAAACATGGTTTTGTGAAAAATAAGTTCAACAATCCCTAAATTCTTAATAACAACATCAAATTTATATAAACCAACCTTCAATTTCTGGATTCTGGGCTTTAATGGTACTTAACAAACAATACAGGTCCTCCACTTCATCTCCATCTTGCTCTTGGTACTTTCCTTGCACATTTAATGGCTTTCCTTTGATTTCTTTCCGATATAATGGTAGCTGAAGGGCTGCGGCCATCGCTTTAATTCCCTCGGCACCAACTGACTGATACATCCAGGAATCGAGCTCTGCTTCTCCTTGAGGGGGATGGAGATTGGCCAAACAGACGATCTCATGACCTTCCTTCTTTGCTAAATACAAGTTGTACAAGCTGTCCTTTCCACCCGAGATGAGTCCGACGATCTTCATGTCTGTTATAATATTACTCGTTTTCCCGTCTTTCAGATAGGTGGTCGCATTACCTTAGTCAAGTTAATCTTGTCAGAAATCATTACCATTTATTTAAAACATCTCAGGAAACAAAGAATTCATAAAAGAGGATACGAATAATAGACTAACTTAAGGTCAATTTATTTATTTTCAATAACCCACTCGCGGATTGCAAGGCTTTTAAGAAGGGTGTACTTGACGGGACTTGGTTACTTGTATAGCAGATGTGTAGGGGTTGTTCAGGAAAGATCTGTAACCCATTGATTAGAATATTGTTTAACTTGGTTGAAACCTTAGACTATAACTTACATGAAAGGTCGACTGGAGAATGACGCTCCAATTGCTCTTTGGCGAATTGCACGTATTCCTGGTGCTTCTCATCCAACTTGCGGTTCAAAACAGTCTCATATTCATGGCGAAGACGCATTTCCTGCTCTTTCAACAAACGATCACAGATCAGTTTGACCTGGTTCAGAGAGAAAGCTGGCTTTTCATACAATTCCTTCTTGATATCGACGGATGAGCATGGAGAACGGGTGCTGGCTGACTGTTCTCCTTCCGAATCACTGCCACTCTGAAATGAACCACACTGTCACCAAATATTCCCGGAATTTATAGCAATTTCTAAATGCAGAAACAAAATAAAATACTTACGTGAGAAGAAGACGGAGAAGAAGCACCTCTGCGATAGTCCTGTGGTGAGGGTCCCGTCGATGGCCCCTCTCCAGCGCGCCGCGGAATCAACTTCCGACGCTTCAGGTACCGAATTTCAGTGCGAAGATAGTCCTCCAACTGATTACTCGATAAATGCGATGATGAGCGAACGGAAGAAAAAGGCGAGGCACTGTTGTCGGTTTCCTCCACCGGTCCACTTGTTTGAGGTAGGTTGGCAGCAAGAGTGCCGAGCTGAGGGCGGAAGGGAGAGCAATGAGTGGGACGAGGTCGCTTCAATTCTACTCCGGCTTCAGGACTCAGGTAGGCTTCATAATCGTGAGGTCTTTTCACGGCCAAACCACACGTCATGATGTATATAGACTACACTGAATGATGTGATCGATAACTATATCACTACGATTCACGCTTTACAACCAACTTTCGCGGAGAAAATGGGGAAGTGAAGGTTTTGAAATCGTCCAAAAAAGATCGATCAGAAAAAGAATATTCACGGCAAGCACGGCCTTTTCAGACATTCAAAGGCCATTTCTTAATATCTTTCAAAAAATCGATGTTCTTCATCCCTCAGATTTTAATCGACAAATTTCCCAAACCGAAAGTCCCTAAAAATTTTGATTTCAAAAGAAATTGTTACAGACCAACGAAAGGAATAATATTTGCGCAGCATGGGGAAAAATCAATTTCCAGCGAAAAAACGGAAACTCGGCATATACGCGAGCCGAAACAGCAACTGTCAGAGGAAAGTTGGTTGCGCGGCCGGTACCCAAGTTGAAGATCGAGACCACGCGCAGGTCCGAAACTCAAACGGACGGCGTCGAAAGCGGGTCTTTTCTGTCTCATTCTTTCCCGTCTTCCATTTAATTCCACCAAGTTTTCGCCACGAGAGCGGGAGACGAGCAAACAACCTTGTTCAGCTGCGCCCGAGTCTGTCTCCAACTTGCAGTCTGCTCCGAACATGTTATACGGGATTGTTTCGCAGAGCGCGCCCGACATTTTATCGGTCTTTTGTTACCTTTTTTTGACCAGCGGGTTTCTTAGTGGCGTGTAAATGAGAGGTTGGGGGTAATTAATTACACTAATTAATGGCAAATTTAAACCGGAAAACAAGTTAACTGAGTACTTTTCAACGCACCCCATTTGACTCGGCCAAATTGTTTACTGCTCACGCGTGTTTCCGATTGGATTTTTATGGCCACACAGTTGAGAACGTCAAAAGCTTGACATAGCGTGATTGGGAATGGTCCCCATCTTATGATTAGCATCGACCGAGACTTTGTTTTCTCTGGATAAACAAGAAAAAAGGTCTAGATCCAGAGTTATCCGTGGATTCAGCTGGTTGTTTACTTATTTACTTTCTCTTGCAGATAGATAATCGAGTGGATTCTGGGTTCCGAGTTTTGAGCGACCGATCAAAAGTAGCAATATTCCTTGTTTCTATAGGTTTTGATGTTTTTCATCTGGTTTAAGACCTGCGTTCAATTATAACTACTTTCGTTGTTCCCTGAGATTGTAAATTATATGGAAATTTCAGGGTTTCCGCCTATATTGAACTACTTATAGCTTTAAATGGCAAATGAGTCCAAGGACACTAAACGGTAATTGTTTATTTACTCCACAAATCCTCCTCAATTGGACCCTTAGGCTCTCCCTGACTCCTTCCCTTGTTGTTGCTAGCGTCTGAGGCTCGGAAGATTAATGAGAATTGATTGCAAAAAATATACTTGTGACAACTTTTGACGGATATTTGTTTAGATGATGTCTCTAGAGTTATTTTCCTTTTTTGAAACGAAACTTCCTCATCCTTTCATAGGTCGTTTGGTTGGGAGAGACGGCAGATATTGAACATCTGCCGTTAGAAGGATAAATGCCCCAAAAAGACTTCCGGCCGAGAAGAGCCGCTTCTGTCAACTCTTGTTGTAAATGTCCTCTTTGGGAGATGGATGTGGAGGTTTTGATCTGTGCCCGTTCGAAGATCCCTATCAGTTCTTTTGTCCGGGACATGAATTGAACAAGATGCAGACCCTACATTGTTTTTCGGAGGGGAAGTTGGCTGTCTTTCGACCGTTCTCTTCCTTTCATCGCTGTTAATTTTTTATTTATCGCAATTAATTCTTCCTTCACGTTTATAATTAATGTCTTTTATGTGGAAAGTACTGTTTTCTGAGTCCTGAGGTAACTATTCTCAGAGTTTTTGTCAAGGGTTGTGTTTACAGTTTACAAGAGCATTCGGTAATCGAATTATCTGCTTCAGAGTGTCATTCGGTTCTTCAAACGATGTCAGATTAATTGTGTATGACGAGCCCAACTGTGCCACATACACGTTTCACAAGAAAAAGGAGCATCCGAGGTAAGTGGAGATGAAAATTGGGGTCCCTTTGCCGTCTCGGAGAGCCGCCTTTGATAAGAACAGGTCTCCAAATTCATATCTCACGCTTCTCTCATTTCTGAAATGGTTCTCGTTGAGGTCACCGACCAAACTGTGGGTTCCCATTACAAGGCCACATTTCTCGCCTCGAATGGCTTTATAAAAGCTGTTCGTTATGTGTTTTTCTTTTGCTTCTGGCCCATTTTCGACTTGCATTCGGCCTCCGGGTCTCTTAATTAGATCACTAAAAGAGGCACAGGATCGATGGCTGAAACAAAAAAATGCGCGTTTTAAAGGATTTTTACATCGGCTCTATGAAAATTCGACCCTTCCTCGCTGTCGTCTTTTCCCGGTCTTTTTGCACTAAACTCTCGTTGAATGCCTTTTTCCATTCGGACGCGAAGGGAATAAGAGACGGGACTGCTCTCGCCCAGTTTCGACCTCCCCCCTCATCCGAACACTCTGTCGCCCTCTGTTTTTTTGATTGTTCTTGTGGCCTATCCGTGCTCCAGGCCTCGTCCTATCATTACCTCTTCTTTTTATTTTTTTTTGTCTTTTTTGATCGATTTCCGTGTGTTTGAAACGGGTTCGGCTCTTGTCGTGTCGTTGTTCAATCCCCAAAGTTGAGGCCCCAATCTCTGTCTCGTCTGCATTTCGTGTCCCTTTCGTCGCTGTATGGATTCAAGTGATCGTTCTAGGTCCGAGACTCCGGATCGAGTTTTGGTGAGGAGCGAGAACTGCGAGGAGCCGCGGCCCATCTCCCCACCCGCTCATCTTTTCACCCCGCCCGACGCACGGACTCCGGAAAGGTTGGTGGAGTTTGATTTAGAATTATTTGTGTGTTTAGAGAATGCCCTCCGGGTGTGAAAATATTCCCTTCCTTCCAAAAAGAGAATTTATAGGAAAATGGACTCTGAAGTGGATAACCCGTTCCGGCCGAAGGATGTCCTCTACAATGAAGTGGACCCAATTGTTGAAGCCTATAAGACGAAGCCTTTCCCTCCATCGCCCTCAGGGTCTCCCATTCCTCAAGATCTCACTCCCTTCAAGAATGGTCGACATGTCACTCTAGAATGTGGGGTAGTGCATTCTGACAGTGCACATGTCAGCGAGACACATCCTCTGACACATCCAGATCAAAAGAAAGGAGAGAATGGTCTCTCCGATCTTCCTCCTCCCAATAACGTGGAATTGGTCCATCTGGAAAAGAAAAAGAAATGTTGTTGTTGCTCAGTACAATAACTTCCAACACCTTCTAATATTTACAAGCATAAGTATTCAGGCCCTCAGGGTCGCGCCTTGTGTGCGTTAAGACCAAACATGGTCATAATTTGGAGTTTGTGCATAATGCCGTCCGCATCTTTGTTGAAAACGTTTGAATCGATTGTCTTTCGCTTCTTTTGCCACAAGAATAACATTAGCATTCTTCTCATGCCTCAAGTGATTTCTTTTTTTGTTTTCCAACAGTTGTTAATTAGTGCAAATCATTTTTTTTCACGCTTTACTCATATTTCTTAGCCGTCCATAGCGCTTTTCTCACAGGATATTGTAATTTGTCACAGGAAATGTTAATATGAGCCAGTCGGGAAAATAATTCTGACTCGTCACTCAAAATGTCAAAAAAATGGTGTAGTCGCGCAGGAAATGATGGGCGATCCCAGACGCGACGAGTCCGAATTATTTTCCCGACCTACTGATAGTTGTTGTTTATAGCCTTCTGTACTTAAAATAGTTTTGTTCTAGCGCTAATACGCAACTCTTTTGGGTACTAGATTTATGTTCCTTTATCTAGTACTCTTGGCACCAGGAATATTTAAGTCGGACATTTTCATCTTTTTATATATACGGTCACTCGAAGATGTTTCCGAAGGCAGGGGGCCATTGTTGTACCTTGGTATGTTTGTTTCCGTCCTTTGCTTTTTTTAAGCCTTGACAGAGTTTTTGATATTCTCCCTGATTCCCTAAGCTGCGATTCTGTTTGTAAATTTAAAGTTACGCTTTCTTTGTTATAACGACAAGTTCAATGTATAAATAAATATATCACAAAAATTTTATAATTCATACAAGAGCGAGGTCGGCGATGTTACAAAAGGCGGCAGTTTGGGCAGAGGTTATCAAGAATCCATTTTTTGTTATTATAAGGCCATTGATCTTACTCCATAAGGCACTCGTTGAAGCGAATGATTCCGTTATTACCCAACTTTGCACAGCGTCGTCCTGTGAGATAACAAGTTATATTATTTCTGATGACTTTGTTTTTAGTTTAAAAGTTTGCATTGTGAATTTTTGTTTACCTGAAATCGTATTCTCAAAATATGGCTGGAATTACTTTTGTCGCTCCAAATATGCCCTGCAGGTGAAGCTCCCACCCAGAGATCTTTGTCATCACTTATGATTTTGGTCGGAGAACTCATAATTCCGATGGTTGTAATGGGAATAAGCGTGAAATCTTTTCTTAACTCATATACCAGAATCTCCTGGAATTAGTTGCATAGAGATTTATGATTCTCGACTTCCACTTTACTCTATTTACCCCGACTTACTCTAGAATACTTAAGTCCTAGGAAAATTCGAGAAGTCTGGGGGTCATGGAACAGAGAAGTGGGACCTTGTAAGCCTCTGGAAAGAATTATGCCGATCGTTTGTCATCTCACCGTTCTAACGACACTGTTGTTTTCCCGTTGTACATTAATAATTGCCCATAACCTCGATAGAAAAGGACCTCCAGAACCTGGAGATAGGGATTAGAGAAGTAATGGGGCTTCACAAGAACGAAACGACCCGGCGATAACACCGATATATCCGTTGAACTGTAAAATATGATTATACGGAAGAGACAGGAAATATAGAGAAAGGGATTAATGAGGTAAGGGTAATAAAATGCAAAGTACCCGTCAAAGGTAGCATCTTCGATTGTTTGCAGATGGAGAAGAGCGAGTTTCTGAAGTCTGAGCTCGAACACTTCCACCGAAGTTTTATCGCTTTGCCTATTTAGCACATAAACGAACGCTCGGTACTTGTTCTGAGAGAGCGATCCCTCCACGTGGATATGGGCGGAAATTGGATGGAATCTCTGTAAATAGACCTTATTAGGACTGCCTTGTCACGTCGTCGGATTAGAGACGGAGCTCGGTCGGATGTCTTTTCATGGATGTTTTATTTGGGCGTGACTCTAGAAATGTCTCACAAATTTATGCAGTTCTAAGTTTAGGGTTTCAGTTACTCATGCGTTAAACAAAAAGCCGTGTTTTAGTCAGCAAAGTTAGGAGTTATCGTATTGCAGATTATGAGTTTTACGACCACGGCGCATCATTTAGTTAGCTTATCTTTGCTTCATTTATTACTTTCCAAACAAATTCCTGTCATCCCCGTAACAGGCCTGTCGAATTTATGAAAACCGACCACACGCCAAAGTCACGTTTTCTTGTCTTTTCTCTTCCGGAATCCCTTTTTGTAATCCTTACCTCAGAATCCTTCCATTCCGTTACATAGAGTTCCTGCAGGCTTATGTTATTCATATTTTCTTTTGTCTCTTTCAACGGAATTATGTGCACTCGAACATTTTTGTGGACGGCATGGAAGGCGAGGGCCACGTTCAGTGTTCTCGACTCGGTCACGGTGAGGACGCCGTTCTCTAAAAGTTTGCGTGGCATTGTTTGGGACGGGATTGGGTTACCGAATTGAGGAAGGTGCTTGCATTTCCCTGGCTTGTGCTGGTAAATGGAGGGGGCTTCTTGAACGAATAGGCTGAAGACGGATGAAGTCAATAAAATACAAAATTCTGTATTTTATGGTTTTGTTTGCCTTGTAATATACTTTGCATACGATAATATAATTGGCAGGTTACGTTCGGGACTGTGTGAATTTTACCCATCCCGCATGTCTGTCCCCCAACTTACGACACACGTAGTGTAACGCCCGTGAAGATGGCAAATCCCGCACTCAGCCAGATCTTTCGTTTCCAGTCCATTGGCATCGGGGTGCAACACAAAAACTCGAGAGTGCCCCTTTCCCGCTCGCCCGCTTCCCCCGGCCCGACTCATGAATTGCCATGGCTTCAGAAGGCCAAGGAGTTTTTCTGTTCGAATGCATAATCGATGTTGAGGTCGGCCATACATTACACATGTTCCCAAATAATTGTCTCGGTCTGGGTGATTGGTCTGCCGAGTTTTGGGTAAACATGATATTTATAAGGAAATTGCACGTAAACCCGACTTGCAATTCGATAGGGCGTTTGTTTCGGAGAACAGAGAGAGCGAAAGAAGATACGGCAGAGAAAAGGTTATGATTCCCGAAAATGGAATTAGCGGATCTGAAAACGGATTAGGAGGGGAAGTTTCTCCCGAAAAAAGCAATTGTTTTATTTTTGCTTATACTTTTGGCCGCCATGGACTTTCGGTCTGAAATTCGATGACTGTTGATGAGGGAGCGTTTCTTTGTTTATCTCGCATGTTTTCGTAAAGCGGTCGCGTTTTTTTGTCGTAGAAACAATGCCTTTTTTGGGGTCAGATGCATGTGGAATATGTTCTGTAGGTATTTTGTTGTGTTTTTCGTGTCTAATGTCTACTTTTGATTACCTTATTGTATAACGTGATATTGTTAGTCATCAATTATCATTGTTAAGTCCTAAAAGTCATTAAATTCTTGCATTCGTAATGGCCTCAATTAACCCTCTGCTGCTCTCTGACCTCTTCTAAATTATTCATGGACAGTCTTTTCCCTGAGGGCAGAGTCCTGTCCCCATTCCCTGAGGGCCGGTTCCTACCGAGATTGTGTGCTTTTATGGGTCCGATGCCTTTCCTCGGGCCCTTTATTCTCGAAAATCGATTTCTTTTTCTTTCCTTGTTATTCTTTCCTCTTCTTCCTCGTTTCGAACGCCGCACAACTTTTAACTTTACTCATTTCTTTTTGGGAAACGTAATTGGAACAGATGGTTTTCCGGTGTTAATGTTGTTTTTGCAATTTTTTTCCGCTCCTATCAGATATTTTATGCAAATAGTGGTATTTATGAGCAATTACAATGTTATTTTATAAAACGTAACAAAAGGTTTTGTGATTTTGGACCGCTCTTTATATTTTTTTATATTAAATTTACCTTTTTGGATACGTTAATATTGACTCGATGAAGTGGGGAGCTTTTTTAGCGGATTACAAAATTGTCATTTGTTAGTATCCGTAATGTTCGCCTAAATAAAGTCCGCGTGTTAATAAGATTGGCCTATTATTTACTATAACATCCGATTCCAGTCATTCAAGATGGCGTCGTTTATAATGAAGCAGATGATCGGGAACAAGTTCGAGGAGGTCAGCGGAGGACTCAGCAAGATGGGCGGCGACGACGGCGAGGCCAAGACTGAGACCGGCGAGGATCCAGAGGTAGTGGCTGCTCGGTTGGAACAGGAGGAACGACGCAAGGAGAAGCATCGCAAAATGGAAGCGGAAAGAGAAAAGATGCGCGGCGACATCAGAAGCAAATATAACATCCAGAAGAAGGAAGAGGGCATGCAATTGGACATGGGCGCCGATGGACGAATCGGGTCGGCCATCAAGAAGACTCCCGAACAATTAGCGGCCGAAATGAATGCCCAAGACGACTCTCTGATCGGCCAGTTGGGTCTCACCGAACATGTGGAGAAGGCCAAGACTGCCGTAAATGGGGCCTTGGACACCGTCAAAGGGTTCCTACCCTTTGGCAAGTAATCGAACGTTCACTTAATGCCCGGTGATATATACAGACACACTTGTTTCTATTGTAACATTCACAGTCAGCCGATCTCAATAACGAAAACAGATTGTATATTGGTAAAGAGTAGTCGAATAAACCAAATTACTTTTTCATTTACTATATTACAGTACTCCGTATTGTCCTAGAATTCGAATAATGTCGAGCGGAAGAGATATGCAAAGTCACGGGTTTAAGGTAAGGCTTAAGTGAATCCATCGAAAGTGCGAAGAAAAGGATTGGAATTAAATTAGGAACGGGTGTTGGACAGGGCCAGACGTTCAAGTGAAGCGATCGTCGACTTCATCGTCAACATCTGTTTTCGCTGCAAATAATTGTAACAGGATTAGTTGTTCCGGATAAAATCGATTTAATAAATTAATGTTCACCTACCTGATCGAGATGTCCGTGTTTCAGCTTTTCGATCATATAGGCGATGATGAGGGCCCACGCCCTCCTCACCGTCTCCGATCTACATCTTCTGTCGCCCCATTCCAGAGTGCAATCGATGAAAGTCTCGGCCACATAATTCCAAACTTTGCCTAAACCAAGATAAAGTCTAATAGTAGGGTTGCTTACTGGATAACTGTCCATTCAGGATGGTCGCATGGATCCTTCCAATTCTCTCGAGCTCTTCTCCCACCGCTTCTAGATTATCAAGACTTTCAACTATCTGAAATAGCAGCATAAGCAATCTTTTTTTTTTATTAAATTCATATTAAATATTTTATCGACTTACTTGATCGACCAACTCTCCAACAACTTTGTAATGCGATTTCCCAAAACTGTCGTGGTTGTTGAAGCCCTCGGGCAAGGCGCACCGTCTAAACTGTTCTCTCAATTTCGGATATTTGAAGAATAATCGATGCATTACAGTCTCTCCGATTACTGTAGGCCCTTTGGTTGTATAAACCTGTTTCCAAAGCGACTTTACCAAATGAATCTGAGCTACAGTTAAGGGGATCAAAGTGGTTGAAGTTCGACGGCCACTAACAGATTGGACTAGCTAGAAGAAAGAGGAGACTTATAAGAATTATTGTGAATGTATTGTTGCAGTCTTATATTACAGTTACCTGTGTAGTACTCTGTTTCCTTTGTGCTGAGGACCTTCTTCGTTCGCTGTCGCCGAAACCCCGTCTTGTAAAATTGGGTGAAGACTGGGGACGAGGATCATTTGGAGGATCAATCCTCTCTTCGAAGTCATCTAGGCTGTCCTGGGAATTGGATCCAACGAGAAGAGTCGTTTCGCCATTCGGATTATCATCTGTGGACAATGAGACCTGCAGAAATATAAATTTAGTTAAAAATTGATTTGATTTTCCTACAGAGATCACTGTAAATAAAAATTTTCCTTCTCTTTTGTCATAATTCATGTCCGTCTTGCAGAATCTATTTCAAGAATTACAATCACTTCTATCGCCAATCTCTATTACGCTTTTTCAAAAGTGCAGACAGATTTTGTCGCACCGTGCACAAAACTCCCTTTTGCGGGGTGCATTTTGACCTTTTGCACTGTGCAACCGAATGTCGCTGCGACGCAAGCTTTTCTCAGCTGAGTCGCCGCGAATTTCGGGAAAATTGCACAGTGCAAAAATGTTTCGAAAAGGATCGCGTCGCGCAACATGCACGGTGCGGTGCAAAAAAGGCCGGAAAATGTGTTTGCACTTTTGAAAAAGCGTAATATTCAAAGAAAACTTTTTTCCACAGTAATATTTACATCTTAATTCTATGCCTTAAAGATTTTTTCTTTTCTCACCTGGGGGATGACAAACCTAAGACGTCTTCTTGTCTTCGGAGTAATCGGATTATTCAGATCCGGGGAGTTGGGAGATCTCACCGAATAGGAATAACCTCGACTCCGGCCGATTGGAGGAAGAGCGGCCGCTGAATCTGAACGGTAAGACCTCTCGGAATTGACTGATAAAGAGGGGGAAGGCTGCTGATATGTGTTTAGGGATGTCCGACTCTGAAATTAGAATATTAAAAGTTATTTTTCGAGGAAAATGTGGATAATCAAGATATTTGTAAGTTCAAGTATAAATATATAAGATAAATGAGATGAAAGAGGGAGTGAAGACCATAAATTTTGGGAAAAATCTCGTAAACAAGAAACTATTTTCTTAACATGTGAGCATTTTTTTAAATGTAAGCATCAACCGGATTTATTACGCAACTCCCTACAGTAATTGCGTATTATTGTTAAGTAATCTTTTACTCTTTCTTTTTAATATGTAAAAACTTGTCTCCTTCCTTAATCAATGCCTGCTACTTCCTCCTGAACGATCAAAATGAACTTTTAATGTAACAAAACTTGTCAAAAGCCCACGCAAATACCGCAAAAACAATTGGGTGATTATTACGTAATATGACGTCATCGCGATCCTCTCGCCGAATTTCCTGGATTTTTGAAAACGAAGGAAACAGTTGTCCTAAAACAACTAAGTTTAGCCCCAAAGGCATTTAATTATGTGACCAATACCTCGAATAAAAAAGATTAACAAAAAATGCCTCGGGAAAATATTCTTAAATTATTTGAAAAAAATGCCCAAAAAGGTGATAAAGGAGGATGGAGGTAGGAGTAAAGGTGTCAAAACTAATAATCGACCAACTGTTTGGCCATGGGAATTGTGAAAAAGACAAAAGAAAAGCATGAGGACATTATGACGGCCAATGTCATGTGCTACAAAATCTGCGAAAACGGAAATTTAAATAATAGTAAAATGCATGATGACAGACAAAAAGGGATAACAAATACTCTTGAGGAATTTAACAACTCACGGCATAAACATCATCTTCATCAAGAAGTAATTGTTTCATTTCATTGGAATCAGGAGTCGGCTTCAAGTCGTCTGGCGGTAATCTAGGTCCTCTTTCCCGCTTTGATGGAGTCAGTTTCCTCTGCAGATTCTTGAACGCTCTTTTGGAGCGACTCGGCCCTCTCTGGAGTCTGGAATCACTCCCCCCGATGGGCGATCGTTCGATATTCAAATTGGAATCACTGAACAAATTACCATCTTCGAAGGGATCAAAGTTGCTGTCGACTCGGCTTCTGGAGCCGAACAGCACCGAGGATCGCCATTTGCGGACCGTGGCGGACTTGCGGTCCTTGATCCATTGCCACAACTTGAACATGGCCACGGAAGAAGTGTAATGATGAAGATGAACAAGGTCGAGACGCTCGTGACAAACGGTTTGGCGGTGCCGGTTGGGGCGCCACGGATCAAAGAAGACTGGCTTCTCGTCGCTTGCCGCCGGGTGTGTATTTTTGACAAGAACGGAGATGGACGGACGGGCACACTGTTTGGCCTAGCCGTGATTCGTTCGAACCAGCGCTTTTTTGCCACTTTTGCCGCTTCCCGGGCACTTTGATCCCCTTAGCGTCGAAGAGGGAACAGGCACGCACTTCAAACAGTCGTCAGCTGCAAAAACCCCGCACTTATTTTCAGATTATTATACCTGTCGAAAGATCGGTTTGGCCTGATTTTGACGTGAACACGGCGTTTGCAATTCGAGGATCTCTTCGATAAGGTGTTAAGGACAACAGTCTCTACGAACATAATTCTGAATCAGCCTTTGCACTCTTCTTTAACGTAATCTTTTGACTACCAACTGATCTTAAAAAAGATCACCGACCTTTCCTCAAGAATTAAATTAACAATTTATTCACTAATCTCACTTTTTACTACAATTAAAAAGCTACGACAACAACAAGAACAACAACATTGAATCGTTGAATTTATTTACAGACAGAACGATTAATGTGGCCGAAGATGGGGAAGGTATTGACTGTTGGAGCATGGAGAATATCAGCCTGTTGGAAAAATAACGCGGATTAATTGTGCCTTGATGTCGCCCATCATCGCTTTGCAATGGCTAGGCGATGCTGGAGATTTGGAGGCCAAGGATATTGCTGCGGCAAATCCATATTATTTTCCCGACAGACTGATGAGAAATAAAGAGTGGGGAAATCAGAAACATCTAAATAACTGAGAAAAAGGAAGTAACGCAAGCTTCACAGGTTTCACATAGATCACAATAGTAGAGAACGTGGTACAAGATCAGACTTCTCGAGGCCGGGCACGTGCAGGAACACTACCGGCACTGCCGTTTCTCTGTAGTGGGGCCGTGGGGCCCAGTCCTCCAAATTGAGCGGCTCCATTTAGAGGCATTCCTGATCGAGGAGGGGGCATTTGAAGTCCTTCTCCGAACTTCTCCACATTTCCATCCCAAAGTTGAGTCGGTTTCCGATATAATGTTCGGTAGGAAGTGCGTTGGATACGACTATTCGAATATTTGATATTTTCTCTTCTTCGGACCATCGTCGCATCGTTGGCCAAGAATCGGTGGGCAAGAGCTTCTTCAGTTCTCATGCGACGTCTAAAAATAGAAAAGAGCGTAAAGTCAATAGTGACATTTAATCAAAAAAATGGATTGGAAAAATGCCGAAATGAACCTTTTTCCATAAAATAAAGCTATTTTCAACGAACCTTGGATCTTTTTTCAACGCCCATGTCGCGAATCGGAGAGCTTCTTGACTGGCCTGGACCGGAATCAGATTGGGATCACACTTCTCGGTGAGAACGGCATTTCTGATCGTATCCACATTGTCCCCTTCGCTAGAGAATGGATGGAAACCAGCCAATCTGTAAGAATTAAGTTTATTTTACATCAGACAAAGTTCCGATATTATTTTAGATAACCTGAAACGTAAAATAATTTGATATTATTTCAGACAACTTACATGCAGAAGCAGACGATTCCCATCCCCCAGACGTCTGTCTCCGTGGTTGGTTTCTCTCCTTTCAGAATCTCTGGAGGTGCCCATTCTGGATTCAGAGTTTTCGGGTTGATCTCCTTGGTGTTTCCTATCTTGCCAGCTCTATCGAAATCAATTAATTTAACTAGCCAGCTGCGTCTCTCCGCGAACATGACATTATTTGGTTGTACATCCAGGTGAAGAACTCTGAAAGCAAAGACAGTTCAAATCATCTTTGTTAGGTTTGCAAGAGAAGTACCTAGGTGCGACGCTGAGATTTTGTTTTAGATCTTGCACATATCAATTCCTGAAAATTTTAGGTCGTGCTTTGCAGGCGCAGTCGAAATATTCAACGATCTTTGTGGCGGAGAGAGTATGTAACACGCGGAGGCTGGTCACAGAAAAAACACTTTTTGGTCATATTTGCCAGTTGGATTGATCTTTTTTTGTGGAAACATTACACCTCCTCTAGGGTAGAATTAGGCATGAAACGTTTCATGCTAAAGTTTGCAAAAAAGAGCATCAAAATATGGGCGTCACTTGGAGTACTTCCCCTGTTAGTAATATTGTCAGATCTACCCTTTGAAATGTATCCAATGAAGAGCTGCGCAGATTTGTCTCACAGTCAACGCAATATGCTCTTCTGTGTAAGGGTCAGTAGCCACAAATCGATCAAACACATTTTCGGCAAGTGATTCGGTGAAGAGAAGAAGGCAGTTTGATCTAAACCAAGATAAATTGGTCAAAGCTTCCTTACTTCTTATATCCAGCAACCAATTTGACCACATTCTCATGCTGACTAGCCAAGAGTGCATCGAATTCGGTTTGATCAAAGGGTCTGACCTTCATACAACATCTTTTTCCTGAATTTTTATCGGCCGCTTCTCTCACTAAACTGAATTTCCCTCTGAAGATCTCATGTAGAAGGTCGAATCTGTTGGTCGGTTCTTCATTCAGAATGCTCAGGTTCTCATCGTTGACTGAGCTCACTGAACTCGCTTTCTCATCCATATCCTCTTCTTCTTCTTCCTCCTCACAAATCTCGGTTAATCCGGATTTTGCTTTGGTCATTTTTTGAGGCATGGCTACCACTTGAAGGCGATGTTCTCTTCTCAGGATATCCATATTTAATTTGGGGACACCTCGAGTGTGAGTTCGAATGATTCTGGATGTTAAAGATGGTTCTCCCCATCCAAATCCATTGCACGCAGTCACTCGGAATTGGTAGATGCCCCCGGGTGATAGGTGTTTAACTACCACAAACTCTGCCTCGACCTTGTCGCTGATCACAGTCCATACAGCGAAGTGATCATTGTCACCAGCTGGGCGTGACTCGAGGCGATAAGAGATGCCAAACATGCTGGGACGGTGTTCTGGTGGCTCCCAGACGATAAACACCTCGGTATCTGAAGCTAGGGTCACTTCGGGTCTTCCTGGACGTCCGGGCTCGCCTGAATTACAGTAAAAGTAATAGGAATGTGATACTTACTTCCAGAGATTAATCTACAGGAAGTCGAATCGCTTCCCAGCTCGTTTGTCGCTGTACAAGAATACTCTCCTCCGTCGACAAACATGGGTTTGTTGATGATTAAACGGACCAGATTTCCTTCATAGATGGCCTTGAACTTTTGATCGTCCTTAAGAGCACTTCCTTGGTGATACCAAGCGACCTCAGGCCGAGGATTTCCAATGACTTGGCAGTCTAAAATGATGCTATTGCCGTCTTCGATGAGACAAACATCATGAAGACGTTTCTTGAAGATAGGACGATGACCTGGAACTAAGGCTTATTCCGTTTTATACTTACATCCATCTGGTCTGACCGTAGTTTGGCCATCTTGAACTATTAATTCCGGTCGATTTCTTCTGACACTTCCCATGATGGTCTGTCCTAACTCCCGATCTACTTTCTCCACACTCTTCGCGATTTGAGGGTCTTCTCTAATGAGATCTGTGAAGCGTCTTCTCTCTCGCACCGTGATATCCTGATTCCTGAATCCGAGAATTCCTTGACTGACCAAGGGAGCTCCGTCTCCCCATAGCATTCGGCGGTAATCCCGAACTCGGGCATTAAAGTTGGCTCCTTTTGTAGCCAAAAGAAGGGTCTCTGGGCCGATCTGGTAGTTGGATTCCCAGGGATAATCGTCCACATCCATCTCTCTTCTCTCGAAATCAATATCATCGTCTTTGTAGTAATTTTTGACACGATATTTCTCAAGGTCTGCCAACGGATCCTAGAAGGCGGGGGTTAAAAACAAGTTGTTTTTATCGTTTTCGGACAAAACATTAAATGATTTAGTCACATTTAGAGGGTACTTACTACAAATACGGGGACTTCTAGCCTGAAATTACTCTTAAATCGGTCTAGATCTTGTAAATAGCGAGAAAGCATAGCGATAGAACCGTGGGAAGGGACTAATGTTAGTAACAGATTGGCCGAGCTTTCTACTAGATGGAGAACATGTGCATTTTTATGATCGTCCTCGTGTTATATCATAAAATCCATATGATGCCCTCGTTCTCTTGACCTTACCTTGACGAGACGTTCCAAATCTCCGTCGTCGTGTATTTTGATATGAGCAGTGGCTGACTTTGCTTTTCCGTCATCATCGTCGTCCTTGGCCTGCAATTCTTTGGCTTCTTCGCCCATTCCAAAAATTCGCCGTTGTTTTCCGTATTTTACAGCGATCACACATTCCATCTGATGTTCCTGTCCAGGAGAATATTGTATTGGACTCTTGGTGCCAGTGGATCTGTTAGAAGCCGGACTCAGAGAGGCCGGACTCTTCTTTCCACCGGTTCTTATGGGTAGTTGAACTGTCAAAGGTTGACCTTTGTTGAGCTCTTCCAGAAAGATGGGAGCCCCGACTGGAATCTTGGGGTCATTCAGTTCGGGGATCGGAGGAATCTCATGATCCCCGAAGAACTGTTGGATGGGGTTAGGCTCGTTGGATTCAATGGTTAGTGTGGGTGAAGCAAGGGGAGTCGAGGTGTCGGACTCGGCCCTGGGGGTCGTTGACCGACTGTGTGCCTCATGTTTGTCCTAAAAAGCGATAGAATGGAAATGATTATATGTTAAGATAGAGGCGCTTTTCAACTGTTAAAATATAGTTTCAGAAGTGATAGAGTTAAGAAGCGAGGTGTTATAAAACATGAATGTTTCAAACCTTGGGTGGAATATCTTGGACATCATCCAACGAGGCCACAGAACCGGCTACCGAGCACTCTTCTGAGATGTCTGACAAGTTTCGAGTAGCCAGTTCGTATTGGATTTGTCTGTTTTCTCCTCGGATCAATTGTATTGGAGGTACCTGAAGGGTAATTCTACATTTTATGGCACCTACCGGTTGGTTTTCTTCCTCTTCGGTTGGTGGCGGTGGCTGAGGTTTGGGGCTGCTGCGTTGAGAGGGGGTCTCGCCTTTTGCCTGAGGCTCTAATCGCTTCCTTTGGCTGTTCGGACTGCGAGGCGATTCGGGTGGGGGAAGAGCGCCTTGGAAGCCCTGAAGTTTTCTCGGATCAATTCCAAGTTGGGCGAGGATTTCTTCTGGCCGCAAATTGGGCGGGATACCGGACCCGGGCGGCGGAGGCTGTCGCGGGTCCTGGCCGGGCTGCGGCATGCTTTGGGGGTCGTAGAAGGGCGGCGGCGGCCGTTGAATCTGCTGTCGGATCTGTTCTTGAATGTGCTTGGGGATGGATCGGGGCTGTGGATTTGTGCCCGGCACAAACTCGGGGATCCCGTCATCACGCTCCTTGATCGCGTTGTAATCGTAGATGACATAGGGCTCCGCCCTTTGTGGCAAACTGCCAGCCGCGTTGACTTTCTCGATCTGAGCCAGGGCACGGCGAGGGGACTCTAACATTTGTGTGAGCTGATCGGAGGGGGTCTGCTGCACAAAGACCCGTCGTTCCTAAAGTTCGATTTTAATGTTTACTGTTTGTTGTGACTTTAACGGATAATGCATTTTAATCACTTGCCAGCCATTTGTAGTGATATTTAAATTCCCGTAGGCAATCCGTTCTCAGTTTGGCATCCCTTAGCGATGGATCAGCTAACCAATCGTGTGAGAGTGCTTGATCGACTGTCATCCGTTTACTGCGAGCAGATAGATGCCGTAACAATGCTACTTTCTTACCTTGGATCCAACAATAACAATTTTTGAAGAAAGTCTTTGGCTTCATTGCTGATCTCATTAAAAGGTTCTGAATCCAATAAGTAGTTTCCATTGTTTATATTAGCTAGTGTTTCTCGATCATTGTCTCCCAAAAACGGCGACACTCCAGTTAACCTAAAAATTGTTCGGCAACGAAAATAGGGCTTACAGAACATAGATTAGAGATCCGGCACTCCACATATCAGCTGCCAGTGTGACCGTTTGGCCTTGGGCGATTTCGGGGGACACGAATTCAGGTGTTGCTTTTATATTACCCGTTACTTTTCCCCGTATTAAATGTCTAAAGTTCAAAATAGGTATTAGAATTGATAAATAAGTACTGTTTATTATACCACTGACCTGCTTTGTCCAAAGTCTGCCAGTCTTAAGTGATCATCTTGTAGTAGAACTGCTTCTGGCCTCAAATCGAGATGAGCAATGTTTCTATGGTGCATATACTGCAGAGCTGTGAGCAATTGTTTGGCGAAGATCCTGACCTGAGCTTCTCTCTCTGCTCCGAAGACCTCGACATGATCGCCAGATCGATGGGCCACCAACGAATCCAGCAACGATCGGTCAGCGCTGGAAAAGTCGAGAGGACTTAGAGATCGCGAACTCATTTCACCTTATCATTTGTCGCAAAGTCTTTTTTCTTTGGCCCTGGAGGGTCTCCTCAGCTCACCCACCCACTAAAATTGCGTGCGCGGCTCGAGGGGGTTGGAAAAAGAGCCTCAGGCAAAAGATCGCAGGCCTCTTCACATCCTTCAATCCTTGGAATTTCGATAGTTTTAGAGAGGTTAAGGTTGTAAACTGTCTACTAAGCATACTTACATTACCGCAATCTCGTTTAAAAAGGGGTTTTAATCGAAGTTAGAAATTCCCTAAGAAAGAATAACACGTATTTTATTCTTCCAATCTTACCGTCCTCTCATTCGTCCCATGTCTCCGAAATTCTACATCAAAAAATCCCCTTTTCTCCACTTTAACACTACCCTTTTACTACTAATAATCGTTTCATCACGCAAACCCCGACTGGTTTAATCACCCAAACCATCTGCCGTTTGGAGACTGGTTATGCGATCATTTGTCCCAGACATCCACCATCCTTACATATTTATATGTCTCAGTGCCATGAGTGGCCAATACTTGGACGTCTATTTTACATAACACAAAGGACCAAGAGTTTTGGGAGGAATTGGGTCGAGGGGAAGTGGATAATGCTCTCGAGACAACAACTGTGCCATTTTGATCGGGCCTCCCCCTCCCCCTCCTCCGACCACATTATCTACCCTTAGGGCCTAATTCGACCTTCGCCCCCACTTACGGGAGGATCAGCTAAGCAGTCCTGGGACAGCGCTTTATTTAAAAAGCGGGTTCAGTCATCGATGAATTCTTTTTGGTGATTACTCTAGTTAAGAAGTTTGATGTCCGTAGTGTGATCATTTTGGTTTTAAAAATGCCTAACAGCCGCTTGACTCAGATATACATCCATTTATAAATTCGATCTCGCTTCTGGTGGAGATAGAGGACATGATTTAAAGTTTAATAGTCATAAATTTAAATTTGAAAAACCCAGCATCTGCATGATGATCACAGCAAAGGAGAGAAATTTCCTAATTTTATGCATCTATAAGTCGCATCGATAATCTCGTGCAATGGTCGAAGACAAGCATAAGGAAGATCGAATTTTTCAAACACAATACAATTATTAGGGTGAACCAAAAGTTTTTGCCGTTTTTTCATGAAAACTTTAAACATAATTTTACAACAAATGAAAACCAGTTAAGTTTCAAAGTAAAGGCCATTTGAATCTATGGCTTGAACCCATCTATACGCAAGTTGTTCGATCCCGCTGCGGTACCACTCCTTTTTCTTAGAAGCGAAAAACTCGCGGCATCCGTCTTCGACATCGTCCAGATCATTGAAGCTACGACCACGCAAAAAGTGTGCCATGGAGCGGAAAAGGTGATAGTCGTATGACACAATGTCCAGACTATTCGCTGGATGTGAAAGAAGTTCAATGGCGTCGAGAGTTTTGATCTTTTCCTTCGTTTGTTTGGCGGTGCGAGGTTTTGCGCTGTCTTGTTGCAGGGGTACGCGGGTTCGATTGATCAAATCGGGATATTTTTTGCCAATCGCTGCATACATTCGATCGAGTGGATCGTAGTAGAGGTCTGCGTCGCTAGTCCGACCATTTGGAACCAACTCGAAGTGAATTACGCCTTCAAAATTGTTTTTTAAGATGTCTTGCCCTCGAGGTCCGTGTCGCCGTCGTTGAATCGTTTGAACCAATCGCGCAGTACGATCTGAGACCACATTGTAGCCTTCAACTTCGCTTATCTTCTTTACTGCTGCAGTTGCGTTGAAGCCTTGTTTTCGGTAATAACGTAAAAAACACGAATTTCGGATTTTTCCATGTTTTTTCTACAGGTTAAAAGATTTTAAATAAAAGACCAATTAAAAGTTTTAAAAGGGAGTTTTTTACAACTCGAAGGATGGCCCGGACATTTCGAAAAAATGACCAACTCAGAATCTTTTGATATTTTGCATAGCTGTTGTACTATGATAGATGAACGTCAGTACACATTTTTAGTTTCGGAAATTACCGTATACGGGGGTTACGGTAGGTACAATTTTTAGAAAGATTGGGTTCGTATGTAAAAACCCCGAGGAGTAAAAGGGCGAAACTTCGCTGTTTTACGTTTTCGACCATGGGGAACATTTTCATAATTGACACTTTTGCCGTAGGATGTAGCCTTCGACTACTTTGAAAAATACCAAGGTACCGTATTGAATGTAACTTTTTTGCAGAGAACTTGTCTCAACTTTTGAAACCTTTCAAAAATACTTTGACATAGATGTAACAACATATCAAAAATGCGCGAAAATAAAAGGGGTGGTTTTGGGGTTATGGTATTTTGATTGTGGCCCGAACGGTATATCAAAATATCATTTTTTCAAAATAGGTGTAGAACAGCCGCAAATATCGCCAAAATACGTTTTCGACCATGGAGAACATTTTTGTAATTAGCACTTTTTCTGTAGGATGTCGTCTTCGACTACTTGGAAAATGATCAAGGTACCATGTTCAATATAACTCTTCGGCATTCTACTTGTCTCAACTTTTGAAACCTTTGAAAAATACTTTGACATGTATGTAACAACATATCAAAAATGCACGAAAATAAAAGGGGTGGTTTTGGAGTTATGGTACTTTGAATGTAGCCGGTACCGTATATCAAAATTTTATTTTTTCTAAATTTGGAGTAGGACAACCGCAAGCATTGCCAATATACTTTTTCGACCATGTGGAACATTTTTGTAATTGACAGTTTTGTTCTAGGATGCAGCCTTCGACCGGTTTGAGAAATGTCAAGATACCATGTTCAATATAACTCTTCGGCATTCTACTTGTCTCAACTTTTGAAACGTTTTAAATACGCTTTTATATATGTGTAACAACATATCAAAAATTTAGGAAAATAAAAGGAGTGGTTTTGAAGTTATGGCACTTTGAATGTTAGACATACAGTACACCTCGATTTATTCTCGGCTAAACTTTATGTAGATTATTTTAAAAACAAAATTTAATGCTTTATGTATGTTGTACGACCCTCAAAAACAATTTTCACTAGGAAATTCAGAAAATTTAGGCCTAAGCATACTGTAACATATCGTGCGCAGATAATTGGTTACTGTAACAGCAAGATCAGCGATTTCTTAATTTTTTTGCAACGATTACCACGGTTTAGAGTCGTGTGTGCTATACGACGGTGGAATATTCCAATTTCGGGCGTCAGCATCACACCGAAAGTTCGGTGTACTGTATGATCAAGATTAAAAGTACCATAACTCCAAAACCACCCCTTTTATTTTCCTAAATTTTTGATATGTTGTTACATACATGTCAAAGTATTTTTGAAAGGTTTCAAAAGTTGAGACAAGTAGAATGCCGCAAAGTTATATTGATCATGGTATCTTGACATTTCTCATAGCGGTCGAAGGCCGCATCCTACAAAAAAAGTGTCAATTACAAAAATGTTCCACATGGTCGAAAACGTATTTTGGCGATATTTGCGGCTGTTCTACACCTATTTTGAAAAAATGATATTTTGATATACCGTTCGGGCCACAATCAAAATACCATAACCCCAAAACCACCCCTTTTATTTTCGCGCATTTTTGATATGTTGTTACATCTATGTCAAAGTATTTTTGAGAGGTTTCAAAAGTTGAGACAAGTTCTCTGCAAAAAAGTTACATTCAATACGGTACCTTGGTATTTTTCAAAGTAGTCGAAGGCTACATCCTACGGCAAAAGTGTCAATTATGAAAATGTTCCCCATGGTCGAAAACGTAAAACAGCGAAGTTTCGCCCTTTTACTCCTCGGGGTTTTTACATACGAACCCAATCTTTCTAAAAATTGTACCTACCGTAACCCCCGTATACGGCAATTTTTAAAACTAAAAATTCACGCTGACGTTCAGCTATCATAGTACAACAGCTATGCAAAATATCAAAAGATTCTGAGTTGGTCGTTTTTTCGAAATGTCCGGCCCTTGTTATGAGAAGCTTCAATCTGTAAAAAACTCTCTTTTAATACATATTATGATAAAGCAGTTCACGACCTTTAAAAATATATATAACACATTCAATAAAAATATTTATTTCGTAAAAAAACAATTGGACAAAAAGAGACCTAAAAAACGGCAAAAACTTTTGGTTCACCCTAATAATTATAGTTTAGGTTTGCGAGATGTTTTTGGAAGAGGAATAACTTGGAATTGACCCTGTTTTCTTGGATCAATTCCAAGCTTAGCAAGAATCTCGGGTGGCGGCAATTTTGGCTTGATACCGGGCCTGGATTGTAGAAATTGTCGTGGTACCTGGCCGGACGGCGGCATTTTTCTAACGTCGTAGAGCGGCGGCCTCATCTGTCGTCGGGAATTGTCAGCCGCATTCACTTTCTTCAGCCGCTGCAATGCTCGGCGAGGGGATTCTAAAAGTTTACTGAGTTTATCAGACGGGGATTGTTGTACAAACACTCGACGTTCCTGAAATTTAATATTATAATCGTGCACGGTTTCTAAGCCACTTACCAGCCATTTATGACGGTATTTTAATTCTTGAAAAGACCCTATTCTTAGTTCAGCGTCTGCCAATGCGGGACCACTCAGCCATTCGTGTGAAAGTGCTTGATCCACACTCATCCGTTTACTATAAACAAGTCGACGACATAGCGATGTACTCACCCTGGATCTACCAATAATAGCCTCCGAATAAAGTCTTTGGCTGGATTACTTATGTTCTTGCTGTCCAATGAGTAATTTCCATTGACTATATTAGTTAATGTCTCTCTATCGTCGTTCCCCAAAAACGGCGACACTCCAGTTAACCTAAAAATTGTTCGGCAACTAAAATAGGGCTTACAGAACATAGATTAGAGATCCGGCACTCCACATATCAGCTGCCAGTGTGACCGTTTGGCCTTGGGCGATTTCGGGGGACACGAATTCAGGTGTTGCTTTTATATTACCCGTTACTTTTCCCCGTATTAAATGTCTAAAGTTCAAAATGGGTATTAGAATTGATAAATAAGTACTGTTTATTATACCACTGACCTGCTTTGTCCAAAGTCTGCCAGTCTTAAGTGATCATCTTGTAGTAGAACAGCTTCTGGCCTCAAATCGAGATGAGCAATGTTTCTATGGTGCATATACTGCAGAGCTGTGAGCAATTGTTTGGCGAAGACTTTGGCTTCATTCTCAGCGTCTTGGATACGATCATTGTCTCTAGATTGTTCAGTCATTGGCGAATCAAACAACGATCGGTCGGCTCTGAAAAGTCGTGGGGCTTATCATTTCAAGACTACTGGATCCTTCTTACTCAACGATCAGGACTACTAGACCCTTATCGGCGATCGCTTCATGAAGGTGGATCAGATTGGGTCCATCGATCACATTGTTTATACTGATGTAATTGGAGAGTTCATGATTAAGCGGCTTCAGTTGTCCCACATACATCTTTCCAGTCTCCTTATGTGTCACTCGAAAGAATGCCCCGATTGCCGCTTTACTGAAATTGATGACCATTTACATACGGTATGTTATTCTTGTTGAGTGCTGATAGAACATATGAATTAATGGATCATTGAGAATATGGCCGGGAAAGGGGGACGCGGACATTGGAGGGAAAGGTGCATTGGGCTCTCGGACTGTTAATAACCGATAATTGGATTCGTTTTAATCAGTTTAATGAGTGCGAATAATCAAAAAGAACAATCAATCACAAGGACAATCAGATGGCAGCTTTACTTTCTCTGTACATACACAAAAGGCCATGATCCAAAGCGGGGGGAAAGGAGGGGAAAAGACAAGATACGACAACATCTAATCGACTAGAGAACAATAGAAATCTAAATAACAAGAAGACCGGGAATAGTGACAACAACAAGGTACCCTAGATATCTGAGACTGCGGGGAGTGATATCGAATAAGATTAGTGTGATGTGAGCAAAGCATTATTCAATTACTGACTGCTCGTCCTCTTCCGCAATCTCGTAGATCTCTCGGACATTCTTCTGTTCCAGGTCCACCTTTCGTTTCCGTGGGAGAGGTGGGTAATCGGTCACTTCTGCAAGAATGATATAAAATGATACAATTTTCATAAACATATTATACACAAGTGTATTGCCTCACCTTCAACAGTAATCGAACTGGAAGTGGATGCTTGTCCGGCGTCATTGAAGGCTACACAAGAATAGATTCCAGAATCCCGCCACATGGGATCGGAAATAATCAACGAGCACTGGTAGGGACCTTCTCGGATCATCCTGATTCGAGATGATTCGACGACCGGATGCCATTCCTGGAAAGATTACATTCCCGACATCTGCTTTCACTTACCTTCATCCATTTGATCTCAGGGAATGGAGATCCTTCCACTCGGACATCCAACTTGAAGGGCTGTCCTGCTTGGAAAGTCCGATTTGTGAGGGGTTGTAGGAAAGTTGGACGGGCTAAACGAATATTCAATCAAGGGAAGCGCGACTTACTGGCCAAATCAATGTACACGTTCTGCTGGGCCTCGCCGTATTGATTGGTGGCGATGCATTGATATTGGCCGACGTTTTGTTTGGAGAAACTGGTAAAGGTCAAAGTTGTATCACTGCCACCGTAGTTGGTGACCCTGATGTTGGAAGTTGGACTACCGGTGTCGACATCCCATCCGCGGAACTTCCAAGTGATCTTCGGGTCGGGATACCCCGAGTACTTCAAGTTCACTATCAAGGTGTCATTCTCCGCACAGTATCTCTTATCAATCGCACCAGGGGCAAACCACGGGGAACATGCGTATTGCTCGGCATAGGCCAGATCCAAGGCCCTTTCGGCATATGGATCCAGAAGAGGGATGATTCTCTTGTTTCGGTCCATAACTGGAGCGGGCGGGGCCATCAGTCGGGATGGTGGGGAGGCGGGGCTGGGCTCCGAGATACCATAAATGTTCTCGGCTCTCACTCGGAATTGATAACTCTTGCCCAGTTCGAGGTTTCTCACCTTACAAACTGGTTCCGGAATGTTGTAATCAAGCTGGAATAGTGGGTATCGTCATTATTATATAACATTGCATAAAAACTCTTAAAATAATTTCAACTTACCAAAGTCCAATCTCGGTAAGGCAATTCTCTGATCTCAACGACATATGTAACCTGGGGATATCTGGGGGGAGATCTCTTGGTGGGGATCCAAGATAAGGTAAGATAATGTCCAGTGACCTCTTTGATGAAAGGTCCGTAATCTGGAGGGGTCGGGAGGCATTTGTAGTTGATCTTCTTGAATCCATACTCTTCTGTGAGATAGGGAGTAATGTCAAAGGTACCATCGAACTTGATCTCGTCCAGATGGGGTACTGTGACATCCAAGATGGCCGAGCTGGAGGCGGTTCCATGACTGTTCTTTGCTATAGCTACATATTCTCCGGCGTCTTCTGGGGTGGTATCGGTGATCAGAAGAGCATGCGATCCTCCTCCACAAGACTGGATCTTGATTCGGCCTCCAGGCGTTATTCTTTTTCCATTGTGGAACCATTCCACTTCCGGCGGTGGATATCCGACAACCAGACAGTCGAAGATGGTTGGAAGCTTAGTAAAGACGTGTTTGTTCTTGAGCTGACGGATGAATCCTGGTGGGAATGGGAGTCCATGATGTTTTTCCTCATCCGCCACAGCCCTCGGAAGGATGACACTCACATTTCCAGTCGATTTAGCTTCTCCATGAGGATTAGTGGCCGTTACCGTATATTCTCCTTCATCTTCTGGCAGGGCATTGATGATAACGAGATGATGGAACCCTCGTTCATCCGTCCAAATGGTCCTCTTTCCTTCGCTGCCATCCGAATGTATTTCTTCTCCATCTTTGAACCATTTTACAGTAGGAGTTGGGAGTCCAAGAGCACAAATTTGCATCTCGATGGTGTTTCCTTGATGGACCGACTGGTTGTGAAGACCTGGCCGGATCCTGGGCTTCCCTTCGACGGGTTCGGCTGGGGCTTCAGGCTCGGCCTTAGGACGTTTGTCGCCTGCAAGCGAATTAATTAATCACTCTTAATAGGAGTAATTGATTAGATGTTGAAATTGACACCTTCCCCCTCCCCCCGAGCGGTGTTTCGTTTTCCGCGCAGCCATTAATTAAAACGAAATAAAATGAAGTGGTTCGTTTCCCACCTGATCTCGCTAGTCGTTGTTTTCGCATGTCCCGATGGCTGGGACCCCGTTGACGGGCGATGCCTACTTTACACTCGAAGAAAGATGACTTTCATTGAGGCCAGGGGCTATTGTAGGGCTTTGGATGCAGATTTAATTTCAAATAAAGGTAAAAACATAAAGCTTTTACTTTACTTTTACTTTTAGAACCCCATATATTTGGTTTTATTGCTCCATATTTCACACAAACCCATGGTAAATGTAAAATCATCTCAAAAAAGTCCAAAAACCCCGTTAAAACCTGTAATTCCATGGCCAATGTTATTTGTATTAGGAATGTAAGCCCATGTTTTGCAAATTTAGGTCGTATTTCAGAATAAAACTCCGAGAATCGAGCCTCTCTGCCCTCACGGTTTTGTTTATAATGTCCGAACTTCTTCGTGCTACTTTGTTACGACGAACAAAACGGCTAATTGGGAGATGGCTGATAAATTTTGTTTGAATATTGTAAAAGATTATGGACTTGAAAGCAATTTGGTCTCGATCCTAAATCCAAAGGAGCATGAATTTGTCTTGGGTAAGAGTAATTCGCGTAAATCAAATCAAAAATAATATTACTCAGCCATGAATCAGAAAGCTGGATGCGCGGCGTCTTTTCTCGGAGCTCTGGGTAATTCCAAAAATGGAAAATCATGGTCTTGGGTGGATGGTAAGACAAAAGTTAAATAGTTTTATCCGACTTCAGGTTCCTACTTTCCATCTTATACTCGATGGAGCTCCACAAACCCCGATAGAAACCGGGAAAACTCAATTTTAATGATGGAGACAAAAACCGGGGATTGGTATAACTTCCACCCCTTGGAAATCCCTCAGCAAAAAGCATGTATAATATGCAAGATAAGTTTGTAGAAGATCATTACAGCTGTCGTATGTTTCTAATCTCATCATATTGAATAAAGATACTCACCGATTAGTACCAATTCAGCCTTAGTGCTGGCCGTTCCATGTTCATTTGTGGCCACACATCTATAGTATCCTTCACTCAACATATCCACATTCTCGAGGATCAACCGCTGAGTTCCATCTTCGGCCGCTTCGATCTTGATTCCGTCCTTAGGCAACAATTCCATTCCATCTTTCATCCATTTGATTCCGGGGAAAGGCTCTCCATAAGGAAGACATTCGAATGTTACAGTATCCCCGAGTTTGGCCTTTTTGATTGTCAAGGGGATCGTGAATCCAGGGGCCTTGCCCTTGTTCAACTGCTCGCTGATACTTCTGGGTTGCCGACTTTTGGCGGTTACAGTAACCTGTCCAGTAGTTCGAGCGCTTCCAAAATCATTCTCGGCCACACAACGGTAGGTGCCGGCATCAGATTTGGAGGATTCTGGGACGACCAATTCCGTGGAACCATCTTCATTCTCGGTAATCTGAGCATGACTGTAAGAGTAGAGACGCTCTCCATCCTTGAACCATTTTATCGCCAATTTAGGGGCTCCAGAGAATTTACAACGGAGAGTGAATCCTTGCTTCTCGTTGACTCTGATGGTCTCCAGAGGGATAACAACCTTGGGTGCCTTTCCAGTCTCATATCCATCATCCAATCCGGGTGTGGTATCAGCTGGACGAGACGACTTCTTCACAGTAGCAGTGCATTTGTCATGAGCAGTGCCGGCTTCATTTGTGGCTACAATCCGATACATTCCATCGTCATCAAGGGTGGCTGAGGGAATAATAAGACGGGCATATCCTTCCGGGGTGAGCTCAAGGCGGACACGATCCGAGGGCACAACTTTAGCACCATCCTTGTACCAAGTAACTTCAGGAGGAACATCCGAATCAATACGACATTCCAGGTTGAGAGGTTGTCCTTCATTGACGCGGACATCGGAGAGTTTGGCACTGATATGAGGAGGTCTTACATCCTTCCGATCTCCAACAGAATCGTCCAACTTGACGAATGACTTGGTGGTTGCTGATCCAGACTCATTGGTGGCCACGCATCGATAGGTTCCCTCGTAATGAGAATTGAAGTCCTTAATGAGCAACCGGTAAGTGCCGGCAGCTGGGTTGTTGTCCCATTCGAAGTGATGATCATCGAATAAGGGGACTCCGTCTTTGGTCCATTTACATGATGGCATGGGGACTCCAGTCACCTTGCATTCCAGGGCTACATTCGACGATTTGAGAGTAGTAACATCTTCCAAAGGGATGATGAATCTTGGCGGTTGGCCTTCTTCGACCTTCAGAGGCTCGGCCTTGGACAATTCCATGTCCACATGAGCATTACATTGGGTCTTGGCCTTTCCATGGGCATTCTCGGCTTCGCAACGATATACGCCTTCATCAGTCATGTTGCAATCCTTGACGGTACAAGTGCATTTGCCATCAGGGGTATTTTCGATAGAGATCTTATCGCTTGGTTTGAGCAGAGTTCCATTTCGATACCATTTGATTTCGGGGGCTGGATCTCCTGTGACCTCGCAATGCAAAGTAACAGTTTCTCCGCGATCCAACCATTGGTCGACCAGACCTTTTGTGAAGAATGGTTCAGCCCCTTCCTTCTTCTTCTCTTCTTTGGTGGATTGCACAGTTACTAAGCAAGCAGTGTTGGTAGTGCCGTTCTTGTTGGAGGCCACGCATCTGTATGCTCCTTGATGTTGATCAGTAGCGCCTTTGATCTTCAGACTACAATCTCCAGTGTCTTCATCGTAATCAATTGAGATGATATCGGATGCAGCAAGTGGAATACCATCCTTATACCAAACAATTGATGGCTTCGGTACCCCTTGGACCTTGCAAGTCAGTTCAAGATTATCTCCAGAGACGATCTTCTTGTCGGTGAGACCGGGGTTGAATCGTGGAGCAGTTTCTTCTTCTTCTCCAACCTCTTCCGTTCCTTCGGTTTCAATGCTGAGATGCGCGATAGTATCAGCGACTCCGTACTCATTCTTGGCCACGCATTTGTACTGGCCACAGTTTTCCTCCTTGAATTCGGCGAACTTGACTCTGCATGCACCATCGAAGGTGTTCTCGATCTCCACTCCATTGCCTGAAGTGAGTTCCTTTCCATCTTTGAACCAAGTGATTTCAGCCCGAGGCTTTGCATCCACATGACATTCGATGGAAGTTGGCTGACGATCGATGACTCGGCGATCCCACAGAGGAACGTTGAACTTGGGTGGGTATCCTTCTTCTTCCTTGGCACCCTTCTGGCTGTCATCCAGACCAAAAACGGCGGAACAATCGGCCTTTCCATTCTCGTTGGTGGCCGTGCATTTGAGGGTTCCAAAGTCAGCATCGGTGATATCATTGATAGTCAGTGACCAGTTTCCATCAGCCAGATCCTCAAGGATAATTCTGTTTCCATCGACAGGTACAGGAGATCCATTGAGAGTAAAGGTGACCTCTGGCTTGGGACATCCTTTGACCTTGACATTGAAGACAGCAGTTCCTCCAATGGGAGTTTTGGTGTCCTTCAGAGGGATGATGAATTTAGGAGCTGATGGGAGTTCATCTCCAGACAGAACCTTCACTACGCAAGTACTTTCAGCGGTTCCAACTTCATTAGTGGCGATCACCTTGAAGTCTCCGGCCTCTTCCTTCTTGGCATCCATGATTCTGAGAGTAGCTGTTCCATCAAGAGCCAGTCGTTGAACAATTCTGTCAGATGGGATAAGTTCTTGGCCGTTTCTATACCACTTGACAGTTGGGGTTGGTTGGCCGTTGACTTGACATTTGAGAGTCAGGATCTCGCCCTCAGGAATGGTAACATCTTGAAGGGGAGATACAAATGTCGGCTGAGATTTCTTTTCTTCCTCTTTCTTTGGTCTGACATGAGCAACACATCCAGTTTGGACATCTCCTTTATCTGTCTCAAACACAACCCTGTAAGCAGCCCCATCTCCAGGAAGAGCAGCCGGAACTTTGAGGGTATATTCTCCATTGTCATTCGCAGATAACAGTAATTTCTCAGAGGGTGTGACTTCCTGGCCATTCTTGTACCATTTGACAGACTTGGGAACTCCCTCGATCTGACAAGACAGAACAAGTTCCTGACCTTCATCGAGAGTGACATCTTGAAGTGGTTTGATCAATTTGACGGTCTGGAGTTTCTTCACCGCCAATGGGGCCTCGGAATCACAGGAGCCGGCCTTGTTGGAGAGGACAACCTTGTAATCTCCAGCGTCAGCCACAAGAGTCTTCGGAATGAGGAGTTCGTACTTCTTGGGACTGATCTTCTTCAATTTACCCTCTGGGGAATCGATGAGTTCTTGGCCATTCTTGTACCATTTGACTTCCCTTACTGGAGCCGATACTTCAACTCTGAAGAGATGCTCATCTCCTTCGTCCACACTTCCAGGAACCAATCCTTTAACGATCTTGGGGATCTCATCAACTTCAGCAGCAGCAGTTGAAGTCGCCTTTCCACCATCGTTAGACAACTGGACTTCATATTCTCCGGCATGGTCAAGTTCGGAGACAGGGATGGTTAGACGATACGTCTTGTCATCAACTTTCTCGGGCTTGAATCCATTTTCATTCGTCACATTCTTTCCGTCCTTGAGCCACTTGACATCAGCAACATCACCATCAACCACGACTTCGAAGATTATTGCATCTCCTTTGGCCACAATAGCATTCTCGAGGTCTTTGATGATCTTCGGAGGTAAAGTGAGCTTCTTATTGACAGTCAGCTTGGCCTCAGACTCAGCTGGACCAGCCGAATTGGTAAGAACCACCTTGAATTGACCTTGATCGGAACTCTGGGCCCATTTGAGGACACAGCTGATCACATTTCCATCTTCAGTCAGTTCAATGCGATTATCTGGAGTGATTTCTTTTCCGTTGCGGTACCATTTGATGGTATGGGGTTTCGTGTTTGTCTCCACAGTGAATTCAACTCTCTCGCCTTCAATGACTTCTTGATCTTTGAGAGGTTTCAAGAAGGTAATGGGCTCTTCGACAGTGAACTTTCCTTTAGATTCATCGCTTCCAAGGTCATTAGACACAACAACCTCATAATTTCCAGTGGAGTCCAAAGACGCCTTGGGGATTCGGAGAGTGAAAGTGTTATCATCGACCTTTTGGATGAGTAGATTGGCAGATGGGGAGAGTTCTGATCCATTCTTGTACCATTTGATTTGTGTTGGGCTTCCAGAGGTCTGAAATCAAAGAATTGTAATTTATATTTGATTTGAAACTATATTTAAGTTCACTAATCCCAACCTTGATTGTTGCCTCTAGTTCTTTGCCAACAGGTACAAGCTTGTCAGCAAGACCATCCACAATTTTGGGCTTTTCTTTCGTCTTGGGTGGGAGTTTTACAGTCAAAGCACAGAAGGTTTCCGTTGGTTCGTCATCGTCATTATAAACAACTGCCTTGAATGTGCCGGCATCTTCATCATCGGCATCTGGGATCACCAATTGGAATCCATTCGGCTTGACAGTTGAGGCCTGTGGTTTCTCATTCGGAGAGACTTCTTTTCCATTCTTATACCACTTGATCGCCTTAGGGGGACGATCAGTTTCCACGTAGAGAACAGCTTCTGTGCCTTTAGGAACCTCGAGATCTTCAAGTCCTTTGACAATCTTGATTGGAGGCAGCTTGACAGTCAAAGCGGCATTGGAATCAACCTCTCCGAAGTCGTTGGAGACCACGACCTTGAAGTCTCCAGAATCCTCCACTTCGGCTTCTGGAATCTCCAGAGCATACACGCCTGGCGCAACTTCCTTAGCCTTCTCTGGACCCAATTCCTTTCCATTCTTGTACCATTTAACTTGCTTTACAGGGCCTTCCACCTTGACTTGGAATCGAGCCGGTTCCCCGACCTTGACAGTCTGAGGAATGAGACCTTCCACAATCTTCGGTTTCTTTCCTCCATCATCTCCGTCGCCTTTTTCTTTGCCCTTATCTTCGGTCACATTACAAGCAGAGGAGGCTTGGCCAGATTCGTTGGCCACTTGTACAGAGTAACGGCCAAAGTCTTCGGCCTTGGCTTCAGGGATGTTGAGGGCGTATTTTCCATTTCCAAGGTCTTGAGCAAGGTTATCTGGAACAGGTTCTCCATCCTTGAACCACTTGACGGAAGTGGGATTTCCATCAACTTCAACTTCAAGACGGATTGGAGATCCCTGAAAGCACATCATATTACAAATTGAACAATAAGCCTCAGGTCAAATCTATGAATAACTTACTTTAGGAACAGAAGTGTCAGTTAACGGTTTCTTGAAGGTCGGTGCTTGTGTGGCTTCAGATACAGTAACCTTACAGCTGGATTCCACTGATTGGACTCCATTGGTCAGGAAGACCTTGTAAGATCCAGTGTTACTTAAATCGCTGTTTTCGACAGTAAGAGTGTATACTTCATCAGTAACTTTTTCAAAGATATATTCACTACTTCCAGAGATTTCTCGCTCGTCCTTATACCACTTGACAGTTGTCGGTTTCCCTTCAACTTCCACTGAGAGATGGAGCTTTTGACCTCTCTTCAGGCTCTGATCTTGAAGTCCCTTCTTCAGCTTGAATTCGCTGGCTGGTTGAACATTTAACGGAGCTTTGGAAGAGGCGGATCCAGAGGGATTAACAGCCTCGACTCTGTAACTGCCTTGATCATCTGGGGATACGTTCTTCAAGATGAGACGATGGACTCCATTAGGCAGAGCCTCGATGATGACATTGGCCGAAGGAACCAGCTTCTCATTGCCCTTATACCAATCGACTTTACTGTTGTCATCGTCAGCCAGTTTGCATTCAAAGACAGCATCTTCTCCTTGTTTGGCATCAACAGCCTCCAATTCCTTTTCGAATTCGGGGGCCTTGGCCTTTGGAGCTGAAAAATGCGTTAAATCATATACATATCTTACCAAAAAAATTTAATATAAGTATAACTTACTGGTCACAGTCAAAGTGGTATCCGCCCATACATCACCATATTGATTAGAAGCGGCGCATCTGAATTCTCCGGCATCTTCCAGCTTGCAGTTCTTGACAATAAGACGCTGAGTGCCATCAGATTCACTCTCAATCTTGAACTTAGCATCAGCTGCAGTGATCTCCTTCTTTCCTTGATACCATTTGATCTCCGGGAATGGTTTTCCTGATACTTTTCCAACAAAGACGGCATCCTTTCCAACCTCCACATTGACTGGTTTGATTGGTTGAACAAAATCGGGTGCCTCTCCATCAATCTTGGCCGCATCTTTGGAGGTGACCACAATTGGCCCCTCAGTCCAGGCCGTGCCGTGATCATTCTCGGCCAAACATCTGTACTCGGCCGAGTCATCTATCTTGGCTTTGGGGATGGTGAGAGTAATACGACCATCTTCTGCGTATTCTAGCTTCAGAACATCGGATTCCTTGATCTCAGCACCATTCTTATACCATTTAATAGTGGGTCTGGGGCTTCCCTTCACCTTACAAGTAAGGACGGCCTGCTGTTCTTCTGGGACAGTGCAAGATTTTAAAAGTTCCACGAATTCTGGAGCTCCCTTTCCTTGACCATCGACGGCACCGCCATCTGAAAATAAGGATTTACTTTAGAATTAATTCTTCCAGTGCCAAAGTGTAACAAAGACAGTGAGAAAACATATTAAGTTTACCAGTGACTGTGAGGTTTGCCGAAGTGAAAGCTTCAGAATCTTTAGTCTTAATCGTGCACTGATATTTTCCAGAATCGTCGACCTCTGTGTTCTCCAACTTCAATGTCAGAGTTCCATCAGCATCTCTAACCGGAGTACCCTTCTTGATTGGAGCTCCATCCTTAGCCCATTCCACAGAAAGATCTGGAGTTTGAGCCGAGATCTCATCCAGTTTACACTCCAACACAGTCTCCTTGGCTTTCTCCACTGTCTGATCTTGCAATTCCTTCTCGAATCCGAGGAATCCTCCCTCTTCTTCTCCGCCTTCAACGGTCGAGATTTGAGCGTATTTTAGAGCTCCAATAGTCTTGTCTTGACCTGCCTTGTTTACAGCTTCACATCGATATTCCCCAACATCCTTGCTAGATGCATTCAAGATCTTCAATTTGATAGTACCATCCTCGGACTTCTCCATTACCAGATTTGGACTGGCCTGGATCTGTTGTCCATCTTTGAACCACTTAATCTCCGGTTTGGATTCTGGGTTCACCTTGCAGATCAGTTCGGCTGGTTTTCCTTCTTCCAAATTTTGTGGTTTCAACGGTTCGATGAACATGGGAGCGACATCTTCTCCTTGTCCTTGGGCTTCTCCTTCCTTTCCGAATTTCAATTGACCAACACTTTGTTTTCGACCAGCCTTATTGGAAGCTTCGCAAGAGTAAGTTCCGGCATCTTCGATGGTGGCTTCATTGATGATCAGAGAGTGACTTCCATCGGCTTCTTTCTTGCTGATCACATGTTTATCATCAATATTGATGGGAACTCCGTCCTTAGTCCAGGCAATCTCTGGTTCAGGTTTGCCCACCACTTTGACTTCAAGTTTGACAGAATCTGCAGGTTTCACTTCCAAATCCTCCAAGGGTTTGATGAATTCTGGGGCTTCGACGTCTTCGATGACTCCGAGATTTGCCTTGGATTCATCGGATCCGGCTTTATTAACCGCCTTGGCTGTGTAAACTCCGGCATCTTCGTTTCTGGCATCCTTGATGGTCAGAGAATGTTTTCCACCAGCTGATTGACTTGAGATCAGATGAGTACCATCAAGCTGAACTGGATGCCCATCCTTGAACCATTGTACTTGAGGCTCTGGTTTTCCGGCAACAACAACATCGAATTTGGCAGTCTCGGCTTCTTTGATTTCTACAGGTTTAAGTCCTTCGACGAATTTAGGAGCCTCAACTTCTTCTTGAACACCGAAGTTAGCAGTTGTCTCAGCTTGACCAGCTTTGTTAACAGCTTGGCAAGAATATTTACCAGCATCTTCGAGTCTGGCATCCTTTATGGTAAGAGAATGCTCCCCTTGGGCTCCATCCCTCTTGATCAAATGCTGATTATCAATGTTAATAGGTGTGTTATCCTTGAGCCAGGTGACTTGAGGTTCAGGTTTTCCTGTGACTTGAACCTTGAGTTCAGCTGTTTCATGTTCAGCGACATCCACATTCTCAAGAGGTTGAACGAATTCAGGAGCAACGAACTCTTCTTTCTCCACTGCCATCTTGGCTTCGGATTGATCAGACCCGGCTTTGTTGGACACCTTGACAGTGTATTGACCTTCATCCTCAGCCCGAGCATCCACAACCTTGAGAACATATTCTCCTGTTGCGTGATTGGCAAGGATCTTGACATGATCAGCCTCGGGTTCGATCTTCTTTCCGTCTTTGAACCATTCGACTTCTGGTTGGACTTCCGGATTGACGGCAACTTTAACTCCCATTTCGGTGGTCTCTCCTTGTTTTATCTTCTTATTCTTCAGACCATCAGTGATCTTCGGCTTCTCGATCTTCGGACCGGCAGCTCTGACTACACATTCGCAAGCCACTTCCCCAGCCTCATTCTTCGCCACAGCTTTGTATTTTCGGAGGTCGTTCTCCTTCGTCTCCTTAATCACTAATCTCCAGTGAGTATTGGAGGCATCATGTTGAACAGCTACACGAGTTCCGCTTTGAAGACGGACATTATCAACCACCGAATAGAACTCAACGGTCGGCTGAGGAGTTCCGGTAACACTACATTCGAGGATGATGGCATCTCCGATGTTGATTTCCTTATCGGATAAAGGCTTGGTGAATTGTGGGGGTAGTGCTGAAACATGTGCATTGTGGGTGGGGAATGTGAAAAACGGGAAAAATACGAAAATGTAATAAAAAATGCAAGTGAAAAATTAACAAAATGTAAAAATCAATGAATCGATCTTGACATTTTGTTTAACTGCGAAAATATCACAAAAACTTGCACACAAAAAGTGAAAACTTTTGTGCGAACTGATTCTTACCTTGAACCTTGATTGTAGCTTCTGTTTTTGCTTCGCCGGCTTCGTTCTTGGCGACACATTTATATTCTCCTTGACTCGAGACTTGAGCTTGATCGAGGATGAGGATTTGAGTTCCATCGGGTTTGCCTTCCACTTTGATTGGCTCATTGGATTGTGCAACAGGTTTACCATCCTTGAACCAGGCAATAGTTGGCTCGGGGACCCCAGTTACGCGGCATTCCAACACAACCTTCTCCTTGAGCGAAACAGATTTGTCCTGGAGTTTGAGAGTGAATTCTGGAGCTTTGCTTTCAGGAGCTTTCTTTTCTAGGGCATCTGCAATTTTGATTGGTTAATCGAATCTTCATGCGCAATTTTTTTATTTTCTAAGATCTTACCGATAACAGTCAAGGTAGCCTCGCATTGATCCTTGCCTGCAGTGTTCTCCACAACAACAGTGTATTTCCCCGCATCTTCTGGTTGCACATCATCAATGATGAGTTCATTGGCAATGTGACCATCTATTGTTCTAGTCTGAACTCTGATTCTAGCAATCAGTTCGATCTCTTTTCCATCCTTCAGCCATTTACAACATACTCCCTTGGTATCAGGTACCACACACTCAAAGATGGCTTGATGTCCCTTCTTGGCGGTAGTGTCCTTGATCTTCGTGATGAATGAGGGAGCCATGACTGGAGTGGGGGTTCGAGTAAGTTCTTCTCGAGTATCTTCTCTGAAGTCTTCCAGACGATCCTCGCCGAAAGCGTCCGACTCTGATTCGGAAACCATATCAGAGGTGTACAATATCATATTGGCAGTGCAAGAGACTTCTCCTGCGTCGTTCTCGGCCTTACAGATGATCTCTCCAACATGGGCTTCGGGGCGGAAACTGTTGATGGTCAGGATGGAAGTGTTGTCGGTTGTTTTGATAGTGATTCCATCAACGCCATCCTTGACCTCCTTATTGTTGATGTACCAATATAGGTTTGGTTTCGGGTCTCCAGTGAAGACAACTTTGTGTTCCACTTTGCTTCCTGCCCGAGCTCTGACATTGGAGAGCCATTCCAGAAAATCTGGGGGTTCTCCTCGAGGCAATACTTTAAGCATGGCTTCAGATGAGGCTTTGCCGAATTCGTTGACGGCTTCACAAAGTACTTTGCCTGAGTAGTCCATAGTAATATCCTTAATTGTAACTGTGTAAGTTCCCTTTTCGGCATGAATCTTGATGTTCTGCGATTCGACCAACTTCTTTCCATTGACATACCAAGTGACATCGGGCATGGGTTCTCCAACAAGGACGGCTTTCAACTTGAGAGTATCCCCTTCGCGGCATGTGGCATCGCACAAGGAGGTCTCGAATTCAACGGGGATGGGAGCTATTACATTCAGCGTTCCTTCCGTACTGACTTCTCCCATTCTGTTTACCGCAGTGCACTTGATTTTACCAGTCATGTCAGTAGTGCACCCATGAATAACAAGAGAGTATACTCCATTCTCATTCTTGATCTCCGTATCCTCAGTCTGACAAACCAATTGATCGTTGATATACCACTTTGCAATTGGAGTGGGGTTTCCACTTATCAGAATGCTCGTCTGGAGACTGTCTCCTTCCTGGATAGTCAAAGGCTGAAGTTCTGAGAGAAATTGTGGCTTGGTCTGCATTTGCTTCCTCTGGACGGCGATGCTGGCGGCTGTCTCTGCAGTTCCAAAGACATTATCAGCCTTGATGGTGATACGGCATTTGTCATTGAGTTGAGCTTGGAGGATCATCAACTTGCATTGATTATCCTTCACCTCGACCTTGATATGTTCATCTGATTCCAATGGTTGTCCATCCTTAAACCAGCTGACAGATGGTTTTGGTTTGACTTTAGGGTCGAGTTCGGCCAACATAACCACTGTTTCTCTCTCATCAACCATCTTATCTTCGAGGTTTCTGATGAACAGTGGGGCTCTTCCAACCTCCTTAACGATCAGTTGAGCATTCTGTTTCTTCGTTCCTTTGCTGTTGGTAGCAGAACAAGAGACTTCGCCAGTCTGTGAGATCTCGGCATCAGTGATCTCGAGGGTATGGACATCGCCGGAGGCGGAAATCTTGATATTTGTGGCTGTGATCGGTTTTCCATCAAGAGTCCATGAGATTTCTGGCTCAGGATATCCTTTGATCTTGGTTGTGAACTTAGCACTCTCGCCTTCATTGATTTGACGATCGGTCATGTCAGTCATGAACTCTGGAATCTCGAGTTTCTTGACCACCTTAAGATTGGCCTGAGCTTCGATCTTTCCATGTTCATTCTCAGCGACAACTTTGACAACTCCACTCTAAAATTTTTAAAACATTGCTCAGTACTACGAAAGCTGATGTATTATATTTATGTTATTACCTGAGGAATGACGGGTTTGAATATTCTGATAGAGGTTTTTCCACTCTCAGGGTCATGCTTTACCCTGATCGCATCACTGTGTTTGACCTCTTCTCCATTCAGATACCACGTCACTTTAGGGCTTGGTTTTCCACTGACATAAGCGCTGAACTTAACCGAGTTTTCTTCTTCGGTCTCAGCATCTTGAGGGACCTTGCTGAATTTGGGTTTATCTCCAGCCGCCTTGACTTCCAATTTGGCTGAAGAATCGCTAGATCCGGCTGGGTTTTCAGCCTTAACAGTCAATTGACCAGTCATATCTGGAGTGGCATGGGATAGAGTCAAATGATGGGTTCCATCTCCATGATCGACAATCTAGATTAAAAGTATAAGTATTTGTTGTTTTTCTTACCTGGCATTTGTCACCATTCTCTAAAGGTTTTCCATTTAAAAGCCAAGTCAATTTGGTGTCTGGAGTTGGGTTCTCGATCTCCACGTCATATCTGATGGGTTGGCCTTCGTTGACTGATTTATCCGATAGTTTTGCTTTGAATTGAGGTGGTTTAAGGGCTGGTTTCACGTTCAGATTTGCATTTGATTCGTTAGATCCAGCTGGATTCTCGGCCTTAACGCTGACCTTTCCAGAAAGATCAGGAGTGGCGTTGGGAATGGTCAAGGTATATGTTCCATTACCGTTGTCAGCGATCTGCAACAAAAATTAGTCGTATTTTTATCATAATGATATCACTAGTTTATTGCTACTTACTTGAGCATTAGGCCCGGCTTGGACTGGTTTTCCATTCAGGAACCAAGTGAGTTTTGTATCTGGGGTTGGATTCTCTAAGGTAACAGTAAAAGTAACTGGTTTTCCTTCATCAACATTTGCATCATTAAGCCCTTGTTTGAAGATGGGTGCCTTTAGAGCTGGTTTTACATTCAGATTAGCATTGGAATCGTTGGATCCAGCTGGATTCTCGGCCTTGATCGAGATCTTACCACTGCGATCAGGGCTGGCACTAGGAATGTTCAAAGTATAGGTTCCGTTTCCATTATCCGACACCTGAAATTGAAATATTAGCATATATCTTAATCATTTTTATATTATTCCGACCGAATGCCATCGAAAGGAACCCCTCGTCGAGAGGAACCCCTTGTTGAGAGGAACCCCTCGTTGAGAGGAACCCCTCGTCGAGAGGAACCCCTCGTTGAGAGGAACCCCCGAGTAGGAAATGTTGGATATAGAGGTAATCGATGACGGGGATTTCAAAAATGATGTTAATTTTTTCTGATTTTGATTTTTTTTCTTAACTAGTAGTGTTAAAAAGTAACTTTTTGAAATTTTTCTAAAAATGCTGGATATAGGGGTTTTCGAGGGTGCCGATTTCGAAAATCATGTTAGCTTTCCTCTTTATAGTACTATCTGGTACTATACAGTACGAGGTGAAAATATGGCTTTTGGCGTTAATGGTGTTGTTTTGATGCTTAGTACTCAAAAACACGTTTTAAATAACTGGTACTGTTTAGTACCGTCTGGTACTATGTAGTACAAGGTGAAAATAGGAGTGCTAAGCAACAGAACAACACCACTAACGCCTAAAGGCTAAATTTTTACCTTGTGCTACATAGTACCAGAAAGTACTAAACAGTACCAATTATTTAAAACGTGTTTTTGAGGAGTACTAAGCATCAAAACAACACGATTAACGCCAAAAGCCATATTTTCACCTCGTACTGCATAGTACCAGATAGTACTATAAACAGGAAAGCTAACATGATTTTCGAAATCAGCACCCTCGAAAACCCCTAAATCGAGTATTTATAGAAAAAATTCCAAAAATTACTTTTTAACACTACTAGTTAAGAAAAAAAGTAAAAATCAGAAAAAATTAACATCATTTTTGAAATTCCCGTCATCGATTACCTCTATATCCAACATTTCCTCCATATTCGGAAAAATCGAGAGGAACCCCTCGCGAGGGGTTCCTCTCGACGAGGGGTTCCTCTCGATGAGGGGTTCCTCTCAACGAGGGGTTCCTCTCGAGGAAAACCATTCCGACCTTGCTATTATTTCCACAGAAAGATACCATCAAATAAAAATATTTTAGAAGTAGAGCTAGGTGTCAGATCTCAATAGTCTTATAATATAAATTGAATACTCTAAGGGGAAAATCTCAAGAGCTGGCCGAACTAGACGTTTCCCGAGTTCCTAAGGTTTCCAGAACATCTGGCCTTATCAATAAAAGTGGGTTATGATACCTGAGCATTTGGTTCATTCTGGATCGGGCTCCCATTCAGCAGCCAAGTTATCTTTGTGTCCGGTGTTGGATTCTCAAGAATGGCCGTGAATTGGGCCGGCTTTCCTTCATCCACATTCTGATCACCAAGGCCTTGTTTGAAGATCGGAGGTTTCAAGGCCGGCTTCACATTCAGATTGGCATCAGATTCGTTGGCTCCAATCGGATTCTCCGCCTTAACTGCGATTTTTCCAGCAAGATCTGGGGTGGCTTTTGGAACGACCAAGGTGTAAGTTCCATTTCCATTGTCACTAATCTAAAGTTAAAGCTGATTATGGTCCAAAGTTAAACTAATTGTAAGCCTCATTATACTTGCCTGTGCATCCGGTCCATTTTGTAAGGGTTTTCCATTCAACGACCAGGTTACCTTGGTATCTGGTGTCGGGTTCTCTAATGTGACTGTGAAGGTTGCTGGCTTTCCTTCATCTACATTGGCATCGTTCAATTTCTGTTTGAAGATTGGTGGCTTCGGAGCTGGCTTAACTTCAAGGTAAGCGGCGGCCTTATCAGATCCGAGTGGATTCTTAGCCTGGACTTGGATCTCTCCAGCATTTTCGAGCGCAGTATCCTTGATGGTAAGGGTATATTTGTTACCGTCTTCTGATAGAACAAACTTTCCATCAGACGTAGCAACCGGTTTGTTATTAACAGTCCATTGAACTTCTGGCTTTGGTTCTCCTTGAATAGTTGAGGAGAATTGAACGGTCTCTTTTTCGGTGACTTTAGCGCCCTGAGGCCATTCGGCGATCTTTGGAGGTGATCCTTTGGGTGTTACTTTCAGATTTCCATCTGAATTTTCTTTTCCACTCTCATTAACGGCTTCCACTCCCAGTTTGCCGGCATGATCTTTAGAGACGGATGGGATGTGCAAGGAAGATTCGGGCCCATTCTGAGTAATCTGCACTCCATTTTGACCATCTTTAAGAGGTTCTCCGTTCAATGACCAATTTATTTGATCGGCATTGGGCGCGGATACTGTAACTTTAAGAGGCTCTCCTTCTTTGGCATTCAATTCTCCAGGGATTCCCTGTTTGAATGAGGGTACCGGCTTGGGCTTCTTCTTCACCTCAAACGTCGATTGGGCACTGTCTTCACCAGCCGAGTTCTTTGCGGTTACTGTAACGTTTCCACTGTGACTGATGGCAGCGTCATTTACTCTCAACATATATTGATTTCCAACTTGACTGAGAGCAAAGGTTGGATGTGATGGAGTAACAAGTTCTCCGTTGACTCTCCATTCAACAGTTGGAATTGGTTGAACTTGACTAACTTCAGCTGAGAAGAGAACAACTTCGTGTTCATGGACTGATTTGTTTGGAGGACCTTTGGTGATCTTTGGAGGTTCTCCTTTCTTATCGACCACCAATCTTGTTTCCTCCGAAGCTTTTCCGAATTCATTTTCAGCCGAGACTCCCAGGATGGCATTATTCATGTCAGGCTTGGCTTCTGGGATTCTCAAAATGGATTCCCCGTCTTGGGTGGTGACTTGAGCGCCAGGCAGAGCTTCGCCGATGGGTCTGTCGTTGTAGCTCCAGTTGACCTTGGCTTCCTCAGTGAATTTAACATTCAATACCACAGGTTGGCCTTCTTCAACTTTAACTACTGGGTTAAGACCACCTTGGGTGAAGGTTGGCCGATCGGCGACGTCTAGTCTGGCAAGACTCTGGACTTGGTTATCTCCAGAACCAGCCTCGAACTTAATAGTCGTTGAAGATTGAGCTGACTCTACAATCAGAATGTGCTCATTGGCCGGGCCTTCGGAGAATCTGACTCCAGGGGATGTCTGTCCCAGAAGTTGGTCTCCCATCCACCATCTGACATTGTTTGCGTTCTCAACGACTGTTTGGAATTGAGCTTGATGGCCTCGCTGAACCCTTTGGTTGAAGAGTTCCTTCTGCATAATCAATTGTTGAGAAATGTTATCCAATTGATTGAATCCACCAACTTCTTGAAGTCCCTGAACATTCGAATGAGCATGCTCTTCGAATCTCTCAACAGATTCTCGACGATAAGGTTCTTCTTCGGCTTCGAAAGAGATGACTTGACGCCCTCCTTCTTGAAGTTTCTCATGAGAAATGGTAGTGGAGGGTTCTGCGGATTCTGAATGGACGTTAAATTCGGCGTGTTCCTTGAGCTTTTCGTGTTCGAGTTTTTGATAATCTTCTTGAGCTGCTTGTGTTGTAAAGAGTTGAGCCATTCCTTCATCGGTGCCTAATTTATTCTCAGCGACGATGACAATTGTAGCTGGATTTGGAAGGATGTTGGTGTCGATTACGAGCTTGGTTGTTCCAGACTGGGTATCTGTCTCGATGGAAGTTCCCTGCGTCGAATTCCAAACTTTCTTTCCATCAATGTACCACGTGAATTCAGCTGCCGGCACAGCGTCAGCTTGAGCTTCGAAAACGACTTTTTGGCCAATGGGGACTGTTGCATTATTCGGTTTCTTCTTGAGAATGGGCTTCTGTTCATGTCTGGTGACATTCAACTTGGCCTGACAAGTGGCCTCGCCTTCAGAATTGGTGGCCGTACAAGTGACGGTGCCAATATCTTTGAGATCAATTTTGTGGATTTCTAATTTGGAGCTTCCATTGAACTCTCGGAATTTGAATTTATCGTTTTCTGTGACGGTGTTTCCGTTAACTTTCCATGTTAATGTGGCCTTAGGTTCAGCGTCGACGGTGACTTCGAACACAGCCGTGTTTCCTTCGAGTTCGGTAACATCTTTCAATGGTTGAGTGAATTCTGGAGATTTTTTCTTCTTTTCCAAAGGCAAAACAATCAATCTGGCCTTGGTTTCGAAGCGGCCGATTTGATTCTCAGCTCTAAAATGTGATGGCTAAATAAAAAAAAATTAAACCTTGCCTGCAGAGCACAGTACCGGCGTATTTCGTGGAGTCGACCACCAATTTGTGGTCACTTCCATTGGCTTCGATCTTTGTGAATTCGTCTGGTTCAAGCTTGGTTCCATTGATATACCAACTGACAGTTGGATTGGGACTTCCTTTTACACATGTTGTAAAAGTAGCCTTCTCTCCCATCTTTACAGTCTGATCTTCGATGTCCTTGAGGAAGGTTGGGGCACTCCTTGAGTCCTCTTCTTCTGGCTCTACCACCAATCTGGCTCTGCTCTCAGCTTGGCCATGTTCGTTGATGGCTCTGGCCAAGATCTCACCATCATGTTCATTCAAAGAACAGTTCTGAATGGTCACCTTGTAGTAGTTGTCTCTTTGTTGGATAGAGACTCCATTAATTCCGTCTTCCAATTTCTTTCCTTTCAAGAAGAATTCAACTTTTGGATCAGGGTAACCGCTGACATCAACCTCGAACATGACGGCTGATTTCTCGGTGACAATTCTGTCCTCGAGGGGCCTGTCGAATTGTGGAGGAAGAGGGGGTACCCGGACCTTGAGTCGCGCATCACAGGTTGTTGTTCCCAATCTGTTTTTGCCCTGAAATGGAGTTCAACTGTAAGAGCAATTTCTACGAGATTTTTTTTCGTTTTTTTAATTATGCAAATATAATTTAATTATGCAAATTTCTTCCATTCCCTTATCATTCTTCTTTATCAATTATTTTGGCACTAAAGCTGACTGGACTCGAAAGAATGCGTAGGCGGTGGCGGAGAGTGCAAATGGCATTCTTTTTAAACTTTCCTCTGAGGACACACCTGTTTTTGTTCATGATCCCAGTTCAGAGGGGCTTTCGGAGGAAATAAAATTAGAAAAAGGTATTAAAATAACTGATAATTCGTAGTAAATAAAACCCTCATATGTTACTTAAAAGCATTGTGCTGACATTTGAAGTGCGTTCATCTGTTATATGATACTTGACATAAAATAATTACCTCGCAAGTGATGGTTCCATCGAAATGACGGGACACGTCCTTGATGGTGACGATGCAGATTCCGTCTTCTGATATGAATTTTATTTTCTCGGATGGGGTCAGGGGATGGCCGTTCACATACCAGACAATGTCTGGCTCCGGATCACCCGTAATTACGGCCTTGAACTTGACCGTATCGCCTTCGTCACATTCCACGTCTTCTGTGACTGCCTAATATACAAAATCTATGATAAAATCAAATTGAAGATTAAAGTTAAAGGGCGTCTAATTGGCCTCAACTACTGTTATACAGTATCGATTCATCTGCCTTGCTTACCTGGAATTCCGGAGCGACATGATTTTTATCCGGATCTGGCTGAACGACCAGCTTTGCATTGGTCTCTTTGGTCCCGAATTCATTTGTAATCCTAACAGCATAGATGCCGGTATCATCCGGCTGAGCATCCCTAATCTCCAAAGATGCCTTCTGGCCATCGTATTGTAATCTGAAGTCGTGGGATGGCCTGAGGGGTTGTTCATCCACCAACCACACCAGTTCTGGTTCTGGCCATCCTTCCACTTCACACTCGAAGTTGACCACCTCTCCTTCTTTACACTCCTGATCACGCAAGGAGTTTGTAAATGCCGGAGGGGCTGCTTCTTTCTCCACTTTCAGCACTTTGAAGAAGGCTGAAGTCGAGGCTTGCCCGTATTCGTTGGTTGCAACGCAAGTGTACCGACCAGTATCTGTGGCCTAGAAAAATTAGGGATACACTTTGATTACGATCAAAAAATGCTCAAAATGTAAAACGGACTTGTACTGGGTCGATAGTCATTGCGAAGAATCCATCATCATCGGCGTAGAATGTTCGTCGTTCGTCTTCTTTCAAGAGAACATCATCCTTATACCTGCAAGTACATCATCATTTAGTACAGAATAAGACTTACCAAGTAATCTCTGGTAATGGATATCCTGTCACTTTTAAACACATTTTGGCTGAGGATTCCTGAAGTGTCCGGAATCCGTATTGAGTTCGTGTAACTCGAGTTCCCTGCATATCCAGGGTCGTTCCTGTTGTCGCTAAACCAAGCAAAAAAATGATTCGAAGATTTTTTATTTTACTTACTCCAATCAATGCTGGATCCACCACTGTAAAGACTGGTAGAGGAGCCGGTGGGTGAAATTGCCGGAGGGGATTTGATTTTTTTTCTCGGCGGACCCTCTTCCGGACCTAAAAATACAAAAGATTTCAAAAATTTATGCAAATGAGCAAAATAAAAGCAGAAATTAGGGCCGGACCGATGGCTGAAGTCGACTTCCGACTGATCGTCGAATACTCGCTGAACTCCGAGTGGGCATCGCTGATATTCACATCAAAATCGGCGCCCGTTAAGGTCTCGGATCCCTTCTCACTCGCTGAAATTTGCATAAATTAGAGAACTCACTCCATGCTGGATCGACCAGTTCAATCCCTCCATCATCAGCATCCAGCAGCTCGATCACATACATTACCTTCAGCACCATGGCTGACGCTGGATTGGCCTACGGGCCCGCTCCGTCTAGGGTAGTCTAATCTTTTTGAATTTGATAGATCACAGGTTGAGAAGAGCTCAACAAAATTAGGCCCAATAGGTTGGCCAGGCGGTCCCTCGCAACTTAGTTCCTAATTAATAGCCGCGCACTTTTTTCGGCGAAAAAATCTCTCTCTGCAAGTCCCGCAAAACACCCGGAGGGCAAATAATCGGCCTTGGGGGAAGGTGGGGGTTTGGGGTGGCCGAAGCGACAAGAAAAGATCGCACCCCCGACCAGATCAGCGAGGGGATTCGAAGGCCCTCCGGCCGCTGGGCCCTCCGGGAAGGCCCGATCTCTCGGCTGCCGAGATCTCTTTAATTGTGCCTTACAACAGTTGTTTCGGCCCCGCTCCCCCGCAACATTTTTCGTGGTATTTACTGATTACTCTGCTAGTAATCATGATCCATTCTTTGGCATATTCCTCGTTGTATTAGAGATTAAACATCTCTTTTTTACAGGTATATTGCACAATATTACCTTCCAAAATATTATACTAATTTTTACCATCCAATCTTTTCCAGACTAATATAAAAATGAGATTATTCTTAAGATTTTTCTTAACAGTCATCATGTATTTGAAATTTAGGATCCCCGGATCTATTTCTGACTCCAAGGCGTTGTTTTATTACTGCTTTTATATACTGTTTTAATGCTTATTTTCTCATTTTTTATTCTAAATTCGCCCTTATTTTCGCAGATCCCCCTACTGTTTACTTTTTTACAGTTTGCTTTTGTTCCTCCTCAACTTCTCAGTTTTTCTCCTTATCTCTGCAACATTTCCCTTGTTCTAGATTATATAAACCACCAGGGTTTAATAAAAATCTTTTATTCTTTCCAGATGTCCGGTTATAACAAAAAGATCGCGGCCGTTCATCTCTAATATATAATGGAACGAGTTCTTTCAACTGCATTTACATCACTTTTTAAGTCTAGATAAAAAATAAATATTCTCAGGTGGTCATTTAATCTCTGGAGCGGGATCAGGATCAAGTGGATTAGACATATTTTATAAAAAGACCTCAGCTTATGATCAATAAACATTGCACACGTCAGAAATATCGAGATATCTGAGGCCTGTCCGAATAATAAAGCGAAGCGCGAATCACGAATTTGAAGCGCGAAAAATCATGCTAATCAGAGAGAAGTGAGAAAAAAAGGTTCCCTTGGAAAATCGCGCTATGGGTTTTTGTGCCAAGTACCGCAATATTTTAACTTTTTTTTGCCATGACTTCTTTCGATGACGTCCAATTTACATTATCTAAGATATGTAAACTGAAATAATTTGGCTGTTTTTTTCATAAAATGGACCTTAATCATCACTTAAATGTCCATTTTTGTCCATTTTTTTTTACAATTTTGAACCTCTCAGATTTGTTGTGATCGAGCTGTGATGGTGACTTATATTACACATGGATGAATTGATCGCCTATTTATTATAGAAAAGAGAAAACAGATGAAAGAACGATGTCATGTTTAGAGGAATGAGCGTTAGTTACTTACAAGGAAACTCCTGGATATCTTTAAGCCAGGCTTTTCGCGTGAACTCAGCCTGAATTGGGTCATGTTTCTTGATACGGAGGCTTGGAAGGCCTGGTTCTTGAGCTCGGAAGACGATGCAATCTTCGTCGTTGGTCAGTTGACGGATGAAATACTTGTCTAGCTGAAAAGATAACTCTTACTGCAAGGCATCCGCTAAATATTAAGCAACTTTCAACAGTTTTTAAAAAAATTCAAAGGCAAAAAATATGGCGGATTTTTCATAACCAATAAACAACCAACCCTCAGGGTGACAACATTTTCGTACGTATCGTTTTCCTTTCTGGTCACCAACAACATATTCTTGAACAAGAACACATGACGATCTTGAACTGGCCCATCATCTTCCCAAACATCAAAGTCATCCTAAAGTAATATGTATAGAAAATAATATGCTTAAGCAAAAATCATAATAATGAAAGCAATTACACTCTTACATGTCTGAGAATTCTCCCGAGTCTTTTGATTTCCCCAGGGTATTTTATAATTTTATCGGTGATCGATAAATCCTGAGCTCTTTTGGGTACTGATTGGATCAATTCAAGCGCCTTCTGCATACTCTTGGTACTACAATTAGCTCGAGTCGAGTATTTTATGATCTCCTGAAGTGCAGTGGACATTAGTTTAGTTGTTGAAATCAACGATTATCTAATAATTGTTATTCTATATAATATTTTAAGATACCTTGAAGAACTCTTCGTATTTGCTGATTCTCTCCGGAATTTGATTCAGATAATCGACATAGCCTTCACTTCCAGCCTGAATCTTATCACTAAGACTATGCAGATATTCTTTTATCACCGGATCCGACTCAATCTTCTCGATGACCTTGGGCAATTTGTTGAAGAACTCCACATGATGATCGAAATCTTTCTCCAATCGGACAAAGGTTTGACCAACTTTGCCCGGATCATCCGAATAATACTGTAAACCCTTTAGCAGCACACTAAAGGTATATGTTTTATAATGCACACGACGATTTAATTGTAATTCACTTTTAAATTTTAATCTTACTTAGCATGGAAATTATAAAGTTCAGTGACATTCAGTGCAATTTCTTGGATCCCCGGGATAGGAATATCATGAAAGGCCTGGACATAATTGTCCAAAAGACCCCGAAGATCATCCACAAACTTCTCTTCGGTTTGCAAAAGATCATGATAAACTTGTCTGAAATAAGCTGGTTAATGCTTGATATTGTACTTAAAAATAGCTGCAGATATTTCTCACTCTCTTTTGAGTATGGCTTGTTGCTCAGGAGTCAGATTGGTGTCCTGATTAGCTAATTCTCTGGTCCGTCTTCTTTGTTTGTAGTAATTGGTAGGCGTTTCGAAGTAAGAACCGGGGACCCATCCAGTTTTGGGAGGTCTGGCCTAAAAAATATTATTACTTGTCACAAACAAATAGTAAAAAGTTTAATTCAAACTTAAACCAAGTACACGAAATTATATTTTTCAACTTTCTTTCACTCTCGAAAAAAATTCAAACATAGATGAAATGTCATTTCTAGTGTCTAGAAGAAAAAACGTGAAGGTTTTGATGATATTAGAATAGAGCTTAAAAAGAAGGTATGCCCTCCTAACAGTTATTTCGACTTTCATCACTGCGCAATTTGTCATCAAAAAGGCCTTACAAGGGATCGGCAAATAGTTGCACCATGCTTTCTTAACGAATCCTATATCATTTAAAAGAGCATTAAAAATAGTGCACAGCGCAAAAAAAATTAGCTGCCCAATATATGTTTGGGCAAAGTTATGGCCAGAATACAGATTTTAGCCTAATTTCCGCGTCACTTTATAAGCTCTTGGAACGGCGACAGAGTTGTGCCTAGTTGGCCGAGTGGTAGTGACCCCACTTCCGGCAAAACAGGTCCTGGTTTCGAGTCTGGGCGGTGCAAACCTTTTTGCATTTCGTCTCTTATATACCACAAAACCATGGTATGTTGATATTTTTAAATAATTTTTGTTCCTTCGCAGTCAAAATACATTTTTACGGGATTTTTTCGAGTTTTTGGTGTTTTTGCAACCACCACAAATTTTATGGTGATGAGAGTGGGGATGCCTATCGTATAATTACAAGGGTGTCATGCCTTTAGCCTGACCGATTATGATTACTGGACGATAATTCAATTTAGAAGGCCTATAAATATAATTTTTTCGAAAAAATACGAAGAGAAAATTACAAAAACAGCGAAAACACTATTGCTGACACAGTGGCCTAACCGTCGGCAAGGCTAGGACATAAGAAATTTTTGATTTTGAGATTTTTGTTTGTAAATGGCCACGACGATCATACATTTTTTTTTGCTCCAGTTCTCCCATTAACCTAGTTTTATTTACAATTTTTTGTAAATGGCAGTAATGCGACATTATAATGTCTAATAACTCATAGCCAAGGATTGATAAAGCCATGAAACGACCGTGATAGACGTTTCGAGATACTAGTAAGAAAATGGAGACAATTTCAAGCCGCCAGGATTACTGTAATATAAGAAACCGGCGTTTTGGCTGCATATAACCCTTTTCATAAAACGGTCATAACTTTGCCCAAACATATATTGGGCAGCTAACTTTCTTGTGTTGTACACTATTTTTAACGCTCTTTCAAACGGTGTATGTTTCGTTAAGAAAGCAGGGTGCAACTATTTGCCGATCCCTTGTTACTACGGAATGCCAAAGCGGCTTGGACCTGCAATTTTCAAAGATTTAAATTTTATTTTTAAGGAGCCTGGTGTCGAGACTGGAAAACAAATCGATGCACAATCCAACGAAAACATTTTCCTAAATTCCCGAATCGGAAGCCCCTAAAGTTGGAAAGGATCCCGATCTCAAAATCCATAAATGGCTAATACGCAGAAAGGCGGTGTGGAAGGTACACGAACCACCAAGTTGTAAGAGTTCAATTTCTATCCAAGGATAAAATCGGGCGGGGCCACACTTGCGGGAAACCACATGCGGGAACGATCCTTGCGAGCAAAACGTTGCGCACCTTTCTTGGAAATGCATGAAATCTTTCGGCTTGATGAATAAAGTATTCCCCAGAAATTTAACAGGATTTCTGGCAATCCCCGTCAAAATATCGTTGAATGCCATATTCTATCCTCCTACCTTTGTTCTGACCAACCAAGCAGTCGGATTGCTTTTTTCGAGTACTTCCACAATCTGCCCTTGCTCTAAAGTAACGGCTTCGGTCTCCGTCCCATCCGGAGTAAAGTTCTGAATGGCGATGTAAACGGGATAACTCCTTGTTTCAGATCCCTAAACCAATTACAATTGTACGTTCAGCGACTTACGGTAACAATTTCCGTCGATGAATTTCTGCCTTGAGCTGAAGATGTGGAAGTGACGGACTCGGAGCGGTAGGCGGATCTGGACGAATGGGTCAAATAACTCACGTCCTCTTGCGCCGTGTATCTTCTGAAGATTTTACCTATAGTAATAAGATATCAGACATTACCTATAAGAGTTGTATTTCCGCTGAAGTTGCCGTTGTCTTCTGGATGCCATGATTTAAAAAATACGAAAAATGATATGAAAACGATTAGAAAGCAGTGTCGTTCATAACAGGGGCGATGTTCATACACCCTGAATGTAAATATTATTGTAGAAAGACAGGTAATCATAGACAACGTAATCTTAAGTTCGTAATTTTATGGAAAAGTCATTTTTAAAATTTCTTGGCCAAGAATTAAGAGACGCAGATGTTGGCGAATGAGGCCACGTAGGAACAGATTGGGACATATTTTATGGTTTTTTACGGGGTATGAAAAATATAACAAAATTAATTGTAAGGACAAGAAACCTGAGTATGAGAAAGTTGAACAAAAAATTCATATAAAAATACTAAAATAAAAAATTGCTCACAAGGAAAGTACTTTTATGGGGGCTCCTACTTTTTGACCGGACATATCTCAAAAAATCAGAAAAAATGTGCTGATCAAGGATATATAAATCTTAGCTGCCCATTTTAGGTTTTTAGGGGTGAAAATGCCCAAAAACTGGCTTAATTTCCCTACAAAAGGCGCAGGCATTCGAAACGATAAAAAGCGCATTCGGTCTCTTCCTTCGGAAGAGAGCGGTGTGGCCGAGTGGCTAGTGCCGTAGTCTGGGAATCAAGAGGGGGAACGCCGCACGGGTTCGATATCCCTTTTGGGCCGAATCAACTTTTTTTGAAGTTGAAGGTCGGAAAAAATAAATTTTTGTGCCAAGACTGATTTATTACGTCTTAGAAACTCAATAAACATCATTTTAAGTCAAAATAAAAATTGTAAACCTGTGAAAAATTAGGCGAAAAGGGGTTCATATAGGACTTTAAGTCAACTTCCGATTGAGTTTTCACCCCTAAAAACCTAAAATGGGCAGCTAAGATTTATATATCCTTGATCAGCACATTTTTTCTGATTTTTAGAGATATGTCCGGTTAAAAAGTAGGAGCCCCCATAAAAGTACTTTCCTTGTCAAATGCAGTCCCGCACCAAAAGATGGATGATTCCTTATTATTTTCCCGACAGACTGATAACATTTTTTTAAAAAGAGTAAATAAATAAATTGTAAAAAGGAAAACATTTTGGTTGCCAAGTGCTTATCTTTGATCTCCTCCGCGGAATAACCTCCAACACCACTTCAAAAAAAAAAAGATACCACATAGTACGCAAAAAAATGCAAAAAATAACATTATTATTCCAAGGTAGTTGGAAACGAAATATTTAAAAAATGCCCTGTTTATGTCAATAATATGATTCAAATCAATCAAGTTTCAACCCACATAATCGTATAACGAGCACTGTAAAAGTGGGCGGAGCCAACAACTGTAAACAAAAAACAATTTGTAGGAAAGCGTTCAGGGAACAGTTTTGAGAGTGTTCTCGTTTGTTCTTGCATGAGACGCCCTGAGGGAATCGAATTTAAGTGGAGGCGGTGAAAATACCTGGCGGCCGAAAAAAACTCTCGGATCAGATCCGGGAAACCCGAAAAAACTGGCTTTGACGTGCTCCATCCCTCGTTTCTCTGCAGGCCGAGGGCTCTTTCACTGACGTCTCTTCAATTAGAATAATCTCTAAATTATAAAACAAAATTTTATTGTTCAAAATAAAGATGGAATCAAAAATATTTCGGTATCAAAAGTATTTGCAGCATTTTTTTATCATTTTGATTACTACTGTACGGACAAAAAAATTATGGACGTTTTCAAGCATAAATGTAAAATTTGAATTATTTTAAAACTGAAATTCGCACCTAAAATGGTTCCCTTGAACGGAAATCTCATCAATTTTATTTTTGATTAAGATTATTCTATCTGAAGATGACCAAACTGATATTATTCGTGAACAAAGCAACTATCTTGCACCTTTTTTACATTTCTCTAATTCATATTGGGTAAGACTTCCAAACGCGTTCCACTTCTTTTGCTCAGTTCCTTCCTTTGATTCCTCAAACATTTTTTATAAACCCATCGGAAACGGGATAAAACAGCTGCCTAGAACCATTTATTTCATCGCTTTATAGCCTATTTTAGGGGATATTGGCAAAACTGACTGCCGTTCTTCGGAGACACTCTTATTGCATATTACATACCTACTTCAATATGAAGAATCCCCTCAGCCGAAGAAGCCTTGAATTTGGAACGGAGATCGGCCTCGCCTAACTGGGCAGCGAATAACTTCATCTTGTCCTGAAGACCCAATTGAGAGCCAGCTCTGAAAAAAATAAAACACCAGAATAATTAAGAATTAGAATTTGACCGCCCAAGCGGTCAGAACGGTGGCACCACGACATTTCCGGAATTTGGACACTTCCGGAATGGCGGAATAGTGACACTTCCGGAACCGGGGAAAAATCAAAGAAGAGGCTTAGACCTGCCATCTGAACCATCTGACTGGATTTATTGTTATTAATCTCAAAAATTTTGTTATTTTTTTCTGATTGTTACTTTTTTCTTAAGTAGTAGTGTTAAAAAGTAATTTTTCGAATTTTTTCTAAAAGTACTCAATTTAGGGGTTTTCAAGGTTGCTGATTTCGAATATCGGGTTCATTTTTTCTGATTGCTACTTTTTTTATTAAGTAGTAGTGTTAAAAAGTAATTTTTCGAATTTTTTCTAAAAATACTCGCTTCAGTCCTTATATGTCTTTCACAGTGATATTATCTTTGCAACACAGTTTTTACGGCGCCGAATTCGTCCTAGCTAAGATAAAATCGTCATGGATAATATCGAACAAATATATAAAAACCGTCAAAAACTAAAAAAATGAACATGATTTTCGAAATAAGCAACCTCGAAAACCCCTAAATCCAGTATTTTTAGAGAACTTTCAAAAAATTACTTTTTAACACTACTACTTAAGGAAAACTAGTAAAGTTCAGAAAAAATGAACCCGATATTCGAAATCAGCAACCTTGAAAACCCCTAAATCGAGTATTTTTACACAGGGGACTCGGATTTACTTATATGTACGTCTTTTTTACTTATATGAAATTGAAGTTTATATAAGTAAATAAACGTACATAAGAGCGAAGGAATAAGAGCGAAAAAAATCTTCTGAAAAAAATGCTTCAGCCTCTTTCTTTTTTTGTCGAAAGAGTCTCGAGCAGATTCTCACCACTTGGGGACGCGTCTGCCGTCACACTCTTTCTTCTCTTCTGGAGGAAGCGTCTGCGAGCAGGCTCTTCCCGACGTTTATAAGCCCCGCCCCCTCGATTTTGAGCCAATCATCGCTGAGTTGGCGGTTTTCTTGCGGAAAACGGTTGTTTTGGGTGAAAATTTTTGCCTTTTCATTATTCCGGTGATTTGGGCATGTTTTTATTTGTTTTAGAACTGTGATACGCTTAGCCTTACTATGGCTGTCATTTGAAGATTCAATTGAAAATCAGATACATTCCTGGTTAACACAACGGTTAAGAAAATCAAGAAAAAACAAGTTTCATAGATTTATTTATGTGCACCACAAGTAACATCTTTACATTTAGATGTAGAGGGCCGTGTCGGATTCTGCCCATGGGCGTTCGTGTCCATGTTCACAGTCTCCCTTTCTTTCTCATTGTTACTGAGGTTGGCAGTTGCAATTTTAGGATATTGAGGCTGAATTTGGAAAAATTAGCGACTTTTCAACAATTTTATATCTAAAATAACATCAAACTCCTCAAAACAACTCTATCGGTCCTACTTATTATTGGCGCACATGCAAACCACGTGTCACTCACTAAACTGCACATTTCGCAACAAATTTACCTTATTTTAGACAAAGATACCTAAAAATTTCAAAAAATCTTGGTTGACGTAGGCCTGCAAAAAATTTCAATAATATCAACTAAATTACTATTTATACTTTCTTTCTCCGCCTCCTAAGCACTTCATCACTCACAAAAACAGCGCAAACTCAAAAAATAATATTACTTTAGCCCAATCCGCTGAAAACTCAAAAAAAACCTCAAAAATCCCAATCTTCTCCCTCAAAACTCTCTAAAACTGTTACTTACTTCCCATTCAACAAGTCGTGAATATCCCTGTCCTTGCTGGATCCAGCTTCATCAACTGCCACGGGGATCTTATCCGTGGAGACCAAATTCTATATTGTTTTATACCTAAAATGTTTAAAAAAAGTTCTAACTTACAAAGTCGTCCGAATTTATTGCTGTAGCGATCACATACTGTTGATGTCGAACATCAATTGGGCCTGAAAAGTTAAAACAAGTTCAGGTATGGTGTCCGCAGTTGGCCGGGTAGGAAAAATTAGACCTGAAATTACTCAAATATGCTAACAAAATAAGGCAACTTACATTTCGCCGCGTCGGTCCGCCCTTCTTCGTCAAAATTCCCTATCATTCATCGATGGGCTTCACCTCCATCTATTGTTGTCGGCCACTTTTGTTCGGTCAAAACGACTGAAAATTGTTCGGGCGCAAGCTGCGGAACCTTTTTTTCGCTTTTGCCAGAAAAATGAAGTTTTACCAACAACTTTGACGCCAAAAAAGGACGACCAAGATTGATATGCGATTGATGAAGGCCTCCAAACACCGCCCATCAGATGTTGAACGGGATCTACTGCAAATCATGGACTTATATTCGGCCTCCAATGTCTGGACTCGGAAAAGGTACGTAGAATGTTAAATTGTTGATAGTATTGGCAAATTTTAGCCGAAATATCTCCGCGTCATGTGCAGCGAGATGTTTCAATAGTTCTGGAGGACAAGCATAATAATGATGCGGCTTATGAAGTAAATGAAGTCCCTCTTCGTCGGCTTGCAATATGGTAAGTTCTTTTCTTCTGTTTTGCGTTGTTGATTTAGGAAATATTCAACCACACACCGTCTTCATCAATCCGATTACAGATGTGGTCTACTAATGAGAAACACGTGATCTTCTGGACCTATGCGCAACTGTTTGCTCCCGGCGACTAAACCCAAATGTAAGGAGTACACCAAATTCTGGATAAGCTAGCTCCACCGAATGCATTCGCAGCCAGCCGTTCAACAATCCCATAGGTACGCGAAAAAGTGCACAATTTTCCGGCTATTGTTGCTATTACAATTCAGCCACCATGGTTTATTATCTCTGTTACCTGAATTAGATTTTTGTGACCTTCTTTACATCAGATTTATATATTATATTTGATTTCTCCGATATCTGTTTCTTAGACACCTTTATTTATTGTTATTAAAGATTAGTTATTAATTTATTTTATAGAAAATGAACGAAGAGTGTTAGATTATACTGTCCAAACTTTCTTCTCAGAGAAAAAATGTAAAAAACATTGTATACTTGAAAAGAACAGTGCTTTATTTACTAAATGGCAACATTTCAATTCGCCGTTTTTCCTCAAAATCCTGCAGAAGTGGGCGGAGCCAATAGGCGGAAAGAGTCTCGACCCACACTCTTCCCCCACCTTGATGGCGGGAGCGTCTGCTCGAGACTCTTTCCGCCTCTCAGATTCTTTCCCAAATGGGAAGAGTTCGTAAACACACTCTTCCGAACGAAAAGGAAAGAGGCTGAAGCATTTTTTTCAGAAGATTTTTTTCGCTCTTATTCCTTCGCTCTTACATATAAGTAAATAATCGTACATATAAGTTATTCTGAAATTACTTATATGTAAACTTTATTTTCGGCGCTCCACAAATTTACTTATATTTACAAATAAGGATTTTTTACTTATATTTACCAATAAGGATATTTTACTTATTTGTAACCCAGAATTATGCACAGTGCAAATTATATTATAAACGTTTATTTTGATTCTCAAAAACAACAAATACATGTGGATAACGCATCCTGTGTCTGTTTTTGTCCTTATGAGGCATCAATTGCTTGCTTTCGTGATCTTCTATGGGGACTTCTGCGTCTGCATTCACTGAAAATAGTAACAAATAAAGAAGATAAGGTCGCTCGACGATATTTACTATAAGCCCTTCTCAATTGTTTGTGCTTCTTCACCCCGAAAAAATTAGTTTTAGGTTCACCAAGTTTGTAAATGAAATTTCGAGACACCAAGTTTTTCATGTTGTACTAGGTCCAGGTGAATATTCTCAACATACCTGAATCATCCGAGTGCCATTTTTCCGGGATCGTGTGTATTGTCCATTTACTACCCTCCACGACCAATTTTTCGATAATCTGAAACCTAGAGGCTTCACCTGGACCTAGTACAACATAGCAAAACTATGTCTGGAAAAATCTTTGGATTTATGAAATGTGAAAGCAGTTTAAAAAAACACCTACCAAGTTTGAGCAAACAATTCTTCATCCAAATTCCTGCCTCATAGTGCTTGTTTATAGATTTTTTGGAACTGCGTGAAGTTTGACGTTATCATGCTCCGTGCTCTGGAAGGTTCTCACGTTCGCGACTTTTGATCTGAGTACTCTGTCCTCCTGTAAAAGAAAAAAAACTGACTACAAGCATCTTACTTTATTCGGTCCGAGGTTGAGATACGTTCTTTGGCGCTCCAAAAACTAGAATTTTTCTAAGTCCGGCCAACGCGCGCAGAAACCAAAAAGCGTCTTTGACGCTCAAAAGTTTTCTTTTCAAGGCTCATATATGTACATATAAGTAAAAATGAACGAGCTCCGCCGTTTTTTACATATAAGTACCGCTATTTGTAAATATAAGTAAATAAACGTAAATATAAGTAAAAAATTTTACTTATAAGTAAATCCGAGTCCCCTGTGTAGAAAAAATTCGAAAAATTACTTTTTAACACTACTACTTAAGAAAAAAGTAACAATCAGAAAAAAATAACAAAATTTTTGAGATTAATAACAATAAATCCAGTCAGATGGTTCAGATGGCAGGTCTAAGCCTCTTCTTTGATTTTTCCCCGGTTCCGGAAGTGTCACTGTTCCGCCATTCCGGAAGTGTCCAAATTCCGGAAATGTCCTGATGCGCAGAACGGTATTTGACTCGAGCAAAGCAAGTAGAAAAACTGTTGTTGGACACGGACTCCGAATATGACAGGGAGAGATGGCTGTCGGCCGTGGGACCACCGACCTGCTAGAATCCAGATGAGAAGATCACTACGCAGAATGGGACTGCCCGCAGGCAGTTGCTTGTCATAATTACGAGGCAGTGCAAGAAGGTGAATTATCTCTGGAGGAAGGGGACCTCGTAAATATCCTCAGGAAAATGCCAGACGGTAGGTTTTATTTAAAAACTGTTACAACAAAGTACTGTAAAATATGTTTATACATATTTTACAGGTTGGTTCTACGGAGAACGGCCAAGAGATCTCAAAGGTGGATGGTTCCCCTCTTCCTACGTACAACAGGTTATGAATGACCATGTCCGGGCAAACAACTATCGACAAAGATTACGTGTAATACAAGCTGCTAACGGTTACTGACAGAGATTGCCACGGCCAAAATTACGGCTCCGGCTCCCCTGCAAAATTTAACTGTTTCGGTTTTTTTACTATATAAATGTGTGCTATTGAGCTTTCGTAGTTTTATTAGAAACCAATGACACGTTCTTGAAAATAATCAACAGCATTAAAAACAATTACACAAACTTAGCACCTCCTTTCCAGTATTTTTCAAGCAATTGGTTTAACAAGATTTTCGTGATCAAAGTATCGTGCTTTTACTTTTCTGATTGGCAAAAAATCGGCACTTTTGATAGACAAGACGAAAAATATTTAATCGCACCATCCTTATGTATAGAGAGAAAGCTGATGTTTGTATAAATTTATTTCAAACCTATAGACCGTTGAAAACAGTAACAAACTTAACAACAAACATTCCTAAAATTATGTTCTAACATCAGCTGCCGCAGTTCCTTGAGTTTTGGTTGGAGATGATGCTGACGACGAAGAGCCCCAAAACCAACTAAACCATCCTGGAGGATCCGGCTGGCCTGATCTTCTTCCTGCTTCTTTCCTGGCCCTCCTCAAGTCTGCCTTCATCTGTTTCAAAAAGTTTTGAGCATAGGTTTGGATCTCGCTCGGGGCTGAGTTGGACATACGCACAGCCGCTTCAGCATATTGGACAGCTTCATCAAAAGACCCGGTATGGAAAAGAGCTTCCGCGTAGTTGCAATAGTACCCAACCAGAATATCTGAGCAGTCTGGAGCGTACAATATCTTTTCGGCTCCAACCTTAAGATATTTCTTGGCCGTTTCGAACCGATTCCTCAGGATACACGCAGCACCAAAGTTATTCAATATGTGGAAGAATTGTGGATGATTAGGGCCATAGATATGATAGGTTAACTAAAATAAACAATAAACAAGATTCTCCTCGTACGTACACTGACATAAAACCATGTTCATACCTTCAGTACTTCATCCATGGATTCACATGCTTCGCTTTCTCTAGAATCATCGCGATAATCAATAATGAAGTGTGCAAATTGCTGCAGACACATGGCAAAGAGAATGATGGGATCTGAATACTCTTGGCCAAAGTCTTCGATCTTATAAGGACTCTCGATCAGCGCTCCTTTAGAGATGAAGTACTTGTTTAGATGGTTGTCCATGGCAGCCATTTGTTTGGTTATACAATGTCTGTATCCAATTTCCGCATTCTCCAAGTCTCCCTGATTTGCAAGGATTTCAGCCATCTTTAACGAGATCCCGATAAATTCTGGTGAACTTTCATTCTTTTGATGCAGTTGGATTAGCCTAAAATTAATGCCTTCTCACTAACCCCTGTAAAACGCCAATTAAAGTCAAGTCTAGACGCGTATTTTTAGTTAACCCACCGTTGGACAACCAGTTTAAAGTGTCCCAGAGCTTGATCCCAATCTCCCTTGAAGTAATATGTGTTCGCCAATTCATCGAGTACTCGGGTTACTTCGATACTATTATCGCCTTTCGCTTTTACTTCTTCAAGGACCTCCTCCAAGATTCTTATCGCTTCATCAAAGTTCTTGTACTTCCGTTGAAGCCATGACTGTTTAATTTTATCCTTGATTGGGTCGTCATCCAGTTTAACGGTATCATGAAACAATACTTCTTTGATAGCTCCAACCACGGACAATGCAAGCAATGGTTTAGTATAAGTAGCCGTGTACTTAGAGCCGCTTTGTGACTTCCGTCCTCCATCTTTATTTGATCCGGAACTGTTATTGTAATAGAACCTTCAAATAAAATGCTTGTTATAAGTATTATCATAAAGTGCGTAGACTTTTCGTCGCGAAGCTTTTTGCACTATGCATCGTCCATTTAAAAGACGATTTTTGGCTCGCTGCGTCAGCGGTGGACATAGGAAAAAATCTATTTTGAGTTTTTTGCATAAAAATGACCGTCGACATGTGCTAAGGAAAAGCGAACAACAGTTTTTCTCAATTCTGCCCGGAAGGCATAAATCTGCTTAAATTTGTCTTTTTTGGAATTTTCGACCTGGTGACGTCATAGAAAGAGCAAATCACCCAAAATTTTGCTTGTATACGTTTTCGACCATTGGGAATTCATTTTTTTGAAAATTAAGTCTCTCAGATTACTGTAACATAGGCATATTGTAATCCGGTCGATAAAAATCAACCGTAACTCCTTCGTATCAAAAATCCCACAGGATTTTATTTCAGATTCGGAATCAGCATAAAATTCTGCATATTATACACATAATGTGAGGTCATAACTCCAGGGGGGAGATCGCGTAGTATATTGGATTTTGGAAAAAATTACGTTTGAAAGGTTGCGGGTTCGATTCCCGATTGGTGTAAATATTGAAAACACGGCGGAAATCGCGTTTAATGGACACCTGAGGGTTATGTGAGATACACTAAGCAATTTTAAACATTAATGCTTATCTAATTGTGATTAAAACTGATTTTATATAATTTTTGGAGACTGAATATGCAAAAAATGAAACTGCTTCAAACCGCTTGAAATTGGCAACACTTATTCTAGGGTCAATTGTAAGGAACTTTTCCGTTAACTTTTTTTGGTAGATCACGGTACCATGGACTACTGTAACATTAAACCTGATTTGGTTTTTCGTGCACCACATGGCGCATAGAAGTCGGATTGTCGTCATTGTGATCAGAATGGTTAAGAATGAGTTTTCTTGTGTACAAAAAAATTTTTATGGCCGTACCGTTTGGAACGGCCGAGTTATTTGACGCACTTTCACCAATTCATTATGTCATCAAGACGTGTTGCAATTAAGGGCGAATTTTCTTTTATATATAGAAAGCGGATCTTTTCGCTGTCTAAAGCGACTAATTAAAACGATTTAATATTTTATGCAAGAATTTTTAAGAAAATTGCTGTTAATCAGGACACGTTTAACGCTACAGTAATCCCTGGTACGATGATCTACCAAAAAAAGTTAACGGAAAAGTTCCTTACAATTGACCCTAGAATAAGTGCTGCCAATTTCAAGCGGTTTGAAGCAGTTTCATTTTTTGCATATTCAATCTCCAAAAATTATATAAAATCAGTTTTAATCGCAATTAGATATGCATTGATGTTTAAAATTGGTTAGTGTATCTCGCATAACCCTGAGGTGTCCATTAAACGCGATTTCCGCCGTGTTTTCAATATTTACACCAAGCGGGGATCGAACCCGCAACCTTTCAAACGTAATTTTTGCCAAAATCCAATATACTACGCGATCTCCCCCCTGGAGTTATGACCTCACATTACGTGTATAATATGCAGAATTTTATGCTGATTCCATTCCGAATCTGAAATAAAATCCTGTGGGATTTTTGATACGAAGGAGTTACGGTTGATTTTTATCGACCGGATTACAATATGCCTATGTTACAGTAATCTGAGAGACTTAATTTTCAAAAAAATGAATTCCCAATGGTCGAAAACGTATACAAGCAAAATTTCGGGTGATTTGCTCCTTCTATGACGTCACCAGGTCGAAAATTCCAAAAAAGACAAATTTAAGCAAAAAAATTAGCAGCCTAACTTTGGTTTGCAAGGGTGAAAAAATCCTCAGAACTTTTCTCGCAACACCACGCAATTTTTGTCCAAATTTTTACAGATTCAAAAATTTTGTTTTGAGCTAAAATAAACTCTGGTGTCTTTAAAAACCTTAAAATATCAAATGTTATTAAGACTACACCTTAATAATAGTTCCAATGTTAGAATAAGGAGTTCTGCGCCAACCCGTCTCCGCTGATTACGCCCCCATCGCGATAACGCTGTCAAACGCATTTTTTTCGACAATGACGCATTTTTGTCAGGTAATTATAAATCAGTAAAATTTCGCGATTTCTTTGATACGTCTCGACCTGTAACATTATGCCCGATATAAGTATTTTCTTTGTAAATATCACCGCACGTAAGCTTTTCCAACTACGTCGCTGCGTTTTGCTGAACTATTCGCACAGTGCGAACTTGAAAAAGCGTCAAGCGAAACGCCCGGTGCCTGAGCGACAAACAGTGTAAAAAAAGCAAAATGCACCGTGCGTCCGGCAAAAAATGTCTACGCACTTTATTAAAGCACCAGCATTATAAAAACAATATTACCTGTACTTAGGACGAAAAATGAAACTGGTTCGAGAAAACGATCTACCAAACATTTTCTAAAACCATAATAAGAAAAAATTAACCTGTAAAAAGGTAAGCAGTGGAAACTGACCAATTTAAGAGCCAACAAAAAAAATGTATTATTGTCCTCTATTTTTTTTAATCTACAACACAAATTCAGCCAAGGCTTTTTGGGGCGAAGCTAGACCCGCAGGAGCATCCTTGCGTCGCCAGAGGGTTATCCGTTATCCGAAAGGAAGCTCGCATTAAATCTTCCGTAAAGTCGATTGTAGAACCTTTAACGAACTCTAGTGACATCTAAAAGAACAGTTCATTATAAAAGGAAATTTCAGCATTGACTAACAAAAAAAAACAAACCCCGTCTACAACAACCCTGGCCCCATGTTTTTCTACAATAACATCGTCTTCATGCGTGGCGTTGTCAAGACTTAATTTGTATTCAAATCCAGCACATCCACCACCCTCGACACTGATCCTGAGGTGCTCATCTTCACCCGCTATCTTTCTTAATCTTTCAACGGCCCGATCTGTAATGACCAACGCCTTAGGATCTGTGGATAAGACCCGGATAACGACTCTACTTGTTGACGCCACTGTACGTAAAAACATCTCTACATTCTAAACACTTGAGCTTTACAAAATCATCATTTCAATGCAAAATAAATGCGAAATCAACGCAGATCAAATGCATCATATTAGTCCCGGGTTATTTATTAAAGTGGCAGTGAAAGATAATGACTAGGAAATAGAGATTAAAGCTGTAAAAAATATAGAAAGTTGAACGAGGATTTGCATCCCCGGCTACCCTTCATTTGGCCAGATTTCATTTGGGTCAGATGGGGTATTGGCCCAATATTTATAGCCAATGTTGCCTTCGATTCGTCGGAATGGATGTCGAAGGGGTTTTCTACCGTTACTATTATTATCTGTGGAGGCATTCTATCAGTTTGACTACCAAATCCAGGTTTTTGGAGGCAGGCGCTATGATTTTTCGGGTCAGCGACAGTCCGGGTCAATGATACTATGGATCGCCTCGGTTCGTCGTTGTATGCATGAGGGAGGCTAGGAGAAGGCTTAGTTAGTAGAAGTAATCAGATTTATTGGGTCCTAGGACAGATTATCACCTATTTTGAGGCATTTTACATGAACTCACATCAATAACATCTAGATAGGCTACGGATCTTCGTTTTTTGCCGCAAATTTTGGTCTTTTATATACTACATAAACTCGGGGCAAAGAAACCTAACGTTAGTAATAGCTACAATCAGAAAAAGTGGACATATTTCAAGTCTTCGCCAAGTATCCGCCGACCATCCAAAGGCTTTGCCAGGTCTCGTAGGCATTTACTACCGACCGATTTTTTGTTGACCCGAACTTTCGTCGACCCGAAAAGTCGGGACGTGTCTTTGGCTAGCAATATATGGAATTTGTCTGTCAATACTACTCTTTGACACCCATTCCGACCTTTTCGCTAGCGTTTTTCTAGCCGAACCAGGTTTTTAGCTCGCCATTTTAAAAGTTTGGCTGTACCCGATCTGCCCCAACGGAAAGATTGCGGTATCCCCATTTAATGAGCAGCTCGGCTGAAAGACGGACTCTGTTGATGGACTCGACGCCTCTGCTCATCAAAACGTCTTTCCATTTCGTCCAACAGTTTCGGAGTGTATCTTACAACCAGCTTAACCGTTCCCTTTGCGTTTTTCAGCAAATGAACAGCAGTCTCATGGGCTTCTCGCTCCACATTCTAAAATCGGTAACATTGAAGTTTAATATTTAAACCTACAATCCCATTGACCGCAATCAATTGATCTCCCCTCTTTAATCCGCCATGCCTATCTGCAATACCACCGGGGATAATTCTGGAGATATAAATTGGCGAGTTCTGTTCCTTTCCCCCCATCACGTTAAACCCCAGGCCTTGATCAGTCTTCGGGAGTTCAACTACCCTCGGATGAGCAAATCCTTCAGCTGCTGCAAACGCCGCAACTGTAGCTTTTGCTGCCGCACTTGCAATAAGCTAAAACACGCGGTGAAGTTTATATGCTCCACATACTTCTGGCGATGCATCTAAATCAGCCGTTGATTTGTAAACATTCTCATAAACTTCTCGAACAGAGTTGAAGAACTTGGATTGTAGCACCTCTTGAAATATTTCAAGTTTGGGACTGTTGAGCTCTCCGGTCTTCTTTAAGTACGATATCAATTCATTTATTCGTTGGAGGTCTAAATTTAGATGAAACATCAAACGGGTAATCTTACCTCGCTCGAGCGCTAATTCATCTGCAAGTGCATTCGATCTTGCCATCTAAACCTAATGATTGAAATTACATCTATGCTCACAGATATTCATGGATATGAGCACCAAGGCACAAGACAAGAATTATTACAAACTTAAACAATTTATTCCTAAACTTCAGAGACAAGCTTAAACTTTTGCGACATCGGAAGCTGGATGACATTAAAATGCAGCTTATCAAGTTCATCCAGACTCCGATGAGAGTAATCTCGTTCCACAAATTCGTTTTCGGTATCTAGGTCTACTCTTTCTTTGGTAATCATGACGGTTCCATCACATTCCGCCTTCAATAACAACTGTCCTCTGTCGTACACACAATATACCTAAAAAATTAAAATTTAACTGAAAACGTACTTACATTCCGCCCCGGATGGTAGTTCAATCTTCTTTGTGCGACTAACAATTCTCCTTTGGCTACCTTCTCCCCGTCTTTGCGATGGATACCACCATAAGGAATGTTAGAAGGAGGGCGAAACATATTCCTGATGCTTTGTTTACTGGGCACGAACACACGCTTCAACATCTTCCTTGCCTTTTTCTAAATCTTTTTTGAGTGCGAGATCGAACTTCTAAAAAAAAACGAAAAATCTATTTCCTCGAGTTAAACGAAACGCCACTATCGGATTATTGGTCGTAGTTATTGAAGCCGCATTTTTATCGGCCAATATTGCAATTGCAGTTGGAGTCATTAATCGTCGCGATTTCTAAAAAAGTCGTCTATGTTTAGGTTATTTCTTGCAGCTTATGTGATTTATTAATGTTTCTTATTGTCTCAGAATAACCAAACTTCCCACTAGTCGAAAGGGATTGTACTTTTATTACACGTATACTAACTAAATTGGTGGTTTGTGATTGTGTTTATAATTTGAATTTTGATGTCCTTTCATCTGGGAAGAGGCATAAAAGGGACGTTGTACACGTCAGATAAACGGAGAGTCGATCGGCGTGCGTCCTTCTTCTCCCCCATCTCCATCACATCCTTTCTTTTCCTCTTTCTCTGATAAACATAATGAACAAGTTTCGCTTTCTGGATAAGGAAAAGCCACCTGGTCTTTAGCTTGGAATATTTTTGGTCAAATTGATTTCGTGGGGTAATCGGGCGATCTTTCTTTTCTTGGATTTACATTTTCCTTATCCAATTGAAGTTTCGGGTTGTTGAAAGGTGGTCGTTTTTAGTTGGCCAGACTTGAACACGGTGAGAACCTAGACCATCAGGATGACAGATCCCTGTGAATGTATCTTCAGCCATGAGGCTCTGATGCGTCGTCTTCTTAGTGCGGTAAGGGTTTATTCATCTCAATTGATTTTTGTTTTAGTTGAGGGATTCCCAGGCCGATTGTACCGACACGGAGTGTTTGGAATCGTCCGGAGATGGCTCTGTTTCTGGTGGTATGACCCTATCAATGTTGCTGGCCTTATGGGGTGTCATGGCTGTCATCTTGTTCATGAGCCGGCCAGCTTCTTTGAGAAACAACAGTGACCGTGACTTGAATGAGAAACCTCGTCTGAACGGAGTAAGCTCATTTATTGATTAGTTTTGCAATAGTCTACTTCGTCGTCTAATGGTTTAATGTTGTAGGACAACAATCCTCCACCGCCTCCCTCGGCCTTGTAAACCTTCAAGAACACGAACCTTCCTCTGCATCCAGGTCTAGTCCAAGAAATTCCAAGCCCAATCAAATATAAATATATTATACATAATACACTCTTTAAGAAATAATGGATCGCGGGTCCGACCTTTTTATTTTACACATATTGATGTAGTTAATACACAGTCTCTTACTCGCTTTGCCTTTGTAAATATAAATTTTATTATCAACAAGGATAAGTACGGTCAACACCCATGACAAGACGTAAGGTTGCAGGCTCTCGCGGAGGCATTCTCGGTTATCGCAGTCTCCACCTACGGAAAGTACATATTTGATGGTATTAGTATCTCGAGACGGACTGAAAATTGAGGTCCGGCCCGTTTTAAAATCCGGACCGATTTTTGTCGGTCCGGACCGTCGCGACTCTTGCGGGCAACAACATAAAATACGGCGGTGATGCGTTTACTTTTGGAAATCTGCTGACACTTGCGAGCAACAGGAAGAAATAATATCTTTTTTGTGTCTTCTTTTACTTTAACTATTCTTAATTATTATATAAATAAAGCGTTAATCATAAGAACGAGCCCAAATTCTCTGATGACGGAAAGGATACCGAGGACTGTGGTTGATCATCTGTTGGAATCGGCGCTGCGGACGAGGACGTACTAGTTCTGGATTCTATAACGGAGCATTATAATGTTTAAAACACGATTTTTGAGTCACTGCGTCAGCCAGTAGTGGGGCCCGGTCTTAGGAAAAAATCGATTTTGAGATTTTTGGCTTAAAATAGTCGGTAGCACTTGTGGAAGAAAAGCTAAAAATATTTTTGCCCAATTTTGCCCGGAAGGCATATTTTTTTACAAAATACGTTTTTACACTTCAAAGCCTCTGGAGGCCGATGTGATCCGACCACAGAGCTCAAACCTGGCATACAGGGGTTTTTGACACCCAGGAATCTGAAAATCGTAGCATTTTTACCGTCAGATTACTGTAACATGGTCATACTGTAATCCGGTCGATAAAAATCGACGATAACTTCTTTAGATCAAAAATGCCACAGGATTTTATTGCAGATTCGGAATCAGCATAAAATTCTGCTTCGGATACATGTAAAATATGTTCAAAATTCCGTGGCCCAACCTCTGTAGTATAGTGGTTGTGCGCCAGGATTATCAATCTGGCGACCCAGGTTCGATTCCCGGTGGCTGCAAATGGCAGAAAATGGACTATAAAAGGGCGGAAACTTGGAAAAAAGGGAAAATAAATTACAGAAAATTAATTTTATGCTACTTAGGAGCAGTTTAAAAGTTTTTGCAAGAATTCCGCATAAATTACGGTTTTTATTGAAAACGCCTTATAGCTTGCCGGAAAGTGGAGCAATCTGGTTAAAATTTACAGAAGAGGTTACTGTGGCTTCCTACTACAAAATAAGTCCATTTCTGCTTATTTCGTTAAATTTTTGGGATAGCCTGGATTTTCTTTCAAATTCGGGATTTTAAGAAGGCGAGCTGCGGCCGAGGTTTATCGAACGGAACACTATTTGACCAAAAAGTCATATAAGATTCACAAAAAGTCATATAAGATTCCCTAACAGCACCGGGATCACACAGCTTGCAAAACTTAGGCCGTCTTGCGTATCCCACGAAAAACGGAGCGCGTGGACGCTCTTATGATAAATCTAAATGAAGACTCAGTTGATAAGGAACAGGGGCTAAATTACGGGACTGTAACATGCGTGCTTCCTTCTGAAAACCAAATAATTGTTTTATTTTGTTTTGTATTACATTCCTCGACGGATTTGAAGAATATTGCATAGCAAGCGTTATCTAGATTCACCACAACTCTTTAGTTGCCATTTGGTGCGATCTTACGAATGCTGTGAGGCGTTTTCCATAAAAACCGTAATTTATGCGGAATTCTTGCAAAAACTTTTAAACTGCTCCTAAGTAGCATAAAATTAATTTTCTGTAATTTATTTTCCCTTTTTTCCAAGTTTCCGCCCTTTTATAGTCCATTTTCTGCCATTTGCAGCCACCGGGAATCGAACCTGGGTCGCCAGATTGATAATCCTGGCGCACAACCACTATACTACAGAGGTTGGGCCACGGAATTTTGAACATATTTTACATGCATCCGAAGCAGAATTTTATGCTGATTCCGAATCTGCAATAAAATCCTGTGGCATTTTTGATCTAAAGAAGTTATCGTCGATTTTTATCGACCGGATTACAGTATGACCATGTTACAGTAATCTGACGGTAAAAATGCTACGATTTTCAGATTCCTGGGTGTCAAAAACCCCTGTATGCCAGGTTTGAGCTCTGTGGTCGGATCACATCGGCCTCCAGAGGCTTTGAAGTGTAAAAACGTATTTTGTAAAAAAATATGCCTTCCGGGCAAAATTGGGCAAAAATATTTTTAGCTTTTCTTCCACAAGTGCTACCGACTATTTTAAGCCAAAAATATCAAAATCGATTTTTTCCTAAGACCACCGCTGGTGCCCTGACTCAAAAATCGTGTTTTAAATGATTAAGACCTTACGAAATTTTCTTCCTTTGCCAACACTCGCCAAATACTAGGACTAGGTGGTTTATATTTTAAGGTAGCCATCCAATCTATCGGCGAAGAAATTAAGCCACGGCAAGCCTCATCGACGTCCGTGAATTCAGTAGCCAGTTGATTTCTCAACTCATTCTCGAATACTAATCCCAAAACACTCCGATCTTCCACCTTCTCAAGGGAACTTTCTTTTTTCTCATGTTTTTCGAAATATTTCAAGTGATCCTCGGTTTCATCCCGGTTGTTGTAAAGCAGCTCTTTCCCAAAAAAGACTCTGCTTGACAAAGCTTTTCCAGAATATCTTCAGGAATCGTTGAGACTTGCAGCATCTTCAGTCTGAAACACAGCTGTCAAGACAATCTCATCATAAAAAAAATTACTTAAAATATTACCTATGTAAAGAGTAATTCCTCCTGTCGTACCGAGATTTCGGAATCCGCTTCAAAGCGAATTTCTTTTTTATCTGGTTCCTCTCAAAGAACAGCCGTTCTTGGAACTTCCTTACTTGGAGACCTTCATAAAGAACATACGCGTTTGCTCCTAAAAAGCAAAATTTAAAAAAACGTAAAAAAATCCATTTTCAGTATAATTAGCTTACTAACATAACCATCTTGAGGCTCGTTCTTGCACTGTTGACACTTTCCATCAGGTCCACTTAGGTCTTCGCACAACACGTGATAATCGAATGAACACCAAGAACACCTCACTTTCTTGTCACATTCTTCATAAGGTTCGTTGCAACCTGCACACACAATTCGAGATTGGCATTGATAACAGTAATCACAAGCCAAGGAATGCATTGGAAACCAACATCCCATGCAGATATTTGTAGAGCAGCTGAAACTCGACATCTTTAGAATATAAACTTACTATCTGCAAAACCATTTTTCATAAAAATTAGTGGGCTGCTCGATAAGCGGAGGATCAAGACATTTGAGATGAAAGTTGCGATTACATCCATCACAAATATATGATTCATCTTTTTCATCCTCCCCGTGGCAAAAGAAACATGGGTCACAGATGTAACAAAACCATTTAGCGATTCGGTTCAGGTTCTATAAGAAATTTGGTTGAACGACTTCAAATAATACAAAGCCCTTTCGGCGACAAATTTAGGTAATAAAGCGCAAACTTACATCAGCGGAAATGCCAGTACATTTAGCCTTTCGGTGGAACACTTCGTAACAGTTATAACATTTGATCGTGCTGTCGCCCAGTAGATCGTCGCAGGTTGTGCAGTAAGGGTAGCGTCCCATATCAACCGCACATTCATAATAACGTTCAATATATTTAATAAGAGATCATTAGCACCAGCGCATCGGACGGAATGCCAAGCCTTCGCCAAACGGTTTTCGTGTTGGGGCAAAATGTTGGAAACAAGGGTTTTTGACACCAGCACGCCAATTTGTCCACATGTGTCCAGAAAAAATTCAAACATGGATCGGGTCAAGTTTTTCCCCGGTCATGGATTAAGTGTTCCCCTCGGCAGAAATACCGCGGTATTAATACCGTAATAAAACCGCAGAACAAAATGCTGTCAATGCGGAAATTGTCAGAGTACTCAGAAATAATGCAGGAAAAGTTATAAATTGCATAAACAACACAGAAAAAAAATTTCGGCCTAATTTGGAGGCATTTTTCAAACGTTGGATCAAAGTAAGTCAATTTCTATGATCTTAACTTTTCTTATGGTGTGAGGTGCACTGTTCGGATCTAACCATCCTTGGTAGGGAATTCAACGATCAAGACGTTTTGTTGAAAAGGCTTTTTTGGTTCAGTTTGGTCAATTTTACGCAAGTTTCACACAAAAATATTGTTTAATACCCAATATATTATACTTATTTTTTAGTGTTCCGTGAAAAAGCATGTTTGACTTTGAAGGGTCATAACTCGACGTAGGATTGATCATTTTTAATGATCTTTCTTTTAAACAAAATGGTAACTACTAAGGAATAAAATGAGCTATTGCTCATAAAAATTGAACAATCCTATAAAAAGTTATAAGCATTTTACATCCGCGAACTTAGCTGAACCACCCTGTAGTTACTGGGATTTTTTTGGAAGCATGATGTTGGATACAAGTCGATCGATTTTTTATTAAATTTTTTTAATAATTTCGTTATTTCGAGGCCGCATTCCTAAGTATACTTGCCCAAAAATCGAGCACCCAAAGTTGGCCATGAAACACAAGACAAGAGGATTGGAAAGCGCGATATACGTTTTGTGGTGATATAGCCATGCGTATTTTAATGCAAAGTATTTTTTTAATAGCCCTATGACCTAATAAAATCGCGGTGCTTTCTTCTCATTGCTTTCGATTCACATATATTCAGAACCAGGTGTTGCTAGTGAGTTCGTCGTATGATAGTCGTAGGTGTGAATACCGAGTTCTTTTTCCTTCTTGGATAATCAAATTTTCGGAAACCGGAGTCTAAGAATTACATTTATTTGTTAAGGGCAACATGTAAGGGATTTTAATTAGTCGTGGGAATTTATGAAATTGGGAGGCTATTTATGATTCCATCATGTTCTTTGCCTGTTAGGGATACGTCTGTTGTAGTCTTATACGGCCATGCTTTGGATCTTTAGTCCTTCCCCATTCTTCCCTGAAAATTTTCTTCCGCCTCTCAGATTCTTTCCCAAATGGGAAGAGTTCGTAAACACACTCTTCCGAACGAAAAGGAAAGAGGCTGAAGCATTTTTTTCAGAAGATTTTTTTCGCTCTTATTCCTTCGCTCTTACATATAAGTAAATAATCGTACATATAAGTTATTCTGAAATTACTTATATGTAAACTTTATTTTCGGCGCTCCACAAATTTACTTATATTTACAAATAAGGATTTTTTACTTATATTTACCAATAAGGATATTTTACTTATTTGTAACCCAGAATTATGCACAGTGCAAATTATATTATAAACGTTTATTTTGATTCTCAAAAACAACAAATACATGTGGATAACGCATCCTGTGTCTGTTTTTGTCCTTATGAGGCATCAATTGCTTGCTTTCGTGATCTTCTATGGGGACTTCTGCGTCTGCATTCACTGAAAATAGTAACAAATAAAGAAGATAAGGTCGCTCGACGATATTTACTATAAGCCCTTCTCAATTGTTTGTGCTTCTTCACCCCGAAAAAATTAGTTTTAGGTTCACCAAGTTTGTAAATGAAATTTCGAGACACCAAGTTTTTCATGTTGTACTAGGTCCAGGTGAATATTCTCAACATACCTGAATCATCCGAGTGCCATTTTTCCGGGATCGTGTGTATTGTCCATTTACTACCCTCCACGACCAATTTTTCGATAATCTGAAACCTAGAGGCTTCACCTGGACCTAGTACAACATAGCAAAACTATGTCTGGAAAAATCTTTGGATTTATGAAATGTGAAAGCAGTTTAAAAAAACACCTACCAAGTTTGAGCAAACAATTCTTCATCCAAATTCCTGCCTCATAGTGCTTGTTTATAGATTTTTTGGAACTGCGTGAAGTTTGACGTTATCATGCTCCGTGCTCTGGAAGGTTCTCACGTTCGCGACTTTTGATCTGAGTACTCTGTCCTCCTGTAAAAGAAAAAAAACTGACTACAAGCATCTTACTTTATTCGGTCCGAGGTTGAGATACGTTCTTTGGCGCTCCAAAAACTAGAATTTTTCTAAGTCCGGCCAACGCGCGCAGAAACCAAAAAGCGTCTTTGACGCTCAAAAGTTTTCTTTTCAAGGCTCATATATGTACATATAAGTAAAAATGAACGAGCTCCGCCGTTTTTTACATATAAGTACCGCTATTTGTAAATATAAGTAAATAAACGTAAATATAAGTAAAAAATTTTACTTATAAGTAAATCCGAGTCCCCTGTGTAGAAAAAATTCGAAAAATTACTTTTTAACACTACTACTTAAGAAAAAAGTAACAATCAGAAAAAAATAACAAAATTTTTGAGATTAATAACAATAAATCCAGTCAGATGGTTCAGATGGCAGGTCTAAGCCTCTTCTTTGATTTTTCCCCGGTTCCGGAAGTGTCACTGTTCCGCCATTCCGGAAGTGTCCAAATTCCGGAAATGTCCTGATGCGCAGAACGGTATTTGACTCGAGCAAAGCAAGTAGAAAAACTGTTGTTGGACACGGACTCCGAATATGACAGGGAGAGATGGCTGTCGGCCGTGGGACCACCGACCTGCTAGAATCCAGATGAGAAGATCACTACGCAGAATGGGACTGCCCGCAGGCAGTTGCTTGTCATAATTACGAGGCAGTGCAAGAAGGTGAATTATCTCTGGAGGAAGGGGACCTCGTAAATATCCTCAGGAAAATGCCAGACGGTAGGTTTTATTTAAAAACTGTTACAACAAAGTACTGTAAAATATGTTTATACATATTTTACAGGTTGGTTCTACGGAGAACGGCCAAGAGATCTCAAAGGTGGATGGTTCCCCTCTTCCTACGTACAACAGGTTATGAATGACCATGTCCGGGCAAACAACTATCGACAAAGATTACGTGTAATACAAGCTGCTAACGGTTACTGACAGAGATTGCCACGGCCAAAATTACGGCTCCGGCTCCCCTGCAAAATTTAACTGTTTCGGTTTTTTTACTATATAAATGTGTGCTATTGAGCTTTCGTAGTTTTATTAGAAACCAATGACACGTTCTTGAAAATAATCAACAGCATTAAAAACAATTACACAAACTTAGCACCTCCTTTCCAGTATTTTTCAAGCAATTGGTTTAACAAGATTTTCGTGATCAAAGTATCGTGCTTTTACTTTTCTGATTGGCAAAAAATCGGCACTTTTGATAGACAAGACGAAAAATATTTAATCGCACCATCCTTATGTATAGAGAGAAAGCTGATGTTTGTATAAATTTATTTCAAACCTATAGACCGTTGAAAACAGTAACAAACTTAACAACAAACATTCCTAAAATTATGTTCTAACATCAGCTGCCGCAGTTCCTTGAGTTTTGGTTGGAGATGATGCTGACGACGAAGAGCCCCAAAACCAACTAAACCATCCTGGAGGATCCGGCTGGCCTGATCTTCTTCCTGCTTCTTTCCTGGCCCTCCTCAAGTCTGCCTTCATCTGTTTCAAAAAGTTTTGAGCATAGGTTTGGATCTCGCTCGGGGCTGAGTTGGACATACGCACAGCCGCTTCAGCATATTGGACAGCTTCATCAAAAGACCCGGTATGGAAAAGAGCTTCCGCGTAGTTGCAATAGTACCCAACCAGAATATCTGAGCAGTCTGGAGCGTACAATATCTTTTCGGCTCCAACCTTAAGATATTTCTTGGCCGTTTCGAACCGATTCCTCAGGATACACGCAGCACCAAAGTTATTCAATATGTGGAAGAATTGTGGATGATTAGGGCCATAGATATGATAGGTTAACTAAAATAAACAATAAACAAGATTCTCCTCGTACGTACACTGACATAAAACCATGTTCATACCTTCAGTACTTCATCCATGGATTCACATGCTTCGCTTTCTCTAGAATCATCGCGATAATCAATAATGAAGTGTGCAAATTGCTGCAGACACATGGCAAAGAGAATGATGGGATCTGAATACTCTTGGCCAAAGTCTTCGATCTTATAAGGACTCTCGATCAGCGCTCCTTTAGAGATGAAGTACTTGTTTAGATGGTTGTCCATGGCAGCCATTTGTTTGGTTATACAATGTCTGTATCCAATTTCCGCATTCTCCAAGTCTCCCTGATTTGCAAGGATTTCAGCCATCTTTAACGAGATCCCGATAAATTCTGGTGAACTTTCATTCTTTTGATGCAGTTGGATTAGCCTAAAATTAATGCCTTCTCACTAACCCCTGTAAAACGCCAATTAAAGTCAAGTCTAGACGCGTATTTTTAGTTAACCCACCGTTGGACAACCAGTTTAAAGTGTCCCAGAGCTTGATCCCAATCTCCCTTGAAGTAATATGTGTTCGCCAATTCATCGAGTACTCGGGTTACTTCGATACTATTATCGCCTTTCGCTTTTACTTCTTCAAGGACCTCCTCCAAGATTCTTATCGCTTCATCAAAGTTCTTGTACTTCCGTTGAAGCCATGACTGTTTAATTTTATCCTTGATTGGGTCGTCATCCAGTTTAACGGTATCATGAAACAATACTTCTTTGATAGCTCCAACCACGGACAATGCAAGCAATGGTTTAGTATAAGTAGCCGTGTACTTAGAGCCGCTTTGTGACTTCCGTCCTCCATCTTTATTTGATCCGGAACTGTTATTGTAATAGAACCTTCAAATAAAATGCTTGTTATAAGTATTATCATAAAGTGCGTAGACTTTTCGTCGCGAAGCTTTTTGCACTATGCATCGTCCATTTAAAAGACGATTTTTGGCTCGCTGCGTCAGCGGTGGACATAGGAAAAAATCTATTTTGAGTTTTTTGCATAAAAATGACCGTCGACATGTGCTAAGGAAAAGCGAACAACAGTTTTTCTCAATTCTGCCCGGAAGGCATAAATCTGCTTAAATTTGTCTTTTTTGGAATTTTCGACCTGGTGACGTCATAGAAAGAGCAAATCACCCAAAATTTTGCTTGTATACGTTTTCGACCATTGGGAATTCATTTTTTTGAAAATTAAGTCTCTCAGATTACTGTAACATAGGCATATTGTAATCCGGTCGATAAAAATCAACCGTAACTCCTTCGTATCAAAAATCCCACAGGATTTTATTTCAGATTCGGAATCAGCATAAAATTCTGCATATTATACACATAATGTGAGGTCATAACTCCAGGGGGGAGATCGCGTAGTATATTGGATTTTGGAAAAAATTACGTTTGAAAGGTTGCGGGTTCGATTCCCGATTGGTGTAAATATTGAAAACACGGCGGAAATCGCGTTTAATGGACACCTGAGGGTTATGTGAGATACACTAAGCAATTTTAAACATTAATGCTTATCTAATTGTGATTAAAACTGATTTTATATAATTTTTGGAGACTGAATATGCAAAAAATGAAACTGCTTCAAACCGCTTGAAATTGGCAACACTTATTCTAGGGTCAATTGTAAGGAACTTTTCCGTTAACTTTTTTGGTAGATCACGGTACCATGGACTACTGTAACATTAAACCTGATTTGGTTTTTCGTGCACCACATGGCGCATAGAAGTCGGATTGTCGTCATTGTGATCAGAATGGTTAAGAATGAGTTTTCTTGTGTACAAAAAAATTTTTATGGCCGTACCGTTTGGAACGGCCGAGTTATTTGACGCACTTTCACCAATTCATTATGTCATCAAGACGTGTTGCAATTAAGGGCGAATTTTCTTTTATATATAGAAAGCGGATCTTTTCGCTGTCTAAAGCGACTAATTAAAACGATTTAATATTTTATGCAAGAATTTTTAAGAAAATTGCTGTTAATCAGGACACGTTTAACGCTACAGTAATCCCTGGTACGATGATCTACCAAAAAAAGTTAACGGAAAAGTTCCTTACAATTGACCCTAGAATAAGTGCTGCCAATTTCAAGCGGTTTGAAGCAGTTTCATTTTTTGCATATTCAATCTCCAAAAATTATATAAAATCAGTTTTAATCGCAATTAGATATGCATTGATGTTTAAAATTGGTTAGTGTATCTCGCATAACCCTGAGGTGTCCATTAAACGCGATTTCCGCCGTGTTTTCAATATTTACACCAAGCGGGGATCGAACCCGCAACCTTTCAAACGTAATTTTTGCCAAAATCCAATATACTACGCGATCTCCCCCCTGGAGTTATGACCTCACATTACGTGTATAATATGCAGAATTTTATGCTGATTCCATTCCGAATCTGAAATAAAATCCTGTGGGATTTTTGATACGAAGGAGTTACGGTTGATTTTTATCGACCGGATTACAATATGCCTATGTTACAGTAATCTGAGAGACTTAATTTTCAAAAAAATGAATTCCCAATGGTCGAAAACGTATACAAGCAAAATTTCGGGTGATTTGCTCCTTCTATGACGTCACCAGGTCGAAAATTCCAAAAAAGACAAATTTAAGCAAAAAAATTAGCAGCCTAACTTTGGTTTGCAAGGGTGAAAAAATCCTCAGAACTTTTCTCGCAACACCACGCAATTTTTGTCCAAATTTTTACAGATTCAAAAATTTTGTTTTGAGCTAAAATAAACTCTGGTGTCTTTAAAAACCTTAAAATATCAAATGTTATTAAGACTACACCTTAATAATAGTTCCAATGTTAGAATAAGGAGTTCTGCGCCAACCCGTCTCCGCTGATTACGCCCCCATCGCGATAACGCTGTCAAACGCATTTTTTTCGACAATGACGCATTTTTGTCAGGTAATTATAAATCAGTAAAATTTCGCGATTTCTTTGATACGTCTCGACCTGTAACATTATGCCCGATATAAGTATTTTCTTTGTAAATATCACCGCACGTAAGCTTTTCCAACTACGTCGCTGCGTTTTGCTGAACTATTCGCACAGTGCGAACTTGAAAAAGCGTCAAGCGAAACGCCCGGTGCCTGAGCGACAAACAGTGTAAAAAAAGCAAAATGCACCGTGCGTCCGGCAAAAAATGTCTACGCACTTTATTAAAGCACCAGCATTATAAAAACAATATTACCTGTACTTAGGACGAAAAATGAAACTGGTTCGAGAAAACGATCTACCAAACATTTTCTAAAACCATAATAAGAAAAAATTAACCTGTAAAAAGGTAAGCAGTGGAAACTGACCAATTTAAGAGCCAACAAAAAAAATGTATTATTGTCCTCTATTTTTTTTAATCTACAACACAAATTCAGCCAAGGCTTTTTGGGGCGAAGCTAGACCCGCAGGAGCATCCTTGCGTCGCCAGAGGGTTATCCGTTATCCGAAAGGAAGCTCGCATTAAATCTTCCGTAAAGTCGATTGTAGAACCTTTAACGAACTCTAGTGACATCTAAAAGAACAGTTCATTATAAAAGGAAATTTCAGCATTGACTAACAAAAAAAACAAACCCCGTCTACAACAACCCTGGCCCCATGTTTTTCTACAATAACATCGTCTTCATGCGTGGCGTTGTCAAGACTTAATTTGTATTCAAATCCAGCACATCCACCACCCTCGACACTGATCCTGAGGTGCTCATCTTCACCCGCTATCTTTCTTAATCTTTCAACGGCCCGATCTGTAATGACCAACGCCTTAGGATCTGTGGATAAGACCCGGATAACGACTCTACTTGTTGACGCCACTGTACGTAAAAACATCTCTACATTCTAAACACTTGAGCTTTACAAAATCATCATTTCAATGCAAAATAAATGCGAAATCAACGCAGATCAAATGCATCATATTAGTCCCGGGTTATTTATTAAAGTGGCAGTGAAAGATAATGACTAGGAAATAGAGATTAAAGCTGTAAAAAATATAGAAAGTTGAACGAGGATTTGCATCCCCGGCTACCCTTCATTTGGCCAGATTTCATTTGGGTCAGATGGGGTATTGGCCCAATATTTATAGCCAATGTTGCCTTCGATTCGTCGGAATGGATGTCGAAGGGGTTTTCTACCGTTACTATTATTATCTGTGGAGGCATTCTATCAGTTTGACTACCAAATCCAGGTTTTTGGAGGCAGGCGCTATGATTTTTCGGGTCAGCGACAGTCCGGGTCAATGATACTATGGATCGCCTCGGTTCGTCGTTGTATGCATGAGGGAGGCTAGGAGAAGGCTTAGTTAGTAGAAGTAATCAGATTTATTGGGTCCTAGGACAGATTATCACCTATTTTGAGGCATTTTACATGAACTCACATCAATAACATCTAGATAGGCTACGGATCTTCGTTTTTTGCCGCAAATTTTGGTCTTTTATATACTACATAAACTCGGGGCAAAGAAACCTAACGTTAGTAATAGCTACAATCAGAAAAAGTGGACATATTTCAAGTCTTCGCCAAGTATCCGCCGACCATCCAAAGGCTTTGCCAGGTCTCGTAGGCATTTACTACCGACCGATTTTTTGTTGACCCGAACTTTCGTCGACCCGAAAAGTCGGGACGTGTCTTTGGCTAGCAATATATGGAATTTGTCTGTCAATACTACTCTTTGACACCCATTCCGACCTTTTCGCTAGCGTTTTTCTAGCCGAACCAGGTTTTTAGCTCGCCATTTTAAAAGTTTGGCTGTACCCGATCTGCCCCAACGGAAAGATTGCGGTATCCCCATTTAATGAGCAGCTCGGCTGAAAGACGGACTCTGTTGATGGACTCGACGCCTCTGCTCATCAAAACGTCTTTCCATTTCGTCCAACAGTTTCGGAGTGTATCTTACAACCAGCTTAACCGTTCCCTTTGCGTTTTTCAGCAAATGAACAGCAGTCTCATGGGCTTCTCGCTCCACATTCTAAAATCGGTAACATTGAAGTTTAATATTTAAACCTACAATCCCATTGACCGCAATCAATTGATCTCCCCTCTTTAATCCGCCATGCCTATCTGCAATACCACCGGGGATAATTCTGGAGATATAAATTGGCGAGTTCTGTTCCTTTCCCCCCATCACGTTAAACCCCAGGCCTTGATCAGTCTTCGGGAGTTCAACTACCCTCGGATGAGCAAATCCTTCAGCTGCTGCAAACGCCGCAACTGTAGCTTTTGCTGCCGCACTTGCAATAAGCTAAAACACGCGGTGAAGTTTATATGCTCCACATACTTCTGGCGATGCATCTAAATCAGCCGTTGATTTGTAAACATTCTCATAAACTTCTCGAACAGAGTTGAAGAACTTGGATTGTAGCACCTCTTGAAATATTTCAAGTTTGGGACTGTTGAGCTCTCCGGTCTTCTTTAAGTACGATATCAATTCATTTATTCGTTGGAGGTCTAAATTTAGATGAAACATCAAACGGGTAATCTTACCTCGCTCGAGCGCTAATTCATCTGCAAGTGCATTCGATCTTGCCATCTAAACCTAATGATTGAAATTACATCTATGCTCACAGATATTCATGGATATGAGCACCAAGGCACAAGACAAGAATTATTACAAACTTAAACAATTTATTCCTAAACTTCAGAGACAAGCTTAAACTTTTGCGACATCGGAAGCTGGATGACATTAAAATGCAGCTTATCAAGTTCATCCAGACTCCGATGAGAGTAATCTCGTTCCACAAATTCGTTTTCGGTATCTAGGTCTACTCTTTCTTTGGTAATCATGACGGTTCCATCACATTCCGCCTTCAATAACAACTGTCCTCTGTCGTACACACAATATACCTAAAAAATTAAAATTTAACTGAAAACGTACTTACATTCCGCCCCGGATGGTAGTTCAATCTTCTTTGTGCGACTAACAATTCTCCTTTGGCTACCTTCTCCCCGTCTTTGCGATGGATACCACCATAAGGAATGTTAGAAGGAGGGCGAAACATATTCCTGATGCTTTGTTTACTGGGCACGAACACACGCTTCAACATCTTCCTTGCCTTTTTCTAAATCTTTTTTGAGTGCGAGATCGAACTTCTAAAAAAAAACGAAAAATCTATTTCCTCGAGTTAAACGAAACGCCACTATCGGATTATTGGTCGTAGTTATTGAAGCCGCATTTTTATCGGCCAATATTGCAATTGCAGTTGGAGTCATTAATCGTCGCGATTTCTAAAAAAGTCGTCTATGTTTAGGTTATTTCTTGCAGCTTATGTGATTTATTAATGTTTCTTATTGTCTCAGAATAACCAAACTTCCCACTAGTCGAAAGGGATTGTACTTTTATTACACGTATACTAACTAAATTGGTGGTTTGTGATTGTGTTTATAATTTGAATTTTGATGTCCTTTCATCTGGGAAGAGGCATAAAAGGGACGTTGTACACGTCAGATAAACGGAGAGTCGATCGGCGTGCGTCCTTCTTCTCCCCCATCTCCATCACATCCTTTCTTTTCCTCTTTCTCTGATAAACATAATGAACAAGTTTCGCTTTCTGGATAAGGAAAAGCCACCTGGTCTTTAGCTTGGAATATTTTTGGTCAAATTGATTTCGTGGGGTAATCGGGCGATCTTTCTTTTCTTGGATTTACATTTTCCTTATCCAATTGAAGTTTCGGGTTGTTGAAAGGTGGTCGTTTTTAGTTGGCCAGACTTGAACACGGTGAGAACCTAGACCATCAGGATGACAGATCCCTGTGAATGTATCTTCAGCCATGAGGCTCTGATGCGTCGTCTTCTTAGTGCGGTAAGGGTTTATTCATCTCAATTGATTTTTGTTTTAGTTGAGGGATTCCCAGGCCGATTGTACCGACACGGAGTGTTTGGAATCGTCCGGAGATGGCTCTGTTTCTGGTGGTATGACCCTATCAATGTTGCTGGCCTTATGGGGTGTCATGGCTGTCATCTTGTTCATGAGCCGGCCAGCTTCTTTGAGAAACAACAGTGACCGTGACTTGAATGAGAAACCTCGTCTGAACGGAGTAAGCTCATTTATTGATTAGTTTTGCAATAGTCTACTTCGTCGTCTAATGGTTTAATGTTGTAGGACAACAATCCTCCACCGCCTCCCTCGGCCTTGTAAACCTTCAAGAACACGAACCTTCCTCTGCATCCAGGTCTAGTCCAAGAAATTCCAAGCCCAATCAAATATAAATATATTATACATAATACACTCTTTAAGAAATAATGGATCGCGGGTCCGACCTTTTTATTTTACACATATTGATGTAGTTAATACACAGTCTCTTACTCGCTTTGCCTTTGTAAATATAAATTTTATTATCAACAAGGATAAGTACGGTCAACACCCATGACAAGACGTAAGGTTGCAGGCTCTCGCGGAGGCATTCTCGGTTATCGCAGTCTCCACCTACGGAAAGTACATATTTGATGGTATTAGTATCTCGAGACGGACTGAAAATTGAGGTCCGGCCCGTTTTAAAATCCGGACCGATTTTTGTCGGTCCGGACCGTCGCGACTCTTGCGGGCAACAACATAAAATACGGCGGTGATGCGTTTACTTTTGGAAATCTGCTGACACTTGCGAGCAACAGGAAGAAATAATATCTTTTTTGTGTCTTCTTTTACTTTAACTATTCTTAATTATTATATAAATAAAGCGTTAATCATAAGAACGAGCCCAAATTCTCTGATGACGGAAAGGATACCGAGGACTGTGGTTGATCATCTGTTGGAATCGGCGCTGCGGACGAGGACGTACTAGTTCTGGATTCTATAACGGAGCATTATAATGTTTAAAACACGATTTTTGAGTCACTGCGTCAGCCAGTAGTGGGGCCCGGTCTTAGGAAAAAATCGATTTTGAGATTTTTGGCTTAAAATAGTCGGTAGCACTTGTGGAAGAAAAGCTAAAAATATTTTTGCCCAATTTTGCCCGGAAGGCATATTTTTTTACAAAATACGTTTTTACACTTCAAAGCCTCTGGAGGCCGATGTGATCCGACCACAGAGCTCAAACCTGGCATACAGGGGTTTTTGACACCCAGGAATCTGAAAATCGTAGCATTTTTACCGTCAGATTACTGTAACATGGTCATACTGTAATCCGGTCGATAAAAATCGACGATAACTTCTTTAGATCAAAAATGCCACAGGATTTTATTGCAGATTCGGAATCAGCATAAAATTCTGCTTCGGATACATGTAAAATATGTTCAAAATTCCGTGGCCCAACCTCTGTAGTATAGTGGTTGTGCGCCAGGATTATCAATCTGGCGACCCAGGTTCGATTCCCGGTGGCTGCAAATGGCAGAAAATGGACTATAAAAGGGCGGAAACTTGGAAAAAAGGGAAAATAAATTACAGAAAATTAATTTTATGCTACTTAGGAGCAGTTTAAAAGTTTTTGCAAGAATTCCGCATAAATTACGGTTTTTATTGAAAACGCCTTATAGCTTGCCGGAAAGTGGAGCAATCTGGTTAAAATTTACAGAAGAGGTTACTGTGGCTTCCTACTACAAAATAAGTCCATTTCTGCTTATTTCGTTAAATTTTTGGGATAGCCTGGATTTTCTTTCAAATTCGGGATTTTAAGAAGGCGAGCTGCGGCCGAGGTTTATCGAACGGAACACTATTTGACCAAAAAGTCATATAAGATTCACAAAAAGTCATATAAGATTCCCTAACAGCACCGGGATCACACAGCTTGCAAAACTTAGGCCGTCTTGCGTATCCCACGAAAAACGGAGCGCGTGGACGCTCTTATGATAAATCTAAATGAAGACTCAGTTGATAAGGAACAGGGGCTAAATTACGGGACTGTAACATGCGTGCTTCCTTCTGAAAACCAAATAATTGTTTTATTTTGTTTTGTATTACATTCCTCGACGGATTTGAAGAATATTGCATAGCAAGCGTTATCTAGATTCACCACAACTCTTTAGTTGCCATTTGGTGCGATCTTACGAATGCTGTGAGGCGTTTTCCATAAAAACCGTAATTTATGCGGAATTCTTGCAAAAACTTTTAAACTGCTCCTAAGTAGCATAAAATTAATTTTCTGTAATTTATTTTCCCTTTTTTCCAAGTTTCCGCCCTTTTATAGTCCATTTTCTGCCATTTGCAGCCACCGGGAATCGAACCTGGGTCGCCAGATTGATAATCCTGGCGCACAACCACTATACTACAGAGGTTGGGCCACGGAATTTTGAACATATTTTACATGCATCCGAAGCAGAATTTTATGCTGATTCCGAATCTGCAATAAAATCCTGTGGCATTTTTGATCTAAAGAAGTTATCGTCGATTTTTATCGACCGGATTACAGTATGACCATGTTACAGTAATCTGACGGTAAAAATGCTACGATTTTCAGATTCCTGGGTGTCAAAAACCCCTGTATGCCAGGTTTGAGCTCTGTGGTCGGATCACATCGGCCTCCAGAGGCTTTGAAGTGTAAAAACGTATTTTGTAAAAAAATATGCCTTCCGGGCAAAATTGGGCAAAAATATTTTTAGCTTTTCTTCCACAAGTGCTACCGACTATTTTAAGCCAAAAATATCAAAATCGATTTTTTCCTAAGACCACCGCTGGTGCCCTGACTCAAAAATCGTGTTTTAAATGATTAAGACCTTACGAAATTTTCTTCCTTTGCCAACACTCGCCAAATACTAGGACTAGGTGGTTTATATTTTAAGGTAGCCATCCAATCTATCGGCGAAGAAATTAAGCCACGGCAAGCCTCATCGACGTCCGTGAATTCAGTAGCCAGTTGATTTCTCAACTCATTCTCGAATACTAATCCCAAAACACTCCGATCTTCCACCTTCTCAAGGGAACTTTCTTTTTTCTCATGTTTTTCGAAATATTTCAAGTGATCCTCGGTTTCATCCCGGTTGTTGTAAAGCAGCTCTTTCCCAAAAAAAGACTCTGCTTGACAAAGCTTTTCCAGAATATCTTCAGGAATCGTTGAGACTTGCAGCATCTTCAGTCTGAAACACAGCTGTCAAGACAATCTCATCATAAAAAAAATTACTTAAAATATTACCTATGTAAAGAGTAATTCCTCCTGTCGTACCGAGATTTCGGAATCCGCTTCAAAGCGAATTTCTTTTTTATCTGGTTCCTCTCAAAGAACAGCCGTTCTTGGAACTTCCTTACTTGGAGACCTTCATAAAGAACATACGCGTTTGCTCCTAAAAAGCAAAATTTAAAAAAACGTAAAAAAATCCATTTTCAGTATAATTAGCTTACTAACATAACCATCTTGAGGCTCGTTCTTGCACTGTTGACACTTTCCATCAGGTCCACTTAGGTCTTCGCACAACACGTGATAATCGAATGAACACCAAGAACACCTCACTTTCTTGTCACATTCTTCATAAGGTTCGTTGCAACCTGCACACACAATTCGAGATTGGCATTGATAACAGTAATCACAAGCCAAGGAATGCATTGGAAACCAACATCCCATGCAGATATTTGTAGAGCAGCTGAAACTCGACATCTTTAGAATATAAACTTACTATCTGCAAAACCATTTTTCATAAAAATTAGTGGGCTGCTCGATAAGCGGAGGATCAAGACATTTGAGATGAAAGTTGCGATTACATCCATCACAAATATATGATTCATCTTTTTCATCCTCCCCGTGGCAAAAGAAACATGGGTCACAGATGTAACAAAACCATTTAGCGATTCGGTTCAGGTTCTATAAGAAATTTGGTTGAACGACTTCAAATAATACAAAGCCCTTTCGGCGACAAATTTAGGTAATAAAGCGCAAACTTACATCAGCGGAAATGCCAGTACATTTAGCCTTTCGGTGGAACACTTCGTAACAGTTATAACATTTGATCGTGCTGTCGCCCAGTAGATCGTCGCAGGTTGTGCAGTAAGGGTAGCGTCCCATATCAACCGCACATTCATAATAACGTTCAATATATTTAATAAGAGATCATTAGCACCAGCGCATCGGACGGAATGCCAAGCCTTCGCCAAACGGTTTTCGTGTTGGGGCAAAATGTTGGAAACAAGGGTTTTTGACACCAGCACGCCAATTTGTCCACATGTGTCCAGAAAAATTCAAACATGGATCGGGTCAAGTTTTTCCCCGGTCATGGATTAAGTGTTCCCCTCGGCAGAAATACCGCGGTATTAATACCGTAATAAAACCGCAGAACAAAATGCTGTCAATGCGGAAATTGTCAGAGTACTCAGAAATAATGCAGGAAAAGTTATAAATTGCATAAACAACACAGAAAAAAAATTTCGGCCTAATTTGGAGGCATTTTTCAAACGTTGGATCAAAGTAAGTCAATTTCTATGATCTTAACTTTTCTTATGGTGTGAGGTGCACTGTTCGGATCTAACCATCCTTGGTAGGGAATTCAACGATCAAGACGTTTTGTTGAAAAGGCTTTTTTGGTTCAGTTTGGTCAATTTTACGCAAGTTTCACACAAAAATATTGTTTAATACCCAATATATTATACTTATTTTTTAGTGTTCCGTGAAAAAGCATGTTTGACTTTGAAGGGTCATAACTCGACGTAGGATTGATCATTTTTAATGATCTTTCTTTTAAACAAAATGGTAACTACTAAGGAATAAAATGAGCTATTGCTCATAAAAATTGAACAATCCTATAAAAAGTTATAAGCATTTTACATCCGCGAACTTAGCTGAACCACCCTGTAGTTACTGGGATTTTTTTGGAAGCATGATGTTGGATACAAGTCGATCGATTTTTTATTAAATTTTTTTAATAATTTCGTTATTTCGAGGCCGCATTCCTAAGTATACTTGCCCAAAAATCGAGCACCCAAAGTTGGCCATGAAACACAAGACAAGAGGATTGGAAAGCGCGATATACGTTTTGTGGTGATATAGCCATGCGTATTTTAATGCAAAGTATTTTTTTAATAGCCCTATGACCTAATAAAATCGCGGTGCTTTCTTCTCATTGCTTTCGATTCACATATATTCAGAACCAGGTGTTGCTAGTGAGTTCGTCGTATGATAGTCGTAGGTGTGAATACCGAGTTCTTTTTCCTTCTTGGATAATCAAATTTTCGGAAACCGGAGTCTAAGAATTACATTTATTTGTTAAGGGCAACATGTAAGGGATTTTAATTAGTCGTGGGAATTTATGAAATTGGGAGGCTATTTATGATTCCATCATGTTCTTTGCCTGTTAGGGATACGTCTGTTGTAGTCTTATACGGCCATGCTTTGGATCTTTAGTCCTTCCCCATTCTTCCCTGAAAATTTTTCCTCGAAATTATTTCCCCTCTTCTTTTTTTGAAAGATTACAATTTGCAAGAGTTTATAGAATTGTAGAGAGAACGTGCTCATTGTCCCCATCTACGATTACACTTCATTTCAGATGTTCGAAGTAATTTGAGTTTTATTTGTCATTTTGTTGCCTCTATTGGAACTAAATGCTGCACATGTCCTTGACACTCTTTAGCTTCATTTTTGTCCGTTTCTTTATTTTCCGCAAGATTTTCATTTCGTGTCCGTCCATTATTGTCAGAAACCATTAGGGGCAGATGCCATTATGGACAGATTTCTGAAATCCTTGCAGATATCTTCAAAACAAGAAATCTGTATTAAACTTTGTGGTTCTTACTGTTTCCCTTAAGCAGTAATAAAAAGATTTTTTTGGATTTTTTTTGAATTTTTTTTTTGAAAATTGAGGATTTAGAGGTTTCGAGGGCTTCTTGAAAGTCGTGGTCATGTTACAGCCCCGGCTGGTGTAGCGGAGGGGGAATAACTTACTTACCGAATTCGGGGCCTGACCCTGCCGTTATCACCTAAGGGCAATGATTACATAACTTTACATATTACCAATGACGTTTATTGATACTATATAAGCTCTATATAAGACTGCAATTATAAAATACCCTCATAAAAATTCCCTCATTATACCGTCTCCTGAGACCGGAGCGCTCGGTCCCCTTCCCAAAAACGGGAACCGCTGATTCTTCTTCTGTCGGGGTATGATGAGGTTGTGTAATAGTAACGTCCTACTGTGATTACGAAACTGCGCCGTAGTACTGTAGTTTTCGAAATCAGCACCATCGAAAGCCCCTAAATCAAGTATCTTTAGAAAAATTTTTAAAAATTACTTTTTCACAGTACTACATAAGAGAAACAGTAAGGAATACATAAAGTACACATTTTTTACAAAGATACAGAAGAGCTTCAAGGATTTCAGAAATCTCCGTATACTTAAATCATTGTTTCACTCATTTCCGGCACCCCGGATTGCTTTCAATTTTGTTTTCAGATGAATGTGACACGACACCAGTCGGCCGAGGTCTTTTTATTCCAAACTGACGGCTTTTCACAAGCCGAACTTGACCTAACTACAATTATACCTTCTCTGGCAGAAGAGTTAGAGGAATTGAGAGCCCTTCCCGACATTCCTGATGTCTTCAGGTTATTTTTATTTGCACTGGAAATAGTTTTATCTTTACTTTCTCTTGTGGTTCTCCATCTTCTGTCGTATGTATTCGTTAAATGTCGAAGGATCCATTTGAATCTTCGAATAATCTTTGTTCACATGAATGCGTTACAATTTGTGGAAAGAGTGGTCCGAATTGTTCGAGTCACAGATATTACGTTGGACTGGATGCCAACATACGAAGGGCAACAACTAGAGAACATCCGGCGGTATCTTTGGTGGTACTGTAATCTGGCTTATGTATTTGTGATTACCGAACGAATCATCGCAACTGTCAACTTCAGCGATTACGAAAGATGGGGTTTGGCCACTTCATTTTATGTAATAATTTCATCGGTGAGACCAACACGTATAAAATTTTTATCAAATAAAATTTATATTTTAGTACATCAGTGGTGGTGCTTTCTATTATGTCAGCCAATTTGTTTGTAAGTCTTGGCAGGAAATAAATAATTTTCAGCCGATAACTTCACTCAGCTTGCTATGAAAGTAATTTGCGTAACCTTGCCATGGCTGGTAAGACCTGGCGTCCCAAATTTATTTAATCCCACCTTTTAGGCGCTTCATATTTGCGAGAGAATCAATGTGGATCTCTCCTCAAATATCCTCAATCTCTCTTTGAGTGCCAGATTTCAAATATCCGAGAATATATCTACTTTGGTCGCAATTAAGGGCTGGATCTGTGTCAGCGCCATTATGAACGTGTGTATATCCTGTATCATGTGCATTATCTGGTACGTGATTACCCCGAATCACTTACTATACGGACTTCATGTCATCTCGAATATGTTTGATTTGGTAATTGCATTGTATGTGTTCGTATATCCCATAATAATTCTTTATATCAACAAAACGATGAGAAATATGGTCATGTAAGACACGAATTTGAATTATATACATTTAGCCTTTATTTGAAGACGGATCTTTATAAAGAAAAAAGAAGAACAAATTTTTCACAAGAAGAATGCTGTTGGAATTACCCCGACGAGTCTGTATCCACCGACTTCAGACGAGTATTTCCGTGTTCTGAATGAACGATGGAATCTTTTTTCGAATCCCCAGCCAAAAAGAAAGTGGTTCAATTTCCAAACAGCTCCTAAATGGATACGGGTACTGTAGGCTTCACTAAGAAATCGACTTTGTTACGTATTTGGAAGTACTGTTATATTATATTATAAATAAAAACTTCCGGCTTCAAGACATTGACAAGTATTTTCAATCCACTGTCGCATTTTGAATAACATTATAAAAAATGTTATTCAAATTTTACGTCATCAATATTCCAAAGAAAGAAATAGTTATTTAGTCATTCAAATATGGCGATGGACAGAAATGCGGTTGCCAGATGGCAGACGGAGTTAGATGATCTCTCTGGCCGTCTGAACACTTTGTCATGGATGTTGACTGCTCTTTGCGTGGCCTTCAGTATCTACTCTGTTCTTGAGATAGCAACTATGTTGTACACCATCGTCATTAAGAGAAAAAAGGTAGCATTTAATCAAGGATTACTCATTTGCAGTGCCGAGAAAAGGAGAAGAAATCTGATAGCTTGAAGAGGAAGCGCCAGAAGAAGGGAAAGAAGGGTTCAAAGTCAGGAAAAGCCAAGAAAGCGGGAAAATCATCGCGGAAGAAATCGAGAACTAGCAGTTCTAAGACTTCCGATGGGATGACAACTACGAAAACGGAATCCTCAAAGAAAAAGAAAAGCGCCATGAATGCGAAAGGAGATCGTCAAACGAAGGCAGGAAAACGTAAGTAACTTCTACCGAGACTTTCATAAATAATGCAACGCTACAGCCATCAAACCAATTATCACTTCACGGTCCCAAGAATTATTGCAGAAAGAGAATGTTCCGCCTAAAATAGAAACTCCCAAGACTACTCCCATGGATACTGTAAGTTTTGCGTTCCATTAGTCATCTGAATTAAAGCCCACCAGCGGAGTTGTAACGGCCGCCCTTCCAACCCCCGAGATGATCCAGACCAATGAAATGATGAAGGCCACTCTCCCAGCTGCTCATATTACCAAAGAGCCATCTCCCGTGAACAGTCTGATCGTGGATAACTCAAAGTTGGCCCCAGTTGATGGATCTGTTATCGCAAAGCCTGAAAGTGTTCCCTTGAACCAATCAACTCCGATTAGCGCCCAGAATGCTGGATCTACCAACTCTGTAGCCCCCACTCAAACTGGCTGTACTTTTACCGGATCATCTACCTCGCAGGTCTCCGGAATTAGTTCCCACAGTATCACTACCCCCACTTACCCGACCTCCAACTTGCCTTCAAATCCGCGTCAGTCGACTCCTCCTGTGGTTAACCTCGTCCCACCTCAACCAATTGGCCAATTGCCTCCTGGTCCTCAGCTCCCATCGGCCACTCCACCAGCTCCTCAGGGAACACCTCCCAGCAATACGCAACCATCCTTCTAAACCTCCTCTACTCCGACTCCTTTTGTAACCACTATCCCAGATGGAAAGTAAATATTTTATTAGAATAAATCATACCACCAGCAAAAAATATTTATTACAGTAATTTTTTCATATAGATATTAAAATTCCCACATTTATACAGTAAAAAATTTATAAATTGTAGTGACTGATGATAAAAAAATACTCGTAAAGCTTGACACAACAATATGTGTTGAGGTTGCGCAGAATGACATTCGAACTTATAATTCATCGTCTAATTGAGAGTGGAAAGGATTCGACTCATGTCCATAAATATGATCCACCTTTGCGGAAACTTGGCGACATCCAGAGCTCGAGTAGATGGGGTCAGAGGCAGGATGATACTGGATGATATCAGAGATATACAGGGTGTTTCAAGAAATACTGCAGAAAGTTTTTGTGAATACCTTTGTGCTCTTGGAAGCCATGAGTTTAAACTGGCTTTAAAATTCGAAGTTGGGCGATTTTAGAATATCATTCAATATTTTAAAGCCAGTTTAAACTTCTTGGATAGCTTCAAAGAGCACAAAGGTATTCGCAAAAACTTTCTGCAGTTTTCTTGAAACACCCTGTAGAAGGTTCACTTACAGTCAATAGATCCACAATTTTATCAACCCTTTCGTCAGTGACGGACAGCAGTCGATGATGCATGTAATCTCGGACGCAAGATTCAACATGATTCCGTTCTAATGGCAAGAATGGGATGAACCAATCAATTAGGTGTCTGGTAATCATCTCATTGTTCTTCAACCCGCTTTCTTCTGAAATTTTTTGTTATACCATGTATTCGGTCTAAAATATACGACTTCGCCGTTTTTTCTGCTCACGGTTTTGATAAAACAAAAGAGTGTTACACTAACCTTATTCAATATTGGATTCTACTATTAATTACCAGGTTTACGCATTAATTTACTTTTTACGGCACTCCACTTTTCTCGCGCGACAAATGTCTCAGGACTTTATGGCGCGATGATAGAGCGGCCGTCGCCTTTTTTTTTTTTTTTAAAGTATGACTCCGCCTAAACCTAATAACACAACTGACTTACTTTCATTGAAAGCAGAGTTTCTTAGGATGTCATCAAAGTCATTCAAAGCCAGAGCTCCTCTTAACAGACCCGCCCTATGATGGTCAAATGTCTTCTTTATAATGGATGTCGCTCCGGCATTACTTAAGAAGACGTAGATACTCTTCCTGGGGTCCACAGAGCCAATTGATTCGTAATGATCCATAAATGGCCTTACAGCGTCAAGAACTCCATCAGGCATTTTGTCGATCTCGTCAAAGACGAAGAGTTGTCGCTCACAATTGGTCAGATTCCCCACAATCCAGTTTCTTAGCTGATTCTACAGTTATAAATTATTGCATTTATAAATACACAGAGAAACCTTCTTTTTACCTGGTATCGCCCAACTTCTTGTGGGTCAGAAAAGTGATGAGTTGAAACGAAGACGTGGGCAAATGCAGACTTCTCCGCTTTCTTGAACATGGCATTCCTAATCATCCCGGCCACAAAGTTCTTGCCGGTCCCGGTCGGCCCATGAAAACTCATAGCCAACGCCTTCTTTGGGTTTCTTGAAAATGGCCAATGCTGACATAAGAAACCTACCGGTTACCAAGGTGTGCATTCACTGCCTTCATAACACTGTCAATGGCGATATGCTGTCCATACAATGAACTAGTCATCTCCCTCTGAAGTCCTGCAAAAACCTCTTAATACTTCTTCATCCTTACTTTGAGTTATCCTCTCATGAATCCAAGGGGCTTCACAGCATTCAAAATATTTGCATTTGATATAATTGAAGGAATAGATCCCGTATCCCATTGCCCCAGCGACCGCCGTTCCAACTCCGAGGCTGATTACATCTGCTGATACCGCCCTCAGAAATATGAGAGTTTGAAGAAACGGGAGTATTCTCATCTAAGAGTACAATATTGAGAAGCCTACAGAAATTATGTAAAGCAGGGTTATTAAACCGGATAAAGAATTTGGATTACGTCTTATTTACAACATTTATTTAAGCGAGATAGTTAAAATTATTCATGGGTTCCATTAGTCATCGGCGACAGCACAATCCCGCATAAGTCGATAAGTATTTAAAGCCGACTCCATCGCATTCTTGTATTCATTTTCTCCGCGATTCTCCCAAACAATAAATTCCTTTGAAACAGATTCGACAGTGTAAGTTTTGTCATCCTCTAAAGGACCCGCGCTTTAATTTTTTTTAACCTTACCTTTATTACAAACAACCATCTTTAATTCGTCTGGGACGGCAATCTTGTGAGCTTCGATATGTTTTCCTCGAAATAAAATATCATAATTGGAATCAGAAGGAAGGAATTTCTGGACAGAATCAGTAGGTCCAGTGTAGTCGAGTTCGAATGGCATTACATTTATAATATCAGCTTCAGGGAGATCTTCATTCTCCGACTTTGGAATCGTAACTTCAAAGTCAGGGTTTACCATCCTGCAGTAGGACCAAGGAGAACGCATTGATAGAAAGGTAACCATTATACTGTATAAAAACAGAAGATAGCAAGACGGGCTCCATAAAAAACAACAAAAATTTATTCCAACAAAACGTCAACAGGAAAACAATAGCAACAATTAGAGGATCTGCTTATTAAGATTTAGATAGCCGATGCCTAGACAAGTAACAACGGCCTTATTCTGGGATCCCGTCATTTCATCCGATTTATCGATTTCCGAATCTTCATTCTCATCTTCTGTTAGGCCTCTCAACTCATCAAACTTAAAACGATGTTCAAAGAAGGTCTGCAGATTCCGCATTGTATGGATTCTAAGATGGGAATAAGAAGAGAAAATAATGCTTACGCGTATAAAGAAGGCTCTCCAAGCAGATATTTGCTTACATCTTGGTCATTCATGGCCATAAATGTTAAGGCGAGTGCCTGAGCCGAAGTATCAGTAGCTCCTCCCTAAAAATGGATGACATTATCCCATAGATTTCTTCATACCTTCCAGATCTCAGTCAATAACATATCAGCTGCTTCTCCACCAAGATCCTCGGCGGTGGACGGATTACCGTCGCCTGCGGATTTAGAAGAACTTTCTCCATGATAAAATACGCCTTCTGTGGTCTCGGCCGTAATGAAAATCCCAAATCCCGGAGAATTACCGGCCTGCGGCCCTTTCCTCTGGTCTACTGTTATATAAACATCAGCAATAAAGCCATGTAGCCGTTTCTTGGCTGCATCAATCATACGATGTGCCAATGAAGAGTTCACCTTACAAACATAGGCAAGTCCCCTGATTTTGCGGACCTTCCCTGCATTCAATTTCTAAAAGAAGAAATATAAAAGACACACGAAATTACCTTCGTAGGCCGCAGTTTCTTAACTACAGGAGATGTAAAAGTCACCGAGCCTCCACCACCGGGGAAAAAGCCGCGAGAGTTTATCTAAAACATTGTATCAAATAAAAAATCTATGCTAACCTTGATGATAAGGTTCTCATCATCCATTATGAATTTGCTAAATACTGGTAACCAGCATGCCCTTAGCGCATCAACACTTAGTTCCCCTTCCTTATTCGTGACACCAGTAAGTTTTGCATTAATTGCCTGGCCACAAAACGGGGCAATGTATAACAAGGCCTCCAAGAAATAACTAATTGGCCGTGTATTTCCACAATCAAATTCAACTGAGCCACCATTCAACATTCCTGGTTCAAATCTGACCTGTGTGCCTAAACAGAAGAATTCAGAAGAGAAAAACAACATACCTGTTTTGTTGATTACAACGTTTGTACCGTTGGTTATTTCAGAAACTAATTCTAACAATTTCACCTCATGATCTAAATTAAAGCGTCCTTTAAAGAGTTGAATACGCACCTTGCACTCCGGGATTTTCGTCGAAAGGGCGGACATCAACAAATGTAACAGGCTTTCCACTAAGTAAAGAGTAGCATAATCTTTGTTTGAAGAGATTACAGCCTTCAACTCTCAACTCGGCGGAGTTACTCGACTTTTTCATCGCCTAACCATAAGATCTACAAGACAAACTGAGAGCCTAACTTCTAACAATTTAGATATTCCGCGACAAATAATTTTCCTTTTTGCTCATCTGCGCCCTCTTCTTTCCACACGGGTCGTCCATTTTATACGATCAATCGATTTTATACGATACATACAAATAAAACCGGGATTGGGTCTATCCCGACCTGCCCCAAATGAAGGGTATCCATGGATGCCAAAAAAAGTTCCAAATATATTTATTTTTCGCTACGGTTTGTGATCAGTGATAGTAATATCATAGTTTTTTTTTCGTCCCTTTGCAGGAACACTGTCGATTATGAGCACAAAACAACTGACAATCAAGATCCCGGCCAATGCAGGGAGATAACAATAAAGCGAGATTCTGGCGCTGGTATTGAGTGTTCCGTTATTGTTCCCTTCTACTTGCTTGGCTATGATGATGTCCTCAGACATGCCGTCCAATTCACTTTTAATATCTTGTTCCGTTATGCTCACCTCTTTTATCTTCCAAATTTTTGGCTGAAAAGACGTTTTTTACTGGAAATAATTAATACGCTATCATCATAAAGCAAGGTACTTACAAAACCGAGACTTGATATGTGGTTAGCCAACGCTATTAGTCGAACGAGTTGGTCTTGTGCGCTTTCTAATGGCTAGAAATTAATATAATACAATCAATTACATTTCTTACCTCGCCTGCGCTGTAAGTGGAAATAGTCCCGACAGTGGAATACAGAGTGATCACATGATATAGCTGATTATTAAAATCTTTAACTGGCTCTCTGGTGTAGCTATTGTTGATCCAAAACTGGAATAATGTAAAAGGAAAGATGATTTCCGAAGTGTAAACTTACTTTACTAATCGCCAGGATCGGAGCCTTGTTCTGGGAAGTCTCATAACGGCAAGGTTTGAGTTTTTGATCGCCGTTCTCGTAAATGGGAACTACAAAGAGATGAGAATCCAATTTCTGGAAATGTTTTTACGCATTATTTGGATTACTTGTAGTGACACATAGCAAAAATTGTCAAGCTCTTCTCGAATAATTTCATAGGGTATGTTTTGCCGATCCAAGGCCTTCCCAACAGCGAGGATTAAAGCGGACGAATTGTCATGGTGGACAACCAAACCAACTTTCTTTTCTCCGTTTTCAGTGTTCGGGAAGGTGATGATTAAAACAGGGTTAAACTTACTTGTAGAGTAGTTGACAAAAGAGTTACAATTATATATCGAGAAAGAAAAGAAAACTGACCCATTGTAATATGAGAATGAGAACAAAAGAAAAATGATGAAACTATGCTTTTTTAATAAATTTTATTAAAAGTGTAGAAATCTGAAGTCGTTCATTAGATTAGTCGCACAAGGAACAACTGCAAATGCATTCTTGTTTCTTCTGCTCCACGGAAATGCTTTCGTCTTCACAATATCCTTCTTTCTTCCGCTTGGCACAGCTGTAATCGTGACTTTTTCTGTAAAAATACTGATTCTGTTGTTATGTCTGAACAACTTATCCTGCCGAACACTCTGATATTATACCAGACACCAGTTTTAAAAGAAAGTGAATTAGTGATGTCGGAGTGAATTGACAAGACATATACCATTCGAAAGGTAACCTCATAAGATTTTAGCACGGCAAGTTTTAGCTTTTTTGGAATTAAATTACGCCCGCCGCAGGCCAAACACTCTGATATTATACCAGACACCAGTTTTAAAAAAAGTGAATTAGTGATGTCGGAGTGAATTGACAAAACATATACCATTCGAAAGGTAACCTCATAAGATTTTTGCACGGCAAGTTTCAGCTTTTTTGGAATTAAATTACGCCCGCCGCAGGCCAAACACTCTGATATTATACCAGACACCAGTTTTAAAAAAAGTGAATTAGTGATGTCGGAGTGAATTGACAAAACATATACCATTCGAAAGGTAACCTCATAAGATTTTAGCACGGCAAGTTTTAGCTTTTTTGGAATTAAATTACGCCCGCCGCAGGCCAAACACTCTGATATTATACCAGACACCAGTTTTAAAAAAAGTGAATTAGTGATGTCGGAGTGAATTGACAAAACATATACCATTCGAAAGGTAACCTCATAAGATTTTAGCACGGCAAGTTGTAGCTTTTTTGGAATTAAATTACGCCCGCCGCAGGCCAAACACTCCGATATTATACCAGGCACAAGTTTAAAAAAAAAGTGAATTAGTGATGTCGGAGTGAATTGGCAAAACATATACCATTCGAAAGGTAACCTCATAAGATTTTAGCACGGCAAGTTTTAGCTTTTTTGGAATTAAATTACGCCCGCCGCAGGCCAAACACTCTGATATTATACCAGACAGCAGTTTAAAAAAAAAGTGAATTAGTGATGTCGGAGTGAATTGACAAGACATATACCATTCGAAAGGTAACCTCATAAGATTTTAGCACGGCAAGTTTCAGCTTTTTTGGAATTAAATTCGCCCGCCGCAGGCCAAACACTCTGATATTATACCAGGCACCAGTTTAAAAAAAAAGTGAATTAGTGATGTCGGAGTGAATATACAAGACATATACTATTCGAAAGGTAACCTTATAAGATTTTAGCACGGCAAGTTTCAGCTTTTTTGGAATTAAATTACGCCCGCCGCAGGCCAAACACTCTGATATTATACCAGACAGCAGTTTAAAAAAAAAGTGAATTAGTGATGTCGGAGTGAATTGACAAGACATATACCATTCGAAAGGTAACCTCATAAGATTTTAGCACGGCAAGTTTCAGCTTTTTTGGAATTAAATTCGCCCGCCGCAGGCCAAACACTCTGATATTATACCAGGCACCAGTTTAAAAAAAAAGTGAATTAGTGATGTCGGAGTGAATATACAAGACATATACTATTCGAAAGGTAACCTTATAAGATTTTAGCACGGCAAGTTTCAGCTTTTTTGGAATTAAATTACGCCCGCCGCAGGCCAAACACTCTGATATTATACCAGGCACCAGTTTAAAAAAAATTGAATTAGTGATGTCGGAGTGAATTGACAAGACATATACCATTCGAAAGGTAACCTCATAAGATTTTAGCACGGCAAGTTTTAGCTTTTTTGGAATTAAATTACGCTCGCCGCAGGCCAAACACTCTGATATTATACCAGGCACCGACATCACTAATTCACTTTTTTTTAAAACTGGTGTCTGGTATAATATCAAAGTGTTTGGCCTGCGGCGGGCGTAATTTAATTCCAAAAAAGGTGAAACTTGCGGTTTTTAAAATCTCTTTCTGTGACGTTTCGAATGGTTTGGGTCTTGTCAATTCACTCTGTTGGATGGGACACCACCGATTCCACCAGCAAGATGGTCTTCAAAATGAATCTCTCTCTATTTGTATTTTATCTTTTGTACTTTCCCCAGCTGGCTCTATAAAAGGAGCGGCTGGGTTCAAATAAACCAGTACGATCAATCTACTCGGGTTGTCTCAAGTTGTCTCCTCCGAGACTTCAACAAGCAAAGGTGGCGATCAGGCTCGAACGAAGCCAGAAGACGCCAGAAGCGGGAAAAGAAACGCTACCACAAAGAACGCTAAGAAAGCGCGCCAAAAGGCAGCCAGCGATCAAAAATGTCGCAAGTAGCCGCGGCAATGCCAACCTACCTTAGGGGACCGGGTCCAAGCCCGACTAGAGAAAGAAGCCGATCACGGTCTGTAGCCAGAGGGCAAGGAGTCGGAATTTTATACGCCCGCAGTAAGGGTTAAAAGGGCAGTGCATCCTCCCAAACGCCTCACCTACGGTGAAAACGGCGGACAGAAGGAGGATAACAACCGGTTAAATCGGATAGAGTTCATTAGAAATGAACAAGAAAAGGGAAAAGGTCAAAGACAAAAAAGTCCAAGACACGTGAGCAGGTATGCAAATTTTGATCCGAAAAGCATATATAAAGGCCCCAATAGCGGCCAGAAGCCAACCATGGCGAAGTGTGTGCTCTGCGGGGGTGCACTGACGTGCCCTCGCCAAACATGCCAGACCAAAAGGAAGTGCAGCCGGCCCAACCATCACTGCCACCTGCCCAACCTCTGCCCGAGCCGGTTGAACCTGAACTCTACCCCTTTTCTGAACTTTACCCCTTTTTCAACTCTACCCCTTTTTGAACTTTACCCCTTCAGAACTTTACCCCTTTTTCAACTCTACCCCTTTTCTGAACTTTACCCCTTTTTGAACACTACCCCTCATTTTGAAAATTGAAAAAATGAGGTGTGACACCTTATACGATGAAAATTTTTTCAAATTGAAAATATTTTTTCATCGTATAAGATGTCACACCTTATTATTTTCAATTTGAAAAAAATTTTCATCGTATAAGATGTCACACCGAGTTTTTTCGATTTGAAAAAATTTTACATCGTATAAGATGTCACACCTGGTTTTTCTCAATTTGAAAAATTTTTTCATCGTATAAGATGTCACACCTTATTTTTTCAATTTTCAAAATGGGGTAGTGTTCAAAAAGGGGTAGAGTTCAGATTTTTTGGCGAAAATCAAAAAAGGGGTAGAGTTCAGCCTTTTTTGGGGTAGAGTTGAAAAAGGGGTAAAGTTCAGATTGGGGTAAAGTTCAGAAAAGGGGTAGAGTTCTGCCGCAACGGCCCGAGCCAACCCCTCTACAACTAGGACCCTCCAGAAGCAACCAATTCTCCAACCCCCCACAGCCAGATCCCCCGAGAAGCAACCAAGTTCCTGAACCCCCTCCCCAAGAAGATCAAGACATGGACGATGGTTTGGTGGATGAGCTGTTGGGAGAGCTCACTTCTGAAGACCTGGAGGAATTGATGGCGAGTACTTCGATTGGATCAAAGTAGGAGGAGGTGTTGGATGGGACACCACCGATTCCACCAGCAAGATGGTCTTCAAAACGAATCTCTCTCTATTTGTATTTTATCTTTTGTACTTTCCCCAGCTGGCTCTATAAAAGGAGCGGCTGGGTTCAAATAAACCAGTACGATCAATCTACTCGGGTTGTCTCAAGTTGTCTCCTCCGAGACTTCAACACACTCCGACATCACTAATTCAATTTTTTTAAACTGGTGCCTGGTATAATATCAGAGAGTTTGGCCTGCGGCGGGCGTAATTTAATTCCAAAAAAGCTGAAACTTGCCGTGCTAAAATCTTATGAGGTTACCTTTCGAATGGTATATGTCTTGTCAATTCACTCCGACATCACTAATTCACTTTTTTTTTTAAACTGGTGCCTGGTATAATATCAGAGAGTTTGGCCTGCGGCGGGCGTAATTTAATTCCAAAAAAGCTAAAACTTGCCGTGCTAAAATCTTATGAGGTTACCTTTCGAATGATATATGTCTTGTATATTCACTCCGACATCACTAATTCAATTTTTTTAAACTGGTGCCTGGTATAATATCAGAGTGTTTGGCCTGCGGCGGGCGTAATTTAATTCCAAAAAAGCTGAAACTTGCCGTGCTAAAATCTTATGAGGTTACCTTTCGAATGGTATATGTCTTGTATATTCACTCCGAAATCACTAATTCACTTTTTTTTAAACTTGTGCCTGGTATAATATCAGAGTGTTTGGCCTGCGGCGGGCGTAATTTAATTCCAAAAAAGCTGAAACTTGCCGTGCTAAAATCTTATGAGGTTACCTTTCGAATGGTATATGTCTTGTATATTCACTCCGACATCACTAATTCAATTTTTTTTAAACTTGTGCCTGGTATAATATCAGAGTGTTTGGCCTGCGGCGGGCGTAATTTAATTCCAAAAAAGCTGAAACTTGCCGTGCTAAAATCTTATGAGGTTACCTTTCGAATGGTATATGTCTTGTATATTCACTCCGACATCACTAATTCAATTTTTTTAAACTTGTGCCTGGTATAATATCAGAGTGTTTGGCCTGCGGCGGGCGTACTTTATTCCAAAAAAGCTGAAACTTGCCGTGCTAAAATCTTATGAGGTTACCTTTCGAATGGTATATGTCTTGTATATTCACTCCGACATCACTAATTCAATTTTTTTAAACTTGTGCCTGGTATAATATCAGAGTGTTTGGCCTGCGGCGGGCGTAATTTAATTCCAAAAAAGCCGAAACTTGCCGTGCTAAAATCTTATGAGGTTACCTTTCGAATAGTACATGTCTTGTATATTCACTCCGACATCACTAATTCAATTTTTTGTAAACTGGTGCCTGGTATAATATCAGAGTGTTTGGCCTGCGGCGGGCGTAATTTAATTCCAAACAAGCTGAAACTTGCCGTGCTAAAATCTTATGAGATTACATTTCGAATGGTACAGTAGTTGCTGTACCATCTGATATTATACCAGGCACAAGTTTAAAAAAAAGTGAATTAGTGATGTCGGAGTGAATATACAAGACATATACCATTCGAAAGGTAACCTCATAAGATTTTAGCACGGCAAGTTTCAGCTTCTTTGGAATTAAATTACGCCCGCCGCAGGCCAAACACTCCGATATTATACCAGGCACAAGTTTAAAAAAAAAGTGAATTAGTGATGTCGGAGTGAATTGACAAAACATATACCATTCGAAAGGTAACCTCATAAGATTTTAGCAAGGCAAGTTTTAGCTTTTTTGGAATTAAATTACGCCCGCCGCAGGCCAAACACTCTGATATTATACCAGACAGCAGTTTAAAAAAAAAGTGAATTAGTGATGTCGGAGTGAATTGACAAGACATATACCATTCGAAAGGTAACCTCATAAGATTTTAGCACGGCAAGTTTCAGCTTTTTTGGAATTAAATTACGCCCGCCGCAGGCCAAACACTCTGATATTATACCAGGCACCAGTTTAAAAAAATTGAATTAGTGATGTCGGAGTGAATATACAAGACATATACCATTCGAAAGGTAACCTCATAAGATTTTAGCACGGCACGTTTTAGCTTTTTTGGAATTAAATTACGCCCGCCGCAGGCCAAACACTCTGATATTACAGGGTGCGGCAAAAAAATGGAAACTTTTTTCATTGGGTCCTGACGCGAAAATTTTTAAGTTCAGCAAAATTATTTTCATACCTTTAAATTCTACGTAGTTTAATCTCCTAGACCTTATAATTTCATGTCCATATCGGTTTATTAGCATTCTTTTTTTGAATTTCAAACAAAGGGACCTCGATTTTGGACCTGTTTTTAAGCTGTTCGAAGTGCTAATTTGCCCGGTATAGAAACGACGTTTTGTCCAAAGTAATCACACAATGCAAGGAGCTTGTGAACAATTTGAAGCTTCCATTAAGCGAAAGAAAACGCACCGCCAACACTTCTGTCAGCCGCGGGGTCATCAACAGCGAAATCCGTCGATTTCCAGAAAAAATTGCCCGTGAGGCCGGCATCAGGGACCGACCAGTCGGCCAAATAGCCAAAAATCAACTCAAGGTCTCCCCACATAAGGTCTAAAATGCCCAACTCCTAACCGGCAAAATCAAGCCCGTACGCCTAAAAAAATGCCGAAAATTCAGACGTCGGGCCGCAGGTCCGCGATGGGACAGCATTCCCTTCGCGGTGCAATGTTTGTCGGGTGCATAACTAACAGAACGTCATAGTCCAATCCGATGAGGCCCTCTGCACGTCGGCTAACAACGAACACCGTCAAAATAAGGGCCGTCATCGCCTAAGGCGGAATTTGTGCCAGCGGCAAGAATTCCGAGATTTTCGTGGATCAAGAGGGCAAAATTCTAGCGCCGCGTTAACCTCGATTTCCTCATGCATCTGTTGGCTCAGTAGAACCTTGGCAGTCTAAATTTGGCGTTACAACTAGACTCAGCGCCGGCTCACAGGGCAAAAGCGGGTCAAGACCAGTAATCGAACCAATTTTCCCGATTCCACCCCGTCTGCGAAAAGTGCGCCTGCTCGCCGGGTATGGATCCAATGGGCTATAATTTTTTTTTCAATTGGAGACCAACATCTGTACTACACGCCACAGAAGTTTGGAGTCGCAAAGTAAATGCTGCGCCAAGAACGGAACCGATTTCCCCGAAAAAAGCTGCGGCCAAAAGCCCAAAATTTTAAGTCACGTTTGGAGCTCTATATCGCCACCAAAAGCAGCCACGGTGAAACGGGTTGAATATGTTATAAATAATGCTCTATGTTATTGATGATGACCGTTATATTTGCGGAATTTTGATTGCTAGGAAAAATATAGCTATAAAAATAAGTTTCCATTTTTTTGCCGCACCCTGTATACCAGGCACCAGTTTAAAAAAAAGTGAATTAGTGATGTCGGAGTGAATTGACAAGACATATACCATTCGAAAGGTAACCTCATAAGATTTTAGCACGGCACGTTTTAGCTTTTTTGGAATTAAATTACGCCCGCCGCAGGCCAAACACTCTGATATTATACCAGGCACCAGTTTAAAAAAAATTGAATTAGTGATGTCGGAGTGAATATACAAGACATATACCATTCGAAAGGTAACCTCATAAGATTTTAGCACGGCACGTTTTAGCTTTTTTGGAATTAAATTACGCCCGCCGCAGACCAAACACTCTGATATTATACCAGGCACCAGTTTAAAAAAATTGAATTAGTGATGTCGGAGTGAATATACAAGACATATACCATTCGAAAGGTAACCTCATAAGATTTTAGCACGGCACGTTTTAGCTTTTTTGGAATTAAATTACGCCCGCCGCAGGCCAAACACTCTGATATTATACCAGGCACCAGTTTAAAAAAAATTGAATTAGTGATGTCGGAGTGAATATGACAAGACATATACCATTCGAAAGGTAACCTCATAAGATTTTAGCACGGCACGTTTTAGCTTTTTTGGAATTAAATTACGCCCGCCGCAGACCAAACACTCTGATATTATACCAGGCACCAGTTTAAAAAAAATTGAATTAGTGATGTCGGAGTGAATATACAAGACATATACCATTCGAAAGGTAACCTCATAAGGTTTTAGCACGGCACGTTTTAGCTTTTTTGGAATTAAATTACGCCCGCCGCAGGCCAAACACTCTGATATTATACCAGGCACCAGTTTAAAAAAATTGAATTAGTGATGTCGGAGTGAATTGACAAGACATATACCATTCGAAAGGTAACCTCATAAGATTTTAGTACGGCAAGTTTCAGCTTTTTTGGAAATAAATTACGCCCGCCGCAGGCCAAACACTCTGATATTATACCAGGCACCAGTTTAAAAAAAATTGAATTAGTGATGTCGGAGTGAATATACAAGACATATACCATTCGAAAGGTAACCTCATAAGATTTTAGCACGGCACGTTTTAGCTTTTTTGGAATTAAATTACGCCCGCCGCAGGCCAAACACTCTGATATTATACCAGGCACCAGTTTAAAAAAATTGAATTAGTGATGTCGGAGTGAATATACAAGACATATACCATTCGAAAGGTAACCTCATAAGATTTTAGCACGGCAAGTTTTAGCTTTTTTGGAATTAAATTACGCCCGCCGCAGGCCAAACACTCTGATATTATACCAGGCACCAGTTTAAAAAAAATTGAATTAGTGATGTCGGAGTGAATATACAAGACATATACCATTCGAAAGGTAACCTCATAAGATTTTAGTACGGCAAGTTTTAGCTTTTTTGGAATTAAATTACGCCCGCCGCAGGCCAAACACTCTGATATTATACCAGGCACCAGTTTAAAAAAAATTGAATTAGTGATGTCGGAGTGAATATACAAGACATATACCATTCGAAAGGTAACCTCATAAGATTTTAGCACGGCACGTTTTAGCTTTTTTGGAATTAAATTACGCCCGCCGCAGGCCAAACACTCTGATATTATACCAGGCACCAGTTTAAAAAAAATTGAATTAGTGATGTCGGAGTGAATATGACAAGACATATACCATTCGAAAGGTAACCTCATAAGATTTTAGCACGGCAAGTTTCAGCTTTTTTGGAAATAAATTACGCCCGCCGCAGGCCAAACACTCTGATATTATACCAGGCACCAGTTTAAAAAAAATTGAATTAGTGATGTCGGAGTGAATTGACAAGACATATACCATTCGAAAGGTAACCTCATAAGATTTTAGCACGGCACGTTTTAGCTTTTTTGGAATTAAATTACGCCCGCCGCAGACCAAACACTCTGATATTATACCAGGCACCAGTTTAAAAAAAATTGAATTAGTGATGTCGGAGTGAATATACAAGACATATACCATTCGAAAGGTAACCTCATAAGATTTTAGCACGGCAAGTTTTAGCTTTTTTGGAATTAAATTACGCCCGCCGCAGGCCAAACACTCTGATATTATACCAGGCACCAGTTTAAAAAAAAGTGAATTAGTGATGTCGGAGTGAATTGACAAGACATATACCATTCGAACGGTAACCTCATAAGATTTTAGCACGGCAAGTTTCAGCTTTTTTGGAATTAAATTACGCCCGCCGCAGGCCAAACACTCTGATATTATACCAGGCACCAGTTTAAAAAAAATTGAATTAGTGATGTCGGAGTGAATATGACAAGACATATACCATTCGAAAGGTAACCTCATAAGATTTTAGCACGGCAAGTTTCAGCTTTTTTGGAATTAAATTCCGCCCGCCGCAGGCCAAACACTCTGATATTATACCAGGCACCAGTTTAAAAAAAAGTGAATTAGTGATGTCGGAGTGAATTGACAAGACATATACCATTCGAACGGTAACCTCATAAGATTTTAGCGCGGCAAGTTTCAGCTTTTTTGGAATTAAATTACGCCCGCCGCAGGCCAAACACTCTGATATTATACCAGGCACCAGTTTAAAAAAATTGAATTAGTGATGTCGGAGTGAATATGACAAGACATATACCATTCGAAAGGTAACCTCATAAGATTTTAGCACGGCAAGTTTTAGCTTTTTTGGAATTAAATTACGCCCGCCGCAGGCCAAACACTCTGATATTATACCAGGCACCAGTTTAAAAAAATTGAATTAGTGATGTCGGAGTGAATATACAAGACATATACCATTCGAACGGTAACCTCATAAGATTTTAGCACGGCAAGTTTCAGCTTTTTTGGAAATAAATTACGCCCGCCGCAGGCCAAACACTCTGATATTATACCAGGCACCAGTTTAAAAAAATTGAATTAGTGATGTCGGAGTGAATATACAAGACATATACCATTCGAAAGGTAACCTCATAAGATTTTAGCACGGCAAGTTTCAGCTTTTTTGGAATTAAATTACGCCCGCCGCAGGCCAAACACTCTGATATTATACCAGGCACCAGTTTAAAAAAAAAGTGAATTAGTGATGTCGGAGTGAATATACAAGACATATACCATTCGAAAGGTAACCTCATAAGATTTTAGCGCGGCAAGTTTCAGCTTTTTTGGAATTAAATTACGCCCGCCGCAGGCCAAACACTCTGATATTATACCAGGCACCAGTTTAAAAAAAAGTGAATTAGTGATGTCGGAGTGAATATGACAAGACATATACCATTCGAAAGGTAACCTCATAAGATTTTAGCACGGCAAGTTTCAGCTTTTTTGGAATTAAATTACGCCCGCCGCAGGCCAAACACTCTGATATTATACCAGGCACCAGTTTAAAAAAAATTGAATTAGTGATGTCGGAGTGAATATACAAGACATATACCATTCGAACGGTAACCTCATAAGATTTTAGCACGGCAAGTTTCAGCTTTTTTGGAAATAAATTACGCCCGCCGCAGGCCAAACACTCTGATATTATACCAGGCACCAGTTTAAAAAAATTGAATTAGTGATGTCGGAGTGAATATACAAGACATATACCATTCGAACGGTAACCTCATAAGATTTTAGCACGGCAAGTTTCAGCTTTTTTGGAATTAAATTACGCCCGCCGCAGGCCAAACACTCTGATATTATACCAGGCACCAGTTTAAAAAAAATTGAATTAGTGATGTCGGAGTGAATATGACAAGACATATACCATTCGAACGGTAACCTCATAAGATTTTAGCACGGCAAGTTTCAGCTTTTTTGGAATTAAATTACGCCCGCCGCAGGCCAAACACTCTGATATTATACCAGGCACCAGTTTAAAAAGAATTGAATTAGTGATGTCGGAGTGAATTGACAAGACATATACCATTCGAAAGGTAACCTCATAAGATTTTAGCGCGGCAAGTTTCAGCTTTTTTGGAATTAAATTACGCCCACACTGCAGGCGAAACACTCTGATATTATACCAGGCACCAGTTTAAAAAAAAGTGAATTAGTGATGTCGGAGTGAATTGACAAGACATATACCATTCGAAAGGTAACCTCATAAGATTTTAGCACGGCAAGTTTTAGCTTTTTTGGAATTAAATTACGCCCACACTGGGCGAAACACCCTGATATTATACCAGGCACCAGTTTAAAAAAAAGTGAATTAGTGATGTCGGAGTGAATTGACAAGACATATACCATTCGAAAGGTAACC